CCCTGGACTCCAAGTCGGCGCCCTTCTCGAGGAGCAGCCTCACCACCGCCTCGTGCCCCTTCCAGGCCGCCCACCACAGTGGTGTCTGACCGAAGCTATCCCTGGACTTCAAGTCGGCGCCCTTCTCGAGGTGCAGCCTCACCACCGCCTCGTGCCCCTTCCAGGCCGCCCACGACAGCGGCGTCCAGCCATCGTTGGTGGTCGATTCGATGTTGAATTTGCCCGAAGCGCAGAGGAAAGCAAGAAGTATACTATCGCCATGCTCTGCTAAGTAAGAGAAAGGGCCTTTTCGTTGTGAGAAAGCGAAGTTGCGTCCAAGGTTGATTCGTTTGTTTCCGCCCTGATAATACTCTTCGCATAAGTTGCGAAGCAGAGACGTTGCAGGCTGGGTATCTACCTGGATTTCCAAAAATGTTCGCACCGCTTCATTGCTTCCCGTAGCCAGGGCCGCAAAAATCGGCAGCCCATAGCGCTCATCTTCTACCTCGAAGCATGATCGATTGGATGAGAGAACTCTGATGAGACTGGCCATGTTGTTCTCCGCCAATATGTATAAGAGACTCACGTTTGGGGTGTGTCGGCGTATTTCGTGCCTTTCGAATATGTTGTCTATCCTTACCCATTCGGCAAGTTGGAAGCTATGAACAAAATGTCCCTGGCTGACTCCGCTAGCTTGTGCCGTATTGGCGTGGGATAAAACGTTTCGTACAGCATACTCTAGGAACGGAAACGCTTTGGCTGCATGTTGGCGGAGGACTACAGCCTCTTGGGTTGATGCTTTCGGAAGCGGGTTGCCAATACCGAGAGAGGTAACGGCGTCGATGCTCATGTAGTTCAGACAGCAATGCTTTAGTCTCTCGTGACTTTCTCCTTCGAAGTTGTTTCCGGAACCGGACCAAACTTCACTTAACCCGTTTTCTTTGAGAAGGAAGTCCCTCACTGACTCATGAATGAACTGGACAGTTGGAGTCCCAGACCTCGTGATTTCGGCGAGTCCTTTCGAAGAATTTAGAATGAATCTCTTGATACCGTCTATCGACATCTCATCGGGGTCCCATTTTGACAGATCCTCGGGTTCAGTCCCGGAGAGTATACCGTAGTACAATTCTTCCGGTTTCAGAGGCCGTCTTGCGAAGAGTAGCCATTGAATACAAAGAAGTAGTTCGTCTCTATTGCGGCAGTCTCGTGTTAGAATGTCGCGGAAGAGCTCATGTAGATCGCTAGGAATATCTTTGAGTTTTTGTTGAAGACGACGTGTCGTTCGGCCCTCATCATGCTCCTTGTTCAATATATCCACCACGAGGACAACCCACATAAATACCCCAGACGCCTTTTCTTGAAGTTCAGCTCTAATCTGCTCGGCGAGGTTGCTATGACCGATTCTCAGTTCGCTGTCGATATAGTTGGTAATGTCCTGATCGTGTCCGTCTTGTCCTTCTAGGTCCAGACTGAGGCCTTTTGTGATTGTGATGTGCGGATAGTGTCTACTTGAAAAGAAGACTTGAAATCGAGTGTGGGTTGAAACGGCCAGTTCGCCCAGACGTTGGAAAGAAGCAATCATGTCCCGGATTTGACGCTCGTCGCATTCATCTAAAGCGTCAATAAAACATACCAGGGAGGACTTCCCCAAACCCTGAACGGCCTCGTCGAAGAGTGTTTGCAGTGACTCGATGCGCCATTCGTGGCAACTACTATCCCACGCCGCTAATCCGAGACAATCAAAGATGCTCTGGAGTGCTGGAAGCCGTTCGAGAAGCTGAAGTAACAGTGATCGATACATGCCCACTGTAGACTTCTCGAGGTCGTCTCCCCTCGCGTTAAAGAAGAAGGAGATGACGATCTCATTCTTGATTACCTTCCGGGCGTTGGCAAGGGCGAACTTCATCAGGGTCGACTTCCCGGTCCCAGGCTTTCCCTTGATCCACAAGAAGCCGTGGTGCTGGCTGAGTTTGTTGGGGTCAAGCCAATCGAGATATTCAGATTTTCTTAGCAACCATGTGCACGTTTTCGCATGCGCTTTTTTGATGGTCATCTGGCGAGCGTCGATTTGGTTAAACCTCAATGAGTCCAGCAACATCCTTTTCCGTTCTTCATTCAGCAGCGACCTCTCGTCCTTCGTGGTCTGTGTTTCCGAAATCTGAATTGCAGGGATTACCGAGAGAATCTCTTTCGCATATGCTGCCGCGGTTGCCGCTGCGTATTCCTGCCACTGCTTGTTTTTATGCGAATCGGCATAATCGCAGATACCCCGAATAACCAAACAATGGAAGTCGTCCATCAACCCGGCAGCCTCCATTTCGAAACAGAGGATGCCGAGCTCCCGGGCTAACCTATCTCGAGTTCCGCCATGCTTCATCAACTGGTTGCTAGACGCGATCAGTCCATAATGAATTACTGGATCGCTCCCAGCTCGGGGAGGTCGAGTCACCAGCTTGCTCGGGTCGCACCGCTCACAGGTATCTTCCGACCCGACATGCTCGTATTGAGCTTCGAATAGATGATCTTGCTGTCGACCGTGATGTGTAAACTGGGCAGTCATAATAGGATATTTAGCCGCCATCTCAGACAGGTGCTCCGGAATCCGATTGGGTCTCAACATATCGTCCGCTTGCAGTTGAGATATAGCCGTCAGGAGCACCTTCGGGGGCTTGTTCAACATGCCGATGCGTTTAAACCCTCCGTCTCGGATAGTTTTGCCGTAATCATACTGCACTACTCCCCCGTAGCAATCAGTAGGCTTGCTCACCACGACATCACCTAATCGAATGTCGGCGGATGCATTGGGTGCCCCTCCTCCGATGCCCACCATTAAGCCGAAGCGGATTGACCTGAAGGTAGACATCATCTGATGGGCTACTGTCGCTGCAGATGTGGTGCCATATACGCCTGAAGGCATACAGGCAACGACAACACGATGAGCACCCATCTGTCCCAGTGTATAGGTGTTATGATCGTTGGGAGGGTTGGGCAAGGCGTGGTGAATCTCGTCCAACATCGCTTTAGCGGCAGCCATCTCGACAGGAAGGGCGCAGATCCATCCGACTGTATAATCATCGTAGGAGAAGGGTGCCGAGGTGGATGCACGGCAGGGTCCTTGTTCATCGTCATGATTATGGTCTAGCTTCCTTCTCTTGGGCACATCGGGTGTTTGGTGATCTTCAAGCATATGTCTTGTCCTGTGCATTGTGAAACCAGTTCCCAAGGCTTTCATGGATATAGCAGTTTTTGCAGGTTATTTTCGTCCAGAAGAGGGAGGTCGTTACTCAGCGCTGATTTGACAGTTTCGTCACTTGTGCCAAACGAGAAGGTTAGCGACTCTGCTATCGTATAATCAGTATCTATTGACATACCAAAGAGTCGAGGATGTGGAGAGACACACTCAGAGGTTGCCTTGAAATTGATCTGGGCCAACTCAGAATTGCAGCCCCAGCTGCGATCAAATCGGCTGCAGCACAGCCTGGATGGGATGTTGCACTCGCTGGTCGAGCGCGCATCAACACAGTCTGACAACACAATGGAAGCTGATTGCAAGGCTGAATCGAACATGGAGTGCCTTTGTGTCCTCAGCGGGATGATCGCTGCGTCCATGCTCCGTGCATGAGTCCAAGTGGATTGCAGCTGAAAGGTCGTCACGCCGCTCTGTCATGCACTTAGGTAGCAGACTCTTGAACGACCGTTGAATTTCGCGAAGGGGCTTTAGAGGTCTTCTCCATTGTGTGAATGGGAATGTGCGCGGCTGGGAGCATTTCCCGGCCTGGGCTGATGCCTGGACAGTCCGCTCTCAGGAAACAAGATTTCCCAAGCGAAGGCGCGTGGTGGCAGTGCTAGGCGTCGCGCGGGGAGGTGAGCCCGACTTTCCGTATCCCTTTCGCAGGCTGGCCTTGTCCCCAGACCAGGAGGGGCGAAGACACTCACGACGATGAGCTGCAGCGTATGTCTATGGTTTGAGTTTGATATTTACCTCACAAGCCTGCATTCGAATGATGGAGAGATTGGGGCAAGGCTAGGTATGGCAAGGCTTCCGCTTCGCTGTGGGCCAGAAGTGCACGCCGAGTATATTGTGAAATAGGCTCCCTCGCAGCCTCCGAAAAAAAAAAAAAAAAATTGCAGGAAAGAAATGTGCTCACTTTTTCAGTATGCTAGATTCAACAACTAGATAGAGACGTAGTGAGGTAGTCGCCTAAAAAGGTACAGCTTGTCCTCAACCTAACGCAGCACCTCCTCGATAGTGCAGGAAATCTGGTTTATTCTGGGTAGGGATCTTGTCTGGAGAAATTACTATTGCGTATCGGGTTGGAGGATACCGAGCCTTCTCGTCAGACAACGTACTCTATGTATGGGGTTTCCCGGTAAGTCTTGACGTGGGCCCAGATTTCGAACGGCGCAGGATTATGCCTCACGTAGAAATGTCAGAAGAGCAAGACTCACTAAGATATGATGCATACGGATCTGTAGAAACCGTACGAGGCAAGTTCACTCGCCGTGGCTCCAAACGACCAGACATCTAATGCTTTGCCGACGCATATCCATCATGATTACGCGCGTAAGAGATCAATACGTTTCAGACGATGTTCATAGATTTCCAACTAGCGTTGAACAGATAAGCACGAATGACTGTGTGAATCGAACGGGCGGTCTGAATGGCAGGGAGTGTGGACAACTCAAGGCAGCTTCTTCAATACCGTCTTCTTGGGGGTACTGCCGGTGTATGCGGGCTCAGTCGCAAGTTCTATTGAGCGCAGAGTAATAAATTGGCCATGACCCGTTGTCAAACCGGTAAACAACTGTATATGATATAACTGGAGGTGCTGAATGCAGCCTAATTGCGAATAAACCAGCCATGTCAAACAGGTCATGACTGGATCAGAGCCTAGCATTTGGTCCCCCTGGATCGTGTCAGGACAGGGTCTTCCCTCCCAAGTATTGGTGCGATGTGGTGTGCGAGGTATTCACTCTGAGAGAATCTCTTTCCAGGACTTCCACCCGATTTAGGAATAGGAATTCAAGCGAAAGCCTTCCATGTCCACATTTACCATCTGCTTTGCCTCTGTGGCCCACGCAAGGCATGGGAACATTTCGAGAGCATCTGCCTGAAACCACTTGCCACACTTGCTTGCTCCGGAACCCAGTGGAAGCGTCCATCTAGTGCGACGACACGAATCTAGAGAAAGTGCCCAATCTTTTTCTTATACTCACTTGAACTTATCGTCTCTGTCGAGCCTTGCGATCGCTCTTCTGGCCGCACTCTGCGGCTTTTGGTTGGATTCTTATCGTTGGGGTTTCGTTGCCGGGGACGGTGTGGGAGGTCAACAGATTCTGGGACGATGTCCGTGGAACCCTGCGAATCTTGTTCTCGTTGTTCTGCTTCGGATCCCTTGGACTGTTCTGAAGCCATCGATTGAGCTTTGACGTATACCTTTTTTGACGGCTGACGAATTTCCTGCTCAGCGGAGATATCTGTTTGCCCGCGCTTGGTCGGTTGAGCTGGATCTATCTGCCGGCTTTGCCGTTGCATTTGCTCAGATATCTTGTCATAGTTGAGACCAAGGCGGGCAGCTAACGCTTCAAGGCATCTTAATGGATAGTCGCGAACCGCCTGCTCAAGGGTCAAGTCACCTGTAGACGAATTGCCGGAATCAGAATCGACCTCCTCATCGTCGTCTTCCTTCCACTGCTTATAGCCTTCGATATGGTAGAACTGTAGTAGGTAGAAGCGACGAAAAGCTAGCTCGGTATAAGTATAGGTGACATGAAAAGTCTGTTCGGCACTAACCATTCTGACTTGATTGTAATTTCCAGAACTGTTTGACTGTCCTTGGAAAATATTTTTGATCAGGTCGCTGAAGGCCTTGTCCCTGTTCGAGGAGGGCTACAGGATGGACCTCATGATGTGCTCGGTAGGACAGTGAGTTGAACATTCTAGCATCCATCTCTTCGAAGCGCTGCCCGACCTCTGATTGAAAGGTATCTATCCTCGTTTCTATTCGGTCGAAGCGCTGCCCGACTTCTTCGAAGCGCTGCCCGACTTCTTCGAAGCGCTGCCCGACTTCTTCTTTAAATTCTTCAAGCTGCTCCTTTATTTTTGCGAATTTCTGATCGACCAAGGCGAATTTTTGATCAATGGAGGAATATCTCTGATCGAGTAAACTGTCACGCCGGCCATTTTCATATTCTACCCTTTTGAACTTCTCGGTAATAAATCCACGTTGCTGCTCAAATGCCTGACGGATTTGATCGTCCTGGGCTCGTTGTAAGTGACCAAGTAGGCCCAAGCCCTTATCGATATATTCAAGGGAATCGACGTTCTCAACAGACTCGACGACGCTCGCTGGGACATGTGGAGGTGATCGGAGGTCACGGGAGAGCTCTGCAAGAACCGGTGAGGAATGTGTGAAGCGGTGCTGTAGGGTCATCGGCGCTGGGAACTATTCTTTCAAGTCTAGATCTTGGATGAACATAAGACAGCGAAAAGCCGCCAGAATGGAGTTGTTGATTCCGCAGACGCCATACTTGGCAAGATCGGTCAGCTGGGTGGGCCTGCGGCAAATGTCAACCGCCCAATGAATAGGCGCTGTGCGGGGCTACTCTACTGCCCATACATTCCTGCGCGACGACTTTGGCTTCTGTATCGCAATGCACCACATAATGACGCGGCTTGGTAGGCGTACGATGGCGGGTAGACTGGACCATTGACCGGCCTTGTTCAACGTCGAGAGTAGCTCTTGACCAACTGTAACCGTACATCAACTGGGACATTGGACCCCACGACGCGCGTGGCTTGAAGGCTGCATGGAAAGGAAGGAGTTATGGCGGGGATGATCTACATCGGTCTTCTTTGTGCCCAAGTTAAATTATCATTGTACGTTGGCACAAGCGCATGTCTCATGGTATTGTATTGGAGGCCATCGTGTCTCGAGAGATTGCTTATGACAAACGAACCAGATTACGCAATGTCACTTCATTATCAGAATGGCAAGCTCCACGAAATACAGTTTCTCCTATGGACTCAGGCGAATAATCCCAAGGCTCACGACAATGCCACATCGGAACTATGGCAATACTACTTCACTAGGTGTGTTTTCACTACAGACGTGTGGATAATGGCTGCAGAGCATGCTTATAAGCTAGCCAACTAGCATTCATCCGCCCTGCGGAATGGGGGTAGTGGCGAGAGAGAAATTGAGTCGAAAGCGGGTGCGGATGATAGAGTTAGGCTTTTCAAGATAGGCCGCCGGATTCCAGCCGAGTCAAAAACAGGGGCAGAATGGCCTTAGCGCACTAAGAACATCGGGTGTATGCTTTTTGGTAATCAGCATTGATTCACCGGGAGATGTCGCAGGTGTTGCCAGTGTCACTCTGGATGGGATGGAAGGATCTTAGGGATCCTATAGTCCAAGAAAATTAGATGTCCTACCTTTTGTACCGAGCCACCATGTAATTGTGCGGCCGGCTCTAAGTCACAGATCACCAGAAACCTTCCACCAATTTGGGCATTCTTCAAAGAGGATACCTATAAGGCGATTTGGGGGTTCTATGGTCTTGTCAGGTCAGATTTGCTCAAGAGCCTCTTGATGACCGTCCCTATAATGTAGTATGATTCCAAGAGACACCCAAGGATCTCATCGTGATTGTCCAGGCACAGCCTTACAAAGACCAACGCAATCGAGAGTGGTGACGCCCAAGTACCAGTCTCGAATTGGAGCTTCCTTTTCCGGACAACGTAGTCCGCTCTCTGGAGCAGCAATGTCCCGACTCCGGGCGCTGATACTCCCGAGTATACCCTGATTTCAGTGAAGACCAGCGCGGTCCTCTCCAAGGCTAGTAGTGTAGAGGCCCAAGACAGCATCGTCCATTCCGAAGGGCACCTGACAGTATCCGAAAATGGACTCATAACCTGGCTCATTGTGAGGGACGAATATTCTCATCCTTCCAGAACTCGTACGAAGCTTTTGTTTGTCGGCTAACTTTTGGCCATTTATACAGGTGTACTGATGATGACCACTGGCTGTGCGGCAAGTGCGCGAACACCCGAAATTGTCCACACACAAATTTCTCTGATCTCTTCATTTTTCCAAACGTGGAAAATAAATGAAAACCAGATTTTCGGCTCCGAGAAAGGTGATGAATTTGTTCGTGAAGGGTGAAATACCAGCTTCTTCTCTCTGGATGAACAGCCCGACTGTTGCTCCCGCACAAGCACACGCTGTGACACCGTCGGCATTCTCAAATGAATGAAAGTTCATTCGATTCTGGTCCTTGAAAAATCGCCTACACGATGTATCAACAGTTCCTGTCATACGTTTAGTGAACACTTTATCAGGCATTCTGTAAGTATACATTAATACTTTCGCCGAATCTGGGAAGGACCAGTGCTGGGTCTCCGGGTGTGTAAAGACTCAAATGGTAGACTTCTTCCCGGGTAAGTGGAAGGCAGTGACATCGGACGAGATGGCCGCAGCGAGTGTAATAGCTCACTCTGGTCTTACAGCTCCGGCAGCACTCAAGACATGTATCCTTATGGCCAAAATGGTCTACTTCAACCGGTTAGAATGACGTGACGGACATGACCCTTCCAACATACTAGAAGTTCCACTCCCAGGGTAATAGCAGAAGGCACATTTTTTGCGCTCCACCCGAAGCAGGAGCCAGTTCTGGTGACCATTGTAGGCTCAACACCATTCAATCCGCCGTTGGCAATGATGAATTGCGATGAACTAGGAAGAGAAAGGGGGTGGAAACTGGGATCAGCTAACCTACAGAACTCTTTATGCCCCCGGTGTAGATCAGATTGGGCAGCAGGGAGAATTGAGACGTCCAAAAATCCCAGGGGGCAAACAGACAACCCACGTAGTTTATCAGAGGCGGGCAAAGTTTGGTTAAAAGCGGCATGGTCTAGATGAGCGCCCACGTGAGGTCGGGCTTGACCCGCCAAGCGCGCTGTCAATGGAGGCCGATATTGGAGCCGGCCGTTCGTGCTCATGTTTTCCACACCTCACGCAGGGTTGTTGCTAAGTTAATCAACGCCACCGACTAACAAAGACAGTTGAGGTGTATGCGTGTCCCTGGGCTCCATCAGGGTGAAATGATTTGATGATTTGATAGGGAATCCCCGGAATTCCGACCTTCAAACCTTGCCAAACACCCACGTCTCCGTTGCCGGTAAGCGTGGATCTTTTCAAATCCGGCTGCCTATTATGTCACTGACCAGTCACTCGCCGTTATTCCAGTCTCTTTAGATCCACTTGATCCCTCTTGAAATATCCTTACCTTTCCCATCCGTCAGACTGGCTTTCCTCGTTCCATCTTCTTACGAGACGGCGGCGGGAAGGCGCAAGCCTTCATCGACACGAGGTGCTTTGTATGACGGCTTTGGGAAGACACAAGCAGTAGACGATCACACCGAACATACCAATATGTCTTATCCAGCTCTCACGACCGGTACTGGCCGCAACATTGACATGGCCAAAACCGAATCCGAACTCGCCGTCAATATTCGAAAAGCGACCAGTATCGAAGAGACCGCACCCAAGCGCAAACATGTTCGCAGCTGTATCGTATACACCTGGGATCACAAGTCTTCACTGTCCTTTTGGGCGGGCATGAAGGTGCAGCCTGTGATGGCAGATGAGGTCCAAACATTCAAGGCATTGATCACGATTCACAAAGTGTTGCAGGAAGGTCATCCGGTCACGGTCAAAGAGGCGCAACAAAATGTCAATTGGATTGAAAGTCTGGCCCGAGGAGTTGCCGGCGAAGGCTTGCGAGGATATGGGCCACTCATTCGAGAATATGTCTTCTTCCTCCTGGCCAAACTGGGTTTCCACCGACAACATCCTGAATTCAACGGGCTGTTCGAATATGAGGAGTATATTAGTTTGAAGTCCATCAACGATCCCAATGAGGGTTACGAGACCATCTCGGACCTGATGACCTTGCAGGATCAAATTGACACCTTTCAAAAACTGATCTTCTCACACTTCCGTGGTGGTGCAAACAATGAGTGTCGAATAGCAGCTTTGGTGCCGTTGGTTCAGGAATCCTATGGCATTTACAAGTTCATCACCAGCATGCTTCGAGCCATGCACACGACCACCGGCGACGATGAAGCTCTCGAACCTTTGCGTACACGATATGACGGCCAACACTATCGCCTGGTCAAGTTCTATTACGAATGCTCCAACCTTCGATACCTCACTTCCTTGATCACCGTCCCCAAACTGCCGCAAGATCCGCCCAACCTTCTGGCTGAAGACGAAGAGAGACCTGCTTTACCAAAGCGACCAGCCAAGGAAATTGAAAGACCACCCTCACCGGTAGCAAAGAATGGCACGCCAGATCCCAAAGACATGGAAGATTTCTGGTCCAGAGAGGCGCAGAGACAACAAGAAGAATATGAGGCCGAGCAGCGACGTCTGCAACAACAATGGGAAGAACAACAGAGACAACAATTGCTAGCGCAACAAGAGGCCCAGCGTGCTTTTGAAGAGCAGCAAAGAATGCAGGCGGAACAGCAACGACTGGCTCAGGAACAGCTCCTGCGAGATCAGTATCAGGCTCAAACCCAAGGTCGCATGGCGGAACTGGAACGAGAGAATCTCAATGCGCGTGCCCAGTATGAGAGAGATCAATTGATGCTCCAGCAATACGATCAGCGGATGAAGGCTCTCGAAGAACAACTTCAACGGCTCAACACCAACTTCCAAATGCAGTCACAATCCAAAGACGACCAGATCGCGGCTCTGCAAGAACAAGTCAATACGTGGAGGTCAAAGTATGAAGCATTGGCTAAATTGTATTCTCAACTCCGACAAGAACATCTTGATCTTCTCCAAACCACCAAGTCATTGAAATTGAAAGCAGCATCGGCCCAAGAAGCCATCGAGCGCAGAGAACGGCTCGAGCGCGAAATGAAGACGAAGAATTTGGAACTGGCCGACATGATCCGAGAACGTGATCGAGCCTTGCATGAAAAAGATCGCAGCCAAGGTGGACATCGCGAGGAAGTCGAGAAGTTGAAACGAGAATTGAGATTTGCTCTTGAAAGGGCCGAAGATGCGGAGAAATCCAAAGGTTCTGAATTGTCGTCGATGCTCGCCAAATACAACCGGGAAATGGCGGACCTCGAAGAAGCTGTCCGCAGCAAGACAAGACAACTGGATGAACTTCGATCCAAACAAGGGGAACGAAGCATGGATCATGAAGCTGCCCTCCGTGAAAAGGATGATGAAATCGAGGTCTACAAGTCCGGAATGGAACAGGCTCTTGAAGAACTGGAGGAACTCAAGCTCGGAAATGGTGAAACTGACGGGGCATTGGACAATGCCATCGATGAAGTGATCAAGAGCAATCTCAACAAGATCAACGATATCATCGACTCTGTACTTCAGAGCGGTGTCCAGAGAGTCGATGACGCCATGTACGAACTCGACTCTCCCATGCAAGCTGGTAACCAAAATGCCACCGCTCCTTATGTGCTGTCACAGATCGAGAAGGCCTCGGCCAGTGCGACGGAGTTTTCTACGGCCTTTAATAACCACGTCGCCGACGGCCCGAACAGTAATCATGCCGACATCATCAGGACGGTGTCAATCTTCGCGGCTTCGATCGCGGATGTCTTGTCCAACACCAAAGGGTTGACAAGATTTGCGACGGAAGAAAAGAAGGCAGATCAGTTGATTGATTCGGCTCGACAATCGGCTCTTTCGACCATCAACTTCTTCCGAAGTCTTCAGTCATTCAGGCTTGAAGGGTTGGAGCCAATGCAGAAGAGTGATGTGGTCATCAATAGCAACCATGATGTCCTCATGAAACTACAGAGACTGTCCAAATTGGCAGATGCCTTTGTACCCAAGGGCAGCAAACTCAGCACTACTGGAGACTTGGGCGATCTTGTGGATTCCGAATTGACCAAGGCCGCCAATGCCATTGATGCCGCTGCTCAACGCCTGGCCAAACTGAAGAGTAAACCCAGAGATGGCTATTCTACGTATGAGTTGAAGATCAACGATTCGATTCTCGAGGCGGCGATCGCAGTGACCGGGGCAATTGCGCAGCTGATTAAGGCGGCGACAGATTCGCAGAACGAGATCGTGCGCGAAGGCCGTGGGTCTTCGTCCAGGACAGCATTCTACAAGAAGAACAACCGCTGGACAGAAGGCTTGATTTCTGCAGCCAAAGCAGTGGCCACGTCAACCAATACTCTCATCGAGACGGCTGACGGAGCCATTAGTGGGCGCAACAGCCATGAACAGTTAATTGTGGCATCAAATGACGTGGCGGCCAGCACGGCCCAGCTTGTCGCAGCCAGCAGAGTCAAGGCCTCGTTCATGTCCAAGACTCAAGACAGGCTGGAACAGGCCTCACGGGCTGTGGGTTCGGCTTGTCGTGCACTCGTCCGCCAGGTCCAGGACATCATCAAGCAGAAGCAGCGTGATGAGGGGGAGAGCATCGATTATGCTTCGCTTAGCGGGCATGAGTTCAAGGTGCGCGAGATGGAGCAGCAGGTATGTATCAAACACCTCTCGCTTTTGCGCCGGCCCGGCTTTTTGTTTCCTTGCCTGATATGGGTGTGTGCTAACAACGGTTTACTACAGGTCGAGATTCTACAGTTGCGAAACGCCCTTGATGCTGCGCAGGCGAGGTTGAGCGAGATGCGCAAGATCTCATACCGCGAGGATTGAGGGGTTTAATCTCCAGTCTTTTGGGGTTGTTGGCGAGAGGATTCAGGCCGGGTTTTGGAATTTGCGACAGAGGAGTGCGATTTTTTGGTGGAGGACCGAGGATGGAATGCAGGGATGGAGGATGAAGGACGGAGAAGGATCTGTTGAGGGGGACAGCGTAGGTGTGTTTTGTGATGCAATCGTGCCCGGGGAGAAGTGTTAAAAGCATCCTATTTTGGTTAGCCACTGCTAGAATGTCGTTAACGATGGTCAATGGTGGAAGTGATGGGAGTGACGGGGGCGATGGTGATAATGAGGATTGACAGAAGTGGTACATGGTGATGCCAGTCCGGTTCCTTGAATTACTTACCTATCCCTAGACACCACAGCCTGTCGAACCATAGCATATCAAATATTCTGATGCCCATGCTCGTGCTAGTGCTGGTGTTGTCATAGATGGATTGTCAATGTCTGGACCTATACAGGTATGGAGGATGTCTCTGACTCTGATCTCGATGTTTTGTGTCTCTCTTCTCTCCTCTATCCTGGCCTGTCCTGTTTTGGGCCTCCACTACCTTGGATCCTCCTGCTGTACATGGTGTCATGGTGTCATGGTATCGGGCATGGCAATGGGGTGTAGCACCACGTAGCACCACGTACCACGCAGAATCATAAACTACATGCATAGCATTTAATTATGTAGTATGCTCTATTGCTCAGTTGCTCAATTGTCAGTGCTCGACACTCTCTCCATGTCGCATTGCATTCTATTCCGTGCGACACAATTCAATTCAATCCTACTGCACCGCACCATGCCGTATCGCTTGTCATCATGTTTATGTCCGTGTTCTGATGTATCTCATTACCATTACAATGAATGGCCCACTGTTTGGATCAATGTCCCGTTCCTGGATTCGACTTCTCTTTCGTTGTCTTTGTGTTTGTCCTTGTCCGGTTGCGCTCCTTTGTCATTTGCACAGTCCCGAACTCGACCTCAAATCTTGGCCCCAGTCTCGTACCTGGAACTTTCCTATCGAATCCGCCCTTTTCTGCCCTTGATTTCTTTATTTGTGTCTTGCCACGTCCCTCCACTTCCGCTTTCGTCTTCAATGGTAGTCCCGTTCAGTGTTCCGGGTGCATCTTCGTGCTTGGACTTGGGGATAACATGGGTCTTATCGGTTTGAAAGTTGGAGATAGGCTGGGCGCCTGTTTGGGAGGGTGTTCTCTTCGATCGCGTCTTGTCGTGCTTTTTGGTGAAAGAAAGGAGAGGCTTGCTTGAATTTCGTCAGGAGTGTGTTTTCGTGTGGAATGACGGTGGAAGGTGATGGTATTTCGCTTTTCATTTGTATCTTTGTTTTCTCAAGACTTCGAACGGGTTTCGGCTTCGTCAGTAGCAAAGTGTCATGAGGGAGATTTTGACAAGTTGGTGACCCGGTTTCTGACCTCCTGCGATGTATGAAAAACTAGTGTGTATCATCCTAATCTCATTGAGACCCTCTTACCGTGCGCTCACCCACCTTGTTTCCTTGTGTGTTCAATGCTATTCAATCTCTTTTCCCACATTCAAGCTCGACTACGACGTGTTCCGAACCGGCTTCATCAAAAGCATGAGGAACGGCCGCTCAAGTGTGTTAGGGAGGAATGTTTTGCCCAAGGCACACGCCCCATTCCTTCGCACTGAGATCTTCCGCATCTTGAGCTCAACGAGGCCTAATTTGCGGGTGACAAGCGTGATCGGGGGAAGAGGAGTTATTAAAGCTGAAGGACTCGAGATCCGTCAGAGCCAGAACCAAACAGAGCACCTATCCACGCCAATCAGGCCGTCGCAGGGCCCGGAATTTGAAGCCATCCGCGAAGCCATTCGCATTTCCAGAGACTGATCAGACATTGGACTCCAATTCCGGCCTCGAGGTCGTGTAGGAGAGGAACGAAACTGAATCGTCAGATCAGCTTGGTTCTGGCGAGTCGCTTGGGTCGACCATCGTCTTCGGCCACTCCACCGACCCTAGCTGTAGGTTTGAGTTCGGCTTTGCTCAATCCGATTTGATTCGCTTACATTACAGCTGCCCCGTAGCATGGGGCGCCTTATGACACGACGGTTGCCCAGACTTTGGAGACAGCTGGAACTTCTTTTGAACGTCGTCCTTCTCGCCTTTCTCCAGTTTTGGCTCGATGTTGGGTGTTTTCGTTCGAAGAGCTTCCTAAAGGCAAGCTAGACTTCCGCATTAGAGAGAGGTGTAAGTGCAAACATGGCATCTAGAGACTTTTTCAAAAATGTGGAATACTGGTTCAGCGTCGTTAGTGGAACAAGTTGATTGGCATGGAACCCTAGTAATCTATTGATCTTTATCTAGGTACACACTACTGACCATTCATGCTGCTCACTGGCAGCTATCCCCCGAAAACTCTGCTGCCTGCTCTGTATATTACACCCTCAATGCTTCTTGGCTCCTTGCGCTTCCTTATTGCTGTGTGAGTCTCCAATCAATCAGAACCTATCCCCAACGTCCCTGCAGTGCATGCTGATGGTTTCGATCAGATGCCAAATGAATGGGCATTTCGAGACTAAGAATCATAGTTAATAAGTCCGTCGAAGTCCAAATTGAATGGATCGAAGTCAGATTGGACTAGGCGTGGATCAAAACCTAAAATCGGCGGAAGGACATTTGGATGGAAGTGGTGGGCAAGAAGGTGAGTGTCGTATGCTTCCTGCTGCTCTGCAAGGACTTGTCCAATTGAGAGATAATCATCGTTGGTGGATACGAGTGTAAAATTGCCGGCCTTAGGATTAACGTCGACGGTGGGTGGCTCTTCAGCCCTGGTTGTTGCTTGACCTCTAGTACGAACCTGCCACAAGATATTAGACTGAAGACATGATTATTGCGGCTGACTTACTGCTTGAGGTGTGACAATGAGAGCCAACGATTCAAGTGGTGGTGATTTCGCCGGTGGATGTGCTGGTAGATGTGCTGGGGGGGTCTGTTGTGCAGCCTCAGGATCCATCAAGCCGTCTTCGCACATTTGATCTCCGGAAGATTCCATTGGATTCTGGCGAGCATGACCCTCACCAAGACCCTCACGAATGCAATGATCAATGAGCTCTTCCTTGGAGATGTTGGAGCGGGGTGGAAACTCAACATCAAGAAGCTCGGCATTGAAGTTGGCGGATCGACTGAGTTTTAGCTCGCCTTCAGCATCTTTCTCCAGAATCCAGCCCATCTTGCTCAGGTATTCGTCGGGTTTGATGATTGGGAGAAAGGGAACAGCGGTCTTGAGGAACTTTTCGACTGTGATGATCTGCTCAAATCGATCTCTCATGTCTGAGTAGACCTGAGACAACATAACCCACATTGCCTTCTTGTTTTCTGCCGCCCACATTTCTTTGAGCCTGCCTGACTTTAACGATTGCGGAATACCTTTGAAGATAGGACTGTAGTATGCTGACAAACTGATTAGTGAGGGCTGCTGAAATGAGTGATGTCTACTCACTGCGAAAGGCCATCCAACTGTTGAGACAACGCTTCTTTACCTTGGCCTCTCTGACTGATTTGAAACGACGGCCTGCACGTGAACTTGCTGCGATGGGCTTGCGTGCTTGTGATGAGTTTGTGTTTCCGGCTTGCATTGTACCGATACTGGCGTTAAGAGGTTGCGGAGCTTTGGCAGAAGCCAAGACAGCCAATGTGTCGCTGAGCGAGGCTATCTGAGCCAGTGTCAGGCTGCTGACGAGGTTGTCAAAGGTGACTTTAAGTGCGTCGTGGTTCGCTGCCATCTTGCTTTGTTAATGCAAATGTCATTGGACAATGAAGAAGATTTTGAACGCTCGGATCTGACAATAAAGGACCTAGAATGTATGTGAAACAAGTATCGACACGGTCCCTTAATGACCAAGCTGCGAGAGTGTTTGGGATAAGGGGATTAAGAAGTTGAAAGGTGAGAGGATGAAAGAACGAAAATCGAGAGATATTTGAAGCCGTTTCACATGGCTGCGCTCCAGTTTTCAACCTCGTCTGTTTTGGATGCTGAACACTTCACTTCGAAGCAAATGGCAGAGATATTTGAACTGCCTTGCTTACTGCCTTGTCTGTGCGCTTTCTATTGCTCTGGTATGGCATTTACTTTTCGATCTGTTTGCCCTCTCCTTTCATGCTAATTGTCGAGGAATCTTGAGCCGTATATCACATTCCACTTGATCACAGCACATGCTAATATGAGTGAAATAGCCAGTGGAAATGTCATCAGTGTGTGCGGCGAAAATATCTGGCTGCTCTCACTTTGGAAGTGCTGCGCACTAGGGCTTCTTCGCCCGTATCTCAGACAATCCAGAGACCTGACTTCGAAGGACACATCCGACATTTGGAATTCATTAACAGAGAGATCGGACAACTGTTTGAATCCCCAGGTTTATCTCCCACCCTGGCTATGAGGCTGAGGCCCTTTGCGATACTTGCATCCCGACGGCAATCTACAATTCGTTCAGGTTGTCAAGGGCTTGTCGATTTGTCAAAGGCAGGAATTACTCTCTCAGATTGTCGCACACTTTCTCATCCAACATATCGGGATGGTAGCAAGGGCGGATGGGCAACCTTTTCCTTGATCAGGCACCAGTGCTCTGTTTCCCCAGCGTCGTATGACAACAACACCGAAGTTTACCTTTCAACTCGTCCCTGCCGTGGCTTTAAAATTCTGCACGATGCTACTTATGAAGAAAGATCTATTCACCAATGGTTGGATGAAGTCAGTATTGACCCTCCTATTTGAAGATATATCTGGGTTGACTGCAACAGACTCCTTTTCCTGTCAGTTTAGAGTCCGTACCTACTACGATAAAAGTCCTCAATTTGGATAAACCAGATGTGAATGAAGAGTCCCCTGGAGACAAACTCAACGCCAGAAGCTGGACTGTGAGTATTCCAATGATATGGGCTTTGTTCCCCCTCCTAATTATACTAGGCTTCTTTAAGCCCCAATCCTTTCGAGACAGGCGGTGTCCAACTCGACCTTCCCTCGTGCGCTCCGGTGCATATTGAGGAAATGTCTCTCTTCATAGGTTTGCGCGATCTTGAAGTTCTACGGTTTGTTGCTGCAAAGCTAATATTGTCACAGCTCGTTTAGAGTCGCTTCTTCCGCCACCTACTTTGACAACCCCAAATGTCTTTCCAGTGGCAGCTCTTAGGTCCTGGCATCCACCTACACTGTACAAGGATTTGAAGATCTCTCTCTCTCACGAACCCTCTATACGGCATGTGGAAGAGCCATCCCCATGAGAAGGTGTCAATACGCCATATCGAATCGGATTCGCACTCATTAAGGGGCATCGGGCGCAAAGCTGCAGAGGGAGCATGGGCGGGAAGAAACATGGCACTTCATGTGAGAGGCGAAAGTGGACGGCCAGAAGGTGAAGGTATTGCGGAAACAGGAATGTTGTAGGATAGGAAGGCCTAAAACTGAAGAAAGCCGTCAGAGGACGAACCAGAATCTCGATGTTCGAATTTTCACCATGCAGACACTATCCTGGCTCAGAAGCATGGGTATCCCAATCACTAGCCCAAATAAACGTGTTGCACCTCCACTGTGTCCCCTTCTCTTGTTTCCCTTTTGGCCCCAGGGGTCGATTACACATCCAGAACGAGCGACCACAATTCACACCTGGTTTTTTGGTGATCATGGTTTTGCAAGGCTCTCCATGTTCGCATTTGGGGGAAATGGGCTTCGAGAACAATTTACCCCAGGTGTGCCTGGTAGCGAAAACAGCGGCTTCATCTTCGAGGGAGGGAGTTGGGTTGAGGGCCAAGGAAGTGGTAATCGTTGAATTGCTAACTTCAGCAGAAGTAGTCATATCGGATTTCGGCGCCGTCGGAGGCGTTTCTTCTGTAGCCTGCTCAACTGGTGGTGTTTTCGTAGAGAAGAAGCCTTTCAAACTTTGTTGGGCCTTGCTAGAGCTATTTGTTGCTGACTGCGACGCCGTTTTGCTGCGTTTTGCAGAGGGGAGGTTTTCAGAAGCCGTTATAGAGCGTTTTCCATTGACATTTGAAGTTGAGGATGCATTTGACACCGTCCTCGACAAAGATGTGGCATCCTCGGCCTGTGTGGACGCGTCCGTGCTAGTTGGTGCCGCAGAGGAAATCGAAGGCGGCGTCGAGGTATCACTCTTGCCTTTTCCATCAACAGATGTCCTCGATTTCTGCATGGATGGCGTTCGAGTAAACATATCTCGTATGCTTTGTCTCTTGTCAAATTCTTGAATCAGCTTGCCGGACATTGGAAGGAGGCATTTTGCTGACCAATCTTGCTTGCGCACTCCATTTTCAAACATGCCCGGTGGGTTGACCGTGTCCAGAATGTGTCTCTCGACCCCATCTACCACCACTGTGTCGTTGAGTACCGCATAGACGGGGCAATGATCAGAGCCCATGAGTCCTTCTTGGATATTCGAGTCACTAAACCAATCCTTCATGTCGTGGCTGCAGACAACATAGTCGATCCTGGAGCCATAGTTACCTGGTCGAGCATTGACCTTGGTTTCCCAGCAGGTATACATTCCCTTCCGGCCCGGATGAAAACCTCTACACACGTCCCACATGATTGGTGTCTCTCGTCCCTCATCTCTTTCTCCATATACCTTTCCTCCCACGAGCAGTTGATTGAATATTCTTCTTGCAGGAGTGGAGATCCATTCCACAGGGTCAAGGCCATTCTTCCTCATGCTTTCCTCGGCAGCGGCCGTGTCGATCTCCTCCCGAGATATGTTGAGATCTCCTACCCACACCACCCTCTTCCCCATCTTCACAAGATTCCGTATCCTGGCATCGAGTACACATAGAAAGCTTGTGCGATAATGTGTCCGCGTCTCGTCACGCTCGGCAGGACAGTAGGTCCCAATGAGAACGAAAGCAGGAAACTCAAGGATGACGCATCTTCCTTCCGCATCGAGGGTGGCAGGATCGTAGTCAGACTGTGACAACTGTTCGGCATTGGGATATCCTCCGATTTGTTGGTCGTCTGGGAGGTCTCGAAAACTTGTAGACGTGTTCGGCGGGGTCAGGATCCCAGTAATGCCTTCTTCCGCTCTGATGGGTGCACAGGTCGCATTTCGCGTGTAGATGACAACGCCAGAGTATCCTATAATGGTCAGAGATATCTCGGAGTGTCCGTCTCTTCAATCATACCTTTCTTGTGTTTCGGTAGACTCCAATAGTTATCCCATCCCGGCACCAAGACCATATCATCTCTCAGATCTTTTCGTTGTATCTTGGTTTCTTGAAAAACGACTATGTCCGCCTCCAGAATATCGAACATGCCGTCAAAAGTTCTCTTGTCTCTCCATGGCTGATATCCGAACGGATTGCGAATGCCATTGACATTCCAGGTCGTGATTCGGATGCCCATCTCTGGCTCAAGGGAGGCGCCGTCGCCTCATTTTAGGAAGAGGTAAAGACCGTGTCACGCCAACGTCACGAGACAAAGTGAAAGACGAGAGGCTGATCGGATAGTCAAGCGAAACTGTAAGAACGAGCGTATTTACAGGACAATGCGTCGAGGGGCTACCAAACGCGAGATGATCGCGCAATCACGCTGTTGGACTCGGGGCCTGAGTCGGGGGAGCGTCGTCATCAAGATGATGGCAGGCTTATGGTGTACCGGATTACCCTGAGACCCTGTTGTCTCTCTGACGTAATGAACATCGCAGGAGTTGGCAGGCAGAATTTCGCAAAAAGAACATCCTTATTTCTACTGCGATTCAGTCCTTTTAACTGTTCGCTGAGCGATCCGACTGTTTCTTCGGCCTTTCTCTTAAGCTTAGCCTGATCCCCTACTACGCGCAAGCAAAGAGTACCTCATTTGGCCCCGCCATATTCGAGTGGTGCGACATCGATTCTTCTTCCCTCTAACCCCAGCCAATTCTTCTTGTTTTCATCTCTCGGTCACGGCCTGACTGTCGTTGCGTCCCCGACGTGATCGACTGATCCTTTCCTTATGTTGTATTCATTGCGACGGTTTCAGGATTCGACCCGGCCTGGGTGAAGGCCAAATTTAAAGACAAAATGTTGGAAAGTTTGGCTGCCAACCTTCTCAATCGGTTCTTGGGCATGTATGTCAAGAACTTCGACCCTAAACAGCTCAATGTCGGTATTTGGTCTGGAGATGTCAAATTGAGAAATCTTGAACTCAGACGAGAGGCTCTTGATCAGTTACATTTGCCCCTCAACGTCGTGGAAGGCCGCCTGGGTGAGCTCACCTTATCAATACCATGGTCCAATCTGAGGGGGAAACCTGTCAGAATCGACATCGAAGACGTGTTCCTACTCTCGGCACCGAAGGAGGAAGTCGACTATGATCCCGAAGAGGAAGAGCGGCGTGCGGTAGCGGTTAAGCTTGAGAAGCTTGAGAGCGCTGAATTACTGAAAGAGCGAAACACCGAGAGCATGAGTCCGGAGGAGCAGCAGAAAAATCAAAGTTTCACCCAAAGCCTGGTTACGGCGATTGTCGACAACCTCCAAGTCAGCATCAGGAATGTCCACATTCGGTACGAAGATTCAATAGCCACCCCTGGCCATCCCTTCGCCGTGGGACTGACCTTGAAGGAGATGAGTGCCGTCAGTACTGATTCCGAGTGGCACCCCACTTTCATCCAATCTACCTCTGGCACCACTCACAAACTTGCCGTTCTGAACTCGTTAGCGCTCTATTGGAACAGTGACGCAGATCTCTTCGGACCGGGGAAGGGCGGCGATGTCGGTGCAGAAGCGCAAGAAACCGACAAGGATGAGATGATAAGACGATTCAGAGAAGGAATCGAAGACACGGGCAATTCACAGTATCTCCTGAAACCGGTCAGTGGTCGAGCAGGAATTGAAATGGACAAAACCGGCAAAATTGACAGACCGAGGATCAAAGCACGCCTTCTCTTCCACGAACTCGGATTTATTCTCGACGAAGATCAGTATCGCGATGCTTTGATGCTTGTTGACCTCATGCACTATTTCGTCCGTCATCAAGAATACAAAAAAGATCAACCGGGGAAGAGTCCGAAAGAAGACCCAAGGGCTTGGCTCAAGTTTGCCGGGACTGCCGTATTGAACAAGATTCATGATCGAAATCGAAAATGGACCTGGGACTACTTCAAGGAACGCAGAGACACTCGGCAAAAATACATTGACCTGTTCAAGAAAAAGAAGAGGGAGAGTTTGACCGAACTGGAAATGAAAGATCTGGCTGACTTGGAGTATCGCTTGAGCTATGAAGACCTGCGATTCTGGAGATCCCTTGCCCGCAGCCAGCTCAGAAAAGAGAACGTCAGAGTCGAGAAGCCTGCTCAAAAGCAAACGTGGTCATCCTGGATTTGGGGCTCCAATCCTGCAGAAGACCAGAATGATGACGAAGCAGGCATGACGGAGGAACAGCGTCAGGAACTGTACAATGCCATCGACTGGGATGAGAAGAAGGCCATTGCGGACAGCGTGGATTTGCCTCGAGAGACCGTTAAGCTTCAGCTCGAGTCAAGCCTCAGGACAGGAAGCTTCACATTGAAACGTGACCCTCATGGCCAAGGAAATGAGGTTCTCAAACTCGTCTTTGACAACTTCCGAGCGAAGGCCCTTCAACGACCCGATTCACTCTTGGCTGATCTGGCTCTTGGTGGTTTCCGAGTCTACGACGGCACAACAGCGGGAAGCTTGTTTCCCCAGATCGTCAAAGTCAAAGGAGTGGAGGAACAACCCAAAGACGAGCTCCACGACGACACCGATGAAGATTTGGACGAGAAAAGTTCAGCTGACGAGGATGCGACAGAAAGGCAAGAGACCGAAGACAGTCTGTTCCATTTGATATTCGAAAACCGTCCTCTGGACGAGAGTGCCGACACCAAAGTCCTGTTGAAGCTGAAAAGCCTCGAATTTATTCACAACCCGAAGTTCGTCGTCGAGATTGCCAAATTCTTCAAACCGCCAGAACGACAGATGGAATCCATCGGTGCTTTGCTGGAGACTGCCGGAGCTACAGTGGAAGAGATACGTCAACAAACTCGAGCAGGCCTGGAATTCGCACTGGAAGAACATAAAACGATCAATGCGAACCTGGACATTCAAGCACCCATATTCATCATCCCGGAGAGCATCACGGAAGAGAGTACTCTTTGCATGATTCTGGACGCCGGTCATGTGAGCCTCAACAGTGAACTTGTCGACAAGGAGACCCTGCGGGATATTCATTCCAAACAAAAACAAAAATACACCGAAGAGGACTTCAAACAACTCGAAGGTTTAATGTACGACAAGTTCCACGTGAAGCTCGATTCGACTCAAGTCCTTATTGGACCCGGCATCGAGGCCACAAGGGCGCAATTAGAAGACCAAGACGATTCCAAAAACATGCACATCATTGATCGCATCAACATGGCATTTCTTCTCGAGAATTCAATCGTTCCCAAGGCTCCAGGCATAACCAAGATCCGGATATCCGGCACAATGCCTGTTCTCCACGCATCCATCTCGGACAAGAAGTACAAGAGTCTCATGAGGCTCTTGGAAGTGGCGATTCCTAAATTTGACACCCCCGAGCCACAGCCACACGGCGCCTCGCATGAGCCGGCTGGAGAGCTCAGGCCCGTGGATGACAAAAAGGGGAAGAGGGAATTAGTACAGCTCCTTGGGGCCAAGGAAATGCCCGTCATTGACCACGATTCGGATTCTGAAGACGCCCCGGTTCCAAAAAGAAGCAAGTCGGAAACTCCGGCAAATATCCATCAACGAAACTTCGAGATCAACTTCACCGTCGGGAAGCTACAGGCCTCACTCTATAATGCAGATCCAGACGGGAAGAAGCCGGATCAATTACTGGTGGAGCTGGTCGCGGAGCATTTTTTCTTCGGCTTCTATCTCCGGCCTTCCGACATGGTGGTAGAGGTGCTCCTCCGCTCTTTGACAGTTGACGATCATATTGAAGAAGAACCACTACCAGAGTTCAAGCAGATCATCTCTTCCAAAGGGTTCAAGGCAGAGGAAGGCAAAGACTTGTTCAACCTCAAATTTGTTAAAGTCAGTCCTGAATCACCAGAATTTCAATCCACGTATGAAGGAATTGCTACGAATCTTGACGTGTCTGTGTCAACCATCAATATTATAGTGACCAGACGGACGCTCCTGACGCTGCTCGATTTCGTCCTCATGACATTTGCAGGCCCAGGAGGTCAACAGCAAGAACAGCTTGACCAGAGGAAAGAAGAGAATAACCTAGAGATTCAGGTTGAAGAGGCGCAACCTGCCAAACCGCAGTCCGACAAAATTAGGATCAAAGCCCGGCTGACTAGTATTGCCATGATCCTGAACAATGATGGTGTTCGACTGGCCACATTGTCTTTGAATTCTGGCGATGTTGGAATCTTCCTCGATGCAGGGACAATGCAGGTCAAAGCAAGACTGGGTAGTCTCTCCTTGATTGATGATGTCAATCAAGGAGCGCCTGAAAATTCACCATTGCGCCGGCTCATCGCCATTGAAGGGGACGACTTGGCGGATTTTAAATACCAAACTTTCGATGCTTCTCGGAAAGACTATCCCGGCTATGACTCGAGGATATACTTGCGCTCCGGGTCCATCAAAGTCAATTTTCTGGAGGAGCCATTCCGCAAGATCATGGAGTTTGGTGTCAAGTTTGGAAAAATGCAGGCTCTTTTCAATGCTGCCAGGCAAGCGGCCGCAAATCAAGCTACACAGGTCCAGGAAAGTGCCCAGAAGATGCATTTCGATGTGTTTGTCAAAACCCCTATTCTTATCTTTCCCCGGGCCATGGTTGACGATCGGCCCCGCGACCTCCTCACCGCGTACCTCGGTGAAATCTACGCCAAAAATCGGTTTGTCGGAGTTCCAGGGCAAAAGGATGGACTCCTGGTGAACAAGATATCAGCGGGCATAAGACATATCCGCCTCATAACCGAATTCCACTTCGAGGATGGAACGTCCCAGGAACTGGAGATGATTGATGAGATGGACTTGGATTTCAAGATCAGATATCTTGAGCATCAAGCCGGACTTGAGACGCCAGATCTGGAAATCAATGGTTCGATGTCCCCTATCAATTTGAGAATATCTCAGGCTCAATTTAAGTTTCTGATGGAGCTGTCAAAGACCATACCAGCAGCGTTCGCCACCGAGGACGAATCGGAGGTCGAAATCGCGGAAGAGCTGCCAACGTCTATCGCAGGAACAACTAAAGAAGCACCGTCGGAAAAAGACGTGGCCGAAAAGCCTGCTCGGCCATCATTCCAAGGTCCTGAGCTTGGATCGAGCACCGAGACATGGACCAAGCTCAGTTTGGCGTTCAAAGCCCCAATGATTGGTCTGGAGCTCATTTTAGCCGAGGATGATGAGCCTATTGAAAATTTCGAAGCCGCCAGCATCTCAAAATTCTCTTTGAACGAGACCAATGTCAAATTGAGAATGGTCAGCGATGGTGCATTGGAAGCAGAACTTCTTATCCACTCCTTCACGATCCGTGACAGTCGTACCAAGGAGACCAACAAGTTCCGAAAGATAATGTCACTAATCAATAGCGATGTGCAACAACAGTTTATGGCCAGCGTCTCAATCTCAGGTGGGGAAGACCGACACACGATTGTGATACTCACGATCGACAGTCCTCGGATTATTGTTGCTTTGGATTATATCTTTGCGCTTCAGGCCTTTGCTAATGCAGCTCTACGGTCAAATGAGCCTCCACCGATCGCGGAGGTGGAAGATTTAACCGATCAAAGCGAGGATACTCCCATAGAACGACAGGAACCGAGTCAAGTGAGGACTGTGGATGCGGAATCAGACACAAGCTCTTCGATGAACCTGTCATTCCGGATCAACATTGTGGATGCCCAGATCATTCTCATTGCAAATCCGGCAATCTCCAACACCGAGGCCATTGTTCTCGGCACCAAAGAAGTACTTGCGTCACAACAGAACGCCACAACGCTGCAGATTACAAAAGTGGGAATGTTTCTGTGTCGAATGGACAGATTTGAAACCAGCCGCCTTCGGATACTCGACGATTTCAGTATTCAAATGTCGATGGACAACCGAAGCCAAGGGAAGGATTCATCCATAACCTCGATTCATATCGGTGTCGAACCGCTCGTGCTCCGCCTTTCTCTGCGCGATATATTGCTTGCAATGCAGATCGTCAGCAAAGCCTCATCTACCATGCTGCAAGCCGAGGTGCAACAAGATTCAGACCCGAAGAAGCTGAAGGAGGTCACCGGCTCGCCCAAAGCCTCTTCCACGAAACGCAAATCCACAACGGGAAAAACATCAACAATCGCAAATAGATCGAAGAGATCAAAGCCCATATCCCAGGACGAGCCCAAACAACCTCTCAAGAAATCGGCTGTCATGAGTCGCGAAGAGTTGATTGCACAAATTGAGGGTATCCGAGTGATTCTGATTGGAGACTTACATGAACTCCCGCTTCTGGACTGGAGCGTGAAGAAATTCGACGTTGATGTCCGAGACTGGTCTGGTGCGATGACGGCGGATACCAAGTTCGACACTTTTATCAACGTCTATAATTTCTCCAAGTCAGCCTGGGAGCCACTCATTGAACCATGGAAGTTGGGATTCCATATGTCCAAGCAACTCCATCCTGACCTTCTCTCGATGGAAGTATACTCCCACAAGACGATGGAACTCACAATAACCTCAGCAACCATTGCTCTTGCATCCAAGTCATTTGATGTCCTCTCCACGGACGAGGACATCCTCTCAAAGCCGCGGGTCGCGGACGCACCGTACCGAATCCGCAACTACACGGGATTTGACCTCAGTGTATGGGCGGACGAGAAGAGTGACACCGCAGCGGCAGCCAGGCTTAGTGATGGAGAGGAATATGCCTGGCGCTTTGAAGACGCAACGTCGATGCGGGAGAATCTCACCCCAGAAGGAAACGCGGGCTTGGTCGGAGTCAAACTCGAAGACAGCGGCTTTGATAGCGTCAGCCGGATCGCTGTCATCCGCGAGGGGGAGACGTTGTACAATCTCAAACCAAGAAAGGACAACGTCCAGCACCGCATGCTGGTGGAGGTGCAACTCGGGCCGGATCACGTCAAGTACATTACCTTCCGCTCGCCACTCCTGGTTGAGAACAAGACCCAGATCCCCATTGAGATGGCCGTCTACAGTCCAAGAGAGGGCCACCTGCTGAAGATTGAGAAGATTGCTCCGGGCGAGGGAAAGCCTGCTCCTGTCGGAGCCGCATATGTTCATTCTCTTGTCGTGCGTCCTGATCAAGGGTTTGGATATGGCTGGTCAAACGAGCGATTGTTTTGGAAAGATCTCTTGAAACGATCGACCCGAACGATCACCTGCGAGTCGGAGACCAGGGATGAGTCACCTCCGTTCTTCTTCCAAATGCATGCTTCGTATGACAGTAAAGATCCGATGACCAAGATCTATCCTTATATGAGAATACGAATTTCTGCACCGGTGGAAGTCCAGAATCTCCTGCCCTACGATTTCAAGTATCGCATCTACGACAAGAACACGAAGAAGGATTGGACCAATTTCCTCCGCAAAGGAGGCGTCAGTCCCGTGCATGTCGTGGAGCTTTCCCATCTCTTACTGCTCAGCGTCGACATCGAGGACACACCTTTCAAGCAGAGTGATTTTGCCATCATCAACACTCAAGAAGAGTTTCGACGTGAGAAACAACTCCAATTGAAGGATGGGTATAACGCCCAGCTCCGGCTTAAGCTTCACTATACGAACATCAAAGACAGCGGGGGCGCATTTCGAGTCTCCGTCTACAGCCCATACGTACTCTTGAACAAAACCGGACTTGAAATGAGCGTTCAGAGCAAGGCGTTTTTGGGCTCCTCCAAAACTTCCTCATCACACGCCGCACGGACCGGCTTTGGGAAGGGAAAAGCTTTACCCATGATGTTCTCTTATCCCACCGACGATCGCAAGAATCGATCACTCTTGAAGATTGGAGACTCGACTTGGAGCAAGCCGCAGAGCTTTGACGCCATCGGGAGCTCATATGAAGTTGTTTTGGCTTCCGCATCCGGTAAATCAGAACTGCATGTTGGAGTCTCTGTGGCAGAGGGCAAGGGAAAATACAGCTTGACAAAAGTCGTCACGTTGGCTCCTCGGTTTATGCTGAAGAACAGGATCGGCGAGGACGTGGAGCTGCGCGAACCCGGATCATCGGAGGTCCTCAGGATGAAACCCAATGACCTCCTGCCCATTTATTTCATGCGACATAGTCCAGAGAAACAGCTCTGCCTCTGCTTCCCTGGAGTGAATAACCAGTGGTCGTCTCCATTCAACCTCGCTAATGTTGGGATGACGCATGTCAAGCTGGCCAAACAAGGTCAACGACAAAGGCTGATCCGTGTGGAAATCATCCTTGAAGATGCGACTTTGTTTTTGCATTTCAGCATCGAGACCAGTCACTGGCCGTTCTCCATGCGAAACGAAAGCGATACCGAATTTCTGTTCTTCCAGGCGAATCCGAACATTGCCGAGGATGAAGAAGAAGACCGTGGGAGCGGGTGGAAGCCGATCCGATACAAACTGCCTCCTCGAAGCATTATGCCATATGCCTGGGATTACCCTGCGTCGAAGAACAAAGAACTTGTTCTCACTGCCCGAGGCAGAGAGCGATATGTCAAACTCGTGGAAATCGGCAATCTGATACCCATCAAGTTGCCACCGGATGAACGTGGGGGTCCTATGAAAGTCATCGATGTCAATATCGTGGCCGACGGGCCCACGCAAACGCTGGTGCTGTCCAACTACAAACCGTCAAGATCATTGTATCGGCAGAAAACCGGCCAAACGACGGCCTCACAAACGAGTCTCAATCAAGGATTTGAAGTCAAGTTGATCGAGTCCGAGGTCAATTTCAAGGCAGAGCTTCGCCTGGGTGGTATAGGGATATCTCTCGTCAACAGCAACTTGAAAGAACTGATGTATCTGACTTTCCGTGAGATCGAGTTCAAGTACGGAGATTCCAAATTGTACCAGACGCTGAACGCGACAGTCAAGTGGATACAGTTCGACAACCAGCTGTATGGCGGCATCTTCCCCATTCTGTTGTACCCGAGCGTGGTACCAAAGACGGGAAAAGAAATGGAAGCTCATCCTATCTTCCACACCATGGTCACCAGGGTCAAAGATGACTCGTACGGTGTTCTCTACGTCAAGTATGCCACGCTGCTTCTACAACAGATTACCGTAGAGCTCGACGAGGATTTCATCTTCGCGATGCTGGACTTCCTGAAAGTTCCTGGCGCGTCGTGGGCAGAAGAGAAGGAAGGGAAGCTCTGTGACGAAGACTTGGACGTTCCCGAACCCACCCGAGAGGAACAAGGACAAGATGTTTACTTCGAACTGCTCCATTTGCAGCCCATTCAACTGGATCTGTCGTTTGTCAGAACCGAACGCATCAACGCCGAGGAGGCCTTTGTGAACAGCCCGTTGATGTTCTTTGTAAATGTGATGACCATGTCCATGGGCAATGTCAACGATGCTCCCATCAAACTCAACGCGCTCATGTTGGAAAATGCAAGAATATCTGTTCCGGCATTGATGGCAAACATCCAAAGCCACTACACGCAAGAAGTCCTCCGCCAAGTTCATATCATTCTCGGGTCGGCAGACTTCTTGGGCAACCCGGTGGGCTTGTTCAACAGCGTCAGTTCCGGCGTGGCGGACATCTTCTACGAGCCGTACCAGGGTCTCGTGATGACAGACCGACCGCAGGAACTGGGAATTGGTATCGCCAAAGGAGCGAGCAGTTTCGTCAAGAAGTCCGTCTTCGGGTTCAGTGACAGCATGGCCAAATTTACCGGATCCATGTCCAAGGGACTGGCGGCCGCCACGATGGACAAGGAGTTCCAGGACCAGAGACGGATGTCCAAGAGCAGGAACCGACCCAAACATGCTCTCTACGGCGTCACATCCGGAGGCAGCGCCTTTGCCGCCAGTATGGCCAGCGGTATTGGAGGCCTCGCCCGCCACCCGCTCGAGGGTGCAGAGCGAGAGGGGGCCTTGGGTTTCGTGAAGGGCGTAGGGAAAGGTGTGCTGGGACTTGCGACAAAACCCGCAATTGGCGCTTTCGATCTCGCATCCAATGTGGCCGAAGGCGTCCGGAACACCACGACAGTCTTTGACGCGGAGGGCCTTGACCGTGTACGCTTGACTCGTTTCATCGGCATGGACGGGATCGTCCGTCCTTATTCCCAACGGGAAGCACTGGGACAATTTTGGCTGAAGACGTGTGACGACGGCAAATATTTCAGCGAAGACTACATTGCCCATCTGGAGCTTGAGGGCCGCGACATGATGGTCATGATTACGTATGACCGGATCCTCATGATTCGAACCAAGAAGTTGCGGATGGAATGGGATGTCAAATTGACAGATGTGCAAACAATCAGCAAAGAGAGGACTGGTATGAGCATTGGATTGAAAGGCGGAGCAAACGGACCTTTCATTCCTGTCACCGACGAAGGAAGCAGAAACTGGCTATACAGGCAGATTGCTATCGGTAAGTACAAGTGTCACGCTGAGGACATGACAAGACTGATGCGTTGTCTAGCCGTGAACGCTTTCAATGACAAATACAACGCCAAAGGATGAAGAGCCCATGGCGAGGAATAGTAACAAGGAACGGCGGCGACAAGGGGCATTAATGACCAACACGAAAATGATACTCTTATTTGATATTCGAACACCTTATGATGGCTGAAATGTATGACCATGTATGACTATTCTGGAGAGGAGCAGTCATCCTCTGGTTTGCCTCTGCTACGACGAAAGCAAAAGAATAAGGATGCATGCGGTGTCGGAGGGTGTTGGCATTTCAAATTGTATGAACAAGATATGAAAAGTGCAATTTCGACGGCGATATAGGCAATAGAAGCCAAAACTCTCTATACACGCGATAACTCGGGTTTACTCCTTACTGTCGCCCCGTCGGCCGGGTCGACCTTGGGAGGCTCTCTCGAAGACGACGCAAGGATGACGATGGGGCTCATGAAGTCGACTCGGTCGACGGTGATAGAAGAGATCCCCTAGCACTACCACCTCCACTGAATCACCAATGGCAAAATGTTATTGCCCGTTCAGTCTGCATGTCAGTGGGCGGTTCGGGGAGGACACTGACAGTTCAGCGCTCTTCTCATGTGGAGGTGTTTCGCTCGATAGGTGAACAATCACTGAGAACGAGAAGGTAAATACCACTTTAGGACCTCGCTGTTGTTTTGCTGAACTATGAGGGCGAGAGACAGACTGGACAGCCACAGAAGCAAAGGGGATTGCATCGAAATGGGCAAGGTATTGTGCTCTCCAGTACAGGAGGGCGCTGATTGAGGGTGACGGGAGGTGGGGAGTGTCTCGTCAAGGATGAGATACGTATCCACATCATCAACTGAGAATACTCTCCTTACGCCTGCAATGAGTTATAGGTCCATCTGAACATGGTCCTCGATTGCAGGAGATCTTGGGATATGGTCTCATCACCTTGCAGCCGCTTTCTAGCATTTTGATTCCACATTTCCAATTCAATGCGACATCGTATCCTTCTGATGACAAAACGCCTCCGCCTCTCTAAACTCGGTTGAGACCATGGAGTTCAACCTGGTCAATCGTCCTCTTCCCCATTTTCTCATCTGCAACTCATATGTTCCAACATAGACCTGTCAGAAGCATTTGATTTGCGATCTGCTCCTCCCGACTGGAGAATTTGCGCTTCCCAGGTGCTCTCCGGGCCCCCAAGACACTCCGTCCGGCAAACGATGCTGTGAGGTAAGTGGTCCCGGGACACCTGTCATCGCGAGAATTTTGACAGCTTCAGCCTTGGAAAAAGTCCTCATATTAGCCTTAGCCTGAATCAAACTTTCTGCCTTTCCACAAACTGAGCGTCATTCCAAATCGGGAAACGTCGTCGTTTGCCAATAGAAAGATGCACACCCTGGTCACAGTCAACCTGGGGACGATTGGATTCCAAAAATCCTCCAATCCGGCAGCTTGTTTCCGGCAAAGTATAGCCATGTCGAGGGACATGACCGAACGACCTGCAGGAGTCTTGTTCAGGTGCTGCACCCTCAATCGCACAGAGGCTTGCGGCTTGCATTCAAGTGATTCAGATATTCATTTTGCCGATAGAGTACCGTCTCCAGAGGCTCAGGGAGAGCGCCTCTGGAAATTACAACTTCCCAACCTTCCAGAGGCGTCGAGAAACCTGTTCCTGTAGATGGCGGTGCTGTCATTGATTTCAGCCAATATCTCGAGCCTTGTGTAAACGATGCCGACCTCCCAGACACCCTATCACCTACATGGAATGTCAGCTCGAACTGCCAACTCTCTGGTGCCTTTTTGACAGCGGCATCTATGCAACAGATGTATCGATCGACCTCAGGTGGTTTCGTTGAGACGTGAGAGGCTTTTAGAAAAGTGGTCGGTGAAATGGCTACAGGACAATACTTTATGTCCCATCGTCCTGAAGCGATCAGGATTCTTCCATCTATCATATCTCGCGCTTCCTCCAGGGGCCTTCGCACAGCTCAAGCCAGCTTCGCATCCTCTGGTGAATCAAACAGCTGTACTTGTCGTCGACCGAACAAACCTAAATCTGGTCCGATATTCCTTTCAATATCTTTCCTCACTCGTAACAGTCGCCGGGGAAGATGCATCGACCTAGTGATTAGCACTCTGGCCACCGGGTTCAGGTTCGTCAGCGCCGCTGGCAGGTAAGTTTGCGCACAAATCCAAACGCCGACAAACAGACGCTCACGGCGGTTTCAGTGTGACTTTGGATGATTTCTTCATCTTTGTCTTCAGCCACTTGGCCGTCGAGTATGGGTATGCCTTGCTCTACGAATGTACCCGTTCTGCTCCTCGGTTTCACTGAGCACGGAGGTTTGATGAGGCTCGCGAAGCCCTATGCTGTATTATATGAGCCGCCTTTATCGTTGGATGCGTTAAGACAGAGTGGCACAGCACCATCTTATGTAAGAACATCGCCGCCGTCCACAGTTACGGGACTGATACTACAGCTGGCTATGAGTGTACGGCAACCCTTGTGGCCGTGGGAATTTTCACAATAGATTGGATGACAGATTTGCATGAAGATGACCATGGACGGTGGAAAATGGAGGAGAGTCAGGTAGCGACATGGAGGGGCCGGGAAGGGAAGAGGATTGAAGGACGGGGGAGGCCCGGCGTGGGCTGGAGGTAAACCTGGGGACTTCGAGGACTGGGGACTGCGGAACCAGAGGGCCCCTAAAATCCAAAAGCCGCCCACTCCCGCACCTACAAGTACACACCTGCACCCACGCCCATACTTCCGACCTGACCATTTCGGTATTTTCTTTGAGATCTTCATCCATGATGGGCATGTATTTCCAGATTACGGTACATATAACAACACCCTCTATCGTGAGAGCGCCTCAGGATAGCCAAACTTGGGAATGAAATCCGGCACCCTCGCACTGGCATCTCGATCCAAGGACCATCTGCTGTGTGGGAAAAGGAGGGGAGTTTTGGTCGATTACAACCCTCCGTGCGGTGAGCGGACGGATGAGGATGCTGCAAATTGCTGCGGCCCGGATGGTATAAGTCCATAATTCCATCAATCGGGACGGGCAGTTGGCTGACGGCCGAGGTCTGAGGCAGGCCGCAGACACAAAGACCATCAGACAGACCACCCATGGACTGCCAGCTGTTGAAGCCGTGCAGCTGCAGCGGGGGTTGCAATTAAGCTGCAAGTATATCCAACATCTTTTTCGTCCTGGCACCTCGAGGTTTCTGAAACTAGCATGCCAATGAGGAGCCAGATAGCTGCATATTTGGATTGCAAGCGAGGGAGAGCTGATGTTCTGACAGAGCGAGTGTCCCACGATCACACCCCCTCCCTTGGGTCAACCATGTTCAAACCGACCATCCACAACCTGTTGATATGGAAGACTGGGCGTCCGTTCCCACTTAGGACAAACTCGTCTTGTTTTTTTCTTTTGATCCCACACCCATCTCGTATTCCGGACGCATGCCTAACAAACCGCAATCTACCTAGCTTATGGACGAACGTGGCATGATCAATGTCGGGCCAACCTCTCCTTTTTTTCCCATGCACATCGTTAAGTTTCCGCTGAGACCGGGACAACATGGACAAGAAGTGGTGGCCCGCTGGAATTGCCAGGGGGAGAGAAGGGAGAAGAAAAGGAGAGTTTGGTGGTTTGAACTGGCCTCCTTTATGACGAGGGAATTCTCCAGGACCAGCAAACTACACTCTACAACAGTGAGCCTTCGATCTCCCACATCCTTTCTTCATCCATCCTCCGTTGGCAAGAGTGATTGTATCCCGTCTCCAGGCAAACCTTCGAGCAAGTCCTCAAATGAATATCCAAACAAATACATGAGCCGACCCCTCGAGCAACACCCAAGCAAGTGGTCTAGAAAGCCCTTAGGCCTCAACAGCAAGTCATGGGACCATGACTCGAGCTACCTTCCAAGTTCCAGGTTTTGAAGGCTGGCAGAGGGCTGCAGAGGACTGGGATTACGTTGTCAACTTTGGCCTTTTCTTGGATAATCAGTTCCTCCAACACCAAACAAGAAAGCTAGAGCTCGTTTCCGGCGAGACTCTTGAAAATCCCAGGCACGGGCACAGGAGTTGCACACCACGACGCCCCCGCCCATTGAACAGGCCGCGGTCAACTCCTCATTTGGACTTTGCGACATTGGCAATCACATCTCCTGCCGAGGATGGCGCAATTCAGTTGGCCATTGCCCCGTCTGACGACGATCAAGCATCTTGGTCTCAGCTTCCAGGCCCACTGCTACCACAACCTACGGAAACCGTCCAGTCAGATCACATTGGGAATGCATTCGTGACCTTCTCAAGACGCGGGAGACCAGCTCCCTTTGTTCAACTCCCTTCTGAAATCGTCCACCAGATATGGGGAGAATGGGTCCGCGTTACTTATCGTTTCGACACCGCTTTCTACTACTTCGCGACGTGGAGGCTCATCGCAGCAATCCAAGCATCCCAATACGAGGCAGAATACAGAGGCCTTGGCAGGATGTTGTACAGATTGGCCGAGCGACAGAGGAAATCTGGCAATCAGGAAGCCCGCACCATCCTGCACGTCCTCCAAGGCTCTTTCCGAATCCTTGTCGTGGACATCTGCGGCATACAATACTTGGGCGCAATCTTCTGGTGGCAAAGTGATGTTACGAAGTGGAGCCTACCCATTTCAGTCCAGTTCTACGCCTTCGACAATGGTCACACCTATAGACTCACCATGACCTCACGATTTTTCAGGACACTCCCTCCGGCCTTTGCTCTCAATGGTTCCATGGCTTTCCAGGAGGTCGAGGAAATTCCGGCATGTCACTACTGATTCATAGCGTTCGAAGGAGCGTTAATGACGATCATGCGAAGCCGAAATTGATACTGACATTGACGTTGATGCCGAGTGGTCCTTGGACGAGGTCGAGGTTGCTGTGACTGGTCCACATTTGGGGCATTTTCCCTGTTCAGGAGTTCCGGAATCTTCCAAGATCCTAGTGGTGATGTCGAAGATTATTCTCGAGCTCTAGACTGGATGACCTTGTTTCTTTCCTCTCCTCTCTATACGTATTTGGGTCTGGATTTAGGCTAAGTTATGGGTTCTCGTGCCATGTCTTTTTAATGTTTGATGCTCTGCTTTCCTCGGAGACTATCCCCTCCGAGTTTCTCTTCCACCATTTCCTCATTCTCTATGTTGACCGAACCTCTGCCGCCATGCCGTCTCTTCATGCGGCAATTCTTATCTCAATTCTTTGTTGCAAGAATCCTTTATCCCTCCCAGGAATGATGTGATATTGGCGAAATCCATCACCGCTCACACTTTCGAACTGTCTCCCCCCTCTCTGAAGTAGGGATGTGAATGCAGGTCTGAAATCCAAAAATATTTGATTCATATGCAACCACTTCGCAGAGAACTAGGTCCTAGAGATCGAGGAAGGGGGGCTACGAATCACAATTTAGATATTATTATCCATCTGGCCCGCTCTCAACCGTGATGGCGCTACGCACGGGGAAGTATGCATTGCTATCGGCAGTGGGGCTACGGAGGCCTAGTGCATGTTGATCATTAGCGTAGCCTCGTCTGCGGGATCCCTCGTATAAAGTACTCCACACGTTACTCCCACATCTACCTTAGTTCGGTTAACGGGTGGCGGCTAATAAGGAACTGTACAGGCCATCATCACACTGGGCCGCTTGGACGACCCTGCTGACAAGAGCGGGAACACGAAGACCAGGATCATGTCATTCCAAAGCCGCCAGCATGTGGAGATCCAAACTATAATGGCAGCGGATCTGGTGCATTTGGAAGCCTGGGGTTTTAGTCCTGAGTCAAATCCAATGCTCAACTGTGTCTGACATGAATGGAATTCAGTCAAAACCACCCCTCCTGGGCCACCTTGCAAGAGCATGAAGGCGTGTCGAGGGAAGGCATCTCCGTGAATAGAAGACTGTCATTCGTCGAACGGTTTCCGTCTCGCATTGCATAGGTAGTACGCGAAGCGATACGCGCCGCGCTCCATTTTTTTTGGTGGTGGCGCTCCACTATGGCCAAGAGGAGTTGCTGGAGAGCCAAGTCCTTGAACTTCAACCCCTAGACTTCTGGCTCGGGAGCTAGGTGGAGCGACTTTCTTGCCGGCGAATTCGCCTACCATCGCATGGACCAGGATCGCCAGAATCAATGTTATCAATGACGGCAGTCGATCACTTGTCATCCAGCATATAAGCGAGGTCATACATGGTACGGGCTTGACCGCAGTCCCGCCAACCCTGAACTTGGCCTGGTGGGATGTGCTCTGACCATGAGATGTGAAGCCAACAGTGACGGAAAATGTGATTGGGTACACTCCTGTTGCTTGCTCGAACTTTCCCCCACTCTTCCCTGCCATTATTCTGCTTCCCCGGGTGGACATGCAGCAGCCTAGAGTTATCCTCAACTTGGCACACGACCTGGCAGCCTCAGTTGAACTGAAGGCATGGTAGCGTGTGCACACCAAGTTCTCCTGCTCGAAAATGTGGACATGTTATTCTTTCAACATGAATTTGATGTGTCTTAAATGGCCTTGATCTGTCTGGAACAACTGGAGAACAGGAACTTGGTCTTTTTCTTTGACTCCGTGCTACTTTTCGGATAATTGTCTCAACGGAGAGTCGGCTTGCACAACCAGGATGGCAGCATTAAGAAGTGGGGGTAGGACATGTAGCTATCAGGTGCCTGAAAATGTGTTTCTGGCGTCCGGTTTCACGCTATAGTGTAGCTTTGCCTGCCCCAGAGAACCCTCACAATCCTCGCCGTTTGGATGGAGCCGGTTCGAGCCAGAGGTTTCGTTTGGCAAGCTCTGCTGCGTCATGAATCACAGTTCTGATGCAGACACAAAATATTTCCTTGCTCAGCGAAGGCATATCGACCAGGAAAATCAAGGAACATTTCGTCCTATCAAGGCAGTACAATTTGTCCGAAGGACTGCGGATCTAAAAAAGGCCATACGGATCTCGAGGAACTTGGCGTGACGCCTGTGACACCCATCGGCGATCGCCTAGGCACCTATAGCTGGGCCTCGTAAGGCTGCATGTTCCAGCTAACAGAAAGCACAACTGAAGGCTAACTTGAAGCTAGCTGGGTGCCTTGTGAGCTTAACTGGACTGCCACTTTCTATTGCAAGAACCTAGGGGATCGGTTAACTAAAGTACTCCATTATTCCGGGTAAAAGAATGGGCTATACAGGCCTATACAACCCCCCAGCCTTGACAGACACAGCCCGGAGTGATCATTAGTAGGTAAACAGCGGTACCCCGAACGGCGCCGAAGGACTCCAGAAAACAACCGAAGTGCAAGAATGGCTTTCCAGATTGTCTGCCACGGGGAAGGTTGGACATGGAGTCTGAGAGAACACATAGCTGAAAACGATCCCTTCCGGGTCGTTGGGATTGAAATTTACTCAAGCAGGGTTGCACAGCCGTCCCGGGTTGGAGAGAACATGATGCACACCCCGTATCACACACATAGGCGCAAAGGCCGATGATGCCCCAACAGAACCCAATTTGAGCCTTCACTCTTCACAGCGACTATCACGGTTGCAATGCTTCTTCGGAAGAGGGAGGGAAGGGGAGAAGAAGGGCCAACAACGTGGATCAGTTGCACTAAATTTGTTCGACGGAAGCGACATAGAACGCTCTATTCGCGATCAGCCCCGAGAATGTCCCCTGTCACCCAAGTAGTCCTGCGCCATTACTGTAAAACCGGGGCATTTTCTGCTGGATATACTCCGACTCCCATGGCCACTTTCCGGTAAACAAACATTCTTCGCACGCAAATATTTTGCCAAAAAAGGTGGATATCCGGTCAAGGACGTTCGGAAACATTTTCCCCATGAGCAACGCCATATGTGAATGGCCTTCGAATTCTATGTCTTCGACGGGCTGGCTGGTCTTGCGCAAAAGTTTTGTCAATCTTTTGCCCCCACTATTGAAGATGTCACACCCCATGCGGATTATCAGAATCGGAGGTAAGAATGCCGATTTCAACACACTTTTTGGAACATGGAGAGGGTTTTGTGTCCAGTCCTTGCGATTGACTCCATCTGGTAGATAGAGTTTGCGAAAACTTGCGACCGACTTAGGGCCACACCAGGGCGCATGTCTGCCACCAAACCAGGCCAGAAAGCTGTGACCAGTCCATGTGTTATCGAGTAATGCTGGAGCAATGAGGAGGATGCCACCAGGGAGAGGTTGCTTCATCTCCATTCTTCGGACGGCAAGGACGAATGCCAAATTGGCTCCCCTGCGGTCTTTTCAGAGCTGGCCTCGGGGGTAAGATCGAAAAGTCACTCACGTTGATACTCCCCCAAAGACAGAATAAGCCGTTCAAATGCAGATCACGCTGGTGATCCCACACATATTGGTATGCCGAGCATATGTCAGCCACCACCGCTGGAAACGGATGCTCTGGAGCACGGCGATAACCAACGTGGACTACGGCACAACGGAGATCTTCTTTTCCATCAGCAATCGGCAAAGACGACCGGAAGGGGGAAAGATCTCAAACCGGTGCAAATTTTTTTGGAAGATGATGCCATCACTGTCGATGTCTCCGAGGACAAATCCGCCTAGGTCCTGATCAGCAAGGAAGATCTAATGAAGATCTTTGGAGCTGTTCACATCCTGAGCACCAGAAAATTGCTGGGAGAGCTTTACATGGGTGAGTAAAGCTCGGACGGTAGATTCTGATCTCGAATTGCTCCCCAGGAATAGGTATATCTGTCCGGTCCGACTCAGAACCATCGATATCGTCCTCCGACAATGGAGACTGTACGACACGAAATTCAGGATTCCATGGATATAGGGCCCGAGGCTTACGGAATTGCAGGACAGTATCGTGTAGAACGACATAATTTTGGTCGAGCCTCTTCATCATTGAACGATGCAAAGGCTGCTGAGGCTGCTCCCCAGCCTGGGAGCTCGCAGCATTTCGTGCGAATAGATTGTTGCGGCAAAACAACGCCATCGATCAACGGCCAGGGACTTGATTCGGAGTTCGTCCCTGAAACTGGTCTTTGAAGATCTCAGGAGAGAAATAGAAGTGGAGGCGAGTTGAGGAATGAACGAGTGCGGCCGGGCGGGAATGATCGAATATATCGAAGAACTCGACAGAAGTTTCCGGCGACCCCCTACGTCCCAGCCTCCCAGTCCTCTTAACCTTAATCACCGTATTGGTGATCGGTGATATTCGAATGGGCTTCATGTAACCTGTTCGGCGGTGGCTGTCGACTTGGACAACGCATGAATTTTACTCATCGGTCAGTCTATGAGTTTATTCATTCTCTGGGCCAGCTGTAAGCCATCTGAATGTTCCCATCACTATTACGGCGAGGCTTGCCTTGGCGGGGGCCCTTGTGGCTACTCCAAGATATACTGGTATTGGATTCCATCACGGCTGAGCCATGCTCGGGGGTACCAGTTCCCTGAGACCGTTCGAAACTTGTCATGGTGTAAGAGCTGGGCACGCAGGCGCAGCGGGTCAGGTGCTAGGATGTCACATTATTTTCCCAAGTATTTCCTTCTACCGCTACCTTGATGCTCTCACGACAGGACTTCCAACACCATTTCCGGGCCTCTCAAACCATACGCCCACAAACAATCTGTTTTCCTTCCCAGTCATCACAGTTTGCGGACCCGCATCCCTCGTATGTGACAAGAGATTGTCCATGAAAAAGACAGGAGACTGGTAATTTCGGATACGAGGACGGAATGGAGTACGTGTGGACTACTTTAGCCTGCCTGGCTGATCTTCCTTCTCGGCAAAAATTGGTCTCGGTTGACTTCTCTCCTCACAGGGAGCTGATCATTTATCCAGATCTATGTCAAACACCAATGGCTCCTCTTCAGTTTTCTGATCGGGTACCAAGCCTGAGGAGTCAAATGCCCCGTCCCTATGTCTCCGGGTCGGATTGGTGAGTAAGGATGGTGCCTTACTCCCTTTTGGAAACGTTGACGTCTCTGCACCGAGAATGCTTTGATTCTCCGTGACAAGCCTGCACACATAAGAGTCAACAGGAGATCTCCACTAAGGCCACTTTCTTAGCGCCAACCAGTCAGGGCCCCATCCGTTTCCGTGGTTCGGGTTGTAAAGCTACGGTATCTTAGATACATTTTCGCCCGCTCATCAAAAGTAGTGAACTAGCTAGACACCGGAGCCACCAAGTCTTCCACATTGTCTGGACTCTGGATGGATGTGACTCAAGACTCCCGAGGTCACTTCATGGCGCCCTTGTGCAAAAGGTATCAATCAATCCCAGGACCGTGAGCGACCAGACCGGTCAGGTGATTTTGATCAAAACCAGACAAAATGTCCCAAATGCTCCTTTTGTTGGAAACTGCCATCAGCGCATGCGGACCTTTTTGGAGGGGGGCGTCATGTGCGCCCTGCTGCCTGACCCAGGGCCACAATTGGAAGGCTACACATCTATTTTTCTATCCCTGGACATTGTTTGTAATGTTGCTGCCCCTTTTGATCTCGCTGTCTTTCCTTCTCGACGCCAAGCCTTGTAGGCCGATCACGTGGCCGGGAAATTTTTATCTTGTGATTTTACGGAGGCCTTGTCCTATTTCGAAGCGTATACGAAGCGTACAACAACTCCGACCGCACAGTGTCAGACTCGAAGGCGAAGATCGAACGAGTATTATAAATTTGTCGCTCTTATTATACTTCTACTATGCAAATCATCTAACATGGAAACCGGATGCCAGTACAATACGGTTTGCAATCTGCCCACGCTTCCGTGCCGACCTTCGCACACACATGTTTGCAGACTGTGACGAGTCTTTGAGATGTTACGGAGACTATCGAGCGAATTGAAGCTGTAAAACTCGTTCATTTGTGCGTATTGAGAGGGCATATAGACAGGTGTAAATAGTCCGCATTGAGGCTCTTTGAATTCGCCACTTGTAGCCCGTGACTTTTGTCGTCCGGAGCCCAGGGGCTGGAGAGGAAGGTCATGCTAAGGAGCAGTGAGCAGAGCTGCGAGGCAGTGCTGGGCAGGGGCGAATCCAGCATCAGAACTGGAAACTGAGGATGGATGAATGGGAAAACTGGAGAAGGGATGGGGGATGGACAAGAGCAGTAACTGGAAAAGGTCGAATCCTGGCCGCTTTGCTTGTGGCTTGCCAGCGCTCGCTCAACACACCTCAGATGTCCGCCTCCCCAGGCTAACCCATTGCGGCCTGTTGTAGTTATCATGACTCGGTAGGCTGGTAGGGAGACCCACCTCGTATTCTTGCCGCTCTTGCATTAGTCCTGCTCTTCGACCGTTGAGCGCTTGCGATCTCACAACAAATTAAATGGCTCGCCATTCACTAAACCCGGGCCTCCTACGAGACCTCTAGTAGTTCCAGCCGGATTGATAACTATGCAGTGAACAATATTGATCGACAATTGCTTGGCGACATTTCTCCACTTCTACCAATACGTCATCCTCCATTGGGAAATCTCAACGTCCGCGAAAACGAGATCGGTGACGAGGCCTTGGAAGCCTGGTGCACTGGATAGCCACATATCAAGCCAAGAGCATCGGACCGTCAAGCTATTTGGAACAACTTCTCGCCAAGTCACGTTTCCATCCCGGTGGACTTGGGCATCACCTTCAACAGTCAGTTCATTCTCTCGATTGGCCTTTGAAATTCGACAATGACCGAATCTACCTTGTCATCCCTTGCAATATGTCCCAATGTTTTCTTGAGCAATGTGGCCGGACGATACATCAACTTCCTGATACCTTGGGAGTACGAGAAGGTCGGCATGTCTGCTGTTTTCCAGGGGCTTGATCCACCCCTTCCCGAAATCATGGTCTTAAATTGACTCATCCAACAAAGACGGGCCTTGATCCGCATTGAATCAACCGGCGTGTATAGCCCTTGACTTCAGGAACTTGCTTCACTGGCATGGGAATCAATGGTTTGGTGGGGTCACTCAATTGGTCGATCTCAACCAATGGTATCTTTTTCAGGAACGACGTAGTAAATAGATCTGGACAACTTTTGCATTTGCCTGGGGAGGTGCAAGAAGAAGGGCAGAAATTGCCCGGAGGACGCAAGGAAGCGAGGGAAAGAGGAATGTATAGATTCGCGACGTTCCGTTCAGATTGCTGGGATGTGCTTTGGAATCAATAACCAAAGTCCTTTTGCATATAGTGGCCCAAATATAACACTAAATACGAGTTTGCACTGACCAAAAGCAATGGTCTGGCATCTTTCTCGTTTCTCGCCAGCTCTCTTGGGAAAGGCTGTGTGGCTCTGCTATCCCATTCGTGAATATCAACACCCGCCAAATGCCTCCTCCCCGTTCGAAAAACATTCTTCATCCCTCGTCCTTGTTCATGCCCTAAAGCAGGAATCACCGAGTTGACCTGTCAGCTCGGATATGATCCGTCCGGCCCTATCCAGCCTTCTCGGCCTTTTTTTTTGGGCTCATGCTTAACATTGCATACAGTATCAAATATCTAGTCGCATTGAAAACCGCCGTCTCAAACATCAATGCGTCCTCATATCCAATCACGCCTCTTGGATTCAAGCAAACCTTGCTGTGACAACAGACTATTCACCTGTCAATCGAGTCCAGTCCTCAGTTTCCCGGTCCTTTTTGGTATTCAGCATTTAAATAGAGTGATTTCGTGTGTATGTTGAGGAAAGGACCAACTTCATACTCTCAATCCATCTCACCGATCCCTAGACCTTTCCTGGAGGGTTACTTTTTTTTCTCTCGCGTACATGATGCACCTCTGTTGCCCCATCGCCATTGTGGAGTGCACCTTCTTACGCATTCATCTCATCACAGCGTGATACATCACATTTTATGGCATCCGATCGTGTTTGAGATGAACCGTATAGAAACGCCACAAGCAAGAAACCGAGATCTTTCGCATAAGCAAGGATCGATTAACCTGGCGGTGAACCTAGAGATGAACTATGAGCCAAGCCTCCCTCCTTTCTTGCTGCGATACCCTTGGCTAGATTGGCCAGACAGGTCAACACAGAGAGAAACCGACGACTCTTTCGAAGCTCAGAAAAACATCCAAGATCCAAAGGAAACTTGAATTGGAAAATGGTGCGCCGAACCCTTGAATCCGAAGTTCCTTCTGAGATTCGTTGAGAATCTGACACATGACATGACATCGCGTCCATTCTGCTGCGTCTTTACTTCCTGCTGTCATTGAGAAGCAGGGATATCAGGGTCGTTTTTCTCTTCGCCCCCACACCACCAGCTTCTCTCCCTGCAGGTTTGTCCTCGTATTTTTCATGCAAGAAGCTTTCTCCTCCAATTCCACTTCGCTGAGAGCAGTTCCCCGCCAGCAAGTTCAACACTATCCACCTTCGGGCACGCATTGAACTATTCAGCTCGATGCAGAACTATCAACGCCACAGTGAATGAGGCCTTTCTTTCTAGAGTGACGTGAAGCAGTACAAATGACAGATACTGCTTCAGCCGTTGGATCAATAGCCTTGAGAGAAAGAAATCCATTTCTCATGGCGGATGGATTCGACGAATCAAAAGGGACAAATTAAGCGCAACCAAGAGATTCAGACTCCATCATACCACCCGGAGAAACTCTTGATGGCTTCCGGAGCAGCCAGCAGTGAGTGATGCGTAGAACTAACAGGTAATCTTCCTCCCTTAGCTAACGATCCTTCTCTCGATTCAAAACTGAACAGAAAAATGAGGTTGATGTCGATCAGATCTGGGGATGTTCTTGGGTTTTGCTTCTGGAATTCACCAACGCTAATTACTGGAACGTTTATGCGAACAAGGCTCTCCATTTGCATAACAGAAAGTCAAAATGAATGTACTAGGAGGCCCACTCCGCCTAGGTTTTCCTTTGGGGTATGTAGGCTTGCATCAGGCGAAAACACTATCTTGACCATCCCACCACCACTAGATACACCTGATTCCGAGATCCCTCGCTTTATGGCTGTCAGGCTTGCATATTGTCTTGGAAAGGTGGTAAATGACAAGCGACATGCCCTCCTCAATAACAAAGTAGGAGAAGAGCAAGCGCAAGGTATAAGAACAGCTTCATGTCTCGACGTCGAACCATCGTTTCTTCATCTTTTCCCTTCATCAACAACTTCATCTTCTTCTTTTATCCTCCACCTCCAATCGTACCAACACTCACGTCAAGGTGGTCAAATACCAAACTCAGGCGACCCCTGGGCCCAGAGCCTTCCTAAGCATTCCCCTTGTAGTATATCATCTACCCTGCACCCGGCTTGATAGCTACATTCCTCCCACTGCCTGATTTCCTTCTTCCTCTCCATAACGACCAACATGGTCACCGTATCGCGCCCTGTGGCTCAAGGAACCTTTGAAGAATATTACCAGCTGTTCAACACCACAAATGATACAACCCAAATGCGGATTCTCAAAAACTACCTTCACCCAGCTGTGGCTCCGGATTTGTCGTTCCACGGCTTCCAGGAAAAATTCCAACATGCTACTAAACAAGAGCAGCGCGAAATTCATAGGCGGGTCTATTCCAAACTCATCCCATCTCCTTATCGACCTAGGTCTGCTTACACGAAGGAGAATCTAATCCTTCTCGTCCACCCAACCCGTGCAGGTGAAGAAATGAAATGTTACCTCCTACCCGGAGCCCTCTTCCAAGGCGGCGTCGGATACAGAATCAACTGCTACGAATTCCTTGAGGCAGTCTACCAGGGTGTCCGAGTCGACGGCATGATCCGTGTCATCAGAAGACTGATCGACTACTACGATTTTCTCATCCCACAAACAGATGATCAACGCCTAGACAAAGGCGCCCTGCAAGATTTAGCCTGGGCCACTCTCGGTGTTCTCGGTCCCATATTCGGCCCCATGCTCAGACGACAGTCCAAGATCCTCGATAAATCCTGCTTCATCCGTCAGTATTACATGGACCTGTACATGACGAACCTCCTGGGTGAAAAGGTGACCGTCCAACATCGCGCTGATAAGACCATTCCTGTTCTCTTGCGCATTGGTGTTGACAATTACGACAATATCCTGACTCATGAGACGACTGGCATCTTGTGGGATTGGTACCCTGACTGGGACAACCTGATTGGGACAATGTATGTGAAAGATGAGAATGGTGCACCGCATGCCTTTGAAATCGATGATTTGACTATGGATTGGAACCCAGAGGTTCTCACACCTGTTGACGGACCAAAATGGGTGGTTGTTCCAAGATGGTCCAAGATTCGCTCCAGGAGTAACAGCAACAGCAACAACAACATTACTGCCACCAAGAATGTCAATACTGATGTCGCTGCCGGGGTCACTGCCGATATCAAAGCTGATAAAGTCATGAATCTTGGCACGGAAAATGACGCCGACACGGAAACAGTCAACAATAACGGTGTCCCTCTTGTCGCAATTGACCAATCCCGTCGCCAGAACAACAGCAACAACAATAATCATCAGCACAATCAGGAACTTCCATCTCTGGACCAAACAGAGGCAGCCAGAACATTCCTCCCCGTGCCGTCCCCATATTTCAATCATGACGGACAGGACACGGCCATGCCGCGACCTACCCCTGAACCATACGTACATGTGAAGTTTCCAATGCTCGCTGGTGACGCTGACCCCCACTACCCTGATGACGATGACTATGACGATGAGATGGTGGAAGTCGAGTATGATCAAGAGCAAGATCCTACACCTTCTGAAAAAGACTCAGAACAAGAAGGATTCGACCAAAGCCAATCCCAAGAGCAACAGGCCCATCCACCGCCTTGGCCACACTATTCGGACCAGCAACAACAACAACAGCAGCAGCAGCAGCCACAAACTGAGGTTTATCGGCTAACACAGCCGCTGCTACAAAGGAATCAATACACTATCGAACTTCCAGAAGGAGTACGAATCGTGGTCTACTTCTCCAAATCGGGGTCTAGGTCTAGGAGTAGATCTCGGTCCGGTTAATCATCGTCTCATCATCGTCGTCATCATTAGATGGCCAGACGCTACAGAATGGCATGGCGTCGTAATGGTGGGGTAAGATGATCTACTGGACATTTCATTTCTATATTCACATATTTCTTGAATAGTGATGATGGAGTTAGCAGCGCTACTTTCTCTGAGAAACTCAAACACAAAAAAAAAAATTCCTGCGAGGCAAAAGGGGACAGAAAGATCAAAATTGAATTCAACAACCCTCCCCCCCCCCAAAAGGACGAAAGAGTCAGAATGCCAGAATGAAAACACAGAATCAATGAGATTACGGGACAATGAAGAATGAATGCATGAAGGCATGAAGTCCCAAGACAAAACAAACCAAAGCAACAACACAAGGCCGGCACAAAAGGACGGCACTGGCAGAGGGGAGGGGAGGCAGGAAGAGGGTACCAAATCACGGTACGACATTCTCTCGGGGTGAGAGAGCATAGAGAGAGGAGATTATGGCTATCATAATGGTTTGTGAGTGAGGTTGAGAGAGATGACATGCCACAAAGCAGGAGTACCTTAGAAAGAGCCGGGGAATGGCCTGGGACTTCATGGCTAGAAAGGTCTTTCTCTCTCTCCTGCTTTCTGTCAGTACTCTTTGCGGCATCTCTCTTCTCCGTACCAAAGGGAGAACGATAAGGAGAGAGAGGGAGATCGCGATGGAGGACGAAGATGGGGTAGAGAGAAGGGATGGAGGAGGCGACAGAGTGAGGGTATGTTTGCTCAGTATCAATTGTTCGGATCAGGTTAGATGTTGGATGTTGTTGGACTTGGGGTTGGGATGCGTGGGCCGGGTGACGATGCTCCTCTTTTTGGGTTTCCTTTTGCATAGCCTCTTTTGCGTTTCTCTTTCTCTTCTCGATGGTGACCATGTTGGGGTTGGCAAGGGTATTGGGCGTTGAGTGTTGAGTATTGAATGTTGTTGCTTTATGTCTTTTCCTTACCTTCGTCCAATCATTGCTCCTTACTCATGTTGTAAAGACGGATTCTCGATACCTCAGTATGTGAAAAACAATACCGCGATCAAGATGTCTATTGCAACTGCCATGGGAAGGACGTCGTAGAGTATGTAGTCGACATGCTGGCCGTATCACATGGCCAGAATATCTGTTATAGGGGTTGAGGAGGAGAGTGACCAACTTCGCCAATGACATTGACTCGAGCAGGGCCCCGCCCCATGAAACGAGGCGTGTCATCATAATGAGCTTTGAAAACGTTATGAAGCTGTCTCTACCTGTGTTTCTCTTGATCGACTGAAGAATTTGGGTATATCTCCTCAAGAGGACACTTCCGGAATATATTGCATTGGCATGATTGAAGTTTTCCTTTGTACGAGAAGGGTAGGCAGAAGGTTCAAACTGGATTCGAAGGCCGCGGTTGACTCCTGGTATTGATGCTGCAATTCAATCCTTACTTTGAAGTTGTCCGCGTGATAACCTTTGCCCTCTGAGAATGCTCTCGGAATCCTGGCGGAAAAACGGGACACTTTCGAGTTATTTCTTTCCCTGCTAACTCTGGCGTTAGGCACAATTTACTATAATCGAACCAACCGGTTGATTGCGAGGTGTGGCACCTGATTCTCGATTGGGAAGAGAGCATCCTTCATGATACCATCAAATTGTTCTTTAGTAGCGTGATGTGGTTGATCCCACTAGCAGTTTTTGCCTCAACAAATGGCTCGATTTCCGATACCCGCATGCTTTGGAGGTTCGTCGTGCGGGCCAATTCGGACCCGAAGGTTTCCACCAGTCTTTGACTTCAAGAAATCCCCTCGTTTTCAAAGTTGAAGAATCAATATACTAGATTCTTTTGCAACGGCATCTGAAGCTGAGAACCTCAACTGGCTTCGTCACACAGATATTCTTTCCTCATGGCAATCAAATCAGAAACTTCAAGAACTATCCTTGTCACCGGGTACGTGGGATCCGGCCTGGGCGCGGAAAGGCGACATCTTAGCTAACTTTACTTAGTGGTGCCGGATACATAGGCTCTTTCACCGTTCTCGACCTTTTAAACTCGGGCTTCGAGGTCGTCGTTGTCGACAACCTAAGGAATGCCTCAAAGAATGTCTTCGACCGAATCCGCCGCCTGGCTGGAAAATCATCAAAATTCTACGAGGTCGATGTTACAGATCAGTCAGCGCTGGATGCAGTGTTTGTTGAGAATCCTGGAATCGAGGCTGTGATCCATTTCGCGGCCCTCAAGGCCGTGGCGGAGAGTCGGATCATTCCTCTGGAGTATTACCACAATAACGTTGGAGGGACCATTAGCCTGCTGAGATGCATGGAGAGACATGGCGTCCATCAACTCATCTACAGCTCCAGTGCGACGGTGTATGGTGACGCTACCCGGTTCGAAGGCATGATTCCCATTCCCGAGGAATGCCCCCTCGACGCTGTTCAACCCTACGGTCGAACAAAAATCACCAGCGAACGAAGTTGGTATTCTGGCACAAAGGAAGCTGTATTGGATTTAATTTGACTGGCAGTCATCGCCGATTCCTGCGAAGCAAATCCACATCTCCGGGCTGGATTGCTGCGTTACTTCAATCCCGTGGGCGCACATCCATCCGGTCTCATAGGTGAGGACCCAAAGGGTATTCCAAACAATTTGCTTCCACTGATCGCCCAAGTGGCGATTGGTAAACGAGAAAAACTCACAGTCTTCGGTAACGGTATCTTCTTCTCCCAAGGCATGGCCAATGTAACTTCAATTCCGCTAAAATTATCTTTGGGCAGATTTTGACACCCCCGATGGCACTCCTATTCGTGATTATCTTCACGTTGGTGATCTTGCCGCTGGCCATTTGTCTGCGCTTGAGAAAATCCGACAATTCCCTCCCGCGGACAGATGTCGAGTGTGGAATCTCGGCACCGGACAAGGTGCGACCGTCTTGCAGGTCATTCACGCGTTCGAGGCCGCTACTGGTCTCAAGATACCATACGAGATAGGTGGGCGAAGGCAGGGTGATGTCTTGAATTTGACGGCCAAAGTGGACAGAGCAGAGAAGGAGTTGAATTGGAAGGCAAAGAAGACTCTGGAGGAGGCATGTAAGGATTTATGGAAATGGTGAGTGCATCGGCTATTTTTGAAGGCGAGCGATGATTGACTCCGAGACAGGACGTCTGAAAATCCTGACGGATACTCATCGAATGCTTCTGCTTAAATTCAAGCGGTCGATGCACAGTTCAAGGACCTCCTGAATGTATGTCTTCGAGCACAAATTTGAAGGCTTCAATGCTCCAGCAGCCGCTGGAAATGGCGACAACGGCCTTTTCCCCTCGATACAGTTCAAGAGGGAGTTGCCTCAGTATAGCAGCAGTATATTCTGGCATGAGATCTCGTTGAGGTTCTTCCATCATTTCGAACCTGTACCAGGACAGTATATGTTAGAAGTCCTTCAGCTCATTCGTGGAGTTGAGATCCACTGGAGAGAACGATATCTTTGCTCACCTGACCAGAAACTTCCTGACCGTTGCGCTCCGCAGCAACGGTGGATAGGAGTGAAAGTGAAGGTGGCATGATTCAATTTCTGCCTCGGAACCCCATAGCGGTGCCTGGTGGATTCCTGAGCCGGATTCATGTTCAAGTGTGTGAGAATGCTGACACAGTCTGAGAGAGAATCGCTTCCATAGCACAAAGCGTGACTCACAGCAAGGAAAACGAGCAATGAATAGGTTGTCGTGGCGTAGGCAAACATGTTGCAGCATCGAAGATAGATCTGATACTTCTGATGTCACCGGGTCGAGCAGAGATTTTCAACAGTTCTTGCTCAAAAGTAGCAATTCGTACGGCCACACGGCCCGCCAAGGATATATGACCAGCCAGTGCTCGTTTTCGGCGACGATGCAGGCACTTTCTTGGACCTCAAGTTGGGTATAGTCACAAAGGAGACAAGAGCCGTGTGGCTTGCGGTAAGAAGTCATGGGCTTGGTCTCGGCGGCGGGCTCTTCCGGCAGATATGAAGTCGCCCACGCCTGGCAATGAGGATGGGGTTGGAGCATCCCATCATGGTACCGGTAGGCTTCATGAGATGACGAGACGTCCCGATACAGTTTGATCCAGGTTGGAATCACAAGGGACTTTGTCAACAAAGCCTCATCCTGTCTAGACGTATCAACTGTGATCTGGACGAAAGCAAATTCAAAGCACCTTTCTTTCACGGCATCAGCACAGAGCAATCGAGATGCCAAAGTTTCTGAATTATCAATAATGACGCTTGTTCCGTCATGAGTTTGAGAACTCAGCACTCTGTTTATATGGTGCTGAGGCCTGATGGTCAGACTTCAACGCTGCAAAATCATTCTCAAAAAAGAATGAATTTGCCCGTGTGTTCCCGGGCATAGATAACAGTTTGAGCGTTCTCTCAGACCCAGACTGCGAAATCATGGGGGGAATGGAACGTGTGCCAGATTCATGTGATGGTATAGAGCCGGAAAATAGTGCCTCTTGCTGCCCTCTATGCCACGCTTTTTCTTAGGGTGGGTATGTAAGGAAGGGCTTGGATATTGACTGACTGCCATGGACGTCTGGTTCTATGTGGAGAGACAAGAACCCATGTCTGCCGCAGCAGACTGTACCATCCGTGAGGAACTTCATCCAGAACGGTCAATGTCTTCGCTGGTGGTGATGTAGACATGGCGGACTGCTACTGCGTGTGTATGTGTATGATCGTCAAATACAATCTTTAGTGGACTGGAGCGGGATCATGGAGCTCAGTGATATCTAAGACACCTCAACTGTATGGTAAAAGCGTATTGTCCACATAAGACTGCACTTCTTCCGGGTCAACATTTCGTGTTAGTGTCCACAGGGGTTGAACAGGGGGCTATAATGTATAGGTTCCACCATTGAAACACTGGTGGGGGGTTTCCATAGACGACGTTACTGGCGGTTACTCTGCGCGACGACGAGGTATTCGCATGTCTATAAAGAAACCCTCAGCAGCTCAACAAGTAGATAGAGAACAACAGCCTTTTGGTGATGGCAAAGTCTATGGACGGCATCGAAGATGTGGAACGGCTCGTCAGAAATTGCAGCAGATATCGTTCATGAACTCCTCGAATCGTGTGTCGGGCTCTCTGATATCATTTCAGGTACAATGGCCTTGACCTACATGACTAGGCCACAAAGAAGATCAAGTGGCTTTTTCAGTAGAAGCACGTCCTCAGCCAAGGGGGGATTGGTGCACTGGAACAAGGATGTTCCATTCCGGACGGAGACAGTATCACGTGATCGATCCCGCAAAGTGGCCGGACCTGATTGGATGATGGGGAAATGCCAACACATCAACTTGTCCAACAATGCTAGTGAGATATCCAAACCCAAACCACTAAGATTGATCTCTTTCGAAGATCTGCATGGATGATGGAAACGAGTCGACCCATGCCAAGGGCTCCCAACGCATTTCATACATGCCTCTTTTCCCGGTCAGGTCAATATTCAACTCGACCCTTGTTCCACGGACAACATCCAGCCGCTGGTATAGCATGCAACATGTGGAGTCTTATCTTCTGAATTCTGCAGAAAATATGCACTTTCAATTTGGACTTGATGATTTCCATCCTAGCTTAGCTTGCTAAATTCATCCGCAATCTGCACAGTGCAAAAAAGGTGTCAATTTCAATGGAGACACGTAGCAGACAAGGGGCAGATCAGTATGTACATTCTGATCTCACCCACACCGTGCCTTTCTCTTTCATCAAATGACAATCGTCGGAGGGTATGGTTTGAATCAGTTCGGCCACTGACGGAGGGGACAGATACCAGATGGGTCCCGCTGACTTGGTCAACACACCCTCAATGGTATCGGTGACATAAAACGGTAAGCAATTTCACCACCCGGCTGATCTCTGGAGTTCGATCAGGTCATCGTGACACAGGTATCTCATTCCTGTTCACCTCTTTCCATTCACCCTCCAATCCCATATTCTGTGTCTTATTCCACACAATTCGTTTCTTGGTGTCCGGGATGGCTCTCTCTGAATACCTTCCCCTGCAGACCTACTCCCCATACTTCCTTATCCTCTCATGTCTGATTCTGTGGATAAGCTATGGCATCGGTCTTGTTATTTGTCGCCTATATTTCAGCCCCATTGCACATTTTCCCGGTCCAAAGATCGCCGCGGTGACATTTTGGTAAGAACATGATGGGCCGGGCAGAAAGAACATGATGGGCCGGGCAGAAAGAACATGATGGGCCGGGCAGAAAGAACTTCTCTTCGATGATGGATACAATCGACACATATTCGGTTGACCGCATGGAGAAGCGCCCTGGCGTGGATGGGCGCATCAAAAATTCTCTTAATCCCTGGAGAGGGTGTGTCTCGTCTTCTGACATCCTGAATCTAGGTATGAATTCTACTACGATGTCATTCTCGGTGGCCAATATACCTTCCGGATCATCGATCTGCACAAACAATATGGGCCCGTAGTCCGCATCAACCCGTGCGAGCTTCATTTCTACACGCCTCAATTCTACGAAGAGATCTACGCGGGGCCTACCCGCCGTCGAGACCGATGGGAATGGTACACCAAAGCCTTCGGCATGCCCGGTGCCGGAGCGAGCACGAATCCCCATGACTTGCATAAAGCTCGTCGAGCGGCTCTAAGCCCATATTTCAGCATGCAGAGTGTGCGCAAGTTGCAGGGCGTCATTGAGGAGAAAGCCGATTTATTGATGAAGAGGTTCAAGGGATTTGGAGAGCCCGCCCAGGAGAAGAAACCGATGAATCTCGAGGTGGCGTTTGCTGCTTATGCTTATGGTGCTTCTCACCTAGCACGCTTTCCCTTGTACGTACACTGATATTTACCATGTCCAGACGTGGTGGTAGAATACTCGTTTGCACGAAGTGAACACCATCTCGAGGCCGAAGATTTCGAACCATGGATGCAGAAAGCGGCCGTGGGCACCAGTTCGCTAGGCCAGATCGCAAAGCACATGTACTGGTTCTTCTGGATCATGCTGAATATCCCAGACTGGCTGGCCCGGAAGTTGGATCCGAACGGTAAGGCTGAGTATACGCTCACCTTTCGGGGAAGCGTGGAGGGGAACCCAATGCTGATCCGGGTTATTCTCACAGCCAGCCGATACCTGCAATTCAAGCGAGTAAGTGAAGAGGCCCAACTCCCCGCTCACCAACCACACAGGACGCCCTAAAGGCCTGCTCTTGATTCCATCGTGACTGACGCTCCTCGACGACAGGACATCAACACCCAGATCGAAAACATCCGCACCGGCCTCAATACGTCGCACAAAACCGCCTCTCATCCCACCATCTTCCACGAGATCCTCAACAGCTCGCTGCCCGAGGCTGAAAAACGCACATCCCGCCTCGCTGACGAAGGCGCCACCGTCGTCAGTGCTGGAACCGTAACCACTGCCTGGGCCCTCCCTGTGGCTGTCTTCTACTTACTCTCCAATGCCACAATCCTCCGAAATCTGAAAACCGAACTGTACGCCGCGATCTCAGACCCCACGAAATCCACACCGCTCGTCGAACTTGAACGCCTGCCCTACTTGACGGGCGTGATCCAAGAAGGTTTGCGTCTCAGCTATGGAATCTGCACGCGCCTTGAGCGCATTGCACCGGACGAGACGCTGTTCTTCCATGACAGCCACACGGATAAACAATGGGCTATCCCGCCGGGCACCCCGTGCAGCATGACTAGTATCCTCGTCCACCGAAACTCGGACATCTTCCCCGAGCCAATGACATTCCGTCCCGAGCGTTGGATCGAAAACCCGCGGCTTGACAAGTACCTCATCGCATTTTCCAAGGGGAAAATGCAGTGTTTGGGCATCAACCTGGCATATGCCGAATTATACCTCATGCTGGCCAAGTTGTTCCGCGTTTATGGAAGCAGAGAAGTCAGATTTGACGGGGACATTGGACGGTTGGATCTTTTTGATACTACGCTCGAAAGAGATATCGAGGTCGCGGAGGATAGGTTCATTCCGTTGCCAAGAAGGGATACAAAGGGCGTGAGGGTCATGGTGGAATTGTTCTAAGGACAGGAAGATGGTTTTTGCTTATGCTAAGAGTCTCAGGCGCGAGTTGCGGAGAAAGCATCAGGGTCGTTGGCGTGAAACGTTCCATCTTCATCTCCAGGGTCTCCCAGCCTCCCTACCACATCTAGCTTGATCCCCCGGCTCTACCGTCGGGCATAGCTTCCTGTCCTAATGATCAGCGACAAAATATGAAATCATTTTGCCCTCAACGCAAATCTTTTCGATCTATCTAGATCTAGAGTCCACGGGATGGAATGGAATGGGACCCCAGACCCGTGCTGTGTCTTTGCACAAAAATTGTACAGAGAGGTCGGAGAATGGCTCCAGAACTGGCATCATGTCATCTTTCCGCTCTTGCTCGAGCAACGCCCGTCTTTCTCTTGGTCTCCAGTGCCTTTTCCCTTTCCAACCAAGCCAATACTATCTAGATTGCAATGCTAGTGTCCTCTACTGATACCATTCAGAATGGAATTTTTTCATTACTCCCCTTCTTGCCGCTGATCCTCGAGCCATTCCGAATGTATTACCCTTTACTTTTGCTATTCCGGCTGCCGTGGCTCCTGTCATTGCCGACCTCAAAGCTTAGGCTCCAGTTACGTCGAGTTTGATGCAAACTACTGAAACTCGGATCGATGGGAAGTGGTCGAATTGATGGACGGAAAGGCTCGTGTAATGCATTGTGCCAGCGCTCTAAATGTCGACGACCAATCGATCAGGTGCCGCACTCGTGAAAACAAATCGGCGACAAACCAAAAGAGGGCCTGGTATTGATAGACATGGCCCAAACAAGTGATGACGAAGGGAATTGTATTCAGATATGGCAAATGACATCAGAGACCCAAGACAGTTTTTGAGCATCAGAACCGAAACCGACACATACTGTAGCATCTATCCAATGCATCCAATGGTATATGGTGCAGCCAACTTTTACCCGGGCCGAAAGCAAACGCAGCCATGGTAACATTTGGTCCGAAGCTTTCACCAACCGACGCGCACAGCGCTATCAGGATGGAACGGCTCAGCCCACGAAATAGAGGTGCACGGGATTCATCGTCCAAAGAGTCACGGACCGGAAGTCTGGTCGAGGCATCGTCATCCTGCTGCTCGAACTCATGTACATCTGCCTGTCCAGGAGACGGAATCACATGTTTTACGGGGAGTGAAAGAGCGAGACCGGATCCGGCTGGCGGTACGGACGCGCAGGCTGAGGCACTTTCGATGTCCCAAAAAGCTCGGGAGATAGACAACAACTGTTGGCGCCATCCCGGGAGAGTTGGCAGATGCTGCGCATAGATAAGTCCTTCATTGTAAGTCGTGAGGACAGTGTGAGCGCGCCAATGATTGAAGTTCAACCGAGGATGAACCGAGACAAGACCCTTGTTCTAGCCTATTATCACACGATGAGCATCTCATCGACCTCCCAACCTTGATAATTCTCACTCTCTTGCCAGGAAAACACCCCTTTCCACTCCCACGATGATCTATTGTTAAAGCTAGCGCAAATCGCGGCGATCAGTCCGAAATTCTCTCCTCTTTGGCTGCTGCCAACGTACGGGGAGACACCGTCTTCAGCGAGTGCCCTGACAAGCCTTAGCTCTGCTCCTTGATTTAACAGTGCTTCGAGTGTATGCCAGGCCAAAGCCTCGTCCGGATGAGCATACACCAGTTCGGCGTTTTCCAGATCCATTTCATCTTCCTGGTAAGCCTCGAGAGGAGCGGTCATGTGGCAACACAGCTCCCGGGCATCTTCTAAAAATGCCGGTTCAATGTTGACCACCCGCCACCGCCCGAGTAACCCATTGGGAGTGATAGCTGCAGAGAGGCTGCCATCACCGTCATAACACGGAAACCGCACGGTGTATTCTTGCGTCCTGCCCTCCGGCAGGTCCACAGTTCGGTGATTCGGACGAATGTACGGTGACGCAGGTGCCCATGCCCATCCTTGCATTTCTGCCACTCTTGGAGCGCTGGAGAGTAAGTAGCCAGTTCTGACGCGAGACTGATTCTTCCATAGATCAACGGCCTTTCGGTGGACGGGCGCATTGATCAGGAGACTCCAGCAGATGATGACGTCTTCCGGCCAGGAAGTGTGACGCTGGCTGAGGAGATAACCTGCTTCTTCGACAGTCTTGGTGGAGGTGAGGTCTGAATGTGGGATCAGATGTTGCGCGCTGCCCAGTAAGACTGCGATGTCAATTGCCCCCTGTTCGTGGAGAGTGACGAGAGCCTCACGAAGAGATAGGACTCGGTCTTGTTCGCAGAGCAAGTAGATCGCCCGGCTACCACGAATGCCTTCCAATAACGTCCAGCCACGGACGGTCCAGTCACTTACTAACAGTGTCGACACCAGTGTCTCGATTTCGGCGACAGTGGGATCAGGCCATGCCACGTCAATGGCTTGAACGTCAGCATCAATGACCAGGGTCACCTTTGCCGTGGCGAAAATATGGTTGATGTTGTCAATGGCCTGCCGTCGAAGAGTCAGCTCGCTTGGAATGCATGCCGCGTCAATCCAATAGGTGTCGCACTCGAACAGATGGGCCAAACGACAATATCGTTGATGGAGACAAGCATTGATACCGGATTCCGGGCGACCACCTTGCCCGTGGCTCCACACATGGGAGATTGCTAAAGTCTTTGAATTGACGACAGCATACACCAGGCACGTCGCGTCCTCGGCGGCAACAATAGCTGCGGGCTTGGGGCTTTGGTGGTATGATGAGGCATCCCAGCTGATCTTTTCGCATTGCCTGTCGCAGATGGACGAATGCGCGGACTGTGCGGCAGTCTCGGCGGCCGTGAAGCGCTGACAGGTCTCTGGCTGGCCACCTTCGCAGGTGTGGTTCGACCCTTGGATACACCTTCCAGGCCGGCCATGGAAGTGAGCATCAAATCTTGCAATCATGCGGCGGAAATCAAGTCCAACCGATGTTCGGCTTGTTCTCAAAAGCTCAAATGCCCAGTTGCACAGGTATTCAGTGCAGTTGCCCCGATAGTCATCTCGTGAAAGCCACTCTAATTCATGAACGCCACGAACAGCCAGGAGAGAATTCCAGGTTGACGAATACCCATGAGTAAGTTGGACTCCGATTACGTAGTAGAAGTGAAGCATCACGGACCGTTGCCATGCCGACCACAAAAAGACCTTGATGATGGCCATGGCCTGTTCATGATCGTCTCGGTTTTGAGGGAATAAGGCATCTTTCAAAGCACGACCTTGGGATGAAGAGTCTTCAAATGGTGCTTTTATCCCGAAAGACACAGCATCAGACATGCTGTGGTACCCATCGAACAATTCGGAAAGCAAGTTGACGTATTTCAGTGATCGCTGAGCGAGGTTGTGGTTTGGCTGGGTGCCGTGGTTCGCAAAAGCCGCTGCCAGTTTTAAGGAATTAGTATCAACATATGTAGTCACGTACAGATTGTCCCAGGCGAGGTCCTGCAGCTTTCTCAACAGATCAAGAATCGAGTCCGCCCCCCCGGGACTTTGCGTATGGAAGTGAGATTGCGCCTCTGGCATAATGTATCTTGTAGCCCATCTGCCGTCTCTGATGCCGTCCCACAGAGTTGTCCCCTGTTCCCGCATCAAGCCGTTATTGAGAGGCAGCGAGAAGCTCCGTTGAGGGACTTTTGGCAGACGTGAGAGTAAATGTTCCACCTTGGAGTGTACGCCGTGAATGTCTGTGGGGTCCGACCCAGCGAGAGGAGAAGCCGGACGTGGTAAAAGTCGCGAGAGCTGCTGATCGAGCTCGTCAAAATGTCGCGCAGGATGATGCACACCCCTGAGAAGCGGCTCGCAGAATAGTCTCAATCGATATAATCGCTCATCCGTGTCTTCGATTTCTGCCAACGGGCAGTGGAGCCAATTGTCTGCATTCACACCAAGAAGGCTCTCAAGAACCTCCCCGAGAGGATAGCGAAGCCTGGGTCCGTGCATGCTAGACATCGGTCTGGAAACGTGAATGGATCAATGTAGCTAGATGGGGGACAAGGGCAGAAGATTGAGAGGCTGAAAATGAGGCTGAACAAGCGCCTCGTAAATGTACAGTCGTTGCCGGGAAATCCGCCCCGTTTCATTTTGCCATGGCCACCTTCATCTCTTGTCAACCTCCAACCCCGTTGACGTTTCCGCCTCGGTCGACCGTCCCGATTCAGCGTTAGCAGAAGGTAAAACTCGCATATCGGTCAAGCTGTAGAAACAGGAGAGTAGATTGAGCAATTCTAGGTTTATTGTAACTGTTGACTTCCTGGAGGCTGAAAAGGTGTTCTCAGAGTTAGAATCAGACATTCGATCGATATGAGCCCCTCAGAGCTCTAAACGGTCGGTTTTTCAGAGTCCATATAACTATTTGCACTATGTTATGGACATTTACTTCAGGAAGTCGATCTCGCCGCCAATCGATACAGTGTTATGACATCTTTCCGAGGCCTGTACCAGGCGCGGCCTATCGCTTTCTTGTACCTATAGTACGTCGATTCAAGAACTGACGTTGCGCAGCCACCGGACCATCCACAATGGAATCTTCCAGCCGACTCCTTGTCAGAAACAAGGCTCAGGCATCTGACGAGGTGCAGAGTCTGACTTGGACAACTTCGAGTGCCACAGTGTGAAGAATGACAACTGGTTTCAAGTTCCCACTGGACCGCGATTCTGGACGGGTTATACCACCGCCACCCAAGATGGACAATTAGCTAATGAAGACTTGGCAAATTGTAGCACAACGCTAGATGCATGGGAAATCTACCGCCGAATTAGGAGGGTGGTACGGGAGCTCGAGGGAGTCCAATGTATCTAGGATTGACGAAGCATAGAATCGTGATCCCGACCCAGATCAATCTATGTCACAGCAGAATGATGCTTCGCACACCGTACAGTCCTCGAAAACACCTCTCGAGTCCAAGGCTACCGCCTTGGAGTTTCCGGCGTGGTATCCGCTAGGTTTTCGATAGCAACCCAGTCACTGACTCTTTTCGACATTCAAGGTATGATCAGGAATAAGCCAACCATCATCGTCATCCCAGTCCAAGATTGGCCATCCCGCAACACCTAACATTCCCACGAGACGTTGGAGAAGCCATTGCATGTCCAAGAGCTCCACGCTCGGTAACGGTAGTTCCTCGGGGTCCTTGGTGTGGAGAGTGAGAATGTCTCCAAAACAAAGGCGCGGAGTTGAGCCATCATCCTCGCTGCGACACAAAAATTGGCCGGCAAATCCATCCAGGCCTTTTGATGATGTGGGTTCCGTAAGCAAATCAACCCGGCTTTTGATGTTGTAGTTGCCGAGAACTTGCCAGAAGAATTGAACTGTAAGCTGTTTCTGATCGCTTGAAAGTCCCAGCGGCTTCAGTGCGAACATTCCCTTGGTCCACTTCATACGAACGTCGCCATTGAGGCAGATGAGATTGAAGCACCGGTCCACGCCCCTATTAGGATTTTGAGAATCCGGAAAGATTGTCTTTTTCCATCTGTTGACCCGATCCTCGTCCCAGAAGATACCTAACAAATTCCAAAAGCTGGGGGCCACTCTCATGGCTTGGGGTTGGTCCTCTTTGGGAAGCGAATTGAGCATGCAGTAGGGGAATATATGGGCCGCCTCAGGAAACCACTGTTTCGTGAGAACACATTTGTGATCATCGCGCTCTTTGCACTGTGTATTGTCAGATACGAGTGTGCCAGACAATATACGCTTATCTTATGCGCCTGTTGATCCGACCGCTGCACCCATGATTGTCTGTCAGAATTCAGTTTGCGCTTCTTTCCATTTCCTGGACCTTGCGAGACGGCTTGTGATCTCGAATCCTGGAATCGCTGACTCCCTGTTAACAGTAAGCATAAACACCTCAATTTGACATACATCCTGGCAATTCACATTGCAACGGCAGGAGTGCTACCGACTCATCATAGCCGAGAATAACACGTGGAAAATCTTCACACACTTTGGAGACTTTTTGTAAGCAGTTCATATCGGCAAGCTGACAGCAAGCCCAGAAAGCAGGGGAGACGTTGGCGCCGGAGATCGCCTCCTTGATTTTGGTCAGGAGTTGGGTGCGCTCCGGTGAGCGTATGTTGTAATCCTCATTGCTGAAGTCAACCGAGTCAGTTCTAGGCGCTGGTGCCGTAGCCATTCTCTTTCGTGTTTTCTTGTGGCGTTGAAGGTGTTTGGGGGATCCTTTTCTGGACTTCTTCTTTGATATGGGGGCCATGTTGAAATTTTGTATCCTCGTAACGTTTCCGAGTGGAGTTCTGTTGAGGGTGCGCTCGGGAAAGATGTGACGGGTCGCCCGCGCGTGATGAGATTGGCCAGTCACATCGCAGTTGGGAAAACGACGCTGGGGCCTAGAGCAACCTGTGGGGTCGAAGTTGCCGGGCAGCAGTGGTGAGAATGGTCGATGTCGATGTCGGATGGGATGATGGCTTCATAGCGAGGTCAAAGACGGCAAGTATGCAGACCTAAAGTCTTGTCAAAAAAGAGTTCACAGGGTAGACGTCTTGGCAAGCCGTCACCTTTTCCAACCACATAATGCACTGCCTTTCATATAATTGCTACGCATGGAGCACTACGTAAGAGTGTGAAGACCTAAAAGGGGGCTAGAAATTCCATCAGCAAAGAGGTCCAAATTTGGCCGAAAAAGCCACCATGGCCTTAAACCTCTTGAAACAATACAGGTACTATCAGGGTCAAACGGTCAGACTTCAGGATGGAGGAAAAACTCGTGTGAAGATTGAGTCTATGGAGGAGGAAGAGTGCTTTATGTACACAGAGGCTGCCTAGGTAACAGCAGGGGTCTAGCTGTATACAGAACAGCTTATTCGAGGCTGACACAAACCGACTCTCCCTCGTTGCCAATTTTTCTACTTCAAAGGGTAGATTAAAGGGGCACTTTTGCAATACGTGCTAATGCTGCTAAGGTCCAGGAGACACTATGGAGATATTGCATAGTTCTTAGTGGAAAGGCGTGGAGCCCGTGTCGGCCGACATAGATGGGAGCCAAAATGATGAAGGGAGCCCCAAAACGATGAAGGAGCCCAAGTGATGAAGGGAGCCTAAAATGGTGCATGAAGCAGGATTCCCTCTTCAGAAGCATTTTTCTACATCACAGATTGACTTGGCTTGCATGCACGATAGCATAGGAACCGATAGAACTTGGATATTAGTGGGAGTTCCGAAAGATGCAGGTGTTCGTCAACCAAGTAAAGCAAAAAGTGACCCCCTTGCTTTACTTGGCTGATGGTGAAGCCTTGCTTTGCTTGGTTGGTTGACAGGAATGCTTTGCTTTGCTTGGTTCGTTGATGTTGCTTGATTCTTTCCTGGCAGGAGACGTTCATGATAGAAAACCGCGAAGCAATTCTGGGAAGGAACGGCTTATTTTCTGGAAGCAATAAGTGGGAAACACCTGTATTTGTAGTCGAACGCTGCATAGCTGCTAGAGCGGCTGGGACAGTCTATGAATAGAAGAATACCGCGACCCATCGGATCCGATCCATGGACCACGTCGACATCGAGGCTCGTCCGTTAACGCTCGGTTACGAACCATCTCGAGTGTGACTAGTAGAGCTTGTCTGAGGTGGTCCACAGACTGGATCCGATGGGTGACGAGAGGGGGATTTCATCGGATCCAATCCGTGGCTCATATCGAGTTGGGAGGGCGCCCCCCGGAGAGGTTACGTGATAACGCCAAGCCATATGCTTACGTGATTGGCCGGCTCGTCGCTCTTGGCGTCGCCGCACAACGCCAAGCCCTAACCAGGCGATTCCAAAATTAAAAAAATAATCCGAAGATTACCGAATCCTGTGCTCTGATTGGCTGACACCATCGGATCCAATCCATGGCCCACCCAGGAATGGGTAGAATGCCGCCTTTTTCTACCAGACCGCCCTGATCGGATCCAGTGTATGGATCACGTGTGGACGATGTTGATCACGGCGCCCTGTGCCGTACGATATCCCCGGACAATATTAAAGCCAGTTACGAGTGTAAAGGCCCTCAGGCGTCTCTCAGCTTCAGGAGGAGACCAAAAAACCTCGCCAGTGATAGGAATCTGACGCTAGGAGATAAGGAAAAGCATTAACAAGACTCTCAAGAGGCCCTGAGAACGCTTGCCAGACGTCGCCGACAAATGAAGTGGCCATTGGGGCATAGTAACAAGAGGGGGTCAAAGAAAGCTTTGCAACACCAGGAAAGTCTATACAATTATGGAGGGTTTGACAGAAAGCACTTAAATCGCGCGACTTGATATGGGTGCTTTAATTTTTGATGTTTTGGTACGTCGATTTGTGTGCGTTTTACCAAGGATTTTAGGTACCCTTTACATCATTGGTTGCATCTTTCCGTTCGCTACGCCGAATCGGATTTAGCAGGTCGCTATGGAACGAAGGTCGTTACGAGACATTCCCCTCAAACATGAAGGTGTGAGAACCACCATTGCCCTTCAAAACGCATTAGTTTAGTCGGTCTGATCCAGCGAGGAGCGTCTTCATTGGAAGGATGTTGATGGGGCTGGAGGTATGTGACGACCACAAGATTTGCACTGGGATGTCCTGATTTTGTCTGAGGAACTATGTTCGTACGGCTGGGTGGGATTTACATGTACAGCGCAAGGTGCAGGCTTGGCATCGTCACAACAAACATTTCATGATCCAACCCACCGAATTCTCCAATCGTCTTCTCGACGTCCGATCCCTGCGGGCGTGATTTGTATGCGTCACTGAGCTGATATGTGCAGCGTTGCCGCCGACGGCAGATTCTCCCCTAACGCCGTAGTCGCTGCATGGGTGCACGACGTGTACGTTGCTTTCGATCCAGACAGATATATCTTCCAACAAAAATCAACCTCAGACCAATCTCCATCCTGGACGACAGGCACAACCGGTCCGACAAGGGCCAAGAGAAAAACACCTCCGAAGAGAAGGACGCCTCCACTTAGAGAGACCAACTCCAATGTGAAGTTAAACCCTCCTACGGTTTCCGCGCCAGAGAAAAATCGACGTACTATATCTCAAAAAAAGAAGCGAGGTAGAGACCTTGAAGAGGAGGAAGGCAATGCTGCAGCACAGAGAGACCTAACGTCGCAACCTCGACCTACAACGCGATCGAGTGTTGTCCAACCCAGAAAGAAGCAGCGTAGACATTCCGAAGAAGGGGATGACAATGACGCAGCGCAGGGAGACTTAACGCCGCGACCTCGAGCTCGTAACCCGAGGCTCGCCCAACCCGAGGACTCAACCTATGTGCCGGCTCTCCAAAACAAAGCAACCTCTAGCTTGAGGTCTATGGAACAATCCGAGTCATCAGCTGCCACTTCACAAGGCACCTCTAAAAGTCCAATTGAACGAATAGGCGACCTTCGCTTTGCTAGGATGCCTATTCAGTATTATGACCTTTCAGAGAACCTGGAGAAGCTGCCATCTGACGCAAGAGACCTTTATGAGAAACTACGGGCGGTGGGGGGTGGGAGTGGCGTCATGCCTGCACACATCAGGGTAATTAGACCATAATTGAACGACTTAGACAATGTTAACCCCCTACAGGATGAGATTTTCGACCACGGCGGAAAGACGGACCTTCTACTCCCTCACATGTTTGATGAGACTTCGGTCGCGAGCGGTAGGCCAACGACCCAGTTACTTTCGGAACTATACAATGTCGATGAGATCTGTAAAGCAACAAAGCGGTGTTCACTTAATCGTCAAGCAGAACCTGCCTGGAATTGTGCAGTACACTACCCCATAATCAACCTGGCCCTGAGGATCTGTGAGGGCGTCGAAGTTCTAAATGTGTAAGGAGAATGTCCCGTAACTCCCAACGAAAGTACTGACCCTGTAAGCACAACGGCCAAAATCTGCCCTGCGTTTGACTACCGTGACATCGGGGGGAATACCCTGCCATCAAAGATGGTCGATTTTACCATCAATTTGGTACCGGATCATGATATGGATCATCGCATCACTGAGTCACTTGAAGTTCAACCCCCACATCTCCGAACCATCAATCAGTCCATGTATCACCCCCTTCGATTTACACCAACCATTGTCAGCATTGAAACTAAACCACCGGGCGGATCGGAACAGGACGCGGACATACAACTTGGCGTGTGGGTATCGGCGTCCTTCAAACGCATTCGCGAGCTTTGTGAGAACGGTCCTGTCCCGATCGCCTTGCCACTCTTGTACGTGCATGGCGACCAGTGGTTCTCCATGTTTGCTTGCGATACACAGAACGGTACAGTATGTATCTTCCGCATCGGTATTCCGACTCCAGATTCTCACAGCTCTCAACAGGAAATCCTGGCCAGATTTCTCGTGGGAAATACCAGCACCGTGCTTGGCTGCTACAAGGTGATGACAGCTATTCGCATTCTTAGCGAATGGGGCACGACAAGCTTTAAACAATGGTTCGGGTCAGCAGTCCTTCGACCTGGCACCGGAGTCGGTCGCTCCGCCGGTAGAGGGGTCGACAGAGGTTGAGTCTCCACAGGAATGACGCCATGTGCGAGATATTATGTAATTCCTGATCGGAATCATTCATCGCGTAACTGTCTCGGTCTCGGACGTCTTGCGCTGCTGGTCACGGTTAGTGTGATGTATGATATGTCACCATAATTGGCACAATGAAATCGGGGGACCCACTGTTGGGCCGAGAGAAGATTGATTGAATGAATCTATCTGACCGAGGTGCAAGCTACAAAAGGGGCACTGCCAACACCCACAGGAGATAGCTTTTATTCTGTGGACCTCTTGGGCCAATTCCATCCTAGAATCTTCTGTGTAGACGATCTACGTCTCGTTGAGTTCATGCGCGGTTTGATCGTAAGTTCCGTTAGCTGCGATTTTGTCAGCTCGCTGACATTTCGATATGTGGGATCCTGCAATTACGCCAATGTCATGACACGTCCCGACATTGCATATCCGTGTTCAAGACTTGCTGAATTCCTCGAGAATCCTTCACCAAAGCACATTGAGCAAGCACGACGAATGATTAAATACTTGGTCAAGACGAAGACGCTGGCAATCAAGTACTCTCCGACGACACTTGAGCGCGTCTTCCTTTGTGCATCCGATGCCGCGTTTGCAGATGACAAGGTCACACGAAGAAGCTCCAATGGATTCGTCTTCATGTTGTTTGGAGGAGCGATTGATTGGAAGGCTTCGAAGCAGAGAACTGTGACAACTTCCAGTACAGAGGCTGAACTACTTGCTCTGTCACAAGCATCAAAGGAGATGATTTGGTGGAATCGTCTCTTCAACCATATTCAATTCGACACTGAGGAGAATCCCTCGATTTATTCCGACAATGCTCAAACCATTCGTTTGTTGACCAAAGATGCAGTCAAATTGACTACGAAGCTACGACACTGTCAGGATGGGGACGTACGAGGGAACGAGAGTGGAGATCCGACAATGATATTACTATCCAATGCACTATAAAGTACAAGACGAGAGACAAAGAACACGAAAGTGGTGCGATGCTATCCCAGATACTTATGGCCAGCGGTGCAGTCATACCGCAAGGCTATCACGCAGGCACACAAGGCTATCGACAGGCACACGAGGCTATTCGACAGCCAAAGTGGGCCTGCCAAGACCGTTCGAGGGGCTTCCAGGTTGTGCCATGACAGACACGTTGATATACACACTCATTGGCTACGGCAAGAGGTTCAACAGCGACGTATTCGTGTAGACTGGTTACCGACAAGTCAAATGATTGCAGATGGTTTCACGAAGCCACTGTCCAGGCAGAAATTTCAGACATTCGTTGAGCAACTCAATTTGGAAGATATTCAGGAAAGAATCGTCAACAAGGATTGAAACGTCGACGATGTCCTTCCTGGGGGGGGGGTGTTGGATAGAGATGAGAGGTTTCCATAGGCGACGACGTTACAGACGGTTGCTCTGTGCAACGATGTAGCATTCGTGTGTCTATAAAAGGAGTCTCAGGACCTCGACAAGTAGATAGAAAACAGAGCACTCCTTCATCTCAAGTTGCACAAAAGTTTGACATCTTGCTTCAGAGTCCACAACGAGTAGACCCCGTACGGCACCTTCTACAACTGGAGAGAGGACGTTGAATGAGCGCATGGCACCCTTCATGCATCAATTCAACATCAACGACGTTGTGGAGTAGGATTGGGTCAAAGGTTGATGGGTGGACTTAACAGCCGGGCTTGAAATGAACCGGTGGAGAACGGAGGTAGCGCGTAGCAATTAGCTAGTCCCCTATGGGCTTAGCCCCGCGCAAGGTGTATGAATATCGTATCGTATCGTATCGGGGAGCGGAGTCTAGAAAAAGCTTCACTAACGCTACGCTTTAATTAGCCAATCAGCATCGCGGCTTTCGCGACTTTCTTGTCGAGTTCAGCAGTTTGATCATCATCTGTAGGTGGACTGTCACGTGGCATCACGTGATTGAGTCACGTACCATGGCTACTACGCGGGGCCTATTCTTGGCTTAGCGTGTCACCGTCGTGTCACCCCTACGGTGTTGCCTATTCTTGGCTTCGCGTGTCACCGCCATGTAAACTCCTGCGATGTCACTTGAGGCAACTTGCGCCCCTGCTCATTCGTGCTCTGGGGATAGATGAACCATCTTCTCATCAATTGATGTATTACCTCACCTGATCCATCACCTGTGCCACCGCTGTTGCTTGCCGCTCCTACTCTCCGCTTTCTCCCCTCTGCCTCCGCTCCCTTCCTCTCTTCTCGTCACGTCCGGCCATTCCAGGTAGCATCACTATGAGCACCCCTTCAGAACCAGGCACGGGGTACACCGGGCCAGGCTCTCAAGCGGTCCAGGTAGAACCCGTTACACCGGAAAAGAAGCCAATAGTTATGAATGTGACGGACATTGCGAAGCTGATCCAACGGATGGAGAAAAACTACCCGAAACAGTGGGGAGAGGAGCTACAATATATGAGTATAGACGAGTTGTGCGAGTGGCTGGAGAAAAATGATCCGGAAGAGTACGGAAAGCTGCTCCAGAGTCGAGCGAAGAAGGCCACGACGAAGACAAACATCAACTATCCCCACGTACTAACCTCCCCTCAGAAAAGAGCTATCTTCCATGCCTTGCAAAAAGATTGGAACAACGCCTATTTTCCGCACTCTCTAATTGCGCTACGGGACCTCATTCGGCGATACCAGCTACTCGATGTGAGCAAGTACTACGCAAAGACCTTGGTATTCGTTCAGAGCAGCGGTACGGGCAAATCAAGATTGGCGGATGCTTTCGGCCAACTCTGTCCCATGATCAACTTCATTCTCCGTGAGCCTGGAGCTTCCGGCTTTCCACCTCCTGATAAAGAGATACTATCATTCCTGCGCGAGAAGCGGCCAGACAACATCCCCGAGCCCACCAGCCAGCACGGGACATCTAGTGATTTTCTGGAGAGGAGAGCGATCGTAGCGTGGAATCACACTCTCGCTGCAGCGTTGCTCCAAGCCAGTTTCGAGATATGTAAATTGCTAATGGCTTTTTCACCAAACTCTCGCTAATTCGATCCTGTCAGTGAATATCTGGGTGGAGAGCAAGCCCTTTAGCGAGATGACTCTAGAAAAGCTTGCAGGTGACAGGCACGCAGAGATGGCACCGCTTGCACCAGCTACCGATGCTAACGACACTCAGAACCAACGCTCCAAGATACGCATCGAGTTCTGCGAATCGGTAGCTAAGAGAGCTCGGGCTATCGCCAACGATTTGATTTTCAGTCCGGCCTGGGTCGAGAAGTTCGACGATGACCGCTCCTCAAGCATTCGTCGTCGATTCGAAATAGCGTGGACAGAACCCCTCGATCCCTTGAACGGCCTCCTCAATGCTGCCGAAAACCTGATCAACAATATTCAGCAATGCCGGAACGTAAGTGACACTAACTCACTCTTGGTCATCGTGTTCGACGAGGCGTCAAGTTTGATAGAAAAGGGGTTCTCTGGTGAACCACGCACCGGACTCTATGTGGCGCTCAATCGAGTCATCAGTTGCCTGAAGAAGGTTCGTATGTGGTCCTTCTTCCTCTCAACAGAATCTCTCATCGGACACCTTGTCCCGCCGAACAATATCATCCGAACTGGCGATTACTCTCGCGACCGTTCCGCTCGTGAGAGTTTTACACAGCCCGCCGAACTGATGCGCTTTCCCCCATTTGTGAGTCTCCAGCTCGACATCGAGGACCGACGAAGGATGCAGAATCCAATACTGAGGAGAGAGGAGCTCGTCAAGTCGTTAAAGAAGTTTGCGGACCTCGAGCACATGGCCTTATTCGGTAGGCCTCTCTGGTATGCATATACATGTCAGCAAGAGAATATGATCGATGTGGCCAAATTGAAGCTTCTGGGCGGCCAGCAACAATCAGAGTACAATCCACTCGACTCGAACCACGTCTTTGCTGCGCTGTCCTTTCGTCTGTCTTTGGATGTCTGCCGGCAGAACCCCGCCACTCTCTCCCTCACAAGGGAGGCGGTGAATTCCTTTATGAGAGTGGTCATATCTATGGACCACGAGACGGGAATGATGGACACAACGACGCCATCCGAGCCAGTGTTAGCAAAGGCAGCAATGGAGCATCTCTGCATCGAAGGCCGCTGGTCGTTGAGCATTTCCACGCTCTGTATGGTGCTTCTCGAGAAAGGATTGATCGAAAAGGGGCGCAAAGGAGAACTCTATGCTCGATTAGTGTTGATCCTTGCACACGACTGGGTTCGGTGGGTTCGTGAACCAGTATTTCCACCAACCTTTACGGTGTGCGACTTTCTCATGGCATTATATGCTAACGATCATCACGATTCAATTCGAAAGATACCTGAGCAGACACTGGGAGCTAGAATGAACTTCACTCATTTTCTATCGACTGATACACAACTTACCCCCGAGGACATTCCTGCATTATGTCGGGACCTGTTGCGCCGGAGTGCTGCGATGCAGCTATGTTGGAACCAGGAAACATACGATATACTGATTCCGGTGTACTATGGCACGGAAGATGAGACGTTCGACCCTTCGAATTGCGGAGTCATCGTAGTACAGGTGAAGAACAAAGAGAATGCCACAACACCTCGAGAGATCTTCGGGGAGGAGTTTATCAATGACAGCCCGAACACGTCGAATTCGGGCAAATCGAAGGAGATGAGTTCTGATCGCAAGCCGATGAAATTTGTGTTCACTCAGATGGCGAACCCGATCCTGTTCCTACTCTTCGATCTAGGGGTGGTCAGAAGCAGTACGGCTTACGCTCCACTTGTTCAAGTGATGCACAGCGCAAATGGAAAGCAACCTGATTTGTGGGCTATCCATTCGCGAGGACACGGCCATACCATCTTTGGCTGCCTAGAGCACTTCAAGGCTACCGATTCGAGCGAGCGGTTCTTTGCTGCGATACAAACGGGGAACACTCTGGCCGATCGACTCTCTCAGAGAAATAGAGTGTTCTCTGAAATTAATGAAAACTTCAGATATGAGAGTGAAGCGAGAATGCAGGAAGTAGAAGCAGAGCTTACCGGATCGAAGAGAAAGGAAGTAGAAAGTCCCGAGGACGAGCAGTTCGGCAAAACAGCGCGCCTGGCATAAGCACGAACAGAAATAGAAGCGCGAACTTCGCCTCGACATCTCCCCGGCTTTAATTAAAGCGTAGCGTTTAAGTGGAGCCTTTTACAGACTCCGACCGCCCTGCCCACGTGACCACCTAGAGGCCAATTTTGTTCACATGACTTGAGTCGTCGCTGATTGGTTCATGGACTGGATCCGATGGAGGATATCGTATGGCACAGAAGACAATAGTCGACGAGGGTAATTTTCGTGAGTGGAACGCCAAGGGCACCTTTTATCTAACTAAATAAAGCTTAGTGGAGTTTATGAATTTTACCATTTTGTATGCCCTCCCTCAGCATCTAATACGTCCTGACAACGCTGTGGCATCGTATCTATAAGTTGCTTCAAGTACGGAGTATACTCGACAGCTCTTTCAGATACTTGCAGGAAGCTGGCAATATTTTTATATGTATGGCCAAGGCGACGCATTAGTAGAATATCTCGACGTTGGTCGCGCGATAAACGCTTTCGTGGGGGCGTGGTGGGCGTAGTACAAGCCAAGGCACTAACTCATAAATGGATAAGCGTCCCACTCACGAAAATTACCCTTGTCGACTGTACATACATACTCCGTATGGTCCATGGATTGGATCCGATGGGCTCGGCCAATCAAAGCACAGGATTAAGTAATCCGGATTAAAGATTTTCCGGGACACAGACACACTCTACCCATTCCTGGATGGACCGTGGACTAGATCCGATAGAGTTAGCCAATTAGAGCAAAGGATTAGATAACGGACTACATATTTTCTGGCCTACAGCGGCATTCCACCCACTCCTGGATGGGCCATGGATTGGATCCGATGGGGTCAGCCAATCAGAACACAGTATTACGTAATACTCGGATTATAGAATTTCCCGAGGGTTGGCTAATCACGTGATACGAGAGGCCCTCGGTTTGCCCATGGACTGGATCCGATAGGGCCCAAGGATTTGATAGTTTCCGGATTATAGATTTTCCGGACCCCGACGGGTGGCAATCACGTGAATCGTTGTAGGGCCGCATGCGTGCGCCGCCAAGAATTGCCAAGACCCATGCGGCCAACATGACCTGACTTCGCCAACAAGCTTCTGACGTCGGAATACTTCGAAGATGCTGGTCCAGTCCACTCCCCCATCAGCATCATCAGAGTGAAGGGAACCCTTCAACTTTTACATTCTGGACTTCAACTTTTCGCTCTCGTTGCGTTCACTATTGCCGCAGCGCTTTTGATGAGGCCGTCTTTCAAGCTTGGCGTGGCACCGTCCCAACGAATCACAACTAAATGCACACGAGGTTCGATATCACCCTAGACTATTTTCTTTCCAAGAAAACTCGGCCGAGTTTTGCCATCCCTTCTAGACTCTCCTCGGCTGGATTTGTCCGTCCTGTTGGCTATCAAAACGAAGATCTCCGTCGAGAAAGATCTCTCGAGACGCGTCGAAACGTTGATATGGTTTATCGAAATGAGGTATGGAGACGGGTAATACCCTCAATACAAATTTGACCGCGGACATCAACTTCTCCAGCCGACCAAATGAGGTAAGGCTCCAACGTGGAAGGCTCCACTGTCTGGATAGTCCCAACCGGCTGATCTGCCGACCGGTGTTGATATGGGAATCCCTGGGGCGTTGCTGGGAGGTGGGTATATCCCTACGCTAAACCCTCGTTGAAACATACGGAGTACGTATCAATCGACGGGGTGGAAGTGGCAGCTAATCAATCCCATTTACTGATTTGATCATCCTTGGTGGACCATGCTTGCCCTCCATACCATTCACGTGGGATCAATTGTACGAGTCGAACCCAAACATCTGTTCCAAGCTTTTCGGCCCTTCGACAACATGGACTTCAGCGCAAGGTGCACCTCTGCTTCTTATAAGGAGACGGACCACTCAATCACCCCCTCCTTATCATGTTGATGAGCTTTTCGGAGAAGATAACGAAGACTCAGAAATATCATGGTATATAAGGATGGTCCCAGTATGATCCGACTGAGGGTCAACGATACTTTTCCAAATTTAAGGATCCACTCTTGGGCAATTTCGAGATGTATTCCATGGCCAAACCAATGTTGCTCGTCTGCCTGACGGCCGCAGTCAACTGTGCGTCCGTGGGGTATGACTCGGCAATGATGTCGTCCATCAATATCTTGGTATGTTTCCCTCACTACACGTCTCGAAAGCGCCAATTCTTTCCTGACCAATATTCCCCAGGATGCCTTTACTGAAAAATTCGACGTCGACGCAGATCTCAAAGGTCTCTTAACGGCTGCTCAAAACATTGGTGCCATCGCCGGAGGATTCATTGCCGGTTCGGTTGTGGACCGTCTGGGCCGAAAGGGAGGGATTCTCGCTTCATCCATCACCATCCTCATATCATGTCTCCTTCTCACCACGGCGAATTCAAGAGCCCAGTTCTTCGTTGGACGCTCCCTTGTCGGTCTGGCCAAAGCCTTCGATATCGCTGCCGTTCCAACATACCTGGTTGAAATGGCCCCACCCCACCGCCGTGGTCTCGTGGCCGGTTTTTACTGGGCATGCTGGCTTCTAGGATCAATAATCGCCGCCGCCGTCGGGTATGGCTCACGGTCGATCGAAGGCACTTGGTCTTGGCGCACCATATGTATCTGTATGTCCGGACCGGCCCTGGCCTGCATTCTGGTACTCTTTTTCATCCCAGAGTCTCCTCGCTGGTTAGTCTCCAAAGGTCGCGAAGAAGAAGGTCTCGATGTCCTGGCCAAATATCACGGCAATGGGGACAGAACACATCAGTTGGTTGTGTCGCAATTCCGAGAAATCAAAGAGACGATTGCATACGAGCAGGCCAACCGTTACGAAACGTGGAAAGCCTGGTGGAACGACTTCAACACGCCACCCAATCGTCGTCGGGCTTTCACTCTGGTCACATTGGGTGTCTTCGAACAAACCGTTGGATCGAGCATTATCACATTCTACACTGGTAGCGTGCTTGACCTTTCCGGCATCACCGGCGAAAAACAGCAATTCGCGATCAACCTGAGTCAGACATGCGTCGCTTTCGCGTCGGCCTTGTGTGGAATCTTCCTCATCGATAAAGTCGGTCGAGTTAAAATGCTTGTCGCTGGTTCAGTATTCTGTGCCGCGGTCCTTGCTTGCATGGCCGGTCTCACCGCACAGCAACTTGACACTCAAGCCGGACGAAATGGCATCATCGCCATGCTGTTCCTATTCCAGATGGGCTATTCGTCCACATGGACTCCCTTGTCTTTCTCTTATTGCGCCGAGGTTTTAAACTTTACTTTGAGAGCAAAAGGAATGGCGTAAGTCTTTCGTTGTCTGACCTTCCTGCTCTTGCCCGAGTCTGTTGGGATTGAACTGGTTGATCTGTTGAATATATTCACGAGCGTAGGCCTGGAGACTGCATAGACAAACATGGCAACGCGCCAAACGCAATCGAGCAATGAAACGCATGAAGCTAACAGGAGTCAACCTAGATTTTATAACATTTTCACCTCGTCTTCCGGCTTTATCAACCAATACGTCATTCCTGTTGGCCTTGCCAATATCAAGTGGAGGTAAGCGCCTGTTAACCCACTCCTTGCTGCTGCTTGAGGCATATTGCTTCGGTTTTACCGGGTCATATTCGACGATCTTCACCTCACTTCACATTCGAACACTTTCTCATCGATGCACTTTAGGTTCTACATAATCGGTGTAGTCTGGGACATCTTCATGGCCATCGTCATCGTTTTCACATACATCGAAACCAAAGGCCTCACGCTCGAACAAATCCAAAAACGCTTCGAAGGCACACCACGCTCCGAGCTAGGGAATATCCTCGAAGTCTATCACGGCGAAAAGCCGTTGCAGGAATTCGAATTGGACAATAGCAGGGGGGGTACCGCGGGCGCTTTTGCGACAGCGGCAGAGGAGACCAAAGGAAAAGGCACGTCCGCCGCCGTCAAATCCGATGCCATCGAAACCATCGCCACCACTACGAGTATTGCTCCATGAGGAGTCCAGTCCCAGACAGGAATATTGGGTAGCTATCAGCGGTAGCAGCGGCTTTTCATCGTTTTCTCCCCTGGATCGAAATACAAACAAGTCAGATTCTCAGATACCATCGGCAGACAAAGCCATTCCCGAACACAATATAGGAATACAGAAGTCTTAGCACATGGTTTCTAGAGGGGGTGTGCCGAAATTTGGAAGGGAAATCTCTGCGTCCTGTTCACATTTCTGGTCATGATCTACCTCAAGGCTAGATTCACGTAGTGCTCCCATCTTGGGATGGGTTGGGTTGGGATGTGTCGGCCTCAAAACCGCAAATCTTCAAACATACCGTCAGTGTCTGAATGTCGTGAACACCGTCCAGACTTGGTTTCATACCCACAATCTCCCTATTTCTGCGGATTGTGCTTCGTCGAAACGGTACAAGGCCGACCTCTGGACTCGGATCGATGTCGTCCTTGTCCCTCTTGTCGATATCATAGGCGGAGTCATCTTCCGATGCAACACTTTGTGCATCAGGAGCCATTACTCACGTCGAACACGTTCTCACCAGCCAATTCGCAATATATTCGCCATCGTTTGCGATTGGTCAATGGAAAGATCCAAAGCCTGGCGATTTCATGACGGGGTGACCAGAGCGATTCAACCCAAAAGTCAACCTCGCTTTCGGTCCTTTCACCTTAAAACATGTTTGGCCAGAGCCATTTAGCTCAGTCAAGTCTTCGTCTTTGCATGGCGAAGACCAAAGAAGTACAAGATATTTCTGCATCCTCTTGCTATGAAAACTGTGGGCTGGACCACCAATCTCCCCATGACCCAACCCATACTTATACCAGTTGCCAACTTATGCAGACTATATGTACTGCTCGTAGAGGAGTGGCGAGGTTTGTCGTGGTTTGTCAGTCCACCAGTGGATAGAGGCGTTGGAGTCAAATTAGCCAGATCCATAGGTCGGGGAGTGGCAGCTTCGAAACCCGCTTGGAGATAGAGATTGCAGGAATCGCGGCACTGAGAAGTTAGCGGGTTGGTCGTATAAATTCAAGGCGATTCCGCAGTTGTCGTGCGTGCAATTTCGCAGCACGGCGTGCTAGATGATCATCTACCTGACCAGGCGATCGGGGGGACGTGCTACCTCATGCATGGATAGCACCTGAGAATTACTGCTCAAATTGGATTGTGAGACATCAACATCGTGTTCAAGAGCGTTCAAGAACAGAGATTAGATCGAATCGGAAATTGGTACACGGAATAATATTTCTCCGAGTGCGCTTCCTATATGTGCATAACGGGGTTCCTTCAGGATACCCTCGTGAGTCCTCATTTGATATCATTTGCACGAGCCTGTACCAGCGTGTCCCGACATATGCATATAGGCTTCGGGCTTATGCAAGCTTGAAGCCCATATAAGACATGAACCCATATAAGCCCTAAGCTCGGAAGAGATCTCAATTACCTCGAGCAATCCTACAAAATTCAGATGAAAATACTAGGGGACACTTTGACTCTTTTGTCACACGAAGGACATCGTCAGGCTCTCCTCTGTCATCGTAGCTGGCATTTCATAGTTCATGACCCCTGTGTTCTGTCTAGTCTGGTCTGGTCTAATCGTACAAGTTCTTCTTCCCCACATGTAACGTTCCATTTCATACTGTGCTATATGTGACCGTGAACGTGAAAGTCAACATGAATGGCAGAGCCCGCCTCGAAGGTGTGCATTCTTAATTGACTAAAACAACAATAGTCCGATCGGTCACGGTCTCTCTATCGGTAGCCGCTCGACCGTGAATGTGACATCGCGACGAATCTCGTTGGCACTGGGATCATATCTCGCGGAACTGGTGGACGACGCATCTCCTGCAGCATGATCACCTGGGCCTGCTCCACGATCAGTCATATCGTGCTCTGTGGCCGTGACGATCGATTTGCTAATGGGATATGTGTCCAAGTCAAAGTCCAGCTCTTTTGAATTAAAGCGGTTACGATTCTTAGCCGGAACCCGCCAAGATTGCTGTTGATCCGGATCGGTGCGCGAGTTGGTCGGTTTCGTTCCATGGCGACTCGTCAACTTTTGCAAAATGGGAAACATTTCGCGCAGGAACACCCAGATGCCGGGAAGGGTGGTGACGTAGACGGCAACGGAGGCTTCGCGGAAGTACCAGTTCATATACACGTAGGATATCAGTGACGGCACGAGACAGTAGATTGCGCGCAGGATGGCGGCGACAATAACGAAGGTACCCATTCCAAAGATGACGCCCAAGATCAGTTTTTGTTGGATAGACAACCGAGCGACCAGGACGGGCGGGATACCGACGGCCAATATCAAGATGTCGGTGGAGATGTTGAATACGGCATTCACAATCTGGTAGTATTGGTAGGAGGAACATTGAGCTGACAACGCGATCAGCAGGAGAAACATGCTCTGATCAAGGGCGAAACAAACAGTTCGTGGGTGGTACCGCCCAATATTGCGAAAGAGGGCGGCAGATGGTGAAAAGCGCCACCTCGTCACCAAGGAACGCACAGCATACCCACACGATGACACCGTTGAGGATTTTCCGTTGTCGCAGTCCCTCGGTGACTCTTGCATAAAGAACCAACATGGCAGCTTTCATGCTCCAAATGGTGAGAAGCATGGCATGTTCGGAAACGAACACCCATTTGCTGCCGGTGACGCGACTCGCTTTGAGGGTAGGGGTAAGAGCCGCTTCTTCCTCGGGGGTCATCAAATTCGACCCGACGCCCGTCGCGATCTGATTGAAGGAGACGCAGAGAATGGTGTACCACAACAGGCCAAAGAATATGAACGCATCATCGAGCTCGAGCCTTTTGATCCCCACACGTCGAAGTTTTCCAATGCTGTTTGAGAGAGGTCAGAAAATATCCTTCGGCACAACCATTCTAACATGAACTGACAGTCTGAGGAGGATGAATAAGGCGCCGACACCGTATAAACTCCATGATTCAGGCACAAAACCTGGGTTTGGGGACTGGGTAGCCATAATGCCGGGTTTTTTGGTAGATCCAATGAACCAAATCGAATAGGGAGAGAAGTCAGGAGTCAAAAATCTGGGGCAGTCGATCTTCAAAAACACCGACCATCGTCGTACAGTTAATGCCTCGAGACAAACTCTAAGGGAGGGGGGTCCCAAGTTATCAGAACTGACTGCTGTTTTTGGCAACTCTGTGAGACTCCTTTGTGGAAGGTCGCAATTCCCGATAGGCAGTGGGTCCTCGAAGGTTGGCGCGCTGCTGACAGGACCCATCGAGATCGGAAGAAAATAAAAAGGGGGTGGCCACGGAACGCGGACCTGCATCTTTCGAGAAAATCCAAACGTCGTCTCCAGTGCTTCGGGTAGTCACCAAGCCAAGCCTGCACTTACCGTGACATTTACCATGTCTCGCGTATCTGACAAGCTCACGAGGTGCAAGCGGGGGGGGCTTTGACATTGATTGACATCTCAGGTACCCGATGTCTGAACTGGTCTTGTCAACAACGTTCTGGCGAGCAACCAGAGCCCCGTTTCGGGGTAGATCTTTGGTCACGAAGATGTGGATAGAGATCTCCCAGCCAAACTTTTCCCACGTGTGGTGGTACTGGTACTTAGCTCTATTCCACGAGGGAGAGTCCACTTTCCATGATGAGAGTGCTCCGTAGTTCCGGGGAGTAAAATTGAAGGGTTGCTTGATTGTGATGACACATAAAATCTAGGAGTTGCTTCTGTGCTCCAGTGAGAACGAGTTTCAGAGAAGGTAATAGTTTGTTGAAGTTTTTTAGTGTCTTGGTGGGTTATAACACATTTTAGCGGCTAAGCGGATGTCCGCCTCTTCCATCTGCTCTTGGCAGCCAATCACCGGGTCTCAATTTTCGCGCTATACCCCTTCCAGAGCCTCTCTCCGTTACCAGGCACTTTAAGACACGCACGCCACCGCCTTGGTACGTGGTACTCGGCGTCAATGTTCTCAATTTTTTCTTTGCTCTCCATCCCTTACTGTATATTGTTTCTTGTTCTTGATAGTTGCTTTCTTTTCCAACGTTGAGCGTCGTCAACTGTTTGCCGGTGCTGTCCAACATGCCCGACAAACACGAGGTTCCAGAGGTGTCGACCGAACCTGCCTCCGTTGAATCAGACAATTTGATCAATGCCTCTGGCCATACTCAAGAATTGTCTCGGAATTTCAGTTTGATTTCTCTGGCTGGGGTTGGTCTTGTTGTTGGCAATGTCTGGCCAGCAATCGGTGGTTCGATCTTGGTTGCTATCTTCAATGGGGGTCCTCCAGGTTTGTCTTTCCTCTGACAACATCCCGTGTTTCGCGTCTCTTCTGACATGACCCAGGCGTTCTCTACGAGTTCATTGTCGTGTCGGTCTTCTACTGGATAGTGGCGGCTTGTATCGCGGAACTCGCATCTGCCATCCCATCTTCCGCTGGTGTCTATCATTGGGCCAGCGTTACTCCTGGAAAGAAATGGGGTCGTGTTGTTGGATTTTTTGCTGGGTACTGGAATTGCTTGGCTTGGATTCTTGGTGCCGCATCCATGACCTCCATCTTTGTACGAGAAATCTTGACCCGCCACTTTTTGCCGTATGCTAATTCCTGTCCGAACAGTCTAATACTGTTGTTCAAATGTGAGCAACGATGGTCTCCCATGATCAGGATATCTTTTTCTCACGAGCGACAGGTATGCGCTAAAGCATCCAGATTTTGTCTTGCATTCGTGGCATGTCTTCGTGACTTATATCATTGTCACTTGGATCGCCTGCCTCCTTGTCTGCTTCTTCAACACCGCCATGCCTCACTTGAACAGCATTGGCATCTTCTTTATTCTTGCCGGTTTCTTGATCACCATCATTGTGGTGTACGTGGACTGAAATCTGTCAATTATGGCCATTTCTAACCATATCCCAGCACCGTGATGCCAGGCCAATCGGGACACCCTGGACATGCATCATCATCGTTCGTTTGGACAGAGTGGACAGCAGATATCGGATATCCTGATGGGGTTCGTCTTCCCCTTCCTCGATCCATGCGACTGTGCCAATGTCTAGACATATATCTCGTTCAGAACCGATGGACTAATTTGATGGATTTTTAGTTTGTCTTCGTTGCCGGCATGCTCAACGGTGCATTTTCTGTCGGAACTCCAGATACTACTAGGTGGGTATTTATTTTTCCTACCAGTTCCGACTCCCTCATTCCGTTAATGTCATGAAACAGCCATCTTGCCGAAGAAATCCCCTATCCCCAACGCAACGTTCCAATGGCGATCGCCTGCCAAATGAGCATTGGATTCATTACTGGATTCACCTATCTAATCGCCATTCTCTACGCCATTAACGACTACGATGCTCTATTCGAGTCTCCATATCCCATCGCTGAAATCTATCGACAAGCCACCGGCTCCGCCAGCGGCGCCATTGGCCTCTTGACCCTCGTTCTCATTTGCATCGGCATCTGCGTCTGCGGTCTGTACATCACCTGCGGTCGAACCCTGTGGGCCCTATCTCGCGACGGAGCAACGCCCTTCCCGCAATTTCTGAGCAAAGTCTCGCCTCGACTCGGTATGCCGTTCAACGCCACCATCGTCACTGCAGTCCTCGTGACCGTCCTCGGAGCGATCTACGTCGGCAACACGACCGCATTCAACGCTTTCGTCGGCTCTTTCGTCCTCCTGAGCTCCTCATCCTACGTCGCCGCCATCCTCCCCAACCTCCTCACCGGCCGTCGCAACATCGAAGTCTACGGACCATTCCATCTCAAGGGAGCACTAGGTTTCATCTTCAACACCATCGCCTGCGCTTACATGATTGTTTGGTTCGTCATTTACTGCTTTCCCTACGCACTTCCCACCGATGCGCAGACCATGAATTACGCCTCTCTCCTGTGGGGTGGTTTTACCATTTTTATCGCGACCTGGTGGTTCCTCGGTGCCCGGAGGAATTATCAAGGTCCCCCGCTCGTGAGGGATGGTGGTAACGTGAGTCTGGCTGATACTCTGAAGAAGATCGATCCTCAGACTCGAAAGGCCAGTATTAAGGGGGTTTAAGTCTGAGTCCGAGCGTTAGGATCCTCCAGGGCATTTTGCTTGTCTCCTTTGGAAGACTTGTATATCAACCTCTATTCGCCATGTCCTCTGAAGAGATTGAAACAAACCCCTTTATTCTAAGGGCTTTTGATCTGTGCTAGTATTTTGTACTCCCTGTTCGCAAGGATGCTAGATCAAAAATTTTAGATTTGAAGATAAAAAATGAAGCATACAAAAGCAAGTGGGTACATAAGGGCTTTCGTCACTTCGTATAGTCCAGAGTCTCTATCATTCTCAAGGTCATTTCATTCCATCACCACAATACAAAGACTGCGCGCATCGAGCTCAAGTCCAAATACAGGGATGCAGTGCTATGCTACCCTACCTCATGCTTTGGTTCATTCCGTCAACATGGTTTTCATCGTCGTCGTCATTGGGAGGATAGTAACATCGGTCATGTCCTGGAGGCTTCCAGGGTAATAGGTTTGCATGCAAGAGGAACATCTGGGATAAAACGGTCTATTAAAGCTAGAGAACTCCAGGAATCTGTCCGAGCCCTTCGAAAAGATACATATTGGAGAAAATCCCCATGCACAGCGAACAATATCACGCATAATCACATGACGGCGGAAATACTGGATACATTTTCTCGCTGGTGAACTGGCCTCGACTGGGCTGGTGTGACAATGGGGACTGGTGCCGGGATAGGTGAGAAAAGTAACGACACAGAGAGTACTTGCAAATACCACAATCACGATTTTCCAGGGTATGAATGACCAACTTCATCCCCGCTTACCGAACGGGTCTGAGAAGAACGTTCCCAGCTGGGTGTTCTTTGGATCAAATCGGTTTCTACCCTTCTCGCTAGCGACTCTTCTCCATCTAGTTAGGGAGATCTGGGCTAACAGATTTTTGATCTGTGGAAAGTCGATCGTTGAAGCCGAACACCGCTTTGTTTCTTGATCGGGTTCCTAAAATGAACTACGTTTTTCTCACGTCTCGTGTGGAAATGCTCGAGTTCTGCAGAAAAGAATCGCTGATTCTGGGAATACTAGATCCATATCGCGGTATCTTTGGCATCGAGAGGGGGGACTTTTTCCATGACATTGACACAGAGAGCTCCGATTCTAGCGTTCTGATTTTCAGCGACCCATCCATGAGCCTAGAACAATGCGACCGTCAGAGCTCATCATACCGACTAACGGTGCAGAGGCCAGGCAACAGTCTTTCGGATTGGACACCAACTCCCATTTAAACGCAGCAGAAACTCGTAACCGATTTCTACTTCCGGCAGCCTCCGACACGGTCCGAATTGCTTTCCCAAAGAGCTAACCCAGGCTCTGCAGTCTGTGCATTGAAATTGAAATCGAGGCTGTCGCCATGCAAATGTCAGTTTAGAACAGGTGCGACGGACGGGTTCGCTGGGTCAACCTCAAATGTTGAACAGCAATGCACTCGAGTGCAATGGCGTGTAGAATTCGATACTGGTCGCTATTGCGGACCGCGGGGAGAGGCTGCGCATTTTCAGGCGCCCCGGCTGAGTCGCATCTCGAATTTCTCTGCTGCCTGAAAACTTGACTTCCCTTCTCTACCCAGCCTTGTCACGGAAATCTCTCTATTTCCATGAAACACGCCTGGCAGGTGGCAGCCTCCTCATTTGCTGGCGAGAAGTAGTCCTCGCGTCGACCACCTTCAAAATTGGACAATGAATTGATCTCCTGCCTCTTTGGCCTCCTTGTCTACAACACCTTGAGCCATGTTTCGATTCAAGAGCGCCATCTCGACTCTGGGAGGAGGTCATGGTGCCCCGGTCGACATTCATCCCGACGAAGTCCAGTCAGGAGAAGAAGAGGATCAGGTTCGCCCGTTACCTTCCCCTGCTCCCTCTACTGTCTCGGACACGATGTCGGTTCCAGTGATACCTCCATGGGTGAGAGAACTGAATAACTCTCGGACAACGAGACACAGTCGTGCTTCATCGGTCGTGTCCACGCGAACCAAGTTCTCAACCACCACCTTACAAGAGGATGCCAGAAGCATCGACATTAACGTTGGTGGACAATATTTCAGAATCAGTCGAGATGGTTCACGGATTACCGCCGACGCTCCACCGCCATACACTGGCCCCGGCGAAACCATTCGCTTTCAAAGCGGCCAAGCGAATGGTGCTCCCAATTATGATAGCCAGTATGCATTTGACGAACGAGACCAGGACGCTTCTGACCCTGAGGATGGAGCAGTGACTCCCACGTCGACCTCTGCTGTACGTGCTAATATTCTAGACCCCACAGAGTTCCATATGCCATCTCCGGTGGGACACGAGCAGCTGAATCACCGCTCATCATCTGCCACGCTGGTTGACTCTGCCCGGACGGCCGATACAGAAGATGTATCGGATCGGAGATCGTCCTATGAGGCTGGAGATGACGTTTTGTCTATCGATATGCAAGGAAGAAGCAGAACAAGGCCCCCTTCAGAGGACGCACCGCGCGCGACGAGAAATTCAATGCATTGTTCGTCATCTGTGAGAAGGGGAAACCGCCTCCAGTTGCCGACTCTCATCACCTCAACTGATAACCCTCGAATTGTCAATCGATTCCGACGGTATCGACGAGGGTCGGCTCCATGCTCGGGGCGTCCCTTCGCAGTCCGATCTGCGGGACCAGTGCTATCCGGTCTTCCAGATAGCCGTGAACCCCGATCTCCCGACTATATTGGGAGGAATGCCAACGGAGTATTCCCGCTCCCTGTTAGATCGGCCACGACTCGGCAGTCTGGCTTCACAGAGCACCACGGATCAACCACTACAGCTTCAAGGACGGAAGGGAGGCCTTTCGAAGACAGTGATGCACCGGTGAACAATCACACTCCCTTACCAATGGACAATGAGAACGACATCAGTCTTCATTACGCTCGAATGATGCGTAAATTAGATTATGGGCACCGGAAGATCCTCCATCTCAAGGATAAAGAACTGGCGGAGCTGAGGATGAGATTGCACGAGAAGGATATTGTCTTGAGGCAACAACTACGAGCCAAAGACTTTCTGATTGACGACCTCAAGACGCGACTGGTCAACCTGGAGGAGAATATGGAAACCATGCTGGAAAAAGCACGGAATCAGGTCGAGGACTTGTGGGAATGTCGGTGGAAAGATCGTGACTTCCACCTTCGAGAGCGAATGAGACGGATTGAAGAAGAGGCGCAAAGGACGATCGAGAGAATTCGAACAGGTCAGTCCAGGACCAACGAGGAACCGACCACTCCATTGGCAGAATGAATGGGCACCAAATGGTTGATGGGGGTTAGGTTGGAGGAAAAAAGAAACCAGGCTGTCGACATGGGGCTCCAGGTACCCCACGGCGAATGTTGTATGATTTGCTGTTATGAATGTATGAGGAGATGAGGAATGTCATAATCAATCTAGAACGGGGGGTTGGGATACGTGAGGACACGTGGTATAATCGGGTGAGTGTGTATTGGGACAAAAGGTTCTCAGGTTGTCGAGGCTGTGGGCTGGTTGCCCCACTACAAAGACCAACCACAGCATCTTTTCCAACTTCCTCCGGATAATTAATGCAAAATAGGGAGATGAGGATGACTCCGGAGGACTGATCTGTATGCTGACATTCATCTTCTGATTTTGAGCTATCCACTTGAAAGAAATGTGTACAACGAGCATACGAAGTGTGACATCGAACCGACACAGGCTCAATGACTTCATCCCGCATGCAAACTAAGCCAGTTCAGTCCACTGTTTCTCAACTTTCCCTTCTCAACATTCGCGTAGCAGATAAACCACCTCAAGGGAAAAAAAAAAAAACCTTAACCACTTTCCTCACTCCTCTCTCTTTCGCCTGTATCCATCACTTTCATGTCTTCGTGAGAATCTTTTTCCTCTTGACACTTTTATCTCCGTTCGTATAATCTAATCTTTCCATCTTTCTCCTCTCCTTGTCCATCTCTCACAACCCGTTCCAACTCCAGCCTCCTTGCACCACCTCCTATGCGCCCTCTTACCTCCCCTCGTTCGACACAGCGCCTTCTCGAGAATAAAAACTTGTCTCTTTCTCTCCGTCTCTTCCACCACGGGGTCCGAGAAAAAGAATCATGCCTACCAGGGCAGTGACAGCTAGGAGCTCACGCCGGACTAAGAAGAAAGGCAACCAGCTACAAAGACCATGGCTGTACGATCTAGTTTTGTGGGCACTCTCTGTCCTCATTGATCTCTTCTTTCGTGAGGTCCATCCTCGAGGAGCATGGAAAGTCCCTAGACAAGGTCCCATCATTCTTGTGGCAGCCCCTCACGCCAATCAGGTATAAAAGGTCCGCCATCACCGGCCAAGAGATGGTACTAACCATGGGACAGTTCGTCGATTCGCTGATTCTGATGAGAATTCTCAAGACCGAGGCCAGGAGGAGGATTTCATATCTGATCGCGGAGAAATCTACCAAACGTAAATTTATTGGGACTTTGTCCGCTGCAATCGGAGCGATCCCGGTTGGCAGGGCCCTTGACAAAGTGAAGCCAGCTGAGGGCAAGATATTTCTCCCTGACCAAGACAATGATCCGACCCTGATCTGCGGTGTCGGAACTGATTTCAAGAATGGTGACTTTCAAGTCGGAGGACTGATTGTGTTACCCAAAGTGAGAGGCCAAACACCAAGCACCGAAATTGCTGAGATTATATCCTCGACCGAACTTCGCCTCAAGAAGCCTTTCAAAACCCAAGAAGCTTTAGAGTCGCTGACCGGCACTGGCTCCACGAGCGGAACGAGCGAAGATCACCACGGAAACCGGGTCGGGTCTCGCGGCTGTCCATTCAGGGTCGCCCCATACGTAGACCAAACCAAAGTCTACAACGCTGTATTTGAGGAACTTGAGGCCGGCGGTTGTATTGGCATTTTCCCGGAAGGCGGTAGCCATGACCGGCCAGACCTCTTGCCTCTCAAAGCAGGTGTTGCCATCATGGCCCTCGGGGCCGAAGCCAATCATCCCGGTTGCGGTGTCAAGATCATCCCTATTGGCATGAACTACTTCCACGCGCACAAATTCCGATCCCGGGCGGTGATTGAATTTGGTCACCCCATTGAAGTTCATCCGGAACAAGTTGAAGCATACAAGGCTGGTGACCGGAGAAATGCCGTCGGATCTCTGCTCGAAACAGTGTTTCAAGGACTGATGTCCGTCACGCAGTCCTGTCCTGACTATGACACACTCATGCTAGTGCAAGCTGCTAGAAGGTTGTACAATCCTACGGGGAAGAAACTGCCACTTCCACTTGTGGTCGAGCTCAACCGACGTCTTGTCAAAGGCTACACGACATATCAGAATGATCCGCGAGTCGTGGTCCTGAAGAAGGATATCAGTGACTATAACCGCAGGCTTCGAGCTCTTGGAATCCGAGACCACCAAGTCGAATGGGGAAATCCTGCCAAACGACCCTGGTGGCTTATTCTCAGCACACTGATATACAGATTGGGCGAGCTTTTGTTTTTGGGCCTCGGCACTCTTCCAGGCCTGGCCATGTTTTGGCCCGTCTTTGTTACCGCCAAAGTCATATCGGCCAGAAAGTCACGAGAAGCGCTCGCCGCCTCGACTGTGAAACTACAAGGTCGCGACGTCATCACGACATGGAAGCTACTTGTGGCCATGGCATTCGCACCGGCGCTTTACATTTACTATACCGTCATCATGTCCTTGTGGCTATTATACAACCGCCGCGAAGGATACTACACCTCCCGCGTGCCTTGGTGGATGGTTGCGCGGTCATACGTCCCCGACTTCGTCCCGGTCTGGCTCTTCGCCATTCTGTTCTTTATCTTGTGTATTAGCATCACTTTTGCGGCATTGAGAATTGGCGAGATTGGTATGGATGTGATCAAGTCATTGCCGCCACTCTTTGTCGCTCTCAACCCTCGTTCGTCCAGTCGGATAGTAAAACTGCGACAGAGACGGGAAGCACTCTCGAAAAAGGTCACCGAACTCATCAATACCTTGGGACCGGAGATCTTCCCCGACTTTGACGCCGAGAGGATCATGGCAGATCCCTTCCGAGAGGGAGCCTATCAAAGCAAATATAAGAAAATGCCCGAGGAACCAAGAATGTCAGACTCGGCCGAACCGACCACACCCACCTCGGGTGTTTTCGAAGAGAGATCTTCGGACTCGGCGGGCTCCAAATCTTTCAGCTTTCTCCCATCGAATGAGTCGTTTGGCAACATTGGCGGGTTCGGATTTTTTGCATCCAGACCGGCGACACCCAAGAGCCGGAGCAGGAGCAGTTCCGCTGGCGGGGCGCTGTCTTCGACGGGGATGCCGGTCAGAGCACTGAGTACCTTGGACAATAGAGAAAGCTTTGACGAGGTCAGCAAGCGCATTCGAGGGGCAATGCGCGAAAGAGGTCGAAAACGTGAAAGTGAAGCGGCAGAAACAGGTACGGAAAGTAGCTGGGACATGGCGTCCGACGGGCAGATAACCCCAACGACAGAGGATGAGGAACCTAAGAAGGACAGGTAGACAGTGGACACACTGATGATGATGATGCGGATGGTCAACAATCAACGATGTACGATTTACGAGGCACAGCAAGTGCAGGGCCTGTCGAGGCGACCATATTAATTTTTGTTCTGCATTGATGTATGTAGCGACGACATGGGTGAAATTTGGGATCATCGTGTTGTAATACAGTACCAAACTCACCTCGCAAGTAATTGAAAGACCCAACCAGGCTGGTGTGCTCGTCGTCCATCGACTGGGTCGACCACCTGGCAACGAGGCGGCGTTGCGGCTCCATGTCGTGCTCGGTGCTACGCGGCTACGTTGGTGGTTCAGGCAGCGGTTCTCGCTCGGGGGAGCGGGGGACATACCGAATCACGAGGATGGAGCGATCTGGAGGATCTGAAGTAATGAGAGCCTGGTTAGAAAACCAAGGCCGCTCGCAGGCGAAAATCCAACTTGCATCCGCATCTGCATCTCTCCGCCAACACCAACATAAGTCAGCCAGTCGTGTGGCCAGGCACTCCTTCTTTCGAGCATCCTTCTATTCTTCCTGTTACGGAAGACTGCCATCATGCTTCACTTCTCAAATTGTCATATTCGTTGAATTCTGCATGCGTTGATTTGTATGTCTTCTTCCACCTGCGCCTAAAACACGACCAGTCAGGCCTGTCTGCCAACGAGACCGTGAACCTGGCCTCATTCTCGATAAACAATCTATTTTCACACACCGCCTGTCTGCCAGACGTTATTTAACCACGATCCTATCGCAAATCGTGTTCGAATCGACCCCAACAACTTTCCAGCCTTTGCATGAATCTATGGAACCTTTCGAGTCCCACCTCGACCCCCACCGCCCTTCCTACCCTTCCTCCACAAATACTCCCTTTCGTCTAGATGAGGGTTTCTCAGAGGAAACCTCCAGCCAGGATGACAACAGCCGGGGGATGTTTGCGGCCATGGCTGCGCGTTTCCAAGAATGGGTGATGGCCCAGAATGAGGATGCGCGAGCTGAGATCGCCTACGAAGTTTTGCGAACCCTTCGAACCTCTCATATTGCCGCCGTGGTCGAAAGATTGACTCCTCTGTTACACATGGATCCTCTGGAAAAGTTGCCACCTGAAATCACATCTCAGATCTTCTCGTACCTAGATGCCAACACCTTGTTGACCGCCTCGCTCGCCTCACGAACGTGGCGGGGTCGTATTATGGATACGATGCTCTGGCAAGAGTTGTACAAGAACCAAGGTTGGGGCCTGGACAACAAGGAGATCAAATTATTCGAGAGCGTGCATAACTCTTTTGTTCGACACGAATTCAAAAAGGCGCGTGGGCAGCTTTCTGGTCAACCTCGACCTAAGAAGCGTGCCACATCAGACTGGCTCGAGTCAAGAGGGCAGAAGGTTTCGGCTGACGTTTCTCAATGGCGTGAACAACACGGTGTGGTTGAAGCAGATACCGACATGCAATCAGAAACCGATGACCAGGAGATGCAGGACGCGCCAACGAGCATTCATAATTCCCCCCAACGTCCAAACAAACGGCAGAGTCAAGATTCTGGTGATGAAACGGATTTCTATCCCAGTTCAGCGGAAGCGGGCGAAGACGAAGACGCGATCAAAACAGTTCAGCCTCTTGACCCTCCTTTCAAACCCAAGTTGATCGCCTACGATGCCAATGGTCGCGAAAAACTCAACTGGATCTCTCTATACAAGCAACGCTATAAATTGGAGCAAAACTGGACCACGGGACGATTTACTACATTTCAGCTACCACACCCCGCCTATCCCAATGAAGCTCACACCGAGTGTGTCTACACCATTCAGTTTTATGGAAAGTGGCTGGTCAGCGGTAGTCGTGACAAGACTTTGCGAATATGGGACCTTGAAACCAGGCGGTTACGGGGGAAACCTCTAGTCGGCCACTCTCAATCCGTTTTGTGCCTACAATTCGACCCCAGCGAGAAAGAAGATCTCATTATCTCTGGCAGTAGCGATGCCAGTGTTATTATCTGGCGATTCTCCACCGGCCAGAAAATTCACGAGATTCCGTCTGCCCATGAAGAGTCCGTTCTCAACCTCAGATTCGACCATCGGTATTTGGTCACCTGTTCCAAAGATCGACGTATTAAAATATGGAATCGTCGGCATCTGACCGCCACAGACCCAGATTATCCCAAGATTAAACGCGACAGCCCTGCACGAGTGCCTTTATACATTGTCAACACATCAGAAATGGAACCGTCTCTGTTGGAGGCCAGAATGGCCAATGGCAGCATCCGAGCTCTGAAACCGTATACGCTTTTGTTGACTCTGGAAGGACATGGTGCCGCCGTCAATGCCATCCAGATCAATGGTGATCTCATCGTATCGGCATCTGGTGATAGACTCATCAAGGTGTGGAGTGCTCGAGATGGCCGACTTTTGAGAACACTTCAGGGTCATCAAAAGGGTATTGCCTGCGTCCAGTTCGATAGCAGACGGATCGTCAGTGGCAGTAGTGATAACACGGTGAAGATATATGACCCTTACACCAGCGCCGAGGTCGCAGAGTTGAAAGGTCATACTAATCTTGTTCGAACCGTTCAAGCGGGATTTGGTGACGTGCCGGGGGCTGATGAAGATGACAGTTGCAAGGCGAGGGATGCGGAGAGAAAATACTTTGATGATCTCAACAACGGTATTATTCTGGAGAATAGAACGCGAAGTCGACGCATCCGGAACGGCGAAAACGGGACTTCTCGACTTGCTTTGGGTTCTAAATTGCCTCCGGGAGGCGGCGGCAGCAAATGGGGTCGCATTGTTTCAGGCTCTTATGATGAATCGATCATTATTTGGCGCAAGAATTCGCAGGGCGATTGGGTTGTCGGTCAGACGTTACGTCAGGCGCCGGTTGTCCAACAGACAACACGACAGCGTTCTAATCCACAGGTGACCGTTCCGAATCTGACACCACCGGTGTTGAATCCGGTTGCTGCTGGTCCTGTTCCGGTGTCCGAGATTCCTTCAACCTCAAACAATGCCGGTCCAGCGGGAGCGGCAAATCCCGCAGCAATGTCTGCTTCACAGATAGTCCAACAAGCCATGGGAACATCCATGGTCAGCCTTGGAGCCGGCATCTCAAATGTTGTGGGCCTTGGGAGGGTATTGAATGGGCCGCTCACCGCATCGCGGAATGGTGCCAACCACCCTCAAAGCTTTTCCTCCAGTTCGGTTGTCAACGGCAATGCTCAAACAGGAGTACCATCTGCCATGGCGCACCCCCAAACGGCTGTGTCTCAGGCCGTCCAACAGGCTTTGGTCCAGGCTGGACAACAAAGACCGCAGCCGAATCACCAGAATGGATTGCAGAATCCAACCCCACAGCAACCTAGCCATATGGCCGACGGTTCGAATACCTCTGTAAATGGCCATGCTCAACCTCAGCAACAACAAAACCCCCTTCCCCATCATCCTCACCATCCCCATCCAGGAGCACAACAATCCCATCAAGCAGGACCAGCCCAAGCCCAAGCCCAAGCCCATGGCCAAGGCCAACAACCTCAACCACAGCAGTCTTCTGTTTCCCGAGTTTTCAAGCTCCAATTTGACGCAAGACGAATCGTGTGCTGTTCTCAAGATAGAAGAATTGTGGGATGGGATTTTGCCAACGGAGATCCAGAGATTATTGAAGCTAGTCGATTTTTCGTGGGGCCTTGAAGAGTCGTCTTCTGAAGTGCAGACCTAAGATTTCGTGGACCTGTTGATCTCAGCGTTTTGGCCCAATTAGGGCTATTTGTTCTTTATTTGCATCGGCATCGGCATTGGGGAAATCGGGGGCACTGGGCGGTCGAAAATTTCACGACAATGGTGAAAGATAAAAAATTACCTTTAAACTCCGAATTCTGTCGAGCTTTCTATTTTGGGTTGTTTGAACGAAAACCAGCGTCATTCATTGCGAGAAATCAACGGCAAAAGAGGACAGAAAATATTCCGGATGTGGAACAGCCGAATTTGACCCATGACGAGGACGAAGGTGTCAGCAATCTCCATCTAGTCCGACCCATTTTCATTTTTGAAATGAATATCAGGAAGACAGGTATTTATGCAGTGAATCCAATCCAGTCCAATCCAATCCAATTCAAATTCTTTCGAGGAGAAGCAGAAAGAGGGTATATTTACATAAATGATGTAGGCTACAAGTTTCTTTTTAGTGGACGCCAGTGATCGTGACCATAAGAAATCCATCGCCAAAGCCGTTGCGACGCCATCTATGACTCTATACACCTAAGGCTAAATGCTGCGGATCAAATCACACCAACACAAGACACGGAAGCAAAGCAGGACAAAGCCAGAGTCAGACTGCCAGCCTGAAACCTGCCAGCCGGCCAAACCATTTCACCAACTCGCTCAGTCCATTGCTCCATCATTTGCGCTTCAGTTTTCAAGACGCATGCGCTTTTGCAGGTCTTTGCGTTTCAGCATGTTTCGCCGCCGTCTTATGAGTCTTGTTGCCAGCACCAGAACCGACACGAGCAGATGCCTTGGTGCTTTTCGCACTCTTGCTCAGTTCGACGTCCAAGTCATCTTCTTGACCTGCTTCTTTCGCCACCTTCCTTACACGCCACTGCCACTCCCAGAGCACAGGGAGAAAACTCCACAGGTCAAAGTCTGGCCAGAGCACGTCGAGAAAGACGATCTGCGTGTCTTCGTGGCATTGCCAGAGCATGAAGTCCGAAAGGCGACTGACGCCGCTGGTACGGATGAGGAGATCAATGGAGGGATCGGAGGCGGTGTACATGTGCGAGTTCAGGGTGGCGGGGGTGATGAGTTCGGGGGAGCGGTATTGAGGTTGAAGCCGAATGGTGGATGTTGTCAAGGGCGAAGCGGAGGTAGCTGTTGGTTTTTGGTCGAGTAAGGAAGAAGTCATAAGGGGGTCGTCTTGGTGGAGGGTGGTGGATGTCGAGACGGAAGAGGTCTCGTGATCGTGTTCTGATGGGTCTGAGGGGTCGGCTGAGTAGGATGATAGCGATGTCGTGCTGGATGATGGAGACTGCAAATCCGACCCTGGCAGCTGGAGGTACATCGTTGAGCCTGATGATGTCGCAGTATGCTCCGAAAACTGCTGCGAGCGGATCGTGTTCGTTATGCGCTCTTCTCTGAACGGGCTTCTTCGTTCGTTGTCTGGCCCGTTTGCTGGGACGATGGGCCGACTATATTCTTCCACCGTATCTCTGATGGCCGATGTGATTTCCTCCCTGCTCGTGTAAGGGAAACACACGTTTAAAACGCAATTCCCGTTTTGCGACGTCATTTCCACCGCCCGATCCATCGCCTCCAGTACGTCGGGCTTGATTAATTCCCTCTGGCCCAGAATGCGGATACGTGCGCCGTAGCGGTCGAGCAAGTCGCCGTGTTGGGTCAGTTGCTTCAGTTTGATCTTGGCCATGTCCATGAGGGCGTCGACTTCGTATTTCGAGCGTTTGAAGTTCTCGATGCTAAAAGCGTAGATCGTCACATGTGTGACGCCGGATTTGTAGCATACTTCGAGAATCTGAATTCGAGAAAGGATCTTGTCAGCTTGTGTCCTTTTGGAAGCAGAATTCCCCCTACTTTGGCCAAAGCTTCAAAGCCCAAATTATGACCTTCCACCGTCTCAATTCGGTGATTTTTAGCAAACCGTCGGTTTCCGTCCATCACAAAAGCGACGTGTTGGGGGACCGGGCCATGGCGCAGAGCCCCGATGAGGAGTTCTCGGAGTTGATTGAGCGCCCATTCGGCGGGAGGAGACGATAGAAGCCATCTGCTAACGTGGGACATATGTCTGGAAGTCATCGTAGAGTTGCAGAGGCGGGAATGAGTGGGAAGTCGGTTGCAAGTGGGGGGATCTTTGCGTAGACAGGCTACGGTTGCTTGGAGGCTTTGAGGAGGAGATGGTGAATAAAGAGTGAGGTTCAAACGAAGGTCGCAGACCTCAAACGAGGGTATTGAGAAAAGAGTGTATGGGCCCCCAGAAATACGCAATCGAGGTGAGAGGTCTACGTGGCTGGATCGACAGGTGAGCTGCGCCAACCAGGAATTTTCTTGTTGAAATCCGGGGACCAATGAGGCTCAGGAGCCCGGTCCAGGAATTTCCGCCCCGAGAACTTGGCATGTGGACGGAGAAGGGGAGGGAGATTCAGGTACAGTAAGTTGCTGAAATTTTTTCAATTTATTCATTCAATACAAACAACTAGCATACTGTAAGGATTCAGACTACAAGCGACACAGTCCGCAAAAGGTCTGTCTTCGATCAGAGTCCATTTTTCCGTTACATATTGCACAAAGTTAGGGAACATTGGATATCGGTCAGTATTCAAGCACTCTCCCTTTCACCTCCTCGGCTACCCGCTCCACCTGGAAGTAGCACGTCCGGAAGCTTGATGCCAACATTTCCTTTGGGTCCAGTCTCTTTATCCTTCTTAGGCTGGGGGGGTCCGCCACTTCCTTTATCATTTTCGTCCTTCTCCCGAAGTTCCACTTCCAGTCGTTTCAATTTTTCTCCTCTCAGAATCCTCAGGACTTCTTCTCGATCGAGTGTTTCAAATTCGATGAGGGCGTCTTTGAGCGTTTCCAGCTCTTTTCGCTTCTCCTTGACAATTCGATCGGCCCGCTGTCGGCCTCCTTCGACAATTTCTCGAACCTCGTGTTCAATTTCCTGCTTCGTTTCGCTCGACAACCGTTCATAATCCGACGCCAAATCCACATTTCCAAGCTTAGGCGAATAGCCGAATGAGGTCACCATGCGCCACGCTGTTGCCGTGGCGGATTGGACGTCACCTGCAATACCGCTCGACACCTTGTTGGGACCATAGATCAGTTCTTCTGCTGCTCGGCCACCCATTGAAACGTCAATTTGAGCCAGCATTTGGTCATAACTCCGGCTCACCGCGTCCATTTCCGGCAAGAAATGTGTCACACCCAGCGCTTGGCCACGGGGAATAATGGTGACCTTGTATAATTGACTGCTGTTCGGGGTGTACAGGTTGACCAAAGCGTGACCAGCTTCATGGTAAGCCGTCATGATCTTGTCTTTGTCTCGAATCATCCGGGATTTGGCCTCCGCACCCATCATAATCTTGTCCTTGGCCCATTCAAAATTTTGTGCATTGACCTTCTTGTACTTCAACCGGGACGCATTCACGGCTGCTTGGTTGCAAAGATTGGCGAGATCGGCACCCGACATCCCACTGGTAGCTCGGGCCAGATTGGTCACATCCACATCGGCGGCTACGGGCATATTCTTCATATGATGCTTCAAAATCTCAATGCGGCCTCGAACATCAGGTAGAGGCACGTTGACGTGTCGGTCGAATCGTCCCGGTCGAGTGAGCGCTTTGTCCAGAGACTCGGGATAGTTGGTCGCGCCGATCAGAATGACCCCCGTGCTCGGACTGAACCCATCGAGCTCGGTTAACAACTGGTTCAGCGTCTGCTTGGCATAGGCGGGATCACGAGCATTTCGTTTGCCTCCCACCGCATCCAGTTCGTCAATGAAGATGATGGACGGGGCCTTGTTCCGAGCCTGGGCAAAAAGATCTCGGACACGCTTCGCACCCACGCCGACATATAACTCGTCGAACTCGGAACCAGACATGTAGAAGACCGGGACACCCGCTTCGCCGGCGACAGCGCGGGCAAGCATCGTCTTTCCCGTGCCGGGTGGGCCGACTAAGAGGACGCCTTTGGGAAGTTTGCCCCCCAATTGGTTGAATTTCTCGGGATTGGTCAAAAATTCAACCAATTCTTGGAGTTCTTCCTTGGCTTCATCGCAACCGTGGACGTCACTAAAACGAACCGTCTGGTGTTGAGGTTGGACTTCATTGTTCTGTCCCACTCGGGTCCTCAAGGTCCCCGAGAATTCAACAACCATGGTGAGGATGACCAGAAGGAAGTATCCCGCCAGGCCCACCCAGAGAAATGTCTTGACCCACTTCAGCACCGTGGCTCCCCATGACTCTTCCACGACGACATATAATGGTGAATCCTTGGCGCCGGTACCGGATTTGTTTCCCGGCATGACCATGTGCCCGCCATATTGGTGGGCAGCCACGGACTGCGCGACCGCTTGCAGTTTTTGAGGGTTTAGCTCACTGTCCGGCGACACAGCCCCATTCGCCAATGAACCCGTCATTTGCAAGGCCTTGAGATACGATGCTTCGGCGGCCGGACTAGTGGCGTAGCGTCCAGACTTGTATCGCTCGATGACAATCTTGGGCATATTCGCTCGCAAAAGAGCCGCGTAAAAAGCATTTTGCGCCGTAGGGCTGTTGGGATTGTTGTTGGCCGTTCGCTCCGCATGTGCAAGCAGGTTTTGGTTGGAGGCCGGCTGGAATGTGCTGGAGAAGTTCCGACGTTGGTTCTGGAAAGGCAAATCCCCTCTACGTGGAGGACCGAAGAGAAGAGAGGTCATCGGAGACGGGGTTCGAGGATGACTCGTGTTCGCTCTGGTGGCCATTCGCACGGCCGGGGCCACCGGCACACTGGTTGAGATAGACCGCCGTATGACTTGAAGAGGGTTTTGATACGGTAAGGTAGTTGTACGTAACTTGTTCGAAACCCAAGGGTGCGACTGAGGAGGAGTGAGTTGGGGCGGGTCCGAGCGGAGGGCGTCGATCGGAACGGAGGACAAGAACTCAGGAAGGGCAATCTTGGACGATTCCTGAGAGGCGTCAGTCATGCTCCGGCTTGGGGAGATGCGAGCATCACTCACATTCGACATATTAACCCTCTTGGTCGTTATTGAATGTGATGGCCGAACAGTTGATATATCTCCGTCCGACCGCCGTCGCCCGAGACGATGACGGCGCAGAGTGGCCAGCGGCGAAGTGAAAAATGAGGGTAATGTTGTCAAGACATCGGGACCAATGGCGAACAGGCTCTGTTTAGACACAAGAATCAGCGACGGTCGATTTTCAACGGCGATGGGGAAACGTACGGGAAGCTGCGCGAGCGGAGCCTGTAGGGCCATGTTTGACAGTTGGGTGGCGGCAGCAGCCGCAAAGAACCGTGTGAGATTATCAGAAGAGAAGATTGCAAAATAAACAAAGTTCAAAAGAATGGAACAAAGTCTGAACAGATGTCGCACCTTGCCACGCCGTGGATTCTAGCACGATAGATTTGGCGGGCAGGCGATGACCGGAACGAAGAGAAGCCGGACGTCAAAGGTGGATGGAATCATGGAAGTCGGCCGATGGATTGCCAAGGCAGTCACTCACGTGAGACTTCGTCCGCACACGTGACCGCAATACCGGTCCAAACGGAAATCACAGTACAGACCACGTAACTCCCCCGTAACCTTTCTCTGATTGGTTGGTAAATTTATTCAATTCTTGAACTGTGCTGGTCACCTCGTCAACTCCACGATGACGGCCTCTAGCGTCGGCAATGGTTTCTATAGAATGGTCAAGACTGACATTCAATGTGCTCAAGGTAAAGACATGTTGGCAGTCCACATTGGGTCTAGCCTAGTCACGTGCACCGCAGCCTTCGTGGCCTTTTTGTAGGGGGGTATTATTCTGTACACCAACTTTTGTTATTCTGTACACCGGAAAACCTGCTTATTCTGTACACCATGCCTCAACTCTCCTTATTCTGTACACCACCACCTCTCTCTCGCCTTATTCTGTACACTTAACGCTCTCATCCTGTTATTCTGTACACCGCGCTAACAGAGCTTGTTGCCGTTGGCCCGGCGATGGCGAGAAAACACTAGTAAGTGGCGTAGCTGTGGAGGGGTGACGCGTTAAACTCTCCCCGTTATAGGTGGTTGCGAAGCAATAAACACATTTGATTCCCTTTTCCTTGGTAGATAAGTACCGTGCATTTTGAGCTTCTCTGTATACTTTGTAAATTATTGTGGCCTACACAGCCGGATTTGTGTAGAGATCCCCTGCACGGTCGATACCTCGTGCTGACTAAGGTAACAAACCAGCGCCCATAGGCTTGGGAGGACCGCTCATAAGCCGGAGGGGGAAACCGCCCATGAACCGGGGGGAAACCGCCCATAAGCCGGGGGGCAACTGCCCCGCTTATGGGCGGTTCCCACCCAAGCCTATGGGCGCTGGTTTGTTACCTTAGTCAGCACGAGGTATCGACCGTGCAGAGGATACCATCGTTAACCATCATTTCTGCATTCTATATAGGCAGACTTAGGTGTTGTGACATCACGTATCTTCGAACTGCGCAGATAACCGGAAAAATAAAAATCCGGACCAATCAAAAGCGGTGTACAGAATAACAAAATGTGGTGTACAGAATAACATTACCCCTTTTTGTAGCTTGCGCCTCACTCAGATAGATTCAATCCATCAATCTTCTCTCGGCCCAACAAGACAATGTCTCAGCCCTTGAAAACCTAGAAAAGTGGCGGCCAAGCAAGGGGGTGCCGTAGATATAGAGGCCCGCAGATCACCCACTCTAATCCACTGACAGCAATTCAGCTCACTCCATCTCGCTCTAAATCAATTGGCCACTTAGGCTTCTCGAGCGCAGAGACTCTTCTGAGAGATGGGGATGCTGAATCTGACAGGGATCTGGACAAGCAACTTCATCCTTCCTACCAGCAGCCGCTACCGGTTTGTGGGTTGGGACACAGTGACAGTCAATCTGAGGGGTGAATAGCATGATACCCGTATATCCGCAATGCCGTAGAATCTTGCGCGACATGGCACATGTAACACCATCGTTCTCCACGGACGGATGAGGACAGTAGGGCAAGCTGGTGACAGAGCCCTCGCGGTCTCGTCCCGCCTTGGTAAGGACCGAGTATGCTAGGTAGATCTTCCGGCTGCGACTTGAAAATGTCACTTCTTCTAGCTGGATCCTTTGCGGGAAATGAGTAGACGGAGGCGACTTTGGATGGTCTTGAAGGTTTGACACGATGACCTGGGATTCCTTCTCAACCACGAACCTCGCAATCGTGGTCGCCATGCAGCTAGTCCAGCCACGTTCGTTCCTCGTTACACTATGGAGCATGGACAGTGCTCGTTGACGAAAGTCATGATCACGGCACTTGGTGGCAACGAAGAACAAAGCTGGTATCCAGCCAAGAGTGGGTTTCAACGTAGGGGTGTTCTCTGTCGACGCCGGCCGTCTGCCCATGATTGTCTCGAATCGTTCCAAGATGAAACGGAAATCCGAGTGGAAGCCGTCGTATCTCCATTCGTCGTTGTGCCCAAATGTATGAAACATAATACGGGCCACACGATAGTGTGCCTGAAGATGCGAATACTCTTGCACAAGACCGCCCTCTGCGCGAAGTTGCTTCAGTTTGACTTCGTACATGTCCAGCGCGCGCACGATCTTCTCCATGACGATATCAGAGGCGACAATGAACGTACAAGTGGCCCGAAAGATTGATTTCAAAAGCAGAGCCATTCCATCTAGAGCTTCGATCCATGTGGAGATGGTGTGGATCTTCTCCAGACCATTGTCGAGCTGGTAATTGGACAATAATCCCGAAGTCAATGGTGGAAAATTGTCCGAGAAAGTACAGGCGTGAACCAGGAGCTCGTTAATGAGGAAGGTAAGGATTTCCAAACTTTCGGTGTTGCCGTGGAATTCAGCTTTCTCTCTGAGAATCCGGTGCGCAGCTAGGATGTGTACCGTGGGAGATGTATTCTTGTCGATCCACATGACAAGAGTTGAAAATAAGATGCAGCAAGTTATTGACGTTTCGGCCGAAAGCGAGCCGGGGTCTGCCATTCTGAGATGATTGACGGCCTCTGTCAGGTGGTGGAATACCAATGGTGAGATCCCGAGGCTGGTCTCTTTCCTCGTCGCGAGTACTTCTGCTGATTGATGGTGAAACGGCCTTAAGAGAGCTCCGAGAGCCACTAAACCATTCTTCACAGCGGCATTGGTTTCCGCAAGCTGGGGCGCAAGTCTAGTCCAGAAGGGGAGAGAGGAGATCTGATAGAGTGAGAGGATCTTCGAGCCACTTCGGACAAAATAGTCATAGTTCGCCCTTTCCTCGTTGGACTTGAACTGCGGTCCGGCTTCTATCTGGAAAATCCGTACCTTGGGAAGCCGATATCCCGGGCATGTAATACCCAATTTGAGACATCTCTCACACGACGGCTTCCGTTCATCACACTTGACATGTCTCTGTTTACATTTGATACAACCGCTGAAATTTTTATGATGCCAGCGTTTCTTTCTGGCACGACCTGACGACTCTGACCCCTTTTCTGGAGGTCCGGCCATGTAAGAATCTCTCGGGATACGGATGGCCCGGTAGGTTGCCTGGAATCGATTCAAGCGCAAGAGTAGAGGGACGGCAAGTATGGGCGAGCGAGTGCACGTGTGCTTGGAATTTGGGGAGCACACTTTTGATCTGTTCTGCTGGCAAGAAGAGATTTGTTGTCATGAAATGAGGATGGCCTGTGATGTCATTGTGTAACCAATGCGTAGTAGCAGACTAACGTGAAATGGGAATATCTTGGTGCATTTGATTCGTCTTTTGTAGGCTCATCGCCTCGTTTGGTTTCTGACCTATGGTTGGCTAAATCAAACTACTATGACGCGTAGCGCATAGGTAGACGCTCAAATCGGGCAATAGAGCCTCTAGTTATGGTTAGGCCTCCTCGACTGCTCGTTAAGTAGTCTGTTCTGCGATTTAAAACAGATCGGCCTCTTTTCGGAGTCTTACTAGAAGTTACCAGTATAAGATGAATACAATACAATATTCTCACAGAGTCTACTGCATTACATCTCAGACACCTCGATAGATGGAGAACCTTCCCGAAGACTTCTGGGCCACTTCTGGCGCTTATACGCCTCACATCTATCGAGATCAGTATCCATCCATCGACCCTACGACAGCATCACTCTCTCAGGCCGGTAAGGTCATCATCATTACTGGAGCCAGCTCCGGTATCGGGGCCCGAGGCTTTGCACCGGCATTTGCAAAGGCTGGCGCAAAGGCTTTGGTCCTGGTTGCTCGCAACCAAACCAAGTTGAAGGAGACCGCCAGTACGATTCAAGCCATCAATCCTGCCGTCGAGACGTCCGTATTCGCAGCAGATGTATCCGAGGAAAGCGAAGTGGCTAAGTTGTATGAGGTGGTCAAAGCTAGGTACGGACATGCAGATGTCTTGATCAATAATGCAGGGGCCTTCAACCAGGAATCGCCCATTATCGCTGCAAATCCGAGCAAGTGGTGGGCGGACTTCGAGGTTAACGTCAAGGGTGTTTTTCTCATGGCCAAATATTTTCTCGATCTCTTGGGGAAAGGGAGGGAGGGAACTGTTATTACCATGAATACTGGCCTCGCTACCGTGGTGGTCCCTGGCCAGAGTGCATATTCGATATCGAAGATGGCCAGCTTGCGAATCACTGAATTTCTGGCGGCCGAAAATCCCAACGTGAGCGCGGTGTCATTGCAGCCTGGTGTCGTCAAGACGGACATGGTAACCGAGAGTTTCCAGCGTTTTGCCCAGGATACCCCCGAGTTGGTGGGCGGTACGGGAGTGTGGTTGGCTACCGACTCAGCAAGATTCCTCAGCGGTCGCTTCGTGTCTGCGAACTGGAGTGTCGATGATCTAAAGATGCAGATGAATGAATTAGTTTCCGGGAATGACTTGAAAATGGTACTTCATGGAAAGTTCGGACTAGATCCGACTAGGCCCCAAGGAGAATGAACCAGGGTCAGGGCCCAATCCTGTCAGAGAAAGTAAAAGAGTGGTTAAGCAGTGAGGTGGTGAGCGGAGGGTTTCAAAGTGTAGTTGCATATGGGTGTCGTTCAGGCATGGCAGACTCGATGTAGAACGGACACTTCTACTTCTGTCTTGCGGCTATGTCTAGGTATAATTCGACGACACATACTGGCTCTTTATCGATCCAACGCACGTCTGCGAGCTCCTCTTCCTCCAGGACTGAACGAAACTCTTGAGATCACCAGAAAAGGACCCATTGGAAGCACTTGTTGGTGTCAAGAGATGGTAAGCAAACATGAGAACACCGACCAGGTATCGCACAATGGATGACACTATTGAATGCATATTGTCATATGACATGTGCTCGGGACAACCAAAGTCTACAGCATGTGTTGACTACCAAAATACTTGGCACCAACAATCAGCTAGAGCGAGGGTGGTAATAGGGTTTGTCTCGGAAAAGCTGTGATTTTCTGATTGGAATGAAATTCTCCTTCTGTCTCTGTTCTTGTAAACATGGCCATTCCACAGGACTATGAAACCCCTCTTCCCCTCCATGCTGTGTAACTTGAACGCACGCCCCTTTAAATGAGACTGTCTCAGTAGAAACCACTAGGCTGGGCAGTATGTGAACTCCGCATGGGCAATATAGCAGAACTCTCAGTCAATAACGTCATGAATGTCCAGTTGGGAATCGATAATCATATTTGAGGGTTCTAGGATTCATAGAATAAATGAAAACAGGACCTTGTTGCGAGCCGAGGAGAGTTTCTCCGCAATCTTGAGAAGCAGACACTGTGCAACATCCTTCTTTCGACAGTCGGCTTCACACTCAATAGTGTCATTGCGTTGAGGTAAAAAATGATCGAGATGGCTCTTAGCCAACTGCCACAAATAATCAGGAAGATGAGTTCGCGGGCAGATCATCTGGAAGATAGTTTGCCAACAAAACCAATTGGTTCGAATGGAATGTCAGTGGTCCTTTTCCTGGTCAGCTACGGGCCTGACCTGTCTCCAGTTTACCCTCTAATACGATAAAAACGGTATTTAGACAGCTCGAGTAAGACCTTTGCCATTTCGCGATTTGTCTTCGCAGACTTTGGGGTTCGATATTTGGGTCCCGTACGCCACCCAGCCCAGATTCCTCGGGAGTTTTGAGAGAATCTGACCATAAGGCTTCCGAGACGAACATCATGATGATGCAGGACCTCCAGCAGACTTATCAATTTTGATCACTTTGGGGCACAAATTGTTGTACTTGTTGTATGTGTGGCGATGTATTTCATAATCAAGGACTCATCGAAGGTCTTTTCCCTGCGAAAGGCCACTTTGCTCCAGATCGGGAAGCACCAATTGTGATTCACATGCTGTTGACCTTGGATTGATAAAGGCGATGGAACCTGCCTAGCGAGAGAAAAGGAGTGTCAGGTCTGGGCAAAGTATTCCGCTGCCAGCTCATCTGCGTATTCTGCGACATGCTGATCCAGCTTGCCTATCCAGATGCGGCACATCGTATCAGCCTCACGGAACGCCATGGCGTCGTAGCGTATGACGTTGGATTGGAACGATTTGGGGACTTTCAGACAGGCGCATAAGAGGAGGCTGGTATCCTTTGCGTTCTGTGAGTGCCACAGCAGGAAAAGAAGCAATAAAAGGCGAGGGAGAAGGGGAAGTATAGCGAGATCCCCACGCAACATAAACAAGGCTGTGTCTGCACTGACAGTAAAGGGTCTTTGTTCAGTGTCTTTCACATCTTCTTCGTTCAAATCGAGCTTATAGTGTTTCATTGCTCAGACAGGACGCCTGTCATATGATATTAAAGTTAAATGCAACGCAATGCAATGTGTATTTTACACCTTTCAAAACTATGATTGGAGCAGCCGTGGTGACCCTAAGGGTGATACAAATCGCGGACTCTGATTTCCTAACCGTGGGGTTCCCGCAGACATGAGAGGTGACCTATTTTCATTCCCACCTGGACTCTGAATCGGCGTCCTGGGAGGTGATGATGGCGTTGCTTCGGCGGATGTATCGCGCATCGAAAATGCTGGGTGATGCTCATTAATATATGTGCTTCCTGGTAGTTCTTGAGGAATGCTCGGCTTGCGCGGGGCCGGTCTCCCTTTCGTATGATCGTATGCTGGAGGTGATGATGTGGTGGGAAAAAGAGGCCAATTCGCCACTGCAGCTCCAGGAGAGCTAGCTAATGCCTCTGGCCTGTTGGGTTCATGAGCGGTGGACGATCCCGACATTTGAAGAGGTGGCTCCTCGGGCGGGAATGTCGTTGCACGAGCAGCGGCAGCCACTGCCTTGGCTGTGCGCTTTCTGATGTATAGCCATACCGCGATGGTCGCCCCCACGAACAGGACTGCGCTGATGCCGATACCGATTTTACCGCCCAGAGGTATGTCCTGGCGGCCTGTAGATGGTGGGACCAGCATATACATCCGCGAGAATATATGATCCGTGATAAGAGTCAGACCAGAAGCGGTGGGAGTCGACACCGGAAGCACCTTGGTGGCTGGATCCGAATAGCAGGGTGTTTCTGCACCAATGGCGGTGTAGTAGACCTGGTAACCACTGGGTTTGTCAGTCTATAAACCCCCCAAGTCCAGGTATATACTGACATCGGACAACATGCACTAGCTGTGGTGAAATAATCTCGTGGGCACTTTGTTATATAGGCATTCGCTCCTTGATCATATGGGCAGCAATCGGCTCTTTCGTCTGAACAGCCAACAGCCGGAAATTCGGTCATCTGGCCATTTGCGACCGTGACAATAGCAAAATACGGTATCGTACAGCTACCTGTCATTAGCGGTCTTCCTGCAAATGTAGCCGTGATGGGCTTCCCACGAGAAACTATGGTTTGTTCCGGAACTACGTCTCCATCAATGGTCGAGAAGTGAGAATCAATTGAAGAGGAAGTGGAAGTCGTGGAAACCGCCGTCGAAATTGTGGCCGATATTACCGGGTCTGCACTCGCACTGGCAAGGGCACTTGATAGTCCCGCCGGTGAGCACCCCACAAAATCTGGAGCGGTATCATTGACTGCGGCACACTCCTGCTTGTTGAATTGAATGGCAGCTGGCCAAAGTCAGAATAATTTTCTTTGAATCTTTTTGGACTTGCAACATACTTGTTTGCTCCTCGCTCGAACATTGAGTGTACAGACAACAAGACAATGCCGCCACGTACGCCGAACTCGAGCAGAGACAGGCGATATCAATCACTGAGCATGACGTTTGAGCTGACGTGGAATTCGAGAGACAATTTTGCTATAGACCGGTCAGCGAGCTTGATTTTCAAGTCATCTGCAGGTCACTTACCGCACATTGAGGAATATCCTGCACGCTTATGGCCTGGACAGGGCGCAGACAAACTAATTGAATGAGGATCAAGGTTAGCTTCATCGCGCGCGATCCAAAATTGGGGGCGAACGACTTGGATACTTCCTCAATGCACCAGAAGCCCGTACAGTCACGGTCAGATCAGTACATATACCAAACAACATCTGATGGAAAAAGGCGGCCGAAGGAGTTGGTAACATCCCGTTCCCGGTTCAGAATTCAAACAAAAAGAGCGCATATCTGTGGTAGCCATGGTGATATTCTTTGAACAATGCACAGCTCTCGGGAACTTACCGAACAAGACTGGAGTAATCAGAGCATGGCAACTTCGAATTGGAATGTGACAAAGAATTCCTGAGCGCAAGTCCCCATTGTGGGACAAGTCAGCCTTCGAAATTTGTGGTTTGTCACGTGCAAGCGTGGTTTCCGATAAGCCGATAACGCCTCGGCGATAACGATAGTCCCAACGATAAAGCTTGGCACAGAATGAGTCTAAACTGGTTCAAATCTTGCCTAATAATTCGCTCATACTCGGAAAGGTCTTGAGAGGGTTTTCTTTCGTACGAGGTGTAGCCGTATAGAGAGAGGTCTTTTCTCGGTAAACCTCCCATAGCGCCTTCACCTTGTTCAGCATAGGCTTTTCCCAATCCTTTTTCCTATTGTGCTGAATGTACTTCGTCCGACGATTTGAATAAGGGCCGCGGCATAAATGGGGGGGAGTCGTCTGTCTTGCTATTGTATTCATCAAACCATTGTGCGAGCCTTTACTTTGGTGTACTGGGGCTCCCCATCACGTGCGTCACGGGCGTGGGCCCATGTCCTTTTCGACCCTGTTTCAGCCGAGTCCAAGGTGGTTGAAGGCGAGTGAAGGGATGAATTTGCTTCAGAATCCATATTTTGTACAAGGGAATAAAGGAAGATGGAAATCGAATGGATTCTGAGCGGTGAGGAACTATTGACGATTATCGAAAACCACACTGGTCCGGTGCTCTTTCTTTACAGTCGCTTGCAAAATCGGATTCATCTTGTGTGCACTCTGCTTCCATACAATTCCTGGGTTAGCACCAAAAACTTCTTCAATCATTCGCCATGTTGCCATTTAGCTAGCGCTGCAGAAGGAAAACAGGGTGCGAGGATGCTGAGCACCCAGTACCCGATGCAGGACACATTTTGCCATAAGTTCCTTAATGTTTCTGCGTTGCTCTTTGATGGTGAATGCAAGATTTTTCATGGTGATTAGCGCGTCGGGATGCTCGTCCCCCAGTGCCCTCTGCTGAGTCTTCGGTACCTACACATCCATCTTCTCTGCTTCCATCTATCACCCTTAGATTCCATACAGTACGTAGAACCTGGCAACCCTTCCCGGCGCCCAGACAAAGTATCCGTCAATAGTACCATCGCCTTCTGGGAAGGGAAACTGTTCCTCGGCTGATATGCGTGGTCTGGTCCTTTCCATCCTCTTCTTGCAATAGCTTTAGATTGTTGATTACCATGCCAGTAGTGGGGTGATCTGAACCCAAACGGGCCTGTAGACCATCTAGCGCTCGCTGGTACATCTGCTCAGATTTCTCCAGCTGGCCACACTCGGAAAATAGAACACCAAGATTGTTGACGACCCCGAGGACAAAAAAGTGGTCGGATCCTAGCAGCTCCTCCATTCCCAATAGAGCCTGCTGATACATTTGCTTAGCTCTGTCCAATTGGTGGTTTTCACAGTATAGGTTTCCCAGATTATTCATCGTGCCAATCGTGAACGGATGCTTACTTCCCAAAACATTCTCCATCCTAGAGAGCGCCCGTTGATACATCCGCTCTGCTTCATCTAGCATTCCTTGGTAACAGAAGAGGCTCCCGAAGCCGATAACAGTAAGAAGAGTCGACGTGTGGTCCAGTCCTAGCACCTTCTCCTGCCCGGCTAGCGCTCGTTGATACATCTCCCCCGCCTCGGCCAGCTTGCCTTGGTCACGATGTAGATTCCCGAGACAGCAGACAGTGGTGAGGGTCGACGGGTGGTCCAGTCCCCGCACCTTCTCCCGCCCGGCCAGCGCCCGTTGATACATCTGCTCCGCCTCCTTATACAGCAGTTGCTGACGAAGTAGCTCCGCGAGATGGGCAAGTGGCTGAACTTTGCCCTTCGGCGGCTCCTCGAAAACGACCGTGTACGAGTCGGCATGCATGTGCGCTAATTCGTTGGTATCGAATGATAGAAAGCTGCTCCTCGTCTGCATCTCCAATATGACCCGCCACACAGTCAAACGCCAGCCAGTATTGGTCCGCATCAATTTCACGGTTCAAATGGTTGAAGACCCAGTCGTGAACGCATACGTGAACGCTGTACGATCTAGCTTGATAACGGGCCTCGACAAGACCGTACCTGACCAGCGTTCTCATTGCTCTCTCAAACGAGGCTTCAGTTTGGGTTAAATGAGTGAACCACGCGGAGGTATTGATATTTTTAGTGCTTCTGATGCTCAAGACTCTTCTAGTACCTTTTATAACTGAGATACCTCCGTTGTCTCTGACACCTCTAATGCATTGATACCCACGAAAAAGATCGTACCAGATATCGCGGTGGTCGAGATAGGCCAGAAACCTTAACAAGTGTGCTGCAAGGTCATCCTCCTGCTTGATTCGGGTGAAAGAAACGTTCCATGTGGTGTGGAGTGTCCGCATAGGGTAGTCCGCCAGTTCTTCCATCGAAGCGACCGCCTCCCACTGAGCTTCATATTGCCGTAGATATTTCAAGAAGGTGAAAGATGATTCCTTCAGATAGGCACCCGCCGATGCCAAAGCTAACGGGTGGCCGTCTAGTCGTCGTGCTAACTCGCGAGCGTCGACATCTAAGTATGCGTCAGACATTTATGCCCTGTTACTCGCTCAACGGCACCATACCTGACTCGATACCTTTCCGCCCGGATCGAATAGATAGAATCCGTAAGCCGTCCTCTTCCTTACCCAGCGATTGCAGGTTGACCTTGCTCCCGTTGACTCTGCTGGGGACCCGTGTCGTGACGATGATCGATCCATGCGCTACCGAGGGGTAGTATTTCGTGATGTTGAATTCCTCTGTGTCGTCGTAGTTGTCGTAGATCAGGAGCCAGCGAGAATTCTCAACCTCGGATAACCAGTTAGACACTCCGATCCAGATACGATCATCGTCCAATTGGTCCACAGTCTCCAGAGCCAAAATTCGATGCGCGACATTTCGGAAACTGCCCTTCAAAGTGACTTCGGAAGTTGCGTTGAGCCAGAAGATCGATGAGTACGTATCCCCATGTCGTTTGGCGTAGGCAATGGACAATTGGGTCTTGCCAATTCCACCCATCCCCCCTAACACGAGTACTCTCCGGTGAGAAGAATTCGAACCAGGAGTGAGAATCCCCTCCATCTGCTGAAGTTCTATGTCACGACCGATGAAGAGGTAGTCCGCCATGTCCGGAGCGTCGAAAAAATTGATACCACGCTCGTACCCTAGCTAAAAATTAGCCGCGCCATATGACGAAAAGAATCACTTGGAGGCATCGATATAAAGGGCTCGAACAAACGTTCGAATCCGAATTCGAAACTGCTTAATGAGATAAGAGAGGGCCGAGGCTAGTGTACTCACTCGATACCTGTATCACCTCAGCAGCAGGCCACACCTTGGCCACATCCTTAGGGGGGGATGACCGACAGCAACTCTTTCATGTATGCCGCCGCTGTGGCCGCGGCATATGGTTGCCACTTTTTATTCTTGTGCGAGTCAGCGTAGTCACAGATCCCGCGAATGACCAGGCAGGGAAACCAATCCATCAAACCAGTCGCCTCCATTTCCACGCAGGCCACCTTCCACGCTCGTCGCAACTCCTCTCGCAAACCCGCATCCTTGACCAACGTGTTGGCCGATCCAATTGTGCCATAATGAAATTTGGGATTCGTATCACGGCGACCATCCCTCACGACAATCCGCTGCCGATCACAATTTTGGCAATCTGCACCGCCGCGGTGAGAATAGTCCGTCTGGTAAAGCTGATCTTGCTCGGCACCTGGATAGGAATATTTCCTCTTCCATGACGGGAAACTGCTGAAGCATGTCACGCAGATATTGCGGAACCTTCGATCCTTTCATCCGATGGTCAGCTGCCAGCGTTTCTACACTTGCTCGCAGGATTTGAGGAGGCTTATTCAACACTCCGGTTCGTTCGAAGCCGCCGCCCGTCGAATACTTGCCCAAGTCGTACTGGACTACCCCGCCGAAGCTAGCGGTCGGCTTACTGACCACCACATCTCCTAGACGAATATCATAGCCGTCCTCCTCTTCGTCGGGCACGCCATCACCAATTCCCACTAGCAGTCCGAACCGGATAGAGGGAAAGTCATTCAAGAGCTGGGTTGCCACCGCCGCCGCGGCGTTCGTCCCAATCTCGGGCAGAACCGCAATCACAATGCTGTGTCCACATATTTCCCCCAAGGTGTAGCTGTTCTGGTCGCGTTGAGTGGGTGAAACAGGATGGGTCTGGTCAAGCATGGCTTTGACAGGTGCTAGCTCCACCCCCATGGGGCAGATGCAGCCCACCGTATAGTTGCGATGGGATAGAGGCATGATCAAACGGAACGGTCGAGTCGGGACAGTCCGGAGTGTCACATGGATGGCGTCTCATCAGCTTCCGTGATCAGGCTGAGTTTCGATGTTGGAGGTAGGACTTGGAAGGAAACGGCGGTGTGGGTTGAGGTCTGGCGACAGGCACTCACAAAGTGCTGCTGCATCGTCGCCGATCATGCATACCTGTCTAGACAACATGATGGGAAAAGATAGAAGATTCGGTTGGGAGAGGGTAGGATCAGGGAGAGGGTGGAAGAGGCACGCGTGGGGTTGAGTGTTGAATGTCGTTGATTTGGCCAATTGTAGATGGATAAATGGCCGCCGCTATCCTTCACCAGGTCTTGTATTGAGTCGTGTTAGCTGGAATGTTAGCGAGGTTTCTGTGCCGTCTAATTGGTCGCTTAAGCTCAATGGGCTCTGCTAATGAGGCCACCGCAATTCGTCCAAGTGGACTACGACTGGGGCGTTGACAATTGCGTTTAGGATGAAGCCGATCTGGCAAGAGACTGTATTGTGGCCGCGAGAACTCTTGCTACATGACCAAATCAGTGTTGATCTAGGGTCCACTCCATTAATCTGCCCAAGTTCCTTTGAGAAATTGAGGGTACATCTGATAGGGCGTTCAGGGTAATCCAAGATGCCACAAGAGAAGCCAAAAATTATGGCACGAACAGACGAAGTCCTTACCACTGCGCCAAACATCCTCATGGAAACGTTTAATCGCGCAATCCCACAAACTTACCTCTTCTCATGGAACAATAGCTCGTCGACCAGTATGCTTCTGGCAACATCGTTCTATTGCTCAAACCGTAACTTTGGCACATTGTCTTGAATTGTCGATAACAGTTGAGGCACAGGTTTCGAACGATTGGGTTCTTCAAAGAAGGCATCCACAGGGTTCTGACAATACCGAATCCACGGTTTCTCGGAATCTCACAAGTTCTGGATGATCCTAGCTCGTGATGGGGCTGTTGTCGTTTCTGCTCTTTTCTCTCCAGTATCCCCTCCAGACTGATCACGCTGGTGATGTTCCATGCTTGATCGACAAGAATGTTGATGGTGCAGAAGGCTACAAGTCGAAGCGGAAATGGCCCGTTCCCCAAAGGCCATCTTTTAAGATGATATGATATGGCGCAGGGTAACATCTTTGTGACCGTTCGCCACCAGCAGTTTCCCTCGTCCTGTGCAGTATTTTGTGGCTTGCGGAAGCCGACGTCAAAAAATTAGGATTTTCACGACGAAATCTGCAATACTCGTATAAGTATTGGTTCTTCGCACAAATCCCGGTGCGGCCCTTAATTCTCGAGCGCAATCATCCAGGCAAAAGGGGCCCGGTTTGTCAAAGTCCGTGCTCGCACTGTGGAAGTAGAATGAGCGAATTGTCTGATGTGAACCATGCCTTGAAACCAAGTCTGTCTCCGGATTGCGTCTTTCCGATATTGATTCCAGATAATGGAGAGCAGCTGGCCCCTTAGCTGGCTCCCGAATTCCAGCAACATGTATCCCGTGTTAAGGATGCAGGGTGTATAGTTGTTCATGTAGTGGAATGGAGGTGTCCTTTTCAGGCACATCGCCGTCTTCACCTCGCCAGTATGCAGATATTGAAGTTGTCCTTAATCCGTGTCTCTTGGCCAAGAACAATGCAGATGTCCTTTGCTACCCGGTCTTAGATGTGTGGGAAAAGCTTCGATTGATCGTCTTTGCTTCAGAATGGATGCACACACCTACCCGATGGCCGATAAATATGAGATGGTTCCGGTGGTGTGGAAACTCTCCTGAACTACCGACTCGCACGTTGTCTGATTATCGTTGAGCTTCGACTGGCGGTCGCGGACACAGCGCATGCGCGCCAATGTCCAGTCCTCAGCGTGATGAGGTGACGGCAGCTGTGTCATCGCGAGGGTTATCCTGACCCTGGAGAATTTGAGGATGCTGAACTGCACTTGTACCCGTATCCACTTCGTTCTTTCTGTCCATCTTGGATTAAATGTCTCGAATTTGGGAGAGGTTCGAAAGAGGTTAGATTACAGCTTTGATCTTCCCAACCTTCAAAGTTTCGTCCATTTACTTTTCATTCCGCAATCTCGTGGATGGACTCCTAGGACGGCTCGACTACACAGCAATAGATTTGGCCAGGTTAACTCGCGCGAATTCTTGTGTAACCTTGATCCTTGATCTAATATGGCTTCCGTCTAAGATCGTTCACGCTGGTTTATGTTCAGCGCGGTCAGAGATTTTTCCGCTTATGTAATATGTAAAGACGGTCTTGGCGCCTAATGAAGAACTTGTCGAATTCATTCTCTCTTCTCTGGGCTTGAAATTATTAATCCATCATCTCCATCTTCGACGCTCGGGTACTTATCTCCTCTACCTCTATTGCCTATGACTCGTCCTATATCGACTCGCCATCATTCTCCCATCGTCATCTACGGTCATTTCACCACCAAGGAATCGCTGCGATGGCTTCCATCTCAATGGAAAAGTTACCGGGCAATTGTCCAACCTCAACAGCCGTTCGAGCAGGTTTAGGATCGGGTAACATCTCCGCATACACTTCATTCATGGCACTGTAATCGTCCATGGTGGCCAAATAAACTGTGGTCTTGAGAACATAGTCCCAAGACGTGCCAGCCTCTTCAAGGATTGCTCCGATGTTACGAATCACTTGTGCCTTTGGCCGAGGATGCGGATTAGTTCCGATACCGTGATCCGTTTATGAGGGTATGGGAAAGATCCGACTTACGGTTTGGTTTTGGATGCCACCACTGACAATAGTTCCGTTCAAGGACGGCACGGTACCCGCGGTGTATACTAAACCTTTGGCTGTTGCACCACCAGCTAATGCAGTGTCTTAGTCTCCGGTCGACTCGAAATTTCGACAGAGGTCTTACAGAGAATTCGGCTTTGAGAACCAAGGTAGGTCACGGTCTCATTTGGAGCCAGTCTCCGTTCCACCGGGACAGCCACAGCGCAAGTGATGATCGAGAGGAGAGCTGTGATGGCGTGTTTGAACAGCATGATGCGAAAGAAGGATGATGAAACTTAGGCAGAAACATATGAGGGTAAATCTTGCGGGTGTCGGCTTGCAGATTCCGTTTTCTCTTTGTCCGACATTATGAATGCGAACTTGGTAGATTTTATAATGCCCTCGTTTCGTGAAAACCCGCCTTCCAGCTCACCCAAGAAATGGGAGTCCTCTTTCTTGTCGTGGCGATTCCCGAAACTGGGCACGACATGCTGACTCCTGTGACTTAGCTATATGACCAACTGAAAATCCCTCTATCTCTCCCAGCGTTTGATTTCCGTTACCAAGACCGCCACGTTCGGTAACTCAGAAGCCGAGTTGAGGTCCGCATGGCGTGGAAGATCAAAACTGAGCAGAAGTCTGTGACAGAGAAGGTATGGATCCGGATGCCAGCATATCCTCTCCGGCCGAGCACATGACATACCAAGGGCGTAGACCCTTATATTGCTCCATAGATAAGGAATCAAAGCTGGTCTTCCCACACAAACCCCAGTAGACACCAAAACAAGACTTTTCGTGGCCACGGGAGGGAACATGGGGACACTGATGGCTTGGCAACATTACCAAGCACAGAGGAATTGGCGTATATCCGGATTGGATTTGCATAGCCTCGCTGTATATCCATTAACCAATCGCAAGGTCTTCTCCGCTGATAAGGATGTACTGGCAGTCCTAATGGGCATCCCGACCCTATTCCGGGGCTTAGTTAAGCAGGATGGTTTACTGACTTTCCCCAGATCGACACAAGACAGAGGACGTTGACGGTCCCTGTGTCTTTGGCCTCCGATTAGTCCACCACGAATCGAGCAGGGCACATTGTGATGGAGTACGTTTGGCATGGGCATGGGCAGCTTCGGTTGTTTTCGAATCGGTTGTGCCCGATTACATATATCTATTGCAGATCGACATCCATCTTTATGTCGTATTCGCTTGCGACTTTGACTTCCTGGCTCTCGGCGCCTAGAAGATGGGCGGGATCGCTGGCAAGTCGGCACGATCGGAGTTGTGGGGGATACGCGGATCCAGACGGGAAGGTCAAATCAACCGGCTGCGCAATCATTGAGGATGAAAAAGCAGATGCTCTGTTGTCCTGGAAACTGGAAGTATTGAGCACTTCAGTCATGCGACGTTCTTAGCTGGACGACTATCTGGGAGATCTTTCGGGAACCTCGTCAGGGATGTGAAAGGTAGAGGGCCGGGGTCCAACAAGTTTCTCCATGAACCGAGGTTGTTGTGCCGCATCAGGATCAGCCAGGTTCCACAGATGAGGTACGGAGGAGGACACCCATAATCCACTAGGCAGACACGAGGAGAGAGGCGTGACAAGATTGGAGTCATGAATATGGAATAGATAAGAGAAAGGGATCTAAATCCTCCGGGCCGTCTTGGCAAGGCTGCGACGTTGATCCAACGCCCTTGTCCGCCTGGGCATTATATGGGCATCACACCTCCTATTCGGAAGGTCAACTGGAATATCATACCCTTCTCTTGATCGTTCTATGCATCCAGACACAGTGTACCCACGTGGCGATTCAAATCTTGACATCTATCCTTGACCAATATGCCTGTGTTGTCACTATCGCTTATTGTGCTTGGCCTCCCCCAATCTTTCCCTCTAACTCCTCCCGATAAGGAAAGTTTTCTGCTTTCCAATCTCCCACAGCATCGTGTGATAATGAAAGCTCAAATTACCATTTTCAAGACGGAGAGCTGATTTTTCGCTATCTTTTCCCATGGAGCACTCTCCACGCCCAACGACACGGGTGGGGATTTCTCTGGTGAACTTCTGCCGCTCTAAAAGGTAACGCGGTATCAGTCAGTATCACCCCGGCTTTCGGAGCTTGAGGGAAAGAATTGTGAACTATGTTCTCTCCCCCGAGGGAGGACACAATTTTGGGTAGAGTATATATTCCATCAACCTGCTTCGTGTCGATCACCAGGAGTGACTCGATTCCTCCCCCCTATGATACTCCTTTCCCTTGCAGCCATGAAGGCTTCTTCGGTAGCCCTTACGGGGCTGCTTGTAGCGGGACTCGCACTGACGTCGCCAATTCAGCTGGACTCCGAAGTAGTCCACTTCCGAGGCCCGTTTGAAGTCAATTCCGAATCCGTCCATAACATTCACGTGGAGTTCGACGAATCTTGGGAAGGAGAACTTCGCCTCGTGCATGGAGAATGCGACCTGGAAGACGCCCGACATAGTCACCACGAAATTGCTGTTACGGCTGTCCAGCGAGATTGTTTTCCTGACCGGTTTGTTTGGATAGTCCCAAGCGACGCCATCCCCCATGGCTGCATTCACGCATTTTCGGGATCTGCTCTGGTCGGTCGCTCAAATCCTATCACTGTCTCCAAGTCTCTTCGTAAACGACAAAGCATCGCAGATGTTGCCGACACGTCAGGCCCTTGGTTTGACGGAGTGGCCTTTATGCAGTCCAAAAACGTGACCGCGGCGTTCGTTGCTGAAGCCAAAAACCAAAAGATAGCCATCGTTGGTGGTGGCATGTCCGGCCTCATGACCAGTTTACTCCTTCAGTCCGTTGGGATCACCAACTGGCACATTATCGAATCGAGTCATCGTGTCGGCGGTCGCGTCCGAACGAGATACCTCAACCATACCCGTCCAGACCAGTACCAGTATCAGGAGATGGGCCCGATGAGATTTCCCGTGTCGATCAGATATCCGGACACGAATGAGACACTTGAAATCCAAGATCACAAAATGGTCTTCCAACTTGCAGACGTCCTAAACAAAATGAATAGCAACGATCATCCCGAACTGGCTGTCAATTTCATCCCCTGGATCCAATCCAGTCCGAACGTGCCCGCCAACTCGCGTGGTTATCGCCTACCGAATGGCCGGATCCCCAGTTCTGCACAAATAGAGGCCAACTCTTCCCTGTCCAATCCTGCTCCTGCTGCTCATGACCCCGAAGCAGCCGAAACAGCAGAAGAAGCCTTGGAAGAATTCGTGGATGTGGACGATGAGAAAATCCGCGAGGCCGCCACAAATGTTTACCAGGCCCATAAACAAGCCATTGAAGACGGCTTATTCTATTGGTCTGAAGCAAACTACATCCGATACTTCCTCGGCATGGATGCAAATACTACCGACTATGTAGCCGGCTCAGCCTACTCACCCATGTGGGGAGAGATCTACGACACGGTCTACTTCTCCGCCACGAGCTGGCGGACCATCGACAAGGGACTGAGCAGCCTCCCGCGCGCCTTTATGCCTCACATCGCGAACAAGACCACGTTGGGCCGTAAAGTCGAAGGCATGAGTTGGAACAACTCGACCGGGAAAATCGCAGTGAATTGGCGTGGTGATCCGTTAGCCATGGAACCCGAGAGTGAGGAATACGACTATGCCGTCGTCGCCGTGCCGTTCTCTAAAGTCCGACTCTGGCGCACACCTCCGTACTCGTCTCTCCTCACCCGCGCCATCAGCTCCATGAACTACCAACAGTCGTGCAAGGTTGCGTTACACTACGAAACTCGCTTCTGGGAACACATGGATCCGCCCATCATCGGCGGCTGCGGCAGCACCGACATCCCTGGCATCGGCTCTGTATGCTACCCTTCATATAACATCAATGCCAGTGGGCCCGGAGTGATCCTCGCGTCCTACTCATCCGGCACATCTGCCCGTTCTCTCGCCGCCCTCTCGGACAAGGATCACGTTGGCCTCGTCCAGCGAGCCATGGTCGAAGTTCACGGCGAGATTGCTGCTGAGCAGTTCACCGGTGTGTACGACAGACAATGCTGGGAAGTCGACGAACACCAGGCCGGAGCTTGGGCCTCGCCATTCCTAGGTCAGCAAGAATTATACCTACCCGCGTACTATAATACGGAGTTCAACACGATCTTTGTTGGTGAGCACACGAGTTATACGCACGCGTGGATCTTTTCGGCCCTGGATTCGGCAGTGCGTGGTACGACGCAGCTTCTGCTTGAGCTCGGACTAGTGGATGAGGCGAAGGGGATCGTGGATACTTGGATGGGTAGATGGATATCCATATGATGATGGATGATGCGGTCGATGGTTCGAACATAGAAAGAGCCGAGGCGGATTGATATTTCTTAGAATAATCCCAAATGGCCACATGGCGAGAAGAAGATAGGCAGTTGATGAAGAGTCAAAGTAAAAAATAATTTCACTTCTCGGCATTCATTGCGACTTACTTGCCTGGCGGTACCTTAAAAGACGTCGTAGCTCTCCACTCCCACCAAAGGTGGCCCACAATGTGTCTCACAGTTGGAGACCTCTCTAAATGACGTTGTCCAGAGAACGAAGGGCATCAACCATGCCATCATGTCTTGTCTGGTCCTGCTTCGAAAGGAGAGCAAAAATTTTGGTGGTCAGGCCCAAACCAAGTCCAAGCATGGGAGGCAGCGATAGGCCTCAACCCTGAGGTTGGTGCCATATATTCTCGTCCGTCATGACACGCCCTGAGACCGGACCTTCCCTACGTCAATTTCAGCATCGAAATGACTTTCGAGTTGCATTGCTTGGAACTTTGTTCATCATCCTGAGTGAGCTGGTGTGAGTGAATTTGGTGGGTACGCGTGGACAGTTTGTGTGGCCGCATCTTCTTTGCCCTTGCTCTTGATATAACATTGGTGGCTCAACTCTTCCAGCAGAGACGGCGAGGTACAGAAAGTCATTAACTGATGGACCTGGCAGGCCTTCAACTTTTTACATGGCTGCATTGGTCAATCTATGTCGGCGCTCGTTCCCAATGGCGGGACTGTCAAGCGGTGTTATCAGGGTTTAAAGAGTGGGCTCCAACCGCTAGAACGAGTTTCGAAGAATCGCTGACTTTATCCTATCCACTTCTGCTGTACCTCACGATGAAGTGGAGCAGGGAACTCCCGAGTCCAATGTTCGGTTCAACACACACAAGACTAACTGTTCCAATTTCAATGAATTCTCATCATATCGAATCCGTTCCTGCCCATCAGCAGGATCCTCGGCTTTGTCCATGGCGAACCCTTGACAAATCCAAAAAGTAAAACTCCCGAAAAAGCGCAGTGACCACGGTGCAAAATTAATCTTTCTTCCTGGGCCATGCTCGCACGTACATGCCTTCTTGGACCACCACGCCGTTCGACCACGTTTTCACTCCTGCCAAGGGATTGACGATAGAGAATTCAAAGTTTCGGAAAAGCTGCAGGAAACACGACGTCAGTGTCAGCAAGGAGGTGTCTTGAAATTAAAAAAGGGGATATGGAAAGGGGAAAAGGGGGCTGAGCGAAAGACGACATATATGAAAAAATTCGGGGTCCTCACTTCAAAAATGACCTTCCTCAATTCCATCCACGCAATATCTTTCCCTAGACAGCTCGTCCGGCCCGTGCCAAAGACCATTTCCTGCACTCGCTCTCGTGCTTTGAGTCTTTCGGTGTCCTTGTCAAACCACCTCTCCGGGCGAAACGTATCGGCATCGGGTCCAAAGATATCTTTTCGGCGCAGCATGGAGTAGATGGAGATCCCCACTTCAGTCCCGGCAGGTATATAGATGCCGTTATGAGTATATCCGTCGGGCGACGGTGAGAGACGTGTACTGATCCCGTTCAAGGGCATAAACATTCTCAAACCTTCCATGATGCAGGCACGCAGGTAGGGGAGGGCCTGGGCTTCGCTGTTTTGGATGACCGGGTACGAGATTTGGCCGCTCTGGAGAGCAGCGTCCATCTCTGCCATCAATTTCAGGTACGCGGTCGGATTACTGAGGAGGTGATAGAAGGTAATGCGGAGCGCGTGGGCCGTAGAGTCGGCGCCGGCCATGATCTGCAAAATCGCCTCGGATTCACATTCAAGCTCGGTCAAACCACGGCAAATGAAGGAGTTCAACATGTCAGAGGGCGTTTCGGTGGTGGATGGGGCCGTAAAACGTTCGCGGACTCCTTTGTTGACGGCCGTCACAATGGCACCCATGCCGACATCACTGGGCACCGTAACCATTTTCTGGATAGTCTGTACGATTTGGTGGATGGACCAATGGTGCATGGTGTGCTCGACGATTGGGTATAGCTTGGAAGACATGTGAAAATAGTGGAACAAATCTTCATTCGTCTTGAGGTAGCCCATAGCATTCCCAAAGGCGATCGTGGTCAGACTATCGAGGGTGAAGAATCCAGACAGCCTCGCGAAGTCGAGCGGCTTCTCTTGACTCACGTAGTCACGACGGATCAGATCGAGCAGGTCGACCACTCGGGCGTCGATATCAGATTCAAGAGTCGTTACTTCTTTACCTGAGTACTTGTCATTGTCAGAGGCGAAATATCAGGACCGGCTGCATGTTGGTGCATACCCCTGGTAAGACTTTTGCTCTCAAGGCGGCATGAGCGGCCTCGTCTCTGAGGGATAACAAATGGTCGCTCTGAGCGTCGACTCGAGTAGCCTCAAAATACCGACTCCGCGTGAAGCCCGACCTCGGAGCGGCCATGACTCGGAGGAAGACGGGGTCATTTGTTAAGATGCAGTTGGGAGCGATGCGCACAATCGAACCTGGAAGGGTACATTGGTTAACTTACCATTTGCGAGGGCTGAAGCGGATTCTATGGTGAGATGTGAGAACATGAAACGCACCATAGCGCTGCAGAGCCTCGTCGCCAGCGAGATAGATACGAGATCGACAAGTCTGATAGAAGATCCACAGACTCGAGATGGATGCTAATCCTGGACCCTTGATATGCCGCAGTCGACGGTAAGCGAGCCACCAGTGGGCGGCGGCCCAAATGACAAGACATGCAGAGATGGCCACGGCCCAGGTTCGAAAGGAAGCTTGGTTTAGTATCGAACTCAAAGCCATGTTAGGGAAGAGTAGGGTCCAATTTGGATGGACAGAGACGATGTTGTTAAGCAGTGGGGGTGGTTATGGGATGAGTTCATATTAAAAGCGAACAAGTGCCAGTGGAGGTCTTCAGATACCGACCCATTGTTCGTGAAGTGGACACCTCCGCTTTGGTATAGATGCATAGATAGTATTTCATGTGCGTAGAGGGTCGGTTCCAGGAATTCAATTATAAGTCATGTCGGGTTCTGACTTCCGCTCGTCTCGGGCCACATGTTCGTTATCAGAGGCTGAGATGAGCTTGACGGCAAGGGGTCAATAAGGCTAAGCATGCCCCCAGTTGGCCCGAGGAAGAGACCGTTGACAACACTTGCAGCCAATGCAGCCAAGCGGAGCCGGGCATGTCCCTAGGCTCATGCCTATCGATGTGTGCCAGTCAGAATGTCAGACGTGTCACCGGCAGGTCGATGTTGGTGGAACGTAGCAAGCTCCCCCAACGTCTTTGAGGAGATAGACTCGACGATTATGATACCGAATTGCCATTCTCATATCGACAACATCCTCCAACCTTTTGAATTTGACTACCGCGCCAGTTCTCGCATTCTACCTCCCCGTCTTGTTTTTCTCCATAAGGCTACGGGGAATAGTACCCGAGCCGTCCTCCACCCGGCTCGGCTGATCCACTGCACTATAACAGGACCCGACTACGGGGCTATTTTATTCTTTTCTTTCCCCCAAGCTTACCGAAAGCCAGTGTCGACTTCATGCAAGAAATCTAGACTCGGACTCAAATCGCGAAATGGCAGAGGCAGATCAGATCATTGAGGCTTCCGCTGCCGACGATAGCGACGTCGATTCAGCGCTTCCGGAAGACTATGGTTCCTCCACTCGCTCCGTCGCATCCAGCATCTATGACTATGAAAAGTCCCACGGCCGCACGTACCACTCTTTTCATTCGGGGAAATACATGTTGCCCAACGACGCAGAAGAACTGGACCGAGTCGACATTGCTTATCACGCAATCCGACTCTCAATAGGGAACAAACACTTTTATGCTCCCATCAAAAACCCCACATCCATCCTGGACGTCGGCACGGGTACTGGAGTCTGGGCCGTTGACGTCGCCGATGACTACCCTGCTGCCATTGTCGTGGGTACCGACTTAAGCCCTACACAACCTTCGATGGTCCCTCCCAACCTTCGCTTTGAGATTGCCGACGCCGATGAAGAATGGACCTTCCGCCCCGAGTCCTTTGACCTCATTCACACTCGGGCTATGAACGATTTGAGCTTGAGGGACTGGGCCGACTATTATCGGCAAGCCTTCCGAGCCCTGAAACCAGGTGGCTGGGCGGAAGCCCAGGAATGTTGCTGTCGACGGCAATCGGACGACGACACCATCCCCAAGGATGGACACATGCTGCTTTGGGAAGACGAATGGGAGAGGGCAATGAAGAAGATCGGCAAGACGGGCCACTGTAACCCGAATCTGGTCATGGAACAGATGGAGGATGCCGGCTTTGCCAACATTACCTGTAAGTATTTCAAGGCACCTCTCGGGCCCTGGCCCAAGAATCCTACCTTGAAAGAAGCCGGCCGATTTGCTCAGGTTATGATGATTGAGGGCCTATATGGTATGAGTGTCAAGCTCTTTACCGACGTCCTGGGCTGGGAGATGGACAAATACGAGGCTCTTCTAGCCAAAGCCCGCGAGGAGTTGAGAAGAAATGACATCCATTCCTATTTTATGATGTGAGTCTCGGCTCATCCACTGATGCCAGTCTGGTCGCTAATGGTTCCGTACAGATACGTGATATACGCCCAGAAGCCTGAAAAGTGAATTCACTTCATGTCTGTTCTCGGCTATAGTAGTATTGCATCTCCAGGGTATCCGGAGTTGGAGTCAGAAACGAAGTCGAGCCTTCATGTTTGAGTCGTTGCTGGGATCATCACTTGTTCAATTTCAGCTTTCCATTTAGATTTTCCGTCTTCTGTACCATGGCCGTCGCCTCGCCAGTTCTGCACCCTCTGCGGATATCCGGGTGACTCACGTAATGCTCACTCCAACGAGGTAATTTGGGATGCCCATAACTGTGGGGGCTGCGTCTCGAAGTAGAATTGACTCAACGCCTTGATGAGTAATGGGCTCAGAGACTGCAAATTGGGCGCAAGATGGTTTAGATGAGACATTGCGGGATTGGACAGATCTGGTGGTTGCTGCCGCCTCATAGTATACACCATGCCTGTCCCTCGGGATAGGCTGTACACATGACGACAGGGGACTGGTGGTCTGTACAAACAGATATCTGCTCATCGCGACCGTCGATGAGTATCGGATGCAGATAACGACATCGCAACTCATTATCAACTCTCTTCTGAACCGCAAGTAGAGCAGCAAATTCAGATCCAGGATAAACAAGAGGCCGTCGAAGAATGACCGCCAGGTCCGACGATTCATTAGAATCCCATTCGAAGGCGCCATTATCATCTCGAGGAACCATAAAGTAGTAACGTCCGTCGTAATTCAGGTAGACTCTTTTGTCATCAAAGATTGACTCAACCCTGCCACATAGATGGAATCCGGGGGAGATGAATCGCAGTCCTTCACCCGTAATGTAACCGGTGCGCGATCTTGTCATGGACGCATCAAAACCTCTGCCCAAAAAACTTGATGGAATCCACGGAAAGCCCGACTCTGGTGATCGAGGCAGACTGGCGAAGAGTAAGTCCAATGGGACCGAGTCAAGTAACAGGACCAGCTGCTTCAATCTCTGTGCGGCATGTAATTGGAAGAGGAATGAGCGTTGGGTTAGTGGTAGGTCAAGGAGGCCGGCTAAACAGATGGCTTCGTCGCCTAACCAGCTCGTAGTTCGCCAGCGTAAAGGATTTAATATAGCCTGCAAGCACGCAGCGTCGTTTTCTCTCGGCATTTTTGTAAATCGTTCCAGATCATACAACCAGATGACTCCCTGCCGCGCAACAGGGTCCGAGAACAAGATACGGAGCCCTACCTTGCGAGCTTCACCACGGATGGGAGTGGGTTGATCTGATGCATCGTCGCTACCAGATGAAACAAGCTGGCGACAGCTCGGCAAAGATGTCAGCCAAAGATCGGTGAGTTGACGACGGGTAAGTGCGCGATCCGCGAATTGGTAATAGAGTTGCTCAGCCAGGGCTGCCTCGTGGAAAGTCCACAATCGCTGGGCCCAGCGTGATGTCATTAGACGAACGTGTAATTCGAGGGGTGGAGAGACGGCGGTGGAAGCCTGAAGAAGTGAAGAATCCAACACCAGGACCTTATCAGCCTGCCTGTAAATCTTAGCCATTGCGACTATGGCCATTCTTCGGAAGCGGTTGCGTCTTGGGACACACAAGGTGTCAAGCCAGAATGGCACTGGTCTCTCCTCCAGGGTGTAAAGCTCGTTTACCAGACGCTGTAAGCGCACAAGTTGACACGCAGGAATGCTGTTTTCCCGCGGATTACCCAATCCGCTTGATTGATCAGTCAAGCAGTGTTGATAGATACGATGTAGCGTACTCACTCAGCCCAAACATGGGAGATGCAGACGTAGGGGATCGTGATTGTGAGGAGATTCGGAGACCCAGTCCGTAACCCTATGATTGTAGCGCCTTTATTAAGCAGTTGACTCCCAAGATACCTCCTATGTTGCGCAAATTTCTCGGCTGCCGTGACACATATCTGCACTGTTTTATCAACAGCACGCTGATGTACCGTAATGAGCGGTGTCTGATGCTTTCGTACAATGCCGGAAATGCGAGGCGACCAAGTCGACTCGGGAGCGACGAATCGACAGTTATCCCCACCTACTCACGAATTATACAGCATTAGTGCGGCGGTTTTCAATAAATTGAAAGAAACGATTGCATTTGAAATGGCGCCAGTATTATGTCAACAGCAGAGGCAGTAACATGAGACGTACCTGAAGCCAAACATTCTGAAGAGTGTTTCGGTCGGTATTTCTGCAGATCCAACGTGTCAAATTGGCAGCGAGAACTCTTTCCACACCCGTCATGATTCCAACCTAATGCGCGGGCATTCATAGAGCTCAAGTAATACATGACCGCCACCCCGACCTTTTGGTCGTGGAGCGCCTGGACTTGACTGGGGCACCACCCTGCCTGTATCATGCGAGACTGTATGAATGCGCTTGGGCCCATGTCAATTGCATACTTGGAATTTTTGGTCCTATACAAAGTAATGGTTATGGACCCGAGAAACTCACCGAGCGCCACTACCGAGAGATGCACCACGTTTCCGAGTGACGAAGCCTTTTCCCAATTTATGGAGTCGTCCGAGAAGAAATGTCGTCCATCTGCATCGATCTTGTAAGTAGCGCTAAGATGGGTGAATTCTGCCGCCACTTTGAGACGCTCGCAGATGGTCTCAAATCGTTTGGCCTTCTCCGCAGCATCCAGTGTTCGCGATTCCTCCTCTAGTTCGCGGACTAGTAGCGGAAATTTCTTGGTAGAAATGATGCTACTTGTTGACTCTGCACTCACTACAGACGGTTCCCGCTGCACAAAATCTTCAATCGTGAAACTCCGACCAACGATGGTTAGAAATTCGAAGAGCAAGCCGAAGAAGCACCATGACTGAAAGAAAATCAAGGCATCAAGCTGCCTTAGTCCGTCGAGTTTGCCTTGCACAATGTTTTCGGGGAGAACGCCCATGCGTTTAGGAAAGTCGACAAATCCTTTATGATCGTACTCGAAACCACCACTACCACATAGGCAGGGTACGACCAGTGGTGGATGGTAATTATCGGAGTGTAGAGCGATGTAATCCATTATTGTTTGTCGGTCCTTGCTAGCCCTTCAGTCTCGGGTAATAGGGCTGGCTCGCATCTGCTGGATGTGAGTTGGCGACAGCTTGACTGGTCGGTAACTAATTCGTTGACATTCGCCGTGAAATATTTGGGCATGCACGTGTGACCAAAAAGCTGAGTTCAAACCAGTTTTGGAAGGATGAGTACCACGTGATCGTGCTAGTCCTAATCTGGCGAGTACAACAATGGACAATGTTGTGGAGTGGTGTAATACGAATTCGTGCACGGAAGAGGAGCAATTTAGATTCTATTTCCTGCATATATCCTTCGGACTGCCGCATTTTTCACCAGTTGAGCTCCGTAGTTTCGCAAGCGTGTCCACAGGCACCAGCGCCATGTCAGGTGCTATTGTCGGCATACGGTTATCTTTGAGTGCTCGACAATTCAATCTCCTGCTCTTCCTCCACCTTCGCGACCGCTCAGGCTGGGATTGCAGCTTTGGTAGCGTTGCGCCATTGATGACAGGCTACGCAGGCCCAGACGAAGAGGATAATATGAAGGATGCTATGGTAAAAAGTTGGTAAGCCAGGTTTTGAGGAGACTGGTCTCCTAGCATCACGGGGAAAGAAAACATACCAGCAAACAATCTTGAGCGTCCCAGCTGCTACGGCATAGCTGTACCAAGCGTTAATCAGCAGCTGGATGACCGCTGAGGAAAAGAGACCAATCCAAATAATGAGGTCGAGGCCGACATGTGCTCCAGGATGGACGCCATGTTGGCGGCTGAAGCGAGTGGCCAGGTCGGCAATGTTCCATATGAATGACAAACCAAGCTGTGGGTTTGTTAATAGATAGCCAGGCAACATCGTAGAGAAGCGCAGCACATACGAATGCAAATGATTCCGGTGAGTACCAAACTTCAGAGTAATTGTCACGGCCAGAATCGACAGCCACCTTGATCTGAAGGCCAAAAGCGATGATTGTAACGAGCAGTGTGACGAAGCGCAACCACACCGGCCACGAGGCTCGGATTTGGCTTTGTTGGCGGAAGTTTGACATGGCTCTGGATCTGGTCGTTTCGATGTCCATGTGGCTTGACAGTGTACGCGTTTGTTATGCTTTACATTGTCGGAGCCATACTGTGCAAGGATGCGCATTAAGTATTCCCCCAAAGCTATCGAGATCGTCACTGGGCCCACAGGGCGCAGACAGATTTGTGGGACAGACCAAGATTCTTGACCGTTTCACAGGTGGTGCTCCTGGCTTCGGCCAAGTCGACGGGGTTCCTGCATTCCCGTGGGGGCGAGTGAACGCGTGGGCTATTCTTAGCCGTGAAACACCTGCAAGGCATTGTACACCCTTCACACGGAAACCTCAACGGGAAAACCGCTGTATGGACTCTAAGCTCTTAATCTGAGATTAGTGCTTGGAAAGGATGCGATAGTAAGTTGTTTCGTCAATGTCAGTGGAGCGATCTTTCAGCCTTGACACCTTAAGGATCGTGTGGGGCACGACAAGGGTTCCCCCATCCTTGCGAATGTGGCTATGTCAAGGATAATTATGATATCATACACCTTGCAAAAATGATCGAACTTATTGCTTTGGGAGGCTCGTTTGATCACCACCGTTTATTTTATTCCAGGAAAAATTCCCATTGATGAAAAGTGGACAACAACCGTCATCATGCAAAGAGAAATTGGCGTGGAGCAAAACAGATCTCATGCTTAGACGACAACCTTTCTTGACCAATGTAGCCTTGACAGTTGATTCCACTTCAGATCTGTGCTTCTTAGCCCATCGAGTATGTCCGTATTCTCCCTGCGACTTGATTCCAGCATAGGATTTGGTGCAAGAGCTATTTGCTGAGAGACTGAGATGTTCTTTGAGGAAGGTTCATGAATGAATGTGTCTCCTAGAAGTAAGTGGTTGTTGAACACTTGATGGAGGATTCCGGCTTCCTCAACCTGCCACTTACTGTATATTCCGGAACGAGTCAATCAATTCACACGGTTTGTTCCAAAGGACCTGCAGATCTGTTTCGCATATGGGATCTCCTGGCCACCTATTTGCAAATGCACAGCCTGCTATACTAGGGTATTCGTGTGTTCAGTGGCTCGACTTCTTGATTAGTCACCGCCGTTCGCACAGCGCCGAGGCCGGGACTGGACGAGGTTTGGTCCAAGCAATATATACTCTTTACATAGTGATGTTGACCAATAGGCTGAAGACATATTGATTCACAATTCCAATACAGATCTTCTCATAAGCCCATCTAGTACCTCCAGGATGTCGCCGCCATGTCAGGTGTGATTGGTCAATTCTACTGTACGAAAACAGATACTGATGGGGGGCCTTTGATGACGGAAACATTCTCCACTCCAGCGAACCAGAGGGTTCATGATACATCTTGTCCCCATCTCGCTTGCGCTGTGCCACCATCTTCTAGAAAACATATCACATTCGCTTCCGAGGCGGTGTCATTTTATCCTATCACAAAACAGTCTGCACCCATTTTGTCGGTCCTTTCATGTCACATACGTAACTTGGCGATGGAAGTGGCCATCTTAATTGAACCTGTATTCCCAGGATGGCGATGCTTTCTGGCATCTTTTACTCTTCAATCGTCTTCCCGTTCATTTATATCTTTCCCTTGCCTAATAAAACGAAACCCGTCCGATAGCTAAGGAAACCGCAAATATGTCCCCTCCGATCTCCATGGGATGGTTCTTACGTTTGGTTTCGTGCGATGATGGTGACGACGACAGAGAGCCCGAGCCAATGGTCACGACGCGAGAAGCACAAAGATCCCACTGGGATGCTGCACCACCGCTACCTCTCAACCCTGAAGATGACTTACCTCCGCCTCCCCCATACGCGGTCTTCGATCCTCACCCAGACGACTGTCAGTGCGCCATTCATGTTCACAAACCTCATCCGAACCGGCCAATTGTGGTCGAAGCGTTCCAGTCGCAAGGGTGTAGTTCTTGCCCTCCCACCAACACGTACCTCCTATCATTATTGACTCAGGCCGATCCAAACATTCTCGTCCTCGACTACCACGTCACATATTGGGATCATCTTGGCTGGAAGGACATTTTCGGTCTAAAGGAGGCAGACGTTTACCAGCGTGAATATGCTGAGGCGAAGGGCACGACAAGAGTGTATACGCCACAGGTCGTGGTCAACGGGATCTCCGAAGGAGTGGGAAATTCAACCAGAAGGTTGGAGCGACTGATCAAAAATGGCGGACGACTGGCCAGCACGGATTGGCCGTGGTTGATATTCTCCAGAGTAGAAACAGGTGTTCTCATCAGAGAGGCCAGTGCTGTCGCTGCAGCTGCAGGAAGGAGAGGCAGGGTTCTTGAGGTCATTTATGACCCGAACTTGCTCGAGGTCGTGATCCCCAGAGGCGAGAATGCTGGCAAAGTCTTGCCACACCGCAATGTTGTTAGGAGCATCAAGGTCCTTGGCGAGTGGAGAGGAGGGAGAGGAGTGGTACCAGTGTCGCCTATGAATTCTGACGATGGTTTGGAACGGGTTTTAATTGTTCAAGAAGGAGTTGGTGGGCAGATAATCGGCGTTGCCCGGGTTCAGAATTTGTAAATGATTCAAAGTCAGTTCTCCTCTCATCGGTTGGGTGACTCGGTGACTCATCTGAGCGTTCTTGAGTGTTCCTGAGCACGCCTCAGAGGCCTATTTCCGTAAAGGTTGCCGCCTAAAGGAGAAGGACTGTCTCCAGCTTTTGGCCCCGATTTAACTAGCTAGAGCCCTCCATCTGTTGGTCCGCAGTGCCCAATCATGAACCACTTGATTCACCTCGTCGCATGCTGGCCCATCCTTTGCCTTGATTGGATCGCAAGGGAAGCTTGCGGCTTGGGGAGGTGTGGCAACTCAAAGTATATATCTCAATTGTGTTGTGCAAACCAATGGGGAGCTTCCGTAACGACGCCGATGACGGTCTGCTACAGACAGAGGTGAACTCTGCCAAAACTGGCTGCAAATTCGAGCAAAGCCATGTCGTTACTTTCACACGTGCCACTAATTAATAGATCAGTCCTTTCTCTCTTCTCCACTCCGGCTTCTTGTGCTTCGGTTCACCCTTTTCTAGTCCTAGCCATACGCACCGAGTATCACGGTGCGGGCAGCGAAGGAGCGCAATATGATATGAATCCTACTACGTAGGACTATCTCATATGGATGGGTGCGAATGCTATGGAACAAAGAGACACTCACATCAAGTCACATGGCCCTATTGTGAGGCCAGCTCGGACAAAAGAAATGTTCGGCGCCAGGGAACCCTGGTTCAGACCAATGGATGCCTATCTGAGCGAGGCTGTGTAAATGCATTTTACACCGCCTGCTGCTAGCTATCAATGAGCAAACATATTTGGGGCGTCGTGGTCAAAAAGGGGGGGGTCACGTGAATATAGATTGCGTTGCGCAAGATACCCTTATTCGACTTCCTGAGTGCTGAAGTCGATGTCGCCTCGCACCTATATAGATGGATGGGTACTCTTTTGTGCACTATTTGGGGCCCTCCGGCGAGCCGATCACGGGCAAATTTGCCACTTTTCGTCGACAAATAAGTTGTTTTGGTGTATGTCAGTCAGACTGAACACGAAGGGATCTCGCTGAAGTTCGGCCAAGAAGAAATGGCGAGATGTTGCCTTCACTGTTGTCAGGGCTGCCATTCGATACAAACCATCCTCTAAATCAGCAAATGCGTTTGATTGATACTTTGGCCTGCTAAAATGAAGAGAAAAAATGTCGGTAGTGGACGAGTCGACCATTGGAAAAGGAAGATTTCGTGGGATGTTGACGGGGATTTCTTCGTTCTCCAATTCGTGCATATCAGGCAGGAGCGGCCTGTTTGTTAAACACAAATATCCACTGTCATCAATCAGAAAGGATGCGATGCATGGCAATGGTACATAGGGAAGCTGTAGCAGGATCTGAGAGAGGCTTCGGAACAAATTCTTCCGTAATTGTACGTCCTGGTGTTTCTCTTTCCATGTGCACCAAGGCATCACATCTTGACAGCCATCGATGAATTCCAGCAGCATGTGGCTGATGTCTGACTTCTTCGCTCTCTCGGGTTCATTTCGGTGGCGGATTTGTCGAGAGGGAAGTGGATGTTTGAACCAAGACGGCAACATGTGGCGGAGATAGTGGAGCCAGCGAGTGACAATTGGTAGACCTTCAATGAGGCATAAACTTTGGCACTGATTAGAGAATCGTTTAGTCTAAAATCCACCCTACATACCTGTTGCCCCGTCGACAAACTGAATCTGAATAACGCTGCGATCGGAACATTAAGGCAATTTTCTTGTAGCTAGATGGAGGCTACGACTTCATATCGAAGCTTCTTGTCCGCATTTCTGGGCCAAAAAGCTTCACCGACATGATACGGGAGTGGAAATCTGATCATAAAGCGTTGACCGAGTCTCTCCCTCCCCTTTGACAGTGAAGGGAATGCACCGGTTGAAGCTGCCATGAACCCAGTCATCGTGCTCTTGCAATAATACCATTCTTTTCCGGTCCAACCTGAGGTGATGGGTGGCGAAGGTTTGAATCAAATTGCGATGCTTGGAGAGATGGCTGAAAAATTTATTCCATTTGTCCCAAAGAGACGGCTTGAATAATACCCCTCCCTTAGCTGTAGAGAGGAGATGTCTCCTCGCAAAAGCGGGAGTCCAGTATTCAGTCCAAGCATGCGGCAGAACCGAACAAAAATTGACCGGTGTAAAGGGGGGGCAGAAGTACAAATTCTCGGTCATTGCCGGCCCTGAACCAAATACGGTTTAGACCCTCTGAGGATCTGCGCAACAAGGCTGGCCAATCACAGCGGTGAAACTCAGGAGAACATTTTTCAACCGAATCGGGCCACTAACGCAGGATGATCCAGATAAAAACTTGAACCTCAAAACAGACTCCAAGGGATGTAGTCTGTAAACATGGCCAGCTCCATGCGAGCTTCTCACAGATGACGATCGAGAACCAGTACGTCCTGGTCACAGGCGCAAACAGGTAATGTTTCCTTTATCCTACCGCAATCTGCGTGGCAGCTGCGTGAATTAGAACGTTATTGACATCCCACCCTCGCTTAAGCGGTCTAGGCCTAGGTATCTGCTGCCGTCTCATTGACGAATTCCTCGCACCCCCAAACTCCGGTAGTGGTTCTCTCACCATCATCTTCACGACGAGAAGCAAACAAAAGGGCTCTGAGACTCTGTCGGTGCTCGAGAAACACTTGTCCAGACGTGCAAGTACCAAATCCGACCGCCAGATTTACTTCCAGCCCGAAAACGTCGAATTGACAAGCCTTCTCTCTATCCGCTCTCTCTGTCGAAAGCTCTTAGCCTCAGACCTTCCTCATCTCAATGCGATCGTGCTAAATGCTGGTATTGGAGGCTGGTCCGGCCTGAACTGGCCGCTGACCATGTACACGGTCTTGACAAGCATAAGACAAAGTACAACATGGCCGACATTCAAACTGGGCCTGGTGGGACTGATAGCACAACGACAACTGCCACAACAGACTCCTGCTGACGAAGAGCCCATACTCGGAGAGGTATTCTGCGCAAACACATTCGGGCACTACATGCTGGTCCATTGGCTTATGCCCCTCTTCCGGGCATGTTCCCCCGAATCGCCAGGCAAACTCATCTGGTCGTCCTCAATTGAGTGTAGTGCGCATCACTACAACCCCGACGACCACCAAGGGTTAAGATCCGATGCGGCTTACGAACACTCGAAGCGTTTGACAGATATTCTGGCACTGACTGCTGACAATCAGCCTGCAACGACCAGCCAAGTGAAGAGCTTCACCACGCCACCTCCTTCGATGAACATAGGAGTCCAACGGCCCAGCCAGTCTGAGCCAGTCTTCCATCTCTTCCACCCAGGGGTCTGCACGACGACAATCATCAGCCTTTATTGGATTATCCACGAATGCTACCGATTAAGCATCTACCTTGCGCGGTGGTGTGGATCCCCATGGGCCAATGTGAACCCATACCTGGGCGCAGCATCAGCCACATGGCTAGCTCTCGCATCCCCTGCCGAGATCAAAGTCAAAGAAGTAGAAGCCACAGGCGAGCTGGGCGGACCCTGCAAATGGGGCTCGTCATGCAACCGACTGGGCAAGTCCTCGATCCGAGTGACGGACGTTGAAGGTTGGGGTCTCAATGGCACCGGCAAGCCTTTCCAGGAGAAATGGTGGGGCGGCCAAGTGGGACGGAAGAGAGGTGCCACGGACGCGACCAACAGAGATGTCGAGAATTTCATCGTCGAGGGCGCAGAGGTGTGGAAGAAAATGGAGATCTTGAGAAAGGATTGGGAGTCTCGGATCGAAAAGTACGAGGCTGAACACGGGGCAGCATAGCAATGGACATGCGCCATAGAAAATCAAATTTATCCTTTCTAAGATCATGACCACTCACTCAACACTTTCCGAGTGTCGGGGTTTATCCTGATGTATGAATCAGAAGCACCGCAGAAGCAGTGACAGTTGGAATATGGAAAAATGTGGTCCTTGCGTGCCTGGGGCCATGGAAGTACTTGACTGTGGTGGAGGGGAGGCAAGGGGATTATGCAAAGTTTGTTAGACAAGGGAGTTGGGAATACTGTATGATGCAACACGCTAATGCTCCAAAAGCTTCAAAATGGCATTCCATCTCTTTCCCTTTCCCGACAGCCCAAGCGGCTGAAATGTTTCCTCATACCAAATCGATCACCGAGCAAAAATGCGGGCTCACAGCTGAACTCGGCAGCCAGATAAGAGGAACAAGACTTTTACGAGTACGTAAATGACATGTCGCACACCCACCCCTCGGATCGTATGACTGTGTCCCCGAGACTCTAGAAGCCGATTGCATCGCCTTCGAATTTGTAATATGTCGCTCAGGTCAGATACGTCGAGACTTGGCCAGAGAAAGAGTGAATTTGACAAAAGGAATATTTCAATGTTCCTGCATGGATATGTACATGATTGGCCCTGCAAACAAATCAGCAGCTTGGGAACTCTCTCGACCTCGGTTCTCGTCTGAAAGACTGCAGATGTGCTTCTCTATTCCTCTGCTTCTTCCTCCTCAGCACCCTCAGCTTCAGGCTCCGGCTCTGGCTCCAGTTCCTCCAACTGTTTTTGTCGGAAAGCCCTCATCCGGTCGGCAGGTCCAGGTGGTCGGGTGATCAGGTCAGCGATTTGACCACGTCCGATCAACGACACGACAATGCTGGCACCGACGATGAAGGTGAGAACAAATCGGTAGACTCCGTACCAGGAAGGCGCCCAGCCCCTGTGAGCTGCTCGAGCGTCGTTATAGTACAAGAAGGTGAACGCCAAGAATTGGGCGATCAAGCCAACCTCTACAGGGAGCAAGAGGGTTGGCCATGCCACAGCCGTAGCGATGATGCCCATTGAATATCTTGGATAGCCTTTATAGCCACCAAACCCGGCCCATTCAAGGCCCCAGTGAATGGCTCCCAGAAAAGAGATGATCTTTGATGCTAGTCAGCAACACACAAAAACCAATTCGGCCGGAAAGATGACGTACCGAGGCACCATAGCCGAGCTGAATTGGCTCGATGATGTGTAAAAGATTCTCAGCCATCTCGCCAGACATAAGAAAGCCTTGGCCATGAGTTGCCGCATATTGGATATCAAACGACAAGTACACCGTGGTGAGAGATGTTGCGAGGTAAGGAATGACACCAGCCAAACCGACGTAAAGGGCTTCCCGAGGGATCTCCTGCAAGCTGAAAGTTTCCTTGATCGTGTTCTACTCTTGATATCAGTAGGAGAATAGGACACAAGGTATCGGCCATAACGCACAAAATCACTGCGAATACCGGCCATCATATCCACATCCTCTTCTTCCGACTTCGTTCCATGCTCACCAGTAATTAATCGAGTCGATGACCCTGAAGACACCATCTCAGGAACCGGTTGCAGTGTCATTTGCAGCAGTTCTGCCTCGCGTTTTTTGGCATCGAAAAAAGCAGCATTATGGGCGTAACGGATGAGGGATCTCTGTGCCGGTTTGGCGACAGCCAGGGCTAGTACGGGTGCAGCTTTCACTGGGCGGGCAGAGGTTCTCAAGGATGCTCTAAGGACATTGTTATAGAGACTCGCTCGCGGGGCCGTAGCTTGAAAGGTTGTGAAAGATCGCGGGAGGGAACGGACTGCGGTCGTGCGAAACATTGTAGCTGACATGTTGGCAACGAAGGTCTGCAGATGTGTTTCGATCACAGGCTGACCAGAGCCAGCTGGAATGGAGCTGCAGAGCCGGCTTGAAGGAGTGGAGAGGGGGTGGGTTCGGTCAATTGAAGAGGGAAGAGCGAATATTGAAGTCGAGGAGCTTTCGGCTGCGAAGCTCACTTTGAAATTTGTCTCGACATGGGAAAGCGCGGCAAGATTTACCTCGTCATTACCGTATTATGGTTGAATGCTTCCCGCCAGTCTTGCTCGTATTTGTGTCATTTGAATGCTAGTCTCACGCCGGCTCTCACACCACCTTACCATACAAAACAACCATTGGCCCAAACCTGCCAAGCACAGCCGAAGCTCCGTTACTGGTTCTGTCACTGCACCTCAACTAATGGACTGAGAATTGATCGAGGACGGCAGCAACTTGCTCTCTCTTTATCTCTCTCCGCTCCGAACAACCTCATTATGTCTTTTCAACGTGTTGGCCTGCGCTTTGCGCAGCAGCTACGTCCCTTAACATTCCGACCTGTCCTTCGATCGACCCTACAACGACGACTCGCCAGCAGCACCCCTCCACCTCCAGGTCAGGGAGGAACCAAACTGGTCGGAACCGCCGATAATGCTTTCAACCGAGAAAGAGCTGCTGTAAAAGCTCATGCTGCTGCTACCAGTGGTGAGTCGGAGAGTCGGTTGAGGAAAAGAGTTGTGAACACTAACTTGTCACAGATCTCTGGCGTAAGCTTGCGATGTAGTATGCTCTGCCGACGACACTTCCTACAGCGAGCGAAGCTTGTCTAACGTATTATAGTGTCGTCATTCCCTGCCTGATCCTCGGAAGCATCAACGCCTGGAACCTGTGGAACGAGCATTGGGAGCACTGGAAACATCTGCCACCTTTGGAAGAACGAGTTGAATATCCATACCAGAATATCCGAACAAGGAACTTCTTCTGGGGAGACGGTGACAAGGTCAGCTCATTTTCCCAGCATTTGGTGAAGAACCCGGTTTGCTAATGACGCTGCTTCTGCAGACTCTGTTCTGGAATGACAAGGTCAACTACCACAAGAAAGACAAGCAAACCTAAATCAAATGCACGGAGTCAACTTGGAGGGAGGGGGCATGATTCACCTCCTATGTAAATATTCAATCAAGACGCGGCAAAGTCCATAGCGCAAAATGGGGCACGACGCCTCAATTGATATTTCGTACACTTGAACCTCTGACGATGGCCTCGTTGAGAATGCCAATCATCCTCAATTTTTAAACGCGCTGAGATTCATATTGTCTCTGAAGCTCAAGATATTGAGTCGCAATATCGTTAGCCAACACCAGATCACCTCGCCAGTGCATGATGGTGGCCTTCTTCTTCAACATTTCGAGCTGACCTCTCAAGTCCTCCACATATCTGAATTGCACGTATGCATGGTCAATATTTTCCATAGCTCTGCTGATAAACTCCTTCTGCTTCGTCGATTTATCCACTTCCGCACCAGCCAAACCCATATTGGCATCCGCGAGGGTGGAATAAGATCGAGCTGCAAGACCACAGTCTTGACACTCAAGCACCTGGGGCATGATAGACACGAGTAAATCATCGGCGGCGTGGAATTCTCGCATATCGTTGAGAATAGTGGCAAGTGTTCCAATTGATTCCCACAGCAAAGGCAAAACCCTTCCGCGATATGCAATCTGAGCTGCCCGCGTCACGAGAGTAAAGCCTTTCAGTGGATGGCCGCTTTCAGCCAGAATCCTAGCCTTGAGAACCAACAGCCGAGTATGAACAGCGACGTCATTGATCTCACCGTTTGCCCTTTGCGACAGCAATTTAATAGACTCGAGAGCCTTATCGAGAACGCGTCTCCGCATCAGAAGCTCAATCTCCAGCACTGACAGAGCAAATGCCGTTTCGATATCTGGCGTTCCTTGTCCTCTTAGTCGATCGACCAAGTGTTCGGCAGCGTCTAGGTCATCCCGATGCAGATACCTACGCACTTTCAACAGGCCCGTGTAGAACGCTAAATAGTTCTGGAACTTTAACACGCGTAGAACATGTGCTGGAACATTCTTGAGCATCTCGTCGGCTTCGGCGTATCGCCCTTGTTGAACAAGAAGGCTTGCGATTCTGCAACTACATTTCAGCAAGTCTTCGAGTGGCGCATCTTTGACATGGCATAGAAGAAAAGCCTGTCCACACCACCAGGCTAGATGAGTGAGCCCAACCCTGCCATACGCAGCACTTTTCATCAGCAGCGTCGGCCCCGTGATGCTCTGCGCCGACCTGATAATGTTGAGATGTGACGCTTTGGCAATATTTTCGAAGACTGTTGCAACGCTGTCTCCATGCTGAAGACCGAGTTTTGCTTCGCTCAAAAGAGTGGTGCTCAAGAGACTCCACATTTCCGCATCCTTCGCTCTGGATTTGAGAAAGGCCAGCCCCTCGACCTCGCTGCCGAGGATGCCACTGTCACGGACAGCATTCGTTTCAGCCGGAAATGATCGTCCAAAATGATACACCCAGCTCATACAGAAATTCAAACAGGGTATATCTTTGTTTTCTCGAGCTGTGGCGATTGCTTCTTGCATGGCAGAAAGGGCCTCCGCATGACAACCAAAGTCGGCCTGGAGAATGGCAAGATTGAGCAATGCATATTGATAGAAAGCTCGCTCTCTGCTTTGCATGGCATAATCAAAATATCGATGTAAGTTGTCGAACGCCGACGAATAATCTCCTGCTCGCCATGAATCGAGAAAGTTCAAGTAGTGTCCCAGCTTCGGAATGATGGTGCCCGCTCTAGACATGTGATTGAGTTTTGTTTTCATTCCGTCTGGCAGTCTGCCCCCAAGTCGTTGCAGCTCGGATACTTGAAATTCCATTAGCTTTTCGACATCGTACATGCTAAAAGCTCCATGATGCTTTTGTTCATTTTCAGCGAGCCTTCCATATATTAATTGCGTGAGAGGGTGGGATACATCAATACCCATATCGGTCAGGTTGACGTCGAGTGCAGTTTTTCCATCGTGAGGATTTTTCTTGTCGTACGCCTGACGGGTAGGAAGTCTGTACAAGATAAAGTCCTGCCATAGGGTAAGGCAGTCCTGGAATTGCAGTCTCGTGTATTCCAGATGACAACGACGAATAAAAGCACCTAACGGGGAAGTACGGAGAATGCGGCCGTGGATTTGATCGGATTCTTCTCCGGTTTCCCTTTCCCTTAAGAGTTGCTCTCTCGACTTAGTCAGAAGACATGGGAGGTTAGAGATAAAGGCATCGAGGGCATGAGAGCAGTCGATGGTCCACAATCGCTTCAGCAAGAGATCGTACAGAGATCTTCCTGGTCTTGCAGACGGACGGTTGGCGAGAGTAGATTCGAAAATTGATGTCGGAATGGCATGCTCGAACTCCGGTTGCTCCCCTTCCAAGGCGAGTGGTTTACCAGCAGGTAAAATCTGATTGAGGAGAAGGGCCAATACCGTCGTGGCTTCAGATGTTGGCACAAGATCCTCTGCATAGAGCAAAGCAACCACCATCAAGGTGATTTTCCCAGGGGTGAGATAACGACTCATCTTGTGGCAGGCATTGGCGAGAAGTCTGTTTTGCTCTTATGAGAGCACGATGGAGATTTCATGTCCATTCATGGAACGTCTCTCCTGGTTCACCACATCTTCCCTACACTATGTCTTGATCGAAAGTAAATTCGAGTGCCATGGGGTTTTTGTCTTTGGAGAACGCGTTCGGCAGACCTGCCCTATCGAAGGGAGACTCGGTTTGTTTTGTTTTTTGTATTCGCGGTTGGCAGGGAAGTCCAATTCCCAAACTAATTTGCATGAAGACATATTCGGTACTGTAGACTGCAATTCGGTATGGCATTTGTTAGTCCAGACCTTAGCGATGCCTTACCACTGGTGGCTTCCGGAAAAGTGCGAGAGCTCTACAATGTCGACTCAAAGTCCCTTCTCTTCGTGGCCTCTGACAGAATATCTGCGTACGACGTAATTATGAAAAATGTGCGCCTCACTCTCTACAAACCTTCTCTGGCAGCTCACCAATAGATCTTTCCGGGGTAGGGTGTACCGAACAAAGGATTGATTCTTACTCTCATGACTGCACATTGGTTCCAGTACCTACAGACCCAAATCCCAGACCTCAAGACTCATTTCATTTCCCTCGATCTCCCATCTGCAGTCCCGAAAGACAAAGTTCCTCAATTAAAAGGGCGAAGCATGCTGGTGCGCAAACTCAAGGTATTTCCGCTCGAAGCGATTGTTCGAGGATACATCACAGGATCCGCATGGTCATCCTACAAGGAGACCGGTGAGGTGAACGGAAAGAAGATGCCTGCAGGTTTGCAGGAGTCAGAGCAATTCCCCGAGCCAATATACACCCCCAGCACAAAGGCTGAATTGGGCCGACATGATGAAAACATTTCGACAGAGCAGGCGGCACAGATCGTAGGCGAGAAGTATGCAAAGCGCATCGAAGACCTGGCTCTCAAAATCTACAAGGCTGCAAGAGAATATGCCAAAGAGAAGGGAATCATCATTGCGGACACAAAACTCGAATTCGGTTTAGACGAGGAGACGGATGAAGTCGTCCTTGTTGATGAAGTCCTGACTCCAGACAGCTCGAGATTCTGGTCCAAAGCTGCATACAAGGTTGGTCAGAGCCAGGACAGTTTTGATAAACAGTTCCTGCGAGATTGGTTAACGAAGAATGGATTGAAGGGTAAGGAGGGTGTGTCCATGCCGGACGATGTGGTCGAAGCTACTCGTGCCAAGTACGTTGAAGCATTCGAGATCCTGACAGATATATCTCTGCAGGAGGCTCTGCAAAACCTGAAGTAGTGAGGTCATCTGTATTCGTGTCACGATCGCTTCGCGTTCTCAAATGTCCAGGGCAACCTCCATCCTCTCTTTGCAGTCCAGTAGCAAGGTCTGTCCATCATCGTGCCGCCGAAGTATCATTAGTTCTGACTTTACGAAATTGCGGCACCCGTTCACTAAAGCTTTTTCTTCTCTTGTGGCATTTTTCTCTTCTCTTCAAGCTTTTGTGCGAGCCTTTCCTCCGTTACTTCCGCCAACCTTGCACTGCCTTGATCCCCATCTTCCCAACCGGTGCGCCCATCAACCTGACCTCTTTCGTTGAGATTAGTTGCCCACATCGCAGCAATTCCGAGCTCAAATGGGCCAGGTTTTCTGTCAATGAGACCAATTCCAAAGCTCTTTACCTTTTGCCGAAGCATTTCTGACTGCGGTTCTGTGACAACGCCGTGGTTGGTTCGGACAAATTCATGTAGCTTGATCCAAACAGTCTCCCATTGCCCAGGATCATCAGGTCCCTCCGCGCCCTTGTGGTATTTAGTGTATAATCGATGCTGATGGAGGTCCGATTCCACAATCGAGTCCGTCTGTATGTTCACAAAGTATTTTCTCCCGTCACTCTTCACTCGTAAGGCCAGATACATGTATGAATCCACGTTCCAAAACAGCTCCCCAAACAGGGTTCGCCCTCGATCTTGGTTCCGCCACGCAGCATAGCCCGTCCGTTGTACATCCGGTCGATTAGCAGGGAGTTTCGTAGATATGTTGCCATGAAATAGCACATGCGCCGGCGTTGGAGGGTCCGTGGAAGAATCGGCCGGCATTTGTGTGAGTTCCGCTGTAGAGAACCCACCAACAGAGTGATCGGACATAGTTTTCAATGTGGTGATAGTTTCGGGGTCTGCGAAATCGAAGATAGGATAGGGCGCGGTAGGTAGTCTGAGACCTTCAAGATTGAGAGCTATCAAGCACCAAAGTCAGTCCACCTTTCGAGAATGTATTGGAAATTGAGCCTGCAAAGGATTCTCTCCCTTCATGGAGGCCAATAGATACCACCGTGGCTCCGGCATACCCCTCTCGCTCCTCCACCTGGATCAATCATCTTCACATACCAAATTTGGTCGCTCGTTGTAGCTCTTTGTTCGTTTTCTTCCAGAAACCAGGCGCATAGCGCCTCGCTGTAGGCACGAACATGATTGCAGTTGATCTTGATGCACACCCTTATCCGTAAGGTGGTCCGTCCATGTTTAGGGTCGGTTGCCGTTGTGAATTTCACCCATCTCCCCTATCGTGTCGAGGTCACTGATGCTGATGCCCTTTATGGCCGTCAATGGGCAGAGGAGCCTCGGATATAGCCGTCGTCGCCGTCGCCAACAGAAGCTTGTTATAACATGCTGGTCCATTCACGGAAGACGAGGTCATTAGTGTCACACGTGATTCCGCTAACCCCAATGTGTAAGTTGCCGGGAAATCCGCCTCCGGTTTAGGCGGCTCGGCTATTTCGAGTATGGTCGCAGGCTTGGCGCGTCGCCGCTTTTATCGTCTATAAGAACGCTCTTCCCATCCTAATCCTCTCTTTCAACCTATTTTCTTTCTCACCTTCGTCGCGCTGATGCACCCGTCGTGCGTCACACGTTACTGCCCGAATCCTCTCTGCCGCATCAGGCCCCCCCTTCGATTCTCCACCAGCTTCCTTTAAGATACACACGACCTTATGCACCCTCGACGCAGCCCGTTTCGGCCCCCCTTCGAATATCCAATTCCTCCATGGCACATTTGGCTCTACCGGCCGCGCAACGTGCAGGCTCAACTGACCCTCCGTCAGCTATGCCTCGACGAGGGTCCTGAAATGTATCGGCGTCGGTGCGTCTCCTGATACCGCCTTGCGAAGACGAATTCGCGTAGTGGGCTCCTTTGGCGATTATTCCAGAACTTGCGGAAGCCCTGAGAGATGGCCGTCAAAATCGAACATCGTCAGTCGCCGTGGTTAACACTTAGCTCTCCGTGCTGCACCGTCGGTGCGAGATTCTGCATCTTGAACCTGGTGGAGAACGACATGGCGAAGCACAGCTGGCTGCAGCGAGCTGAGTGTCGCATCTGTTGCGTCTAATCACAAAAATGCCTCACGAGTTAATCGGCAGTGAGTCTCCATTGCTGCCTGCGTTCCACTTCGAATTTGCAACGTTGAGGTGGGGCTGCGTCCTCCATCTTAGCCCCTAGCAGCTCGGGGGAATGGGCTGTCATCCGGCGACAGGGGCGCGTCAGCACGTTACAAGTGGATTCTCAGCTGTTGTCTCGTTGTTTAAGCTGATTGTAGTACGGTGGTCTTCGAAACAGAGCTTAAGAACGACAATGCGAAAGGGGAAAGTGGAAAGTGCGATTCGCAAGACACAATTTCACTCGGACGAACGCAGACGTCGATTCTCCATTCCAGATAACGGGATGGCGGGCGGCCGGGTGAACTCTCTTTCCGAAAGAGAGGTCTGGGCGCCAAGACAACCCGAAGGCCCCTCTTTCATTGCCACGGCTAGCAAAGTCGTCACGAGCCTCCCTCGAGATCGTAATTTGGTTTCGCCATGCTGGGTAGACTTATTCTTGTTTCAATCTTCCTAGGGCCTGTGTAAGTTGCCAACTTACATTCCCAACTCTCGCATGGTCTGCTAATAGATATAAAGAATGGGAATCTTCGACCTCGGATTTTTCCCTTCGTTGTTTCGTTCCCAAAAAGGAGCCATACTTCCCAGCGACGAACGTATCAATATCCCTTCTTGCCCACCCCAAACTTTCAACAATATGGAAAGACATAACCCTCGCAACGGATCAATAGTATTTGGCTACCCGTCCACCGGCGGTATTCTGGTCCGCTCAGCTGGACCCGTCGAGCTGTTATATCTCGGACTTGACTGGTTTAAGGACGCAAAGCGATCACCGAACGCCGACGAAGAAGACGAGTTTTGTAAGCGACTAGGGCGAATTGGGTCTCAGTGGTGGGCGACTAAGGCTGAGCTGATGGACGCAGAGCTTGGGGAGGGTAGTGATGCTGCCAAAAAGAAATTGGCGAAGAGAGTCGAAACCGGCTGGCCGAGCTCGAGACAGGGAGTTTGGGTTCTCGAGTACGACCTGGAGGATCGAGCTCATTACGAACTAAGAATGGGAGCGTCACTGCTCAACAATTGCCTTAATATGGATGAGAGGTGTAAGATCATTGAAGATCTCGGAGGGACTTTCTATTCTAACCCAGATGACTGTGAGGCTCTGCGCCCACTAGGCGAGAACTTCGGGATAAGATACTCGCTGATACCAATACACCAAGTCACTCTCAATAATTCAACACGTTCACACGACGTGCTATATTTACCGTCTTAAGGAGGCAGACCATTTTTGTTATAATTTTACCTCACCAACTCTACGCTCCTGCGTACGTTCTAAGACACAAGGAAGAAAATTCTAGAAGTGTTTGATAACAATCCTTTTTCTCAACATCTTTCCTCTGACTATAAACATTGTCGGCCACCACCAACCCGCAAGAGCCGCAGACGACGGAGGAGACAAGTAGGAGGTATTATGGAAGCGGAGGTTCACTGGGAAAGCTGGCTAAAGCGAAGGAGGCTTCAATGGGGTGGATAGTGTGATGGGGCGAGGGAGGCTGTGACTATAGGTGGCCCACGTGACCATTTTGACGATCTGCCAAGGTTTGTAATGACCAGGGGTCTTCGAAACACGCTAGTAACCCTCAGATACTATATAGTCAGACGGTCCTTCGGACCTCTTCGAATGCCAACTAAGTCCTCCGTGAAATCACAGAGGACGGTTGCTGGTGTCACGAGATCAAGCGCCAAGGGGTCCCGTGACAGCGAGGTCACCCCGGAAGCGAGCTGTGGCTCCATCGAAGGATCCGTTTTGGGCCCTGCATGGAGAGATTTAGCTGACGGACGTAATCGTCGAAATCCGGAGGGACCCTCCCTTCACGTCCTCGAGGCGCCATGTTCCGGGCGGTGCGGTCGAAGGTACCCATTCTTTCATGTTCCCTGGCGGTTTCTGAAGGTGACCGTTTCTGGTCCCAGGGATGCTGAGAAGTCAATTTAGGATAGCAGACCAGGTTAGCGTTCTTGGCATCGAGGGGAAAACGCCTCCAAAAGCGGCGGCATTAACTGCCAAATTCGGCGGGAAATTTCCCTGCAACTTGCGTTGAACTGTGGCCTCCTCTTCCTCCCGCTGCAAGTCTTCTATGCGCTTCAATGCTGTGGGAGTTCGTTATCACCATAAACTGTCTGTGTGTGTTTGATTGGCCCGGAGGCATCTGTTTGCATACTCTATACATCGTCAAAAGGGTATAGAGCGTTTCCATACTCAAACGGTAGGTTGGGACACACACTCAGCGAAGAGCCCGTGGCCCTCACGACGCCCATCACACGCCCTCTGCTCTGAATGAGGGATTGTCCATGGAATATGGCAGCGGTTCGCTCCATCGACAAGACTAGGCTGTCAGTGCTCATGCGGAAGCCGTATGAGAGAATAAACGTTCTTTCAGCTTTCAAGGCCCTCAATAATGAGTGCGAGTGAACTGCCAAGATCTTCCAGTGACACCTCCCTGTCTATATACGTGGTTCTACTCTCCTCACTCTCTGACTTCACTTCTCTCGCCTTCGCTGCCTGTCTTGCTCCCCGTTTACATCATTTTCTTTGCTGAAACGGCAATTCTCTCCCTAATTAGCTGCTTTTCTGCTCCTGCAAAGGCTGATATCTCTTTCTATGACCTCTTTGTCCCACTCCCCTCCCCCGAAAATGACGTCCCATCTCGCTACTTCGAAATCATCCACTCCTCCGGTGATCATACCTGCCCTGCCGCTAAGCAGCAATAGGGCTCGTACACCAGCAACCACAAACCAGAACCGCTCTCCACCAGGAGAGATGGACGGCTCGAACGAGGATTCAAACGCTGGCAAGCCGGAAAAGGGCGGAGAGAAAGTTGCTGTTGGTTGGTACCTCTACACAATTATTTTCCCGCCTCCGATTCTAAAACTCCTCTTGCTGTCAACGATTCAAAGAAAACGGACTCTTCTGGAGTGCTTGAATGTCAGAAACCAATCGAACCACGCCCTGACGACGACGTCTTTGGTGCTTCCACTGCTAGTGAACCCGCAAAAGACCTCGCTGCCGCTATCCAAAACCCTGTCGCTCGGCGAATCACAAGCAATCTTCGAATTCCATTGGGCTACAATGGCTTTGCCCCTCGTCCTGATCGTGTCGCGCAGCTTCCAAATGCTGCAAATGCTCAGGGTCTCTATTCACCAGATGCTCTGATCTTCGTTGCGAAGTATATGCACCAACCCCCCTGAAAAGGTTATACTAACCCTCTATAGTCTCTCAAATCGACGTACCGAAGACCAACTAGCTCTCTCCTGTCATCAAGTTTTCGACTGCTTCGGCCCATGTCACATCAAGGTTCGCCTTGACAAGAATCGTCATCCTTTCGCATTCGTCCAATTCGAGGCACGGATACAGAGTGCAGCTGCGTTTTGCCCCCGCTAATGGTGAGTACAGAGAATTGAGGACGCGCACAACGCAGTCAATGGCGCATCCAGCCTCGCTATCGATGGACGAAAGATCAGAATCGAGCGCGCTAAAGCAGAACGTGGGTCTAGGTATCCCCTTTCAGTCTATCCTATGCTGATTCAGAACTAGGAGCTGTCATCCTCAGCAAATCGGACGGCAGCGCCATTACTGAAGTCGAAGCTCGCGAGTTGCTAGAGCGATATGGTCCTATTGAGCATTGTGCTTCTACCGATATCGTCACTCACGACAAATACAACGTCCACAAGAGCATATATGTCAAATTTGCCTACTATCTCGACTGTCGTGACGCTTTGCGCGTAAGTTCCTCACTCTTTTAACCCATCTATTTGCCTTTCCTAATAAGCAAATAGGGCTTCCCCAACCATACTCTTGGATACTCTCTTCATATGGCTCCTTCTCTCGAACCACGTCTCCACCCTGGCCCCAATAATAACTCTCCTGTCATCCGTGGCTTCCCTACACCTCGATCTGCTGCAGACCAAAAGTCTATTTTCGTGGGAAATCTGCCAGATGATACCACTCGTCAAGAATTGGAAGAGCTTTTCATGGAATTTGGCACTATCGTTCAGATTAATATCATCAAGAAGACCTTTGGTAAGCCGGTTTCTATGCGCGACACAGGGTTTTCAGCTCACTCTGACTTCCAATTCAGGAGCTAACGGTGCTAACATCTTCAGCTTCATCGAATTTAGCAATCCCCAAGAGGCAGACTGTGCTTCCAATGCCGAAGTGAGTCTATTCCACGCTCAGATTCTTTATATCATTGGCTCATAGATTTTCACAGCGCATTGTTCGTGGCAGCAAGCTTCGTGTCGAGCCAAAGGAGTACTCAGCTCGTCGCCCCCGACACACCGCATTCGCTCCAACTACTCCTGTCCATCAGACTACCACCCGTAACTTTGTCGATACACGCTGTTCGGCTCCTCGCATGAACCACAATCCACCAAACATGTATGCGATGCAGCAAATGACCACTCCACCGAGCGTGTATGGCCAAGGCTTTTCAATGCAAGCTTACCCACCTCATCACGTAGCTTCCATCGCTACACCGCCCACCTTTTCTGTCATGAACCGTATGGCTTCAATGGGAATGTTCTCGCCGACTCCGGCTCAAACTATGCATCCTTACGGTCTGCCTGCTGCTCCCCGATACGCTTCACCAATGTACGGAGGCTACCGTATGATGGGCCCTATTCAAGAGACCGGTAAGGAGGGGTTCTGAGCATACGATGGCGTTCAAGGCGTTTACACACACACATGGAACATGATTTCACATATGACGAATGGCTAGCGATGGAATCCACACATTGAGCTGCGATGTGACGTGCCTACGATGGACTTTTCAATAAAAATGCCATAGGGAAGGGGGGGGGGAAGCTACTCCGTGATGGCGTTGTAAGAGCTATGCAACAGAGCTGAAAATTGAACGTACTTCTTCGTCTCTTCCCGTAGTACCCCATGATATACGACGCAACGCGATATTTCTCCATACCTCTTCTTGTGTATGCAATGCGACGATAATGGAATTGCCCATACATTTTTATAGTCAAGACGCATCATCACGAATTGTGTGCCCAAAATGGCGTGTGTATTGCCCATGAAATGTACGGCATATGCGCTCCTGGCCCCTTAATTACACAGGAGTACTTCGCCCAAAGGAAATCTTCGGTTGCCAGCGGATACTCAGAGCTATTATCATACCGTAGTATCAACATTGCCAATGGTTGCCTGAATGTATTATTATTGCCCCTTTTGAATTCATGATACGCATCCTCCTCAGCGCTCTTTTCTCCAAATCAACCACAGGCCGTCCGCTTCGTGCCTTCGAGACATGCGATTCCATAACTATCCACCTCACTAATGGTCAAACCATTACGTCTGGAGCACATCGGCCGTTGTCCTCCCTCAAGCCTCTCTCTTCCTACCAGATATGCGTGGTCAAGATGTCAAGAAGGAGGGATTGACCAATATAAATCCAACAGCCGCTACGTTTCTCCTTCTCTCTGGCAGACTGGCAAGCTTTCAGACTTGGGACTTCAAAGCAGCATTGGACGAACCAGCAGCCAAACGAGTTCCATCTCAGGAAATCTTTCATTTCATCGTACTCTGCGCAATTGATACTAGGATGGCTTACAGGTCATACGAAAGGCGTGGAGGAAAGCCGAGATCTAAAGTTGGGTCTCTTAGTTGCAAGCCTCTCACTGGACCTTGCTGGCGACACAAGGCCTCCACCAGCCGATCTAGTCGGCGTAGTGGATGGAGATGTATTGGTTTTGAAGAATCCTGATGAAAATTGGTGGTGACGATGATATGACAAGCAGGTCAGTGGTCCTTTAGGTCATATGTAGACGTGTGATGGGTGATACGTGATTGTCGTTCGTATCCATCCAACAAGCCCCAGAACATCGCAAAAGCAATGCGTATCTGAGGCAGCGTATGCCCCATATACAGAAGCAAGAATTCGCTTATTGTCATGCAACCAAAACATCGTAGGGATAATGGACAACACGAAGCCATGGACACCTGGCATGGAACGAGGAAGATTTCACTCATTGTCATGATCATCATGTGGAGCACAACATCATATCTTCATCTACCTCAAGCAGAGACACCAGACATTATGTGTAGTGGAGTTTGTGGTGCATTCCCTTGACTTGCCTGCAAACTTTCCAGCAGTTCTTCTGACATGCTATCCAGTTCATCCTCCTTCAAGCCGGTCGCAATAGCCACTAATTTCCTGTGTTTGCCAACCTTCTCACTTGTGCCAACCTCACCCATCAGCTTTGCGGTCTCTTTCACCCAATGGCGGCGGATCAGCTGTTGATTGTTCAGCTCAACGGCCCAGGGTAGGGATGCGTTGATCTCATCTGGAGATAAAGGCTGAGCATTTGCAAAGCGGAACGCTTGTGGGCTTGTTTGCTGGTCTTGCTGATACACCTCGGAGTGGATTGTGATATGTTCTTTCTGCTCAAGGAGCGATTCCATCTCATTGAGACAAGCCTCATATTCGTGCCGCAACGCGGGGATTCTGGAAGTGTCTTCAGCCTTGGCGATAAGATGGAAAAGCTCTTGTCGAATCTTGTGTCTCTGATTTTCGAACTCAGTCAAGGCCTGCTTGGCTTCTGTAATCTCCGTGTCTTTCTCAGTTATCTGAGAATCATACATTTCAGCCAGCTTGAAGCTCCCTTCGTCCATCAACGGCCCAATCTTATCCAGCACCAATGAGGCTGCTCGGGACACGGCCTCTTTCTGACGCTTGCGTCGAGTCTCTTTGGCCGTGAAGGACTCTCCCGCTCGTGGAGGGGAGGACCCCGGTTGCTGGAGGCTCTCTTTCTTCTCGCGAAGAGCTCTGAGGTACTCATTTGCAGTTTCACCCTTGAGATTTTGAATGTCACCCGCTTCTGGGCAGTGGTTGAGAAGAAATGTGGCTACCTTGACACATCCATTGCGAATGGCGCATAGAGCGGCCGTATCATGGGCTGCATCAACTGACGTGAGAAGAGCTTGCACGTAATTCGAGCCCATTTCTTGCATCTTGTTGATCAAGACCTCACAGTAATAACGGGCACAACTCCACTTGCCACGGGATCGAGCTGTTTCCGCAATATGGTGGAAAACGGTGGCGCCGTGAAAGTCTCGTTCCACAATTGTTCCGGCCAAGAGGTGAACGATCTTCGGAAAGGTGCGCTTGTCGTAGTTATTCGTGAACAAAACAGCTCGGATCAAAGGAGTCTCGCGAGAACCATCGTTCAGAGCCGCAGGGTTGGCACCACGATTAATTAGATCTCGAGCAACTTGCACATCACCCATAGCACAGGCCCAGTGTAATGCATTATTTCCGAGGTTGTCAATGGGCCTATCAACGTCAAAATTCGCAGGAGGCTCCGGGGGCAGGATGTTGGAAGCAGCCGGATCGTCGCCGGCAGTCACAAAGTAATCCAACAATTCATCGCCATAAATGGTGTGTTCAAGTTCTGATATAGTGGCCACTGGTTCTTCAAAGTCGCGCTTTCGCTTTCTTGAGGCTGTCGAATTCTGGGAGAGAGGAAGAAAATCATCTTCGGCCATGAAGGATGCAGTTTCCGGGCTGGGCCCTCGGCTCTCCATTTCGTTGTACTGACCACTGGCACTCTCATAGCTCTCGGCCGGCTGGTAATACTGAACTGGATTTAAAGGGTCAGATCTTGTCTTGCATAACAGGCCAACTCACTCACCAGGTTGGGTGGGCACTTTTCTCGGAACAGCAGATTGCTTGATCTGTTTTGGTCGGCTCGACGCGGCGGTAGTGTGCTTTGGCGCTGGAGGCGGACTTCGATCGCCAGGAACGAAATCGAAGATCTTCGAGATGCGATCGAGTATACCGTGCTTTTCAGCGAGGAGACGGCCCTCAGACAAAGGGACCCATGTGCCTTGATATTTGCCATATCCACCTTGTATCTTTTCATGAACTCCCTTCTGGACCTCGCGTTCCAGAATTCTTGTTCTGGCTGGTTTGTCGAAGCCAGCAATCTTGAGGATGTGTGTAGCATTGACCCAGTCGTCGGATCGTCGGCGCATAACATGATCACCGGAAACCTTGAGTTCATAGACGGGTACCTGCAAAAAGAGATTAGTCCATGGCTTGCAGAACAAAGGCCAGGTGAGGCACATTGCTATAGGTTGCTGAGTAGATTCCCTTGTCGGTCGCCATGGCGGCGAACCGGATTGATACAGCTGGAAGGGAGGCGACTCAGGTCAACATGGATCTCATGAGGTTTGCAATCTCGGGCAGATCTAAGGCGCTATTACCGTGTGGACAGCGCGTCCTCTGCTCCAGTCACTGTAAAGTCAAGTCAAACCCTTTCTCGACGACGCGTCCAAATTGGTCGCTTCACGCGCCCGGCGCAAAATATGCCAAGACCTTGTGAACCAAAATTTCTTGGCATATTTGCATCTGAAGTCCAGTGTATTCCCCGACTCCGGGCGCCTCCTCCGATCGATCTCCGGCTGCGTTTTGAAATCCAATCGATGAGGCAATTTCTTTGGTATATCAAAATTCGGCGCAAAAGAAGGGGGAAAATCTTACTCAGGGCCACTCCCGACCAATAGGGACATTTACGTCGCATCGTTCTCTATGTGTTTCTTCCCACGCCAATGTATTCGTTTCTTTTCGAATTGCTGACAGATCAATCGATCAACATCTCTTTTCGAGGAATAAATACCCAGAATCTCCGTGTTTGTCTGCCGACGCCTTGAGCCCATCAACGCGCACCGGCAATTCGACACAGGTATACTGCTTTCACTCTCCTCCCCCAATCTATGCAAGCCGCTGCTTTGCTGAAAACTATTAGATCGTCTTCCCCACTCGTCAAGAGTCTTTCCCAAACAGTCGCCCCGCGCCCTCTGTCCGGCTCATCAGCTCGACTCTTCAGTACCAATCATAATTTTCGTGCCAATATGACCACCGGCACCTTCAAATACATCGACCCCAGTTCCTATGTCGAGAGCGATGTGCCCTTCGTGAAGCCTTGGACGAAGGTCGATGGGGGAGGCTATTCGTTTAAGCTGACCGACCACAAGCGATCGGTTGAAAATATTCGAGGACAAGAATCAAATTTCTCCGTTGACACCTCGGGCTTCACCGTTTACCGTTCTCCTGCCCAGGAAAAGGCATTTACTGATGAGAGCAAAGTTCGAGAAGGATACTATGCGGAAGTTGACGCATTGCTTCGACAGAAGTTACCGGGTGTTCAGAAGGTGGTCATCTTCGATCATACAATCAGGAGACGAGAAAAGGCATCACCGCGCCAGCCTGTGCAGCAGGTCCATGTCGACCAGACACCCAATGCGGCTGCAGTGCGCGTGCGAAGACATTTACCTGCAGAAGAAGCCGAAGAGCTTTTGAAGGGACGATACCAGATCATCAATGTGTGGCGACCAATTTTACACGAAGCTTCGGACTTTCCACTCGCAGTGATCGATTGGCGGAGCACTTCTCCCTCCGATTTTGTCAAAGTTGATCTCCTTTATCCCAAGCGAAATACCGCGAACGATGATGATGACGATCGGGGCAAGGAAGTTCTCCCCGATCCAAATTCGGCAGACTCCACAACAGGATATGAAGTCAAGGGCGAAACGTACGCAGTTAGACCGAACGAGAACCACAAGTTCTTCTACATGAAGGACATGACACCAGAAGAAGTGATGTTCATCAAGTGCTTTGATTCCCGGAGCCAGGTGATCCCCGGTGGCAAACCTGGTGTGGCAGATAGTACACCGCACACGGCATTTGTGGATCCACAAACTCCCGCTGACGCTCCCGGAAGACAAAGCATTGAGGTAAGATGTCTGGTGTTTTATGAATAGGATACGATATTGTATTCAATCAATGCTTCCCCAAATGTCAGTAAGAGACCTGCAAATGTTGCACAGACGTCCACTTCGATTTTGGCTAAATTGGAATTCTTCGCGGAAGATTCCTGCCGAGACTGGAGGATGACTTGCTTGAACACCTGACCGCTGTCTTTTTTTCCTTCCAACTCTTACCAAATCTCCTTGAGCTGGTACGTACTACGATGTTACGGCAGTGAGAACGGGGGTGGTTGGAGACAAGTCGTCCGGAAGAAGAAATCTGTATTAAATCAATAGACCTGGACAGACGTGACAAACCGCCGTGCTTTTTATGGTTTCACTCCTCGTCATCCACTTTCAGCACCACCTTACCCCTTGTCTTGCCAGAGCTCAACCGCTCAAAAGCTTGCTGGAACTCGTCAAGCTTCCAGACACTATCCACGACGGCTTTGACTTTTCCCTGCTCGGCCAATTCCGTGATCTTCCCCAGCTGTTCACCTGAAGGATGCATGATGAAAAAGCGTCCGGAGACCGATTCACTGACGCCCTCGGGGCGATCGAGGTCGAACTTCCACTGCATGTCGGCCGGGGGAACAATGGTGCGGATCTGCCCGCCCTCCTTGACGGCGTGCCAGGCCTGCTCGAGCGAGGCGCGACCGGCGCAGTCAAGCACAAAGTCGACTTTGCGGGACGATGAGTCCTCCTCGGCCCACGTGCGGATGTCGGTCGTCTTATAGTCTAGCACCTCATCGGCGCCGAGGCTGCGGACGAAGTCGACGTTCGCGGATCCGCAGGTCGCCACGACGGAGGCCCCGATCAACTTGGCGAGTTGCACAGCCCAGATTCCGACACCGCCTGAGGCCGCCGTGACCAGGATCCGGAGCGGAGTGGTCGACGGAGTTGGAATGGATACACTGGTTGGCGGTGCGAGCTTGAATTCTTCGAAGAAAGCCTGCCATGCCGTCAAAGCGCTGACGGGCATGGTCGCTGCCTCGCTAATGGAGAAATTCTTCGGGCGGAGGGCAAGTTCTTCATCGTTGGAGACGGAGTATTCCCTTGCGCTACCGGGTTGAGGATAGGTGACTCGGCCGTAGACTTTGTCTCCGGGCTGGAATTTGGAGGATGGGGTTGGTGAACTGACAACACGAGCAACAAACTCAACGCCAGGGGTGGAGATGGTGAGCTCATCAGGGCGAGGCCAGGACAGTTCACCTGATGTCAATGCCACGGCATGGGGTTTGATCAGATATTGAGTAGATGATGGCGTCGGTAGGGGGGTCGAGCCGACATGGAAGGATTGGTTTTTCTGGTTGTGCAAGAGGGCACGCATCATGCTTGGGAGGGTGGTTCTCGACATTGTTGCTAGTGAAATTTTGGTCGGCGGAGGTCGCTTGGTTGCTGGGAAGTCAATTGAGGACGATTGGGGATCTTGGTTGACAAGTGGATATTCACGAGCAACATAACCTGGCCTTTATATAAGTTCGAAGACTTACAAAAGACGTCAGCTGTGTGTTCTGCCCGATGGGACTGTCCATTGCGATGAAGCTCTTGGCCGTCGGCGGCCAGTTTTGCCAACCACCGGGTTGGTTCAATGTGTCTTCTTTCGGGCGTGCCAACCGACTGGCGTATCATCTCCGGAATCCATGCCATGCCCTGACAGGACAGAATTCGCTCTTGTCTCGTATGTATCGACGGGCGGGCATCATGGCATCTTGGTAGAAAATGATGAATCCCACGGAAATGCAACTGGCAGATTTGAGCCAACCTGCAAACCAAGACTCACAAGACTCACAGACCAATAGAAAGGTCAGGATTTCTTCCTGATTGAGACAAGCATGGATTAATAACACCGGCTGAGGGAAAAAAGGACTCGGGTTTGTCGGGGACTGACGTAGGCACTAGTACTATTCAGGAGGATGCTCGTGCTGCTATTTTTGTCACGTGATTGGTATCTGACCTTCCAACCTTGCCGGCCCCTGTTGGACTTTGTCAAATGTATCTGCACCACGCTCCGAATTATGCAGGTGGATCGATACTGCCTTTATCGCACTGACGGTGCTATCTATTTGTGTTGTTGGTATCCCGCATTTTATTGCTATCCACGTAAGTTCTGCGTCATTGCTCAAGCAGCAAACTTTGATTGAGCCTCTAGTTGCCTTCTATGAGCGCTGTGAGCTTGTGGTACGAAACGGGTGTCCGATTTTAAGGGGAGGCAATACCTCTGAAGACATGCACCCTACATGGAATCCTGCCATTTGCACACCTCCAGGAAGCTCTTGGGAAGGCATTTTCACATATTTCAACGATGACATCAGCAGGGCACTGGTTCGCAAACTATTTCTGCTTTGTTGGCCTGACGATCTCCCTCCTGAAATCATCCGCTTGATCTGCCGATTTCTTTATCCATTTCTAGAGCTTGTTGCAGTGACCTACACCAAGAGCCTACTTCATCTGCAGAATAAGCGTTGAGCAAACCACGTTTAGTACTGATCAAGAACATCCGACTAAACATAACGCTGCATCCGGCATTTTACTCAGTATAGATGCAACCAGTATCTTTCCAGCATCACCGAGGCTACGTGTCGCTTTGGCCTATCGTCGTGAGTATCACGAACTTACGAATACAACAAGCATTTCTGTCGCTGTTGATCATGCACGGACAATTGGGCTGTTCACCCACATGCAAGATTCTAAAATGACCGACTCCATGTGATTGACGACAAAGATTGACGACATCCTCTTCAGGTCTCTACGAATGAAGGAAGAGCACGTATTTTCGGTCCATATCCTCAGTCTGATGAGTTCTTTCGCATTCGAACCTCGATCATCTTGCAGCAATCAACCAGTCAAAGGCCTCTACCACATACCTATTAGCCGTGTCATGTCAGTCTATGAGATAGGGGCCATTGGCCAAATCCTAGGTGATCTCATGCGGCCGAATACGAATATTTCCCCTCATATGCCTGCCAATTATCCTGACACCTGATTTCGGTCTTTCTGGCTGGTGTCTAGCCAAGGCTCCGCTCGACAGCGTTATGGGACTGCGAATTTGCCGAGATAACCCTGCAGATGAAGTTTGCCTGAGGCCTCTCTCGCTGTACAAAGCTAATTATCGTGAATCTCTAGGACCAATTCGATTTGACAAACATCCATCTGATCCTATCTGTCAGGAAGAGGTCCACAGCCCCTTGGGGATCGCCCAAAAAAGACTAGGAATCCTGTCATTTCATGACAGAAACTTGGACCTCTTAGCTTATATACTTGTCAGAACCCGGTTCGTGACACTATCGATATTCAGAAGTGTCAATTCGGCAACCGCGAGATGCATTCCAAGTCTGTTGTGTCTCTTCGCCAGGATCAGTTGCCTTCAGGCCTTCCTACAGGCCGAGCACGCTCTAGCTTCCCCGTGTACGGCTGGATACTATGGTGGTCTAGTCCAGGCGGGAATCGACTGGGATTTCGCAGCGATGACACCAACTTTCTTCCTGAGTATACAGAGTCGCAACGGGTGACGAGATGAACTGCACTAGACAGATTTCTTTGCTCCACAAAATTGCCGGCAGGCCTGTTGTCCGATGCTCTTGTCTTATTCATCATCCGATCAACAGGTGCTCGAGCTTTGTTGGCATCAGAAATGAAAATGGCCTGTTACCGTCTTGAACAGTTCTAAACTTGTCGTGTCTTGACTTGAACAAGATACGCGGCCAGCATTCATTTGTGTAAAGGCATTGGATTATGGATGCAGCATTCGTCTTCGAAGATTAAATTGGGCAAAGACTTCCATATCTTGCCGCAATAAAGATCTGGCTGTTTTCTGCGATATCTTTGCACCTGAACTTGTGAGGGTTCGCATTCAAAAGGACTTAATCGTTGATTATTGTCCGAGGCTCTTTTTCATCAACAGTCTGCACTTGAATGAAAGGAGTCTAGCCGTCAAGAAGTCGGCATTGGATTTACACGTCAACGTCCGCGGGATATCTACGCCTGCGTAGCTCGGAAACCATTAAGGAAAGGGTGGCAGGTCAAGAGTTAGAGACGGGGTTGTAAGGTGGACACACCTTCATCTTCAAGAAGAGCCATGAATCTTGATCGGCCGACCCCGGGACAATCAAAAAAGAGAACACAGTGAGTGAGTCATCTCCATCCATCGCCCAGTCCTTTGTTCGCATTGAATACCTATTGCCTGCTCTTTTGGGTATCGTGGCGGGCCCGGAAAAGGTGGTTCCAGAGGACTAGGACTATCCCGGTGCAAAGAATCCCAACACGGCATGGGCAAGGTTTCATTGCCCATTCTCCACCACGAAATCCCATACCCCCCCCTGCGCCAGGCAGCAATTTGAGAGCATTTAGACCTGAAGAGTCCGTAGGTATATTGTGTGGATTGGAGAACTAATCCCCTTCGCTCCTGTCTTGATATTCCAGATAAACACCACACTCCTTAAAACAACATGCCACTTGTTCTCGAACCGGCCGTTGAGGCAGACGCCCCTCGCATCGTCGAAGTGGAACGTCTCGCATATGCCACAAATCCTTTAAGCCCCATTTTATTTCCTGGGCCGTTTCCACCAGATGCCTTGGAGAAGCGTGCAGAAGGTATGGTGACTCAGCTCAAGGAAGACCCGACAACCCGTTGGATGAAGGTGGTCGATCCCGAAACCTCTGAAATGGTGGCATTTGCAAAATGGAACATCATGACAAGCCCCACAACACCCAAAGCAACCAGAACATTTGGTCCGGGCTGCAATGTCGGAGCCTGTGAAGAATATTTTGGTGGCATCCACAAAAAGCGAAATGAGTTGATGGGAGGCAAAGCCTACTGCTGTACGAGCCTCCCCTTGTCTGCGGCCCCAATGTTTTGCCGCTCTCTACTAAATTGGTCACCACAGTACTTGATCTACTTCAAACAGACCCCAAGTACCAAGGCCGTGGTGCAGGAGGAATGCTGATCAATTGGGGTCTCGATGTCGCAGATGAGCTTCATCTGCCTGCTTACCTGGAATCTTCACCCGTGGCCCATAGGTTGTACCAAAAGTTTGGGTTTCAGGATATTGGCGAATTGCAACTCGACCCAAAGTGGAATTATGGTAAAGCTAATCCGAGTATTTATTTTATGCTCAGGGAGGCAAAATAGATGAGGTTCATCCGCAGCAGATACGTTTCCTTGACCAGGGAAAATCATATGATGGTAAGTTGCTCGTGAATGACATGACAAGAAATCCTAACCCATTTAGATACATCAAATCGGCTCCCTCATTCCTGGAGTACCAGGATATGCAGGGCAATTGTTTTCATTTGAGATATTTGCGTCACCACATGTATCTGACGGAAACTTCTGTCATATAGATATTCATTCTCCGGCCGACTCTGATTATGATACACATTATTTTGCCACAATAACTCATGAGTCGTGAGCATTTGAAGATTCTGTTGTCATCGAGTTTAAGTTCGGTTCATTTGTCAAGATTTTCCTTTCACGTGGAGTCCTTTCGCTCAGTGTCTACATTAACCCAGTGCCGCTCTGCGAGAATTCCGGCCTTGTCATGAGTCATTGGCCGGTCTGGTCTGAAGCCACATTTCTGAAACCACGACGTCCACAGTCGAACATCTCTTTCCGGTGTTCTGTCTCATTCTCACGGGCTGCTCACACCAGGAAAAGACAGCAAGCGAGGATATTCAATCAAAGCAGCAAAATGCCACTATATACACATTTCGAATGGCCCCCATTACCAACCATTGTCAACATGATCAAAGCAACAGCCTAACTGGAAAGCTATCTTCGGCTCTAATCAACCTTCCAACATTCTGGACTCGGGCAAAACCTCGCATTACGATCGCCACGAGGGCCCTCCACGATGCCAAGCTGGTTCCCCAAAGCCAGATGCAAGCAGGAACAAGGAGAACCAATTTGGAGACTCTGCAAACGATTTTAATACGTCGAATTCTCCAATCCGTCGCACATGTCACGACACGGAGAGATGCGAGAAGGACGCAACACGAGGAAATTGACGCACGTCTAACCTGGACAACAAAGGAAAAGAAGAGAATGCTCTGGGTTAGTCGAGGAGATGAATTTTTTAACTGATGTGCTTTACACCGGTAACAGTGGTGGGCTACGTAGTATACCACGGTATTACTGGCATCAACCCTCCGCACAAGGCTTTGGCCCCTTTTTACTAAGCTAGTGCTCGTGGTGGGGACAGACGGGGACATCAGGCATGGTTGCAAATTACGGCTTCGGTAATGCGTTATCCACATCTAATATATCCGCGACAAAAGGAAGTCTGCTAGATACATTTACCCCAGAATCAAAGGTTCAGTGGCCTCTTTCTGTTCCTCGTGACTCCTGTGCAGGACCTCAATATCAACCTCTTTCCACTCCGGATACCACAACGCCCCGACGAAATCCCTCGCCTTCTTGAATGTCTCAACCTTCAATTTCTGATGTTCATCACTGATCCACGCATCGGGAAATTGTGTCCAGCCATGACCAACGCCCTCGACCTCCTCCACAACCAGATGGGTCCCTCTTCCTTCATCGTGAACCTTTTTGATCCAAATCAAGCTCTGTTCATTCAGGGAATCAAATTGTGGCAAGACCAGAAACATCTTGGCTTTGGGATGCAGCCCTGATTCCTCCCCATCTTTCCGTCTCAGATTCGCCAGGCCCGGACTGGCTCGCGGGTGACCTCTTTTCTCTGGGGGAAGGTAAGTCGGCATCAACTCCTTTTCGATTTTCCATCTCTGCACAAATCCTGACGGAGGATCTAGCCCTTCCGGTCTCGGTCTCTCATCAGGTAGAAGTCGACAATCCAGGCTAGGATAAAATAACAGGACGGGGATATCGTTCTTAAAACGCCAGGGCACAGGACTGGGCCAATCTCGATTCACGGTGGGATCATCTTTGACACTCAATACCAAATTCAGCGCGAGGTTACCCCCAGAGCTGAATCCAGAGAACGCGATCCGTTCCTCGTCAAGGTGAACGGGATCCCGACCCTGCTTGACTAGACACAGCTCGATCCCATCCCTAAGTGTCCTATATGCTTGGGTGCGAGGCTCAATAACAGCACGCACCACGTCTTCCGCATCCAAGTTCGCCGCTGGATATTGCGCGTCTGGACCGAGACGATAATCGACTGATATCACCACACAATTCAGCTCGCGGCACATCTGCGCACAGAAGGGCGCCTGCTCCTGGCACGAGCCGAGAATAAAGCCGCCGCCGTGCAAATCAATCAAGACCGGCAACCTCACGTGCTCACCGTGCGGAGATTGATTGGGATGGGCTGCTTCTCTGAGATGTTTACCAGGGGAATGTAAGTGGAAGCGGTGCGATTGATGCACAGGTGGGATAAAAACGTAGACCGGGATGAAGTGGGATCCTCGGGAAGGGATGTCGAAAACGATTGGGTGAGGCCCGTCCGGAGAAGTGAAGTGTAGGACAAAATCTGGCACGAGGCGCGGGATGCTGACAAGTGCCTTGCGCCAGGATACGCCGAAAGGATGGGAGAACATGGCTCGGTGATTGAGAGGGTTCCTTGGGTCCTCTGCAGCAAGAAAGAGCTGATGCCTCAGAAAATATTAGCAAGAGACAGCCAAGGAGACGGAGATGATCTTCGAAGAGTTAACCTCTTGGATATGCAAGAGTAAACGACAAAGACGGATTGAGGGAAGCTCTAAGCCTGGCTCGTTTGGCATTAGCGTCGTAACCTTTTCCCGATGTGGAAAAGCCATTACATCACAATGGGAGCCTTGCATGTCAGCTTAGTCCTTTAGTGATATCACTAGGATCAAGCCTCAGCCTTGCCAAGTTACCCTATTTAATCCATCATCGAATGCCGGCCACCACAAAGCTGGGATCAGTCGTTGTTGAGGCTGGGAGGAGTTCCAGCGTCATGGGAGGACCGTATTTAACTCTCATGGATGAGTAGTCAGCTAAGAGACGTGGAGGCCCCCCTCTTGACTGCCTGCACACAAGCCTAGGAACATCCCTGGCTTGAGATGCGTTTCTACATCACGAAGAGCGAACGTTTGTGAACTTGTTCGTTCTCAGATATGCCATTCAGAACAAACCCACGATTAACGTCTGCATCCAAACAAACTTATTGTGATACGCATCTAAACTAAAATCAATCCATTCATTCCCGTTGTCTTCGAATGCGGGCCCGCACCAGCGACCTCAGAGCAGACTGTTAGAGTATCTTATGGTGAAGTCGTAACGATATGAAGGCGTGGCATCTGGGCAATGATCTCAATGGCAGCGAAGCAGTCCATGGAACATCCACTAATCGCCCTTTGAGGAGGCGTGAAGGCAACATGCTTCTCACAGACAACTCGAGGCTGCCAGCTTGCTGGCTTGGCACGCCAGACGGGTGAAGAGAACGCTCAATGCCTTGCTATTGGCTGTGTTGTTAGGTATGACTTGTTCACCGGGATCAAGTTCAGGAGTGGTTTCGGGTCCGTCTATTCGGAAGCTAGCTGTCGAGGTGGCATCTTGAGAGTATCTCTGCGTCGTGAAAAGGCACCTTATCAGCCGCTTTCTTCGAACATAGGATTCTCTAGAGAAGATAGACCATGAGTCTTAATCAATAGGGATCTCATTATTTCCAGATCGAGTCTCGGTTCTCGTGGATAATAAGACTGTCCAGAATATAGCATCCAGCAGATGAAGGGGTCCCAGTGGATTGATGATTGATGGTGCTATGCGGGTCAACGCCTCGTTCAAAGGAAGGCTTAGATTTCCGGTCGTCAGTCAAAGGCTGAGCTTAACCGACAGAATTTATTGGGTGGATTCTTTGGCTGAAGTGTTTTGGTCAATCGGATATGCAGTGTATGTTTGCAATGTTTGTCTCTCATCGTGTCATTGGCATACCTAGCTTCGGATCCGGTAAGTATAGTAGTCCCATTTATTTGCATGGAGATCCTGCTTGGCCGACAAGTGGGAGATGAGACTGGAGCCGGTTACCTTGAGCGGCGTCTTCAACAGCGAGCCTGAAAGACATGCAGGGCGGGTCAAGGTGGTCCGGCCTCTGCAGTTCCTTGCGGCTCTTTTCTCCACTCACTGATGCAAAAATTCCACCTCGGCCGTGGTATCTTGATCATGCAAATTCAATCGAGAGAACGTTTGCTTTGGAAAGTTGTATCCAGAAGTGCAACGCACTGCCGCATGGTCAATACGGTAAATCAGAATGTGTGACTGGGATCTGAGTGTATGAGGAAGCAAACCGATCTCCGAGCATATTTCGTGTTTTGCCTGTTGAGTCGGTTGATATTGGTTGATCACGGCTGCCAGTCCCGTGGTCCACCCGCTCCATATCAGTCAAACATACCATGGCCTCCCACCTTGGTTCTGAGGCACTCTGAGAAGCACTTGATCATTGCCCGCATCACATACACTCTTGTTGAATCCATCCAGTTTATTGTATACCCATGACACATCTTGAGATTTCAGCCTTGCCAGCACAACGGTCTTGGTGTACGGCTCTGAAGCAGGCTTTGCCACTCCCGGAACAATGGTAGGTTGCAGCTCATTTTCGAAAGGTGGTAGATATGTAAGGTCGGGGCCAGATTGCTGTCAATGATATACTCGCAGCAGAAAAAAATGGGACCAAGGCAACGGGCTACCAAATAGATCAGGCGCAGGAAGAGAGCGGTTGGGGCCTAGTTTCATGCACGTGCCTCGCAATCTGCATGCACCTTGTTGTACACATGATAATGAGGCCAACAATATGGTAAAGCGAATAAGAATGCGTTTGACGAAACTGACTACGTGTCGAGCTCAGCTGCAAAGCAGGTGATGGCACAGAGCAAAAGCCCAATAAGTGGGAATAAGGGGGTTCGTGTTCCGTCTCTTGCGACGCGCTCACAAACCCCGAGGCCCACTTGCTTCAGCCTTGCGGGCTCAGCCTTACACCACCTCAAACACTTCGCACACCCATGCGGTGGAGTCCTTACTCAATCTCATGTCTCCATGGCCATAGGTTCTCATGATGGCCCGGGTCCGACACAAGCGAGATCTTTCTGGGCACAGACACGATCATATGATATGTCCAGCATCAGACAGTCTGGCGTCCTTCTCCCATCTTTGATCTCTCCTTCCCTCTTCAACAGCAGCGCATTCAATTTTATCTTTCTTCCTAACAGCAACCTTGCATCTGTTCCATCGCTTTGCGCTTGCTCAAGATCAGCGATCATGCCACCATCCCGGCGGCTCGCTTACTCTCAAAGATACAACTTGCAGCCCCACTCCCAACATCGTCCGCTGCGGTCAAGGATTCGCATGTCTGGAGAATGGCATCTGCCAGGTCACTTCGTTCGTGCAGGCATTCGATCCGAGTTTCAGCCAGGCCATCGAGGATTATCGAGGCTCCGGTACGGACCAGAGCTGGTCACGTTCCCGACTGTTTGACACTGGGCTCCAATGTATGCATCCCCAGACCCACAGTCCCAGATTAATCAAAACCAAACGATCCACTAAGTGATTTCTATCTCTGGCAGATGCCATGGATGGCGGAGATTCCGTGAGCCTTTGCACCTAAAACACCTTCTGCCGTCTAGGAGGAGTCTGTGACTGCTTGAACTACACAACAACTCTCGATGCCGCAGCCGTCCCGGTGACGACCATCACCATTCCTGGCGGAGGATCCACTACTTCCACAGCCGTCGAGACATCCTCAACGACGTTCTCGACATCATCAACAGCCTACTCACATTCTCATCCATGTCGGAGTCACCTTCTTTCACCGCATCATCCATCTCCTCCCCCCCATATCCCTCACATCTTCTCGCGCACCTTCTGATTCTGATACTCCTTATCCATCATCCCGAAGAGGGCATCTCTGCTAGCGGCGAAGCTGGAATTGCCATGGGCATTATATTCGCGATTGCGGCATTCGCTCCCAGCGGGTTCTTGCTTTACCGTACACATCGAATATTTGAAACCCTGTAGAAGCACCTCGCAGCAGCCGCTGCTGTCAACATGGGGAAAAGAAGTTGGACGGCAAATTCGCGACTTGATCACATCCTCTTCCACCTTATCGTCAGAATAATCGTCGGAATTACCGTCGCATGTCCAATACTCGGAGGAAACTAGAGCTGATCAACGGACTTGTGTTGCACACGGAATGATAACATCGATATGCTTTGCCGAATTTTTGCAGGCGGCGGAGCTTCCACATTATGATAGACTGCAATTTTCATGACCGAGATGACATGAAACAAATTAGGTAGAAGAGTTGGAACTCGAAATCTCAGATGGCCTCAGTTATTTTGATGATTTGATTTCATGCTATTCTACAATATATATGTATATGTAGGGAGCATAGATAGGCTGATCTGTCCGCCTCTCAGTTCGAGTGTAGCCCAGCGCTTCTAGCTTGCCCTGCACTTGATCTGATCAGATCGCTGGCTAAAGCTGTTCGGTGTGCAATGAGACATGTTTCGTCAGAATAAAAATAATGCTCCAAATGAACTCGTTCTCCGCTTCAAATCTTGCTGTAGCACACTCGTCGTTGGGTACATCCATCATCAATCAAACAAAGTCGCGCCACCGGAGGCATTTAGACGTTTGGCATATACACATGTGTCCTATGTCAATGTCACTTCCCATTTCCATTGCCCCCGTTGCCAGCGACTTTGCCTTTCTTCGCCAACGCTTCTTTACACTCGTCACAATACCATTTGGCACTCTTGGGAACACTTTTCAGCCCGATGCATTCGAGGTGGAACCATTGCCTCGGACAATCGGGTTTGTCACAAGCTACCATCTCCCCGTAACTGACGCCCTGGCAGTAGCAGTATCTTTCCTCGTCTTCCTCGGCGGCGTCATTTTCTTCATCGTCTTCGTCTTCCGCGTCATTGTTGCCTACATCTCGCTCTGACGGGGTGTTGGACTTGGTGGTGTCACTCTCTTCTTTCAGCCGCTGCGTCGTGGGCAGTTGTAAGGTCGATATGCTGCCGCCCTTCTTGTGGGATCGCTTCATCGGAAGTCCCTTGGGTGAGAGCGAATCATGAAGCCCGTGGTCTTTCACTCTCGGTCTTGCAACGCGTTTGGTCTTCGAACCATTGCCATTGCCATTTGTCGATCCGGTCTCCGCAGCTTCGGCTTCAGCAAAAGTTCCCGTCACGGGTGTCGACGTCTTTGAAGCTCTCCCTCGTCCTGATCGCTCACTTCGCAGTTCACTTGTTTGCAGTGATAGCGGGAGACGGGGCGAGGCAACTCCTTTCGACGCGACTTCTTCCGCAGGTTCGCCCCGGGCGGTCTCTTGTCTACTGGAGGATCTTTCCAGCAAGAGGGCTCCACGCAGTTGATGCTCGCTGTTGGATCCATTCACCGCGTCAGGCTCATCTTCGACCAACCGATCCCCTTTGTCTGTTTTGGTTTCCTTCATTGTGGCTTTGGCTTCACTCGTACTTTTCCCACTTGCTGTGGCCACACTGTTCAACTCTGGTGTGCTGGCTGCCACAGCGTTGTTATTATTCCCGTTCCTGTTCGAGATCAAGGAAGAAGGTCGTCCTCGAGCGCTATCAACTGTCTGCGTGGAGTTCTGCCGTCCTCTCCCGGCGGCCGGTCGTACGGTGGAAAGCGCCGGGCTTTTTATGTAGGCTTCTTTGCCTGCGTTTCCGGCAAGTGGCGAGGAGACCAGCTTGGGTGAGTCTTGAGTCGAGGCATTTATCCTGCCGATCTCCAGGTTAGTGACGTGTCCTTCAAAACATATTCACTACATACCTCTTCCGAGCCACGGTTGTCATCGCCGCCGAAGCTTTCCTCTTCTTGGCATGGTCTTGCTGGGAGTTCTCCCTCGACATCGGACGGCCTCCCAAAGCACCGCTGACGGATCGTTCCATGCTCACTCCTCCCAGCGCCGGCTTATCAGACTTCTTTCTTTTACCTGGGCCTGCACCAGTGATTCCAAGGCCGGCCGGATCTGGCGCCGGTTCGACAACTCGTTTCTTTCCAATGGCCGTTCTCCGCGGAGGATTTCTAGACTCGTCAAAATCTGAATCAACGTGTTGCGTGGCTCGCTGTCTCCTGGCCATAATAGCTTCTCTCCTGGCTTCACTCCTATGTGCAACCTCACTCTCGTGTAGGATTGCGAGGCTGGCGGCAGCATCTCGGCGCGTGGCTGGAGCAGTGGACTTCTTGACCGGATTGGTCTCGGTGTACGCCCAATGCTTCAGACTTCCTAGCCTTGCTTCTTCCGAGATCTCATCGTCGATGTGTGGGAAAATCTTGTCCAGTCGGCGAATGTGTCTTGACACCTCCTCATTGGCGTTGTTGATGACATGGTTCTTTTCGTCCATGGTCATCATGACGGCGATTAAATTCTGTCTCAAAGCGTGGAAACGCTGTCTGCGTTCTACCACTGCTGGGTCTGCCGAGCGGCCGGAGGTCAGGGACGCATTGTCGAGAGAAGCGCCAGTAACACTATTGACCTCACTGACATTGACAGATTCGTCCGCGGTGACGGAACCTGTCAGACTCTGCGTTGCGGGAACCAAACTCTTGGTGCCCATCGCCGTGTCGATCAGGCATTGCTCCAGTATCTTTTGTAGATTCTCCTCGGGGCCCCATCCTTTCGCGTCCACCTCTTTCAACAGCGACACGTGTCTGCGGAAATCTCGTGGCAGTGCAGCAATGGCATCTGCAAAATGCGAAATGGCAGGATAAAGGCCGGGAGGTTCGTCAGGGCTCGAATCGTCCCTGATCGGGGCCGAGACACCAAAGGAGGCCAGAGGGCGGCCAGAGTTGGAGGTAAGAGAGTTCTGGCGCAGAGCAGCAAAGCCGGAGGACTTGGAAGATCTTGCAGGGTTTATTCGAGTCAAGCGAGATGGACCACCTCGGAAATTCGAGGTGGGAAGAGTTGTAGTCATTGTAGTCGTGGACATGGGGATATCGCTGAGGAAGACGGGTGGGAGGAGGAGCTGTTGGTGTGCGATTAGCAAAGTCGGCTGGCTAGGTTCGAGTGAAGATCTCACCACATCGAGGGGCTTGAAAACAGCACAAACTTAGACAGTCACACAGCAAAGGTGAGAAACTACCCTAGCATCGCGAAGAATTTAAAAAACGAAAAAAGGGAAGGGGGATGGTGGAGCAAGAGGTGGTGAAGTGAATGGGAGAAACCGAGAATCTGGGTTGCGTTGCGCGCATCTTCCCCCAGAAAGGCTCGTTGCCAATCGGCGGTTGGTGACATCAGCTCCGATTTCTGGCGTCACGTGCTGTATTATGTAAGCCATGAGACGAACGCACTGACTTTTTGGCTCCCCAGCCTTATGACAAGTTGTTTATCCCGTATTTGTTCTGTGGCATAGCAGGTGGTTTCATTTCTCGCAATCCCTCGTGCCAATGGCTAGTCCTATGCTCCTAAAACTGAAAGCTAGTAATCGTAATACGGCATTCTCAAAAAGTCATCATCCCCAAGAACAAAAGAAACCGAAGGATAGGTCAAGTCATGACTTCCTCCGTCGACCGTTCGGCAGAGTCATCATGATGGCTTTTAAATCCAGTCCCTGTCAACTTGAGGCAGCTGTTCCTGGCCGATATCCAATGCAAGTTGAGGAGCATCGTCCGACTTCTTCTTTACCGGACTCTTCTTTGGGCTACGAGCCTCACGGGGCGGACCAGCTCTCACATCCTCCACTGGCCAGCCATCTGCTTTCGCTGCCGAGACCCAACACTTCAATCCCTCGTGCACACCTCCATAGAATTTCTCTTTGCATGTCCGCAGGCTGCCACCCATGACTTTCTCAAATCCCGACTGCTTCAGGTCTTCCCTCAATTCATTGCGTTCCTCTGTCGTGGGCAGCAAAGCAATCAGCCCGTTCAACAAGTCCAGATGAGTTGCAAGATATTGGGTTGCCTCCCACTCGACCCCGCCGACGTACGGAGCTGCAGGGTGAGGTGGTCGTGGGACCGGAAAATGGGCTCGAGCAAACCCCGGGGTCTCGTCGACCTCGATGATGGGAATAACGTTCAGATGATGGAGAAAGATCCAGAACACTTCTTTGGTGACATTAACGACCTCCTTGCACCAGACCCGATAAGGCCGAGGGATATGCATCTGGGAGACAAAATCCAAAGGCTGCTTGCCATCTTCTGGAGCGGGATCTTTGAGAAATCCAAGAATGTTCTGTGCGCGTTCCTGAACTTCCTTCTGATCGCCGCCCACGACCGCGGACAGATGTGCAAAGAGGAGCGAAATTATGACTCCTCTGGTGTTGAATTCGGAAGGGCCCTTTCTCTCAGGGTCAAACAACATACCCAACAAAGCAGAGAAAAATTCCTTTTCCACCTGGCGCAGCCGCTGGAGGGCAAGCGATGTCGTACACAGACCTTTCAAGCAGAGCAACGTTTCATGGAGGAGATTGTCTTCATGCTCTTCCCGCCACTCGATCTTCGTGATGCGGTAGTACAATTGGAGAAGGTCATCCATCCCGCCCTTGGTGACGAAGTGATCGGTCCAACTGATCGACTCATTCCGCAAGAGGATCCGCAATTTGTGGAGCTTGCTGACCTCGACCAATTCAGGCTTCTGGACTTCTCGAAGATAATGGATGAAATCACCAGGGGTGGTTGCACTATCGGCCGGATTGGGTGACGCAAGAGAGACTGTCGAAGCCATGGCCCTCGACGATGTGGGTCGCGAATTGCTGAGGTCGGCCGATTTATTTCGGGATTTGCTGCGTGACCTGGATGACGATTCAGGCCTCTCTGACTTGGAAGGTGAGCCTTCCTCGCGTTTGGTCAAGGTCAAGATTCGACTCCGGGGTCGAGACCGGGATCTCGATCGCTTGCCCTCTTTGCGATCCTCCCCCTCGCTCCGGGGTCTTTCGTTCTCTTTCTTCTGAGGACTTCTTGCGGATGATCTTACCTCCGACGCATCACCTGCGGCGGACTGACCGGATTTGGCTGTGGAACTACTGCCGATGCGTTCCCCCTTCATCAAACCGGCTTTCACATCTGGTTTGAGATTTCGCATATTGCTTCGCATGTTCAATGGAATGTTCAATGTATCTAACACCTTTTCGAATGCCGAGTCAAGTTCTTGAGGGCTCCATGGAGCTTCTGGCGAAGTCGGAGTTTCGGGCACTGATCGAGCTTCACGTCGGGCTTTCATGTTCAGGTTCTGGATGGCTTCGAAAACCCTCGACCCTCTCTTAGCCCGAATGTCTGATTGAGGAGAATCCGGGGATCGCGTCTCTAATGCCAGGCATACACCAGGCGTGCCCGATGAGCTTGGACGACTTGCGCTTTGGTCCTTGCTCTTTGGCCGATTCGCCTCCGTCTTAGGCTCATCGTCCATGTTCTCCGTGAATATGGAGCTTCTACTAGACTTGTGCTCCAGGTATGGCCTCTGCGGCGGCTTGTAGTCCCACATCGATGGAGTGGAAGGACCACATCCATAAAAATTTCTCTGTTCTGACGGCCGAAACTCTGAATAATCCTTTGGTGAGTACAGTTTTATCTCTTCCTCGATCGTCCTTCGTTTCGACATTGGGTACAACATCGTGCCGTCTGTACCTTCAACCGGCTGGGTCGCGAACTGTGCCCAGATAGGAGTATGGTTTTCAGACGGTGTTGATTTCGACGGCGAGGCGGTCTCAGAGTTGTGTATCTCTTCCCTCAGATCCTTCTTGGATTTTCGTTTCAATAAGCCAGTCAGATTGGTGGCCGACTTGACCTTCTTGGGCTTTTTCTCGGTCACTCGTTCTTCAATCGACGAAACACTTCCCGAATCCGGGTTCTTTTCTTTACCCAGCATAAATCCTTTCAATGAGACAGAGCTTCCAGCCTTTTTGTGAGCAGGTGGAAGAGTAGGTCGAGGTTCATCGTCCGATTTGATTGTGATCCGTTTTGGCGGAGGTGGGCTGTTGATGTGTCGTTCTCCGAGAGGACTGGCAGAATAAACACCGTCGTGGCTGGATGGCTTGGACGACTTGGTAGGGCTCTGGCTCTCTTTTCGGCGTCCTCTCAAAACATCTCCCACCGACGGTACGCGGTTATGGTGGGATTTTCGCCCTCTCTGTTGAGGCTCGGGATCCTCGAAAATTCGAGCAACTTGATGGACTGTTGGGCCCATGGCGGAGGAAGACAATATATTTGGGCAGGGTGCCTAATCAGATCCCATCATCATTGGTACAAAAACAGGTAAGATACAACGCACAGGCGGCAGATCAATCCAAGATCACGTCTGGATGTGGAATTTCTCCAGCCTCAACCGCGGCTGACCACGCAACCGTAAACAAAAGGGCCGCTACCACGGCAACAATTGCGGACATGGATAATGCTTGGCTTCAACCTCCCTCTTCGCCACCCATAATTAGAACTTGTATCTGAACAGGGTACGCCGCAATACTGATATTATTACCGATGCTTCGAGCCGCATCCGTGACATGTTCGTGTTGTTCTTCTACTGATCCTAATCATACAGTGGTAGAACCTCATCATCCATTGCAGTCAACGTGACACCAAAAGTCCCCGTTCCTATCTAACCGCGAGGATCACAAGACCAATACCAAAATTCTAAAATCATCACTGCACAACACCTTGACGCCAACGATCAATCTGCGCTCTCTGCTTCGGATCAAGAGGAGGCCCCATCATTGGATCCTGTGTATATGGTTGATTGCCATACCCGTACGAGTGTGCACCCATTTGCTGTTGCATATGCATGGGAAGAGGAGCGCCATAAAGTGCAGGCGTCGAAACCCCCAACGTTCCATTCATATATGGTGACACATTGTTCTGAGCAAGATTCCCATAAGATCCATTGATAAAGCCGCCGTTTTGTTGTGTATATCCCCGGTTCGCGGTCCGACTGGAAGGATGTGCCGGTCTCGACTGATGGCCCACAGGATGGGCTTGCAAGATATCAGCCAGACTATGCAGAGATCCAGTTGGGGCCCTGGCACCGGTGTCATTGGCGCTACCTCCGCTGACCTGCCTGCCATTTCTCAAGGCTTCTTCTTTTAATCGTTTTCGTCTTTGCGCCAAAGTCTCCTCGTCGTCGGGGGTCTTGGAAGGCAGTGGAGCATTGTTCCCAACATTGAGACCTAGTTCACTCGCCACCTCTTCTGCGAATTGACCTCCGCTGCCCTTCCCCTTCCCCAGCTTCATCCTTGCGGCACGCTGTGCTAATGTCTCATCTTCTCGTTCAGGGAGGACCCCTGGTTCGAGGCCAGGCACGTCTTCGATGACAGGAGCACGGCTTGTTTCATTGACCTCACTCTGAGTCTCGGACTTCATTGGTTGTAGTGGCTCGCCGCGCAACCTTGCACGACGGTGACTGAGCGGCTCGTTCTCTTCCATTTCTCGCCTTTCTATAAGTCCAATGGGCCGATGAGCACTGGGAAGATTGGCCCTATCCTTCTCCGCAAAAAGTACCCCAAGAGGTATATCCTCATCATCGAAATTTTGTCTGTCAGCGTCGTCATGGTCTTCCCAGGCCAGGGTGACATGCTTGGTCTTTCGAGCTTTCTGCTGGAGTTGAGCGACCGCGTCGAGCTCGAGAAGCGTGGAGTGCATGCCATTCGGAAAAGCGTCCGCAGCCGTACGATTGCGTTGTTTCTGTTGCTCTTTGCGCATTTGCAATTCAGCAAGCAAGGTGGTCGGTGCCGTAGAGAAGCTTGGACGAGCGGCCCCTTCGTCTTCTTCTTGGTCGGAAATCTCGTCCGCATCCGGTGCTATTGATTGCGCTGCAGCGCGGTCAAGTTCGTCCCCTGTGGCGTCCCCATCGCCGTCGAGCATATCTTTAGAATCCTTGGACTTGGTTCGGCCCACTCTCGATCCGGATAGTCCAGTGCTAGACCGTCTCGTCTTAAACATCGTACTCAGCGAACTCCGACGTTTCTTGGCCTTTTCGTCAGGCAATTGCGTACTCTTCCGTGGAGATGCATGGGGTCCATAAACTTCCTTTCCCAGCTGGCCGGCGATTGGATGGTCTGTGAACGCGGAAACAGGAGCGTGGGCCGCCGCGTCCAGGATACTATCCAAGGTTTGGACGGCAGAACCATTCTTCAGCTGCAAGTCTTGGGTAACACTGGGGTGTTCAAAGAATGCGCTTGCGCGCAATTGAGGGGGAAGATTCAACGTTGATCTCTGGCCTTGCAATTTGTTATTGTCTTGGTCTGCGAGCCAACCAGCAGATTTGCGCATGTCTTCAGGGATTCCACTGAGAGCCTGGAGTCGACGCTTTTCTCGTTCGGCAATGTCCACTTTAGACAACCGCTGAGGTAGATTGAGCATGGCGGGAACAGGAGCAGGATAATATATCATCTTCTCGCCGGGCTGGGCTTCTCTATACGCTTTAGCGTCCTTTGCTAGCGGGGGATGCTGAAGCGATATCCGTCGCGATATAGAAGCAGTTCTTTCATGGAATACGCCCGAGTGGTAATGTACCCCATCAAAGTCATTGAACGCCGATTGCGCCTGACGATATGTATCATTGGAAGCAGAAGTCGGTGGTCTGTCCTCTTGAATAGGGCCATTGGAGGCGACGGGCGATGCGAGGAGCCCTTCTTGCTCAGGGAGGATATTGGCAGGTGCACGATTGGAGTTGAAGTCCAAGGGTCGACCTTCCAGAGGGGGTTCTGGTAATGGATGGTCGCGACGACTGCCTTTCGAGGAGTGACGTTCTAGATGCTGTTGGTGGCAGAACGGCCCAGAGCGTATGGAGCCTGCGGGAGAAGTAATATACCCCGAGGGAGAATATCCTCCCGATCGGGCCGTTTGATTTAGACCTATAATGGAGTTCGACCACGAACCTGCAGAGTATTGTCTTTGTAGGGCTGGGTGAAGGACATTATCCAATGTCGCCGGGGCAGAGGACTGGCGTTCGAGTCGCTTCTGACCTCGTCTCGTCTTATTCAACTCATCTTCCAGGCTCGAAGTCATGCTCAAGCGCTCGGCGCTCTCCTCCAATCGTTCCACATTCTTAACAAATGCCCCTTGCAACGATTGTAAATCTGGGGTCGGGTGATTGAGAGGAAGGTGACGACTGATGGACGCAGTTCTCATTGGAGGTTCTTCCGACGGGAGTGTTATGGTATCATCTGGCGGGGAAGGAGAGGTTTTCATTTTTGACGACACTCCCTGAGAAGAGGGCATCGGTTCTTCATAATCGTTGCCCTCCACCATTTCGTATGACTGTGACGAACTCAGGGACTTCAGCAGAGACCCAACATCTACAGATGCCGGCACAACTGGCCGGCCCGTGGAAGGGTCATCATCGCCCGAGAATTGATCGAAACCGAGTGACAGAGGAGGACTGGATATTTCGGGAAAACTGGGCGAATGCGAGGCCAGGTCACGAGAGTCGTGATAAACAGCCTCATGGTCGGCCTGGGCGACGGAAGCATAGGCCATCTAAAGCTGACAACAACAGAGGTCGAGCAAGATGGCCAGATGCAGTCAGCCTGTCGAACGGTAACACTACACGTAGGAGGACGAGGGAACCCTGCAAGTCATGGCTGGTTCCTGGGATCTTATTGTGCAATTTTCATGCGGGAGGATGTCGAATAACGGTCGCGGATGTCAATGGCCGGGAGTGAGCGCAGAGGTTCGGTATAGGAGCAGGAGATGGTCAGAAGAGGACTCCGTTTGGCAAAGAGAGTTGCGGTATGGAACATGGAGATAGTTGACCGTTGGGCGGATGCAGTGATTAATTTAATCGTTGAAAGTTTATCTGAAGTCCGATGGAAATGGCGACAACAATTGCGTCGCGCGATAGCGATGGGCAAGGGCGAAAAGGCGCTCTGGATAAGGGAGCCTGGTAAGTTGTTTGGGGCTTTGGGTTGCTGGCGGTGGGCGGACCAGGCTTACCACTAAAGGCTCTAAGGGATTGAACTAAGTAAAAAGTGGGTTTCTCACATCCCACTTTTAGCTGCACATCTGCCGTTCAACTTGAACACCTACTTGAACACCGCCATCAACACTTTTTTTCAAGCCTCCAGGTTTTTTTCTGGCCTCCTTTGTTGACTCCACTTTCAACGGCTCGCTTGGTTTGTTCCAATGAGGGGCCTCGATAACCTTGGATCAGATGAACCTGGCTGGACCCTGTTGGTCCCTATCGGGGCCCTCTATTTCCAAGCTGAAAACATTCTCCGAATACAATGCAGTGGTGAAGGCAGACATAGCTGACTCCTTTGTCCTAGATCGCTTCCTTTGACCCCTCAATAGAATCTCTTGCACGGGGGAAATGAGATGCCTACGGAAGAAACATGCGACAAAGAAGCTGTTGTCTTGTGCCGAGTTTCTGTATTTAAAATTCAGGATTGGAGACCCGAGGTCTTCTCGTCAGGCACACCAATCATCGTGAATCTGCCCTTCTTTCTCGATCCTTGTTCTGCCATGCTGTTTGTTTCTGAGTGCCTGCTCCACTTCTCCCGGGCCCCAATTCCAATGATATGCTAAAGGACCTCCGTAACAGCGGCCCGTATCTCAAGCCACTGATCTGCCATCAAGATCAACCAAAGCCAATGGCCATGATCTGCAGGACATCGACATTGGACGTGTGTTACTGTTTGGAGGATAACTGCATAGCTTGTGGTTCGAAGAAGCAAGCAAATCTCTTTGCGACCCGCCGACCGGCCTCAGATAAAGGCCGCTGCAAAGCTGTCCGGCTATCTGCAGAGGCCAACAAGCACTTCCAAATTCCTTCCGGCAGGTTATCAAGAACCTTGTCCACTATGCCAGCCACCGTCCTGGCTGGACCCAAAAGAGTATCATCCACGGTGCAAATGCAGATAAAGAGATAGGACGATGCTATACATGTGGAAATGATAATCAGGCACTGTCAAAGTATCACGGACATTCAGGAACTCCGCAGATAAGGGCAAGCACATCGCTCTTGAACTCATTTCGCTACTTATCTGGATAATCCGAACACGTATCGTACAGAAGCGTCAAAGCTCAGACCCTTTTTTATCAAGGTACTAATATGTGCAGAACTGGCAGATGAAACGAGTCCATGATAAGGCATAGTCAAGGCTAAATCTGAATAAATTTAGAAGCCCCAAGGGAATGCTTGGCTGGGCTGCTGTCAGTAATCAAATCAGCCATTCCCAGCACTGCAGGGATAACGGATTGCTGACAATGCTGCATCTACCGTCCCCAGACTCCAAATGTAGTGCTGTATCTGTCTTCACATTGGCACAATCTAGTGTTCTAGAGCTCGATATATGACCACCGCACAAACACCCTCACAACAAAAGGCCAGATTGTCCAAAAAATAGCCCTTAATCGAGCAATCTACCAACTTCTTCCAAATATAGCGTGCCAACCATGGTTCAACCGCAACTAGCAAATTGAATCCGACATGATAACTAGGCCATTGACTTTCAGCAAACGATTGATCAAGCTATATGGATGTTTGTGACCTCCTTTTGGCAACAGAGCCGTGAGTATTTTCCTGATGGTGCCGAGACTCCACTGCTCCGGACTCGAGATTGGAAGAGAGCAGCTGAATTCATCTCTTCATTGAGAATCCTCAGCGTACCTTTGGCATCCGACACAGCTCGACATACGCACAAGATCACACTCAGCGACGGCAAAAGGGCCCCGAACTGGATCCGTTCGTGATCATATTCGAGGTTTAGCTTGCTGAGAACATTAAAAAGTCTCAAGTGAAAAGACCGCCAGAGCAGGGCAAGGCATGGTAAAGTAGCGCAGTTGGGCCAATATGGTATCATATAGTGATCAATATTTATCTGCCACACATTGATCACGTCTCATTTCAACTCTCGGATACCGATCATAATTTCGTTTCACGCTTGGTGCCCACATACATCACGAGCCCCTTGCTAGAGAGGGATCTCCCATTAAAGCTTGATCTCCGACTTCATAGTCCGACTATAGAAAGGAGTTCAAACTCGCTCCTCCTCTCTCTTCACTACTTTCTCATCTTCATTCGGAGAACCATGTGAGATATCCTCATCACGCTGGTGTCTCAGATCCCGATGCGTGACCTCGGCCATGTCGGCATCGTATTCGACACTGAGGTTGCGACCTCTCTTCTCCGGTCCAACAAAGGCCAAGAGGATAACGTACGCGTACACTGCACCCATGAAAATACAAATGACCTTTCCATAGTTGTATCTCTTGATGGTCTTGCCTTCCTTTTCGATCGGGGGAAGTGGAAATCGCTCACCGATGGTGGATTCGATAGTGGAGGATGCCGAAGAAGCCAAATTGCCCAACTGGTACGATGTACCGACCACGAAGGTTCGGAGAGAGCCGGGAGACAGTTCCATCAGGTGGATGGGGATCACACCCCAAGCACCCTGGACACAGAATTGTTCGAAGAACGCTGCTGCGATCACGGATTTCGAGCTGGTGAACGTGTAAGGATATAGGAGGGCACCGCCGACGACGCAAATGACAATGATGCTGAATCTTCGACCGAAAATCTGCGAACAGTATCCGATGGTGGTACCACCGGTCAATGCACCCAAGTTGGCAACGACCTGGGTGACGGTGACGGCGTCGGCGGAAAATTTGAATTGGTTGGTCAACATGGTGGGATACAAGTCCTGAGAGCCATGGGACATGAAATTGAATCCGGCCATGAGGAGGACCATGTAGATCAACAACATCCAGTGTCGCTTGAGAGCAACGCGCCCTTCAGAGATGAAGGTCCCGGCCAAATTTCCTTGCTGTTCACGAACAGCCTGGCGAGCACGGAAGGTATTTGTCTCGGGAAGACAGAGACGGAAGAGGATGATCAAAACAGGAGGGCAAGCGCCAAACCAGAAAAGTGGTCTCCAGCCGTGCGAAGTCGTATTCACAAGAGCTCGTGCGAATGCGGTTGCAAGAAGGTAGCCAAAGGCATAGCCTTGTTGAAGCATGCCAGAAATAATACCACGGGCGGCGTCTGGGCAATCTTCCAAGGCGGTAGCAGCTGCGTTGCCGTAAAGACCGCCCATAGCAATACCAAAGAGGGAGCGGACGGCTAAGAATTGGCCATAAGTCTGGCAAAAACCCGTGCCGAGTTCGAGGACAATGAAGAGAATGTTGTTGACAACGAACGGCCTGCATTGAGAGTAAGTCAAGATCCATGAACAGTAGATTCCCGTTGAACCAACCATTTCCGTCCATATCGATCTGCGGCAATGCCAAAGATGGCTGAGCCGACGGAACGGAACATGAGCACCAAGGTGATACCCCAGGTAATGTCGGTGTTGGATTTGCCAAAGTCCTCCGCCAGATCAGAGACGGTCAGAGACACGGTGAAGAAGTCAAAGGCATCCCAGGACCAAGCAATAAAGGCCACCAAAAAGAATAGCCATTGCTGAGTATTCAGCAGAGCCAACAACTTGAATGGATTGGGTGCCTTGTCCATCGATGGCTTGAGAGTCGTGAATCTCGTTGCCGCATACTTTGCAACAGACATATGTTTGTTGGTCAACTCCTCGTCATCGTAGATAGGATCATGTCTCATGTCTTTCTCATAAGGTGGGTTGGCACTGGGATGAATGTCGACGTGGGCCATGATGACAGGATCAGAGACGCCAATGGCTTGTCTAATGATTGATTCGAGGTCGGGGGAAGAAACAGAAGTCGTTCTGGGAGGGATTCTATCAACCTTTTTATCCCTCCAATTTCGACATTTTCTGGGTTGGCGGTCATGAGGGTTGGAAAGGCCCGTCCTCGTGGGGAACGACAATCGATCGGCACCTCGAACCGTTGTCAGTGAGGATAGAGGGGCAAGTGGTGTGCGCTCGGCAGACGATTGTGCCCATGCGGTTGGGGAAAAGCGAGCCCAACTGGCATGAAGCTGCGGGGATCTGTTATGGAGGAGCAAATAAGATGAGGCTGAACGGGGCCGCCCATGCATAGTGGCATTGGCCGCGTTTATCAGAGATGATGGAGAGTAGCATTGCGGCAATTAACCGGATGCAAGGGCACGCATAGACTTTGGGAGGATCGAACGCTGCGGCGTGAGAAGGTGATCATTCCATGGCTTCTAGAAGCCACAACGAAGATAGGCTGGAAGTTGAGGAGATGATGGAAAACGTCGAGACGATGAAGATGCTAATGTTACATAGATGATGATTTGGTTGTCTTGAATTGCTCTTGAGAGGCGGTATTGGTTGTTGGTCTTCTGATGCGCATGCTTGGCAATTGCGTTGCTGGCGGACTGTCCGGGCTTCCAATGCTCCCTCCAGCCTATCACGTCTCCATATTGCCATTGCTTGGGGAGCTTGAGGGGCCAGCAAGCCTCCCAAGCATCTTGCAAGCCATCCCGCTATATTGCTGGGCGCAACAGAACCTGCCGGGGTTGGAAGCTTGACCCAACGAGAAGCCAACAAACAAATGCCCGCCGCCCGTTGCCGCCATCAATTTTACCCGCACTTGCTTAAATCCGATACATATCATCTTCTCCCGACTGATACAATGGCCTGTAGATGCTTGAAATATGGATTGGGATGTTACTGTTTGTCAGAGGGGTCGGTTTGGTCAACAGGTCGTTCAATAGACTAAGACTGAGACCGCATCTGAATTCGGTCATCTGAGATTGTGGGTACACCAGACTCCTGAGATTACTATTTTACGGCCTGAATATTCTCTGTTGGTCAAAATCATGTGGATCGGCGAAGCTTCAAAGTCAACTTTGCCACATACCCAGAGCCAGGTCCATCAAATTTCCCTTTCTAAACCATCGGTTTATGTTAGAAAGATCCACTGAATGGCAGTATCACGGATTGATATCAAGGGTAGCTAGGTCTTCAAGAAAATACCTCAGAGGAACAGAGCCCTTTAAATATGTGACATTTTCCTTCTGCTCAATGTTTTCCTTCTTCGTCATCAAGATCTGGCCTTATTCGTCTTGCTCGCTTGTTGACCAACTGATACAACAATCATAACAGTAATGAGGTCTCCTAAACCACAACTCTCGAGTAATGCCAACGAAACGGCCAAGGATTGAGGTTGTCAGAAGGCCTCCCACAGGAGGACAAGCTTCTCGTTGTCGTCGCTTTCTCTCATCCTCTCCACGTCACCTTCGCGGAAGGGACCTTCCGCCAGGTCATCAGTCCTCTTCTGTCTGCCAAAAAGGCCTCCAACGCCGCTCTCAACGGCCTTCAAAATACCGGAACGCTGGGGCGTGCGACAAGTACAGAAAGCAACTGCAGGGCAGATCGAGGAGGTCTTGAAATTCCGAAATGAGCTCAAAGAAGGGCTATACAGTTACTTTCCAAACTGGGTCGAGCGCATTCAAATCAGGGGCTCCAGAAAGCTATGCAAAGCTGCCTTCAGGCACCGGGAAAATGGAAAGAAGATATCACAGAAGCTGAGGGCCGAACCCAAATGCTTGAGCAAAAATGGACTTTACAGTAGCTGAGAAGTTGGATGCATTGTCATGCATGGACGATGAGCAACCAACAACTGGACTCCTAGGTCTCCTGGCAAGGTCCCGATCACCATCATCACTTTCAGAACATTGACAAGAACCCCATCCCCACCGTCGACACAGGTCCTGCCCCTGGCGCCACAACGAACTGGAAGAGGAGTCGGAAGGGTTGGAACGTACCCAAAGCTGCAGAAAATAGAAAACACACACACACACACGAGAAAAGCAAAAGTCTTGGAATTATTGGATTGGTTGGATTGACATTTTTGATTCTGGCGTTGGGTATTGCTAACAAGGACGGGCAGGATGGTATCATTACGCTGCAATGCTGAATTGGTATTGGGATTAAGATCAGGACAGCAAATAGACCTGATCAAACTCCTGATTGTGTTATTAGTTCTTATCACGCCTTTTATGATATATTGGCTACGGCCAAAAACATGGTCCGAACATCTGGCTCTTCCTTTATCCTGTCCTTGGTATTGTGCCTTGGACTTGACTGAGACTATCTCTATCTGTATCGTCCCAAGATCCGACTCATGTACAATACTCCCTCAATTTGATATTTGTCTTCTCATTTCCTCCTTTCTAGCATCTCTATGACTCCCAATGTGGTACGATATGGTACCGTTCTCGTCCATTACCCGACACTGCGCCACCTGATTCTGGCTGGTCGATAGCCATATTCGTATCTATGGTGCTTGAGGGGGATCCAGCCGTTTCGATGTTAGGGTTTCGTTGGCGGTCCTGCTGCGTCTGCTATGTGTAATACAACCTTTTGATGCAGCGCCCGAGGGGTAGAGATCAGAATAAGGTATGGATGATCAAGGTCCACCGTGTTCGCGTAGTGCTTGATGTTCATGCTTGCTTTAGGTTCTCGTTGAATCAGACGTGTCCAGAGAAGGGAAGGTGAGAAGGGCGTCGACATTACTCCGGTTGAGATGTGACATCGAGAGTGTCGACCTCGGGATGGCCTGGTTACTTGTCGAGTAAAAGCGAACCAATCCTCGAAATGCGAACATGCGGGGCAAGGATTCACTTGCTCCTTCCTCTCACTCGGGCTTATCAAATTCAACTCAGATGTTCGTTCCAATTCTGGTTCATCCTGCCCATCCACTCGTCTTCAGTTCCAACAACCAAGAAAAAGAAAAAGAAAAAGTCACTCCGACTTCGCAATAACCAACCTCTTTTCCAACACCGGCTGTATCAACGCTGCTACCCACTCATACGTCGTAAATAAAATCCCACCCGCCAGCACCGTCCGGCCCAGCCTCATCGTACTCCCTCTCCAAAGCCCTCGGACGCCATAATCCGCCACGACACTTTTGAGCGCCTCCACGACACCAGCCCCCTTAACGCTCTGCGCACGTGTCTTCAGCGTATCGAATGGCTGCGTGCCAAGCACGACCACGGTCCCGGCGACCGCGCCGTTCGCAAACGTCGTCGCTGTCGTCTGCGGAATGTTCTGCAACCGCTCAAAGTCTTTCAGAATATTATACGTGCCGAGCCTGACGGCCGTGGTGGACGCCTGTTTGAGCGTCGTCGTCACGTACCCGCGATACAATGCACGAACGAGTCCGTGTTCGCGCACTAATGTCGCGGTCGCATGTAACGGGTTGCGGAAGCGCTTTTCGTGTCTGGCGTCGTCAATCAGGGCCGTCTTAATACGCTCTGTCGGCGTTACTGCGAATGTACTTGCGACAACGCCTGCCGTGATGCCAGCGAGCAGATTCCTGGCTGGGGACAAAGTGCCGGTTTCGGGGTCCTTGAATGCCATCTTGATACTGTCGAAGGAGATGAATCGGATCGCGTCCTTAAGGACAGTTCCGGCTACGAGAGTCTCGCATCCCTTATACAAGGAGCGCGGACCTTCCACTTCAATAACGTTCTTGATCACGCGGAACGGGTTGCGCGTGGGCGTGTCTTCATGCAGCTGGACGCGAGTTTTGGCGAATTCAAACGCTGCAAAGTATTGTTAGGACCCTGGTTTCAGTACCGAGCTCAGGCGGAACTGGGATTTTATGCATCCGATACTTACGATAAGTGATTGCGGCCTCCACACCGCCTGCTGTTCCTCCTGCGATCAATGAAACGAGCGGGGATTTGTGAGAACCCTATTGTTCCAACAGCAAATTCAACCGTTAGCCCTTCGCCTAATGTACCAGCTTCTCCCAAAAAATGAAAGGAAGAGTGAATTCAACTGGCCGGCAAAACGCCGAGGCAACATACATCGTTAGAAACCATAGCGACAAAAGCCTGAACTCCGGCACTGAGGGGGAAAGAAGCAGAACTGTCTGAGGTCTATCGTCTATATCTGGCAACCCAACAACTGAACGAACGGAAACAAGTAGTGATTTAATTGTATAGAAGGCGTTGAGGGGGCAAAGAGAGGCGAGCCAAGGGGGAAAATTCGGAACCGAGGTCGGAGAGATGGAAATGAAAGTAGCAAGAGCTGACGGCCGACACAGGAATCATTTTTCATGCTGCTTTTACAGCCTTGTCTTCCATTACGGCCCAAGACTACATAACTGTACAACAAAGGCAGAGGGCGTCATGCATGTTCAAAAGGGTCGAGTGGTCCAGTGATTGTAATTTTCAGCTAGGGATAACAATAGTACAAGCGGTCTTTGACGGGTTACACTGGCCGGCTAGATGGTTCAAACTCAGATACCTGGGGGAGAATGGGCCTCGCCAGGCTCACATGCTAGACTTCAGACACAATTCCATGAAGATCCGAGCTCCTCCAGAGATCATAGGTCCTCATACACATTTCCCTGGTTGTCCTTTGAGCCGCATGACGCACGCAGCGACCCACTCACACCGAGAGAGGTATATTTTTCATCTCCGGTCCCAAAGGAACGGAACGGATCGAAGTTTCGCGTTAGGCAGCAACCCAGCGATCCACCGGCACAGTTCACCCCAAAGCGAGCCATATCTCTGCCCCGTGCGATGACGGCTTTGAAGAGCCTCAGCGCGTTTGTCGGCAGCAAGGTATGGCGGTATAGCTTGGAGATCTGTTTGAGATCGCATATGCACTGCAGGAATTTCAACACTGGTGTTGGGTAGATTGCACCTTACTTACCCAAGAGAAAAGAGCAACCACAATTCTTTCTTCAATATGTGTAGTCCACACTGGAGATAATGAAACATGACCGCTCGGCCATTTCGCGAAGACTGTCTCTCTTCACGGTGTCACGGGAAGAGAAGAATTGTTTGCGGTTCCCGACCAGAACCATGGGTTCAGCACAGGCAAACGTGTGGGTCTCAGAGAGAATGAGGTCCTCATCTTGGGCAACCATAAGTTGACCTTTGCCGCTCTGATGGAACCAAGATGCTTTTCAAGCTCAAGCAACTGATCAAAGGAGCCATCCAAACATATCGTTTGTCTTGCTGCGAGTATTGGCACAACAAAACGATCTTAGTAGTAACATCCTTCGCAGATCACCGTCAAAATGCCTCGGGCGTTTTTCTCGATTTTCAAAACTGTCAAGTCCAGAAAACAGGGAGCTCTCTTCAGGAAATCAAAACGCCCACGAATAGCCGAATCGCCAGATGAACAAGAGCATACCGCGGTCATAATCGACGAAGAGTCAAGCCGGGAGGCTATCGAACTCAGGAAGCTGTATTTGTCAAGTTACAGTTCGTGGCCAGGAGTCCACCAAACCCATAACGAACCCAATGGCTCAGTCGGCCACCGTGACGATCAAATCGACAAAAGGTGTACTTGGCCCAGCGTCCTTCCACCGCCTATCAGACCAGAACCAGAGAATCCGGAAACGGGTCGTGAGAGCAGACGATCGTCCCTGTGCAAGAATTTCACGGAACTCAGCACGATCATGGGCGAACATCACGATAGAATCAGTGTCCTCCTGGACCAGATCCACACCCCAGCCACAGTCGAGGCTCAGGAATCCTGGGGATCTATCGCCACCCTGTGTATCAGACTCCGATGCGAATTGGTTAATCTTGAAAAGCTAGCGGACAAGTCGGAAATCCACCCAGTATCCAGCTTCTGGGTCAAGTCTTGGAAAGTAGTATACGAAGTCCGCGGATGTATTCAGCAATTGAAGGAGATTCTTGGCCAAATCGACGACGACTACAGGTCTCGGTGTGGCGGGATGAAGGACCCCAAATCCAGCGATCGTCTCGAAGGATGTAGACTTCAGGGGTTCGGGCGAGAAGTCGATCAAGTGAGACTTCGATATACGTCAACGGCCAAAGCCATCTTTGAAGTCAATCGCTTTGCGATGGGTGAACAGAAGAGAGATGTTCGGAAATTTGAGGGATGAGGCCGAAATGTCGTTTTGCGTGGTTTGGAATGTACGATATGGGAGGAAACGTCGGACGGCAGTTCATGTGCTCTGGTCTCTGTACGATTAGCGTATAATAAAGAAAGGCAGATGCTGACTCCGATATATGGCCAGGAGTGTCATTGTTGCGACCGCGAAGGGACATTCGTGGATTCGGTTCAATTCATATGCAATCGCAGTCACAAATTTGAGAACTTCTTCTCTGGTGATTGATGGATCCAGCTAGTTCCTTACTACCAATTCCGCCTCCATCATTCGTCCAGAACCATTGACACCGATGTTGGACTCGTTACACGGCAAACGGTCCAGTTCGGGCTGGTGGTGGTTCTCTTCACATTCTGTGTATTGGGAAGCCGCTACAAAAGGAGCTGGGAGCCGTCAGGTTCAGCGAGCTGATTGTGTAATGATTAAACAAAGCAACAATAGAGGATACGAAGTCGAGCACAATCACGACGGCGGATGAACAAGACATGCTCGGAACAATTTTTCGCTGACAATGCAAGCTTGGTAGTCATGTGATTTCAAAAGCAGCTTGAGAGATGGAAGATGAAATCGAGACAAGCATAATCGTGTTAGATTCGCTGCCATGAAGGAAGTAAATTTCCTTTCAGCTATTTCTTGTGTTGCTACATATCCTGTCCAAAGCATCGTCCATAGGCTTGAAGCCTTGGAAACGCGTCGTGGTAAAAACATTGAATAAGTAACTCTGGCCCAAGTGCCCCCATCCTTTTGCGGAGTCTTCGCCCTTATCTGAGAAGGCCATCTTGAGTCGAAACGCCATTACCTCCCTCGACCATGACTGGACGCCGTGCTTCGCTATAGCTCAACCTGCCTCCCATCTCCAAGATCCGAGGTCACAACAACAGTTTCATCGGAAACGCCGTTTTCAGATTGAAAGCCAAAACGCTGGCCTGAATTCGTGGTGACTGCCTCTTGCATCATTCGCATGCCTTCTTCGGGGCCCTTCAGGCTTGCTTGCCGGAAAGCGTTCTCCATTTCTTTCATTCTCTTCTTGAACGAAAGTCGATCCAAAAATAGCTGTTGTCGGCCCTTTTCCAGGTCTCTTCGTTCTGCTTGGACAATCTCTTCCATTTCCGCGAATTGGGCCATCTTCAGCTCAAATTTCTGCAATGTCAGGTTGACGGCGGCCCCAACCACTCGTGTCACCTCTCTTTCTTCAAATGAAGCCAGACCGCTTGAACGAGCGGCGGTTGTTGCCAGAGCTGTAGAGGCAACATCACTGAACGCAGGAGCAGAATCGTTGGCTTCAGTTGACGCCTTTCCGACTGCGGTGTCATCCACTTCCATCGTGTCCCCTGATTCGACATTCTCTTTGTCTTTAGCAGGTTCTTGTTTGGCTTGCTCAGTCTGCTCAGCTCCTCCCATTCCTTTCTCAAGCTTCGCCCGTAACTCCTTTTGCATGGCTGCAATAGAACGTCCAGACGCGGTAGCAACAACGGTAGGATCGGCGAGTTGAGCAAGGAAGCTAACCACCGACATGACAGGGTTATCCATTTGACTAATAGGACTTCGTCCTGTCAATGCCTTCAACGTCGATGTGCCATTCAGAAGCCCATCCTCCATGTATTGGTCGCCGATGTCAAGGAGCAAGAACTTCATAACACATTCTTCTCTCGTTCTTGTCCCAACATGTTTTGCGATCTCGTTCCAGTTATCGTCGAAGTTTTCTAAACCCTCTAGCAGCAAGAGAAGTTCTGCATCCGTCCAAGGCGCATCTTTATCTGGAATGTGGGAATACGCAGGTTCCTCCATTTTGACAAAATCCGAAGAACGGTGATTGTTGGGCATTCTGGACTGGAAGTAACAATTCGGACACAAATCGTACTTGATCTCGTTCGAGTGTGCACTGCTCGACACCGGGTCCGATTTGGCGTAATGGAATCGACAGCGGGTACAGTCAATGCCACAGGAGTAGCAGTTGAAAGACTTTATGGGTTCTCTTGCGGCGATATCCATAGCTTTGGTCGCAGAACTTCCAGAACCAGTGCCATTTGCGGTTGCTCCGTCGCCATTCGTTTGTTTCTCTGGCTCTTCGCTCGTTTTGATCTCCTTTCCCTTTTCATCATACACATTGCGTCGGAGTTCGAGGTTCAGGTCCGTTTTGGACGCAGGAGTCGCTGATGTGGCTCGATCCGTGGAGGGATGTGGTTTTCCCGGAGTGGTGATGGTGTTCTGTGCAGGTTGGAAGGGCTGCAATCCTCGTGGAGTGTCTGCGGTCACGCGGAAATGTCCCGTGAATGGAGGCCCAATGTTCGTCGGGCGAGTTTGGGGATCGACCTGCTAATGTCAGCATTGCGACAATTGGAACCTGGGCAATTTCGTACTTGGTAATTGATGAGACCCCATTGTTCCAAGAAAGCATGTACTCGCATGATGGCGCAAACATCACCAGCCAAATTTCTTCGACATGCGGTCACAGTGAGATATTCGACAGGATTTAGACGGTAGGTGTTGATCATGAAGTCTCGGTAATCCTTGTAAACAGCCGGTGTCTTGCTTCGATTTCGACTATTGAAGAATTCGGGCAAGGATTTCTTCTCCAAGGGATGAATCGTCTGCAGGTCAAACCATGTACTGTAGCTTGGAAGAATGATCTGATGTGTTTGAGTAACCAGGTGTGAGTTGGCCGCAGCTTCCAGAGATGATTTTGCCTGCTGCGATTGGGTATCTTCGGCGTTTGTTGCGGCAGGTGTGTCTTGAGTGTCCTCGACATTTTCTTTTTCAGTGTCGTCAACATCCTCGACCTTGCCGCCGTCATCAACTCCGCCCATTTCAGCATCTTCTAGATCGGCCTCGGGTTCGTCCTGAACGGGCGGTGATTTCGGCGCATCTGGAGGGTGGGCGGACATGGTACCATTTGGGTCGCCAGGAGTGTCAGCATCTGGTGATGGCGTGTTAGAAAGACTTTCAGAGAAATATTCAAGATGCGATTAAGAACGGAAAGATTTGCAGGTGACAATGGCGCGTACCTTGAGTCGCCTGTGTTGGTGTATCAGTGGCAGCAGGGGCATCGGCACCATTTGCAGTCAGTCCAGCGACATCTGAAGTCTCCTGCTTCAATTCCACGGGCGGTTCTTGATTGTCGTCCATCACGAATGTTGGTCAAGTGAAGGAATCACCCCAACCTCTCCTCACCTTCAGGGATTTACAAGTCTCCCAGGGTGGCTCGGATGTTGAGGTACTTGGGCGCCGCTATGCTCAACACCAGGAATTCCGAATCAGGCTGTCGACAACAGTGGCAATGGAAGTTTACGGGATGTGAATCAAAAGTCGAACCCTGGTCGCGAAACTGCGCGACTTTGTATCTCACCCCAAAAGAGTTTTGGGGCGGACAAGGCAGTGCCAAGAGAAATCACGTGTGCTGCCGCTGGCCGGAAATAGTCTCTAGCCTCAACCTCTCCCCTCTGTGTTAATGGCTGTCAACTCCAGATGTCGTGATGTTGGATCCTGGTGACTGTTCTACAGCTTGTTTACCGCTCCTTCACACTAATCAGTCTTCATATTATCGGTAACTGAGGATGACAACATGGAAGCTCCGCGAAACATTCCTCCCATGAAACAACGCGCCCACCAGGCTGGGCCTTCCAGTGAACGGATGTCTATGTGAGGCTTCAATACGATCACTATTTCCAACTACGTGTCACATGGCGTGAGGTTTGTTGTTGATGACACTGCTGTATCTGCGTTTCTTCTATAACTTCTTCAATCCCATCCTGGGCGCAAGTCCTCCGTCACCATATCAGCGACGGCCGGACATGCTTTAAATTCGACCCAATGACTATTCCTCCAATTTTGCAGATCATTCTTCAGGAGATATGCTTTGACATCATTCCAGTTGCAGCCGTTTTCTCCTCCCTGACAAACCCATTATCGCGATATCAGCCGCAGTGGTCAGATACAGGTGCCTCGAATTATCAGACCTGGCAAAGCCTGGCGTCTTGCGCGAAGTTCGCCGTCAAACCGCCATTGAGGAATGTGAGATAGCGTATTTATCAGGTGGACATTGTCCTCAGATGCCGGAGGACTGTCGATGTCTACACGAATAGACCATTGAAGGACACCCGACTTTCCGCATTTATATGCCTTGTCTTTCCCTTTTCCCTGTTTCCTTGGCCCTACCGATCTTGATAACAGAATACATCATCGTTATCAAGGCAAGATCAATGATGTATCGTGGATTCCGAAAGACGTCGAATGGGACCACGCTTTCACCTTCTAGGAGCTGTATCTTATGTGCGGTCTGAAGAATCAGGTTAGTGATCAATTTTGCCAAGGATGTCATGAAGCTGGACCTGTCCCTGTACCGGAGGAAGGGAAACACATGTACAGAAAGACACCACTATCCTGGCCCTTTTGGAAGCCAGTGAGCAAAATTGCGGCCAGACAAATCATGGGCCCAGTCTCGGAGATAGTTGAGACGTCATATAAGGATTGTTTCGCTTTTTTACTGGATTTTCCTCGATGTCATCAATGCGATCAAAGAAGGCACCGGAGGATCTCATTCCGATGATCCGACTGAAGGATACTCCCAAAAATATCATGAACAGAATGATGGTGAGACATGCCGTAAGACCGAGAAATTCAAAGATATATCTTAAAGGCTGACCTCTTTACGCAAACCAGAGAGTTCCTGATGGAGCAATACCGTAACTACAGGCAATAAGTGGGAGAACTTTCGAAGTTGATCGACATTCATATGCTGCAATACGGCTCTCTTCTCGGATCTCATTCCTGCAGATCTACAGCGTCGATTGCGGCAGAAGACCCATGTCGTTCAAAGCACCGCAGATCGACCTGGGGATACCAGTCTCCGTTTGATGTACAAGAGTGGCCTGAGATGCATCTTAGAGAAGGGCATATACTATTGTATCAGAAGCACTAGCTACTGGGGAGGGCTTCTATTACACTTGGAGGATCGCCAGCATTTGCGTCGTACGTACTGGATATGAATGAGTGAAATCACTTGATTTGAGAAATCCATTTGGCTAGTAATTCAAAGCGGCGGGGTCTTCATCGCGCAGTTCCCGTTTCCCTTCTTTTATACTCTTGCGTTCTCCACTGATAGGTGAAGGACTAGCCGAAGAATCGTACATGATGGACAAGTAGATTCCGGTGAAGAAATCATCGACCGCCCTCGGGGCCTACCTAAATATCCGGCAAAGGGCCGGAGGGCGGCCTTTTTGCGCGCATTGCCAGCGCAGTCTGCGCATGAATCTGGAAGGAAATTGCGGATCTAACTTCGCAAATATCTTCTCGGAGGTGTCTCGTATGTTCTCCCCGGGCATTTCAGACTGCTAGGTCGAGTAGATATGATCAAGAGTATTTGGGCAACAGGTTTCGCGGCCGTTTCCGTACCAGAACGATCGAGAAGACCGAAAAGACGACATATGCGACATTGCTAAAAGTTGATATAGGCTTAAGGATGTAAGTACAATGTCTCAGACACTTCAAGCAATAAATGTAGTTCAATCGACGAGAGAGGAAGTGAACCTGGCTGTACGGCAGACTGCTGAACTGGATGGAAGACGCGGTCGACGCGTCTGTGGGGAAACGCGTCGTGTTGCAAGAATTCTGCTGGCACCGGTGTACAGAATGTCATACTCATCTTGGTTCGAGGACATTGTTCTTCTCGAACACGACAAAGACCCGAAATCAACCCGGCAGGATCAGTATCATTCCTTCATGTCCTAACTCCACCGACCTCGAAGCTCTGCATCAAGGCCCGTGGGCGGTGTTGAGAATACAATCGAACACACCCATGCTTCCCTGAGCGGCTCGAGTCCGCCGTCTCCTTCTACAGGATCTCAATCCTCCCGATCCAACCCAGGCCCAGACGAAATGCCTCTCTCTTCATCTCCCATCCTTTACCCTGCAAGTTCCTCGCCTTCGGCAGTTACCAATACAAAGAAACGCCGACTATTTCAGCCCTTTCCCACCCTACCTCATCCAAAGAAAGCTAAAATTGTGGGAGGGTTTTTTGATGACAGTGATGAAGATGACGACAAAGGCAGGGACAAGCCAGCGGACGTACAAAGACAACAGGATCCTGGCCCAGAAGCACAGACATTGGCCACAAATCCGGAAAAGCATGATAGTGCAAACACCAATTCTGAAGCAGTGCCACAGAAAATCCCTTCTAGTCCAATTCTACCACCTCTTCCTCGGCCTCGGTTGAGAAGACTACCACCAAAGACGGTGAATGTGCAGATATCAACCGGCACTTCGTTGAGTATTCCCTTGAGGAAAGAGTCAGAAGCTCTCCCATACGAACAGACAATTGCGCAACGGTCGACGACAGTTGCGGGTCGTGCAAGGAAATCATACTATGGCGTTGACATCCACAAGCTCATGGACGAGGCACAGACACAGCGTCAACTCGACGAGTTCGAGAAGCAAAGAAAATCTCAGCAAGCAGCAGAAATACCTCTTCAAACCCGGACGAATGCCGTCATACCCAGTTCGAAGTCGACCGTGCACCAAATGTGGACCGAGAAATACCGTGCAAAGAAGTTTACCGATCTTGTGGGTGATGAACGTACTCATAGATCTGTCCTGAGATGGCTCAAATCCTGGGATGAACTGGTCTTTCCCGGTCATTCGAAACCCAAATCAATGCGGATATTTGACGAAAAGGATCAAACTCAGCGACAACACCGGAAAATTCTGCTATTGACGGGACCCCCAGGACTTGGGAAGACCACTTTAGCTCATGTTTGTGCCAAACAGGCCGGATACGAAGTTCTCGAAATCAACGCAAGCGACGACAGGAGCGGGGATGTTGTGAAAGGCAGGATCAAAGATGCTCTGGGCACTGAAACAGTGCGTGGAATAAAGGAGCAAGGTAAAGCGAGAAAGCCAGGGCGCCCTGTCTGTGTCGTCGTAGACGAAGTTGACGGCGCTACGGCAGGACCTAGCTCAAGTGGTGGTGAGGGTGGCTTTATCAAAGCTCTAATCGATCTAGTTCAACTTGACCAGAAAAATTCCGCCCGGGGAGGAAATCAAGAAGCTGTCGGAAACAAGAAGAAAAAGGACGATAAATTCAGGATGCTCAGACCTCTGATTTTGGTGTGTAACGATGTATACGCACCTTCACTCCGACTACTACGAACCAGTTCCATTGCAGAAGTTGTTCATGTGCGAAAGGCACCAATCGACAAAGTCATTGCTCGGGTGAAGGCCGTTTTCGAAAAAGAAAATATTGCTTGTGACAATGATGCTGTCCGCCGGCTATGTGAAAACGCCTGGGGCTTGGGCATGCGAAAGCAGAGAGTCCCTGGATCTCGAGGCTCTGGAGAAGGCGATATCCGAGCAGTGCTCGTACAGGCCGAATGGATTGCACACAAGTTACGAACAGATGGAGCCAAAGCTAGATTGACACGTCAATGGTTGGAGCCCCAGCTCGGAGACGCTATGGCAGAACAAAAAGGTCTTGGACGGGGCGGTGTCCGGGAAGTCGTTGAAAGAGTATTCATTGAAGGAGCTGGTTTGCCGAATCTTCCAACGGTCCTCTTAGCAGATGACGCCAGGCTTGTTGCCGGGTCGATAACCCATCCCATTGGAGTATCAGACCTTCGAAAGCGGGCAGCTATTGCTACTCTAAGAGAGATGGCAGATACCTGTGGGGAGCACGACCGCCTCATTACCGAATGCTTCGCTACGTATCCTACACAAGTATATCAGGATGATGTTCAGCTGTCAAAACCAAACGCGAGTTACGAGTGGCTTCATTTCCACGACTGCTTATCAAATCGTGTATACTCGGGCCAGGAATGGGAATTAACACCTTACTTGAGTACGAGTGCTTGTGGTTTCCATAATCTCTTTGCAACAGTCGATAAAGGTACCAGCTCTTGGATCGACGAGAAGCCTGAGGATGAACAAGTGGACTTGCATCCTTTCAGCGGTCTCAAGGCAGATTTTGCGGCTTACGAGGCGGAGAAACGAAATCGAGCACTTCTTACCGAGCTGCGGTCGAGCCTCTCCGGATCTTTGCTGAGATTGTTTAGCTCTCTTGACACTCTGGCCACAGAGCTCGTCCCAGCCATAGGCAAAATGCTCGCACCGGAAATCAAGCCGATTGTAATTGGAGGTTCTGGTGGATCTGCCAGCGTCGCAAGTGTACGGAAAGAAAGCGAGAAGGTATGCATCAAGAATGCTGTGCGAACAATGGTGGCTCTCGACATTTCGTTTGAAAAAGTCCGCGTCGAGATCGAAGGTGGTGGAGCTCATTCAAACGGTGGCTTCGCGTATAGAATGGAACCGTAAGTCTTTACCATGTCATGTGTGACCGAGGAGGCCGTTGCTGATAGATCTTAGCCCGCTTGATACTTTGTTCAGCTTTCACTTGGACAAATCGGCATCATCAATTGGTCCGGTACGATATGCTGTACGTCAGGTGCTGGATCAAGAGCTCAGGAAAGAAAATTTATTGCTAAACTCATTGGCAAGACAAGCCCGTTCGTCAGTGGCAGTGGCAGAGCTCACAATGGATGTGGACGGAGATGAAGATAAGGAGAATGAGACCCCTGTGGAGAAGGCCAAACAGACCATGTCGAATGAATCGGGGATGAAGAGAGATTTCTTCGGCCGGATCATCAACGAGAGTCGACCCAAGTCCGCAGGTAAAGGAGCTGCGGTACAGATGACAATGTCAAAAGGAAAGGACGAAAGTCGGGTGTGGGTTTCATTTCACGAAGGATTTTCCAACGCCGTTCGGAAGCCGATAACCCTGAAGGGGCTGATGGAGGGCTTTTGAGCTGTGTTTTGAATAGGGGTCGCAAAGCAGCTGGTTCTGTATCCGGATATCGTAACTGTAAATGCAGTAATGAGAGACCGATGTTAAGGAAGCGATCAAAGAGTATCAGAAACATTTTGTAAAAACTATCTGGTTACTATATCCTCCAATAGGGGAAGCTGTGTATACCTCAAGATCTTCACTTCATCCTGTACTACTCAGCCTCGACCCTCGACGTTACGTTCTCTGCACCTCCCCCAAAGCCCCCAGCCTCTGCATGCCAAAACCTCTGGCCACCCATTGATGCTTGGGTCACGGATCTGAAATCCGATAGACGGACTTAACGACACTGGCCTTCCCCGTCCGCAACCTGTCCGACCCCGACCTGGATGGCCTCCAGCCCCCCGAGCTATGTATCCTGGTTTTGCTGATTCCGATGACTACGTACATGCCTTCGTTCTTTTCCTTTTAGACCTCCTGGGAGTTCAGAATTTTTCCTGCATCTAGCTGGACCTGCCATTTGCGGTATTATTGAGACCACGCAGGCTGTCATACTTATATATATCCGTCATCCGTTTGCGGCATGAGCCGTACCTTGGATGGCTCATCTAGGACTCCCGGTTGTGTTCCTCCACTGGCGGGATCTATCCATCAATGAGAGCTATTCTGTGTCAAGGGAACGATATAATCGCAAAGTCCCGTCACAGACCTCTCGCTCGAGTTGCTCGGGATGTGCATCATAGTGATGTTCAGATTACTAGGTGCTATTGTACCATTTGTGAGCTAAGAGTAGGGCATGGGCCGCAGAGGTCGTTGAGGGAGTGAGTGAAGTGGCAGCCAGGTACTCTTTATCACTGTGAAACCCCTTCTTCCACTGTATGCTGTAGTTCGAACGACAAGACTCAGCCGCACGCAGCTGACCAGAGGCGGGAGAGCAGGTAACCTTTTTAGGCTCTTCATGCATTGGTTGAAGGTGTTGACTCTAGTAGGGCTGTAAAATCTTGATGGCGCGAAGCAGCGGTACTGTTCTTGTCCTCCCAATACTTCTGAATGGCGTCTCCGAACAAAATATCCTTGGTCGATGGAAGCTCTTCTACCGTGAGCCAGCAGCGCTTCTCGGAAGAAGACCTGCCAGGTTGCGATCGAGTACATGACAAAGCCAAGATAGAGTAAATTAGCTGGGGAAGAGAGGGTCGTCGGCGCATGTGGCTTCCATATCCCGAGTCCGGTGGAAAGATTGTGACACTGCCCAAATTAATCACCTTCAAACAGTCTCCGTCCACCAAGGTGTTGTGGAGGTTGACGTCTTGGTTGAGGACTATGCAATGATAAATGTGATTGAGGGTTTTGATCAATAATGACTGAATCCAGCTTGAGCGAGAGACGACTCCTGAGGTAAATCATGGGGTTTGACGTGAGTTGAGAGATCGCCCTGCTTCACGTATGCCATTTCATCGATCCAGCGTCCTCGTCTTCAACGCCAAGATATTTGACGATGCCTCTATGGTCTCCCAGATGCTCATAGATATTTCTTTCCGTAGTAGTCATGCCACAATACCTACCATTATTGACGGAATCGCCGGGAAACAGTTTCGACGCTGGACGATCGGAGTATCGTTGGTTTTGAAGATGATGACGGAAAATCCTGAGCCTATAACGGCATCTGGACGCCGATCGATGATAGTGATCGGTTTGGTAGAATCATCTGGCTCGATGCATTCAACAAGGGTCGTTGACATTGTTGCGCAAGAGATAGATTCAAGGGCAGCCGGTATGGCGGCGGTTGGGTCTCAATTCAGAAACAAGTTGTCCCTGGTTCGAGGACATTATAGCCTGAGGATTACGCCGGTCTTTCTAGTGGTGGTAAAGAGAGCCGAAGCGTGACTGGTGCAATCGCAGTGGTTCATGGGAGAATCCGGATAGATCACGGATTGTTTCGTCATGTGACCCTTGTCTTTTATACCGCTGTCGAGTCAGGAACCTGGAGAAGCAATAGAGATCCATCATCTGCCTTTCTCCTGTACCGCTGATGTGTAGCTAGAAGTAAACTTACCATGATACCTCTGCACCATATCGCGGTATGGATCATGGAGGACTAGGTATTCAGACGGCGGTATCCTACCGCCTCTTACAAGTCCAATGCAGATTTAGGTGCCTCTGTTAGACTATGGGCTCTTGTGGCATCTCTTGCTTGGGTGTGACGATTGATGGTGAGCTGTTGATGTACTGTATTAATTAGGTGGAAGTTATCAGTATAGAAAAGGGCTGAGCCGGGAGCAGAAAACAGGGAATGGCTGAACGGCTCTCGGCAGCCGACCACGTGAGATTTCATGGTCCATCATAACATGTGAAAGCGGACGTGGTGGCACATGTCGATTTTCATCATCACTACATCCCGGTAGCTTCTTCTCTCTTAAAATGGTGATAGAGACGTTCGATCTCGCCATTCAAGACATCTCACCCAACTGCGCCCCATCATGGCAGCACAGTCCAAGTTGCTCCCTCCGGGGCGTACCGTCAAGCAACTGATCTCGGAACTGACGTCTCTTTACCTCAAGCACCGCACGAACATCTCCCGAACCGTCTACATCACCTTGGTTGTCGCCCTGATCCATCGAGTCTACAATGCCGTCTCGGAACAGAAAGCTGCCGCTCGAAGGCAGGCCGAAATTCGAGCCTATCAGTCAGTCAGCAACGCAGATTCAGACACTGCAAATCAGGAACACCGGAAGAAGAGGGTGGAAATAAACAGAGAGTTCTTCCGCAATCTCCTCCGTCTGCTGAAAATCGTCATACCCGGCTGGCGAAGTAAAGAGCTACGACTCCTCGTGAGCCATAGCGTTTTCCTGATCTTGCGCACCCTTCTCTCCCTTTACGTCGCCGATCTCGATGGCAGAGTCGTGTCAGCTTTGGTCAAGGGGCGTGGTAGAGACTTCATCTTGGGCCTGGTATGGTGGATGCTGGTAGCCATTCCTGCAACGTTTACCAACTCGATGCTCCAGTACCACCAGACCAGACTGGCCCTCTCTTACCGCACACGATTGACGAGTTATGTTCATGAAAAGTATTTGGACAATATGACCTTCTACACTCTATCGGCGTTGGATGACCGGATCAAAAATCCCGACCAGTTGATTACGGTGGATATTTCAAAATTCAGTAATTCATTGGCAGAATTGTACTCCAATCTGGCCAAACCCATTCTTGACATGGTCATCTACAACTATTCTTTGTCGAAATCGGTCGGGGGAGAAGGACTTTTTGCAATGGCCTTGCTTGTGCAAATATCGGCCAACGTCATGCGTGCCCTCACCCCTCCTTTCGGAAAGTATGTTGCAGATGAAGCAAGACTGGAAGGAGAATTTCGCTTTCAACACACTCGACTTATCGATTACAGTGAAGAAATTGCGTTATACGCCGGCCACGAAGCAGAAAAGGAAGGATTGGATAAAGGATACTTCACTCTGATCAAACACGTCAACCGGATACTGAGGAGAAGGCTCTATCATGGCTTCATGGAGGACTTTGTCATCAAATATTTCTGGGGTGCTCTGGGCCTCATCCTATGCTCACTACCTGTGTTCTTCAAGATTCCCGGCCAGACACTAAATGCTGTAGGTGATCATACCGAGAGCTTCGTCAAGAACAGACGGATGTTGCTCAGCAGCTCGGACGCATTTGGGCGCATCATGTTCTCGTACAAGGAAATCACTGAGTTGGCTGGATATACGTCGAGAGTTGCCGGACTTCTGGACGTCATGGATGAAGTTTCAGCAGGGCATTTTGAGAAGAAACTTGTCAGTTCTGCAAGCATTGAAGAAAATGCGGCCGTTTTGAAAGGGCGAGGCACGATCGAAGAAAGCGAGAACATTGAATTCACCGATGTCCCCATTGTCAGCCCGAATGGCGATGTTCTCGTCAAGAAACTGACCTTCCACATCCAACCCGGTGATCACCTGTTGATCGTGGGACCCAATGGTTGTGGAAAGTCAAGCTTGTTCAGAATTCTGGGTGGCTTGTGGCCTGTATACGGTGGAAGGGTCCAGAAGCCGAATTTCGACGAAATATTCTACATCCCTCAACGACCATATCTCAGCAGAGGTACTCTTCGAGATCAAATCATCTATCCAGACACTCTATATGAGTTCCGAGCCAAAAATGGGTCGGAGGCAGCTCTCAGGGAAATTCTTGGGATCTTGGAGATTGAATCCGTGATCAATAGGCCTAATGGTTGGGATGCCGTGGAAGAATGGAGAGACGTCTTCTCTGGAGGTCTACAACAACGTATTGCCATGGCGCGACTGTTCTATCACAAACCCAAATATGCAATCTTGGATGAGTGCACCAGTTCTGTTACACTGGAGATGGAACGAAAAATGTACGAAACCGCCAAGAGCCTAGGAACCACTCTCATGACCGTCAGCCACCGACGAAGTTTGTGGAAATATCATAGCATGATTCTGCAGTTTGATGGCCAAGGCAACTATGTGTTTAGCAAGCTCGATGCAGAGAAGAGAATCAAGCTAGAAGATGAAAAGGAGGAGCTGGACACATTGCTTCGTGGAGTGGATGGATGGAAGGCCCGACTCATGGAACTGGAAGGATGATTCAGGTGGGCTGTGGGTCTTTGTCTGATCATCATTGTCCAGGTGCGATATAAAGCCATCTGGAGATATGTCCCTGGACTAGATGACTTCGGGTCTTCTGGCGAGTAACGCTTCCTCAAGGCCAACTAGGCTCCTTTGTTTCGCTTCGCAGCTGTGACACTACCCATCAGAAGACTTAAAGGGATTACCGCACATGCTGTACATACTTTGAGAAAGTCTGAGAAGCCAGCCCGTCCACCAGGGGAAACAAAAAAAAAAAAAAAAAAAAACCACCAAGCCAAACCAAACCAAAAATGTTGTCATAGTTCGATCTCCTGGCTGAGATCCACAATACCGTTTACACATTGACATATCAAGGGCATGTTCTGCGGCCATTGCACAATAGTTCCAGTCCGAGTTCGAGCAGACCGGCTTCGCCGCTTTCCCCCTCGATGGCAGTGGCATTATTGGCGGTCAGCAAGCAATGGTACCACGAGGTCAGGCCTTTTCTCTTGCGCACGGCCACCTTCGACTTCACATCGCATCCGGGCGATCCTCCACCGTCGATTCCGCAAGGAGTATTCGCGGAGATGCGGCAAGCCCGTGATACTTGAAACTCATGCATTCAGCAATGACTGGATCGGCAATGTCTTCGACAAGATGTCGAACCCGGAAACCTTTTCGATCCGCAAATTCCGCACCACCGGTCCCGTCCACGACAGTATATTTGACGGACCGAACTTGATACCCAATTCATCGAGAAGATCCAGACCGAGCCCGTCAAGGCGCCGAAAAGCCAGGATTCCAACTGGCCTGTCCGAAGGATTCTCCTTGATGGGATATTGAGATTGTCAGATCCCGCTGAGACGATTCATTCGAACTTTTCCATCGACCTTCAGGCTTGGAAGGTCACCATCCAAAGAATGCTAGATGGAGCACGAGGTCAGAACCCGGAGGTCTAGGCCTGTGAACCAGTTGTTGAACCTTTTCACTTCGAGGATGGGGACATGTCTGATCATTTGATCAGTCAGCATTTGGCTTCGTTGCAATCTAGGGGGGACGTTTATTGAAATGGTATGCTTGATGAGGAGGTGCTCCTCTGACGGAACGACTGGTGTGGGTCGGGTACCCTTCTGAAACAAATCTTCGGACGCTGGTCTGGTGCCCTTCTAAGAAAACGGCTTCGACATTGATCCGGTACCCTGCAGAAGTAAACGCTCCACTGGTGGCCTGGTCCTCTCCTAGAGAAAGTCCTTCGACATTGGCCTGGTGCCCTGAAGTTGGTCTGGCGTGCTCCAAAAGGAAAATGCTCTGAGCGGTCAGATATGTACCGCATCTTGGCCTCGACGAGCCTCACATGTTCAGCCGAAATGAACTGTGACCTTCACTTCTGATCAACATTTCCTCTTCCAGACTTCGTCCTGCCAAAGCGAAGCTAGTCTTGTTGACAACTGCGATATTCTCGTTTAACGAATGATTCGAAAGCCTCGTTGAATTCCCAAACGGTGTTTCTAGCTCATACAGTCGAGCGAATTGTGCGCCAAACCGTGCCTGATGTTCCAATACCCCACGGCTTCTCAGTTGTGCCCCGATTTCGCCAATTTTCGCATGTTTTCCCTAAAGGGCCTCATTTCACCAAACCTTTGCAAGCCGTTGTTCTGGCCTCGCACCGATTGAGCTATAATGACAAGGGTGGCTAGCGCGACCGCCGACAATCACTACAAGCAGGCGTCCCTGTCTGCAATTCATCTTCAAAGCTCCCGTCCAACTGGGTGAACTCGTATCTTTTGGCCTCGTGAGCCACCCTTCAAAGTCTATCACGAGTTGTCATACTAACGTCAGACAGGTTGCGGTTGTATGCGTGGATTGCCTTCAGAGTCCATCTGGGTGGAGAGGGTGGATAACGAAGACGAGCGGTCGACGATTTTGATTCAAAAGCGGAGAATTCCAAATCTTCTTGTGACCTAGAAAGAGAAGGAGGAAGACAGAAAACCATAGTCGTCGTGGATTAGTGATGGAAGCAAGCATTGGTACAGGTCACTTTCATGAAACAGACCCTACCGGACCATTCAAGAAGGTCGCTGTTGAGGTGTTGAAATATCAATTTCACGTCCACATGCACATGCATTCAAAGACATCGGAAAATATCGGGCCAGGACGTTTTGGACATAGGGCGCCGCGGGAGGAGAATAGCTTTCAATGAATCCGCTCAAGAGTGCTTGACAACGATACCTTAGTCATTCAATCTAAATTTGGACCATGAGGTTTGAAAGTCGAAACGAGCTACAGGGCTGTAAAGAGTTGCTTCGGCGCAAAGGCCGGATGCTGCAGGATCTTGGTATCAGATTAGTCACAAGACGGGTTGAACATGTTTGTTAGGATTAGGATGGCCAAAGCATTTGATGCCTCTAAACCCGTAGGAAGTCTTGATGGAGGAGTTGGCTGTTGTTACGCTATGATTCATTCTAGGATCATTCATGGTGCTAATACTGAATGGAATGCAAAACGGGTCGCGATACCACAGCGTTGCATCTTGCAGGGTTTAGGTGACTCGACAACCAACATCACGAGAGATGACAAGACAGACATACAGACACTATGACCTCGAGTCGGTGATTTCGAGGCAAATGCAGCGAAGGTGTTTCAGAGCCACCACGTGTGCAACCTGTGACATGTTTGTTTGGCGAGTTTCACCAAGCGCTCGCCTTGCCACCGCTGAGCCAAGAGCACAAGGACATTGTTTCGGCGACCTCGTATTGGAGTTTTCGGGGTTCGAGGAAAGATTGTAAGAGAGGAAAGGCTCTCATGATTGAGATGCCATAGTAGGAGGCATTTTGCCGCCATCAGTGTCATCTCCGCGGACAGGATGGATGGACACGGTCGTAAGGCTAGGAAGTCGAGACCATTCGTGCGGAGGAGTGAAAGAGGCTCGGATCGCTCCCTGGCTCAGCAAGGGACACGCCTTGATGGTGTGAAGGAGTTAGGGATTATTGTGTTCGTGTTGGGTGTCGGAGGCCGTATCAGAGACACCAAGAGGGGGGCAAGTTGAAGGTCGAATAGATGATACCATGTTAGGGAAGCAAACTACAGTATGTACAATAAAAAAAGAAGAGATGAAGAGGTTGTTTGAGTGAACTCTACTGAAGATGCCCACTGCGGTGCGCCGCTTGCAACCTGTGAATGCTGTCGCAACCCTGTCTGTCACTCAGATTGCCTGTGATTTTCCTTCCAGTTCCTGGCGCTGATCTTCCGAAGTTTCCATCGTCCTGCAAGGTACCATAATCCCTTCGATCCTTGAACCTTGTCAACACCTGTCAGCTTAGGTCATCGAAACTTATTCTCCCCTTTCCCTCCGTTGTTGACCGTACAACGATCAATCTTCCACAAATTAGCCAACCCTACAATCACTGGGCACCTCTATGTTGCAGAAAGCGAGAACAAAGCAGCCGACAAAAAGTCACCAGGCTAGAACCCAAATTTTGCTTCACCATTGTGACTGTGTAACAAAGGCTCAGCCAGCCATCCAATCTTTCTGTGTTGGCCAGGTCCTGTCATCACCCTGCCGTCCAAAACCTTACTCAGATTCTCCAAAGTTCCGGCGCACCTATTATCAGGCCTCCCCCCGGAAAAAAGACAAAGAGAAGGATCTGTGGCTTAAAAATAACTCCCCTTCTTAAGCTCAAAATCCAAAACCGTCAAACCTGCCAGCAAAACCTGGTCTGCACAACAAAGAATCTGTGGTGCTTCAGACCTCCCCAACCGAGTCCATTCAAGTCGATGCATCTGTATTTCGGATCGCCCGATCATCAGCTTAGGAACAAAGCGTACCCGGGGCCAACCAGTTCGCACTTAGACCCATTGGGAATTATTAGTCGAGGGGTGCCTCGATTTCTCCTCGCTCGGGATCCCCTGGCGCGCCAAATTGCCAATAGGTCGAGTGATAGCCTGACGATCCCCTTTCAGAACCACGGACATCTCGATCGATCATTCTTGATCAGTGTTCAGTGGAATGTACTGTAGTTCGTCAATTCCAACAATTGGATTGATCAGCCAGTGAGTGAAAAGCCAGACTCATCCCCTGGGCCTTTAATTGCAGCAAAGCCAGGAACAGAGATGGGCGGATGCATTCTGCAGCCATTCAGTGCTGGCAATTCTGGTATCACCACGTGGTGACCGGGAAGTGGACAAGCTAAAGGTGGTCTGTTCGCCATTGACAGCTGACAGCATCCCTGAAATCTTAGTTGGGTGTCTTCCCGGGAAAAACCTGCAAGCTGGGTCAAAATCTTGGTCGTGTTGGCCCTTACAACCGTACCTGACACCATACTAAAAGCAGAATGCAAGGGGGCCCAAATCAATATCTGAATGGACCGTCAGTCACTGCTGTAAGGCTTCAACCCGTGCCGCAACCTCCATCGTTAAACTCTGCCGGTCTCCCTCTCTGTCTTTTCGTGGCTTGACATTTCCAATCTTGGGAACAGTGAGGTGGTGAGGTGTGATACCGCCTGATCTGACCTGACATAGCGTCCATTAGCCTCCTCTTCGCCCTTGCCTGTCATCGCTCTCACCGGTGTCTATCCGTCCTTCACAAATGATGAAAGGAAAACTCAAAAAGCTTTTCAAGTCTGGATCCCCTGGCCGCAGCTGGACAAGGGTGTCGGTGATACGTACGCATAAAAAGATCTTCGGCTGTCACATACATAAGCACGTGGAGGTCCTCACCTGCATTATACGGTTTGTTCAACTGTCTCTTTCTACTTCTTCCCGCCCGAGGTTTTTCCTACAAATTGCGAGTACTTACTTACCAACGACTCTCTTCTACTTTAACATGCCGGCTGTTCCTATTATCAAAGAACCCATCCCAAGAAATATGTCTTCTTCTCCCGAGTTTCAACCAAAATCACCTCCCCCGGCTCGATACTCTCATTTGTTATACCTATCTGCAGCCGAGCGAAAAGTCTATACAGCCAACCTCGAAGGTTCTTCTTCTTCCTCCTCTATTCGTTCTTCACGTTCTATCCGATCAAATAACTCTACCTCCTCTGCTACAACGACATCGACGTGTGCCATATCAAGAATCAGCATGCACACACCGCGATGGGCTGACGACCACTACCCACTCATCGCCACGATCCACCCCGAGAATATCCCCACCTCGGTACCAAAGAATCACACTGCTCTCTGGTGTGCACGTCAAATGGCCCAGATCCACAACACCATCATTCGCGCATTGAACGCCTCGTGGAATCACTCGGTCTCTATCCAACCTGGTACCCAAGAAGCCGCCGACTTTCTCCTCTTCAACCAACAGCTCTTCACCACCTTGGACCAGCACCACAAAGTCGAAGACGACTTCCTGTTCCCGGAGATTGAAAAGATGCTCAAGCGACCGGGCGCCATGGAAGAAAACACCAAAGGCCATCAGTCTTTTGCCGAAGGCCTGGCCATTTTCCAAAAATATGTCTTTGTCACCAAAGCATCTGAGTTCCATGGCGTCACGTTCCGGCACATCATCGAATCATTTGCCCCCGATCTAATCCAGCATTTGCATGACGAGATCCCCACGTTGGCGTGTCTGCATGTGCTCGATTCTGACGCTTTGATGAAGGTATGGAAGCAAACTGAGCGCCTGGCGGCCCAAGATGCCGAGCTCTACTGCTCCGCACCCTGGACACTGGGTTGTCGAGACAAATCGTTTACTATTGATGGAGAGAAATGTGCCTATCCCAATGTGCCTTGGATTCTCGAGGCTGTTATCAGGAATTGGCATGCCAGGAAACATGCCGGAGCTTGGAAATTTTGCCCCAGTGATCTTTCTGGTCGGAGACGACAACTCACCGTTGCTTAGAAATGGCCCTATGGAATAATAATGAGATGACGCCCGCGGGGTTTTCTGGTCTGTTTGTCTAGCGTTCAAGCAAAGCCTATTTTTTTTTTCCTTTGAGCGAGGTCGTTTGAGCGAGGAAAAAGCCGGGAACTTGAATAGGAAAAGGGCAAATTGATCGGATCATTCTTATGTATTATAATTTTCATCTCATTCTTTTCAATATCACCATCATGACGGAACATTTTCGTATTCTGTATTTAGTACTTGCGCAAAAGCTCAGGAAACAGGTCTGAAAGCTGTCGAAGATGGCTGATTTGATACTTGCATGCTTTTTCCGGCGGAGCGGGGATCTGAGGCTCAACCAGATGTACGGTATTGGTCCATCCTCGCTTATACGCCGCTTGACAATTCAAATACGAGTCGTCGACATAATATATCTGCGTGTGCTCGGTGACGCCTGCTTCTCGCTCCGCTTTGGCAAACATCTCCGGAAGCGGCTTCGGCACCAGGGGTTGTTGAGAGTAGTCGCAGTATGTGATTCCTTCGAAGAGGTCCTCTATGCCCAGTAGCCTCACTACGCGTCGCCCATGTGTGATGTGGGCGTTGGTGAATAGCCACAGTTTGACTTTCGATCTGTCGAAGGCTTCTAGTAAGGATCTGGTCTCCGGGTTTGGAGAGAGAAGGTCGTCTAGCGGTAGCGCGTCGTCGACTTCCCGGTTAAAATCCATGGGGTCAATTTTGTGGTGTCGTGATAGCCCTTCGATCGCGAGCCCGTAGTCCTTGTAATATTGTTGGTGGAGGCGGGTGGCTTCATCGGTGGAAACGTCCAGGTGTTTGATGAAGTAGCGGTTTATCAGGAGCGCCATGTGGTCGTGCACGTTTTTGCTCTTTGGGTACAGGCAGTTGTCGATGTCGAAGAAGAAGATGGCACGGGTTTCTTTGTCTTTGTTTCTCGCAGTGGAAGTGGGAAGGGGTTCAATGGCTCCCATTTTGGTCGAAAAATTGAGATGATGGGCTATGATGAGCGATGATACCGGCCTGGAGTTGGAGTTTCAAGGAAATGAATCTGGAATTTGGTTTAGATTGGAAGACACGGTACGGAGTCTACATAAATAGGAAGTCTAAACAAAGCAGATGAAATAAAGGGAATGAACGAGTTCTGGTTGGTTGGAAATGATGGTGGCATCTAAGTAGTCCTGCCTGAGGATGACTTGTTGACGTTCCCAGGGGGGAGGGGGGAGGTTTTGTAGCAGCCTCGAGTTACTCAGCGTCTGCATGAGCAGTTGAGAAACCTATCCAGAGACAATTCTACGCCTTGCAGGCCAGAGGTGACTTGTAAGGGATTATACGCTACACTTGACAACTAGCCGAACAGAACTCGACTCCAATCTCCTAGTGATTGAGTGGTGTTGGTACTGGGTCATCTTCATTCTCCGGTATAGAAGTGGAAGTATCCCTCAGGAGCATGGATTCTTGGACTCGATTGTCTCTATGTCTTCCTCTCGGGCGCAGCGGCGTTTGTCTACCTTTCCCTTCGCCATGCTGACCTCGATAAGACAGTTTTATGTTCGAACTGCTGAATGTAGGTACGGCCTTTTAGTCAAGCTTAGGATGTGTACGTCAGCTTTTGCCTGTGTTTCTTTCTCGACTGGCAACGACCGTCTTGATTTGTGGCGAGGCAGAGTGTTGCCTGCAATCTATATTTTCAAGAGGAAGAGAAAAGAGATATTGATGGTAAAGGGGGGATGATGATCCAGGTAAGCGCAGTGCAGGAAATTTGGTCGAAAGTCTGAAGGACGAAGGACGGATTGCAAGATTCAAAAGGTTGCAGACGCAACCCATATACCTCGCACTTTTTGCTAATTTGTTTGTGACTGAATGGGCAGCTTTGGCGAGTCGACTACTAACCGCTCTTAGTTAGATAAGTTACTACCTGTCCCCTTGGTGGCTGGGCAGAAGGTTGAGCTTGAAATTTCCCTGCGCTTCATCCTCCTTATTGCCATTCCTCCATCAGACAACATCGTCTCATACGCTCGTTTTCCTTTCACAGGCCACTATTCTACCTCGTCACTTCATGTGCCTTTGATATCGCCATGTTGTTGTGCCGGTAACTCGAGTTTTCCCTCATCACGCAGCACAGGTTGAAAATGTCAGCTCCTGCTGGTCCTCTACTGAATGGCATCCTGCCATCACCCGTGCCATCCGTCAATGAAGCGGCGGAGTATGAGAAGATACTCAGGATTCGCGATGAGGTATTTTCTGGAAGTCACCCGCGACTGACAGTGCCTGCGCATGCCATCAGAGTTCCTTCCTCTCAGACCCCTTCAGCAGTGTCACCATCTCACTTGAATGTTCCTCCTCCATTTCCTTCTAGTGCTTCGCCAAATCGTCTGGCGGCTACACAGTCCCAGCGTGAAGAAGATTCTACACGAGTTCCGACCAAAGCAAATGGCATGTCTACTGCTTCCAGCCACCCTGCCAGTAATGTTTCTGAATTTGACCCTGTCCTTTTGACGAAATCAGATGATCTAGTTCGGGCCGAAACCCAGTTGAAGCGACAGAGACTGGAGAAGGCGTTGAAAGAACAATTTGAACAAAAGAGATTGGATGCCCGCAGAAAACCTGCTCCCTCCGAGGCCAAACCAGACTTCGACCTTCCAGCCATTCTGGCCCGCGTATTGGACGCGGCCAAATCCCCTTTTTCCAAACACGATGGAGACGCTAGCGATTCTTTTGACGAAAACTCTTTTTACTCAAGCAGAGCCCCTGATTCAACACCGGAGCGTGGTCCTCCCAGCCACTCTGCCGAAGACGCTGATGAGCTGCCGGCGGACGAACCATCAGGCCCGCGCGTGGTCAGTGCCGTTATGGGCTCACCCCTGCGTCGTGACCCTGAAGATGAGAGCTCTACTAACCTTGCGAGACTGCCTGTGTCTGCCGCCGGACCGATCGCGCCGTCTCATCCCGCCGACGCGCCTCCAATGGACTTGGACGATGAAGAGGAAGAAGGAGAGTACTCGCCCCCGGAAGCCACGGCACAATATCCCCCGGTCCATTCCCAAGCTATGCAAGACAGCAGAGATCCACGAAGTCGACCCTTGCGCAGATACTCGGAACTGGAGGATCATGGAAAGAGACTCGTCTCACCATCCGAGGCCAACATGCGGATTGTAAGAAACCAAATTACCTCTCCCATTGCCCCTCAACCGTCGCGTGTGTCTCCTCTTGCTGTAGCTAAGGATGCGCCCTTTTTACAGAATGCTCGTCCACGGCGGTCCCAACGGATTGGTAGGCCGGGATCTCCCCCAAGTCCCGGAGACAGCCAGGCAGGACAGCCGAGAAAAAAGAGAAAGGTGGAAAAGAAAAAGTCCCGACGAAACGGCGGGTTCTCTCCCGATGCCTTTATCAAAGAAGAAAACGTGTCGCCTCCACCTTTTCACGATGTGCAACCACTGGGTTCTGGTCGACTACGCCCGATGGGCGCAGATCGACCCATTGTCATTGACGACGAACCCGTGGAAGAAGTTCGTTACATGCCTGCTCCAGAACGGTATGTGGAATCTCCTTCACGACCACTCCCACGCCCGGTTGAACAATTGATGCCGTTGAGCGAGCCTCGCGCGATGTCCAGAGCCAGCTTGAGACCGGTGAGAGACGACGATTTACGCCGAGTAGCCAGTATGCACAGTTTGCGTGCCGCCGGGGGTCCGCGAGAATATGCGGATCCGTACTACGAATCCCCTACTCGGGCGAGAGCCACGTCGTATGCGAGAATGGGAAGCCCGGCAATCACGGATGGATCACGTCCGTCGCGGGACGTGGCTATGGAATACGAGCGACCGATGCAGGAGGTGAGAGTGGTACGCACCCCAGCTCCCGTTTATCGCGAATTGTACGATGATGGAGAGCCTCCTTATCGTTACGCTGCCGAGTCTATGCCCCCCCCCGCGCCCCTTGAGAGAATTGTGATGGATCGGTACGGCCGGAGATTCCGCGAAATCCTTCAACCTGAGCGGACTTCCGTTGTTCCTCGAGCGATGTCGGTGCGACGTGGTGACACGGACCCGTACGAGAATTACCGACCGGCCCGCGCAGGGTCGGTGTTCGTGGATGCGGTGCCAGAGCGAGCCTACGCGTCGGACATGCCTCCGCCGCAACTTTCATATCACCGTTTTGCAGAAGCTCCTCGTAATTCAGCGGCGCCTGGGCCTGCCACTCGGGAGTACCTGGAGCCAGGATCATTACCACGAAGCTCCAGTGTGCAAATCATGGAGCGGCCACAACGACCGACAATGTACGCGGATGAGCGGCCCGAGTTTCGCGAACCAGTTGTTCGGATGGGTAGTGTTCGCCCGACAGCAATTCGATACGATGAACCTCCCCCGGTGGAGATGATACCGCGTGGACAGAGTGTTCGTCCCGCATTGCATGAGGGAAGTGTTTTCCTGGATGATAGGATGCCGGCGGTTCGTGAGTATGTTCCGGATGAACAGCCTCGTTACCGCGAGGTGGAGCCCGACCAGCGATACTTTGACTCTCACGGTCGAGAAATCATCCCAGTGGGTGGGTCCATGGAGGCGAGGCCGAGAGAGATGGAGAGGTATTGAGATTGAATCCAATTTATAGTAAGGGACTTGGGAGGGAATTGCTCTTGGGGTGTGGAACATGGAGCCACAGATGTTGTTGGTGTACGAAAGAAAATTGAGGGCTCAAGACAATGTCCCTGTCGGTAGTTCATAATGACATGTGGCCTGCCTGGGCTGGCCGTCGACCGCCCCGATTAATGGCAATCTATCCTGAAACACATATTCACCAGTCTGGCGGATGTTTTTGAGAGTGCCATGCGATAGTTTCATGATTCCTTACACACCCCTCGGGAAGCCCTTCGTCAGGGAATCGTTCGTGTTGATGCGCTGAACAAGACGTGATTGGTGGTGGTGGCCGTGTAGGCGCCCAGATTGTGAATTTTCCTTTCCACTTTTCATCTTCCTTCTCGCTTTCTCTCCCACGAATCGTAACGCTGCATCCTCCATCAACATCTTCTGCGCTAACTCTTTGGCTTCGGCGCTTAGACCGTCAGGCCCTCTCGGGTTAATTTCTGGCCTGCACTGGGCCCGTTGTTGCTGGCAACCTCTGGTCCAACCAAGTCGGTGAATATGCGACGACCCCAGGCTCATCTCACAGCAAGACATCCAACGCCCACGCTTTGCACGCGCCGACGGGCAGTGTGATTGATGCTCTCGAGGCTCCGCTGCAACGTTCCTGAGCACGCCACGTTCATGATGAGTTCCAAGTTCGGGGAACGAGGGTTCGTGGAGGATCTACATAGTCGAAAGGTGTGTTTCAGGTATCTCCCTCTCTGGTCGACCGACCTTTCAACCTCGCAGGAAGCTGGACGGGCATCAGGCTGTGATTGCAGCTTCCAGTTTCTCGATTGCTATTTCCCTCTTCTTGCATACCATATTCTCTTAATTTCAGTCCGGTTCAATATTCATAATCGATGCTGGCATCGTCGACATCTTCGCTTTTGACCCGAACCGTAATCGTGCAACGACCTCCAAACACTGGCGTTGAGGGATGAAACTCAGAGTCGCCTCAGAAGACTCGCTTGAGCCAACATGCACCTTCACCTTCTTCGACTGTCTCTCTTCGAAGAGCAACGAAGATCTCGACACCGAGCGACGTCCTGCTGGTTTGTCAAGCCTCTACACTCAAGAGAACAAGATTTTCATTAACAAGTGATCAGGAACCGAGCGTGAAATGCGCATCATGTATCAACAGCCTCACCTCGTCCCACCGATGAAGCTCACGGTATACGACGGCCTTCCTTCCACTCCAATACCAGCACCACCGTCGCAATTATCGCAGTGGGTGTCCCACGGCAAAGCCTCTCTCAGATCGAGCCTCTCGATTCGGAGACGTCCTTCTTCCAAACCCGTCATCTCTGGTCCTCAACCACCATTGCCTTTCCGCCGGGAAGCGCAGGAATTTCGTCCTCTCGAGCTGAGCATCTACATGCCGAACAATCGATTGTCGGATTTGCCCGAGTTTGACCGGCTGAGCTTTACCGACCTCGGCGAGATCAAGCTTCCCCCTCGAGCATTGGTGCGAACCAAATCCGATGAGTTCATTTTGCACAAGGTGTCCATGTCACCTCCTCCAGTCAAGCCAGCATCGATGATTGAGCAACGTCGCCTGTCACACTTCCGACCGGATACTTCGTCCATCGTCATATCCGCGTCCCGGCCTCCGTCCGAGTATGACGCGCTACATTCGCATCCGGTGTCGTGGGCGTCTCTCCCGGGCTTGCCTCCGCCAGCCCATCTACCAGTTCGGTCGGAACCATCCGTTGCGATTCTCACGCCGATGCAAGAGGAGTTTAGCCCCCCGGCGACATCCGTCACCGTCGATGGTGTTGTTCTCAACTTCCCCAAGGTGGTTGACAGATCGTCCATGTCTCCAACAGCGCCAGAACGAACATCATCCGAAGTTCCTGCTCCGGCGCCAGTCGTCCCAGCCACCACCACTAGGAATTTCTCCAAACCCTCCGATATGAAGAGTCCAGCCGGTTACTTCCATCCCAACTATCAGACACAAAAACGCATTTCTCAGTGGCTGGCTCGCCGTAGTCATTCGTCCTCTATCAGCACCACAAAGTCAACATCGACGTCATCGTCTTTCGCTGAACATCGGCGAAAACGGGCTCAATTCTACCAGCTTTCCGCTACTCCTCCAAAACCGCTGAGTCTGTGGCCACGTCAACATCAAAGGACAATGACCGAGTCGACCGTGGCGAGTACTGTTGATACAGATATCCTATCTTTTGAGACTCAAAGCCAGGCCGACACCAGTGTAACCACTGCGACCGACCTGCAAAGTCGAAGTGGCACGATCAGAAGTGTGACCAAAGGTGGTTTGAGACCGATTATGAGTGGTGTGCCTGATATGCCACCCTCTTACGCCGAGTTTATCAAAGACACCGATGACGTCTTAATCAAAGAAATCGGGGGCCCTTTGAGAAGCCCTGGTGTCGGAGTTGCTTTCTGATTCTGAATGGAAGCACAAATGCCGGTTGGGATTGTTCTTTTTCTTTTACTGATACCCCCTAGAAAAATATGTTGGAACTTCCGGAGTCTCCTACGTCTAAAGGCAGACTCTATTTCAATTCAACCAGACTTGCATTATGATGGGCTATGGAATAGCCGGAAAAGGATTTTGGTAAAGTATTCTGGAGGGCATGCACGCATTTGATTATTGGTTCAGGCATCAGACCTCTAGACCCAACTCGTTGAGATACCCCAGAATTTTGGTCTTGTTCATTTTGTCGCAGCAGAGGAAAATCGGTACTACCGTCAGAACAGCTTGCAGCTGAAGAAAAAGGGAAATTTGGTTTGTTAACACTCCTTTGCGATGGATTCAAAAAGGACAAAAAAAAAAAAAAAAAGCGACTGGATGTATGCGCAACCTGTACAATGAATTTAATAGACCTTTTGCCCAATCACTCTTCTTTAACCAGCTCTCTCACTCTCCTTTTCTATCCCTTTCCATCAATGTGCCTCATTTATTAGCGCGATACATCAGGAATTCTTCGCCCATCTCCACGCCCACAGCCTTGCCACTCTCCTTTGCTCTATTGGGCGGCCAAGGCGCCAGCGCATATGGCAGAACTCTCTTCACTCCGAACTTGCGTCTCTCCCGCTGCCAATACCTGCTCATTCTCTTCTTCATTCTCTTCCGTCGCCAGAAAACCTGCTCAATACTCGTTTTCCCGATTCTCACACCACACGGAACCAGGCACACTAGATTCCTCGTGCATCATCCAAGCATGCCTGGACCTGTGCGTGCTTGAAGAGAATAGAAGCTTGATACGTTGATCCCGTCCTTTCAGCACACCGCATTTGAAAACCATGGGTCTTGAGGTTCTCGCTAGCTTGCCATACGAACTTCCAGGGGCTTGGACATCGAGGTTCAATATTCTTGGTCTTCAAGAAAAGCACATGCGATGTGAATTCCCGCCTTGACCAGGAAAATCCAAACGATATGGATACCGGGAAATGCAAAAGATAAGTATCACAATGGCTTCCTCCACCTTTCCGTCGATGCTTGCGGCTTCTCGACAGCTTTGCAGCCTCGCTCAGTGAAACTCGGCGAGCGAGGCAGTCCCTTCTCCCCTAAAAAAGATGCATCTGAACCTTCCGACTTCACTTCTTTGCTTCCCTCTTCTTTTTCTCTTCTTCTCTTCTTCTCCCCATCATCTCCTCGTCTCAGCAGCAACAGTCAAACTAGCGGTCGTCAAACATGGCGTTATCGGCTACGGGATACATATGTACCATCCCGTCTGCTGCTACGCCTGTCACGACTCCCTTTCTTCTCTATACCTCAACTGCACCACCTTCGTGGCCCATTCGGAGCATGGCATGACGGAAATGAAGCTCCGAAAACGAATGGACATGGGCGGTGACACGATGGCAATGACTAGCGACGAATGCCGCGCAAACGACCCAGTCTGGTTGCAATCGATGTCCTATTGCGTACGCGATCGATGCACTCGCGAAGGTGTGAGCGACAGTCGACAAGGTCAATGTTTTGTAAAGATCGCTGCAAATGGTCAACCGGTCCCGAGTCTGCAGGAGGCTCTTCCTGAGCAAGCTCCCGCCGTTGAAGTTACCGATAAGGATCTGTGGTTGAATACGACGAAGCTGGTTAATAGTGAGCTTTGGGCCGCGAATCGTCGGACGCTGGCCGAGTTTGAGTTCTCCGAGGAAATGCATACACAGTATTCGTAAGTAACGGTAACTACAACAAAGGCCCATCCCGACCCTTTTGTTTAGGATTATTTTGATTGACATGAGTGATCATATCATAGCCTCATAGTCTACCTGGTCACCATGGGCATATGCCTGGCAATGGCTGCCTTGACGTTCTTTTCATACCCAGCGTCTTCTTCCCCCAAAACGACGAGTACGAGTTCCAGGTATATCAGGAAGATTAAACAATATCTCATTCTACCGGCCTTATTCGGCGGCCGCCATCTCGAACCGCTACGATGGAACATAGGCTATGTGCCCGGCCGTGCCCTTACGGTATTCATCAGCATCTACGTGATCCTCAACATTGTCTTCTGCTGCATCTCCTACCACCTCGCCTCTCCTAACACGTGGTTCTCAGAAGACCGCGACCAGATCGCAGGATATGTCGGCAATCGCACGGGAGTCCTCGGCTTCACTAACTTGGGCATCGCTATACTCTTCGCAGGGCGGAACAACATTCTCATCACCCTGACAGGATGGTCTCAGACCACTTCTCTGACCTTCCACCGCTGGGCTGCGCGTGTCGCTACGCTCCAGGCCGTCGTCCACTCTGTCATATACACCGTGACGTATTTCTGGGACGGAGGCGCAGCCGCATATTACGCTGAAGCCTCATTGCCGTATTACTGGTGGGGTATCATCGCTACCACCGCGCTGGGCGTCATGATTGGACTGGCGTTCTTGCCGATCAGGCTGAGAGCGTATGAACTCTTCTTGATCACACATATTGCTCTTGCAATTCTGGCGCTGATCGGATGTTGGTACCACGTCGACATCCTATTCAACAAACGATGGGGCTACGAAGTCTGGCTATATCTGTGTTTTGCCTTCTGGAGCTTCGACCGGGTCGCTAGACTTGTCAAGCTCGGGTTGTTCAATAACTGGACTGGATCAACTAAAGCCCATGTCACCCGGATTCCGAACACGGATATTGTCCAGCTCACTCTCTTTCCCGGTCGATTTTGGGAATCGGCAGTTGGACCCGGCCAGCATTCGTTTCTGTATTTCCCCTCGACTGGAAAGGTATGGGAGACTCACCCATTCACCATTGCCGACTGGGGTACCATGCGCGAACAGGCAAAGGCCACCTCGGACAACTCGTTGAGCGAGGGCACGTCGCTGTCTGAAAAGACCCCGACCGAGATTCCGTCCACAGGTCAGGTTCAGGAATCTGGACCAAGTCCCAAACAACGACCACTCCCTAACGACAGCACATCGCAAGCCCCATACTCCAGTCAATTCTACCTCCGCTTCCTCTTGCGCGTGCAAACAGGGAGCACGCGCTCGCTGATCCGTCAACTCGAGACGTCTGCACGTGGAACACCGTTGAGCCAACATCTTACGATACTTACCGAAGGACCCTATGCCGGACATAAGCAGACGCTCCACCCGCTCTTCACCGCCGACACAGTCCTCTGCATCGCTGGTGGTATCGGCATTACCTTTCCCTTGGGATTTGTCAAGCACTATGTGTCGCTGGACTTCTCATCACCAAAGGGAGGAAATTCTTCAGCGCAACGTCGAACGCTCATGGGCCGTACGACGCGCTTTGTTCTGGCCTGGTCCGCCAGAGAAGATGGATTGATTCGACACGTCACCGAGACGATACTTCTAGGCCAGCATTTTCATCGCGAAACCGGCGCGAGGACCGTCGACGTTCGAATCTGGCATACGGGAACCACCTATACCTCTTCAGCCACGACGGAATCCCAAGCTGAGGATGGGAAGGAAAAAGAAATCCGCCTCACCGTATCTCCTTCAGGCCCAGTAAGCATAACGCGGGGCACGCGTATGCCCATTGCCTCGGTCCTCGACTCTGTTCTCGAACCAAGCCACCGCATCACCGTCCTAGTCTGCGCGCCTGGTGGCATGGCAGACGCCGTGCGCAAGGAAGTCGTCCGCGCCATAAGTCAGGGTTTTGATGTGGATCTTCTAGAGGAAGCATTTGCTTGGTAATTAGTAAATGACAGTGATGGGCGACGGCTTCTGGCTCTGGTACTTTGACTTGGCTCGAAATGAATTAAGCCGAGTTGAATTGACTGAACGAAGGAAGAGATGGAAAAAAGAAGGGACGGCCGGGTAGTGGGCTGGCTTGGGAGACTCTTGATTATGTGTTTCCAACTTACTCTCCTTAATATCCGATTTATTCTGCCCCCGATGCGCTATGTGAATTTATATCTTCATGACCCTCATTATCGTTCGACTACTTGGCCAGCGGCTATATTAAAAACAAATGTCTTTCTTTAATCTTTGTCCCACGAGTCTGAAAGCGGTCCGGAAATGCAAATGGAGTTGGCCACATTAATCCAACCACAGTTCATTCCTCATCCCAAATATGCCCACGAGCGCCCATCACCCTTTTGGTCCACCGCCGTATCAAATGTCGCATACCGCTCCAAAGTGTTCCGAATATTTCGTCTAACCATCAAATGGTACGATCCGTCCCAACTCCTGTACAACTTGATCCAGTGTCCAAAATACTACATGTTGGCTAATTCACCATCGATGGCTTTATCCAAAAATGCCCGCCTCTCTCCCACGGGTACTTCACACTGTAGTCTCTGCTCCACCAGCGCGCGCACTTGCTTCTTGGTGACCTTGTCCAGGTCAACTTCGGCTAAAACGGAGCGAATAGCCTCGATCATGTCGTGATCGCTTGGGCCGGCGCTGGGCACGGTGCGGAAATCCATCACGGTAGACGCTGGACGGCTGGTTCCCATACCCAACAAGCTAGGTCTGCTGACGGAGTGTTGCATTCCGCTGAAACCACTCTGATATGGACTGCGGGGGTTGTCTTGGTAGGGGGCCGGAGACGGAGACTTCTGTCCAGCTTGGCTACCGAGACTCATCATGCTCATTTGTCGACCGTGGAGACTCGTAGGTTGGTCACGGAATTGAACGAGACCGGTCATGGTGCTGGCGCGGTTGTTCATGCCAAGGGGGGCGGGTGAGCGTGGTGGTGCCATGTACGGGTGATGTTGTTGGGGGAATCCGGCTAGGATGGTGCTGGCTGGCTTCACTGACGAATAGGTGGAATGCATATCGTCCATTTCCATCATTCCTGGGTCGTCAGCGTAACCAGCCTCGAAGCCTTTCTCGTAGTGGTTGCCAGTGTTTCCACGCCGGCCGGGAAGGTTGTTGGCTGCAGCATAGTCATCCCAGCGTTGAAGAGGGATCGATTTCGGATCAAATCCTTCATCTTGGATGGCCACAACCTTCTTGTCTCCCTTTTCGCCGATGACAATTCTGGTATTACCCCACGAGAAGTTGTCTTGATTCCAGAATGAATAGACCGGCAAGATAAGGCTGTAGATGGGGTATGCGAGGAGGTAGATGATCATCCAGCCCACATGTTGCCACTGTCTCTTGATGATGAAGATAATTGCTTGTAATCCGTACACTGCCGCGATCACCACAAGTGAAAATAGGGGGAGTGGACCGGTATGTGAGGCCACTCGATAGATTAGATAGCCTAGGTAGACACACGTGGCCGGAAGAATGATGGTTCCAAACAAGTCGACAAAGACGACAAATCTCATCGAGAAACAGCAGAAGCCACACAGATCTTTCAGGAAAACGAGCTCGGCCAAATTGTGAATGGTAGAATTGATCCATCGTCTTCTCTGCGAAAGCAGCACGGACCATGTTTCCGGTGCGGCCGTCAGGGCGTAAGCGTCGGGAATAAATTTGTATGACATGGCAGGGAAATGTTTTGTCATCAAGGTCGTCAGGTATCGATCTTCACCAAGAGCCAAAAGGTTTTTCTTGTGAAGAGTGTCGACGTCGCCATCAGCGTACTCCTGGATGACCTTGTCCGAGATAATTAACGGTCGTCCTTTGTCAGCTGTTCTGAGGCGGTACATGCAGAAACTAGACAGCCGTTAGCAAGGCTCAGGAAACGACAGCTCTGAGAGTAATTACCATCCAGGCAAGCAGGTCACGCTGCCAAATAATGATTCGAAGGCTTTGGTGAGATGATGCGAGATATAGTACTCGTAGACTTGAATCATAGTCCACCAACTTCGTTCCTCGTTTTCCAAACTGGTTTCACCACAGATACCGGCAATTTTTGAGTCATTGGCACAAGCCGCCACCAGCCGATTGAGAGAGTCTTCTTTGACCATTGTGTCGGCATCGACCATGAGGAGGTATTCATATAACTCTGGGTCCACACCAATGATGTTGTTGATCTGATGGAACATTTCTAGCTCGAGAGGTGACATTGGCGATCTGTGATGAACACGATTCAAGAATTGCATAAGGAGGATTTGAGAATCTCGCTTCCCACGGTTTCCCGGTTTCGATTTGCTCTGCTCGGATTCTTTTCCGACTTTGACGACGACAATGTATGGAACCACACTGCCCTCATACTCGTACAATCCGGAGTAGACCTTGCCATAGTTGAGTTGCTCATTGCCCTGGCCGACCGATCTAAAGGGAAGAGCGGGCGGATCGATCTTTGGGTCCACGCCCAGAATATCCAAAACGATCTTGGGAGTAGGTCGATCATTGCCGCCACCGACGATCATACCGTCGCAAATGACACAGATCAGCTTCCTCTTGTTGTCGTACTGAAGTGCGGTGAGGGAGTCGAGAGATTTTCGGAGATGATCTTCGCCTTCGGTATATGCAGGCACCTGACAGATCACAAATTTGTCTTGCGGGACTGGTCGACGCTTCGAGCCCAGTTGTAGAGCTGCCAAAAATTTCACCAAGATCACCGTACAAAGGATGATGGTGAACGCCAGGAGGATATAATTGTTAACTTGACATTGCGCAGAATTACGGAAATCGACCTTTCCCACGTAGAAAGCGTTGTTCATGCAGTTGAGGCTGTTGGCGAAAGCGGCACTGGTTCCCCATTTGTCCGTAATATCAAGACCGGGATTACCGGAAATGAGGTCGCTGACTTCGTCGGGAAAGAATTTGTAGGTGGCGAAGTTGTTTTGGAGTTTCAATGTGTAGAAATAATCTGTTAGGTCGTAAATCTTGCCACTGATAATGACCCACATTCTTTGATCGATTTCTCCTTGGCTTTTGACGCTGCCCCTGGTGACGACGAGGTCACCTTTGTAGTATTCGTTGATTTTGGGCAGGAAGGTATCGCTGTACCAGTTCCAGCTGTACAAAGCCGACTGCTGATCTGTCTGATAACGAGGCCCGGATGTATGGACCGCATTGGGATACAGAACGGCGTCCGTGTCGTTGTGTTGCATCTGAACACTCTCGTCGACGTCGAGACCCGGACAAGCGCGACTCAACGGGGGTGGGAAATAGGCATCCAGATTCTGACCGGCAAACGGCATCATGTTCTCGGAGCTGGTGGTTATGCTGGTGTCGCTATGCTGCAATCGGTAGAATTTCGTGATGTCGTAGACGGAGCCGCGAATACTGACATAGAAGTCGTCCGTCCCCGTATGGTAACCCACTTCTTTAGCATTCCAGGCCTTGTCGAAATTTGGGCAAAGCAATCGCCCGAATTCGACGATATAAAACACCACGAGAGCATTGAACAGAAAGATGAGAAACACCAGGACGACCTTCTCTCGCCAGGCCAGACGGACATCAGGACGTTTCATCCGACCGATATACCTCAAAAGGACGGAAGGGATGAACCACGTCAAGGCCCAGACCACCGAAATCCAAGCCTGTCGGCTCGCGGAGGTCTTCTTGGTCTGAATGTTTCGAGGATCTCCATACTCGGGATCCAACTCGCCTGTGTAACGGCCGAGTTCGGAGTCGTAATATAATTGGCCTTTGTCGGCGTCACCTTTGGGACCCAGGCCGTAGTCGCCGCCAATGGTATGGACTGTTCGTGCCATCGTTGGGGCAACTGACTTAGCTCGATCGGCACCTGCTTGCGCCAGGAGATTCTCCCGACTGTCTTGGATACTCATACTGTCACCAAACGGCGGAAAGAATCCACTGCTATTGTTGGGTGCGTGGGCGGAATGACTGGATTCGAACGGATTTGATGGAATACCGAAGATGGCATCATTGGGACGGCCAGGGTCGGCCGGTTTCATGTCAAGCATTGATTCGGCCTCCCACCACGCTCCTTCACGCATCCAGATCCGCTCACGTCCGATCACGACTTCTCCGTTCGTCCAGCCACGTTCGAGCATGAAGCTTTCTATTCCATCTTTGCCGTCTTTGCAACCAAGTCTGGAGTACCTGGTGACGAATTCATCAACATCAAAATCTGCCGTAAAGTCGAGTTGTCTGTTGCGGTGGTTGGCCCATTCAGGAAGCCTCCATGCTCGTAATTGTCGCGACACTGTACCTGCAGACCAGGCCGACGTGGAGGCGAGAGCGGCGAGAGCGCTAGGAGTGTCGTCGGTAGGGTGAATTGAGAGCTGATACCAGGCTCGACTGCTGGCCAGAGTCACCCCCAGATCAAAACGCCCCTTGATGCCCAAGTTCAGGCCTTCTCCATCAGTTGGATAGAGCAGGGTCCGGAGGAAACCACCAGCCTCAGCTTCGGCACCAATCTTTTCGAGGATGCCTTCTCGTCGGTCTCGGTCATGTTCTCTTTCCCGGCTGAGAGGGCCACCTTTGATACCCAGATCCGCTTCAACCTCGGCCACGGCGGACTGCATTTCTTTGAGGACTGAGTGGCCAGCGGGCACCACTTCCACACCGTCGTCCCTCATCTCGGCATTGATACCCTGGGAATCATCAAAGACATTGCGCAACGCCACTGCCTTGGCGAGATGCTCTCCAGGAATTTCGATGACCGTTAGGCTGACTTCGTCGCCGTTCTGAGTGCTCGAGTCAGGCGTCAGGGCTCCGGAGCGCAATTCTCCCGCAATGGCCTCATTTGCCTTGGAGATGACCCAGTCCACCAGGGCCTCATACATGCCAGCAATCAAAACCTCGCGGTCGTCGGTGGTGCATTTATTCACGAGGACTTCCGGTTCGAGTCCTATCAAACCCCCAACATCTTCGCAAATCTCTTCCAACACATCGGAATCGACGAGGAATCCGGTTGTCTCACCCAATCTCAGCAGTCCGGCCAGGCATGACAGGAGGCCTCGAAACGCTGACCCCTTGATACCGATGGACTTCAATGCGGAACGGAAATCTTCTGCCGCTGCGGCATCGTCGGCCGTCGGAAGGTAGGAAGGGGGATCATATGTGCCCGATCTGTTCAAGAGCGTGTACTTGGAAGGATGTTGCAGACCGAGATATTCGCGTTCAGTCGGGGTTGATGCTGAGGTCAAAAGATGGTAAAACACATCGAAAGCACGATGGCCAGGTTCAGATGGGATCCTCAATAGACCTCGTTCAACATCAATGCCCGATCCGGACAAGGCCAGGGAGAAGCCGGTGATTGTGCCTGTGAGAGTGACCGTATACTTGGCGGAAAGGGAAGAATGTCGGAATGTGGTCGGATTGATAGGTGTGACGCAGGAAAGAAACGGCCGTAGGGCTGTCAACGCAGTGTAGGCCATCTGAGGAGTCGCTAAGGGAATAACTTGAAGAAATGCCTGGAATAGCGAAGGGGTCGACGGATGCAGTGAACCCAGAATTATACATCCATCTTCTGCTCTTCTCCTTGCATGTTCCCACGCTCTTGAGGCAATGCCAGCATCCACTGATCCACCCAGTCGTCCATGGGCATCGGGATTGAGTGCAGTCAGCCAGGTGTTGACTGCGATACTCGTGCTCGAATCGAGTTGGTATGTTTGACCTGAGGCATAGATGGTGTGCAGGGCATTGAGGAGGGTCGTGGTTGAGACCTGTGTCGACTGTTGGGCTGCTGATCGCGCAGCACCAACTTGCGAAGAGTTATTTGAGAAGGTAGAATATCGATTGGCCATGTTGAGCCGGAGTTGGGCCCCTGTCGAGCAAAGACGCCGACAGGGCCTTCCGATGACTTTATGGGGGAGTGATAGATAATGGTATACTATATCCACCGTCTTGTACGTCCTATCCTCTCTCCTGATACAATTTTGATTCTTCGTCAGCCAGGGTGTCCGAATGGGCGACAAGGGTCAACCGGGAGTCTCGTGGAGAGGGAGAAATAAATAGCGATAGACTGATAGATTTCAGGACTTCTGCAAAGATGGAAATGAATGGAATAGAGTAATAGTGGTGTGTATGGGAGCGAATGTGAGGAATAGGTAGGTAACAAGTAGATTGGAGCCGGTGGAAGGGGAGAAGTACAATACTGGCACGTGTATCAGACCAGCGTTGAGTGAAGGCGTCTGTGTATTGAAAATTACCATTCATTACATGGGGTCTTCTCAAGAGAGAGCCAGGGGCAGGGATAACACGACTCGGTGTTGGTCAACATTTCAAGAATAGCAGTTCATCTGCAGCGCCACCCCAGAAATGGACCACCTCTAACCAGCAACAGTCTAGCTTTCTCGGCCTTCCTGCAGGGGACTCCGCGAGTTTAAAAAGAAGCGGATGTTTTGTGAGCCAATCAAGCCGCCTTGCAGGTGGGCTGCTCCACGGCAACGGATGTAAATAGCCTCACCTGGGAGCCTCTGCCCTCAACCGGACGAGAGTGATAAATTACATGCACCGTGCTGACTTTGGTCAACGAATATACCCGGGTATGAGACATGGACGTGTCATTGTGGAAAAATCCATGAATAACTGATGACTTGCGTTTCTTTTCTCACACGTCGACCATTTTTGAGACACACTCGGTCACGTGACAGGGACCGTGAGGCGAAGAGATTGGATCATCACGCTCTTCGAATCTGCATGTCTCATCGGCTCCCGAAACCTGCACCACTGTGCTGGCTTGCTGCTGTCAGCATCGCACTCGATTCCGAACCCATGGGTAGCTCGCTTATCATTCAGAGCTCGGGTGCGGGAAAATGTGGTGTTATTTTGATTTGCAGTGGGCAAAAAAGGGAACAAACAAAAAAAAATGGCGCTTCCAGACACTCGATTTTACACAGGTTCCTACTAGTGGGCAGTTCCCCACAGCCGCATCCTCATTCTCTGCCAGTCATCGTCGCCGCAGAACACCAACAGGTCTCCATACTGCCGTTCATTGGATGGCGAAGGACATGGTCCAGGGTTTCGTTGCTGAGCGGAACCAAATGCATTTTTGTCAAACACGAGGGCACATTTGCAGTGGACTTTGACCGTCCTTGTCAATCATATCCGCATGGACCTCATCTTTGATTGAGATGTCAACTCCGGGTCGTGATATTAATATTGTTGCTCAGCGTATGGATTTGAACAGGAATTCTTTACGTGGGGATTTCACTGCGTTATAATACTCTCCATCAGTAGGTACTGTAGGGGCTCCATACCACCGCTGCTCATGTTGAGGCCTCGAGTCTCAAATGTCAGCGCCCGAAAGCTTTCCTGAGACGGGGGCCGTGGCGTCCGTTCAGGGCCACCGATGTCCAGCTTGCGAGATCTGGATCCAGGTGCTGTCTTACATTTCCCGTACATGCCAATACACTCCGTTGTAAATACAGCCCCCGTACCGGCCTTGTTTGCTCACCAATTTACTCCGTTATACTGACTGCGGCTCCCTCCAGCCAAAACACTCTTGTGCACGTTTCGCTTCGACTTCAAAACTTTTGAATTTGCTACGACTTGACGACCTCTCGTTATCGTTCTCTCGCTTTGTATAATCATTCCATTCGAATTGTATTGACGTTCATTGTCTCGAACATTCGCTGCTCAATTCCGCTCCCCTGAATAGGTCCATAACTCCTTGTTTCAGGACGATTGTGCCATCGCTGTGACTACAACCTCCATGAACTGACGATTTTGGCTATTGAAACGGCATCGGGGCGGATCGACCGTGCGATTGGAAACAGGTTGACACGTTGGATAACTCGATCATTATGGCTTCCCGTGGGAATGTCCCTGCTCATCTCCAGTCGTCGCTCCCGGCTCTTCCTCCTCATTTGCAGTCTGATACTCACTTGACGGCTCACCTCGCGAGCCGTTTCCACGTCTCTTTGCCCACAGCAAAACTCTCATCACAGGCTTTGATATGCCTCAACACGTATACCTCGTCGACCCGGGGGCCCAATGGCGAAAAAGAGGGCAGCGCCATGGCTGAGGCCGAAGATCTCGCGCGAAGAGCATGGGCAAGATTAGGAAACAGAGCAGAAGACCAGGCAGTTGTGTTTTTGTATGTCTCCCAACGCCCGACCATTTCGTGGGGACCACACTAACTGTCCAACAGCGGCGAGTCTGGTTCAGGCAAAACTACTGTCCGGTCCCATCTCCTTTCCTCCTTTCTCTCGTTTTCCTCCACACCGCTCTCGTCAAAGTTATCCCTCGCCGCCTTTATATTTGATACCCTGACCACCACCAAAACTACGACGACCCAGACGGCATCGAAAGCGGGCCTGTTCTACGAACTTCAATATGACGCCTCCTCGTCCATACCCACCCTGATCGGAGGTAAATTGCTGGATCATCGTCTGGAAAGGAGTCGTATATCTCACGTCCCCACGGGTGAACGGAGTTTTCATGTTCTCTACTATCTTCTCGCCGGCACCAGTCCTGCTGAAAAGTCTCACCTGGGTCTCAGTGGACACACCCATGTCACCACTTCCGGCCCTGGTCTCGGGAGGTCTGCCTCGGTGGCCCAAAAGAGATGGAGATACTTGGGTCACCCGACGCAGATGAAAGTTGGGATCAACGATACGGAGGGCTTTCAACATTTCAAGACCGCACTGCGCAAGCTTGAGTTCCCCCGGGCAGAAATTGCGGAAATTTGTCAGGTCCTGGCCGCGATCTTGCACATTGGCCAGTTGGAATTCGGCACAGGACAGGCCACATTGACGGCGGCGGAAGAAAGTGGTGGATATTCTCATGAGGGTGGTGAGACCGTCACGGTGGTCAAGAACACCGATACCTTGGCTTTGGTTGCCGCTTTCTTGGGGTTAAGCGTTCAAGATCTTGAAGAGAGTTTGAGATACAAGACTAAGACTCTTCACCGCGAGCGGGTGACGGTCATGCTCGACCCCAAGGGGGCTCGGGAGAACGCTGATGAATTGGCCACGACGCTGTACTCTCTTCTCGTTGCATACATCATTGAGTGTGTCAACCAAAGGATCTGTGCGGCAGAAGACGCCGTGGCCAACACTATCTCCATCGTCGACTTCCCCGGATTCGCTGACCATCCTTCCACTGGATCTGCTCTGGATCAGTTGTTGAACAATGCCGCCAATGAGTCGCTTTACAACACCTGTCTCCACAGCTTTTTCGAGAAAACAACAGAGATGCTCGAGAGCGAAGAAGTCAGTGTCCCAGCAACGAGCTATTTCGACAACTCGGACGCAGTTCGGGGTCTCCTGAAACATGGTAATGGTCTGCTCGCAATCCTCGACGACCAAACGCGCCGCGGTCGTACGGGAATCCAATTCCTGGAAAGTCTTCGAAAACGATTCGAGAACAAGAACAAGGCCATCACGGTCAGCAGCTCCACGGCGACAATGCCGGGCAGCAATTTTGCCACTACGAATCTTGCTGCATCCTTTACAGTCCGTCACTATGCGGGCGAAGTGGATTATCCTGTGCACAGCTTGGTCGAGGAGAATGGCGATGTTGTTTCGGGCGATCTGATGAATATGATTAGAGCGACGAAGAGCGACTTCGTCGCCAGCCTGTTTGGTCAAGAAGCCTTGAACACGGTCAGCCACCCCGCCGAAAAATCCGCCATTGTCCAGGCCCAGGTCAGCTCGAAACCATTGCGCATGCCCAGCCTATCTCGGAGGAAGCACGAGCATTTGCGCCGGATGGCAAGCCTAAGAGCGGACCGTTCCCCTGCTCCCCAAGATGAAGAATCCGTTCCTGCTCCAGAAGAATCCCGCCTGAGACGGACGAAAGCCACCGCAACAGGGCTGACTCAAGGCGCTGCGGCACAATTTTTGTCATCTCTCGACAACATCACCAAGTCATTAACTGCGCCCAACGCCAACAGCTATTTCGTTTTCTGTTTGAAGCCCAACGACAGGCGGATTGCAAATCAGTTCGACAGCAAGTGCGTTCGACAGCAAGTTCAGATGTTTGGAATAGCCGAAATCAGCCAGAGACTCCGAACGGCAGATTTCAGTATTTTCCTTCCATTCGTGGAGTTTCTAGGGCTGGCTGACATGGACACTGGAATTGTCGGAAGCGACGGCGAGAAAGCTCAACTCGTCCTGGACAACAAACACTGGCCTGCCAATGAAGCCCGAATTGGGACCACGGGTGTCTTTCTCAGTGAACGCTGCTGGGCAAGCATTGCACTTACAGGCTCCCAGAGCATGGCCTATTTTGGCAGCGAAGGGCCCTCTCTTTCCAGACCGGATACGCCGAACCATAATCCATTCAGTGATTCCAAAGCTCGACTCCTGCCTTTGGCCGATGGCACACCTGGATCCTTCTACGGCGATGAAACGAAGGGCGGTGGCTATTTCGGTAGTCGAGAGCTGGACGCTAAATCCGACGCTGGGGCTTCCGCATTCAACTCGGGTGACATGTTCCGCAACCTCGAAACCAAGGAAGAACTTGCGGAAAAAGGCAACAAAAAGAAAATGGAGGAAGTCGACGTCGTTCCCGTCTCTTCAAGCCGTAAGCGGTGGCTTGCTATTGTCTATTTCCTGACTTGGTATCTGCCCGATTTCGTCATCAAATGGGGCGGAGGCATGAAGCGGAAAGATGTGAGAACTGCTTGGAGAGAAAAATTCGCCATCAATCTCCTCATATGGCTCAGCTGTGCCTTCTGGGTTTTTTTCCTCATCGTTTTCCCCGAGCTCATCTGTCCCAAGCAGGATGTGTACTCGGCGTCGGAATTGGCATCCCATGACGGCAAAGACGGTCACAGTTCATACGTTGCCATTCGGGGAGTGGTCTTCGATTTGGGTGCCTTCATGCCCAGTCATTACCCGAACATCATCCCACAAAGTTCGCTCGAGAAGTATGCGGGCATTGACGCCACCGGACTGTTCCCCGTCCAGGTCTCAGCGCTGTGTCAAGGAAAAGACGGACGGGTGGACCCGACGGTTCAGCTGGACTATACCACCACCAACATTTCGGGATCTGCCAGCGTGATTAGCTCCACCGACCCAAATCGGCGGTACCATGATTTCCGTTACTTCACCAATGATTCCCGACCAGATTGGTTCTTCGAGCAAATGATCATGCTGAAGGCCAATTATAAAAAGGGTAGCGTCGGCTACACCCCTCAATACGTCCATACCCTTTCTACCAAGTCACAGTCCATTGCGATTTTGAACGACAGAGTCTACGACTTCACAACATACAATCAGGGCGGACGAACTACCCGTGCTCCCCCAGGTGAAGAAGTGCCGTCCGGTGTGGACACGAATTTCATGGACGAGCTCGTTGTTGACTTGTTCACTCAGCGTTCTGGCGAGGATGTCACCAAATACTGGAATGCCCTTCCTCTGGACTCTGGACTGAGAAGCCGAATGCAGCTTTGCCTTGATAACTTGTTCTTCGTGGGTGTTACCGACACCCGAAACTCGGTCCAATGTCTGTTTGCTCGGTATATATTGTTGGCTATAGCCATCCTGCTCTCTAGTGTTATCGGCTTCAAGTTCTTTGCGGCACTCCAATTTGGAGGGAAAAACGTCCCCGAGAATTTGGACAAATTCATCATCTGCCAGGTGCCCGCCTATACGGAAGACGAGGAGTCCCTTCGCCGTGCGATAGACTCCGCGGCACGGATGCGATATGACGACAAGCGCAAATTGCTCATTGTGGTCTGCGACGGCATGATTATTGGGCAAGGCAACGACCGACCCACACCGCGCATCGTGCTCGACATTCTGGGCGTTTCCGAGACGGTGGATCCTGAACCGCTCAGTTTTGAGTCCCTCGGTGAAGGTATGAAGCAGCACAACATGGGCAAGGTGTATTCCGGCCTCTATGAGGTGCAGGGACACATCGTGCCTTTCTTGGTCGTGGTCAAAGTTGGCAAGCCGTCCGAAGTATCCAAACCCGGAAACCGAGGTAAACGTGATTCTCAGATGGTTATCATGCGATTCCTGAACCGAGTTCACTACAACATGCCTATGAGCCCCTTGGAGCTTGAGATGCATCACCAAATCCGAAACATCATCGGTGTCAATCCGACGTTCTACGAGTTTATGCTCCAGATTGATGCCGATACCGTCGTGGCCCCCGACTCGGCCACTCGCATGGTTTCAGCCTTTCTACGCGACACCCGACTGATTGGAGTGTGTGGAGAGACATCGCTCACTAACGCCAAATCATCCTTCATCACCATGATGCAGGTGTATGAGTACTACATCTCGCACAACCTCACCAAGGCCTTCGAGTCTCTGTTTGGCTCGGTCACTTGTTTGCCAGGTTGTTTCACCATGTATCGAATTCGAGCCGCGGAAACCGGCAAACCCCTTTTCGTGAGCAAGGAGATCATTCAAGACTATTCCGAGATTCGGGTCGACACGCTCCACATGAAGAACCTCCTCCACCTGGGTGAAGACAGGTATTTGACCACGCTGCTCTTGAAGTATCACTCCAAGTACAAGACGAAATACATCTTCCATGCTCACGCTTGGACAATTGCCCCCGACAGCTGGAAGGTCTTTATGTCTCAGCGCCGTCGGTGGATTAACAGTACCGTACACAATCTGATCGAGCTGATGCCGTTGCAACAACTTTGCGGCTTCTGCTGCTTCAGCATGCGGTTTGTTGTGTTCTTGGATCTGTTTTCAACGGTCATCGCTCCGGTGACCGTGTTCTATATTGGATACTTGATCTTTCTTCTGGCTACTTCCTCTGACGTGGTGCCGTTGACTGCTTTTATTCTCCTGGGAGCGATTTATGGTCTCCAAGCTATTATCTTCATTCTTCGTCGCAAGTGGGAGATGATCGGGTGGATGCTGGTGTATATTCTGGCCATGCCTATTTTCTCCTTCGGACTGCCATTGTACGCCTTCTGGCACATGGACGATTTCAGCTGGGGAAATACACGTCTGGTGACGGGTGAAAAGGGCAAGCAGGTTCTGATTTCGGATGAGGGGAAATTCGATCCCGATTCCATTCCCAAGAAAAAATGGGAAGAATACCAAGCCGAACTCTGGGATGCGCAAACGCAGCGAGACGACACCCGGTCCGAGGTATCGGGATACAGCTATGGCACCAAATCTTACCATCCCGCTGCATCTGTCTACGGTGGTGGGTACGACACACAACATCTTATGCCCATGTCTAGATCGGTATCTCAGCTCGACATGCATACCCCCATGAACGGCGGTGGATACAACCCATCGAGAATGTCACTGGCACCCTCTGAAATGCTGGGGGGTGGCATGATACCGAGCGGACAGTCTGTGGCTGACATGGAGATGTCGGATCTGACTGGTCTGCCGACGGACGATATGATCCTGAACGAAATTCGAGATATATTGAGGACGGCTGATCTGATGACAGTCACGAAGAAAGGGATCAAGCAAGAACTAGAGCGGAGATTCAATGTCAACCTGGACATGAAGCGGGCATATATTGGAAGTGGTAAGTGTGAAGAACCCCTCTGAGCTGCGCGATGTCGTTGCTGACTTTTCCTTGCAGCCACTGAAGCCGTCCTTTCTGGTCAATTGTGAGGTTTGGGAACATGTTTTGATTTGCATTTGATAGCGTTAAAATGTTGGCATATCATACAAACGGAATTGGGATCATGGGGAGGAAAAGGTGACATTAAGGATGCATGCGACTTAGGGCGAGTCAATCATAAAAGGGGAGAATCCGGTGCTGGTGTCTGGGATTCATATAATTGAGACAGGATAACTTTGTAATTGCGATCTTGTGGGAGACTAGAGTCTTGATTCAAGGAAGGGGAGGAGGATACCTAGCCGCAGGTATTGTCGAAACTTTGATATTCATCAGGGCTTAGAAATCCGAAGTGCCATCCTTTTTCCAGGTCAAGCTTACCCAAGCTTCGGGCCTCGAGGCGCTAAAATGCTTGTCTGGGGATGTGACATCATCTGCCAAACGTTGAACCTCGTACGTGTACCGTTGGCTTGGATTCCTGGGGACTGGACTTGCGTAACCTCTCCTTTCCTCGTCCCCCGCATGGGTTCATATGAAATGTGAGTTGACCTTGATGCTAGTTGACCGCCTTCATAGCGCCCTGCTTTGACATTGCATCATCCTCTTAAGTCCGCTCACGCACAGAGCCCAAGTCTCTTCACTCGGTGACGGGTCAGCCTCATCACGATGAAGTAGCATCCCGGGCAGTGATATCGTACCTGGACCCTTTACCGAAGCCATGATCCCAGAGAAGGTGTACGACCTTTGCCAGAGCGGCATATCCGTGAGTTCTAAGCTGGCCGAAAATCCAAATTTGTCTCCGCATGAAGCGTGTAAGAGACTCTTCGGAGTCGACATTGAGGATGAAGTCGTGACGAAGAACCTGGATCTATCAAAAGCGGGACCAAGCGACCTTGAACAAGCACGAAAGTGTGGTAAATGGGGAAATGCAACACCTAGCAACTTGTTTTTGAGGGTGAGTTACCATTCTCGGGTGCCGATTTGAAGGAGGGTTCCTGAATTACATCCCAGATCTACCATGATGTCTTATGTACCCTAGAAAAAAATCCTCTGGTCGGTGTATGCGCACCATCACTGATGGGCAGCAGCGGAGTGTGCCCACTCACTATCATGGCAACGGTGCCCGATATTTGTCGACACATGTCTAATGTGATAGCTCGAGCGGAGCATGAGGTATTTTTGGCCACCAACTTCTGGATGTACTCTGAGCCCACCAGGCTGATCACTAATGGATTGAGAGAACTTTCAAAGAAAGCAGTCCAGATGAATCGCCGAGTCGTCGTCAAGATCATTTATGGCCGAGGCATCGTCAAACAGGTAGGGCAGGCTTCCGTTCCGATCGTGGCCGTCCTGACTGGAGCAGTTCCTGAACAACCATCTTCCCGTCCCGCCGGAGGAATTTGCTGATGCCCACGGCAAGATTCGAATCCCACATCCTGATGAGCTTCCGAATGTGGATATCGAAGTCATCAACTTTCACCGTCCGATTTTGGGAACCTTTCATGCCAAGTATATGGTGGTGGATCGGAAGATTGCAATTGTTCAAAGCAATAATATCCAAGATATCGACAATCTGGAGATGATGACACAATGGGAAGGACCAATTGTAGATTCTTTCTACGAAGTCGCTCTCATATCATGGCACAATGCATTGAAGCCTCCTCCGCCTTGCTTGAATCAGCCGGCCTCACAGGGCCCACTGCCGACATTTGAGACGGAGAGTTATGCCACCTTGTTCGATGAGAATGGAAAGCTGGTCCCGGTGCATCACACGTAAGCTTCCCCTGGCTTGGCCCATTTCACTTTGGTTGACACCATCTCCTAGCACGACAGCCGTCCCCGCGGCCGGTGAAAGGCTGCGGGAGCTTGCTGGCCGCGGATCGCAGTTGAACTTGCCCCAGCACACATCACAAGATCCGCATTATGATCCGGACATCGAGTCAGAGGTTTTACGGTCGGTTGCAGCCTTGAATCCTCGTTCCGGTGAAAGACGAATCGATGCAATCACCCGTCTTTTGAACACCACTATTCAGCCTGACACCAAAGGAAGCGCCCTTGATCTAGAGCCAAGCGACTCGATGACTCCCCTTATCCCGATACCACGACATGAGCCCTTCCCCGTCGCCATGGTGTGCCGAGAGCCTTGGGGGCCGCCCAACAAAGAGTCGCTCTACACGCCGCAAAATGAAGCTTTCATGTCTGCTCTTCGACACGCCACGAAGTCAGTATTCATCCAAACGCCTGACTTAAATTCGGAGAGGCTCCTGCCTGAGATTCTTGCTGCCTGTCGTCGAGGTATCCATGTCACCTATTACTATTGTCTCGGCTATAATGATGCCGGTGAGCTCCTCCCTTTCCAAGGAGGTCATAATGAAATGGTGGCAAATAGGTTGTATCGAGATCTCGAGCCAGAATATCATCAGAACCTTGACATCTATGCCTATGTGGCCAAAGATCAGATCCACCCAATTCACAACCGATTCAAACGCCGGTCTTGTCATATCAAATTGATGATTGTCGACGGGCACATCGCCATTCAGGGAAATGGCAACCAGGATACGCAAAGTTGGTACCACAGTCAGGAGGTGAACGTTCTAATTGACAGTCACCTGGTGGTTGGAAACTGGATGGACGGAATCAAGCAAAATCAAAACACGCATCTGTTTGGAAAAGTGGAAAAAGAAGGCCCAGATGCTGGGTGTTGGAAAGACCCAAAGACAGGACAGCAAGCAGAGGGCGCTATTGGAGTGGATCCGGGTAAATTTGCTTGGGCGAGGGGATTTGTCGGGGCGGTACAGCGACTACGAGGGATGGGTGGATTTTGAGGGGGACAGTTTTCATGAGTAGAGAATAAGACATTTTTGATACAGCAAAGAATTGGTGCTTCAGAGAAAGCAGGAAAATCTATTTTCCGGGATCGAATAGGCATGCCTCCAATTCCGCAGTTTGCCATTCAGTCCCGGACCGCCTCAAGTTCAAGGTTCACACATGCCGAGCGTTTGGAGCCGCTGATCCTCGTGATGCTTCTTCAGTTGTACCTCTCTCGTCCGTTCCTATTTGGAATTATCCCAGAGGCCAAGCGAGGTCCACAATCGCCTCCCTAACCCCTCGCGAAGCCGTCGGTAGCATGGCCGAAGGTAGCCGCCCGACTGACCTCAGCGTCGGATGGTAAAGACCTTTTTTACTTTCCGGTGGAAGAACAGCAACAACAGCAGCAGGATATTCCGCCTCGGTCTCTGCTTCGCCGTGGATTGTTGCCGACATCTCAGCTTCCCCACATCCTGAGGCCATACAACCAGCATACGCTCTCCTCCTTTTTCCATCCCCAGATTTGGTGGGCAAAAAATGACAAGAGCCGGATCGATGCGCCATAATTACATGGGTTGATCTTCCGTACGGTTTTTGACGGGAGCATCCCGCTTCATGATTAATTGCGACACTTCCCACACTTGTCGCTGTTCCTGTTGGTATTAAAGAGTGAGCAAGGTACATTTCTGCTTCGAAATTGGAGACCCATTTCGTCCCAAGGATAAGACTACTCCATTCTGGGCATTACCTCCTTCCCATAAGCTTGACAGATTTGTGCTGTTAATATACCAGGAGGCGATCTCAATCCGGTTGAGGAGGGCACCACCTGACGGATCCGGCCCGAGATGGGTTCTATCGCCAAATCGTATGGTATACATTCTTTCTCCTCGACGAAAGACAGCCTGCTGACGTCATTTCACAGCGAGTATACCACCTCATTTGCCTTCTTTGAGGCAGTGGAAGAGGTAAATATGGACCTGACCTCCTTCAGTCTGCTCCTGACTGACCGACTTTTCAGGCCGGCATCACCCACATCTTCGTAAACCTTGGTTCGGATCATCCTTCTATTATCGAAGCGGTCGTCAAAGGGCAAAATGAAAAGCAAGGAAAATTCCCTCGGATCATTACCTGTCCCAATGAGGTATGAAGATCCCATCTCCCAAGAGAAGGCATCGTGCTGAGGAGATTCACGCAGATGGTGGCATTATCGATGGCAGACGGGATGGCTCGTCTAACTGGAAAACCACAATGTGTGATTGTTCATGTCGACGTCGGCACCCAAGGTCTAGCCGCCGCCGTCCACAACGCATCTTGCGGACGAGCACCAGTCCTCATTTTCGCCGGATTATCTCCCTACACGATCGAAGGCGAATACCGGGGCTCACGGACAGAATACATCCATTGGATTCAAGATGTACCGGAACAAAGACAGATCGTGGCTCAATACTGCCGATACACGGCCGAGATCAAGGGCGGAAGAAATGTCAAGCAAATTGTCAATCGTGCTCTCCAATTTGCAACCAGTGATCCACAAGGACCAGTATATCTCTGCGGGGCGAGAGAATCCATGGAAGAGGACATTGAGCCGTACCATCTGGATCAAGCTGTGTGGCAGCCCGTTGGACCCGCGGCTCTGCCACAAGATGCCGTCAACATGATTTCGGGAGAATTAGTCAAGGCCAAAGAACCTCTTCTGATTGTGGGCTATACTGGTCGTAACGCGAACTCGGTCGCCGCCACGGTGGCTCTGGCAGACAAAATCCCCGGTTTGCGTGTTCTGGACACTGGAGGTTGTGATATGTGTTTCCCAGCAAACCACCCGGCAGCATTGGGTCTGAGGTACGGTTCCGACCCGGCCATCACCACCGCAGACTTCATCCTGGTGGTTGACTGCGATGTTCCTTGGATTCCTACCCAGTGTAAGCCGAGGGCTGACGCCAGAATCGTTCACATCGACGTGGATCCCTTGAAGCAACAAATGCCAGTCTTTTATATCCCGGCTTTTGCTCGATTCAAGGCTGATTCTGCAACTTCATTCACTCAGATAAACGACTACCTTGCGTCTAATTCCGACCTTTCGGCGGCTCTATCGGACGAGCAACACACCACAGCACTGAAAAAGAGAGAAGAAGCATACAACGCGCGCTGGGGCTCATTCAAAGAGCTGGCGAAAATCCCCGCAGATCCTCAAAATACTCCCATCGACCCTCACGTCCTCGGTGGCCAGATCAGAGCCGCCGTACCTCCTGACACGATCTTTGCTGTCGAAGCAGTCACCCTGACCACTTTCATCTCCGACCAGATTGCCCCAGTCCTTCCTAAGTCATGGATCAACTGTGGCGGTGGTGGCCTCGGGTGGTCTGGCGGTGGTGCTTTGGGTGTCAAACTGGCCTCGGACTTCGAACACCGAGACGTCGCCTCCGGCGACCGCTTCGGCACCAACAAGGGCAAATTTGTCTGTCAGATCGTCGGTGACGGTACCTACATGTTCTCCGTCCCGGGCTCCGTCTACTGGATTGCCCAACGGTACAGTATCCCCATCCTGACGATCGTGCTGAACAATAAAGGCTGGAACGCACCCAGGCGTTCTATGCTCCTCGTCCACCCCCACGGGGAGGGCAGCAAGGTCGACAACAAGACCTTAAATATCAGTTTCGAGCCCACTCCGGATTACCCGGGGATCGCCAAAGCAGCGACCGGTGGCCACGCCTGGGCTGGCACCGTGAGCACCGTTGCTGAATTGTTGGAGCAATTGCCTCAGGCGGTCGAGGCTGTCAAGGACGGTCGATGCGCCGTGCTCGAGGTCAAGATCGGCGCAGAGTTGACGAAATAACGTCTCGTCAAGGTTGCGACTTCGAGTGGATAGATAGATACAATTTGGGTTCGTTGAGGTTTTGTAGAGAGTACTCCGTAAGAGAAGCGCACTGTTCCCTCGTGCGATAGCGAAAGCGGAGGCATTTCGTACATAAAGTCAATGCCAAAAAGGGGAGAAATAGTTTCACATGATAGGACTAAGACCTACAGGCCTTTCTTTCTTTTTGTATGAAATATTAGCTGGAGGGGAATAGGACGGGGTGTCGGTATCAACCAACAGCATTTGATTTGATATAGATGCAAACCCGTCACCCTCACTCGTGGGCACGTCTCCTCTTCCATTCCCGTATGCAATGGTGAATCGATGAGCTAGGTCTGTCGGTCCAATGCCCTCCTTTTTCTCAGGTCCAACCACGCCCGCCCAGAATCTGAACCGATGATGCAAAACGAGACGATAACGCAAGAGGAGAGAAAATTGGAATGGAGATATTAATGCATCCCCTCCAAGCTCCTCGCAACATTCTCGGCCTTCTTCTCGCTACTCAGATCACGAACTCGTCGTATTCTCAGACATGATGAAACCCTTAAAAGTCAGAGCCCTTCCGCTCGACGTCCGCAGCAAGTTCCTTGTTGAGGATGCCGGCCTCGTTGCCCATTTGGTCGGCGAAAGTCTTAGTAGGCTTCCATTTGGACGAGGTCCGTGGTGTGGATTCTTCCATCATCTTGTCGATCTGTTCGAGAGACAGACCCTTGGTCTCGGGCACCAGAAAGTATGCGTACACGAACGCCGCGGTGCAGAGACCGCCCCAGATAAAGAACACGGACGAACGCAGGTTGCCCTTGTCTTCGCCGACCATGTAAGGAGTGATAACGGCGATGATCTAGACGAGATCAAATATTAGTATTTTGAAGAGTGGTAGGAAACCGGGGAGCGGGGTTGATGGTGGCTTACGGTATTCCACAGCCAGTTAGACGCGGTCGACAAACCAACGCCGCGGGAGCGAATGGGGAGCGGGAAAATCTCGCCAATAACGATCCAGGCACCGGGACCCCAAGTGGAGGCAAAGAAGAAGATGTAGATCGCAATGAAAGAGATTTGGGCATTGACTGCGGAGATATTGTTGGCACGGGTATCGCCAGCCGCATTGATATGAGTCTTGTTGAAGCCGACGGTAACACCGACGATAGCGACGATGAATTCGCACACCAGCATACCGAACGCGCCCCAGATGAGAAGTGGGCGTCGACCGAATTTCTCCACCGTGTAGAAGGACACAGGAGTCGAGCAGACATTGACCAGGTTAAAGATCAACGAGATCAAGAATGGGTTGGTAATGGCACCAGTCGACTGCAGAAAGGGAGTCGAGTAGTAGAAGATGAAGTTGATACCGGTCCTGTTGGATCGATGGTTAGTCTTGAAATAAGGGCAAGAGAGGGACTGAACAGATCTCACCATTGCTGCATCATCTGGAGAGAAGTACCGAGGATAGTTCGACGAAGATTGGACTTTTGATGCCAAAGGCCACCCTTGAAGCAGTTGAGCCAGCTCGAGAACCAGCCAGAGCTGGGAATCATTTCGCGCTCATATTCGTCGTTCGCGACAATCTCAGCCACTTCGACTTGAATGTACTCGGAATCCGGGGGCTGGCCACGAAGACGAGATAGGGATTCAATGGCCTTCTCGAGTTTGCCTCTCTTGACATAGTATCTGGGCGAGTCGGGCAGGAAGAGCAAGCCACCGCCGAGAATGAGAGCCCAAGCGAACTGGATGGCGATGGGAATTCGGTACGAGCCCGTATCGGGTCGATTCTTGGTTCCGTAAACGACACATGAGGCTAAAAGAATACCTACAGTAATGCAGAATTGGTATCCAGCCACGAGAGCACCGCGGACCTTTCGAGGGCACTGCGAAGAGATCCGGTCAGTCCTGATCTGCCCATCTCCTGAATATTGCAGCTACTTACAATCTCGCTCATGTACAAGATGACAATGGCGCTTTCGAAGCCGACACCAATACCGGCAATCAAACGGCCGGAAACGATCAATCCGAGACCATGACCTTGGCCGGTGGCCATCTGCAAAATTACCCCGAACATGTAAATAAGGCAGCCGTAAATGACCGTCCATTTACGGCCGATGAAATCAGCGACATCGCCGGCGATGATGGCGCCAAAGAAGGTGCCGCAGGAAAGAATAGAGACGATGAGAGACGAGTGGGGGGAAGACAGGGCAGTGGCATTGGGACCCTCAATGATGCGAATGAACTCGGGGGCGCCATTGACACCGTTGATATAACCCGAGTCGTAGCCAAAGAAGATGCCCCCAAAGGAAGCAAAGGCGCAGATCAGGTACGCCTTCCAGGTAACTGGAGCCTCGATGCGATTGACATCGCTGGTGGTAGAGAGAGCACGAATCTCGCGCGGCATGTTGACGGTTGCTGGGGACCTGGTAGCGGGATATGCAAACGAATGCTTGTCTCGAGTTAAGAAGAAGACAAGCACTGAAGAGAGCGACAGCGGCTCTTTAAAAGAAGCTTGGACAATGCGAGGCGACAAACATTTGGCGTGCCTTCTGCAATGGAACTCTGGAGCTTTGGATGGCCAGGGTCCGTCCTGGTTCGATCCATTGCTGGGACCAGAATTCGATGGATCTGCAGGTGATACCACGGGGCCCTCGATCCAGTGAAATTCCTCAAGGAGAGGTCTCGCGACCAAAGCCACTGCACGGGCTTTCGACGAGTAAGAAAGCGAGAGATGTGGGTTGGGCAGCGTGCCATCGCCGAATTGGACTTGCCCTCATGATGTGGTAGCCGTCAGACTTTTTGTCAGTGACATTCCATTGGGGAACGCGGAGTCACGGACTTTGGGTGTTGTTTCGCTCATCAAATCGCTTTTTGTTGATGGTCCCGAAGTACAACCGCCAGCGAGGCCATGTCCCTGGTCAAGCCAGCCAGCTACCCCGAATGGGACTGGATGGCTGGGGGATGGCCATCGCGGAAAATCCCTGCGCCTCGCCAAAGTCAAAGCAAAGCTAGTCCGATTTTCATTGGATGCCCTCCCACAAGTTTCGCGGGTGAAGAGCCCTTCCTTGCTTTTTGGAGGGGCCTCCTAGCTCAAAGGGTGCCACTTGCGAACAAAGCATCATTCGAGAGTTTCTTGATATGTCTTGACATGTCTTGGGGATGATTTGGAGATGTCTTGTTTGGTCGGGAGGCCCCTCAGTCTTTCATTTTCTTCCTCCCCGTGGGGCAAATCCTGCACTCAGAGAGCTTGCACGAGCCATTTCATGCACCCATGGCACTAGCGTGCTGTAACGTCGGCAAAGGAGGCCACTGAACAAGATTAAGCTCCGTGCAAAAAGGCCTTAGCGCTGGGTCACAGGCATCGCGTAGTCCGAGATGAGACTTTTTGTAACATGGGACCGTGGCATATTGGATCTTTGGGTTTCGTATGTGGAGTGGAACAGCTGGTGTGAGTCATGAGCTTCATAGATGAAAACAACTTGAAACTCAATCGAGGAGGCAGCTGTTCTTTTACGCCGGTGGGGTAATGGGTCAGTGAGGCTAATCCGGCCGACGCTGATGGAATCATCTTTGAAGTCCATCAATCCTTCTAGAATTTCGACTTACAGCTGCTTCAAGGATGCGTTGTGTAATTTGATACCAAACCAGTCTGAATTGCCGCCCCACATAGGGATCCCCGTCTACCTTATGTAGCATCAGCAACACAGTCTCGGACTCGAGCTCGCTAAGCCATACCAGCGAGGCTTCGCCGATGCTACCTCGCTTTCTTTCAGCACATGGAGTCCGCATGGTTGTTTAGGGTGAAGGCCCAACAAGAATGTTTTGTAACCCTCGCGACGATTCTGATTCCTTTACCCCATGGGGGTATTCATCCCGTTCTCTTCGCGGCAGCAGCTGGGGGGAAAATGTCGCGGTTCCAAGGGAGTTTGGCTGTGTTGCAGCATGGCTTTTGGCGTAGCTTTGGCTCGTTCAAGCGAAGTTTCGAGAGTGAACAAATCCAGGAGAGCACGGTTTTATATGCGAACGTACAGCTGCAATGTCTCAATATGATAAGTTGGAGCGCTTGAACAAGGACTTACATCAGTCCGCATGTGAGTTTCTTCGTTGCTACGTGCTCGTCAAACGACCTGCAAGTGTCCGGCCAATTGACTCCTGCATGTTCTCATGGGCTTGAGGCGACATGTCCGCGAAAATGAGTATGAGATGTCAATGTCAACACAGAAACATAATTCGAGGTCGCGGTGAAGTATTGTCTGATTGGGTTGTAGTGCTCTTTGGGCTCGACATTGTGAGGATGGACGCGCCCGGACAGAAAGGGATCATTCGCCCAAAATTGCTCCCGCAAGATCAGCAATTTTGGCCATGACCATGATACTGATACTGAAGGAGCAAAAAATGGCAGCAAATCAACTGAGGAAGGATGGATTTGTCCTGAAAACAAATTTCTTCCATGCCTGCGCTTTCTCAATTTCTGTACATGGCTGAATTGGGACTAGTGGCTCTTCCGTACTGATTACATTGCTTCTTCAACGTTCGAACGCACACGAAGAATGGTTGTTGGATATCAGATTAAGGAAATTCGTGTGCAAAGGTACATGAGTCCTTGATTGAACTTGTAATTCACACAGCATCCATGAAAGAGGTCTGAGACCCACCGCCCAACTCAAACATGGTCCTCTTATCTCCCAGCAACACTGTTTCATACATCACCAGAAGCTCTTCATCCTCCTCTTCTAGTGCCTCTCTCAAGAGGTCATAATCTTTGACACCATTGCTCGGGCTCACAAGCTGACACGTGCTGAGCCTGAACAGTGATATGCTTGACCTTTTATCGCTATCGGAGTTCCCGGGTTAATCTAAGAAGAGGTGTGCTTAATCGGTTGCTCTCTGGATCCGTGCACTCTAGCAATCCACCTACCTATTTCCGTGCTGACCAGGGATCAGTATAAATCACTAGCGCTTGATCACCGCTCTCCTGAAAGCGAATCAGCTTGTCAATATCTGATTGGCATGGTTGGAACTCACCAAATTCTGGCCGGTTTGGTATCCGCTTTGATGGGTGTCCCCGATCACACGGATCCGATCTATCCTCATCCGCTCAGCCGGCGTGGTATTTTTCGTGCGTAAACGTCAATCCAGAGATGAGGCCCACCAGATCATTCAAGAGTCCGAGGAGTTGATGATGGGGGATAATCGAAAGTTGGGGTTTGAATCTACAACGATCCTGACATTGAGATGCGATAGTGACTGCGGGAGAGACTCTGCGGCGAGACCATAAAAGGCGGTTGTACCGTGCAAGTGGGGAGAGAAAGCTCAAATTCCGGTATTTGGTTTTGGCTGCAAAGCAAAGGCTTGATAATACATTAGAGCCCTCCCATGCTTGGGGCCACGAAGAAGGTTTTTGGTGTGTGGAACTCCAGACCAACCCATCAAGACATTCTTCCGAGAGATAAAGAGGATTCCATACAAATGTCTCGACCAAGGCTGAGTGCCGTAATTTGGAGGCGGTCTTGAACCGGCGGCTGTGGCAGGCTACGGTTGGAGCTGAATGAGAGTGTTTGGCGAGTTCTTCCGGGAGGAATCTGTCAATTTACCTTAAAACTTTCCATGTGGGACAACTATCATTCGAGAGCATAGCAGCGAAGACATAATGCCGGATGTGAGGCTTGAAGTTGAACTGCCCAGCGAAGCGACAAGGCAAACGAGAGGTCCCATGATGGTGGGCAGGTGAAGAGTACATGCTGTGGATCTCTACGAAGAACTCTGGTTTACACTGGGCTACGCTCATTTACGAAAGGGACATATAAGTAAAGCGGCCAACCAGGCAGATAGGTTTAGTTAGCACGTAGCATTCCCTTCACGCCGCTACAACAGAAATGCCAAGAACACTTTACGCGTGAACGCGTCGACGCGTCGACGGGGGAATTTTGCGTTCAGCCCAATCCGTGTTGAAGTTGAATCTCAATTTCTCTCTGCAGGTTGTGAGATACCGTCAACAGTGCACATCATGGCGCTGAACAACACAGAACTCCGCGATGAAGCGGTCCGCGACCGAATCAAACTCGCAACGGAATTCCTCGATCCTACAGACATTGAAGCTCGATCCTACCGCGCGGACATCGTGTTGATGCTCAACCGTGGCCTGCGACGACTGGTAGTTAGCATCGACGACATTCGAGCCCATTCCAGAGAGCTTGCTGATGGAATTCTCTACAACCCTTTTGACTACTCTCTTGCCTTTGACGCCGCACTGAAAAACGTCATCGGCACGATACCCAACCGAGCACCTTTCGAGCAAGATGAGGATCGGTTATATTATGTTGCGTATTCGGGCTCGTTTGGAGAGAATACTTGCAGTCCTAGGACTTTGGGGAGCGCGTTGCTCAACCGAATGGTGTGTCTGGAAGGCATTGTCACGAAGTGCAGTCTGGTCAGACCAAAGGTGATCAAGAGTGTACATTGGAATGAGAAAAAGAACACGTTTATGTTTAGAGAATATCGAGACCAGACTATGAGTGCAAATGCGCCCGCCAGTCTGAGTGTTTATCCGCAAGAAGATGGAGAGGGTAACCCAGTACGTTCCGGCAGTCTTGTCTACTTATCAGGACGCTAATGGTGTTTAAGCTGATCACAGAATACGGCTACTGTACATATCGCGATCATCAGACCATCAGCATCCAGGAAATGCCAGAAAGAGCACCTGCTGGTCAGCTCCCTCGTGGCGTCGATGTCATTATGGACGACGACATGGTCGATCGAGTCAAACCTGGAGACCGGATCCAGTTGGTGGGCATCTTCAGATCCCTCGGTAATAGGAACGCTGGATCTGGTTCGTCGATCTTTAGAACCTTGATCCTGGCCAACAACGTGGTTTTATTATCCTCAAAGTCAGGAGGCGGAATTGCCCAAGCTACAATCACGGATCAAGACGTTCGAAACATCAACAAGATGGCGAAGAAGAAAGATGTCTTCAAGTTGCTGTCGCAATCCCTCGCACCGAGCATTTTCGGACATGAATATATCAAAAAGGCCATTCTGCTCATGCTCCTAGGCGGCATGGAGAAGAATTTGCCGAACGGCACCCATCTGAGAGGTGATATCAATATTCTCATGGTCGGGGATCCCTCGACCGCGAAATCACAGCTTTTGAGATTCGTGCTCAATACGGCCCCCGTAGCAATTGCAACAACTGGTCGTGGATCTTCCGGGGTCGGTCTGACCGCTGCCGTCACTTCTGACAAAGAGACCGGAGAGCGAAGACTGGAAGCGGGTGCCATGGTTCTGGGAGATCGAGGAGTGGTCTGCATTGATGAATTCGACAAGATGAGTGACGTTGATCGAGTGGCCATTCATGAAGTCATGGAACAGCAGACGGTCACCATTGCCAAAGCCGGTATTCACACGTCTCTCAATGCAAGATGCAGTGTCATTGCAGCAGCAAACCCCATCTTTGGCCAATACGACAGTAACAAGGATCCACACAAGAATATCGCCCTTCCAGATTCCCTTCTCTCGCGTTTTGACTTACTCTTCATCGTCACGGATGACATCAATAACCAACGAGACAGAGAAATCTCGGAGCATGTTCTCAGAATGCACCAATATCGTCAGCCTGGAACCGAGGAAGGAGCTCCGATCCGGGAACAGGCCCAACAGATTCTCGGCGTGGGCTTACAGGCCGAGCAAAACGCCAATCAGACGACCGAGGTATACGAGAAGTATAATCCCATACTCCACTCTGGATTCAAGGTAGACACCGACGGCCGCAGAGGCAGGAACAAGCTAGTAAATCCTGTCAGCATACCGTTTATCAAGAAGTATATTCAATACGCGAAGAGCAGGTGCAAGCCAAGCTTGACCAAAGAAGCAAGTGATTACGTGGTGAATTCTTACGCAGACTTGAGAAACCAAGAGGTCGACGCCAACAAGCGCAGAACCAGTCCTATGACTGCCAGAACACTGGAGACGCTGATCCGGTTGTCGACTGCCCACGCAAAGGCGAGACTGTCTAGCAGGGTTGAAGAAAGTGATGCCGTTGCGGCAGAGCAGGTCCTCAAGTTTGCTCTCTTCAGAGAGATCCCTGTGAAGGAAGATGGACGAAAGAAGAGACGCAAGACCCGCGATGCAAACGCTGAGAGTTCCGATGAAGAGAGTGATGCCACCAGTGATGACGACAGCGATGATGACGATACACCGTACCGTGGAACAAGATCGTCGGGACCACGTGGTGGGAGGCCTCCGACCAGAAGTCAACGTTCGACTCGCACAAATGGCACAACGAATGGCAAAGGCTCTGCACGATCGAATGGTCATGATGTTGCCGAAGAAAATGACTCCGAGGAATCGGACGCGCAGCCAAGCTCTTCCCAACGACGGACGGGCGCAGAATCGCAAATGTCTCGCATGAGTCTTGCCAGCTCTATTCCTAGTTCTCAGCTTCCTTCCACGCCAGCTGACTCACAATCGCAATCCCGTCGGACACAAACGCAACCCGAGATTCAACAGTCGCCTTCGCCCGAGACTGAACCTAGTATCTCACAACCACGCCTGGCATCATTCCGTGCTGTTCTCGGTCGCCTGACGCAGACTTCCTTGTTCCAAAATGATATGGCGTCCGTGGCTGATCTGACTGCCGCCGTCAATCATCGCGTGTCCGAGAGTCATGGGACGGAATTTTCTAATGTGGAGATCAATGCCGCTCTGAAGGCAATGGAAGAAGCCAACCAAATCATGTACCTGGAGGACAGTGGTGAAGTGTACACTTTGTAAAGTATCTTGTGTTGTTGGGATGATGACATGCTTGGTTTGACGTTGGATGTGGTCTACATGAATGAGCTGGGTCTGATGCAATGAACTACAGGGCATGGTGCGATGATATGGTTGGTCTTGATCAATAATTCGAACTTCATTCCTCAAAATCCATAGCGTCCACCCCGCCCGAAGGACCGGGAACGTAATTCATTTTCATGGCAGTCCGAACACAAAGAATGACATCCAAGAACTCCATGCCGAACGGTGAGAGACAGAGGACGCCACTTAATTTCGTCCGAAAGGAGATGGCAACGTCCTTGATCGCAGGCCAACCCGGGTTTGAGTGGCGATGGCGCCCTATCCATGACTTTATGAGAGAAAAATACGAGTGTTTGTGATGCTCGAGTGGACGCCGCCAGTTTCAATCCTGGTCGACTTTGCGTCGGCAGACTACCTGAAATCTGGAATCTGATGCCCGGACATGGAAAATCAATTATCCTGTTCTACGCTAAGTTGTCTTGGGCGAACAGGCTTCTGAGGTTCACTCAACTTCCATCCAAATGTCAGCTCAGAGATTTCGATGTTTAGCGATGGAAGCTCATGTTTCATTCTCAGCTATCTTTTGTATCACCTATCAATTGATATGACGCTTCTATCGAAGTATTGTGGCTTTCCCATACAAAATAAATCCTTTCACCATGGCTTTTCATACCGACCCATACCAGCATCAACGACTTTCACGTCCTTTTCCTTTTCTCGGCCACCTTACATTTCCCAGTCATAGTCCATGGTACCAGGCCAGGGCTGTTGCTGTTGTCGCTTTGCATCCAGTTCTGTCGCGGCCATGTCGCCAGCTCCTGCGTCCGGGCCTGCTCCCACCGTTTCGTCCAAGTCTGGATGGTGGCTAAGTATAGCCGCCAGGCCTCCCAGGTAGCTCTGGCCTCATAGATCTGTAAAGTGCCATACTCCTGCGGGACGTTTCGGAACTGCCAGGCCTCCCTTATCAAGGCGATGACATCTTGAGTCATGTTCTCTTGACCTCCAGAATCCTCCGCCAACGCATTTCTGAACTCTCTTGACCAGAGATCAAGTGTGTTGCGCCACTCATGCCTGGCTCGCCCCAGCAGTTGATCGTTGTTGAGGCTTGGGTGTCTTATCTGAATGATTTCCTGGAGGATCCCCTCTTGTCTGGAGACCTCTAGTCGACTAATCTGCTGGAGCTGATCGAGCGAGAGCCCCGTTTCGTCAACTTGGGGTGGTGACGGAGGGGACGGAGAGGACTTAGGATTTGGGCCAGGCCCGCTGCCGCCCCGCTTAATGATGACCCGTTTTACGCCGGCGTCCTCTTCAACCATTTTGTCAAGCTCCCGACCTATCGCCTGCTGGATGTTGTTCCAGGGCCGGTTTCCGGTGTTCACTCTAGCGTTTAGTGGGAGATACCTCCAGATACGCCGTCCACCCCATCCTTCGGCCATGTAGATTCGCAACAGCGAACCCCAAACGTGGTTGGGGTAGAGTCTGCAGATTTCTCCCAGAGAGAGTCCTGCTGGAATGATTGCTTGGGCCTCCGGATACCCTGGATGGTGATAGCGTGCTCTCCTGCCTCGCTCAACCTGGAGTGGATATCTGGTTCGTGGGACGTTATCATTCCCAAACAAGGCCAGTAAATTGCGACCAGAGCCCTGCCCCTGTCCCAATCGATGAGTATGTTGTTCCTGCATATTTGGATTATATGGCAGCCTTTCGTGTGGATCTGATTGTTGGATTTCAGGACGGTTGCGCAGTGGCCGAGGAGGGGAGGGCGATGCTGGTAAAGGAGTGGAGCTACCGGGAGCAGGTGGCCCCGGAGTCGCAGCATCACTTCCGGTAAACTGGACGACGTATTCACCACGTGCTGTTTCTGAGTCGTCTGGAGGAACGATTGTGAAGTCGTCGCCTGTGGGAAATGACATATCCCTGTGGTGATCGGTATCGTGTCGACCCATGGTGCGAGCTGTGACGGCTGTCTGACGACGAGATGACTTGGAGACAAGGTTTTTGACGCTTTTCATTGTCAGCAACAATGCAAATTGTCAAACGATGTGACGTTACTTGAGAATCTCGCGATCTTGTCGCGATGGAGCCTTGGTTTCAGGGAGCAAGATCGGCCCAAAAATCTAGGACTCTTGGCTGCACTCTCACGGACAGCTACCCACTCGTCGAACGAGGCCGAATCACTTCAGACCTCGTGAAAGGGGTGATTGAGCTGTCGGACGTTTTCAAAGCTATTTCCAGTCAGTTGTTACCCCACGTAATGGGCCGCGAAAAGATGATCAGAAATTGTGGTCTAAGATGAAAATCCAGACGGCGAGGATGCAGCGCAGAGTTCGCCGCAAGACAATAGGCTAACGGACTTGGGAAACCGTGAAGCATTCACTTGTGTCCAAGGCCTGTGAGAAAGATGCGGCAAGATTACCAGGTTGTTATTCTGGATCTCGATAACCCCGTTCAAGTCTGTGATTTGGTCTGTCATGAAAAAGAGATTGTTCGCAAATTTGACAGATATATATGGTCAGGTACAGCCCGACTGTACTGCAGCTCCTTGTCACCATAACCCGGAATCAAACACTTATTGTGTGGCGAAGGGGTTAATCCACGCTCATCCATGCTGTTTGTCCATCCATTGCAGCTCTTTCTTCACCTATATATAGCCCGAAATCGCCATCACGAGGCCCGGAGTCAAACCACACGAACCCCTCTTTGAACTGGTTGCTATTCACCCCTCAGATAGCCGTTGGGATCCAGGGACAAGCGAGCGGAAAGGACGGCTTGTGTGCTTCGTCCTATATCTTCTGACCTGGAGTATGGGTTTGGAGGAATATCATGACCGACCTCCAGCCGAGTGAAAGCGATCCTTATATCACGCAACAAGCCCGCCGGCTACAACAAGGCTACATTTGTCAGGGGTAGCTATAGGTAGCTTGGCATTTACTGATACCAAGCAAGTCTATGAAATATCTGGCGGAAAGACAATTACGGTTGGATCGACTCGTGAACCTCGGGCTCGGAAACATATGCCACTATATTGATTGCCAGGAAACTATTTCACCAGCAACTATTGGTGTCAACGGGCAATCGGCTCCAGTGGGGGAATTAACCATCCCTACCGGCAACCCGAAAATATGGGGTAAAGAAAACGGACTAGGGAAACTCGAGTGACTGTTCGAGTGTTGGCATGCCCAGCTTTGGTGACGATTGCCAGAGGGAAGGATAATCCCCGCATCAATGTGAAAGTTCCTGTGAGCAGATGTTCTCTCGCGAAACTTCATCAACACGCAGGTCAAATTCTGAAGTCCAGACCTCCCAATGGAGTGCCGCAGCCTATTGGTTGAAAGTCCACAACATGGGACAGTATTTCCCTTCTTGACCAACATTACCAACATTGCCGCTTTCATAAGGGGCCCCTTTAGCCGGAAAGAGAAAAAAGGTTTCCCTTATAAAAGCACATGCACTCCCTCTTATGGTTAAACACACTTACAATGATTATTTTACACATTGCAGCAGATGAGTAAAGCAGCGCTTCGCAAAAATAGTCAGCGAGAAACCAATGGGCACGAAACATGGTGAGGTAGCATTTGTATCACCAGCCCTTGGACGTTGGAGCGTTGTCTTTGAGCTATGGAGCAGGATCATACGAATGTGGGAATCCGATTGTCATTGTCAAGTCCATTCCTTCTTTGGAGCTATCCTACACAAATAAACTGGCCACCTCTCGCAAGCAATTACATCGAGGCAGAATGACGGACAGGTCTTTGTCCAAATCCCTCAAATTCTTCCTTCAGAAGAGCTTTTAACCAATCTGGATCGCCGTCCATGATCTTCGGTTGGCCATTCATGTTCAAACTCAAATCACCATCTCTCTCGAAAACATCTTTTAACCAATCTGGATCACTGTCCATGCCTCCATTTGGGGTGTCAGAAGTCAAATCCATGTCATCTCCGAAGGAATCGGTTTCATTTGGCCAGTTTCTGTGATCGACCTCTTCAGAAGCATTCTCAGCTCCTGGCCCTGGGATCTCAGGGCCGAGATAACTTGCTGTTCCGTGGTTATTGTTGGACTCCTGGCTGGATGTGAATGCTTGATATTGCTGTGGTCCGCACGTGCTACTTGTTGCTGCACCAGCTGGATCGGTGGAACTCCCTTGCTGCTCTACATTATTCGGAGCTTCGAATGTCACTCGCTTGGGCGATCTGACCTTATTTCTTTTACTGGATCTTCTCGAGCCCCGGCTGAGCAGACTGTCCAGATCATCGCCGACAGCGATCACACTTGTCTGTTCATTACGACCATCTTCTGGACTCGAGATTGAATGTACCATCTGATGGACTAGTCCAACCTTCATCACACCAGTTTGCGTGGCGCTGTCGGGGCCTAGAGCGACCTGATAGAGCTTCGATACCAGAGCTCGCCCTTCTGCCAAAACCAGAGAAACCGCATGTCGTCTAGCCAAGTTCAACTTCTCACGCTGACTGATGTTGCCGGGCATGGCTAGAGACGGCACCGAAAGATCTGTCGGGGACGTGACGGAAGCGACAATATATCTCACTTTGTTGCTGATCCACTCGACGAAGGTTGGGCATGCCGTGATAGGGTCGAAGTTGAAGAATGTCTGTGACTCTGCCGTGACCGGCCACTTCATCAATTGCAAGATGAAGTCGTTGCGCTGCTTACCATCGACGTTGAAAAGGTGCGCATCAGAGCTGATAATCAATTCAGCAAAGGCACACTGCTGGGTCCAGAGATCTGCCATTATATTGCTGTACTTCTCGAGCTCGGCCTGCGAGTCCCACAGCGAGAACCCATCGAAACCGTGGATAACAGTCTGCGGCTGATCTGCTGCTGCTGCTGGACGGTCGGTGTTTCTTCTTATTCCTTTCTTTCGGTTCGGAAACGATCTCACAGGCTGCGCATTGGGATTGTTGAACTTTCCTTGTAACTTGGAGGCACCGTAATATTCGCTGCCATCTATCAAACAACCACGAATCTTCGGCGCAGTACATAATGCTCTCACTTCCTCTGCAGTCATCTTCTTCAGATGCGCATCCAGTCGCTTCATCAGGAAATTTGCTCGGTTGCCGTACGCCTTGCATCTCGCGACTCCTTCCTCTCTGAATTCTCTCTTCGCCTCCTCGGTCAGGTGATTGTAAATATCTGTCGCCGACCACATCCATTGGACGAAGGCGTCCAGGCAGGCGCCTCGGATGTGATTGGGGTAGAAGATGCAGATTTCTTCGAGGGTGGCATCGTTTGGGATCGGCCGGTCGAAGGGAGGAAACGAGGGAAGGTCGCGGTAGGCGCCGACTCCCTTCATCTCTCTCCTTCTTTGCAATGCAGTTCTCGCCAGTGGTGTTTCCCCTTGGATCGAGTCTGCTCTTGGGGTGACCGTCGCAGGTGTCGCAGAGGGTGTCGGATATAGATCTGGAAGGGCACCTGCGTTTATATCATCTGATATATCCATATGTCCTGGTGATTCACCTTGAGGAAGAAGTGGCAGGTATTGTGACTGAGCCATGGTTGTTGCTGACGTCCCTTTCTCGTTGTCTCAGCAGTGGCAATGTTGAGGCGTGTGGGATAGCTGCGTTACAGCCTCGCCTCTCAACCCTGTTCTGGAATGACAGAGAGTGTCTTGTGTGAATCCCATTCAAATAATCAAGAAAGAGCTCCGAGAATTATTCGACAAGTCTTATGCAGTCGCAGCTGGTGTGGGAGTCTAGATCAATGCTATGTGCGGACGAGGAATGATGCAACAAGCAAGAGAGCAAGAGTTATGCAGAGCTTCAAAGAACGGAAGCTGAAATACTGCACACAGCCTTGCGCAGTAGTCTACTTCATCGTTGTATCTGCCTCGAGACATGTCTCAACTGCTCGACAACGAATTCTATGAATTCTATGCTGCCATGGCATTTTTCTTTGCTCATCAGCGCCAGGCAAGGCTGTCTCATGATTTCTGCTACGGACAAAGAATCAGGACTGCTGTTTTTTCGAGCGCACTGCCCGAAGGCCAGTAATTCTCTACAAAATTGCGAGATGAGTTGCAGCACGCAAAACGCTCGACACGGAGTAGGGATATGAGGCTGAGTCGATACATACTCTACATTTCGTTCGCTCGAAGCTCCGTAACGATGATGTTTTCTTTGAGACTCGAATATCTCTCAGCCTTGTGTCTCAACGGTCTCAAGTCTGAAAGGCTCGATGACAAGGACAATGAAGAAAGCACGCCAACAAAAAGGAACAAAGCAGGCACAATGCTATGCCGCGAGACTTGAACAAGTCCTTTGCCCTCTTCTCACAGGCCAACAATGACCCCGTCGAAACACCAATTTTGCCGATAATCCCCTGGACCCATACTCTCGAATGTCTCCCACTCCTCCCGACCAATAATTTCATCCTAATTTCCTCCGTATTTTTCGACTTGGCCAACCAACGGACCGAATTTCCTCCTCTCTCCCCCAATTTCGTCCGCTCCCAACCAGTTTCGATTTATCCTCCACTTCGAACATACATCCCTCCAGATCAATTACCTATAGTTCCTCCTTGATTTTTATCACAAATATGCCTCACAAGCCCAGTTTTACCACTCCTCAATTTTCAATCAATCGTCCAAATGAAAGCCCACGCAAGTCTGGATCACAAAATTTTCGCTGGAAGGGACATTTGATACTTGTCACCGGCTCTACTCAGGAGCTCAATTCAGTCCGGCGATAGCCAGACAACTCGGGAATGTCGCCCTCGTTATCAGATGATTGTGGAAGATGTTGAGGCCTTTGCTGGCGAGGTTCATCAAGATTGACTGGATCGGACATATTTGCAAGGGGGATGGCGTAAAGCTATTCTTCCGATGTGGGAATCCGAGGCTCTGCTGGTACAGGCATATCATTGTCTGTTGGCGCTGCGGTTTTCTATTCCTACTGCGGGTCGACTGGATTTTGTGACTCGACAGAGTCAACTAGGACTCTCTGCTCCCGCTTCCGTTGCTGGGACAATGTTTTCTGTCGCCCCTGCCCCGTTCTGAGTTGGTCCTTGAGTATTGGACAATTCTGACACAAGAGAACAGGTAATCTTAGCGCGTCTTCCTGTTGTCGTCTCCTCGTCTTCACCAGTACGCTTTCAAGGTATCCAATGCCGAAACCAGGCGTCACTATTCATTTGTCGTTCCGACCAATGACTGGGAGTGAGGTAAAGATACTTACGTGATTCAAAGTTCAGGTCATCAAAGATAAGCGGAGGGGCGGCGTTCTTGTCGGAGTTGTTGAAATCCATACTTGCAAACAATTCCAATATCTCTGTGCAATGGGTTTTGTATCAGGTAAGTTTGGGATGTTTCACACGGTACGACCGAATTCTGGAGCGGGTGCGTTTGCTATCAAGAGGGTAGGCTCGAGTTTTGATAGGGAATGCTGTTCAATTGATGGATGGGATGGGAAAGAGGTTTTGTGAGGATAGTGAAATTTGGGAGGATGCGGAAAAACTGCAGGTAGTCGAAATGTACATGTTGACCCGACTGGGATTTCTTCGCCGTGGTTCCTTGTACTTGCGGTAATGCTTTATACTTTTAAATACTTTGAATGTGTGTTCCCTTTTTTATTTAAGCAGGCATTTATCAATTGGTGTGCCTTCATGGACATCCTCAGCCTTGCCTACGGAATCAGAGTGCCACTCAGGCTGGTTAGTGGATGAGCACTATGGCATTTCGGCCTGACACCTCCCGATTCTGATTGTGCCGAAACGGGTGGTCATTGTCTGTGTCCATTTCCCCAGACTTTTTGGTAGCTCGACGAAATCTTCACGGAACGTTCTCAGCCCATACTCAAGCAAGTACATCGATGTATGATACCGTATCTCGGCGTTAGCAGAATCCCAGGCCTCGAAAAGAGCGTGATGTTCGCTTTTTCCCACTGTGATTCTTCCAAGTGTGTTCCGGCAATGCACAGGATCCTCCTCAAAGATGAACGAAAAACTTCCACAACGATCGAAGACAAATTCTGTACATGGATATGTACGTCGCTTTTTTCATCTTCATGGTATGATCCAGACCGTTCCAACCAGCAGGCTTTGGCATCTGAAAGACTAGAGTCTTCCCACCAGAGGCCACCGGTGCACTTGGCTTTTCAGCAATCTCCTGTTGAGCCAGAAAGTCTATTTAGCCATGCATGCACCGTTGGCGGACGGATTTGTGATTGCAGTCATTGTACAACAGTACATCATTATGGTCGGTGAGAGGAAAGCCGGATTTGTTCAATGAGTAGAGAGGAATAGATCGAAAGGAGAAGTGTGGGTGCCGACAGAAGCAAGGCATAGTTTCGTCTGTCGAAACAAGGTTCGTTTGTCAAAGTGAAAGGGTACTGGACGTAAGTGTCGAGCACGAAGAAGCATGCAGAGTGATATTCGCAGTCGGCATACCTTCCCACGACTTTCCCAAGGTTGATATAGCACTGATTTTAGCTACTGGCCGTCGCAGTTTTGCACCGGTGCCTCTTGCGGCAAAGTCTCCTAGTCGTCTGTCTGCTCGCAGCAAACCCAAAAGGCTGTCCATTGTGAGAAGCAAAGCTGTCTTTTACAAATCCTCGATATTCGCGGGAGTCCCTGTAAGCGAGCCTTGCGTTCCATAATTGACCTCACACATCCAGGAGGTCTTTTCAACAGCTGTCATGCGCGGCCTCGTCAGAACTCGATGTTCCCAAAACTGTGATATATCTCCTAGATCAGCATGAAGAGTTTGGGCCCATTGGACAAGCAAGAGCAAGGCTGAATCTCGTTAAAAACTATCATGGACACAATAAGCACATACGAATGGTGCCGCTGGGAACCTTGCACGACGCCCATGACAGGGACTCTCGAAAAGCGAGGTCATGACCAGACCGCTGGGCAAAGGATTTGTTGATCCAATGGCTTTAGCTGGTCATCAATGCCCTTTCTGGCAGAAAGTTTTCATGGTGGAACGCGACGACATGCATAGCCCGTCCAACGACATGGTATGGACAGCAGCAACAGAGACTCCGGAGCCGGCGCCGGGTGCTTCAAACGCCCAGCTATTCATGACACAGCCGAGCGTCACCGACACTGGCAGGATCTTTTAATACCTGAACATCTTCCTTTGCCCATGGAATGAATGGAGATTGTCCGACACAAGCCCCGAGAAAGAAATTGGCAGAGCTCTTGGTGACACGTGACTACACGTGATTGGCTCGGAGCAACATTTCAGGACAGCGGATTGGCTTCGACTCTTTCCGACAGGCTGCGGATTAATAAAGAATGTTCGGGGTTAATCCCACTCTTCGTCGGCTGTTATGGTTAGCTCCGATGATCAGGTCGCCAAGGACTTGTCCTCTCCAGCCTTTTAATACTGGTTAGGTTAGGTCTATAGGTTCCAAGCCGACACTTGCGGGCGACTGAGTTTGCGTAAGTCCGAATAATTCGATGCATGGCCCCTTCCAATGGCTGCCGCTGGCCGAGCAATGGTGATATAAGAGGCTGGAGTGCTCTTCAAGCACAAGCCTTTCCCTCGTCTCTCGATCATCTGACGGTTCATCAATTCACTCCCTCCATCCCTCCTCGGTGTTCGGACGTCGTCCTCCATTGATAAACGAATTCTCCGCTCTCATACGATTCACATCAATAGCCGAAGATGGAATATCATAATCTTGGCAAGTCCGGCCTCAAGGTGTCCAAGGTCATTCTGTAAGTCGTCTTTGTCTGCTGGCATCTCCGTGCCGTGTCTGACCCAAATAGTGGTGCCATGAGCTATGGCACTCCGGAATGGCAAGGTTGGGTTCTGAATGAAGAAGACTCTCTCCCGCTTCTGGAGTATGCCTATAAGGTCGGCATCAGAACGTGGGACACTGCCAATACGTACAGCCATGGCCGGTCCGAGGAAATTATCGGAAAAGCCATCAAGAAGTACAATATTCCTCGGGAGCGACTGGTAATCCTGAGCAAGTGCTATTTTGGTGTGACTCCGGACCACCCTGGCAATCAGATTAGTGCCATCTCCAACAATGATGGCGATTTGGTCAACCAAGTTGGCCTGAGTCGAAAGAACATACTTGAAGCTGTCAACAAAAGTGTTGACCGCCTGGGTACTTATATCGATGTCCTCCAGATCCATCGACTTGACCGGTCTACTCCACGGGAAGAGATCATGAGGGCCCTGAATGATGTCGTTGAATCCGGAAAGGTTCGATACGTCGGTGCCTCTAGTATGGCAGCATGGGAGTTTCAAGAACTTCAGAACGTTGCCGATCGACATGGATGGCACAAGTTTATCTCCATGCAAAACTATTACAACCTGCTTTACCGTGAGGAGGAGAATGAGATGATCCCCTATTGCCATCACACTGGTGTGGGACTGATCCCATGGTCGCCCGTTGCCCGTGGAGCACTGACGAGACCTTGGGGTTCTCGAGACACTCTTCGTGAGAAAACCGACAATTTTCTTCATGTCCTTGTTCGATCGAGGGACGATAAGGTGGACGAAGAGATCATCGGTCGAGTGGAAAAGGTAGCTCACAAGATGGGAAAGAGTATGGCCCAGGTTGCCATAGCTTGGTGTTTGAGCAAGAAAGATGTATTTCCTATTGTGGGTCTAAACAAGAAGGAGAGAATAGATGAAGCGGTGGAAGCTTGCAAGATCAAGTTGAGCGAGGAGGATATTCAATACCTCGAGGAACCTTATCAACCAAAGAGGAGGCAGGGATATTGAACACAACAGGGACACCCTCACTGCTCAGTCTCATGGAGACCGAAAAGACCAACCTCTGTGGAACAAATATCAAGAAAAGACGTGAACGATTGCTACAATTTATATCACTGGTTTGTTGGCATGGGAGTTCTCCCGCACATGATCTGTTTGCAGCTTTCCTCCCTCTTCCACTTATTATGGTTCACCTTATTCACTTGACTGGACAGTTCAAGAATCTTTTCTTTCTCCTTGATTTCCGTCTTTCCACCTTAGTCAAACGACCTTTGACCCACCGACGTCTGGATACGACCCCTATTTCAACATCTTTAACTCTTCCCAACATTCGCTTTCAATCCTTTCTACGATCTTCGTCCTTACGTCATCCTCCTTCTCGAACCACCCTCTACCTCCAGCCACCATCAGCTGATCCATTACCTCTTCACTTTCGATATTCAACTTCAAGATCGTCACCTCGGCATTACACATTGCTTCTTGCCTATGGGAATAGGTCAATAGCCCTCTCTTCCCTCCTGGGTTACAATTCGTTGTACTCCATCCAAGTTGTCACTCAAAAATCGCAAGCTGGTTAACTATGGGTCTGGGAAACTCTGCTATTACTGAGCAAGGTGGCTTTGGCGAGATTGACCATGGCCTATTCAGTTTGGAGGATGCCATTACCGCGGAGGATACTAACAATCCCAATCTCAAATTCATCCGTGCGGCGGCCAACGGAAATGAAGACCAGAAGCAAAAGCAAAAGCTGAATGTCATGGCACGCAACCGGAAAATGAAAGATGCTCCAGGATTCCAGCAAAAGAAAGATACTTTGTCCAAATACCATGAGACAGTCTTCCCAGGCATGAGGATCCCGGTATGCATGCGCTCCCGCAATAAGAAAAATCGTGGATTCTCCAGGGGAGTCGTTGATTCAAACAAGTCAGCTCCAGTACCCATTATGTCTGTCCAGTGTCCTATTCCTGGTGGCACAGTAACCACCGTGACAACTGATCCAGTGCAAAAAGTCAGTTGGGGCCCAATAACAAGAGTGGAGGCCAGTCAAGAGGCCAGGGATCTTGTCAAGAAATGGATCGAGACCATTGAAGAAGAAGGTGACCAGGAAAAAGAATCAAACAAGGACAACGTGGAAGTGAAATCCGGTCTAGGGAATGATTCTCAAGGAAAGCCTATTCATCAAGGTCCAGCAAACATCAATGAGGACGATTCAGCAACAGACAGTCCTTCTCAAGCGGAAACGGATCCTGCAAATGCAACAGCACGCATGATCAAACCGCCACCTCCAACTCCACCGGACACAATCTTTCATCCAGCTCTCTCCATGCCAACTCTTCCTACCCTCCATCGAATCTCCGATGCAAATCTCGTTGAGCAATACCGTCTCCAGCGAGCTTTGGGTTCAGACGCCTTTGACAAGGAAACACGGGAGATCAAAAGAGGGCTAATTGAGGCCAAAGTGGCTCGAGGAGGAAAGGACCGATTGCTAAAAAATGAATATACGGTAGAGTTAGCAAGCAGAGAGGATGCCGCGATGGCTGATCGATGGGCCAGTGGAAGAGTCATACAGATGAGAACACGAGGAAATACCATGACCAGTGTCTCTGGCGGTAACTTGGAAGACATGAAGATTAGAGGCGGAGAAACCGACACAAGATGTGAGGTGAACGTGAAGAATCTTGGAACTTCAGTGCCACTATCACCTAGCATCGTACCCATTGAGCGGCAATCTGGCGGTCAGTCATCGACCAAACCCAAGGGGGGGCAAACGGAGACACAACAAACAGAGCCCAACTCTGTACAACGTGGTTCCTCCACTCTCGATCGCTACAAACAATCCCGTCGAGAACTTGAATCCCGGCTCGAAGCTCTCGACCTTTCATCTCATGTCAGCAAGATCACGACCTATGGCACCGTCCGACACCAGCACTCTGAGAAACGCGAGGCAGGTGATCATGGCGAGAAACGCACCATCAAGACCTGGATTGAGATCACGGAGGTGTATGAAGTTCCTAGCGCCCAAGTATTGAAGTTGAACGATGTCCTTGCCGCAGTCGAGGAAGAAGACGACGGCGACGGGGAAGGAACGGATAGCGCTGACGAGAGAACCAGCAAGAAACGTGAAAAGAAACGGAAGACAAAGACCAAGAGCAAGTCCAAGTCACGACGTGGATCCCAGACAAAATACTACGACAAAAAGCGCGTCTCCAAATTGACATCTCCCTCCAGCCACGCCGAAGACGAAAGCTCTAATTCGGAATCCTCTTCGGCGACGGACGACGCAGAATCACTGGCATTCCAAGATCACAATGAAACACCCGCCGAGTCTCTCTTTCGTTCGCTCTCGCGATTTGGCGAGGTCACACCAAACAAAGTGTCCCAAATGTCTGGTGACTTGCGCCACATCATCGCTGCGCTGAGAGGTCATGGCCAGGTCAAGGCAAGCGAGGAATAAGTAATCAACCACGGTATGAATAGATTCCTGGTGTGATCCGAGTTTCGTGGAGTGTCAAAGACGAGAAATTTTTACACCTACATGGATACTCAAACAGTGAGGATGGAGCAGATAAATATATGGCGCAAGGCTGAAATGGAGACGAAAACAGAACTCCAGTGTGCTCGACACTTTTGTCTTCTGCACACATGAATATGCGGGCCCTGTCAAAACGCTCCTGGGCTGAATTTTTATCACTGCGGAGGAGCTTCGGAGGGCAATGCTTGTGCTTGACAAATCTCAACTGTGGGCTTGAACGATTTTGACATGAGCTGGAGGAAGAGAGGGCGTAATGTTAACTGATCCACTCATGGAACACACTGGAATTGGCACATTGCACCTTTCGAACTGGAGAGGTAGTGCAAATCGGCTGGCCAGGCGGAAACGAAGGGTCCTGAACGACTCAGGGGTTTGGCACAGGGGCTGTGTACTTGCGCTTTGACCACAACCAATTGAGCATTCAGTATGATTCAGATTTGTCTGAGACATTTTCTTTCTTTGGATTTTGTTGTCCTATAGCTTTTTCATATCTGTAACAGTTTCCTGCGTAGTAGAGAGAAGCCAGGGGCATCGAGATGCATCGAAAGTAGCGTCGATCCGCCAGTGGCGTAATATAAGGTGCAAGTTTTTAACAGTACAGGATGCGGATTTCAATTCTGGGATCTTATTTTATTTATTCCGCAACCCAAACCGCAGCCATGCCCCTAAGTCTCCGTTAGCAAATGCTTTTTGAAAAGGTTAGGTGCGGGATAGGAAGAACTCTCACATTCCAGTACCAATACACATGCTCGTGACACCAATCTTCTTGCCCGTCCGCTTGAGCTCCGTGAACAACGTGCTCACTTGCCGGGCACCCGTGCAGCCAAGGGGATGTCCGAATGCAATAGCGCCGCCCTTGGGATTAACCTTGTCGAACGGCAGACCGAGTTCCTTGATGCACCAGACCGCCTGGCTGGCGAATGCCTCGTTGATCTCGTAGATGTCCACGTCGTTCTTGGGGACGCCGGCTTTCTCCAGTGCAATGGGAATGGCTTTCCATGGCCCAATGCCCATAAGTAACGGCGGGACGCCAACCACGGACGAAGCCACGAATTTGCCGAGGATAGGCTGACCCAGGCGCTCGGCAGTGCTACGCTTCATCATCAGCACAGCAGCGGCACCATCTGAGACCTGCGAGGCATTGCCGGCGTGGATGGAACCGTCTTTGGCGAAGGCGGGACGGATCTTGCCCAGCGATTCGGGTGTCATGCCCGGTCTGATGCCGTCGTCTTTGGTCACGGTAACGGTCTTCTCTTGCTCGGTCTTCGGGTCGGTCACTTTGACGGTGATGGGGGCAATTTCTTCATCGAACAGACCAGCTTGCTGCGCCTTTAGGGCTTTTTGATATGAGCTGGCCGCAAAAACATCTTGATCGGCGCGGGAGATTTGGCGGTCCTTGGCCATCTGCTCTGACAGGACACCCATGGGCACCTTGCAGTTGGCCGCTTGCATGTGATTTTCCAACAGTTCCGAAAACTCAGTGACAGCACCAGGTCCGTATTGCGAGGACATGCTCTCGACACCGGAGCCGATCCCGATCTCGATCATGCCGGCCTTGATAGCATTAGCAATGTCAACGCACGCCTGCAATCCGCTGGAACACTGTCTGTTCAGTGATTTGACAGCAGTCGACTCCGGGAAGCCCGCAACCAATGCTGCGGCTCTGTATTCAGTTGCACCGCCGCCCGGAGCAAGCACGCAGCCGGTGGAAATGTCTTCCACTAAGTTGGGGTCAATCTTGGAGCGGTCAATCAGGTTCTTGAGTGTCAGAGCCAACAGGTCCGCAGCCGCAGTGTCTTTGAGCAGGCCCCGACCGCCCCTGGTGAAGGGGGTGCGTAGGGCACAGGTGACAACGACATCGTCGGGAGATTTGGATAAGATGGATTGCTTGAGACCGGAGGAACCGCCGAGGTGGGAGGAGACTTGAGAGAGGCGTTCTTGTGCTTTGAACGGTGCTTTCACATGTCAATAACGGGGAGGGACCGAGCGGCGGTCGAGACTTACATTGAGCCATTTTGAATCTGTTCTGATGGAATTTGGGCGGATTCGTAGAAAAGAAGAGAAAGGCGGGATATGTAAAGGAAAGGCGTTTGATTTATGATCACAAGGGAAGAAATGATTATTTTCGTTGATGCTTGCGAGATTCTTTGCATTTGGTCGAGCCGAGGCACGTTCACATGTTGCAGAGCAACAACGTATGACTTCATCGCTCGAAATAGAGTGTCACGTGATTGAAGAAGCTCTATCACGTGTGGATGCTTGGCCCGGAATCAGAGAAGCTAGTCCTGATCTGGCGTTGGCTTGTCATGCAATCGCATAAATAACCTCTCTTGGCCCAGGCTCTAGCCGCCTGGTCGGTAATCACGTCGGTAATCCGGAAGAATGATCCAGAGGTTCGTTCTGATCTTAGGGACAAATTAAAGAGAAGATGGCTTACATCAGTTCCGACCGTCACAATGTAGGACAGTGTCTGGTGATTCATTACCTGTATGGGCGGCGTGAGATACCAGCTCATGTCGCCGTGTTCACCGTGGGCTGGCGGGATGTTAGGACGTGGGCATCTGGGGAAAATACCGGGCTCCCTAATTGCTCTCATGCGCTTCAACGAGCAAGGCAAATCCAAAAAGTCGGCCTTCGGTAAGTGCCCTATATCTGAGCTCTGGCTGTGAGTATACCGCTCCGGCCAACTAATCCTCGCTCGACCGCCACCTGAGACACTGCTTTGTTTCGGTCAATTATGGATACAGAAAAGATCAGGGTCGGTCGTTTAGCCTTCATTCCTCTCAACATCAGTTTCGTCGAGGTCCAACATGAGAGAAGCGCATTTTCTACCGTGGATTTGGTGTTCAGCCCCTCATCTGCATTATTGAAGAATTAGAGGACTGTTTCGAAGCTTTATTGGCGGCACATGGGCCACAGCAAGTGAAAATAATTTCCAGAAAGCCGCTTCGCACCCCAATGCAAAACAAGTTCGAGACAATGACGGGTCCGGCGGCGGTCGGATTGTCACCATCCAAGACCCAAATGGTATAAACGTCAATTTTGTCTGTGGTCAAACCATCCGCGAACGCATCGTCAAACAGAACACCGGAGCAGTCCCAAACCATGAACTTGGCTCCCCAAAGAACTCAACATAGCCTCTTCCAAAGGCTCGAAGCTGGACCTTGCCTTGTTCACAAAGTATAGCATACTGGATCTGTGGTTTCAATGAGCAGATTCTCCAGTATTGTAAAATGGCATCTCGATCTCATGAATCTGCGAGTTACCGATACAGAACGTTATCCAAAAGCAATGGAAGACGAAACTTACCTGTTCCAAATCTGGCTAGGCCACGCGTTCACCGATCACTTTGTAAGTTTCCACATTTTTTGAAGATCTTCATTGAATTGAATGAGATGATCGTTTTCCGTCGCAGAAAGACCGGAAAATTGACCTTTCCACAGGTATCGGCGGGAGATGCAAGAGAAAAGTGTCGAATTCGCGCTATAGGCTCTTGCTTCGAAGTTGATGACAAATGAAGAATCAGCCCATGGACAATCTAGTTTTCTGACTGCGTCAGGCCGCAGCGATGAGTCGATCACGAACCAACTCGGACGAATGGGAGCGGTAAATAGACAGGTACGTGGTAGACTGATGATATTCCCACTTCTATCAAGCCGCGAGCGGGATGGGCGGACATTGAAGCGGAAACAAGCGGACAGAGACGCACAAGAATGAAAGTCTCCGGAGTCCGCTCAAGTTCCGCTGACTGTATGAGTGCCGTGTTCTCGTACTTACAGTACCGCCTCTCATCGCATTGCACTCACTGGAAAAGCGGGAGTTTTCATTATGTCACGACAGCGTTTTCTCGGCAAGGAGGTTTGGGCAATTCGGCCACTATTTATCCCGCTCCTACGAAATGACTGGCAGAGGCTCTAGTTCGATCAGTCGTACATTGTTTCGCAATACCGGTGCTTCGCCAGGTGATCAAATTCCTCCTCACCCTGCAGATCTATTGAGTCATTCGACGTGCTCTGCCAATTTTGCTGCTCCACATTGTTTTTGGTCGCTCAACGATCAGTATTTCCAGCCACCTCCGACCTCGACCATCTACCGCTACATGCTGATTAATGAATGAAGTTCCTTTTCAACCCATCTATCGGCGAGAATCCGATTCCCTAACGGTAAATTTGTCATCGCCGATGGAGACAGGAGCAAATGTTGATCGATAAGTCCGTACAGGACCCAAGCATTTAAATTATAAGCTGCCGCCTCCGAAAAGAATGAGCGTGTTGCATCCCACATTTTGAGTCAACCGAGCGATCCATCGAGCCAATCACTTCTCACAACAATGGGTGAAGAAGGCTTCAATCCATTCCCTCCGGCCCCTGAACCCGTGTCCGAATTGGGCCGGTACAGGGTTCTGTCTAGCACTGCTGGCGTCCGAGTATCACCTCTGCAGCTTGGAGCCATGTCCATTGATGATGCGTGGAACTTGGTGAGCAGTTACTTGTTCTACTGTGTTTGTTGGACCAAGGGGAGCGTCATTTACAGATTTTTATGTCACACCCATTTAGTTCATGGGCGCCATGAGCAAGACTGACTCTTTCAAATTACTTGATGCTTACCATGAACTGGGTGGGAATTTTATTGACACTGCCGTAAGTCCTGTTATTTTCCATCGGCTGCTATTCCAAACTTATCCTAATCCATGCTGCGCTTGATAGAACAACTACCAAAATGGACAATCCGAAGAGTGGATTGGTGAATGGATGAAAGCTCGTAGCAACAGAGACTTGATCGTTCTGGCTACCAAGTAGGATCTCTTTCCAGTTCTCTGATTGATGGACACTCAGCGTTAACGGGGATTTGGGCGTTCTCAGGTATTCATTTGCGGCAGAGGCTCATAAGTTAGGAAATGGCAAGACCGTGACAATGACGGGGAATCACAAGAAGAGCATGCACATTGCCCTTCATCAGTCTTTGAAAAGCTTCAGACCGACTATATCGATCTGTACTATGTCCATTGGTGGGTAAGTTTGTCCAGGTCTTCCACACAAGGTGCTCCAAGTCGGATTTAAAATTTTTGACTGACCTTGCATTTTCTCTCACACAAGGACCACGTCACGTCCATCCCAGAAGTGATGGATGGCCTCGATGCACTCGTTAAGTCAGGAAAAGTACTCTACCTTGGAATTTCAGACACCCCGGCTTGGATCGTGTCGGCTGCAAATGAGTACGCTGTATCACGAGGGCCGATGGAATGTCATGGCTCGAGATTTTGAACGAGACATTATCCCTATGGCGCGACACCATGGAATGGCCTTGGCTCCGTGGGATGTGATCAGAGGCGGCAAGTTTCAAAGCCAGAAGCAGATTGCGGCAAGAAAGGGAGAACCATTACGAGCCGTTGGGCATACCGGTCAGACGCCTGAAGAGGAGAAAATCAGTGCAGCCCTGGAGAAAGTGGCCGATGAGCACGGAGTGGAATCGCTTTCAGTCATTGCGCTAGCCTATGTTCGGCAAAAAGCTCCCAACGTGTTCCCCATCGTTGGAGGATGAAAGGTTGAACATCTCAAAACCAATATCCAGGCTCTCAAGATCACTCAAACACACACACACACACACATATGTATATATTTTTCCAGAGTGAACATCCCGAAATGACATTTGCTATTTCTGTTTGTCTCCATCTCAGCTGGAGACAACGCCACGAAGTCGGCAATGGAACTGTCCTCGGATGGCAGTCAGAGAGGAGTTCAAGATTGGGAGTCCAAAAAGAGTTGGAGCGAACGAGGGTTCTCTACCTGCAGCCTGCCATCGTTCACCAAAGGAAGCCAACATTTCTCCGAGCGTATTTAAATGATGTCTGATATTCTCACAGGGCCCGTCTTGTCCTAAAAGGCAACATTGCACAACAGCGGCTTGGTAAATGGCGTAGGGGGTGATTGGGGGAGGGAGCGATACTTGGAGTCAGAAGAAGTAAAGAGCATTGTAGATTGAGTATGTATCAACGATAAGAAAATAATGCTTCATAGACAAAGACAGATGACTTGGAGGTTTGCCGCTCTTATGGGAGGAATGCTTCCACAGTCAAGCTTTGAGAGAATCTTTCCACGCCCAACGTATCCGTTCCAGGGTGACATGACTAATATGTCTAATGAAAACCCCTATTAGTCAGGAGTTGTAGGCTTCGGCTCTAACAATATGAATACAAATCGGATGAGAAGTTTGATTCACGAGGGTGTTTACTTGCAAGCGGATAGGCGAAACCGCTTGGTGGAAGTTGCCAGGGCAATGTAATCTTTCGTTGATCAGCGCAGAAAATAATGAATCGAAACAACGCAACGTAACCTGCTCAGCGACCTGCTATCCACCAGCCTCTGCCATCAGCCCCGCCCATTTTTGAAAGTTATGGCGGTGGATAAACTTGCAAGTGTGGGTCATGAAATGGAAGAAGTATCTGTCTGAACCAATCCCCTTAAACACTAAATGAAAGAGACAGACATGTTCGTCAGAACGCATATACTGCAAGGGTACCCCCATGAGAACTTGGGTCAGATTCTCTCTTTGTTGACCATTGAGAAGCGCAGCGTGCCCATTGTGAGGTACTCACGGGCTGGAGTTGGTCCGAATTGGCGTCCCTCCCTTCCTCATGCATTGAGTATAAAGGAGTTGAACGCTTTCATTTTGTCCCTTCCGTCGTTTACTTTCAATCTTCAGACAGACTCCTTCGAAATTTGGCCCAAAATGCATCTAGCCGCCTCCGCTCTCCTCAGCTTCTTATTATTCCAAACCATGGTCCTGGCACAAACAGGCGTGAGTTAAATACCATCGCGAAGATCTTGCCGAACTAACGGTTGTAGTCATGCTCTATAGATACTCAATTTTGCTATTTTGGTGATGGCAGCGTAAGATGCGATGTGCGCTGATGACTTCTCAAATTTCAAGAGCTTGTACTGATTGTCAAAGGCGCAATTACAATGTCCTTACACCGGCCATGCATGCTACTACAATAGCGAGGGCAGAGTGGACTGTGCTTGAGCTAAGGGGTGATTCAAGCTACACCTTCCAGTCGATGTTGGGCACTTCATATTACTGTCACCCGCGCTCTTGCATCTAGACACTCGTTCACCGAATTGATTTAATGACTTTGTTCTCGCCCGTCTCGCGAAGCAGAACAGCGTAGCAGTCTCTTGAGAGTCTCTATCCCTTCAGAGGATGTTGACAGGTAGCGGATAACGCAGTGAGGAAGTCGTAGTGTGGCTGACACCTGACTATCAAACAACATCCTTTGTCGGATAAGCTCTGCTGAGGGTATGAACCTTGATTCAATGTCCTCCACTTGAGGGAGATTGCTGACAGCTGCCAGAAGTTCTCCATTCTTTTTCGACAAAGTAAACTGTGGTGCGATTCGGTGTCAACTGTCCCCACAAATCCCGGACTGGGAGTACTCTGTTAGTTTCTCGGACCCAACGCCTTCGACCAGCTAACCAGGAGACATGGCTACGGCGTCGAAGACGCTAGAATATGAGAGTGGGGGGTATACTCAGGTCAGGTCTTTTCAGTTAGGCCAATTCACGAGCAAGGCTTGCCAGAAATCGGCTCACCATAGTTTTGTTCTTTGCTACGGCGATTGCGGACTTGTGTCCACCTAGCAGACTCTGAAATCTCGCCTAGATATTGCGGAGGTTTGCAGAGAGGACAGGGGGCGAATACTGGGAGGAAGAGAAATTGGAACTCTTCGAGAGTTTGCATGAGAAAGAGGGGGGACATTACGTAGAGTGAAGGTCTTCCACGACGATATAAGACTAGATGATAATGCATCACTCTGGGGGACTCCCGAGAGACGTAACACTCGAGAGCTTGTGCTACGCCTGGGTTTACATAGGTTCATGCTAGTCTTCCGCCATGATGGCCATATTGGGGTATAGGGGTATCCTAGAGGAGGTAGAAATATTGTAGCGGGGTGTTACGAACATGGGTTATGTCAGGAGGCTACAGGAACCGAGTCAAGCAAAAGAAAGTGTACGGCCTGGCAAGAAAGTGAGAACAGGCAACAACAGACATGAGTGAGCAGCGAGTCTTTGAGTCCATTGAGTTCTTTCTAGTGGTTTCATCTTCCACAGGAGGGTTCATGCAAAGGAATTAGCTGAGTTGGCTGCTGCATGTGTGGTTTCTCCATGATCCTGACACATGTTGCTTGGATGTAAAACAGAAGACGAGAATCCACTTAATCCATCATGACATTCATCGATGTCAATCGATGACTGATCGAAGTCGTCATTTCAACGACGCAGCATTCTCATAGCATTGTATCTACATAGCAGTCGCACTGGCCACCCATTTCTATAGCCATTCCGTAGTCCACTTCGTTATCATTCTGCACCACATGCTCCCATACTCATACATCCATACACTCAGACTGTGCCGTTACTTTGTACTTCTACCACACCAAGAAGCCAAGATATATCGCGACCTTCCTTTCATCAGGAGCAGGTCTGGGCACGTGGTAATTCCTGACATCTTTTTTTGTTCAATACTCTCTTTTAGAAATTCTCCTTCCCCCAAACAAAACTATACCCTTTATCGCCGGCCTCCGTGTACATATTACACTTTATATGCAACTCACTACCCAACCCCTTTGGCCCACAGAAGAATACACCGCACTCGCCAGGCCAATGGATCTTGCGGATCGCACGAAACACCATATCCCAGTTTGGACGGCCAAAGTTCGTGGCCGTTTGGAGGCCTGTAATAGCATCTCTTTCCCCGGAATTAAGGGAGATGTTGGAAGCCTCGGCCGCGGAGATCTTCGCTGTCAAGTACTGTTTTCCAACGCGTTACTTGATGTCTTATTGAGAAAAAAAAGGGGAGGGAATAGGAAAAAACATACCGCATGAATCTCAATAGCGTGGCTCTTATCCTGGCTCTCGATAGCCATGAGCAAAGACTTGAACCACTCCAATGAGCCAAAGTCCCGGCAGATCCAGAAGAAGTATACCTTGCGCAGTCGCGTCATCCTGGTCGTGGGGGAGTCACTCATGCGGTACCAGATCGACTTCAGAATCGAGGCGAAGGGTGTCACTCCGATACCCGCACCAATGAGTAGCACTGTCTCGAACTTGAAGACATCTTCCGAGGCAGAACCGAAGGGCCCATCAATGTATAACCGCGGGAGAAGTTGAGGAAGCTTTTCGTCGGCCTTCTCGGCTGTAAGGGCTTTAGAGTCTTCACATCCGAGAAGCTTACCGAGGCCTTTGGTGAAGTTGCCTACCATCCGGATGTGTACCGAAATATAGTCCTCCTCGGGCGCGGAGGTAAGTGTAAAAGGGTGATATTGCCAGATCGAATATGCGGGACAGCAGATAAAAATATACTGGCCTGCACGGGTCCTAGTATGGTCCTTTTTCATCTGGATTTCGACGACATTTGAGGGGTGCTGAATAACCTTGGTTATGTAAGTCTTGTGATAGCCACGGATTTCGCGTAGGATACGCTCCCCAAGATAGGAAAAGCCACCAATCATCCAGTACTCCCAAAAAGCGCCGTTACCAAAACAGAAGGGTTTCGTATCTGCAGGGATCATGCAGAAGGCGCCGTGGATAGACCAGAAGATAAAGAAAATGACAAAGAGGTGGTGGGTGTTCCAGAAGCGCTCATAGTTTGCGCGCCGGGGCTTGTCAAGCGCGGTGAAAAACATAACCATGACAGCAATTGTTAAAATATAGCCGGTCCAGCCAGGGCCGGTCAGGAAGTTGAGCTTTATGAAGCCTATGAAGCCTCCGTTGTTCTTGGCCGAGTATTGAGCAACGTTATGCAGATGAGCGATAGTGTGAACCCACGTAAAGAAAACAATCGAATAGCCCACGAGTTTGTGAAATGTGATGTTCTTATCGAAGGGAATAATTCCGTTTAGGGGTGTTTGTCGAGCGAGAGAAATGAGGGTGCGACAGACAGGCAGGAGGATACAGCCGACATCAAAGTGAAGAACGAGGGCGGCAGATCGAGCAATAGGATAGCCATAACCATAGGTCGCGCGGGCTTGAGTGAGGTTGTCCTTCATTGTGTAGTTCATAAAGCCAAATCCGTATAACATGCAATGCACGAGGATAAAGATGCCGACGAAGAGACGTCGGGATCCTTCGTTGACCATCCATCTGCTGAACCGCTCTTTGAGATTGAGATCTCTAGGTGCTTCTCCGCTCACCTCCCCTGAGCGTAGCATCCTCATCAGAGGTGTCGACCTAGTTCGTTCCGACATGGTTGTGAATGTTGAGGAAGCCGGTGACTCTGTTGTCGTTGATGTATCTGACGTCGCCAGCGACGTGTCTAGGGACTTGTGAGGCTCTGCGTAATAACTCGGGACGATACTGGTGAAATAATGAGTGGTGTGGACCGAGCCAGCGGCATGGCCATCTTCTATCGTGGTAGACAGCCCTTCAGGTCTATAAGAATAAACGTTTGGCTATCGATTTTCTGGATAGGGGTCCCTGGAGTGGTGTGATAACGGGGTTATGATAAGACGCGCAATGGTGTTGTCTCTGGCCCAGGAACGACATTCTGATACACATTCAGCCACGGATCTGAAACTGGGATAGGAGGGCGTGGAAGTGGACTGAGGATCTGGAGGAGTGGTGAGAGCGGCAGCGAAAATAAGCAATAGAACACGACAAACGGGGAGTCAAAATGGTTTGAACCACTGTGTAGGGAGAGGGACAGGAGGTTGGTAGTGGTGTGATTTCTTGGGAGTGGAGTCGCCACGTTTCAGGTGGTTGAGCCGCCAGCCTTTCAGGGCTAGTAAAAGTTTCGTTGTTCCATGCAGTTTCCTTGTTTCATCATGTTGGTCCAACACATAAAGAATCAGAGTGTTCAGGACCCATCGCAGGAGTCATGTTTGATCAATTGTGAAGCTTCCGGTCTTTTTATTAAAGGGAAGTCTTCTTGCGGCGTTCGATGTATTTTAGGCCTGCGGATACTTTTCCACCTTCTTGCATAATGTAAGTGGGCCACGAAACATATATCAGTAAAGTGTCACATTCTGGTGTGCTGTGGAGATCAAGAAAATGGTACCAAAAATTTTTGTCCTAATCCAATCCTGTTTCTTGGATTACCCGGTTCCACTTCAACCATGAGTTGTCTCGTAATTTACTCTGCCTTGCAGCTCGATTATTTTCGGATGTTTAGGACCAGGATGAGAACCGTCCAGTTTATGTCAGTGAGGATCACCAACTTCTTTCATATGGGTATGCAATTGCTGACAACTACATGATGATAGTAGAAGTGTACAGATCAACGAGGCGCTGCTTACTCAGCTTGCTCAAATTGAACGGTCTACAGATTTTTGTCCAGATTGTCTCAGCTTCACCAGGCTATTCGGATCTTCAGGCGATCGAAGGAAGACAATTGAAGGAATTGGAAAGCAGACTTGGGGTATGAGGAGAAGCAATAAAAATGGGAAGAACTTGTTGTCGATGGCTTTTTTTGCTGACTAAATATGCAGTTGTTGCATCTCGAAATGCCATTCTTCTCCCATCAAGCCCCGATCTTTGTCGGGCAGCTTCATTATTCTGGGCTGGCATCATAGGGACGTAAAAGTACCATCTGGATTTCTCGCTAAGGCGAGTGGTCTTTCCCCAAGTGCAAAGTCTCATGAGTTGCTCCAAGGTGGCTACTTAGTGGGATTGGGGACAAATGATTGTTCGATATGCCAAAGCGATGAGCTTCCACGTTGTTGGTCTCAATATTAACGACACGGTGTTGTCAGAAGCCGCAGCTTCCGGTACGGACCGGACGTTCAACACCCTGATCAATTCTCAATATGTACAAGAATTGAAGTCTCTTACAAGGTAAGGTGGTGTGCCGCTGCCATCTACGCCGGATCCAATAATTACCCCATATGCCAATGCTCCCCTAGTCGACGGTGTCCTTACGCTGGTCGGAATACTTCCGAGGGCGCTGGGAATCTCGGCGATCGACATTTGCAATGGAAGATATCGCTTCAAGGCAAGAAAGTACGAGTATACCGAGCCGAATGGGAGATGGCCATCAATTTCAGTCTTCCTCATATTATCCCGAAAGTGGAGACGTACAGTCTGGAAGACATTAATGTCATGGTCCCAAAGATGGGGTCTGGGAAGGTATCGAAGCTGATGGCGGTGAGTCTTTCAGTCCTGGGGAATGCAGCAACTTTGATCAGCGTCAAACCGATGACTAGGAATAGACCACAGCATCTTCGTCTAGAAGAGTCTACATTTTCATCTTTTGGTTGTTGTAGTTATCTAGGACAGCATCACCTTAACCATTTCCTAGATATTTCGCAATCTGAGTAGCATCACCGCGAAACGCCAAAGGACGTCGATACGACGAAGGCACACAAGAATAATGGTCATGAATTTAATCGATCTGGGACCCAAACGGAAAGACGCAGTCATCCAAGACGTGGCTCGAGGAAGGAACTCCCGCTGGTTACCTCGACCGCCTCGCAAGAACCAAATAATGTCGTCGACTTCGACGCCGTCAGCAACTTGCCACCGCTGGCTGGCTTTGCGTTCGAGGACTTCAGCCTGACCGATGTTATATCGAACTCAGTAGTCAATGATACTAACAAGTTCGACATAACCTATAACCCCACGCTCATGGAAACAAGCTTTTCCGGACTTGAATTTGAGGGACAGTCTGAATGGGCGCTGGACGCGATCGGCCCACTGCAGCAGCCAACGTTTGATTGACCCCCCTTCAACTGTAAACTTCAGTTCCGAGAAGGGATTTCATGCTGAAGTTTTGGAATCCGCAACTTGTCCCAACTAGGAGTGGAAGGGCGGCATTATCAATTCCATACTCCCCACCCCTGTGGGAGCTCGTTGTCAGTCGTTGTGAAGCAAATATATTCTCTGATCGGAGTTTTCTTATCTACATGCAAAATTTCCATCATTGACCCCAAATTGATGTTGGACAGAGTTCCTCAATCAACCTGGAAGTACAATTTCCATCTTTGGAATCCCTCTCAGCAAGCCTGAATCTCTACTTTCGCCACTTTCACCCTCTGATGCCGTTCATTCATCGTCCCACCTTCCGAGCTCCCACAACAGACATGTCGGTACTTTTCGCTATGTGTCTGGTCGGCCTTACTTTCTCGACCACGAGCGCGCGAAAAGGTCGATCGGAACATTACTTCCTACCGCCATCCGGACCTGCCGAAACAGACTCACATCAAACACTTGCCGGGAACACCTATCAGCTGAGCTTCTAGCTTCCCTAGCGTCTGCTATGCTGCTCTTGTGTGTGTGTCGTATGGTCCCAGCAAACTTGTACGATGGCTCGGCACGGATGATGTATTTTGAGGCCATGTCACTATCGCAGCATCATAACCTTTTCCCTGTGGACAACGGAAATGATGTTCTCGAAAGGCTACTGCGTGGAGCAAGTGATTTGGAGAAGTGGGAAGCATGGGCCCGTGTCGAAAGCACAAAACGACTATGCGTGTGCCTTCTGATGGGTGACGCGATGTTCTCTCACGAATACGAGGTCAAACCTATTCTACGCTTTGACCTGCTCAAGTATGTTGTTCCAGGCGATCTCGCAACCTTCGAGGCCCCTCTCCCGGCCGCCTGGTGGAAACTCTTACTTAAGTCACGCAGTGGGATAGTCACTTTGTACGCCTTGAACCTTCCGCAGTCGATTGGAAACTACGAAATACACGGCCTCCTAGCAATTTGTTGGGCTCAGGTCTCAGAGAGACAACATCGCGGCCTCTTGGACACCAACAATCCGAATTATGCCCAGTCGGTCAATCCTGCTTGGGCGCTTGCCGAAGATACTCACACTCGAAGCACTGCCGGCGTCCTTTCAGAGCTCTACGATGCGTACAAAGACACATTCGCAACCCTCAACCCTAACTGTCTGGTATCTTGGCACAACACGTGCATGAACCTCGCGGCAGATCCTCTCATTTTGCAAGACGCTGCCGGGAGAAACGGTGCCGTACGAGCAAAAACCGCACTTGAATTGGTTGCTCAGTGGTCTGAAACCGCCACCGCGCGGCGAGCGTGCCTCCACGCCGCGCAAACGTTTCGTATCATGAGCCAGCGCAAGATATCGGAAGGGATGATGTTCCAATCGGAAACCGCATTGTTCGACTCCGCCCTCGTGCTCGGACTTTACTTATATTTGAGGCCCCAACCGATATCTGGGGATGTCGCTGGGGGAGAACCTTTCCAAAAGGAATCCGAGCTTTTGGACGACGTGGATTGGACGCATATCGGGGTGCTCGGTCTGAGCCACGAGCAGGAGGAAGACCGTCCTTTGGGCGGCAGCATTATCGCACCAACCAACTGCAAAAGCAGGAGTTTCGTTCTCCGAGACGGCCTCCCCGTCTCCTTCGAGGGTGTCTCTTGCCCTGGGGAGTTCAGGTCCGCTCAGCGGATCTTCCTCGCTTTTTCGACCCTCCTGAGTCATGTAGCACCATGGAACGCTCGAAGATATTGCCCAATCCTCCGAACTTTGAGTGCTTGCAACTTTTAGCATCTCCGAGGCAGGAATTGAAAGGATCATTTTGGCCCATTCTCGTAGCCTTTCTTCAGAGAACTGACCTTCCTCCCGGGGCAAAGACCGAATAGACCGAGGTCTATCATCCCTTCAGAAGGAGGAATGGGTCTGTCCAACTACTCAAAATACCGCGGGTGCCTTTGACCGCTCTACCCTTGACTATGCTTCCTTGAAGACTGAGAGGACATCCGCGAAATTGTCTCAAACCGCGCTCTTCTTATCAATTATTTCCTTCTAAAGGGGACTGTTGCTGGTCCATAGTGATGGTTGAATGGTGATGCATAGGAAGACGACGGATGGGGCGGGGCGGTTGTGAGGGGAAGCGATCTTGGCATTGAGGGAAGAAACCCTCCCAAAGCGGCAGCACTGACCGCCAAATTCGGGAAGAAAATTTCCCTTGATCTGTAGTAGCCAAGGCACTTGATTCCATTACGTGATATAGCGTGACGGCAAAACCCTGCGCATAAGACAAATTCTCTGCCGCTACATAGCACCCTCTTGGCCCTCCCTGACTCATACACTTTTATCCAATGCCAAGACAGAAATGGGTCATTGATCAGATATTGCCAATACGGTACAGCTCGGCGCGGCAATTCTGCCCCTGACAGTGCTGAGGACGAGTGCTGAGGCTAACTTCCCCAGTATTCACCATTCACCATCCCCACGTCCGCACCGTAACACTTGGGGAAAAAAAAAAAAAAAAAAGAGAGCACCAGTGGTTCGAACCCCTCCTAGAGCCAGTGTATAACTGTCTCATAGATGGGGCGCCACAACCAGCGAAAGTTATCAGTCAGACAAGTTCAACTTAGGGAGTAAACCCCCCGGGTATCAGCAGGTGGACATCAACAATCACTGGTTGGAGCATTACGTTTACCCATGTAGGGCACCTAGGAGCTCAATGGAGCCTAGGCCGGACAACCCTCTTGCCTCACTAGCGAGGTCCCTCAATTCTATCGGTTCGACTAAAACCGAGTGTGCCCACTCAGTTTCGTCCTTGATAGGTCAACCACGATTTGGTGTCAATTTTGAAGCAGTTTCTGGCGGAATAAAATATAAACCTGAATTTTTTTATTTTTTTTAATTTTGGAATCGCCTGGTTGCGGCTTGGCGTTGTGTGGCGACGCCAAGAGCGACGTGCTTGGCTCGTAACGGAGCGAGCCTCGATGTCGACATGGTCCACGGATTGGATCCGATGGGTCGTGGTATTTCATCGGATCCAGTATGTGGACCACCTCAGACAAGCTCTTACTGATCAAACTCGAGATGGATCGTATGGAGCGTTCGTGGATGAGCCTCGATATCGACATAGTTCACGGATTGGATCCTCGTACCAACAGGTAAAGCTAAGTAATCCCTAGAATTTAAAGGTAAAGCCTATTGACCCTATAACGATAGGCTGCCGGTAGCCACGTGATAGAGCTCCCTGCTAACGAAAGCTACTCTTGTTGGGTGTAGGGACGCGGGCACTCCCCTCCCCATACGGCATTGGCCTCGATATCCAGACGAAATACCGCCATCGGATCCAATCCGTGGATCATGTGGCCGAGTGGGACGGTGAGGGCCTAGGGTCAGGGATCCAATCAATGTATTCCAGCTAGCATCAGGATCTAGGTATGATACAATGCGATATTTATACCCCCTATGCGGGCTAAGTCCATAGGTATGCTACAGCACAACACAGGTTGATGGGAAATCTGCCTCTAAATTGAGCGGGTTGTCCCGACGCCTTTCTAGTGTCTCCTTTTGGACCCTAGCCATCCCATCGTATCAAGGTGATTCCCATTCACAAGCTGAAACTTGCTGACCCACTTGCCACGCCTATCCATCTCCCTCACGAGTATCTGGGGCGACCCAACAATCACCACCGCAAAGGCACGGAAATTTTGTCCGCATCTCCTTTTGGACGGTAGGCGCCGTAATGTAAGACTGAAGCTGATTGCGGACTATGGCGTCTTCCATCAATCCAGTTGTTAATGCTTCCTGTTCGGTATTTGTCAAACTTCTCTTTAGGAGAAAGATGCTCTGGCATTCCTAATGAGTGCAGGATAGAGCCCATCTATATATCTATCTAACGAGCGTACGTCACCATTGCTGCCTGTCAATGGTGATACAGTTTGGTGAGCGAATGTTGCATAATAACCTGGTTGATCGTGAACGATAGGCCATCAATTGTTCAACAGTATTTGTCGCCCTTGAATTTTAAGCCCTAGGTAGGGGATTTGGATGTTCTTGAACTCCATGAGGGTGTAGGGGTCTTTATTGTCTGCAATGAGGAGATCGACAAAACCTGGACTGTTACTCACCTGCATAGATCAGCTTCATGTTCGCCTGTTCGCTCTGATTGTATATAAACAGGGGTCTTACCTTCGTAACCTGATATTCAAGTGTAGACGGCATGGACTCGTTTGTAGAATACTCCACTGGATATTGTCTCGGTGGTGCTCCTCCTCCTTTAAAAATGAGTCTTCGAAGATGTCACACTCTCGCATCATGTGACAGTACCCAGCCAGTACGTCATTTGGATTCCCAGTTTCGGCAAGAGTATGTACAGCGTTGATCATGAAATGGTATGAACCAAGTCGATCAAGGAGCGCGAATCCAAAACCTCTTCGCTGCTATGAGGTTAGGTGTCTTCAAGGAGTTCGATAGATCGTTCATATCAAAAGTCAGACCACCCATGTAGACCATTAAGGATCGCCATGCGGACATGTCGCCTTCACTAGCAGCCTGGAGGGTTTAAGCAGGCAAGGATGTGAGATTCCACACTATAGCATAATCTCTCTGACTAACAATGGAACATAACTTACTCGTTCGGATAGTTTGAAGCTGCGGAGCACTGTGTCATAGGGAAATCTTTCGGTAAGCGCCGCGTTCGTCCTTGTGAAGTGCTAATTGTATCTCGTTCACTGCTCTAGGTGCCCCTGCACAAGCCTTTAAGAAGCTCTCAGGGACCTCCGAGTTTGGAGGTTCAGTAGCTTCAGGTTTTTCTCCCTAATTTTCTACATGTTCGGTAATTAGTAATAGGGTTAGCTAGCGCTTCTCTTTACTCACTTGAAGATATGAAAGAGCAGTATAGGTGTTAAACACCGGCTCTACACTCTGTTTTTGGCAGAAGTGATAGCCATTGGCGTTGTGTTCCAATTCCCTCAGGTACTTTTGCACATCTTCCTCATTGTTGCAGATGGCCTTCAGTGCTCCTAGTACGTCGGATCGAGTTAATCCGCAAATGGTTGAAAATCGTGGACTGAAAGAGACGTTTTCTTGATTGTCCGCACCGCTGACAAGGTCGCTTAAAAGCAGAGGCGTGACGCCAGTGATGTATACCTTTTTAATACCGTAACGCGACTTTCGGCTAGATTTGACATTGGCCCAGAACGCCTTCAAGAGACGAGAGGGTGCGGCATCAGACCATAACTTTGGATGGTGCGGATCCATATAATCGTTGGCGCAAGCATCGTATTCATCCGCGAGTATATAGACCTGGATGCATTAGAATGTATTTAGTAGTTAGCTGAGAATAAATATACCCCTCGTACATCCCAGAGCGGATGGTCCTTCTCGCGTCTCTCGTGAATGTCATCAAGCGTTTCATCAACAGCATCAATCAACTGTTCGAAATTTCCGGCTGGGTTATTCTCCATAAAAGTAGATGTCTGCGATGCAAACGATTCACCTAAATATTTGGTGTAATCACGTTTGAACTTCGACAGCCTCCCGTTTATGTGTTGCGCAATAAACTGCGCAGACTCGCTACCGTCGCGAGGACGGGCGGGGCGGGAGAAGTCAAATTCTAAAAGAAGATATCGTCCAGGTTGAATTGTGCCATTGTTCACAGCTTTATCCACGTCAAGACCCTATTGGGCATAAGTGACAAATCTGCCAGTAAGGAATTCACACCACACCTTGAAAAGGTCGTCGTATTTGTCGCGAAACTGGAATCCATGGAAATATCGCAGCATAGTGATGGTGAGCGACTTTCCAAACCGTCTAGGGCGGCAAACGAGCCTGACATTTGCACCCTTTTCAAGCTCAGAAATATTAGGTCACTCGTCAACACCTATAAGTCAAACCTGGAAATGGCAACAAGGCTCCTCTGGGTTCACCGTAAGCAATGTGTGGATCAAATGCACCTTGTGGTGGATCCGACCAAGACGTGGGGAGCCGGACGAAACGGATTTGTCGACCTCTTCGTCGGCAATGCGCACCGACAATATCCTGCCTTGAATTCAGTCCTCGTCATGGAGCTAAAGAATATGTCGCTTGATTCTCTATGGAAAGGAAAACAAAAGAGTCCTTCCGCCGAGCCGAACTCTCAGTCTAACTACGAGCTCCTAGTGAAAGAACTACGTCAAGCCACTGAAGACTAAATGTTGAATCTGAAGTACAGCTACCAGGACAAAACTGGGAAATGGGTCACTCAACAAGTCAATGACATTACGAAGGCCGCCATGGGAATGTCTCGGGAGAACGAGTCGGGAGAGCGAGTTTCGAACAACAGCGAGTGGGTCTGGGGTTGTCTAAGCACAATTGAGCCTAGTGGTGCGAGCGTTGTCCGGTGGATGGCGCGGTACCTGAACCCCCCCGAAACCCTAGTAAAATCGCCTAAATCGAGGTACCAAAACATCAAAATTGAGAGACTAACATACCTGCGGTACTTGCGGGCTCTTTTAGCTTGTTGTCGAGCCCTCTACAATTGTATAGACTTTCCTGGTGGTAGAGGCTTTTTGAGCTCTTTTTGAATAACCCTGTTATTGCTGTCGCCCTCATGTCCACTTCCTTCATTGACATCTAGCGAGCCCCCTTTGGGTGCGCTGAGCATCTCTGCCTCATAGACAACAGAGACGCTCTGACCACTCAACATCGTCAAAATCGGGTGCAAAAAGACCTGTAAAGGCGAGTGCAAAGGGTTCTGCCAAAAGGGATTAACGACGTTGGAAAACGTTGGAAAAGAAGCACCAAGAGGGGACAATTATGCGAGGGAAGCAAAGTGGATGGAAAGGTACCTGAAAACCCCCCATTTTACTAAGGATTGAGGTACCTCGCCATCCACTGAACGGTTGGAGAGTAACAAATGCCCCTTTATTGGGAAAGGGGTTATCACCCCTATGCAGGATTTAAGGGTAGAAATAGGAGAGGAAAAGGGGTCAACTCAACGTGTATATATATACCAGTAACCTGGCAGGACCGGTTGTGAGGTAGACAGAGCATTCAAGTTGTTCCCTAATTTGACATCTAGTTACGTGCACCGCAGCTTGCGCCTCGTTCAGATAGATTCAATCCTCTCTCGGTCCTACAAAGGGTGATCAATCGAGCTTGTCAGGGTAGTCCACAGACTGGATCCGATGGGCGACGAAGGGGTATTTCATCGGATCCAATCATGAACCACGTCGAGTAGGAGGGCCTTCGAGGGGCACATAGTCCACGGAAAATATTTAATCCGATGATGGGTTATCCGGAAAATGGTTAATCCGTCGAGGGTTGGGTGGTCCATAGACTGGATCCGATGGCGACGAGGGGGGATTTCATCGGATCCAATCCATGGATCATGTCGGTGTCGGGTAGGATGGCGACTCCCCAACCCCGCGGGGGCACATGGTCCACAGACTGGATCCGATGGGAGCTTAATCCGACTATGGGCAGGCCGGAAAATAGTTAATCCGTCAAGGGTGGTCCGGGAAATGTTTAATCCGATCGGTGAGACGAGACGAGCTAGGGTTTTGCCCGAGATCGACGAGTCTCGCTCAGTCTCGGCTTGTCTCGACTCGTTGAGACGCCTGCTTTGTCTCCACCTGGCTCTCATAGGCCTCGTAGTTGTGTCGTGGCAGCATATGTGAATGAATGAAGCACAAGAGTAGAACCCATCACCAATTCATCTAGCTATATTGTCATGGCACAACCTGGAAGCCCCTCGAACGGTCTTGGCAGGCCCACTGTGGCTGTCGAATAGCCTCGTGTGCCTGTCGATAGCCTTGTGTGCCTGCGTGATAGCCTTGCGGTATGACTGCACCGCTGGGAATGTCTCGGGAGAGCGACAACCCACAGCGACTCGCGTACTACAGCGACATTGCTAAACACAAATCAGGCCTAGCTTGTGCGAGCGTTGTCCGCATGATGGAAAGGTACCTGGAAACCCCACCCAAACCCTAGCAAAATCGCACAAATCGAGGTACCAAAACATCAAAATTGAGGCATTCACATACTTTTGGTATTTGCGAGCTCTTTGCCTCATTGTTGCTCGATTCGCGACTTGTATAGACTTCCTGGTGTTGCAGAGTCCTGTTTGACCCTTTTTGACCTCTTGTTGCTGCAACCTCAATGGCCACTTTCTTTGTCGGCGACCTCTGGCAAGCGCCCTCAAGGTGCGCTCCAAAATGACGTCCACCTTTCGGATCGATCTAACCTCAAATGCCCCAACAGCAAGACCAACTACTCCTTCTCGCCCCGAGACCCCTCCTGTCCTTGAAACTCCTCCTTCTTCGCCTCAGATTACTCCTCTTTCACGGCGTCTACCGATTCGCACTCCGGAAAGACCCCGACCGCGTCGATCGCCCTCTCCTGAGGGCTCGCCAGGAGGACTACACAGGCGACAGACAGGCCACAGGGGTGGCAGAGAGGGTCTGACACGCCACAACACCAAAATCGAGTGCAAAAAGGCGTGGAAAGGCGAATGCAAAGGACTCCGTTAAAAGGGGTCAACGACGTCGTTGAAAGAACATCAAAAAGCGCCAACTATGTGAGGGAGGCCAAGTGGATGGAAAGGTACTTCAAATCCCCAGGGAAAATGGGGGGTTTCAGGTACCTTTCCATCATGCGGACAACACTCGCACAACTAGGCCCGATTGGTGTTTAGTGATGTCGCTGTGGTACGCGAGTCGCTGTGGGTTGTCGCTCTCCCGAGACATTCCCGCACCGCTGGCCATAAGTATCTGGGATAGCATCGCACTGCTTTCGTGTTCTTTGTCTCTCATCTTGTACCTTATAGTGTATTGGATAGTAATATCATTGTCGGATCTCCACTCTCGTTCCCTCGTACGTCCCCACCCTGACAGCAGTGATCTATTTGAGAACATAATAAGTAAGGCTACGGCCTCCTGCTTTAGAAAAGCTAATGAACTATGTGCTTACCGATTCTGCTGCTCCTCCGTCCTTCTGGAGTTCTGGCTGCTCCACTCTACTCCAGATACCATCCGTGGGGATATTATGGATGTCTTTCGTCATGACATACGTGGCTCCGACACAGTTACGAGCGTAAGCTCGCGACATGTTCTCGAAATATGTCTTCTGCTTGGTTGAATCCGACATGATGCAGCGAAGAGGGTTCTTGACATCCGCAGTGTTAAGATTGTAGTATTCGCAGGGAAATACATCCTAGATGCCGTTTATGTCAGCTCATCGGTACTACTACATGGTGACTGTAACAGTCCATATGCTGAAGCTTACCCAGATAGTCCAAGCGAACGTAGGAGATGTATAAGTTTTTGCTGCTGTCAGGGTGCCAGGCCGAAGACGTACTACGGAGCAGAGGTGAGGGTCTGACAATGATATTGCTATCCAGTGCACTATAAAGTACAAGACGAGAGACGAAGAGCATGCGAGGCCATCCCAGATACTTGTATCCTTGGGTATAGTCATACCACAAGGCTCCCACGCAGGTACACGAAGTTATCGACAGCCACAGTGGGTCCACGGCAGGCACCAATAGTCATCCTGCAGGCACCCGGCAGGCCCCGATAGGCCTGCTAGGCTGTGCTGTCCCATAAGAGTTTTCATGCATTCGTTACGATCACTTTAAAGCCTTCAACGTTACGTCCTTGCGCGGCTAGACCGTCACATCATGCCTTCTTCCTTTCATTGATTGATTTGATACTTTGCCTGCTAATCGTGATGCCCACCTCACCTAAATCCAGGCGGACTGAGCCAAGGACTCAGGTCCTACCTGAAATCCCCATAAAGGAGATGAAAATGTGGGATAGGCGAACGATGCTTCGGTGGATCCAGCAAAGAAATTCCTCCCTCCTCGAAGGTGACGACCTGAAAAGCTTCGACAGCGCAGCGATCAACGGTGAAGCCTTTTTGTACACCAGTTACGATTTCTTCCGTAAAGAGTGTGGCATCCTCCCTGGACCCAGTCTAACGCTTACGCGTTATCGGGACGAAGTCCTGAGTACGGCCACTCCATCTCCAAAGGACAAGAGGAAGAGGGATGATGAATCTGTCGCGCCGGAATCACCCACCAGCAAGCTGTCGAAAAGAAGATATCAGTCACAAGAAAAACAAAAAGACCGCCCTGATGACGACGATAAAGAGAAGAACGATCACGACCACGACTTTCTCGACCACGACAACAGCCATGACACCAATAATAGAAATAACGCTGCTAGGTACAAAGAACCAGAATTTGTTCCGCCAGAAAAAAGACCCGAGCATACCCGTCAGAGAAGGAAGCTTATTGAAAAGATAATAAAAGATCTCCATATTGAGTATTGCAGTCGGTATTCTGCTTCTACACTTGCCTCCTATTCCGAGTTTCGTCTGCCCGGAACCGTCGCCCTACTTTCCGATCCCAAGAGGGTACATGTACTTCCGTTTCCAATCGTCGACGTGCAGACACCCGCTGGATTCGCGATTAGCGAAGAAGAAGTTTGGCGATATACGGGGAGAGAGAAATTCCCAGAACTTCTGCGTGAGCTCAAGTTTGTACTGCGGGAAAATTCGTACACAAAGCTCTGGGTCTATGGAAACAGGGGTTATGGGAAGTCACACCTTCTAGCGGCACTTGTCTGTTATCTGTCAGCTCTCGGCGAACACGTCATATATGTTCCTGATTGTCGCGTCTGGCTCAATGATCCCGTTAAGATCTTTCAAGAAGCATTGTGGTTTGCCTTTACCGACAAGGCGATACAGGATGAGATCGCCAAACTAGACACGACCAAAAAGATACAACAATTCTTGACGGACATGGAAAACCGGAAAGGCCGAATCTTATTTGTCTTTGATCAGATGAACGCAATATGTGTGAATGAGACGGATGTTGAGCACGTACGTTTGGCCAAAGGCCGACTCACAGCCTGGATATCTTGTTTGTTAGTCGGGCGCAAAGCAGTTGTCAGCTCGTCATCCAATAATGGGGACTACCTCAGGGAGCAAATTATGCAGGACGATAACCACACTATGCGTGTTTATGGTGGTTTAACTGAGGTATGTCTACATAGCCCTAAGTGCACCTCTTCTAACCGCAATTCAGGCAGAAATGAAGTGCTGGTGGGCCCATCGGCCTGGCTTGGATCTGAGAGGCTACAGCGAGAAGGAAATTGAAGAACTCACGGGTTGCATCCCGCTACTCTTGAACGAATGCGTGATGAATGGGGAGATTAACCTCTCTCCACTAAGGGATGTGGCAGATAAGGCCGTAACGTTTACGGAGGATATCAAAATGAAAACGAAAGACGTCGGCAATCAGGCCCATTGGAATATGTATGTCCACCTTGCTCAACTTTATACGACGGAACTAACTTCTTTTAGGCATTGCGAGTACGTGAAGGCTTGCATCCTCAACAGCCCTGTGCCCAGTGAAGTTTTGCAGAGACCCTACCTCATCGACCATCGGTTTTTCTTCCAACGCGGAGACGCCATAGGAGGCTATTCCTGCGGTGTAGTCCGGAATGCCGTGACGGAGGCGCTCATCGCAAATCAACAATATTTCTCCGACTCCAGGTTCTTGAGAGTATTGCCGACGTTCCATAATAACCCATCTACGACAGGGTTTTTCATGGAGTACGCTGTTCTCTTTTACTTACAACTGCATGGTCTACCCTGCCACCAACATCTTGCGGGCCACATCGACATGATAACCTCCAAAACTGCCATCCCGGACATCCAAAAGAATATCAAAGGCAGGCCGGTGATTTATCACCCCGTCGAATACAATTACAAAACCCTAGATGGATTGATTGTCTTGATCGAGGAAGCGGTCAATGGACAAAAGGAGAAATTGTTCCTCTATCCTTATCAGGTCACATTGCATCGTAAGAATCACAAGGATTCTCATGCAATTTTCTTTGATAACTATGACCAGTGGGTCGCAGAGCTTCGGGAGTTTGAGGTGGTGACGGAGTTTATATGGTTCAGTGCGGACGAGAGTTTAAGCTCACACCATGCGGCTGTACCTGCTTCTGAAGGCAGGACACTCAAGTCTGGAAACGTTTACCAACGACCCGGATGGCCTGCACACAAAGAGTGTGTTGTCAATTTTGGTGATCTCAACACGGAACTCTGGGCCAAGTACCAGGAAGCCCAAGAGAAGGCAGAGAAGGAGAAAGCAAACAAGAACGCGCAAAGGGAATCACAGAAGAGAGCACAACATAATGCGGAACGGGAAGCAGAGAAAGCAAGTAAGAAAGTTGAACAGGGAGCAACCGAGGCGGGAAAGACAGGATAGGGGCAGAAACGACGGGGAAACGCACAAAAGGTCCGCTGAATCGGTTCCCGATAGGCAGCATCAGATCGACTGGATAGGGTCGTAGATCTCCCTCCAGCATATTCCGCATAAATAATGCGGCGATTCTAGCTTGAAAGCTATGAACCTCCAGTTCCTCCAATGCACGATATGATTTCGGTTCATGAAGATTCTTCCGGCCCCAGAATGCCGCGTTGGCTTGAAGGGTGGAGTCATCCTGAGAGGTTGTTGGCGGCCAGTGAGCCTCACGGATCAGTTGAAGGTAGTTGAACTTTGTATGCCACCATCCAAGGCAAGGGAGGAACCATTCCATAAAGCCATACGGCCGCGAGTCATCTGCACGAAGACGCTGGCAGCTTCTACTGTCCTCATCGTGCCCGAGCCGTTTGATCATGATCTCGTTTAGGATCTGAAGCATCCCTTCGTTGGTAAACTTGTTGATCATGACAAGAAGAGAGGTTGTTGACGGCAAGTAGCAATCGCGAACAGGGTTGATTGCGAGGTCACGGGGGCATGGTCTCGACATCGACAACCCCTTGCCAAGGCCCCTGCGGGGCACAAAAACCTCCGTCGACCCTGTTTATATAGAAACCCTTAGTGTTTATAGGCCGTATGGTCCACGGATTGGATCCGATGGCGGTGGCATATCATGGGATCCGATCTAAGCACCATCTAGATATCGAGGCCGGCGCCATACACCGTCCCCCGCCCTACTCGGCCACATGGTCCACAGATTGGATCCGATGGCGGTGGTGTTTCACTGGATCTGATTTATGAACTACAGTATGTCGAGTGTGATCAATAGAGCCTCTCTGGGTGGTCCACAAACTGGATCCGATGCGTGGATGATGTCGATATCGAGAATACCCCCCGGCTACAAGGTCCATGGACTGGATCCGATGGCGGTGTCAACGTCCTCACGTGACAATGCCAAGCCGCATCACATGATTTTTCTGTCGTCTTCGACCAATCAAAGAGCCGGATTTGGCTTCAGCCAATCAGCATACAGATCTTGAGATGAGGTCGGGGCCCCCCTTTTTCCTCTGTCACGGGATCATGCGTCAAAGATTTGTGATTTACGGAGGACCGCCAGACTATATAGTTCCGAATCGTGCACAACGCTTCTAAGTCTCTACAAGCCTTGGCGTCGCCACTTTTCACAATCCGTAGATTGGCCGTCACTTTATATCACGTGATATATCGCGTGCCGTCGGACTGCAAGCTACGACTTAGGGCCTTGGCAATGCTTCGTGCCCATAGAACTAGAGGCTCGGACAAATCGCAGACTACAATGCCGGTGAGCTCGAGTTGACGATTCTCTGTTGCTGAAGACAGTTGACGTCCGTCCTGCTTCGTACCCTTTCATCCTTGACCAGCCCTTTCTCTCCTCCAACCACAGCAGTTGGGGATTTGCAAGGACAAGCGCGTGGTGAAAGGCTTGCACCCTCGTTGTCTCGCTGGTGACGACATTCCTCATTCCGCGCCTCCTCCCTCAACCCCTTAAATCGATCACAATGCCTACTCCCGAGTCCGAGTTCTTCTTGAAGTGGAAACCAAAAGTACCTCCAACATTCCAAGGCGTCGATTTCTCAGACAACGAGGCTGTTGCGAATGCCAGAGATGCCATCGTGCGAGAACAATGGATACAGCAGATGATGTTGAGATTAGTAGGGGAAGAGATGGGTATGCTTGTCTCTGAAATGTATTTCCTATGCTCTCAAAGATATCGACGGATTGTGTATGGTCAAAGAGGAGTCCATCCATATGGCTGCCCTCGCGCGCACAAGATCAAGGAGATTAGACTGTATCGAGGAGAAGCTTTTGGTTCACTCTACAATGGAGTCTATAGTAAACTGACTTCTCTGGCATTGCAGGAAAATGTTATCACCGTGAAGGCGTCAACCACTTGGAGAAATGCGGCAAATATCGAGGTACATCATCCACCCACCACCTTCAATCCGTCCACCTTCAATCCTCGTCGAAGCGCCCCAGCTGATTTCCCAATGTGACTATCTAGACCGCTACATCCAGCTATTAAAATCGACCAAAGAGAAGGGTTTCCGAGGACGACAGCAGAACTACGTACCAGGCGTCGACGGACCCGCAGGTGGTCCAGCGATCCATACCGACTATCCGACCGCTCAGCAAGCCAAGGGTTCGAAGGGTTCGGATTACAGGCCGGGAAACACAAGTGGAAAGGGCGGTGATGTGCTCTATTAGAAGACGGACCCAGTTTTGATGAGGACGGTTTGAGCAGGAAGAACATTGTACATATTTGCTCCACACTCTTGAGACAAGGACCAGAAAAGAGCTCAAGGTCGAACAGAAAGATGGAAAAAAAAAAACGAAATACCATCCATTGAGCATTCAACATGAAAAAGGATCGGTTTCCTTTTTGCGAGAAGATCTTGACATGCCGGTCTTTGGTAGGATCTTGAACCGACTAGAAGCCTGCTTCATCCGGGATTGCTCGGGAGTAGTCGTGAACGAATAATTTCTTGGCAATATATAGACGTCGCTCCATGGCCCCGTGGACTTTCAAGAAACTAAATGACTTTGGCATATATAGTACTCCCTGTGCTCATACCACGGCCTGCCTGGATGCTTGCGTTGACGACCAAGCATGACGAATTGCTCATACTTCGTTGTAAGGATTACTGACAGAAATACTCATTTTCATTTTTCCATCGCAAGCTGGTCGTCCATCAGACGTTTATTCCGCGTCCTTTCATATGGCTTAATGCCATCACCCTCAAAGCCTGCCTTTAACGCCCGCCTTCTCTGCCGCATATGTAGCGAGCGCATCCATCAACGGTGGTGACAAGGCATCATACGGTTCAAGCCCGATGGCCCGCAACCGGTCCCTGACCTCGGACATCTTGTTTGGATCATAGCCCTGCTCGATGAGCGACGAGACGAAGGCCGCAAACTGCGGCTCCTGCCAGCCCTTTTCGTCCGAGAGCTCGACATGCACGAAATCCAAGCCCTTGAACGCATGGTCCTTCTCAATGCGTCCAAACATGTGTACACCGCAGTCCCGGCATGCGTTGCGCAGGATCGTGGCGTTCTTGTCTACCACCGACAGTTTATCTCCGTTGGCCGTCACTGTCAAATTGTCCACGGGAATGACGCCGACGATGCTGAAGAGGGCACCCGAGGGTTTCCAGCACTGTGAGCAGCCGCAGGCGTGGTTGTGGAGGACATTGCCCTTGAGTGTCACTTCGACAGGGTTGCTGCGGCAGTGGCAGTGAAGTTTGCCGCCGGGGAAATTGTCAGTGCTTTTGGTGAGGCCGTTGTCGATGAGCGGGTGGAGGGATGGTGCCATGGATGAGTCTGGTGAATGTGTACGATGCGATCCTGATGTCGTCTGGCGTCGTTTCAATCGTTTGTTTGATCCACGATAAGTCAACTGATGTCTCGAGAAGGATTTGACCAAACATCACAAAGGGGGTGGGATCTCAGCTACTTTAAACCCAGTTGCGGAACCGGGGGGATCCAGAATAAGATGAATTGGATTCAAAGGATCATCCCATACAGCATGCCTTGTTGGATCCTTCCGCACAAGCATCAGGCACCATATGAGGGGTAAATGGCATCACACTGGTCAAGGTCAAGGTCAAGATGCTCGCTCACCCGCTCCATGTTGAGGAGACGATGAATCCAGACACCCGATTCGAAAGAAAATACTCTATCTGGACAAGGGTGTCTCTTCTGGTTTTGCACTCTTCCCCCAAGTCCACACGGATTTGTTTCGGCAGTTGATCTGTGTGTTCATACCGCCGTTGGGGCTCTTAGGTATAGGACGGGACGAGTGTGGGAAGGAAATGTTTCGGGAGAGGTAAGATACGGAACCAAGAAGAAATGGAGGTGGAGATGTGTTGCCGGTCGGGAGCTGAGTCCTGACCTCTGACCTCACGGGATGGAATGTTCCCCTTTCTTGCGACAACAAAAGCAACCCACATCACTGATCATTATTCTCACCTACGGTACGTCTTCCGCGTATCGCTATTTCTTCGGGAAGAGAAAGTGTTATTTCCGAAACGCGGGCACGCACAGGGTGGCCAGGACAACTATTTTTTCCCATTGTGGGGTTGGGAGTTGTGACCCTCTACAGATTTTCCGTTCTCGTTCGCTGCCGAAGTCCATATCTGGTCTTGAATCCCGAGGGAGGAATGATGAAAAGAGCGGGTGCCCCGTCGGGTGCCGGTGGACGAGAAACGAGGTGGGGTAGAGATATTACTAGGAAATTTTTTCATGCTGTATTATGTCAGCCCAGGGGGAAACCCAGAGAGCCGATAACCATCGGATTCGGAAGTCCTTCGAGCATTGAAATTGATCGATATCTAGAACATTGTTTACAAAGAAGGAGAAATTTCCCCGTCTCGAAATCCCATCGTCAATTCTGTTCAGGACAGACCTACTCCATACACTTCGCAGTAAAGTTTCTTCGCGACCAGCTAGTGCGGAGCATATGGGACGTTCAGCGCTACCACATTGTTGGCGGGAACAATGGACTTCATACCTTTCCATTGCTCAAGCCTATATGATCCCATTTCTCATCATCATGCTGCAAAGCAGTCTCTTTTTCAAGTCATCTCTAGCAGACCTATTCATGTATCCGCTCTCGTCACTTGAATTGATACTGTCTCTGTAGACCACCCGCTGCTTCCAAAGCGTTCTCGACCACCATGCCGCAAAATCCCACTCCCGTTCCAACGTAATGAAGATAACGATTTAGGAGTATTGCGTTCCAATCGAGGAAAAATAATACTGGATTGATGGAAAGAAAAGGCACAGGAAGGATCAAGATATGTTCTTACCGATCAAAGAGAGCGGTAGACTAAGGACACCAAAAGAAGAGCAGATTGAAAGAGGAGAACAACGCCTTGAAAAAGGAATCCATTCTCTCCAAAATGGATATCAAGGACTTCAAGAGACAATCACGCTGAGAGAGCAAAGTGGTTCCCTACTTTCGCGCAATCGAACATTGTGCTGAGTAGGCCATAGCTGCAATACATGAAGATACACTGCAAACACGTCAGCAGCAGACAAAGATTTTTCTCACGAATCCCTTTGATATGGGGATTGTGGGAAGTGAAACTCTTCGAGGTTTTTTTCCTATCAGAGGAAAGGTTTGTCGTTAACCTGGGTTCAGTGGGCTGGAGTGTCAAAAGGTTGTCATTTGGTGAGGTTTCCAAGTTCGATTCCTAATCTGACTCGAATAGAAAGTCCGATAGGGTTGGGAATCGAACTAGAAACCTCTTTCGCCGAACATGAACTCGGGCGCCATTGCAGGTTTTAACCCGCGTATCCTGACCATATCACGGTTAGGGGTCTTTGCGAGTGATGCTGGTCATTCGTCGAATTAATAAACCCGAATTCCTCGGAGATGTCCATGTCCATTGCAGATAGCATCTGTTGCAATACTGCTACCAGTGCCCACATCATGATTTTGAATCCCAGCCCCTTTCACTGGCTCAGCCTTGCGGGTAGACTACTCCTACCAGCGCCAGTGCTACGGCTCCTCGCGTAAAATTTAAGTCGTAGTGGCTAAAGAGTTGGCTGTACTCTTTCCCTGGATTTCCTCCACTGGCGAGGGTGAGAATAAAAGAAGAGACCAGAGACAGAGCGATGGTTTGTACCCGGGTACCTCCATTTGTATGAAATTTACTAAGAAATATTTGTACCTTTACATCGAGGTTGCCCGTTGCAGCCAAGCGCGGCTCGGATTTCCGAGCAAAACAGCAATCAAGTTGAAGACAACCCTACAACACTGAATGTTAAAACATTCCTACCCTCAGATAATAATCTTTGGCATCAATTATTGAAGAAGCGGATGTGTATGTCGAAGAACAAAGATGCCCTTCCCATTCGTGATCTCCACTACATCTAATATCTCATTCCAATCCAGCCTCGCCTCATCCACCCATCCCTCCCTCCCCAGCTCAGCAACATCTCAACGCGCTATCCTCCGCGCTGCATTGAAAAGCCACAAGAGACTTTCTCCGTCTGACCAGGCAAATAACCTATTAGCACTAGCCTCCGCCATTCAAAATTACCTACGCTACCTTCTGACTCTGGATCTTGCACTGTCTGGCAAACCTATTGCTGGCGAGGAAGTCGACATCACATTGGCGAAAGAGCCCGAGATCGAATGGCGACCTACACTCAGTTCGAGTCCCATTCCTGGCCGTGAGAATGAACGTGTCAAAGGCAAAGGACTCGATTATGAAATTTTCTTCGTCCATCATACTTTAGCCCTGGTCCAGAATTTAATTGCCCGACACTCGCTACTGGGATTATACGCGTCCGTCAATCCGACGGCAGAACAACGGACGGCATTGATCCAGAATGCCACCAAAGCTTTGAAGACGGCATATTCTATACATTCTTATCTCCTTCTAAGGACGAATTCCTCCAGTGAAGGTCCACCTACGTTTCCTCCAAGTGCAGTGGATGTATCTATGGCGGTCCAGTCGGCTTTACAACATTTAACACATGCAGAGTTTAATCTGCTGTGTGTTTTGAAAGATGATCCTTACCCAGCTGTACTGATCCAGTCCAGGAACAAAGACGATCGAGAATGGATGATTAAAGCTCCTCAGATTCCCCGGGTTCGTGCTCAAGTGTTGACTCGACTGTGTATCGGGGCGGCGGATCACGCGTCTGTTGCTGCGGTTGCGTTGAAATCAGAAGGAGCGAAGGTTTCAAAAGACTTGTTGGAATATTGCGATGGCATTCGGCGCGCCGCACGTGCCAAGGCCTGCCGGTTTCAAGCACTCGATGAGGATTTCTCTGGATTCACGGGGAAGGGCATCGCCTGGTTGCGGGCCGCGATGAATGAACTCGGACTTGAAGTGGGCAAAGATGGCTCCAAGTCATCCGGCATGGGGAAATTGAAGGTTTCGTGGATGGAACGAAGAGAAGATAAGAGAATTGAGAAGGGAAGTGCCAACTGGGGTCTGGACGGGGGCAAGCTTGAAGAAGGTCGGATTGTGGAGTATCTTGACCAGAAAATGAACAAGGAGAACGACACGATCAATGTCCAGTTGATTCCGGAATGGAAACCGCTGTTGGCGATGCTGCCAAGTGGGATGAATATGCCGATTGACGAAAAATGGAAGTCGAACCTTTTGGAAGAGGATGAATTGGCGGCGATGCGAGCTCCACCTGAAGATGACAACTTAGGAGATGGGATTAGCACGGACGAAGAAGACGGGAATGGAAAGCAGCCGGTAGGGGCTTTCCCGGGGACACACCGGGATTATGGTAGAGATGGAGCAAGTTATTATTGAAGGGAAGGGGAGGGCAATACAGACGGCATCTTGGATCAGTCCTGATGAATGGATCTTGCTACGAGACTTTTCTCTCTGTGCATCAAATCCGTATGACTGCACAAACATCATAAGAATAAGGCTGGCCGCTATAAATTCTCAGACTCGCTATGCGGGGGCTAAGCTGTATTAGGGCATGTATCTAACTTCAACCCCTTTGGTGCATTTCTTCGCGCCCTTTTTTTCTGGCTTCCACGTTTCAAAAACCGTTTCACGTTCCTTCATTCAACAACAAACCACCAATCATCTCCCAAACCTCCAGCAACGGTAAAGCTTGTCACGATCAAGCAAAATCTCCATGAACTGATCACCGGCCAAACATTCCTCGTGGCCTGATGACCGGCCAGACAAACGCGTCCGTCAATGACGGGACTACAGCACGCCTCGAAAGGGACTTTCGACATGACCACCTTGTGGTTGGACATGAGGTCTTCTCTTCTCAATCTATCAACTTATCCTTGTACTACGGCATGAAAGAGGGCCGGGCCAGGTCGTGACCTGTGGCTGTTGGCGACGGACGACTGACACCTGTGATGTCCCGTGGCTGATGGATGATAACTGCGGTATGCTCGTGTTGATGACTCTTGACCGACAAAGCGGAGAAGGTGTTTTCATATCTCCTGACATTTTCACATCTCATCATCGTTCCTCTTTCTCTCGTGGTTTTTGCCGTCATTTCTCTCCATTGAATTACAATTGACAACCAGGGCTGGCCCCTGAGCAAATATTTGATCTCAGATACTACTAATATTACCATCACAATGACACCCCTATATCTTGGCATTTTCCTCTCCATATTCCTGATATTGATGTCGTCATCGGCGCTTCCCGTGACATCGATACTTCCAAAGATCACAATTCGACGACACTCCATTCCATCGCCGACAAGTGCAACAATTATAATTCGGCACGAACCAATATTGGAACGACCGACAACTACGAGTGTTGCAAATCGAGATAATAATTTCACACAACGCGCTGGAACACATGGAAAGCAAAAGCGAAACCAGAATTCGATATCTGTCGTCAACAAGCACTCCTACGCACATCAACTGAACAAAAGGGGTGCAAAGTCTCAGCATCTGGCAAGACTCATCCCTTACAATACCGGAAACAGCGAGAATTCTTCATCACCGATTTTCTCGTCTATGTCGAACTCAACTTCGTCTTCGAATTCGAATTCGATCTCGTCCAGCTTGAACTCAACCACGACAGACTCCGGCGAAGGAAATCGTGCAGCTAGCAACAGTACATTTCGAGCGAGCACCGTGGACCTCGAGAACCCATCCTCCCAGAACACGACAGGTACGGACGTCGCCATAGAGGAGTTTCCATCGACGATAATAAATCAAGCGTCCACAGGGATAAGAACCCTGCCTCCTACAACGGCCATTTCTATGCCTGTCATGCCAGAGCCAATTCTGGAATCAATTCCTACAATTACATCGATAGCAACGGAGTCTGAAAACCTAAACTGCCCTTTCGCATCCAGCGTGGAGTCGGAGTCTGAACGTTCTTTCCCAGTCATCATCACTGTTTTTCCTGTTCCTTCTACTTCCTCTGCGCCTTGAGATAGCATGCGAAAATAAATTTTTTTTTTTCCCTTATTCACCTCATTCACCAATCAAGAATGAATGGAATACGACTCTGAGGCGTTGGGTTCCCAAAATCTGTGTGAACGCAGCCCAGACCGTACGACTGATTGAGAACCTGTCTTGCGAGAGGATCTATATCATCCTAAATCCCAAGTTTCAGCCTGCAGATCTCTTCGGACCGGGCCAGAGCAAGGTTTCTATTCCAGCCCTTGGAGAATCGAAACTACTGAATGAGAACTCATAAAATCCTTTGGGGTTCGATGGAATCAACGATTCTCAATCGGAAATGATCTTGTTCGATACGCATTACGTAGCAGAAACTCCCTACTTAAAAGGCCTCCCTTCTGGTGTCTTCACTAGCATGTCCATTTGAATATTCATGACAAAATAGCAATTTACTCATTCCCTCCATATTGGTGAGAGTTATTATTGGTCAGGCGGAAGCATCCATCCCATGTACGCAGCAGAAACAGAATAGATATCACAACTGAACGATCCGTGGAGTATATTGCAATAGCAAAGGCAGATCTGGGAGGATATTGAGTCGAGAAAAGAGAGAGGTAGAGGTAGATAGACTCTTCCTCCTCTCTCAGAGAAGAGATGAAAGTTCATCAGGCTCTTTCTTTGTGCACCACACCGGACCGCGATCCCTTTTTCTTCTTTAGACAAACACGACTCAACTCCACTACAACACTTCCCCGACGATCCTCGCGGCTTCTTTATACGTAGTCAGCAATTTCTCACACTTCTCTCTCTCCTTTTTAATCCCGTCATCTTCATACAGCAATTCGCCAAACAATTCCTCCTTGTATAACTCGCTGACGAGGCGGTTCTGCACTTCATCCCGGCTATGATTGACGAGTAAATGCATGATAGCCTTGGGAACCTGGTCCGCAATCGTTTCGCGAACGATGTTGAAGTACGAGCTGATCAGTCGGCGGATCAGTTCGGTTTCGAGGGCTTCTCGATCCGTGAGAACAGGTTCGGCGGATTGTTCGGGCTAGAAATCTCGTTAGAAAAATTCAATCAAGCATGTGAATATCAGGAATGCTCACGAAAAAAGATGTTGATTCGCCAAATTCGGAAACAGGCGCGTAGTCGTCGTTCATGTGGGGAGGATAAACGGGAGACCGATCAGTGAAGCTACCTCGGTTCATCCTGCGCATACTCTGTGAGAAACTTGGGTCCACCGCATGGCTTACATGCCGTTGCCCAGCGGATGTGGATGGTGGAGCGGGAGGAAGTCCAGATGGCAGTCCTCCCTCCTTGCCGAAGAAGTAATTCAAGAACGAATCTCTTGCTGCCCCGGCAGATCCAGTTGGGGCAGCAATGCCGCCTATTCCATTCTCTTTCTCTCGCGTCACAGCAGGAGACATGCTTCTGTTCAGGTTGGGATGTTTTCGATTGGGGAGGGCCGCTGGCTTGTCTTCTTGGTCGGCTTCTTCATCATCTGGAGTGGCAGCGCCATTTATGCCTAGTTGCTTTATTCGTTGTTTTTCTCGTTTTCTTCTCTCTTCCGCTTGTGCTGCTTTCTTGTCCTTTTCATTCTTGCTGGCAATGACTGATGACATTGCTGCGGCGGCGCCAAGGAAATTAGGATGGTTAGTATTGATGTATGCCCGTTGAATGGCAATTAGAGACTCGACATAACTAGAACAAGGCCCCAATCGCTCGCGGAGGAGGTCCGATACCACTTCAATGAGTTTGCCTTGTAATCTGGGAAATCTTGACAACTCTGTCGACCCACAAGTATGACATATCTTGATCAATTCCTCATAGACCAATTCAACACATCGTTGACTGGGAATTTCCAAAAGCTTGATTTGAGGCTTGACCAGTAAATCGAATGCAAGTTCGGGAACGAAAAGGCTCGGTCGAGGGCCGGTGGAATTTCGAATGGCGGTTCGGATGTCGAGCACGGAGAGATTGTGAGTCGGATCGATGGTTTCCAAAGAATTGCCAAAGACCGAGTTGAAAATGTAATATATTCTGGCGCCGCCGCAAAGCTCTTTGGTCGAGATTTCGGATGATGTACCATCAATCGAGGAGATGAATGAGGTTGCGAAACGAGTCATCAGTTGTAGAATCAGCGAGCCGCGATGTTCTTTCCCGCTGAATTGTTTGCTCCCGTAACTAGCCAGCTCTTGCTGTGTCTGTCCCATCAAGGTGTTTAATCGGGCCTTGATATCTGGTAAGCGATCGCGAATATGTGACATGAGAGTGGTGTTCAAAGTCTTCGCAAGGTATTGTGTTCCACATCTGGTCGCCATATTTCGGTATGCCGGATGGTGTCTGAAGAATTCGGCTTCGGATTTGAGAGCTTCTGACATTGGCTTTCGGGTTTGGATGTCTTGTTGCGACCGGTTGACGACACCGATAAATCCAAGTTTGAGCGGGTACACGCGACCAGACAGAATATCCAGGGCATTTGTACCATGATCCATCAAATCCAATTTGGTGAGGACGCCAATGGTCCTTCTTCCCATGGGATCGACATGACGCGCAAGCTTGAGAGCTTCTGAATTGACAATGTCGACGTTTGCCGGTGAGACGGCAAGAATGATGCTGTTCGGTTTCGCAATGTATTCGGATATCAGGTTTCGTGTTTGTTTCTCAATGTCTGACGGTTGATCACCGATCGGAACTTTGGTCAAACCCGGGAGATCCACCAAAGTCAAGTTCAAAACATGCGGAGAGAAAATTTTGAGGTTGATAGGTTGTCGGTTGATGCCCTTGTTGTTTCCCGCTATTCTTGCCGTCTCGTTCTCGATCTCAGCTCTGACTTGATTGAAGTCCACGAACTTGCGGCCAGGGACGTGGTGAAACTCTCCCCATTCTCCGTGTTCTGCCACGCTGGCGGCAGTGTGAGGGACATGGATCTCGTCATTGCCATTTATGCCATCATCATCGGGTGGGATATTGATTAATTGTAATATCAGAGGTCGACGAGTGACAATACCGCTGCCTCGAGGGAGAAAGTCTCGGCCGACGATGTTTTCAAGGACAGAGGATTTTCCCGAAGATTGGGAGCCAACGACGACTATCTGGGGGAGATCGAGAGAGTCATTTCCGATCGTATTAAAGACGAGATCTTGGAGTTTGTTGACGGTGCGGAGGAGGTCGTCGCCGAGGGTGGTCATGTCGTCGACGACCGTGGCTGTTTAAGTGATGTTCGTTCAGAGATGAAAAAAGTTGGCAGCGCGATGGAGGGAAGGAGTGGTGGGTTTGGAAAAGAGATGGATGGCTGGCGCAGGCGAATGTGATGCGGTAGAGAAGAAGATAGAATTTAATAAAGGTAAGGAAATGGGGATGGAAGTTGAACTGTTGGATCCGTTTCAGATTGACAGGCACATGTTTACGGTGCTTGTAAAAACGCGGGTTGCAACCGCAGTCAACAGGTCCCACGAAACTTCAGGTGGAAAATGAGATTTCCTGACACAAATGACGCGAAATTTCTGTGAAGAAACCACTGTCAGACTCCGCCCGGTCTCCGGCCCCCTGCTTCTCCAGATTTCGTTCCGCGGCCACAGCGAGTTGAACCGTCAAGTTCAGGTTGCAGGCGGGGTCGAATTACGACATGAGCTGACGACAAACAATAAGAGGTGCCGGTGATATATCTCACCTCGCCCACGATGTAGAATACTCTCAACCCTGCCGTGATGCATCTAACAGCAACCATTGCGCTCACCGGTCTTCTACGAGCCGACCGAGGATGGACTCTTCCAGCTCATGAAGGCCAACAAGCAGTCATTGAACCAGAATATACACTCACTTCGACCATCAGAGACACACTTATTGCCAACGAGGTCATTGGCGACGTTCTCGACGATTTCGAGCCAACCTATTACCTCGACATTACCTACCCCAAGTCCCATGAAACCGTCTTACTAGGGAACGATATTCCAGTCGAATCAGTCTCCAAGCGACCCGTATTCCTCTTCCGTTCTCTTAGCCCTCCATCCATTGAACCGGAGGATTCTACCTTCACCCTCGTTCTCACAGATCCAGACGCCAAGTCCCGAGACAACCCCAAATGGTCTGAAATGTGTCATTGGATCCTGACCAATTTGACCGCGCCACTTCGAGAGCCGCCACCGCGTATTCGGAAGATCAAGCCAGGAGAGGTAGAAGAGTATTATCCTCCAAGACCACCTCCGAAGACGGGATCACACCGATATGTTTTTGTCCTTCTGGAAGGCGACACTTCGAATCTCCGAGCCCCGTCGAAAAGAAGGCACTGGGGCTATGGCAAAGTCCGACATGGTGTGAGAGACTGGGCTCACGAGAATAACTTGACGGTGGTGGGAGCCAATTTCTTCTTCGCTCGGAACAAGGAGCAGTAGTGGCAAGCCGACCATCTCGTCGACGAGCTCATCTCATGTTCACTTCTCTCAGAAGCTGCAATACAGTCAGACTCCTCGAAACAGAGTCCATCGCTTGCTTCCCGTGTTCCACATGCGTCGCAATAGTGCCAGTGGTAGCAATATCCGCTGCATCAGCCGCAAATAGCCACGGCCCAATACGTTTTGAAATTTGATCGTGGGTCTCGACCTCGGAGACGTAGTGCTTTCCGAACGTAGAAGTCGCATGTTCAAATCGTCTCGATTGAGCTAGAATGGGGAATGCCTGCAATAGTTGGCTTTCATCACGGAGCCTGTCAAGCATGTTGATCGTATCTGAAATCTCATTCTCCAACTGTTCGTCTGCAAAGCTCAGGTGGCCCTGCAAAACCCTTTGTTGTTGCGAGGCCGGGAGCAGGTCCTTTTCAACCTTGTTCAACAGATCGTGCCCCTCACTGGTGAAGATCGTATTTGTAGATAGTTGGTTGACTTCTTTCTCATTGAGCGTGCCATGAGAGCTCGTCTCCGGAAGAGGAGCCTTCAAAGTTGCGACTGCGGAGAGGAGTCGTTGACGTGCTTCAAGATACAGATTGTACTGATGGTCAATTTTTTGCTCCGAGTCACTAATGTTGAATTCCGCATCTTCCATATCTACGTGGTCCGGTTCGTTGTTCTCGCCCTGACACATCTCCAAGCTCTCCTCGACCCAGGCTGCCAGCTCTCTCCGCGTAGTTGAAAGGGCGTGAAGACGCAGCTGAGAAGTTGTGTTGGTCATGTTGGAGGCCACCAACTTTGTGTTTTCTAGCGACGTTTTCTCGTGGTTTTCTTGACGATGTGCTTGTACAACGGCGCGCTCAAGAGCTTTTACAGACCGGATAATTGAGTCAGCGAGAATTGTCATGTCGGTATCTGAGTTCGTCTGTGTAGAAGCCATTTCGGGAGTTGGTCGGACGTCCAGGACGGCCGCTTGTCTCCTGCGCTTGATATGCTCCAACTCATCCTTCAAAGTGACCAGTGTCGCATGTTGTTTCTGCGCTCGTAACAGTTTGACATGTTGGTCCAGGAGCCCTGATAAGTCTTGTTTTGACGTTGCTGAATTCTGCAAGCTTAGGTTTGGAAGGTGGCTCTCGGCCTGGGAAGCAATGCCATCGTATTGATGTCTGGCGGCCAGATTTGCCCGGAGAGCCTTGAGATATTCACCTCTCAAGCCATCAACCAATGGCCCTGAGCCATTCTCTTCTCGCTCTGTTACCTCGGCAGATTTTTCATGGGAAATTTCCTCGATAAGCGTCGCCATATATGAACGTATCGAGTCTCGAATCCTCTCCAACTCATGGGGTGCCTTGAGATAGGGCTCGAATGCGTTTGATAATTTTTCAACGAGAGCTCTTTCTTCTCCATCACGATCCATGATGACTTCGAAAGGCGTCCCGGTGTGCCGATTTCTATTTTAACTGCCTTCGTTGAGGAGGAAAGAGGATTGAGCATGAAAGTTTTCCCCACCGGCAAGACGATGTTAACGATCCAGTTTAGCCCAATCCAGAATTCATTTGTAGGATTCGCTGAAATCCCATTGAGATGGGCTAATCAACAAGCAAAGGAGAATGTTTGGGTATAACGATTGTGAAGACTCTGATCAACTACGAGTCATATTATATCATAAATACCACAACTGAAATGGATATATATGGGAAGAACCCGAATCCTTCAAACCCAGCTCTATTCAAAACATGTCAATCACAGAAGAGGTGGAGGGCAGTCAGATCGTATCGCGAAACCAGCCCAATATAAATGAAGAACCTGCAATTAAGTCCCATGACTCACCAACGCCTACAGATCTTGGGAGAACAGGCAAATATGGTGCTTCTGGTTTGCTCACTTCTGCAGCTTCCAGCCTAGGGCAGGTTGTCATACGAATACAAAATGGCACAGCGCAGCAACGTGATTGATGATTTGGAACAGAATTTCACATATGGTATGGTGTGTTCCAAGAATATTCGACTTTGGACCATCACAGCGATATTAGCCCAATAGGAATCATTGGAACAATTCTGGATGTAAGCGTATTCGTTGTTGGATGTATCCCGGCTGACATTTCGGGGCGCCATCTATCTATCTATGCTACTTTTGTTTGGTCTCTCTATCAACCAATATGGACATCTGCGGAAATATGCAGTCACAATCGGAATCATCCTTTCAGTCCGCAGCTTGCTTCTCTCTTCATTCAGCAAAGAGGTCTGACATATTGTGGTGGCCCAGGGTGTAATTCATGACCTTTGGAACCACGCTGCTGCTTTTCATTCCTAGCACCATTTTTCCTCGATGCATGGTTTGTCTGTCGAAAAGGATTCATATTTGAGGTCATCTTGTCAGTCAAATCTGCGGTCGGAGCAGGTACTCCATTGCTGTTTGGATTTTCTCCCCTCGACAGTTGGATTTCAGACGTCACTCCAAAAATGCGTTGATAGTGGCTGCCTTGAATGCCTCTAGCATCATTGCTAGTTTTTGCTTTGGATTGCTGAGTGATGGCAACTCGATTTGACCTGGATAGCGACCATGGTCGATTTCGACAGTGTCCTTACTCTCCGCGCTGGGGACGTGCATCCCAGTCTTCTTGTTCTGGGGTTTGGTGTCACAGCAATCCACCTCAGGTATTGTTCTGCTGGCAACCTTTTCGATCGTATACGGATCCTTCGCGGGAGGATACGGCGTTCTTCTGAAAGCCAATCGGTTGTCCTGTCGACAATAGTCATCCTGATGGACACATCGTGTGAATAAGTGATGGAGGAAGGATCACAGGTGAAGGCCAACCATCTAATCATCCTCAATCTGCCGAAGAATGTCCAAAATGACAATTTCCGGAAAATCCCATCGGCGGTGATATTGGCTGAGTTCCGTTTGCTGCAGGGTTTTCAATTCGCATCTTTTATGTGCTTTTTCGATTCTGCTAGTTGTCTGGTGAGTTCTCGGCCATCATCACCTTCCTTTCCTTCCATCTGGATCGCCCTCTCGAGCCATTCAACGGCATCGGCCCAGCGAGCCATCTCCATCAGACATCTGCCTCCGACAATGTATGCTTTGGCGTTCCCAGGAACTTTTTCTCCATTCGGGCCAATACCAGGGCCTCTTTTACATTCCAAACTGCACTCAGCATCTTTAAGACCCTCCACCCAGTTTTGAACACTTGCATGTGCTGCGGCGCGAGACAGATACATCAGGGCTAGTTCTTCTCTAGCACGACTTATGGGTTCCCAGCCTGGTCGGGCTGCTGCCATATCTATGCCAAATCCGAGAAGGCGGATGGCGTCCGCATGCTGGCCTTTACGAGACGCCGCTGCCGCAGAGTCTCTTAACTTTTGGACCTGGGCGGATCGTTTGGGATTGACGGGGAGAGGGGGGGGTGGGACGTTGTTCGAGGTCTCGAGGGACTTGAGAGCGCCATGTAGACTGTTCAGATTGGAAATGGCATCCTGAAGGGTCTTGTCCGAGGAGAGGATAGAAATTTGTTTTGTTTGGGGATCAATGTGTAGGGGGAGTTGAGTATATGTGTCGTCGATAGAAGCCATGATAGGTGTTTTGGTTTGTTCTTTTCTTTTCTGAGAAGGAAGTCTGAAATGTTGAAATTGGATTCCAATCAATTATGAACGCGTCAAACGAAATTTCTCAGGCACAAACCCTGGATTTTTATGAATTCGAACTGCTGGTTGAAGAAACTTGGACACCTCAACCTGTTTCTTCATGTCCATGGAAATCTTGGCGTTCTAGGCACGCCATCCTCAAAGTGGCGCAGAGTCCAAAATTAATTGAGTGTCCGCCATCCGTACCGAGGGCATTGACAAACGAATGCTACCATAAGGTGTCGCTCTTATCGCGCTTGCGTACTCTCACATTGACCATAACGATGTTTAAACTATGATAGTTCATACATCCAGCTTTCCAGACCCTCATCTTCATAATGTCTATTTCTTCTTCATTGCACAACCTTCCCTTTCGTTCGACCATCAACGCCATCGTGCGACCCTATCAATGGCGACGTCGTCCCCACGGATGCGACCGGCAAAGCTGGACGGCTGGAAAAATATAGGCTTGGTTGTGGAAGAAGATCCCGAACTGGAACATCCTCGGCCATCGGCCGTTTCGCCTAAAAGAGGGAGCCAGAAACCCAGACGATTACACGATGTTGCCCGCAGAGCGGCGCGATCTAGCCGTCATCTCGTCCAACGAGGTCGAACAGAATGGCCGCTCGGAGGAAGACCGGAAGATGAACATATCGACCCGCGCGGGTTTCTTTTTCCCCTCCCCTTAGAATTACGCGCCAGGATTTAACGACACTACTTGTTCGACGAGAGTGGGAAACTTAGAGTCCAGCAACTCGAGGCTCCACGAATGCTCGTTTGAGATCCGATATTGTCGGACTCCCAACTACCAATTAGACGATCTACATGGAAGCGTCTGGTGTCTTGGGCTCCGAGGGGGTTATTCATCTTGCTGGAGCCCCAGACTTGCGGCTCCTCAAGGGGGTCTCAGGCGCGCAGTTGCAATTCGGTCCCTGTTGGTACCTTTACGGCACTTGAACCTGACACGGCTAAAGGAAATGGGATGCCGATGCTTTCGCCGTCTCGTACACATTCAAATTGTTGTTCCCCATGTAGCTTTCCTAGCCTCCGCCAGGTGGAGCGACGAAAGGACTGGGACAACCCATTTCAATGAACTGTGAAGTTTTAGCATGCCTCGCAAATCAGCGGTCCCTCAAGACCACAGTTTGCGGCGTATAGTAAGTGGCGTGGTGTCAACACAGAAATTCTGAGAAGCCAGCACCGCCGGGATGGTACTGTATTCAAACTCATCAGAGATGTGGGTGTCCCTCACGAACGGTCTTGCTGCGCGCGCGTGCGGGTACCCAAGCGGGCACCCAAACGGGCCGCAAGCCCAAATTTCCCCCACTCGGACCCCTTACACGTCCTGGCATGGCACGCAGCCTGTCCTCGCGTCCTCGAGTCGAATTCCTGTGTCTTGCAGAGAAGAGATTCAAATAATCGATGAACGACAAAACCTCGAGCACGGGACGGCACAGCGAGTAATGCAGCCCTGCGGATACACCTAAACTCTACTCTGATTGAGAAAAGCATGCGAGGACGTCAGTCCAGTAGTACGAAGATGGTGGCAAAAGGACGACTCAAAGAATACATCTGTGATAATGGGTCGTTGTGGTGGATCGGGATAACGGACACCGTCGTTGGGCAGATGCTCTTCTCCCTGTGCCCGGTGTGGTTGACGCGAAGGTAAACTAGATGTGTAGCCATTGGGCTTTCCCGCAGACGTTGTGGAAGTGAGTGTAATAGAGAGACCCGAGTGTTGCTGGATAGATAGGGACGCTTAATGGTGTAGGGAAAGCGGTGCTGCAAGATTTCCTTGAGGTGTTCACTTCCCCCACCCAGCCTGCGACAAACCATCATACGATCCATCCTATGTCATGTACTGTACCTTGTTTCTTGCGGGACGTTGGATGAAACGATGGGAGGCAAATGTTTGACCGACTCACCGGTTAGCCGCCAATCCCACACCGCTTGGGGGGGACGAATCAAAGTTCCGCGTTGAAAATAACTCCGGCGCAACGGCCCTGAAAAGCGAACCCCCGCCTCCAAACGATAATGGCCTGTAAAATTTCCCCGTCACGATGCCCTTCCAACACGCCAATTAAATGGGCGCTTACATCTGCGTCTGATTGGAACTCGCAGCTACCAATGAGCTGCCCCATGTCGATATATAATCGCAGCCCGATCCCGCGACTCTTCGCCGTAAGCCATCAAACTTCTTGCCTTGTCTCCGCTTGTCTCATCCCTCGCGTCGAACTAATTTACCCGATGGCAGAACCCATAGGTGCGACTTCCGGACTGCTGGCTTTGGCTACCTTCGCCTTCCAGTCTTGCATCACACTTTACAACACGGTCCGGAGCTTTCAATCTCATCTCAAACGCGTACGCGATCTCATAGAGGAACTGGAGGCTTTGAGCGGGGTTCTAGGCTCGCTCGCCGAGACAATCGGTGCCAATGCTGATGTCGAGCTCGCTGCGCTCGACCTTCCCTTACAACGATGCGGCAATGCCTGCAAAGAGTTTGAGCAGGAAATTTTGAAATGTTCGTCGCGGTCCAATGACAATCGGACGAGCTTTCGAGACTGGGCCAAATTAAGGTATATGGGCGAGGACATCGATAGCTTCAGACGACTACTGTCCGGATACAAGTTGACCATCAATATTGCTCTCACCGACGCAAGCCTGTAAGTCTCTGACTTCCTGTGCATGGCCAAGTAGCTCTAACCCCCTTTTTTCTTCCACCTGATCAGTCGCAAATCCTCCGTCAATGCCGAAAACCTCGAAAGTTACAAAGAACTTATCAAGACGGCCTCTGCTGAACTCGAGGCTCATCTTGAAAATATCGACGCAAAGCTCGAGACTATATTTGAGCAAACCGTGACCGAGTCTGATTCAGATGCGGCAGAACGGCGACGCATAAAGGAGGAGCAGTTAAGCACGCAAAGATGTCTCCAAATCTGCGCCCAGTTGTCCGACCACATTAGTCAGATTCAGCTCATGCCCAAGAGCCATGGCAGCTCTCCCGAACTAACTGATCCAAATGACTTCCCCGAACTAGTCACCAATGGGGGTTTGCAGGAATGCAAGAACCACCTTAATCTTACGGCGGGAAAGCTGGAAAGGCATATGCAAGATCTAATGGACCGATTGGTGGCCAAATCTAAGACAGTGATGACGTCTGAGGACGACGTTGCCGATCTTGCAAGGCTGCGGGAGGAGTGGGAGACGACCCGCCAGTGCATGGATATCTGCTCCAAGGCAGATAGCCATTTAAAGGAAAGCATCAGCATCATTGACAACTACGCTACGGGCGATGCCGTACAATTTATGATTTCAACCGACGGGAATATTATTCATGGTAAAAATCGAGGATTGGGGTGGAGAACGAGGCAGGTCGGAGGCCACCTCAGTGATGTCTCGCTCCAACAATTATCACGGGATATGACAAGCGTTAGCATCCGGAATCCCGGAAATGAGGGCGGCCCGCCTTCGCGAGGCGATACGCCATCTGTTCCAAACGATGGAGTGGAGAACGGCCCCATTTCAGACTTTCGGGAACGGTATGGGCGAGGCTTCAAGCTCACGTCGAAGTCTATTCCGGACGTAACTGCATCTTCTACGAAGTCAGCGGAGAGCTTGAGTCAGAAAACGCCGAATCCATCGTGAACGGAACATGAGAAAAGAAGGGAGGAAGGAAGACGTTTCCGCGAAATGTTACAAGATTTCGTCTCTGCAGGAAGGATATGATCTATGGGTTACATGATAAAAGAAAATGACATTACCTCGGCAAACAAGGCGCACAGTTGACTAACATAGTCCCCCTACGTAATTCCCACTTTTCACACCACTCACACACGCGCACTTCGTATGCGAATAGCATAGGCCACAACAATCGAGTTAATTTCGTACGCCAGTATGGTAATGATGAGAATCTATAGAATCTGCCTATTATAGAAAACGTCAGGGTAGTCGCGAATTGTGCCCAGAGCATAATGGAAGCGGAATCAGCCTCCCACCAGCGTTTCGTATGCGATTCGATAGCTGTACGGAATCTACTGTCGTAAGCGTGCTGTCCGTAGGTCGCACAATTATAGTGTCTGTTAGGTCTGTCAAATCATTCGAATTCGTAGCGAAACGACTACGAGACGCCTGGGTACGAGGCATCTTTTTCGGCCTCTTTGACTCATCAACTTCGAATGGTCTTTTCTTTGATTTCATAACCTTTTGAGTCGCTTCTTTAACTCGTAAGCGCTGCGCCTTCGCTTCGGCTGCGTCTCGCTTATGTTTCTCAGTCTCTGGGGCCTTTTGTACTCTTTGAGCTTGTCGTACTGCTTGACTTTCGGCTTTTCTTGAGCAAGTAATTCACCTGGATCCGATCATGCCGGGAGGCTGCGCCGCACGGCCACTGACCCCAGTCCCACTCGGTCACCGATCCGTGGACCATCTCGATATCGACTTTCTATCGAGTAGGATGCTCCCCCGGATCATATGGTCGACGGATTAGATCCGATAGCAGTTGTCCACAGACTGGATCCAATCCATGGACGACCTCGATATCGAAGAGATCGACTTCCATCGAATAGGGATTTCCCCCCGGGGCGGGGGCTACGTGGTCGACGGATTGGATCCGATGGCATTAGTACTTCATGGAGTGAACCCAGTACTCACGTGACATTGCCGAGCTACAAGCTCACGTGATTAGTCAGCATAATGGTCTTGGTATTATCACGTGATACAAAACGCCAACCACAACTAGGTAAATCCCAAATTAAAAAAATGATGAGAGTAGTGTGTATAATCAGGAGCTCTATGACGATCCTAAGGAGTTTTTAACTAAGCAACCGCTAAGTAGTACACTAAGCGATCGGCTAAATCTGCCTCTTATGGGTATCTAGGGCAGTTTTCGTTAGTATAGAACTAAACCACGTAATTATACACGTGATCTTCTAGGCGTGAACTCCTGGAACTTTAGGGGGTTAATGCCTAAAGCAACCCAGAATTTAGGGTCCCTTGGACTGGCTAGTGGGACCGTGTGATAGGCACCTTCTAGCTGAGCGACCCCTATCGACACATCTGGGAAGCTACCCGGTTTATCTGCCAAGACCTTCAGGTGTACTGACGAAAATTACCCTGAATACTACAGTATTTTAGCTAAGCCTCAGTAAGCCTGGTAAAATCCCTACCCCTGCGCTGCTACCTAATTCCTCATGTATTGCGCTCCATTTAGTCGAAGGAGCCCAAAGAGTTAAGGAAATGACCCACAGTTTAACCATCATCGACCACCCCGACTTTTCCTGCTCCGCTTGGGTGCGTTATCCGGCCCGGCCAACGTCAGATTGTCGGCATCGAAGGATATCCCCGTATTGATGCTCTGCAGTCGAGGAGTATCTGTCTCCTCGGGCACCTGGTCCTCGTCAATGATCCGCGTGGTTGTCTGTACATCCACGAAGTCCTGCTTGCGCTTCGCTCCACTCTCCCTTGAGGGATCCATCTCAGCAACCTTCCGGAAGGTGTCTTTCAGGATGGGATGTAGATGTAGCAATCCATAGTCCAATAAAACACTTTTAACCAGGTGGCAGGCGGCATCACGGCTGTAATCTCGTACTTTGGCTACTTCCGTAAATTCGTACCTAAGCTGACCACCTCTATCTCTTTCGGCGCGATGCATTCTTAACACCATATCTTCGTTATTAAGAACTATGCTGAACGTCCGAACATCTTTGAAAAATTGCTGGTGGAGCTCGGGGATTAGACGCATCCACTGGAAGATATTGGAGAGCGCCTGGCTTGTGCTGTACAGATTCTTCTCGAACGCGGTACGGAGCGAGCTATCCTCCCTTTTAGCTTCCATGAAGAGAAAAGGGAACCATCGCTCGCGTCCTCTCTTGCCCGGATGAAGGCAATTCCCTAGCTCGATGGGATATTCGAGACGTGTCGACTCAATGAATGCACCTCGATGAAACGATATGGCAAGGTCGGGTTTCGGCTGCGAAATCTTGCTGTTAGGGTTTGTTGGTTTTATCAAAAACCGCTTTTCAATGCACCATTGTTCCTCGCAACTAAACGCGAAGACACTGCGAAAATCGAGGCGATCTATAATGGAGATCATAATTGTCCGGTGGAAATCGGCCTCACTCGATGTAGAGCATTGTATTTTGTCCCATGCAAAGTCCTCGGGAGACATTGGAGGAAATCGCCTGTAGTCCCCAGTGTCAGGTCTCCAGTGACCTATCTCGTGCCTCAAGGCATCATAAACGGGGAGGCCATTTTCGGAAGACTGATCCTTTACTGACTTCCGTAGCTTCTTAAGATAGTCTTCCAGCACTCTGAGGAGACTTTCGAACTTCCCAAATTCGACATGTGAAGGCGTGTCTTGGACCTTCTTGTCTAGACCAAGTTTCTGAAGTTTTTCGTCACTTGAAGACTTATCCGTGATGCCTCGGAATTCCAAATGTTCCATGAAAGGGATATGTCGGATCGTGCTAACATTCGTAGTTGTTGCGTCTTCAGTAGCGACACTTGCGCTAGTTTGAGCTGAACTTGAAGATTCCATGTCTCTTGGGTCCGATACCGATGCGGTGTGAGAATAAATGTGTCTCTGCGTGGAATCGTGAGAAGTCTGTACAGTGCCGGGGCTGATTAAGTCTAGCCAGACGGAGACAGTGTCCTATCATCTGTCAGCTCCATTAGCACACCAGGCCCAGATATTTTCTCACCCGTTTCTCTGTGTCTGTCGCCTGCTCCAACCCTGGTCGAAGAGGGCTGGATCCAATGGGAAGTTCCCTTGATTGAGGCTGAACTTTGGCTCCTCGACGCGCTTTCGGAGACTGGCGCTTTTGTGACCGTAACTCGGGAGCGTCAGTTCCACCCAACAGCTCGAGCGAAGACCTCTCCTTGCTCTTGTTCGATCGAGTTTGGATTGTGTTTAATGTCCCCAGCGGTTGCGTAGCAGTGTCCCCAGCTTGTCCAACCTTTGGTGATGGTAGCAACGGGGAGCTCGACAGGGAGGTCGGCTGCGTTGGAGGCTGTGAGACTTGTCGCGAGCGGGTTTTGCCCGAGGCGACGTCGAGGTCTTCAAGGGTGAAATCTTTGACTCTCAGCCCATGAAGTTTGGCAAACGCTCTGGTGTGAGGCCGCTGACCAAAAGTTGAGCCTTGTCGCTGGCCGCAAAAGGTCAGATCAAGGGCTACTCACCCAAGGGCGATTGTGATGACTGGAACTAACCTTCATGCGCTGCTTGTCTTTGGTGTTTGATGACAGCATACAAAACTCTCAAGTGTCTGAGCTACCTAAATAGATGGCCTCAACCCATGAGAAAGAGAGGGGTAACCGGTGGAAGGATGCTACCACGCAGAGGAGATATTCATGGCGGGTTGCAGGACAGGCCGCGGCACGCTGTGTCGAGTCTATAGAGATGTTTGCTGCAGGAGCCCCTGCAATAAGAGACACAAGGAAGTTTGTTTGGGTACAAGAAGGATTGACAAGCCGCGAGAGCGGGGTAGCAATCACATTTGTTCGTCTAGGTGCTCCGCAGACCAGCTGAGTGCTTGTGCATCTCGCTCTGGGATGCACCCTTTTCAACATACGTTGGTTCTGTACACCTGGCTCTCGTCTGGTCACAGGTTTGTCTCATATCAGCGTTCTACAATTGGCCTATACCATGGCGCGAACTGATGGGGCGTTCAGTTTTCACTAATCTCGGACCGTGCCATCCCCGAATAAGCTTGTGCATGGAAGTGCGGCAAAAATTATGAGGCCCGACCTGCTCCACGGGCGGTGAAGTAAATTCTGCACATCTCGTATTCCGTCACCCAGCTAGGCTCCCCGGGCTGCGCATCGAAAGCTATGTCGAGGAGGACTAACTAGAGAGCTTACGTCCGAGCCAGCATACCCAATAAACAAGAGCTCGGAGCAGATGGCATTCTAGGCCTTCAACAGGTGCCCAATTCTGCGCTTATCCAAAAATACCGTGAGGTCAACGATGCGCGACACGGTTCTACAATGGCTCATCTGTAGTCCACGGGGCATAGGTTTCTGGGCTACCATCAGATATCGTATTGAGCATCGTTCTCACGCTACTGAGCAGCGCCCACGTACGTGCTCGTGAGAAGGACCCTGCTGCACAAACGATCATGCAAGGGATCCACCATGAATGTCGCTTAGCTGCGATCGCGCGTGCCGTAGTGCTGATTCATCTGCCCAAGCATGCATGCAATCTTGGTCCTTTGTGACACGCAGCCGTCTGTAGCGCGATTGTTCCCGCTGCTCGCTTGATTGAGACCCCGGAAGCGTGATGGAATGATATGCTAATGATTGTAACGACTAACTGAGCACTCTTCGGGTTGGCGCGAAATGGCTCGGTAAATATTGTATTGAAGCCTTTTCTGGACAAGAATAGAGCTTGACATAGCATTCTGAAGTAGATGAGGGCAAGCCTTCCCGAACAGAATCACTGAAGAAAACGAACAATGTCATGTGCGGAATGGTGTTCGTAAATTTCGCGAACATCCACTGCGAGCCGGGGTGAGTATATGGCGGCACCAACTCGGTCCAAATGAGGGAGTGAGTTCGTCGTGAATTTACGTACTACTCTTGGCTTCCGATTCGTGGCATTGCTGGAGGGAAAAATATTGCTCCATGTGTTCTCTGTTCTTGAGAAAATGCCATCCCAGTCTGGACGGGAGCCGCTTACTCTCGGCTAGTTGAAGAAAGGATCGCTCCATGTCGGAGTCTTGCGGGAGAGTACCAGGTTGGTGATGATGCCCATAGTTCGGTGTCCTTTCGAGTCGACCTGGGGAGTTTATGCTCTAACTTTTTGGAGTGCAATGTCGCTTTTGGCAGAAACGACTGCCATGATGACACTTCGCTCGTTTGTATGTATGACGGTACCAATGATTCCACCAATTCAACTCCTTCGGCATTCTGATGCTCGTCAGGTGCATGGTAGATGCCAGGTAAGTCAACAAGAGTTAAATGAGGCTGCGTTGGACCTGAAATTTCCATCCGAAGAACATCTTTCGAGAAGATATGGCCTTCTTGACCTACTTCAATACAATTTCCCACTTCTTTGACGATTCCTTCGAAGCATCTCGGGTCAACTGGGATGGACTTAAAATTTCTGATTCGATCTTCCTGGGCAGCAGGACGATCCTCATCTGGGCGAATAGATGCAGTGATGCTCATATTCAGTGAGCGTCTCAAGATGGGTTCGGTGGCGAAATGAGTGCCAACATTGTCTTTCGCTAGGGATCCGACGCCTGAGATGCCTGAGGATTAGTCGCCCCACACAATCAACTGTGGCAGATTGACATATTTGCTTATACCTTCTGACCTCAACTGATCTATGACATTCAGGGTTTCTTCGTGATCCCTAGATTGAAGCAGGATTAATGGTGTGAGAATATCTACGAAATCATTGAATTGTCCATTGCCTTCAGCTAGCCATGTTGAAGTTGCTAACCTCTTCATTGTCTTTGATGTGGAAAGCAGTAGAAAGCCCAAGCCGTCAAGTACGATGTAAACTCTGCACAGAACGGCATACTTACTGTGAGTAGCATCCTTGAAATTCAACATTCTGTATGTTGTCGAAAATGATGCAGGGTTGATGCAATAGATGGATGTGTCTTGTCTCTATTGGAAGCGAAGTGGTAAGGAAGCGTTTCTTGACACTGCTGGCTTGGAGTGCCTATCTAAACCCCTGAAGTCCTGACATAGGGCATTGAGACCGTATGAGTGAATGAAATTATGGAACCAATTTACTTTGCAGAAACTTAAACTTACTGACTGCATCTGTCCACAATCTCTTTGGCAACCGATATCCGTATCTAGGCTTTCTGCGAAATTGCTGGCCCGTGGCGACGCTTTAGTGGTCTGAGGTATTGAGGCTGAAAGCCCACAGTAACTCGGGAGTAGGGTGTCTCAGTGATATGAATGGATGGAAGCGGAGTTGCTGCTTTCTTGTCACGAGAGCTACTGCAGGCAAATGTAGTGTAACCAACCATTTTCTCAAATTTTGCTATTGCCATGTTGCCAGCCACCCTGCCAGCCATCCTGAAGGCGTTCCGCACTCAAAGCTAGCATCTCCCGCTACTATTGAGTGCAGCAAGACATACAATTTACAGCGAAGGAAGCAGTCTAATAGGGCCACATCTACGCAGCTGTCCCGTACGATCTCGGTTCGGGCATTATGGAGAGCAAGCACGAGGTGGAAGAGCAAGGATGTCAAGAGCGCTCCTAGAGGCTTGGTCACAATCTCTAGATTGTTCCTCAGCAGAGAGAAAGGACACATTCGTGATTGCTCACTGCCTAAACAGAATCTTATTTGCAGACTCTCACAGTAATAGACAATCGTCCCAAGCGAAAATTTCGACGTGTCCTTTCTCGGTCCATCATTTTCTCGGAACCATGCCAGAGATGGGTTTTCCCACCATGATTGCATCGATGGGCTTTAGATCAAGGATACTAAATGGAAGAATGAGAGTCTATTCGAGTAGTGGCCGCAACGATGTGAATTTTGGAGCCTTCGTCAGTAGTCTTTGATGCCTTTTCTATCCCAGCAATGTCGAGGTGACATTGTGCATAGAAGATTGGGAGACATTGGGGATTGCTTAGTCGGGGATGCCTGGAGGTGATAAGCGTGGCGATAGAGGAGGCGAGAGACACTCAAGAAAAAGGGGGAGGAAGGCGGAGGCGGGAGACAGGGAGACTTCTCTCGACATGACTGTTCCAAGCCTTTTTCTTTGACTGTGGATGAGTACATTCAATTGAGGCTTCCTCCGATCATTTAATTACGCAATGCGGCGTACCTTTCGCAGCCACTCGGCTAGTCATGTACTTCGAGATATTCCCAATAAACAGACAAGCAATGATCGCGCATCGACCAAAGGCAATACTTGTCAACCAGACATACTTCAAGCTTTCAGCGTAAGCCCACCGGCTGCCGATTACAGCGGCGTTGACAATCTGCTCAGTCACTCCCTGGACTGTCATGATCTGATCTGAAGCACCGAGGTATGTCTCAACAAACTCTCTGGTTTCTGTGACGGGTAATCCCGCTTGAATTGCATACTGGGCAATATAGACGGGGAGATTGGTCGTGAGTTTGTTGATGAAAACGTTGTAATAGATTGCATAGCCAATTGAGCCTCCCACGGAGCGGACCGTCAGGGAAAGGGCCACGCATGTTGCGATTGAAGTGTCGGGCGTGACGGTGATAGCAACAGTGGCAGCCGGCACCAGGACTGAACCGACACCGAATCCGGTCACGGTCCCTAGACCGATTGCCATCCCTTCCCTGTCCGGTGTTACGGCTGCAAACGCACCAGCGAACGCGGCTATACAAGTGTCAGTCCCAAAGTGATAAGTCCAGGGGAGGCATGGATCATGTACTCATTATGACGCAACCAAGCAGCAGAATCTCTCTGTTGTGACCCTTGAACCATGACAAAGCGGCGTTTGCAAAGACAGCACCAATCGTCGTCGATAGTCCCGGAGCCAAACCTCGAAGTCCTCCTTTGACCGGGTCGGGGTCAAATACTGTGCTGAATTCCAGTGGAAAGAAATTGAGCATAGCATAGAAGTTCATGCCTGTCCTCCAGAGTCAGTCCCGACAGAGACTCAATCCTGGATTCTTTGAGCCGTACCTGCAATAAAAGCAATTCCATATGCCATTCCCACGATGTGTTGACCTGCAAACATCTCGTGTGGAATCATTGGGTCTTTGCAGAATTTCCATTCCCAAAGGGTAAATGCAACCAGCAAAGCGATACCAATCAGCAGCTGTGCGAGAACGTACGCGCTCCTCCAAGAATGAGAATATCCTCCTGCTTGTAAGGCGACCAGTCTAACTCATGTGAATAACGGGGAAAATTCAAATTTAGATGTCTGCACTTACATCAGTGTCAGACCCATCACGGACAGGACGCCGCCAAGATAGTCGATTCTCTTCAAGATGGCTTTCGCCGCCATCCCCTTGGCTCGAGTTTGGGATTCGGGAAAATATACCAACAATATAACAACCCACCAAAGTCCGTTCCAAATTCTATCTCTAGTCAGCGGTGCAGGAAAAAAAAGGGGACACAAGGAATGGCGTACAAGCAGATCCAGATACCCCACCGCCATGTGTGGTAAGTTGACAGGAGCTGTGCGTACATCAAGTACGGTGTAAATGGTAACACAAAAGCGGTTACTAAAGCCAGATATGTGCCTCGTTGGTTAACAGGAACTAACTCGGATGTTCTGATATCAAGGTCAGGACCAAGTAATGGAAGACAGGTACCCATAATGTTGAACACTCACCCCGCAAGAGCGGTAAGTTCTCCGATAGCTGCCCCTGCTCCAGCAAAACTCATCCCCACAATACCCTGCCCGAATTGATGAGCGGTTGCTAGAACAATGCATCCCATCATCAGCACAGCACCGCCGCCGAGTGTGATGTTACGCCGGCCCAGAAGATCTTGGAGGTAGCCGGAAAAGGGAGCAAGAGCAGCAAGAGCAAGGGCGTAAGACACAGAGAGCCATTCTGAGGCCTCGACGCCACCGATATCAGCAGCGATGAACGAAAGTGATCCTCCTGCGAAATATAAAGGTATTTGGGAGCCGACGTAGAGCCCAGAAAGTGCGACGGTGGCGACGAAGGTTTTAAATGTCCACACAGTCTTTGGTTTGAATGTCCTTGTTTCCGTTATTTTGCTCGGAATCCTCTCCCGCGATCACCGTGCCAGTGATTTGAAGTTTCTCGTTTGGTCTGGTTCTCGTTGGGACATGTTCAATTTGCATTACAGTTTGATGATGTGTTTCGGCATCCTTCTGCTTCTCATGTTCGAGCTGGTCAGTGTTCTCCGGTGGAATGACACTCATGGCGGTACTTGATGTCCCCGAATCGAGCGATAAGTCTTCAAGCAAACATGCGTTTGGCGCACAATTCGAAGAGAGGAACCTCCAGTCTTTGAAGGAAATATGTACTTGCTGTGAGTAGACATTCTCGCCTTTGGGTCAGAGAGGACCCTTTAGTCATTCAGGCGGCGGCCTCGGCTTGTTAGCTGCACAGCTATGGACTGGACAGAGAATAGCCGATATGATACGGGGGCTCACTGAAAATACGGGGTTGAAAACATGGGGTGAATGGGCCCAAGGCTGTCCAATCCTTGTGGATATTTCCATTTTTGTATCCGGCGAGTCAGTTGAAGTCGAGTCATTCCATTTTTTCCCCCAGTAGCTGTTCCTCCACAACTCTGTCCGTCCTGCTTGAATATCCTTTTGACTTTGCAGGGGCAGAGTCAGTTGAATTCGTCAACTCCCCTTCTCGTTGACTTCCACGGATACGGTGTGGAGTACCTCGTCTTCCATCTTGGACATGTACGCGAACTACCCAATATGTGATGCTAGCAGCCTACGGCCATCCTTCAGCACGACGTGGATCCGGCTAGCTGACGTTTCGAGATTGATTCTGAACATGGCAAAAACTTCTGCTGGGTTTCCCGACCAACCTAGTAGCTCCGACACACCTCGTGTGACCCTCGGAAGGCGATGGATGTGGATGAGTGTGCAGTATTTGATTCCCTCGAAGGCCCCAAAAATATGGTTCCTGAAGCAAACGAGTTAGCTAGGCTAGGGTGATATCAAGCTATTGGTTCAAAATTACGACAAGTGACGCCTGTTTGAGTTAGGGCAGGATAATAGCGCTCCACCGCTCTCGCATGGTCGTGATATTTGGTTATTCTCCAGACTCCCTAATAATGTCGACTGAAATGTTTATGTTGCTCTCCTGATATCACACCTTTAGGACGGCATATTCCGATCAACGCTCACAAGAACAAACTCAAGCCGACATGTGAATTTTCGGCCAGAGGTTTGTGGCCAGCTGTACTTTTTTCCAGTAATCAGACTAGGGAGCAAGTAGTCGGCGTGACAAAGGCCATGGAGGAATTGGCCGAGATGGGTTGGTTTAGACCAGGCTCCAGGACCACTTTAATCCAGCCCCTGGGTTGCTCAACGAAACCTCGCCCAAATTCTCTCTGCCTGGTGTATGACTGATACTGTTCTTGGGTCAAACTTGAGAAATGGCTGGAGGTCAAGAACGTATTACCAAGTGACCGTCAAGTTGAAATCGTGGGCCAGTGGATGATATCCTCTCGGATGCCCGATACTTTATCTCAAAGCTCACGTTTCTGGCACCGACGCAAAGGACGTCACGTAGATCGAGTCTTGGTGCATTGATCTCTCCACCAGATGGACTCTATCTATCAGGGTGGCCCCTGCCAAGACACTAAACACCGGGCGAGACGCAGGCTTATATCCTGCTCCTCTTACCGTATTATCGCTTGACTCCTCAAGCGATCGAGTCGATATCATATAGGACTGTCAATTCCATCAATTCCTGCATTGTCCATTAAGTTGGCACTTTGCTTGTCATGGAGAGAAAATCACTGAAAGAGCGCTAGCATCCTAGTGCATCATCTTAAAAACGGATATTCAAGTCCGATTTCCACGGACTCATCCGCAGACTACATTTGATTGGCCCATTGCCGCTGGGCACAGAGAAGCATTCATGGACGCCTGATGCACTTTCCATGCGACCTAGTTTCCATTTAAGCTGAGGAGATGGCCATTCTGTTTGTTTATTCACTTCTCCCATCCCCTTTCTTACGTTTCGCTGAATGTTTTGAAGTCTCCTGGGAAGTCCTCTGCTCCCTTTACAGCGCACGATCCCGTTCATAATGACATAACCCCAGGGTTTCTTACTTTCCAACATACCCAATTTAGATGGTTACGTTGTAATTGTCACGGAGGTAGACGTATCACACATATCGGGTGTTCGACGATGCTCATGTTATTCGGCAGGAAACTCTGGAGTCGGCTATGAGACGACGGTACAGCTAGCTCGACACGGTGCTCGAGTTTACATTGCGAGCCGCTCACAGGACCGGGTCAAAGAAGCCATCTCGAAGATGCAACAGACGCAAGAGTCCCTGGATGTTCGCTTTTTGAAGCTGGACTTGCAGGACCTTTAGAGCGTCAAGGCAACTGCGTCGGAATTTTTGCAGAATGAATCGCGGCTGGACATTTTGATCAACAATGCCGGTGTATGACCCCCATGCCATGTCAAAGACGCGGAATGTTGCTGACGGTCGACCCTCTACAGATCATGGCGTGTCCCTACAAGTTGACAAAGGATGGGTACGAATCGCAGTGGCAAACGTGCTTTTTGGCACATCATGCCTTGACCCTCTGTCCGCTCCCTCTACTCGAGTCGACAGCTTCGCAGTATCCCGGCAAGAGAGGTCGAGTGAGGATTGTGAATGTCTCCAGTGACGCTGCTTTTTTGATGGGGCCCAAAAGTATCAATTATGATGATCCCAATCTGGCAGATCTGACAGGTTCTTTCGCTCCGTGGTAAGCACGACCGACTCACCTATCATCTCGTTGTACCGAACTTACTTACCGGATCAGGAGACGCTACGGCCACTGCAAGCAAGCCTGTATCATTGCTGCTAAAGCTCTGAACGACCGCTACCGTGATCAAGGAATAACGGCCTACTCACTACATCCGGGTATCGTGAGGTCAAATCTTCAATCCAACTGCCCAGGTGTGGTCGGGGCAATTGCGTGGTTTTCAATAAAAGTCGCCCCCATTACATCCTCCTGTCCAACCCTCAAGTCAAGGCTAGGTTGAAGTGCGATCGGAACCAACCATGCGGCAACTGCGTTACAAGGAACGTCGATTGTGTATACCCTTCGGGGCCACGAGAGCGGAGTGGTACACAGCGCCAAGGTGGCAACAAGGACCTCGATGCGCGGATTCTTGGATTAGAACGGCTTGTTGGCACGATAGCTGCACAGCGGCAACATCACGACACCAACTGGGGGGACGTAAGAAACTCTGACAACAACACTTCATCCGCCCACCCGCAGAGGCCGCTTAGCGGCGGTTTGGCTCCTGATGAAGAACCCGAAATTATGTCGGGTCGAATGATGGCCAACGACAATCAGACAGTCCATGTCTCTGCCGTTCATTGGGCGGCAATCTGCGACGAGGTTTGTTTGTCTCTCGAAATTCCCCAGGCGTTGGCCACAAGCGCGGGCTAACAGATCAATCTTATCATGATTGTCCTAGATTGCGAAGGTTCGAGAGTCCATCGAACAAGACAGTTCGGCAGGACACCCAGATTTGTCGGAGACAAGCCACGATGGTGGCCCAATGCTTCTCTAATGCATGGGGTCAAGTTCTAAATTAGAAGACATATTGTCCGACATTCTGCCTAGAGGGATCTCTGATAGGCTGGTATCCCGCTGTTTTGCTTTCGCAGAACATTGGGTCGGTACTTGGATCGGACTCTATTGCGACCTGCAGAGCGAAGACTAACCAATTCTTAGCATTTTTTTCACGCACCAACCTTTCAACGAAAGGTAGTGCCTTCCCTCAGCTAGAATTCATCACCACTGACTAATTCGATCCCCTTAGTGCACTCAGTTCTGGCTGGATCCATCCGAAGCACCGTTGCCCTGGATAGGGTTACTTTTTGGAATTCTGTCCAATGGGACATTCCTATACGTGCGGTCACAAGACGACCTGCCAGGGGCTCCACTGAATGCCTCATAATGTCGAACTACTCTACTGCGCCAAGCAGCGTTACCATGGAGGCCCTTCTCTTTAACATTCAGGGTGAATTTATGCGACGGCCAAGGTCTCAGGTCGGGGTGTGGATTTTGTCAAGCATTGCTACTCGACTGGCCATGTGGATGGGATACCACAGAGACCCCGAGCATTATCCACAAATCTCGCCTTTCCACGGTGAGATGCGGCGTCGCCTATGGGCCGCTATTTCTCTCAAGAAGGGTGATCCATGCTGAGTTCGGGTCAATTTCTGGAGAAGCAATACATTGCTAGAACGTCTCGAAAGGTTCTATCAAACTTTTGTGCAACTTGAATTTGAATAGATGCTCTAGCTCTCCCAACGAGTGTATGATAGAGCCCATCTATATATCTATCTACACAGCGTACGTCAACGCTATTGCCTATCCATGGTGATACAGCTTAGTCACCAATTGTTCAACATATTCCTTCAACATACTACACCGCCGTCAACGGAGAAAGTTGCCCCAGTGGTAAAGCTTGAATCATCGCTGAGGACGAAACAGATTGTTTTGGCCAACTCTTCGGGAGTGCCCAGTCGCTGCAATGGCAAGGTCTTGTATGTGTTTGTGACAGGTCGATTTTCTCCGCCATCCGATACAAGTCTGGTCAACATAGGCGTGTCCACAGGTCCCCTACGATCAGTCAGTTTGGGGGAGATCTATGGGAGGAAAGTCGGGATCACTGACGGTGCAAGAGCGTTGACTCGGATTCCTCTCTCTCCCACCTCCTTCGCAGCTGTCCTGGTGAGTCCAATCGCTCCATGTTTGCTCGTGCTGTAGGCAGCAATTCCAGGGCGTCCCATCAGTCCAGCCATGCTGGCAACATTTAAGATTGACGCTCCTCTTTCCATCACTCGAAGTTCCGCTCGGAGGCAGTAGAAAAGCCCGGTCAAGTTGATGCCCAAGATGAAATCCCAGTGGTCGTTCGAAATATCTACGATATTTGCAAAGATTTTCCCTCCCGGTTTTGTCTCGACCCCCGCCACGTTCGCGGCGCCATCCAGTTTCCCGAAATGTTTCACTGTGTCTACGATCCACCCATCCACGCTGTCTGATTTGGACACGTCGACACGTGTTCCCGTGACATTGACACCTTTGGCCTTAAGCTCTTCCACTATCTTGTTCAGGCCGTCCTGGTTTATATCGCATAGAGACAAGGATGCTCCTCGAGCGGCACATTCCCGAGCGGTTGCAAGTCCAATCCCAGACCCTGCACCGGTTATAGCGATAACTTTGCCTTGAAGTTGAGCCATGATATTTCGGTCTGTTGAATGTTTCTGCAAATGAGTCAAGTCCCAAGTAGATTCAATTTTGATGGACGAAAAAAATTCTCGCCCTCGATAGAGACTGGTGAGGGGACCCGAGGTTCAGCAGCGGAGATAAAATGGTTCACTCCGCATGTAACAGATGGTCGGAATTAAATGATTCGACAACGATTTTCCAGCATGTTGGAAATTTATCTTCTCCTTGAGGGGAAGGCCGCTTACGAGGCGAGATGTCATCGAACCAGTCTCTATGCTTATGGGATCTCGGATAGACTGTGGGGTCTAGAGAAGAAATACGTTGTTATTCTATCTAACAACAGAGCAAGACTGAATAAGGAGGTAGGGTATAAGTTATTGCTAAGCAACCTGTCACGTGATTGGCCAACAGTCTCTGGCATCAAAGAGAGACCTCGCATTGTCAATGCTTGCTTTTCCCGGCTAGCCTGCCGAGTTTGTCGTCTAGATGCTCAGAATGCAAAAACGCGGTGGGGCAGAGGTTCTCTCAGGCTAAAATCTCACACACCACTAGCCTCACAATCTTGAAACCCTAGAACCACTCTCTCGAAGCCGAAACCACCTGGTGGTTGCCTCATTATCGTGCCCTTCGAGGCATTGATACTATCCAGCCCCTTCATGCAGCCAGCCAGGAACAATGGTGGTTGACAAACTTCCCTTGGAGATCTTCTCTAACGTCATCGATAGGGTGGTGACCCATTCAACATTGCAAGAGGGATTTCGCTTACGGACTGTCAATCGTAAGTATCTCGGAATCGTGTATGAGTGCTATTTCGTCCCGCCTTAAGTGACCACATTGTGCAGGTGCTTTCAACCGGGAAATCCAGGCCTCCTACTTTGATCGAGAGACCATTGACTTCGATGAAGAGCAATACTGCGCTTTGACCTACCAAATGGGTGATCAGCACATCTTAAGGTACATGAAAGGACTGACTGGGGCGCGAAAACCCAAGACCGTATTGGCTGCCAATCTACAACAGGCAGTGGAAATTCTGGCTTCGACTCGAGAAACCGAGTGGCAGAATGAATTCCACACCGACTATTTGCCTGCTTTGAATGACACCATACATCTTGAGGTAGAAGAGAGGTGCTGTCGAATCAAGTCACTCGTTGCTCTCACTGTCTTGTCCTTCGTCAATGTACCCAGCTTCAGTTCCGTCATCCGTCTCGGGGAATGCCGCAGTCAGATGCAACCGTTGAGCTGGGCAATTATCACCGCAATTCTTCTGAACAGTCGCGCCACCGTCGAAGCGCTGTTGAAGCTTCAGACCGACGTCCGAGCTCGGCTATGGTTGTTGGCCGATCCAGTATATATTGCTGCAAGGGAGAAGAATTATGAACTGGTTCGATTGCTTCTTGACAACAATGCCGATGTCAACTTGGGGGCCTTGTGCTACTTCCCGAAAGTCCCCTTGATGGGATTTAGAACGATCTTGGAATTTGCTTGCTCAGAGGGAGACATAACGATGGTCGACCTGATCACCGATGGAAAGTACTGTCTCCAAAGTTGTAGCGAACCGTTTGAGTCAGCCATTAACATCACTGTTCTCCAGATGGTGGACCATCCCAGCAAAGCCGATGACTACTTATCTATTTTGAGGATACTGTTTAAGAATGCCCGTAAAGACGACGCTGAGGAGATGCGTCCGTTTATACTTCGTCTGGGGATTACCTATGGCATCAAAGAACTTGTGCAAATGTCCATCGACCACGGGTTGGGGGTGAATGACCGGACTCCCTATTCACCAACTCCTCTTTACCAAGCCGCAGACTCTGGCCGGGCGGAGATCACGGGCATGCTCCTTGATCAAGGGGCCGAACAAAGTCGCGAACTCGACCATGACGCAGTGCAAGCTGCCTCTTTGAAGGGCCATGTAGATGTGCTCAGACTTCTGCTTACAAGGGCCACCAGTATTAACGATTATGGCCACCCCCTTCTTGCAGGTCATCTTGTTGTCTTTTACGAGCGGCATAACGAATGCGTGTTCTTGGAGCTCCTGAAATGTGTTTGCGAGCATGGCTTTGATCTAAATGCCGCCAGATTTGGCACCAGGGCAATGAGTCTTGCATTTTCATATCAGCATCGCACAGTCCAAGATTACCTCCATGGTAAAGGCATTCCCCTCAAGACAGGACCGGCAGAGTCTAGCAATCCTAAGCCTGCTCCTTAGGCATGATTCAATAATCGGTAGATAAGCTCTATAAATCTCTAAGAACGGAATGTCTCGCAACGCAGTTCAGCAGTACCCTAGTAGTTTGGCTGTTTCCTTGAACATCCTAGAGCATCCATTCATGTTGCAGAAAAAGTTTGATGCTTACCTATGATCGAACCAGCATGATTTTCGAGGGAATGTCTCGGGAGAGCGACAACCCACAGCGACTCGCGTACCACAGCGACAATGCTAAACACCAATCGGGCCTAGTTGTGCGAGCGTTGTCCGAACGATGGAAAGGTACCTGGCAGGAGGTAGAGTCAAGAGAATGCGCACTCACACTGCGAGATACAACTAGGCAAAAGAGCATGGATTCATTCAAGACTAACAGGAAACTCACAGGGCGTCAGGACAGCCCTGAAGGGGGTCGGCAGCGAGGTCACGAGGTGGCAGGAAGACTACGGAGGCGACAGACGGGCTACACAGGCGACAGAGAGGGTCTGACATGCCACACCACTAAAATCGAGTGCAAAAAGGCGTGGAAAGGCAAATGCAAAGGACTCCGTCAAAGGGGGTCAACGACGTCGTGGAAAGAACATCAAAAAGCGCCAACTATATGAGGGAGGCCAGGTGGATGGAAAGATACTTCAAATCCCTAGGGAAAATGGAGGGTTTTCAGGTACCTTTCCATCATGCGGACAACGCTCGCACAACTAGGCCTGATTGATGTTTAGTGATGTCGCTGTGGTACGCGGGTCGCTGTGGGTTGTCGCTCTCCCGAGACATTCCCGGGTAGACGTCGTCCACAGACTGGATCCGATGGAGTTGGAAAGTTTTAGTGATGCCAAGAAGGACCGAAGAGTTTAGCGCGCGCCACATGCCCCGGGGGAGGGGAGGGGGGGGGGCCTCACTGATTCCAAGCGTAAAATTGGTAGATTTCACAAGGGTCCATCCTCAGTGTCCTGGTGGTAAATTTTAGTGCAACATGGTCCACCATCCATTCGCACCCTTCACCATTTGACCCTTCCATCCTGAGCTATTTGATTGAGTCAATTGACTGTTTATTTGACCAATCAGAGCCTCAGGATTCATTGGATTGCCAAATTGACCAAAAGGAGCAAGTTGAAGTTGTTGTCCTGAGTGCCCTAGGCTGTGTAGACTATGATTGACGATGTCTCGCCGTGGCTGGTGTTGTAGAGCCTCCTGAAACTCTGGTAGAGGGTGATTTGTTGTTATTTGCACCCAATTCGCCTCTTCTATCGCTGTCCTTTCTGTCATTGCCGTAGTCAAGTCCTCGGGCGACGACATCGTCGGCGTCTTCCTCCTCTTGCTCTTGTTGCGTCTGCTGTTGTAGCTCGCGAGGTGGTAATCGAAGTCGCTTCGTCTGAGTGTCTTTTCGTCGCAGAACTTGCTCATTGATTCGAATATAGATTAGCACGTTGGTCTTCTCGTTACCAAGTCGATTTCGCAGCTTGTTGTGTATCATATTCATCTGAGAGAAGGCTCGCTCCGCTGGCGCTTGGTTGGCAATAGAGTGAAGAATTCTGAGTGCCATTGAGGCAAGACAAGGACAGAATGTCTTCGCCATAAGCCAAAATTGAAGCGGCCTAGTCCGTTTATTCCAGATGTTCTCGCTGTCGTGGAACTCCTTCTCTTGTGCTAAATATTTGAGAAAAAGTCCTCTGCCTCCTCTTGGTCTTGCTCTAAAAGGTGCTCCTTAAGGTTGCGCCGGATCATAGTATTCTCGTGGGGCTTGAAGGGCCTTTTGGCGTTGTAAGGAAGGAGATGAAAGGTCAGGTCGTGTAGAGTGCTTGTCTGAGTATTGTAGCGCATTGTACAGATCTCAAAGATCTATTTGAAGTTTGTTTTATCCGACGAGCGTGAGATCTCTTCCAACTCTTGCTTGATTTGCTCCCAATTCTCTCTAACAAGGCCAAGATGGTAAGAATCGGCTTGAGAGGCTAGCTGCGCCTTAATAACAGGACGAAGAATTCGAGGGAATTGACGAATCTGAAACCACTGAATTTCATTTGTGAGAGTTCGATAAACGAGTTAAGATCTTTCAGATCTGCATAAATCGTCAGCAGAGAACCCGAAAAAATGGCGAAGAGCGTCTTCGTTGTCAATTAAAGCTTGAGCAACGCTCAAATGAGTGCTCCCCACCGAGTATCTCTGGGCCGACACCAATCTCTTTAGCTTTCGATAGAATCTCTCTTGAAGTTTGCGCAGAATTACGAGTTGTGTAGGCGAGGATTTGAAGTGAGAGACGGTCGAAATTCCTGCTGGAGCAAACTGGGCTCAATTCGTCAGGCTCATTGCAAATTCGAAGGATTTGAGAGAAGAGTGTTTCAGAGATTCTTTCGCCCGTGAGTGTCTCGCCGCCGTGCTTAAAGTTATCGTCGTAGAAGGCGCCTTTGGAGGGTTTGATTGAGATATTCGTGATGCGCTGGTTGTTGACATCGGTTGATTCGTCAAATACAATGGATAACTCTTTTCCAAGTAAAGGGGTACTGCTCATTGTTCGACAGGCTTTCATAGCGCAGGCACTCTATAGAATAATTTTATCTGGCGTACACCTCGACGCGACGCACCCCGGTACGGGAATTTTGGGAGTTCATTACTGACACGGAGTAAATATACCAACACTGGCTTCTGGACAAAGGCTGAAGCCCGGAGCCTTTTACTCCGACACGCCGACCTCATTGTCGGCTTGGCAGAAACTTTTTTGAGCCGCCATGAAGATGCAATCTTTCTTGCGAGCAGATCCCGCATTCTTGTTTTGAGAAACAAGTTCCCCGGGATCATGCCCATGGAGACATTGGTCGAGAATGGCGATGGCCAGCTCACTATTCAAAACATTCAACCTCCGACAAAACGAAAATCCACAGACACTTTGTCTATCGAAGAAAGAGAGAACCAGAAACGAGTCGCCGAAGCCCGGAAAAAATATGGACGAGGACGACCTGTACGTGTTAACGAAATAAAAGACAAGAAGCTCCGTGCAAATCTCGAACGAGTCGAGAATAAATACCGAACCGCCGTTCTGAATGCGAAGGATGCAGAAATCCTATATGAAAACGAGGAGGGTTTCCTCCAGCCCGAGAGTGAGCTGGAAAAGACACACAAGGTCCGTCAAGATGAAATTTTGGATGCGGTCGGTGTTCAACAAGCCAACAAGTCCATCGAATTCAAACTCGACCTTGGGCCTTATGTGTCTGGCTATACAAGGAACGGCCGCAGTTTACTACTAGCTGGGAGGAAGGGCCATATTGCCACGTGCGAATGGCGAGCTGGAAAACCAGGGTGCGAGTTACATCTGAATGAGACAGTAAGGGATGCTACATGGTTGCATAACGACCAGTATTTTGCGGTGGCGCAGAAGAAATATACCTACATCTATGATCATGCCGGAGTCGAGATCCATTGTCTGAGAAAATACGTCGAGACCATGCATTTGGAATTCCTCCCCTACCATTTTCTCTTGGCCGGTGTCGAACACAGTGGCTTCTTGCGGTACACAGACACATCGACGGGACAAACCGTGGCGGAGTACCCAACTCGAAAAGGTGCTCCTACGGCCCTCGCTCAAAATTCTTACAACGCCATCCTCCATGTCGGTCATCAAAATGGTACCGTGTCTTTATGGTCACCCAATTCCTCGACCGCTTTGATCAAAATACAATCAAATGCTGGCCCTGTTCGGTCGGTAGCGATAGATCGTTCAGGACATTACATGCTATGTGGCGGACAAGACCTCCGCCTTAAGCTCTGGGACATCCGTGCTCTGAAGGAAGTCCATTCCTACACCACTCGCCAACCTGCAACGTCCATCGACATCTCCGACCGTGGGCTTGCGGCCATCGGAACCGGAACGGCTGTAGCCATCTGGAAAGACCTCTTCACAACTTCCTCATCAGCAGACCCGCTAAAAATCCAATCTCCGTACCTCAACTGGGGCAACGACGGCCGCCGCGTGGAGCGCGTCCGCTTCTGCCCTTTCGACGACATCCTCGGCATCTCCCACGTCCAAGGCTTCAGCAGCATCATCGTCCCCGGCGCCGGCGAACCGAATTACGACGCCCTCGAAGCCAACCCGTTCGAAACGTGTAAACAGCGACAAGAAGCCGAAGTCAAGGCCCTACTCACGAAACTCCAGCCCGAAACCATCGCACTTGACCCCAACTTCATCGGCACCCTGGACACGCGCAGCGCCGAACAGCGGAAGCGGGCGAAAGATCTAGACTCTGCACCCCAGGACCCACTGGCCAAATTGAAGGAGAAAGAAAAGCAACGGAATCGTGGGCGTGGCAAGAATAGTACGCTGAGAAGGTATTTGAGGAAGAAAGGCGGGAAAAATATCATTGATGAAAAGAGACTAAGGCTCGAAGAGATGAAGAAGCAGCGTGCTGAGAGGGAGGGTGAGAGGCTGAAGAAGGATAAAGTTGAGCTAGGCCCTGCGTTGGCGAGATTTGCGACGAGGAGAACAGTATAGTGGTATTAGGATGCAGTGTACAGATGGTGAATATTATTATCCCCAAGAGACGTCTTCTATATACCACCTGGGTATGTTCATGTACTACTGTTTCCACCCTTGACCAGATCTTATGAACGTCGCAATGAACTCCAGTTGCCTTTTGGGAAGGGTTTCAATGCACCGTTCGCCATTTTCCCTATTTCCTCTCAATGCGTGCTTCTCTAAGAGCGGGAGCGCAGGCAGTTCACTCCTGAGGCATCACCCTCGTATATCGATTGACCTTGGGCTGCTCACCACTTCCCCTTGGCACACCACTCGCCCATCGTTTCCGACTCTCAATGTACCCACCCGTACTCTTCCACCCACTTATGATCATATCAACCGTCTCCCGTACCCCCACTCCATTCTTGATGACGGCTCTTACGACCGGTCCTCCTTCACGAATCTTCATCGCCTCGTACTCCATTAAGTCCACGTCCGCCCCGACCGCTTCCGACAAATCACACTTATTAATTACGAGCAAATCGCTCCCTGTGATTCCCGGCCCACCTTTGCGCGGCACTTTGTCCCCGCCCGCCACATCGATCACGTAGATGATAAAATCCGCTAGTTCGCGAGAGTAGTTCGCAGCCAGATTGTCGCCGCCCGATTCGATCAGGAGGAGGTCGGTCTGAAACTTGGCGTGCAAGCCCTGCAATGCGAGGAGGTTAGCGCTGATGTCCTCCCGTACCGCGGCATGAGGGCAGCCGCCCGTCTCGATGGCGACGATACGCTCAGGAGTCAGGGCGCCGTGCTTCGTGAGAAACTCGGCGTCTTCGCGCGTGAAAATGTCGTTGGTCACGGCGGCGATGTTGTAGTCTTTGCGCAGCGCAAGACACAGTTCGAGCATGAGTGCAGTTTTGCCTGAGCCCACGGGCCCGCCGATGCCGATGGTGAAGGCCCGGTCGGCGAAGTCGCGGCCTTCAACGAGGGGCATTTCGCGGTGGAGGTAGGAGCCGGGACCGTCGAGGATTTCGTGCGTGTGTCCGTGAGGAGTACCATGTGAATGATCGTGTGACTGAGATAGGCCGCCGTCGTGGGAGTGTGTGGCCATTGTGGAAGGGCTGGGAGAGGAGAGGAGATGAGGTTTGAGCGATAACAGGGGCTTTTTCTTCCTCTTCTCTCACAGATCTCCTTTGGCTATCGTATTCTTCAATGGGGGTGGTGGTATTTCTTTCTCAATATTTCAATGCTCGGAGAAGCGGATGGCCGAAAAGGTATGTAGGAGATGGTGCTTGCGGTTCGGTATTAGATAGGGGGTCGAGGAAGAAATTGTGATTGATAAATTGTTTCGAAATCCCGTTAGTTTCCGTGCGGACAAATTTTCTCTCTTGAAGCACCTTTGACCTTCACAAAGCTCAAGTGCGTCGATGATAGTTGATGAAGGAGGGGCACCCCCGAAAGGAAACCAAATGACGAAACGGCCCCGCATTCGGACTAACAAATAAAGGCCAACAGTTGAAGGCCAGTTCATTTACCCAATCAATCATCCATCGCAAGTCGCTCGCATACCCGCCATGAGTATTTCCGCTAACTTGTTGATATACGGAGGCATCATTCCACAGAATGGAAAAGAAATAGACAGCATTGAAGTACAGCCATCGGACCGAGTCATTTCGACAAAGCGTTAACCACTGTTCTCATCACGATGTCGATCGTCCACATGGTTCTATTCAAACTCAAGTCTTCATTGACTGATGCGGAAAAGAAGGAAGTGTGTGTTCTCATGAGGGTTTTTATATCGTGAGGAGGGACGTTGACCTGAATCTCACAGTTCTGCGATGATATGCTGTCCTTGAGACAAACATGCCTTCATCCAACTTCGAACAAACCGTACATTGTATCATCTTCTGGTGGGATCGATGACAGCCCCGAGGGCGTTCAGGTCTATCACTGTGACCCTCTTGTTAGATTATGCTCTGATCCTGCTGCAGGGAGGATTCACCCATGGCTTCGTCGTCGAATTTGCGTCCAAGGAGGATCGAGATTACTATGTGACCACAGATCCCATTCATCAAGCTTTTGTGAAAAAGAATGGCGCGAGATTTGACGATGTCAGAGTGATTGATTATGAAAAGGGTGTATATTAGAAATAGAGCCTGTCAAGAACGGATGCTGGAGGTTAATCTGGCTGGAATCGGTCCGTGCCATACAAAACATAGTTGCTGCATTACCTCCGATACATGTCCACTGGAACGCATAGATGATGGGATCTGTCTATGAAACGCTGAAGGACTCGCCACAACCGCATTGCTCTGTAATGTTCGGGTTCTTGAAAACAAATCTGGCGCTGAGCTTGTCTTCCTTCCAATCCATTTCACTGCCAATGATGCTGAAAAGGGCCTTGCTGTCAATCAGGACTTTGACGCCTTCTTGCTCGACCACCTCGTCAAAAGCCGCAGGCTTGTCCACATACTCCAAGTGATATGCTAGCCCGGAGCAGCCCCGGTTCTTAACACCCACTCGGATCGTCTGGGGATGCGGTTGGTCGAGAAGCTCGCGCAGATGGATTAATGCGTCGGGTGTTATTGTGATAGCGGCTTTCCGGGGCCTTAATTTGCTCCGCCGAGGTTTGGCAGACTCGGTTCCTTGTGGCTTTGGTGGTGCTACCGGCTTTGAATTTTGCGCCTCCCCTTCGGGCATACGGATACTTGCAGCTTCAGTGAGGTCCATATTCCGATTTCCATTCTCTTGAGGGGTTCTTATATCTTCGAGTCGGGGTTTAGGGCTAGCTATAGAGGTGTCTGGGACGTTGGCGTTTCGGGGCGGTAGTGGAAAATCGGTCGGGAGACTGTGAGGCTGGTAGGAAGGCACAGTGTATAGCTCTCGCTTGGAAGATTGACGAGTGGCCGTGGTAGAGGAGAAGGCTCTAAAGGCATGAGGACATGATCGTGCCGTGGCGGCGATTGCCAGTGCTCGGAAGAAAGTGGCAGATGACGTCGTTGCCGGGATGAAATGCGTCGTAGACATGGTGAAGGTGCATATGATACCAATACAGCATTCAGCGATGGACTTATGTTATCGCAATAGTGTCTGTGGCATCGGACGAGTATCGGAGGGGAGTGAAGGAGAATGGTGCTTGAGTCCCCGAATCGAGCATTATTAACCGCCGAATGCGGCAGCCTTGCCGACGCTCCGACTCAGCCAATCGGACTCGAGGCAATGTAAATGGCTTTCCGACCGTTTGATCAACCCGTCGAACTGGTCGGTATCACCCGACTCTCACATTTCTCTTTGCTTTCCATGTGATTGACTGATTCACGTTGATACTCAGTAATCGCGAAGATAAGGGCATGAGATAGCCACTGTCCAAAGAATCTATCGCTACCGCAAAGATGTTACTGCGCCCGGTAATTAAAAATCTGTCCAATCGCCCCTGTTGCCAAGCACACCAGATTTTTGGTCCTCTGTCCACCATTCAATTTTCAGCAGATGTTGCCTGTTGGCGTTGTGATCACGAGGTTGAATTCTTGAGGCCACTGTATTTTCTATCTTGCTCTCCCCCCATTTCTGAATCCCAGGAGATGAAGACGGGTCGCTAGCATTTTCCTCATTCGCAGTCATCGATCCCCTCAGTCCCGATGAGCTCCCCTTTAACTCAGCAGTTGAGACCGGATTCCTTTGAGCCCAAGATCGTCCAGCTCTACCTCCATCTATTCAATGTGTTGGTCAATGAAGAAGCGGATGATGCCGTACCAACCGAGGGCTTCTGGAGGGAGTTCTTCCTGCTCAAGCCTGATAAGCAGCGTCTCTATGACATTCTTGAGCCGATGACCGGGTTTGACCTGCTGCATATGCAAGTATAGTCAGCTCGTTCTTCCGGGGATTGTTGCTGTCGTTCCTGACATGCAAACAGGTCCAAATGCAAGTCTTCTTCAGAAGAGCTATCACCGAGGCCGGTTCGGGATTATCTCCCCGAAATGAAAATGCTCTGGAGGTATGCGGCACTGGTGGTGTTTCTGTTGAGAGGATCGACGTTGATTGGTTAAGAATCTGACAGCCTTCCTCTGCGCCGTATTTACCAAGAAATACACGAATCCAAACACAGACGTCATTGAAGTCCTTGCCGGGTTGGATACCATTGATAGGTTGATGTCTGATCTGGTCCATGGTCTGGAGTCGATCATTCGACAAGCAACTAAGGAATCCCTCCGAACCAAGGCTCTCGAGACGGTACTTGCTCTAGTGGCCGGAGGCTTTCACACCAGCCTTGTCTCCTATTTCATGCATCGGGACCTCTTTTCTGCCCTGATGAAGGTGAGGGAATGCTACTCTTTTGTTTGAATGGCGTTGACCCGTTCTTAGTACGTCCATGATGTTCATGAGAAACCAGTCAATTGCCTCAAGGCGTTTGTCGTCGTGGGCGTCTTGTCCAGCTACAACAAATTTGAATCACACAACGTGTATCAAAATCGATTGGAGGATTTCGTTAATGAGGAAACGATTCGACTTCTGGTTCAAAACTTTGCCACTGCCTGTGCATCCATTCGGGACCAATATGTTGCCATCCAGGACGACTATCCTGCACCGTGGAGTTTTAATTCCACACTGGCACTGGTGGGATTGCGTGGGTTGTCGACCGACACAAAAAATCCTCTGCCTGCATCAGAAGAGGAAGCAAAGGCATGGTTCACATCACTCCCGAGGCAGGACGCCGCTTGCATTCTCTCGTTATATTCGTTTGTCCAAGCCAACAAATTGTTCGCGGCCAACCTCCTAAATCTGTCCGCAGACAAGGATAGAGAGACACCTTTTGCCGCATTCTTGTCATCCACATCATACATCTCACACCATGCTTACCGAGGACCCCGACAGTCCACATACGCTATATTGAGCTTACTCTCGATCAGAACCATGGTGGAGGATTCTGTTCTAGCCAAGCGCATCTGTTCCGTGGAATCCAAAATGGTGGTTCGATTGTGCCGACAACGACCACCCCATCTCCCACTCATCACCACGGCGAGAGTGCCTGCCACCGCGATCTTGGACATTTGCACCGATATTCTCAGTCACAACCTTCGGAAAAGACTGGATGTTCAACTGTACGGCCTCTCGTTGGGTATTATATTACGCATAGTCACCTATCTCGAGCAAAGCAAGACTCGCCTCCAACACCATTGGGCGTACATATGGGGTTCGCTCCTCTCGCTAATGCGCTTTTTAACACAGTATGCCAACGACCTCCAGCATTTGAGAGGCATTCGCGAGTATTTGTGTGGGACACTTTCCAGTTTGGCGGCCTTTTGCTTGTCGAGAGGGGATGGATTTTTGCCCGATCCGGCAAGCTTTGATGATCTCTTTTACAAACTCATCGAGGCTAACGATGTGCTGCCGAAATTTAAGAATGCATATGGCGACCCCAACGTGCCCTCAGATGCTTTGCACCGATCGGTGGAGGCCTTGATCAGCGTCTCGTCGCATTACCATGACCTATTGAAGGCACAACATGGGAAGAAGACCCACCAATCACCGGCAGCCATTCAGAAAGTGATTAAAGAGGGCTATGAGACTTTGAATCTGGAGATGGATGAAGGGTTTGGACAGTGGGAGAAATGGCGTGAAAGTAACTGGAAAGCTGAGGTCAAGAAATTGATCAGAATTGCTGTCGAAGATGCCAGAATCTTGTCTTTGAGGTAAACAGCCTGAGGGTTACTCATGAACTGCAACTCACGTCAAGACCGCGAGGCTGATGCCGGCAACATGCACGATATCCGCCCCCATGCCCTCACGTGAGTCCTGCAGCTATATGGAAAAGACATCCGGGCCTCCGATACTTCCGTTGCGTCTCTCCCTTCTCGGCCCTGTCTTCTCCTACATCGACAAGCAGGGTCGCGCGCAATTCATCACCGCTGACAAGCCCCCAGATGGACGACGCTTCCAGCACGACCTCCGATGAGCAGAACACAGACCATGATTACTCCAACAGCTGTAACAAAGAGCTGTTTTACGACGCTCGACAGAAGAAAGGGCCCCATCGTGAGCGCATATTGGATCCAGCTCTGATTTTTTCACACTGATATAAACAGGGTATGCATAACTCTCCAGAGACCTACCTTGGAAAATATGAGCATCAATCCACACACAATCTACAATGACTCAGACCTCGACGGCAGTGGTATCATCACATCTTTTCCATCTTCTTCGTGAAATACGCAACATGATTTGGAGGGAAATTCGTAAGCGAGGACGTCCCTGCTGACATTCATATCACGGCCTTGTACCCGCATGTCAACGCCTCCCGAGTCCCAAGGATGTCGGCATTGGAAGTTCTCAGATGAAGAATATTATCGGAGATGTGCCGACAATGGTGGCGACTTAGAATACGACGTGCATACTTGCGGTTCCCTACGTATGATATCGAAAGCCGTGCGACCGAAAGTCTTGGACTTGGGTGATTCAGGGGCCATAAATTTCACATACTAGATCTTGCAACACAGGAGGTGAATATTTTCTGGTAGAAGGATTGGAAGCTGACCGAGCGAGCGGCGATATTTCACCTAACGTTTTCGACGACAAGCTTTCGACCCTTTGGTGCCACAACCAGTTCCATGTGTGTCAGCATAATGTTCGACCTGCCTCGAGAGATTCCGTGAAAGGGAGCAATGTTTGATCACGTAATAACCGAGAAAGGCCAATGAGATAGCATGACCATAGGGCTGATGCATGACATTGGCTTCACAGCATGATGTAGCCGAGACAGGCACCATGGAAGATCGGGGATTCAGATCCTAGTATAGATAGCGAGCGACGAAGACCCAAAGAAAGGTTCCGGAGTCGAATTCCTGCTTGATTGACATCGGAGTTGATACTGTAAGCATCTTCAGAAGGATGGCTTCCAGATGTTCATTTGAGTCAACAAGCGGACGTCGTTATGTCAAGCCCTGTCACGTGATTAGCACGTGACTGGAAGTAGCGCCGGGCGCCGGAAATGGCCCTGCATTTGACACCATCTTCGGCCCCCTTTTTTTTCTCCCTCCACTCCATCATTTTCCCGTTCAGGCTCCAAGCCTATCAATTTTCTCGGTCCGTGGACGGATTTTGATGCGCCTTTCAACGTATGGAGAGCGGAGTTTGTACGCTCTCGGAGTCAGATCAACCCGAAATGGGAGACCGAAGACCAAATGGAGACAATGGAATGTTACGTCTTTATCCAGTTTCAAATCACCGAATGAAGTGGGCTGTAGATCGACTGGAACAATCAACAGTACGATCTAGAGTTTTCAAGTGTATGAAGTGACTTCAATAAGCAGGCGAAAAGGAAGCAAATTTGTTTTTTTAGTTGCACCCTCACCGCTTACTTTTGCCACGGATGAAAACAGGCCTACCGGAAATATCGAGACTGCGTCGCCAACAGATCGGAGCCCGCAACAGGGGAGGCACATTGGGGTAAGAAAAGGGGGAAATCATCGTACAAGGCACTCCGTGGGCAGTACACCAAATGCTCGAGCCACTAAGATGGCGTTTGCTCTCCCCTCTTCCCTTCCGGGCCACCCCCCGAGCATGGCAAGTCGGACCCAGACCCAGACCCAGACCCAGATTCAGATTCAGACTAAAAGTGTGGGAGTGCACCGAACAAGCGAAGACCGAGCGGGCGGAACTAGACCAATAGATGAATATGAATTGCCGTCAGCGGTGAATTGAACGCCCTAGGATTGAAATGAGATTTGGGCCTGATTATCCCTGGGCTTCTCGTCAACAGAATCGAAATAACCTCCAAGATTATCTCATCCTCAAATTCAGCAGAAACACGTCTACAACGCCCTCTCTTCCATACAGGGTGGCATGGAAAAGGTCAGAGCAATACAGCAAAATGGGAACGGCCCCGCGATGATTGAAGGCGGTGAATCAGCTTTCCTTGTGGCTATGCCCTCCCCCCAATGTCCATCTCAGTCCCATCTACTAGCATCGCACTCCGAATGGCCAGTGTCCCATAGAAATTCCCCTGGCAGTAGAACAGACGCTATAAACGAGTAGAAGCCAGAAAGAGCCCTTGGAGTGGACTAGTCGAACACGTAGTTGGGCCATGCACAAGACTAGTCATGGGTGGCACTCAGTGAGAGAGGCGTGCGAAGCCCAACAAGCCCATTAGCCTGCGGCTGATGGTGGGAATAAATAGAAATTCATGGGTCCTCGCTCCCCCCCACAGGGCAATATACAAAACCACCTATCCGTTCTCGTTTTCTGACTCCGTGATCCCAATATCCTTGATCAATCTTTACTCGCTCCCTTTTGAGCCTGTATATATCTCTTTCGTCTGTTGACTCCCACTCCTTTGCATTTTGTCTCCTCTGAAATTTCATCTCCTTACGCCGCTCACCATGTCTAAACGAAATTCCACCAGGCTCGCCAATGGCTCGGTCCCTGCCACAGAGGCAGTTCCCAGCTATCTGCTCACGGGCAAGGTTGCTCTTGTGACTGGATCTGGTATGTTTCAACTTCTCCAAAAGAGCACGCTTCCAGCACTGAACCGGCCTGAACTCTTCGACAACACAACACGCTTCACCGCCTCACCCCTCAAAGCGCAGTCGGCACATTTGAAACTAACCACGCTACAGGACGAGGAATGGGCCGTGAAACCGCTCTCGAACTCGCTCGCCGTGGCGCCGACGTCGTCGTGAACTATGCCAACTCCTCCAAAGCCGCGGATGAGCTCGTCGCCGAGATCAAGGCCATGGGCCGCGATGCCATTGCCGTCAAGGCCAACGTCTCCGATGTCTCACAGATCATTGAAATGTTTGCCGAGGCAAAGAAACACTTTGGCAAGCTTGATATTGTTGTCTCAAACTCTGGTGTCGTTTCCTTCGGCCACTTGAAGGACGTCACCGAGGAGGAATATGACCGTGTCTTCAACGTTAACACCCGGGGCCAATTCTTCGTGGCTCGTGAGGCCTACAAGAACCTCGAGCCCTACGGTCGCATCATTCTGATGGGTTCCATCACTGGCCAGGCCAAGGGAGTCCCCAAACACGCCGTCTATAGTGGAAGCAAGGGTGCCATTGAGACTTTCGTCCGTTGCATGGCTATCGACTGCGGAGATAAGAAAATCACCGTCAACGCCGTTGCCCCCGGCGGCATCAAGACCGACATGTACCACGCCGTCTGCAAAGAGTACATTCCTAACGGAGAGAACCTCAACGATGAACAAGTCGACGAATATGCTGCCACTTGGTCCCCCATGAACCGTGTCGGTATGCCCATTGACGTGGCTCGTGTGACTGCTTTCCTGGCCTCTCAGGACGGCGAGTGGGTCAATGGCAAGGTCATCGGAATCGACGGTGCCGCCTGCATGTAAATGTCGACCAAAGACAGTTCAAGAATTTTGTTTTTTTAGACTCCGACTACCGAAGACCGACGAATGGTGATGAGATGAGGAGTAGAGATGAAAAGATGAGGTGACACACAGGCCCTCAGACATTCCAAAGGATTTTGATGTGACGGGAGAGGACGGGGAAAACCCTTTCAAAGGTCATCTATTCGTCCCCCGACCATGGATGTGGAGAGATAGCAGGCACTGTACCGGGTCAAAAGGCGGTGGAGTTTCAGATCAGAGAATGTTTGCATCCTGGGAACGATCCTCCTAGTTTGCTTGGATTTTGCTGCTTTTCTAGACCGAAATGTTACTATTCTCCTGAGAGCGAATATTATTTTAATATTTCTAAACTTCCTCTCCTGGTAGCTTGGACAACGCTGTCGGCCCTGACTGAATCAGCTTCTTCCGACGACTCTCGAATCGCCTCATTGACAGCCCCTCCAACCGATTCTTTGGCCATCTTATTGGCAGCGCCTGGATTTCTCCTATCTCCTACCCGATCCATCCCCAGGTCCGGCGTCACGTCGTACATACTACATATTGGGCTCAACTACCCTGGCGCAATCGGTGCTTCTGTATTCAGTAGTCGGTGGAGTACTACTATGTACAGTAGCTGTTGGGTCCTACGAGGAGTTGTGCCGTGAAAAAGTGCGACAGCGTGATAATCTAACTTGAAACGTCGCCAGCGGAGGGAAGTTTTCAAAATGCACGCATGCATGGCCTTGTTCGTGTCGTGAAACCAACCTTCGCCATTTGGGCCGCCCAATGGAAGATGTACTCGGCCGTTTAGGAACGCGCGGGTCTCAAAACATCCTTCAAATTCCCCCTTGCGTCAGGTATTCCAATGAGGCCATTCGTTTTCCTAGCTGGCCGATCGTGATGGCCCCGAAGATGGGTAAGAAGAGTTGTACCGTATCGACACGAAAAAAGAAATGTGTTGGCTTACTACCTTCCGTAGTTGCGGATGATATCAAAGCATCTCTCTCCCTGACGAGGAAGGAAAAAGAGGGAAAGATCAGCAAGCGTGCTTATTGGAACTCACAACGTTGAAGGATTCGGTGGCTGAGGGAGCATGCTTACATATCGAGGTCCCCGACGGACCCAACTAGGACGGTCTACCTCAGACCCATCCTGGCGTGCCAACTTGGCGACATTGTTGGATACTCTTTTGAATGTGCATAGGCTGATCAGATCGAGGGATTGCCCCTGAATCGTTCATGGATCATTCCAATAGCTTCGAGGAAAGGGACTGTTGCGGTCTGAGTCACTCTGCGTCGGATCGCGACCGATTCAATCGATAATGATGGCGTTGAAACAAAGTTGAGGCAACATGCTATATGGGAATTTTGTCCGTGGCCATTCCATTGTGCAAATATGTCTGGATGTGGTGGATCTCATCAACTGACGTTCATTCCATAAGTAAGAACATGGCCGCAAATCATCCACGTCGTTCCAACGACAGAGAAGTCACAACAAAGGTGATACGACGAACATGGCCCATCCTCAGGCTTCGGCAATAACGTGGCAATACACTGGATCGGATTTAGATGCCAGGGGATGTAGGAAAGGCAACGAAGAAGAAAATATGCATGTCCTATCCGTCTGATCATCGAACACACAAGGCACAAAGTATCTTTTATTACCCTCCTCTCCGCATCGTGTCTCGATCGTGGTTCACATGCTTCCGGATCGTTTTATGATCATCTAAATGCCGAAGGAAGGAATCCAGACGTCGGATCCACTAGTTGAGAGCTGTGGAAGGCTACTTCCCGGAGCTCAAGCAGACAGAAGCACGACACTCGGTGGAGAGAAGGGTAACAGATAGGATCCAGATGGCGAGAACTCATAAGCTATGAGTCCAATGTGCAAGAGCGGTTCAGGGGTCATGGGTCTTGAAAATTCTTGTTAATGCCAACCGTCGTATACGTCGAAGCTCCACCATACTCATCTTGAACTTTCCGTCTTCCTAGCTCCCGCATATCCTTATCCGCTGTATCCCAAGACCGTTGCAGTTGTGAAGCGCCCCTTCATTGGCCAGCCTTGTTTGAATTTAATCTTCTTTTTCTTTCAAACTCTCACCAGACCGAACTCTTTCAAGCACTTCTTTGACGACACCTCCGAACCATTCAAAATCCCTGAGTTCTAAGTAGATCTGACCTGACACTCGGACCCAGATGCTGCGATTGTAGGCGTAGATGGAAGTGCCAACATTGTACTCCTTGACTAACGTTTTGTTTATCCACGCCACATGCGTGTGTATGTCCTTTTCTTGAATGATGACCGGATCCGTCAACTGAAGATTCGAGTCGTGGTCGATAATTGTGATGGGGAGGAGTACATTTGCCATCGCACAGTCTCTTAGGCCACAGGACCGGCGACCATTGTTCACTTCAGAACTAGTGTCGACGATATCCATGACTTTGGTTCCGAGGATTTTGGCGAGTAGGTCAGCCCCTTGCTGCGCAATGGCACGGATATAATTGTAGATATTTTCTTCTCCGCCACATTCATTCTGTCGAAAATCAATTGCCGCTGGTACACAATAATATGGACAGTTGTCGGCCGTACCGACGTACGAGAACATGTTGACAAAATACGATGATTCGATATCTTTCTTTGGATTTCTGGGAGGCGAAGAGTCGATTGGGGCCCAGCCCCAGGAAGTCGGATAGGTTGTTCGAATAAGATGCTGATGGCGTTTCGGTATGTATAAGACGGCGCAGCCCCTTGGTGTGTACAGCCACCTGTAGAACTGTTAGCAAGCCTTGGTGCCGCCTCGAGAAATCTCATAGACCAAGGCCTGACAAAACTCACTTATGACAGTTACTGACGAAAAAGTCCGGAGAGAACTCTCCCAGATTGAGGGCGATCTGGCCAACGCCGTGAGCGCCATCAATCACACTCATAATACCGTGCTCCTTGCATATGTTCGTGATGCTTTCGAACGGAAGTCTGACCGCGGGGACGGAAGTAATGGTATCAAAGACACACACCTTGGGTACTAGTCCCTCGGCCAACACTTGGTCAATGGTCTGTTTCACGGCGTCGATAATTTCCGAATGTGCACAAGGGAGCAGGTATCTGATCTTGCGTAAATGAAGTTGAGGGTTAGTCTCAACGATCGAGAACAACGTTTTTTCACAGGCTCCATAAATTGTGTCAAAATAAATAATGCAATCTTTGTCGTTGTATTGAAGGTTTCGTAGGACTGTGTTTACACCGGTTGTTGCATTCTGGACGAAGACACATTCCATTGGCGAGACATGAAGGAGTTGTGCTATTCGGTTTCTTGACTCATTGAGAAAATGGACAAAGTCATATCGCATAAATTGGTCGGGAACTTCTTCGGCGAGCTCTTGATATTCGCGCAGAGTGTTGCGAATTGAAAGAGGGTAGGTACCAAAAGAGCCTAAAGATTGTTTTCATTAGACCTTTCATTTTTCAACTGCCATCCCAAATTATAGCAGACGAAGCAAAGTGCCTACCATGATTTAGATTCGTGTATCCAGGACGAAACAGAAACTGGGATTTGAACACATGACCAAATTCAGTCCCTTTGCCAGATGAACCCATGTTGAACTTTTATCACGTCAATGAGTCAGCCGGCTCCTGCCTCTCTAGCATCCATGAATGAGGATCTTTGGTGGGAGTTCGATGAGATGCTAGCTGATGAACTAGCTGAGCGGTATAGTCCTATCTCTGTATCAGGGATGAGTAATGAACAACTAGAGATAAAGAAGCACAGAGGGATGAGGAGAAGTTTTCACTGTGAAGCCAGGAACCTCCAAAAAATCTTTTTGGGGGAAGAATTTTCAAATCAGGCTGTAGGCCCCACCTCATCCAAGATGTGCACACTCCCGCCAGCCGAACTCTAGAGCAAGAGAGGAGTATGAAGAGCACCCCAGTGAATCTCTTACAGCCAACTATAAGAACGGGATTATCCGATCCTGATATGGATATGCGGAAACTTGTGGAGTCGAACCAAGACGTCGGTAATTCGCATCTTCAATTATCTGAAGAATTCGCAAAGATTTCTCTCGCCCTTGTCCCTGAAAGGCTCGCGACAGCTCTTTGCCTGGAAGTTGAGAATGAGAAGGGTGATGCGATAGTTTATACCGTTGTAGCGTATACAGCCTCATAGCTTTAACGGCTCGCAAGGCAGAGACAGGTACGCAAGAAATATCAGAGCATGATCCAAAGCAGAAAATGAACCCTTCTCTGGGAAATGCCGGAGTTGATTTCCGCTCCCCGTGATGGATAGTTCACGATCCTCAATTAAAAAGAACCCTCCCTGCCCGCTCGTAGCCGCGGCAGCAGGGGGGAGCTTAGATAATAATACCCCACCCAAACCGATTGGGAGAGTGGATACATACACAAGATCCCCCGAGCAGCCAATGACAAGGCATTGAATAAACAAAAGCGGCCTTCGGGACAACCTACATCTCAGAAAGCTCTTGATAAGGCCAGCACCACGGTGTTAGAGCGGGCTTCTCAAACACGGACTGGGTAATGCACGCGAAGATGAATAGAGAAAATCGTGAAAAGGTGTGCCGCAAGTAACCGCTTATCATATTGTAACCCCCTTCGAAAGACATTGACAAATGCAGTGGCGATAATCTCCTGAACCCTAGCCTTGTTGCCTCGTTAGGATCAGAGTGCCAAAGGCGAACAAAAACATTTTCAGATATTCGCCAAAGTGGGGCCCATGCGGAGGTTACGAATGATATCCTCATTCAGACGGCCTAGACACGTGGGCTCAAGCACACCTGGCCCGGTTCAACTGAGGTTTCAGCGAGTCGCTGTTTTCCCGATTGTCTTGGTGATTTCGCTACATAAGCCCAGCTATCTAGCCAAAACACTGACTCGACTACAAAAGACATCGAGTCAGTGAAAGCGGAAGAACTGGAATGGCCTCGCTTGTCTTTCACGCTTCATGAATGAGAGCACCGTCAGAAAACCGATGGAACAGTGGGGCACCTCGGAAGATCAGGGTCAAGCTGGATCTCAATTTCACTTTGCAGAGATATACTAACTTCTGCTCGAATGTTACGGCCCTTATCTTTGAGGAGCCCAGACTCGAACTCGCCCTGGGGGGAAGTCTCTTCTTCATTCTTCGTCAACAAGAAATGGCGACCGACACTCACGCGGAGAAAGAGGCAGAGCTATCAACATCTGCTGCTAACCAAGATGGCAGCCAGCACAGCCCGGATGTCGAGGAGGGAACTCATGCTCCAGCCAGACAGAAGCTCGGTCGTGACTTTCAAAGTCGACACATGCAAATGATCGCCATTGGTGAATTCTGGTTGGGTCCAACCGGTATGATCATTCATTTCTGATATTGCTTGACAGGAGGATCTATCGGTGCTGGACTCTTCATCTCCTCCGGTGGTGCACTATACACGGGAGGTCCCGCGGCTCTGCTTGTTGGGTATCTTATTATCGGCGTGATGATCCTCTGCACCGTACAGGCACTCGGTGAACTGGCAGTCATGTATCCAGTGAACGGGGCTTACTACGTCTACGCTGTCCGCTTCATCGATCCAGCCTGGTGAGAACACGGGACACTAATTCCTTGAGTTGTGAATACTGACCAAGAGACATAGGGGCTTCGCCATGGGATGGCAGTATGTACGGGGCTGGCTGATCACTCTGCCTTTTGAGATTACCGCTGCCGGAATTACAATCAGTTATTGGCATGAGTACAACATTTCCATTTGGATTGTGGTGTTCCTTTCTCTCCTGGTCCTAGTTCAGTACTTTGGTGTTAAGGGTTATGGCGAAGGTAAGCGATACTCTTTTTATTTATTCACCGTATCCCAACTAACAACGGACCAGTTGAATTTATCCTGGGTCTCATTAAAATTATTGCCATCGTCGGCTTCGTTATCTTTGGCATCGTTGTTGATTGCGGCGGTGTCCCTATGGACGATCGTGGATATATCGGATTCCCGATACTGGGACGATGCAGCGAATGGAAACACGGCCTTTCGCAATGGTATGGATGAGATTTGACAGACCACTTGGACTTGATACGCTGATGCCCTGGTTGAATATGGAGAATGCTTACTGATATCTTTCACAGGATTCAAGGGCTTTTGCACCGTCTTCGTCGTCGCCGCATTCGCCTTTGCAGGCACCGAACTCGTCAGTCTCGCCGCCGCCGAAGCAGCAAACCCGCTAGAGGCCCTACCTAAAGCCACAAGACAGGTCATCTTTCGGATTGCGGGCTTATACATCACCTCCCTTCTGATCGTCGGCCTCATCGTACCAAACAACTCAGTCGACCTCCTCGGCGCATCTGGCGCCAATACGAAGGCCTCTCCGTTTGTCCTTGCAATTCAATACGCAGGAGTCAAAGGTCTCCCGTCCGCTTTCAATGCCGTGATCACCATCTCGGTTCTCTCAGTCGCCAACTCATGTACCTACGGCTCCACACGTACAATGCAAGCACTTGCCGCCGATGGCATGGCTCCTCGATTTCTTGCCTGGATCGACCATAAAAGCCGCCCTTTCTGGCCGATCATCATTCAACTACTCTTTGGTTTGCTGGCCTTTATCAATTTGGCTGCGAGCGGCGAGACCGTGTTTTACTGGCTCCTGGCTATTAGTGGACTTTCAGTCTTCTTCATCTGGGGCTCGATTTGCCTCAGTCACATTCGGTTCCGAGCGGGATGGAAAGCGGCTGGAAGATCTCTGGATGAGATTCCTTCCGTATCTCCACTCGGCGTCACGCTTGTTTGCGTCTGTTTAATAGCGACATTCTACGTCGCTTTGTTTCCCATCGGTGGTGAGCCGAATGCAGAGGCATTTTTGATGAGTTATCTGGCTGCTCCTATCGCCGTAGTGCTGTTTATATTTTGGAAGTTTTGGAGCAAGGACAGTGGGTTTCTGGTGAAAGTGATGGATATGGACCTTGACAGCGGTAGGAGAGAGTTTCAGGAATATTTGGAAACGATTGAAAGGGGAAGCAAGGCGAAACAGAGTCTTGGACGTCGGGTGATGGGTCTCTTCGTTTAAACTAAACTTCAAAAACCACGAGGCTAGTTCAGGTTGCGTTGCTCACGGTAGAACATAGATCAAGGACTATTGATATTATTTGTTTCTATAAGTAGGTATCATGCCATATAAGGTCGCTGCCTAGGAGAGTTTCCGCTTAGAGGCTCAAACTGGGTGGTCGTTCCCAACATCGCTGGGTCCTTCTGGTTGACCAGCGAGTACGGTCCAGCCGTATGGCTCTGAGCATAGCTGAGTTGCGGTATATCCGGGGTCCCAATCCGAACAGGCTTCCATCCGACTTGCCGAATCCACACTTTCGTGTCCGAGTGCAGGTCTCCTTCCTTGGGGAACAGGAAGGCACCAAGCATCCGCCCAGCTGAGAGACTCCATATGTAATGCCGCAGACGGCCGATGCTACCGTGACCTAGCACCATGGTCAACAGTGCACCGAGAGAGACAAGTACCGTCATAACCAGACAGATAGCTGCCGGGATACCATAGAGGAGATGATATCGAATTCGGCGCTCGTATATTTGGATCGGCACCGTATCATCAGTCGTTGTAGTGGCGCCACTATCCTGTCGTTTGCGAAGTTTTTGGCCGTCGCCTTGCAAGTTTGGAGGCATATAATCCACATCCGTCAACCAGCTCCTAGTGCCTACGAAGTAGTTCGCCGCATAGTCCGTCCATATCAAATTGATGATATGAGCTGCACCCGTAGCGTTTGCGGACAGTCGTTGCCATTTCGACAGTAACGCCAAATTACTCGCGGCAGAGTAGTCAGTGCCCTCGTCCACAGAACTGGAACTTGTACTGTACAGCTTGTTCCATATCTTCGCCGGACCGCTGACGCCGGGGTTGAAGTCGTTTCCCTTATTATTGCTGAGAGCGATCTCGAACACGGTCGCGCTGGAGGCTGGGACATAGAGTTTCTCCGAGCGAATGGTAGATAAATTCACGCTGTTTTGGAGATCAGGTGAAATCAGCCCAAAAAAGGGGTCAAGGTCATATAATTCCATGTCCGGTGTCTCCACGCCCCAGAGAGGCATCGACGATTTGTTCTGGTAAACTTTATCCGTGAGTTTGATCACGGTGAGACTATTGAGTCCGTCATTCGTGGTTGCGTTGAAGTTGAATCGAATGGTTTTGATCGTGGCTTTCGTTGCACTTGAGCAGGAATAGATTGGTCTGGTCCACCATGACCCGGGCTCGACAACACTGCTTTGAGATCCGTCAACGCGCTTGGAAGGACCAACAAGGAGACCGCATCTCACGTCGATATTGGTCATGTTTGCATAGTCGCCGCCCATGGCTCCGGTGCAGAATGGTTGAATGTCTGTATAGTTTACCGTCGTTATGTTCCATGGGTTCGGATAGTAAGGTGTCTCGCTGAAGGAGCTGTTGAATATTTCAAGCGAGCCATTTGAAAACTCAAAGGCGCTGGGAATGCCGGAGATGAGACCATCAAAGTCTTCAAAGGCAAGCTGATCCTTAGAAAGGGTCGTAAAGGAGTTGTTGACAGGAAAGCGGTGACCAATTTCCGAGTTCATGTAGGCACTTCTGTTGGTGTCTGGCTTGGTGACATTGAGATAGTACATGTTTTGTACGTTCATCCACCAAGCAGCGCGGTAAGCCCGTGCACTCAAGCTCGGATCATTGTTCTCTAGTAAAGCGTCTTGCAGGTCACGGTGCCACGATTCGAGCCAGGGGCTTGTCTTGTTGACATTGACGTATCCTCCTTGGTCAACCAGATACCCCGAAGGGGCCGATGAATTGTAGGCTGAGTTGAGCGGCGACACTTGTACTTCCAGGGTGATGTTTGTGTTTACACACACCGTTTCTGGCTCGAGAAACAAAATATCTTCGTCCCACTCTGCTCCATATCGTAATCCGGAAGGGGCGGTATGCTTCCGGAACCCAACGCCCCCATTTCGCATGTCAACCACCAATCCGTCGATCAGGGAGATCGAGTCATCCAGCACCATGGAGCCCATCGGTCGAAAGCTGTCAACGAGATAAGTCTGGTTGTCGATGCTGTATTGGTTTTCATATTGATATTGTCGAGCTTGGATGTCAAAATAACTTGACACGCTGCGAGGTTGTTGATGTAGGCCGCTTTGGTAGAGTCTAACAAGAACTTCTGGGATTCTTCGATCGTAATCGTCGTTGACGATGGTGGCATTGCCATAGTATTCGTCTGCGTCTATAACGACAGTGGTCCCAGGACATTGTACCGGTAGACTGCCCCAACACTGGCGTGAAAATCCCAGGTCGGATCGAGGCAGCGTGCCATATCCCATTATCCCGGAGTCGTCCACCAAAGAGAAAGTGGCAGGTTGCGCGTCTTCCGTCAGTATAAGACCTTCGTAAAGGCCCATCGGCGTGACGATGGCAGCAGCTGCGATGAGGGCGAGACTGAGAGGACGAACCCACGTTACGAGATTGATCTTGGAAGGAACTTGATTTGACGCCGCCATGTCGGATCTGAGAATTACTGGCCATAATGAATTAGAGAGGGATCGTGAAACAACCGACCAAGTCACTGCGCTGTGTTCCTGGGATAAAGCAGCGACGAGGATGACCACAAGAGCATTAGGAACAATGAGTTGCATCAATGTGATTGCAATGGCAATGAGACCAGAAACCACCCCGACGCTGAGGTCCATTGTGTCTGGTGGTGTCGCATGGGAACGTAAAAGAGTGTATAGTGTTGGGAAACCTTTTGATCCTCTACCTGTGTAAATAGGGTCTTCGCGTGTTTAAACATTCGTAGTGCTGGCGTTACTCCCTTACCAGTACCCGCATTTGATTGAGGCACCCTGGAAAAAGGGTCACTTAAGCAGCTGAATCCGAATACGCCAACTGTGGCGCAAAGGCCAAGAAACCTTTGACACACACTTCGAAATCAGTTTAAACATGGGATCACACAAAGCCAAGCGTCTTGTTTAGATTCGTTGTGTTGCAGAACATGATGGCAATTGCGAAATGATGGACAATACGATCAGGGGATCCGAGAATGGTCAAGCTTCGATGGAGACTGTATCCCTCAGGTATTCGCGTTGTGTTCATATGATGCCCGCAGAGGCTCACCATCTTCTAGAGCGCCTAGCATATATTGAGCTTGAGTTTTCTTAATTGCATAGAGACATAGTACAAAGGGTTTCTGCATCGGCCTATCATGTATGCATATATTTGTGGAAGCATAGAAGACCAAGACGCCAATTGGGGCCGGAACAGTTTCATCTGCCGCTAGCCCGGAAACTTGTTCAACGGTTGTTGAGCGATCAGGACAAGCAATACCCCGGAGAAGATCATCAATACCAAGACGAAGAGCCCCTTACAGGGCTGTTCTTGATTAATTGTTAGCCTCGCAAAAAATGCCGCTTCAGGAACAGAATGCATCTTGAGGCATGCGATGGAATTTGGACCGTGGCCCACATATCATTTGGGCATTCGATTTGAAGAGCAGCTCAACTCATCAATGATGTTCGAATCAGATGGGAGATAAGAGTGCATCCATCTCGGATTGTGGCCATCAAGAGGCCTTGATCATATCTTTTGGAAATTTCGGGTATGCAATTCCGGATTCCCCTGTTTTGCTGTCGTTCAGGGCGGCTTTTTTTGGAGGGGGCCGTGAATATCGATGTAACTCATCATCTCGTCTAATGGATCTGATTCTTATCAAGACAGCCTGTGCCACTGCGGCTCTAGATCTTGTTATGGTAGTTTTCACCTCTTACTCATTGCTTTCGAAACCAAATCCTCATCCAAGGCATACGGCTCTCCATCCTCTCCAAACACGACGTCATCTTGCAAATAAACGAGGATGCCTCGACTTCTTCTTTCTGCGTCTTGAAGCCGATAAAGTAAGCGACCAAAGGCATCAGACTTGTGTGATGAGTGTAGTAATAAATTGTTCTCGCTGCACCACTCTTCCACCAAGGCCTTGAATGTGATTTCTTCCACGTCTGCTCTACCAGGCGGGATCGATCCAGCACCAGCCGCTGAGGATTGGGCAGTTTTCGTCGGAGGAAGTGGTTTGGGTCGACGCGATCCAAGCAATGGTTTCCATGTCGGCCAGCTCTCACTATCAACTTTGGTTTTCACTAATGATTTGAGCTCTGCGAAGCGTTCCAGATCAAGACTCTCCGAGGACAACAATGTCCACCAGTCGAAGAGCCAGGTATGAAGATCAGGGGCAGATCTTTTGGATTTGTGAGAGCTGACGGAAGAACGGCCGGGGGTAGCAGTTGCTGAGTCGACGGTTTTGGGAAATCGTTTGACCGCTTCAATTAGTTTGGGTAGGATGCTTTCGTGGAGTATCTTGTAAGTGAGCCAGGGTGGTAGAATCTTAGACCACGATATGATCAGCGTGTATGCTGAATCCGGGTCGTAGACATTCCATTCTTTTCCCAAAGCTGTCCGAATTCGCGGATACCAGTGCAGAAGGAGGAGTGATTCGAAATAGGATGTGCGCTTGCGGTGTCTTGAGGTGATTGATCTCTCGAGTTCAAGAAGTTGATCCATGGATTGAAATGAGTCAATGAGGTGCGTCGGTTGCGAGAGTGGCTGCCATTCAGCCATTTCGCGGCGAAAGAGGGGTTCAAGACAAGAAGCTGTGAGTTCAGCAAGTGAAAGCTCGGATACGTGATTCGAATATCGAGCTTGGATGTCCCGAAGGCGGGAGATGGATGAACCCCAATCTCGAGACTCATTAGAATCGTCGACGGCGACTCGCTCAAACGCTGATATGATGTCGTTGTAGCGCTGGATTTCCTCCTCGTGGAGTGCCAGTGCTGCGCCGATCTGGGTGTGTTCCATGTCAAGACGGGCTTCTTGCTCCTTAGTTCCGTCCCAGGCGTCGGCAAATGCCTGCAATTGCAATTTTATGCGAGCAGTCGCTTTGGCCACCTCCAATCCGGGTCCAGGTGAGGCTTCTCGAGTGGGAGTTGAAAAGCCTGACAATGAGGTTAGCGTTTTGGTCTCGGAGCCTGTTGCATCGACTATGATTTGCTTCATCGCCTCAGGGACATGGAGGCCTCTGGATTCGATTGCCGTGACCGCATACTTTGCTTTGGGAGGAGCTTTGATCCGCGGTGTACCTGTTCCCGGCGTCGACCCTGTAGATGAGGGCTTGTCTCTTCCCGGCTCTTGTTTCTTCCGGGGAGGTTCAGGTGTTCCGCTACCTTGACCTAAGCCAGCTCGACTTTGCAACACCTGGGCCTGAATCGGAGCCGTTATACCTTGTCCCGATTTTCCTAGACCTTGACCTTCAACGTAGCCTTGTTTGGCCATCATCCTCGCTGCGAACGAGTTCTTTTGAATTCGGCCTCCTGTACCGAAGGCGGAAGGGCCAAAACCGCTACTCTTCTCTGCTTGTCTTCGAGGAGACATATCTGGTGGAGGTACGGGGCTGTCTGGTTCTCCATCGTAGTTGTATTCGCCGATGTTGAAAGAACTGCGGAAACCACCCATACCCTGTCCCATTCCCATCGAAGGCTTCTCATCATCGACATCCTCCTCTTGATCATCTTGGTTTTCTTGTTCCCCATCCTGAGCAGTGGACTTGACGAAACCCAGGCCGCGACTGCGCAAGGTTTTCATGGTTTTTCTTCGCTTGTTTGGTCGCTCGTCATCAGTGTCTTCGTCATCGTAGTCGCGGAGATTGAAGGGTTGATCGTCTTCTGACGAGTCGCTCATCTTGACAGAATGCTGGCAAACGGGAAGATTTGGTAAGATTTGAACCGTAGCTTGCGCATCGAGTCTCTGAAGAGCGCAGAACAGTGGCCTATCTGAACGAGGCTCGACAGCACATCCCACTGGTAATTCCGTCTCGATATTTATGTCGACAGCCCTCTCGGCCTTATAATTTGCCCGTTTGGAGGTCGTAAGAAAATATCGGTTTCAGAATATTCCGGGATCCGCAGCACCTTTTTTTTGGGGGGTTTGAGCGTTGAAGATCTCAGATCTGCGAACGAAAACGCCGCCAGTGGGTGCACAAGTGGGTGCCCAGGCGTGACGTAAGGCGAGGCTCACTCTCCACGGCCATTCTCCCACTCCGGCCGAGCTTCGGAAAAGAACATCCATTTGAGTGCATCACTAACCATCACAGCATTTATCCTTCTCCTCTCTTTAGAAAATCCTTAATTGCGTGTTGAATTCCCCCCTTCCCGCCAACACTTGTGTAGATTCAGCATCAAACGGCATCATGTCTTCCCTCTTTCGCTCCGTCGCCCGTCCGTCGACCCGCAGAGCAGTAGCTTCCACCAAGCCATTGAGATGCATGACCACAATCGATAGAACATTCATTCGGACCAGAGCAACTCTTCCCGACCTTGCTTGTACGTTTTCTGGAGATAGGGTTCCCTTGAGTTTTGCATGGCTGACTAGACCTTCCATCAGATGACTATGGCGCCCTGGAGCCCGCCATTTCTGGCAAGATCATGGAACTCCACCACAGCAAGCACCACCAGACCTACGTGAATTCGTACAACGATGCCTCGGAGAAGCTTGCCGCCGCCGTGGCCAACGACGATATCACTACCAAGATTGCCCTTCAACCATTGATCAACTTCCACGGTGGTGGTCACCTCAATCATACTTTGTTCTGGGAGAACCTCGCACCTAGGAGCGCCGGTGGTGGGGAGCCTCCTTCTGGTGAATTGGCCAAGGCCATCGACGCCACCTATGGTGGCTTGGAAGAGATGAAGAAGAAGTTCAACGCTGCATTGGCTGGTATTCAAGGGAGTGGCTGGGCTTGGTTAGTCAAGGATACCCAGACAGGAAACATTGCCATCAGGACATATGCCAATCAAGATCCCGTGGTTGGTCAATTCAAGCCTTTGCTAGGTGTCGATGCTTGGGAACATGCTGTAAGAGAATGCTCTAGAGTTTCTACCGGGAAGGATTGCTAATATCGAACTAGTATTATCTTCAATACCAGAACCGAAAGGCCGAATACTTCAGCGCCATCTGGGATGTCATCAACTGGAAGGCTGCGGAGAAGAGATTCGGCAGCTAAACATGTAGAACAAAAGGTGGAAAGTGTACACCAATGGAAATATGATTGTAGCAATATTGCAGGCGAGACGGTCGATTGATAATTACCTCTCAGCTTGCGGATGTGAGCACAAACACCATTTTGTGGTCACCTCCTTTCATGCCCTGTCTTTGCGGCCCGGCTCTCACTCCCTCCTCTCCTGTACCAGTCTCATGCCTTCCATGATGTTCCCTACGAACCCTTTATCAATCGCGTCCTCTGCACAAAACACACCCTTTGGATATCGCTCCCACCGCAACCAATCCTCAACACGAGCTCTCTCTTTGGTCGTTGGGCTGAGGAGTCCAGCTCCCATGTCAATTGTGTCCAGGCCGTCCTTATAATAAAAGACAGTCGCACCACAGTTGACACAGAAGTATCGATCGACATCGGACGAAGTGTTGTAGTGGCCTAGTCTTGATCTGTCGGCGAGGAGGTATTCCAAGTCTTGCGAGCCAGCGTGAATCAGGCCTCTGGGGATTGTTATCCAGCTTGTTACTTCAAAGCCACTGACAAGTCGGCATGAGGTACAGGCGTCGAGAGATGCTCCGAATTTGCCCGTTCCCTCGTTGAAGCCTCTCTCCGGCCGTGCGATCGAGATGCTGACCTTTCGACAGTGACAATGGGCTTGAAGCAGGCCCATGTCATCGAGCTGAGTTTCGGACGGCCTTTTCTGAAGCTCGTCGTAGTCTCCTCCCATGACCTTGGCAACAATCTCGTCGCTAACAAGCCCACTTTTCCTCCCTTGCCAATGCCTGTCCATGCCTGCCAATTTTCCCTGATTGATCCAGCCGGTAGCTCCCCCGTCAGCCTTGACATCTTCTACCCAAAGTTGGACTCTATTCAACTGGTCCTCGAGGCCTTTCTCGTCTTGAAAATGAAGCACCCCTGTGGCGACCTCCCATTCATCTGCTCCGTCTCCCCTGTCGATATTGATGATACTGGCTCCACATTTCTTGCAGAACCAACGTTGACATGTCGATGAAGAATCGTACCTCACTAACCCATCACTCTGCAACACGTCGGTCGGCAACGGAACAGGAATAACGGCGAACGTGGCGAAAAGCTGTCCTGTTGCATGGCGACACGAATTGCAATTACAGACAGCAGATTTTAATGGGAGGGAAGAGGATGGAATTGAAAGGGGGAATGATGTCAGTCGGCAGTGACATTCGACTTTGGCAGCGACAAGCATTGTTCATCTTTGCCGTCCCAGATGTCATGATATCAATTTCTCCTTGCCGTTCTTCAAAAGAAGTTTCTTCGAAGATTTAACATACAACTTTTACAGGGCTCCTGGATCGGTCGAGATCATTGGACCCTCAGACAAGAAAGTCTAGACTCGTATTCGGACTGCCGCTTATCATGGGCACGCAACAGTCAAAGTTTTCCCGACAAAGTCCAACACGCCCTTCGACATCTAAATAATTGACCTGATCTCAGGCATTCTCCACCAACGAGTTTGAATGTCGCTCTGGCGGTCAACGTTGTCCATCATGGTTCATTTGAGCCCTTTCATTCTCGAAGATGTAATTTGTTACTCCCGTACAACATGTATATACTTTCACTGACAACGGTTCCTTTCTTCGCCGTAGAATTATGGCACAGCACCCCCGGCTAGCCAACCGAACGTTGATCTACTTAGCTGTCGTACAAACAAATCCACACCTTTTCGTACGCTTTCAATGATCATATCTATGTCTTGGTCAAACTGTGACAGCTATCGTCCTGAGCCATCAATATTGCCAGGTGCTCCGCACGAGCTCAGCAATCTTTCGAAGCTGGGCGCTGCTAGTCATCGGCCAGGTCGATAATGACCCTCGGTTTTAGGAGGGGGCGGAGGCAATGCGAGCAAATCATCTTCATCTTGGTCCTTAGACTGTACATGGATTCATATTGGCACAGGCCCAGTTGCCTCATTTTCTGTGGAGTCAGCACGCTCTTAACATCCTTGCATCCATCGGTGACACCATTTTCGATCCTAAAACGGAAGACACTCGAGAGTACTCAGCAAAAGAACCAGTGGCTAGAATCCTGAATCACCAACTACCCCGCAAAGCAAGAAATCGTTTGATTGACCATGAATTCCAACTAGTGGCCTAGAACATCCATGCGCACTAGCTTGGTTTTGCAATTCTAATTGACGACAAATCCTAGTGGATGGTAGATCTAGGTGTCTCGGACATGACATAATTAGAAGGTATGCTTAGGATGTAGCCAAATAGATATGGGGGATGATCAAAACTAGTAGCCAGAAAACATGTGCTCGGTGGCGGGAGCAACTCCATGGTACAGGACTCAAATGCAATGGCGTTGGTTGCCATGTCAATATCTCACAAGGTGATTCATGATTGCTGTGTAGAAGAGAAATATCCAATGAATTCGCCTTCTTTCGATTCCATTTTTGTCTCCAATAGCTCCTTCAGCTGCTGGCGCACTCTGGACTCTCAGTCAACCTTCAACCTAACCTATTGCTGTCCAGAAAATCAAACATGGCTTGATACCCAGCAGTGGCATTCTGGTGCAAAGTATGCCCATGTCCCGTTCGAAGCGGAATATACGTGTCGAGAGTCGAAGTTTTGGACAAAAAGTTTCTTTCAACCATGTCAAGTTGTATGAGTCTTTGCAATCACCTCCGCATAGAGCGAAAATCATATTCAACTAGGAAGTACTGTTGTGCACGCCATCGGATCAGCAAATGACCGTGAACAACTTATCAGACGATATAAATGGTATGAATGACAAGATACCTACCTACATGAGCCCCACAAATTTCAACGCAGGCAATCCGGTGACCTTGAAAGTGGACCTAAATTCCCCGACCGTGGCAGGCTGCAGGATCTCATTTCCATGCTTGAGCATGTCGGGATCCAGAAGACCTTGATTACTGAAGAAACCCCGCTGCAGGCTACTTTCTGTGCCGATAACGATGTATCCATTTCCGCGACCTGCGAATTTGATGGGGTCGTTCCTCGCTTCGTACTGCCAGCCAAAGGAGCTGTCTATACAAGGCAGAATACAGGTTGAGGACGAAGTCGGTTTGGATAGCACCATCGCTGAAGTCTCCATAATATGCAAGCAGTGCACCGGTCAGGAACGATCTGTACGAGTAGCCTGTGTAGACAAATTTAGTGAGCACTAGAACAGCGCCGGGGAAGAGTTTAGACTCAGCGGTCTTTACAATCTGCTCTGAGCGTGACATAGTTGTGATTTCCTTCAAGATTTCAAGCTGAAGCGGAGCTTGGACAATGTCGTATGTGTCAGGTTTGTCAGACTCTCCGGTCCCCAAGGCGATCGTAGGTCAAGATTGAGCAGCCGGCTGCCACCGCGGTGCGGATGTGGGAGTAGTTTTCGGGCTCGACTTCGGCGTCCCAGTATCGTCGACATCACGAAGTCCAGGTCAGTCAATCAGTATGTAGTGGATCACAGCTTCAAATGTATACTCATCAACACTGCAAGCCACAGAGAAAGCAGAGTGCAACTCTCCTCTTATCAAACGCGATCCCATGCGTTGCGATCTGAAGAATTTCCCTTTTCGCCCCACTGCCAACTGCGGGCACGCACTACTGTGCACTGATGTCGGAAGTATAATTGACCTGTAACGCGTGCACAACGCACACAGACGCGTGGAGATGTGACCAAGTGTCTACATCCCAAGCATAATTGACGCGGCCGATGTTATGCGGAGCGTCGTAGATGGAGTTATTCGCCGAGACCGTCACGGGGACGGTGAAAGCTGCACACTCCATATCTGGTGCTGTACTTGTATGGGGTCGGAGCTGTCACGGTGATGGTTGGAGAAAGCGAGGACGGCGTAGCTGAATAGAAGAAGAGATGAGATAATGAGAGGGCAATTGTTGAGAATCAACATGATTTTGCTATTGTTGTACATATTGGATCACAGATTGATAGACAATTACCGTCGAAATTTGGAGATTGGTATATGGAAAAGAGTACGAATAGTCTTTCTCTTATATTTAATATTGCATCTACACATCCTATGACGATGTCGATCCTGCCGATAAAACCCCCGCGTAAGGTCCGGGCCCCTTGAAAACCTCTGGGGCGATCGAATCTGAGGATTGGTTGTCGTTCCCTCGTATATATGGTTTCTGAACGTCCTTGCAAGCCCTTGTCCGCTCATAGCCTACCCTGCTGCGCAAGGCTCTGAGTGGGTCATCCCTAGTTGATCAACATCACCGAAGCCTCGTCAGCAGTGGGGCGATCCACTTTGACCCATACGGAGGGATATTCTTCTTTGTTCGCCGGCCCAGCGCTCGACCAAGAGAACAAGCTGGATGAGAGGATAAGAGGTTTGTATCTGGGATTAGATATTATTTAGAATGTGCTGACGGAATGGTATACTTTGTGGCTATCCAGATCAGCGGAATGGTTAGAGTTTTACTGGGTGAGATTAAGCGAGCACGCACACGAGCTGGGCCAGGATCATAACGCAGACGACTCGAGGGATTGGGGACCCACTTCTTAACGGAGCAGGACGTCACCGTGGGGAAAGCTAGTTATCTAGCATTTTGTGCATGCGTTTGACAATGCCTCAAGCTGAAGCTGTGGGAATGATATCGTATATGTCTTCCTGATCACCGCAGCTTATAGTCTCGGTCGGCGCCATGCTTCATCTTGTGTTCATCCATCCGTGCTGAACTGTCGGCCAGGAATGGATCGGGAGAATACACAAGGCAAGAGGTCGAGAGGATATAATGAACAGGTTATCTTGGAAACTTATACAGACTGACCTGCACTCGTAGTTCTGATCCTTCGACAACCAATACGATAATTTTAGATCATGCTTGCAGCCACCGATCACAGTAATCACGGATCCCAGAATCGGAAAATAATCTTCCTCTTGTTGGAGGAATCTTATGTCCGATTCGATTGCTGGGGGAAAGTGGACGTATATATGCTTTTCCGGTTTACCCTTTGTACACAAAGGGAGTAGATCACCCAAATCAATGACCCAAGGAATAATTAAAAAGGACAGCAAGAAAGAGCGAGATGGCATTCCGCTAAACGGGTTCCGGGCGTCAATGGGGGGCGCTCTACATTTTCACAGGTTGTATCGTCCAGAGAAGCTCATCATCTGGCGGGAGATAAGATCTGTAAGTCAATGTTACTTCATAGCGCGTCTCGTTAAGGTTGATATGGATGGATGGATAGAAGAAAGCTGTATCTGCCATAAGAAGATTGATTGAAAGAAATGACTTGCATAGAGAGTGATGTATCAACATTGCCAATCGGCAGTTAGCTGAACCCCTTCGCCTCTCAGCCTCTCACGCTTGTTGAGCTTTGCACTCCATTAGCCGGGCCGAGCCGTAACACTCTGGCGCCAAAGGCTAATTAACCAATGACCGATGATTGATGGTTGATGATATAGTGTTTTGATCCCACGCCTTTCTGTCTTCCATTCAGTTTGCGAGTGATACTAGGAACAGATAGAGCGCAACCCGAAAGATGGCACTGTCTCCCCCGTTTTTATAATTTCTTGATGTTAGGTCGACATGTCGTTTCATGGATAAGGTAATGAAGATATAATGCTGTACTTGCGCAAGGACTGCTTGCCCACTGACTCTCTGTCTCTCGTTCTTGACTCGCTTGAACTGTGATCATGTATCATGCTCTCCTGGGAGCAGTGTGACGCTAATCCTCCTGCTATAGAATAGCACATTTCGACTGCAAGAGTCAGGTTAACATTATAACATTTCTCTGGTCTAATGGGTACCAACCGCCTGCTCCCTTTTTTGACTTTTGTGTCCGGTCGTTTGCTGGCTTCCATCGGCCTTTTGCTGTTTGGCTTGCGGCTGTTTCTTCTTCCGCGGGGGTTTTTTGTCAGGCGGACGCCGGCGGAAGGTACCTTCGTATCGAATGGCATGAGCCGTAGAACCGGAAGGCATCCTAGGTATTGATCACGCCTCTCAATTATAATCAAAGCTCAGGAACGGTGTTGCGATGAGAGCAGCTGAGTTGGAGGCTGCGTGTCGAACTGCGCAGTTTGACGAGAATTCGTCTACGGTGCAGCCTGGTTTTGTCGATCAGAAAACGCCACCAGATCATGCCCGATGCCAAATCTGTCCGGTCACCCATGTCGTCCGCCTTTTGCCTTTGGGGACCGACTCTCGTTCTTCCCTTTGCTTCACGCCCTTCTCCCATGGTCTGGTTGACTGCCTTGAAAGCGACATCGTGATACCGCGACAAGTCCCAAGTCGGAGCTGGGAACAAAACGTCGTTTTATGCATTGCCTTCGCCAACCCAGCGCCCGGTCCTCGAAAACCTGTAAATATCAATCTGTTTGCCTACCGTTGGACGGCGAGCGATCGTGAAGCCAGTCCTCCTAAGTTGCAACACTGGATAGTATGTGGCGATTATCTGTGTTTGGGCGAAGATTCGAGACCAGAGAAGGCTTCGCGAAGTTCACAAGCCCCCGTTTGCAGACGACGCGATATATCACATTTGGAAGTCAGTGTTGCTTTTTGAGCAGTCCTTCCACAACATATCACTCTGAAACGAGCTCCAACAAATTCCCAATATCCGCATGGATGTATATTCAGTCTCCCAGTCGTACTCTTGACAATGGAGTTGACACAACACGATCTCGGTCCTTCCCTCTGGCGCATCTGGGCCCTATCTCCTGGGGACGGTGTATAGACTTCTGCGTGAGTCTAATTAGCAACCTCCCGTTTGGTTGTCTCACATTGCTTCTTTGATTCTGTTTCTTTTCCCGGACCCCCTCCCCAAATATTCTAGGCTGTGGTAAGCAGAATTTATCTCCCAGGATGATTCTCTCCCCTGGTGGAAATCGAACCTTGCCTTCAGGAATGAAATAAAACGTTCTTTACGAACGTTCAGATATCCAGCTCTCTGTGGATCTTCATCGGCGAACGAATTCGCATCGCAATGCCCTGTCAATCAATGCACAGCAGGTACTTTGTCCTGCCATGACAAATGTCCAATTTGATATCTCCGAGACGTGGATGACACTGTATGTTTCCTTGCACAGTCGTGGCACCAAGATGAAACTAAATCTACTTACGCGATTCTGTTCAAGGAATGTGACCTCAGAGTGGAGGTGTGCAGACCGGCTTGATCAAGAGTCCAAAGTCAAGAGTCAGCCCGACAATAGCATGCCACTGAGCTGTTCAACCTGTGAATGACACTTTCGCGTGTTTCTCTCATGCCAGCAGAGGGACGTATGACGCAAAGATGATTGAGCTTCTGCTCTACTCTTATTCCAGTGGTCGTGCAGTTGAGAGTTGCTGGCAGTGACACCGTGCGCAATGGCCAATGCTCAATATTGGCGACTTTCTTCTCAAAATTGCCCGTTATATTATGCAACTATTGCCTCTCAAAGAGCCTAATTCATTCACGGCAAGCTGCAAATTCGGTGAGGGAAGTTGACTGGTTCGCAAACATCGTTCCGGCGTCGAGCGAGACCTCGCGACCTCCGAGTTTCGCCATTCTCTAATGAGAGCTGCTTGAACCGGGAAGCTCCAATGGAGAGCCGTAAGATCTGTGTCCCAAGAGATAAGTGAGAATATCGAATGGAAAGTTTCTGCTCAAAGCATGTTTAAGAAAGAAGGTAACGTATTGCCTCCCTGGACCACAAAAGAAGGGCTGGATGAAGTCAGCGCAGTATTGGTCTTTGTGCTATTGAACGGGTACACCCGTCTGCGCCTGGCATGATTGCATTACAATTCCTTTTCAACACTTGCTCTCTTTTGTATCAAGTGGAAGGCTCTAGTTGAATCTTCATCAATATGAGTTCTCGCTACTTGGAGTCGCATCTTAGGAATATCTTCCAAAAGGCATCTCTCCAGGATAGCTTTGATATTAACGACTCAAAGCACAGGAGGGAGATTCAAAAGCTTGTCAACGTTTCAGCATATCCGCAAGTTTCCCTATGCATGTACACAAATGGAAAACTGATCAAACGAACATTCTACTCCAACGGATCGATACAGCCAACGACATCTGAACAGGCAGGTGCCGTCAGCCATGAACACTCCACACCCGTCCCTGAGCCGGAAGCGCCGTCGAGGGAGTCGAAGTGCCTGTTTGCTATCGGTTCCTATTCCAAGATCTTCGTCGATATTATTTACATTCGACTCTTTGAAAATGGTACAATGAAAAAGCTGGGAATCGCTTGGACGGATAGCGCGATTGCCACGTTCAACGAGCTTCGTCGAAGGAACAACAAACCCGGTATGAAAATGCCGTCCAGGAACCCTAGCATTGAACAGTTGCTACTTCATTGGGATGCCTTTGCGCCCATGGATGCATCTTTCATTGCTCCTGATGAAACTTTTCTTGGAACCAAGCAACAGTTCATTAAAATAGCTCCGCGAATGACAGATGAATATTTTCAGAAGAACGATAATAAGCATTATCTCTACTCCAATGCAAATCACATTTTCGCGGTGATGCTTCTTGAAGAGCTCCTCCGAAAGCCATTCTTCGAGATTGCGCAGGAATATCTATTCGGCCCAATGGGAATGACACATACGGCGGCGGATCAAAAATCCCTGGAGAGGCTGAGATCGGAAAGAGCAGAGATTTTAGAAGGCTACCGGATCCGAGCAGACATGAGCTCCTCACCTCGTCCACAGGGACACAATTATCTGTCTGACGGAGTCGAAGTCGCGTCTATGGGAGCATGGAGCTGTGTTGACGATCTGGCCAAGCTCCTCCAGGGCCTTCTGGATGCCTACAACGGTCATAAATCCTCATTTACAAAAGCAGAGGCGGACCTGTTCTTTTCTCCTGCCGCGGGCGAAGATGAACCAGAGACTTCTCCAGCAGGAATTTACTGTCCCCTGGACTCTGAGTTTGCCGGGGCACAATCATTAAGTCGCAGTCTCCAATCAACCAGCTCGTACACTCTAGGAACGCACAAAGGGAAATCGAAGTATGTGCATTATAAAGGTGGAACGGTTGACGGTTTTACAAGCACCGTCTACATCTCACACCTGGACAATACCTTTGTCATTGTGCTTGGGAATGGGGCAGGGCCGGTGGATGTCACTAGTCATATCGCGAGTTACATATTGGAAAAAGTCTTTGCACTATATCCCGAAGCCGCCATTTACGACCATGTCGAACAAGAACGGGAGCGCAATTGCAACAGAATTCGAGCCTTTGAAGACATGGACAATATGGAAACGGCCACCTGGTCCAACGACATGACAAGATTTGCCGGGAGATACGTCTGCCACCAGGACCTACAGAAAATCGAGATCTACGAGGACGGTGGGGCCATCCTGCGCGTGCAAGATAAATGTTCTGGGAGGATGGTGGTCGGTGCCTCTGAATCTAAAATTCGGTTATTTCCCGGAGATGACGGTTTTGGACTTGACCGGTGGTCCGTGTGGGAAGATCTCTCGTTTTCTGAAGAAGAGCGGAGTGGCATAAATGTTCTGGTTTCTGGTGATGGACGAGTATTTTACGTAGAGTAGATCTGTGCTGCAAAGCAAAAGATTTTAGGTTTTGGGAGCTTAGGGAAAGAAAGTTCTGGGGGGGGAGGACCTTGCTAGTTCCTGATCAATTTGGCGTAGCGTCATTCCCGGGCCTATCTATGTCTATGAGATGATTTTGTACATTACAACAAGAGCGCAACTCCTAGTTTTCTTCTTCCGGGAGTATTGAAACCCATTCCCCCCAAGACATGAGCATTCTCCGACCACGCTACCTCAGGTAGATATATCTCAAGCGTTTTGCAGCTTGCCATTGGTTATGAATGCAACGAGAATCGCAGCGTAGCTTTGCGAATTTGTTAGTTTCTGTTCCCTTCCGAAGAGTTTAGGGCATGGGAGAGAAAATGTCAGAGCTCACCCTGCCAGAACTGCAAGATTGGTATGAGTAGACTTAGCTGCCAGGACAGGTGACGCGACAGCTGCGAGCGGCAGGCACACAGAAACCACGACGAGCTTTGCGGTCTGACTATTGAGCCGCGACAATAGAATGATGGGAGCGACCAGGAGACAGCAGATAATAAAGTCAACTATAATATGCTCTGCGCGCCGCACCTTTGCCTCTGAGTATATGAAGAACCTCGGGTCCGAACTGTCCGATGGCCCCCAGCTCCGGCGATGCTGACAACGTATTCTGGTTAGCTTCAAGAACCTTCCATGTTCGTAAGGGGCGGAAGTGATGCCAAAGCCCGTTGACAGAAGTTCAACAGCGAGCTTGCCCGGACTAGGGTTTGGGGACTCCTGTCTCTTTACTATCTCACTGTCTTACCTTAAACAATCTCCCAAGTCCGAGCGACTTGTTGATAAACTTGTCGATAAATTTGTGAATGAGTCCTTTCTCCCGATCAACAAGGGCCATCGTGTCGTCCCAGCATGCTTCCGTATGGTATTCGTTCCTGAGCGGTTCGAAGCTGTCGGCTTTATCTTTCAACGTTTTTAGCACTGTGTGCGAGGTCGGCGGCATCTCCAACACCTGCTTGTATGCAAACAGGGCTTTATCTGATGGTTCCGGATCAGAGCGATTCATAATGCTTTACTGACCACGGACTAAGAAAAACTCACTATATCTTTCAAGCAGTTCTTCGATTTTTGGTGACATCGACACCAACATTTCCGTCGGGCAACGAATCGGATCCACCTCAACCGCGCCTTCTAAGCAAGCATGGAAGCCTTCAACGCGCACTTGAGAGTCGTACTCTGCGAGCTGGCGTTGGAGCGTTAGAATATTGAATAAATTCAGCCGTGTGAATCGCCGGAAGATAATCCGGTCGTGGTCGGGATCTTCTTTCATGTAGGTGATGAGCTTGATATGGTCTCGTGCGGCTTCCTTCAACTGCTCAATACTCATTTCTTCAGGACGTAGTTCCTCACGCTGCGCCCCATTGCTCTCGATCGTCACTGTGGATCTGTTGCTCGACATCTTCGGTCTTCCTGCCCTAGCATCTGAGATATCGTCAGTCCAGAGTAAATAGATGCTGATCTAGAATCCACATTGGTTTATACTCGCGTTCGATGTGAGGAGCGCTGCTTCAAGTTCTGGTCGTGACCTGGCCTTCGAACACTCAAGGTGTGAACCGAAAGCTGCTTAAGCTCTTGTATTGGCTAATGAAGGACCGAGAGCGTGTGCTCGACGGCGGAGCTCGAAGCGCGCGCCTCGTGAAGTAAGCCCGGCCGACCGCCGGTTCATTGTAAAATACGATAGTATTGAAGCAGAACGTGCTATAACAAGTATTGCAATTCCAAAGACATCCACGAAATGATTTGGCAAATTCTTCGATGCATACTTGGTTGCCGGCTTTCCTTGCTCCATGCCCGGTGCACACGAGTTAGCCAAAAGAGCCAATACAACAAAGTTGATCAGCTACTCGGTCAATGATGAGATCTGAACGGCCAGTTCGGATGAATGGGCGCCATTCAATTGTGCCTGGCGAATGCCCCAGCATTCGAAAGATAGCTCCATACAGAATGGAGTGTTGATGAAGAGCATGCAATAGCAAAATAGTTTGAGTCCTGGAACATCGATTTTTAGCGCCGGCCATTAGATTGATTGGCGTGGGTCACGCGGAGCACCGCGAGGCTGAGTAAATAACTGACATCTTAACCTAGGTATATCATCGAGTGTCCGTACTCCGCCATGCCAATTTGGCGTGCGTGGCTGTTGTGATAAGTCCACCTCTAACAGCAAAGATGATGATCAAGGTTGGGTGCAGACATAGAAGCGAGGAAAAAGCTCGGCTGCGGTTGAAGAAGTTCAGGGGCCACAGTCTGTCAATTTCATATTCAGCTAATCCAAAAGGTACATTGTCTCTTCATTTACTGGCTCTCTAATATAGCACCTCAACCTAGAGTGCTGCCACTACTTACAAGATTCATCGCTTGTGCAGCAGCCGTATACAAAGCAACCATGACAATATTTCGTATTCTTCCACAAGCACCAAAATTCGTCCACCACCTGGATCGCCTCACGGCTTAAATCGAGCCATCACTGCTGAAACTTATGACAAGTTTCAGCTTCTGGATGACAACCCTCTTCGATTCTTCGATCTTTGGAGGTTGAAACACCTCCCGGTCCAGTTCAATGACCAGCCTTAAGACCAGCGATTTTTAACTCAGGCGCTCCAATGCAGTAACAACCTGAGGCTGAAAATAATCTTCGGCACAAGCCTGCAACACAGCTGTTAGCAGCTTAGTCACGAGAAAGGCTGAATTGCCGAGTTCTGCCTGTGGTTGGATGATGGGAGCATCAGACGGATTCGTTTTGAGAAAAATAGGACAACGGAAGATAATGCAATCAAGCAAGAAACTAGTAGATCTCTTCCGCCCCCAAAAAAGAAAATCGATGCCTGCTGTGACCTTCTCAATTTCTCACCCACAGTAAGGCTGAGGCTGGCTTCGGGCCAGTATTGTCGCTTTGATACCACGAAGGCTGCCCTTTGCTTGTAGCAGACCTGAAAACGAGATGAAAAGTGATAGGAGGTAAGAAAACGCAATGGTCATTCCACAAAGAATACAGAATTCAAGCTCGATGGAAGTGATGGAGGGGGTCGAGCGCCTGAGATGCGCCCTGCCAGCAAGAGGCGGCTGCATCCCGCATGCACATCGACGACAGCCCGATTGGTCCACGTCATGACCCCGGTAGGCTGTTAGTAGTTCTTCAAGACAGACACATACTGTACCTCAGTGTGTACAGATGAGAACATAGAGACCGAGGTTTTAATGATAATATCTATATTAGTGGGTAGGTCGGAGCGATATTTTCCAAGCCAATTTTATCCAGGAGCCCGTGATCCCATTGTCTGAAGCAAATTTGTTGCGAGATTTGGTACAATCTCATCTGAAACAAAACAAGAAAACAAGAAGTCTTGTCCTCGCACGGCGCCCACGAGGGACAAAGTTACCGGTCCACCCGCTATCAATGACCTGGGGAATGAACGCCAATGATGATGAGCTCCATGCCAGCCAGATAAAGGCGTGAAAGAACCCTGATTAGTGGGTACCAACCACTACCACAAAAGTAGCTTGGGGCCAGGACTTGGGCTCGAATCGCTCTCCACTTTTCTAGGTTCTTGTGATGAGATAGAATGTGGTAGCGAGGGGCCCCTACATTAAGTACCTGCATTAAACTCAGAAACTACGAACCTCATGTAGAACGGAGGTAATCATATACAGCAACGAAATTTGGAGAGCATTTCTTTCACCCATAGCCATACTCTAATCTTGCCACTCTGCTGCATGCTACCAGCATGTCGGATGAAGCGCCTTCATTTACGAGGTGGGCCCTTTAAGCTCCTTTCGAAATGCAACGACAAAGCTTGCACTGGACCGACTTTTCTGGGCGCCAACACTTCTTCCTTCAAAGTGGAGAGCCGAGACTGCCACGTAACATTCCATGGCCCCATTGTCCTCCTCTTGGTTAGCATACAATCTGGACTCGCCTAATTCTTGAAAACCCTAGCCGTATCAATCACATGGAGAGTGGAAGGGAGAATTTCCCAGGCCTCCCGGTATACTGGGAGATTGCGGGGCCATGGGCGGCTAGAACCTTAAAGAGGGCCCAACAGCTCTGTGGTTGTCTAGTTTGTGTTTCTTCTCTTTTCGTGCTTTTATTCTCTCACCTCCCGACGCTCGTTTATCAACAGGCCAACGCTCGTTACCATACCAAAATCCAAAATGCAATTCCAATTCTTCACCGTTCTGACGGCCTTCACCTGTCTGGTATCGGCATGGGGTCCCCATGGTCCTCGTCGAGGGGGTGGCAAAAAATGTCTGAGCGATGCAAAGGCAACAGAAATCATCAACACCTACGAGACGTTGATCAGCCGTTCAGTTACAGGCGCCGAGTTCAATTCCACTGCCGATGCTATCCTTGCCGATGATTTCTTCACCATGAGCAACTCTATTAATGCCGAAGTTGGCAAGCCTGTAAGTGTGATACTCTTTGAGACCAAGGGGTTTGCTGGTAGCTGACTCTATAAACCAGCTTGAAGCCATCTCTATTCCATCCAAAGCCGCCTTCATTGCTGCATTCCATGCTGCGCCTCCAACTGCGGGAACACAGACTCTCGACTTGCTTCACACTTGCACCCAGATGGTTTGGCGCTGGCTCGGAACCAGCTCGGAGGGACTACCAGTTCGCGGTCTCACGATGATGAATATCACCACTGAGGGACAGATCTCCGCCACCTTCGTGGAATATTTCCGACCAGCACTCATTGAGTGTGACGTCTAAGTCTAGAGATTTGGGACTCTTGAAGTCATGAAGGAAATCATCAGGGAGAGGATGTGACGGAGGTGATGAGGGAAGAAAAGGGGTGCCCAGAATATTCCAGTATGCTAATCATCTCTCCAAAAGCCCAAAGCCACTTCACAGGTGTGCAGAAGAATCATCTCGTTCGTGGCAGTGTCAAGCGGTATAGGGCTCAAATGCATGGAGAGTTAGTCCTCGAATATAATAATAATCTTGGCATATTTTGGAGGCAGGGGGTGTATCTCTGCAGACCTACACCCACATTCGCTTTTATGACAGCGTCTGGCAAAGCTGCTGCTCCCGTGAACATAACTTGTGTATGGGGCATCCATCGTAATGATCAACTTCTATGAGTTCCATCGAGGCTTCGTAGGGCGCCTGTTAGGACTGGTGGGTTAGAAACTGGTCAGCAAAGGTGCCTTCCACCATAACGAGAGCCGCAAAGATTAATTTACCGGTGGAGTGCATTCTGTCCAACTCCGGTGTTACCTAATTTTCTTTGGGAGACCGTTTGCGTCGATGCGCTCGACGTAACATGGTGCAAATCAACTGCCTTTGCTGTTGTATTTCTTGCTCCATAGATTGGATTTGGAATGACTGAGGACCAGAGCCTCAACGAAATCAATGAGGGGAAAAGAACGTACAAAATGAGATTCAAGGACACTGGCAGCTATATTTCGTCGTCCCTGAGTTGGTTCGGCCGAACACGGAATGTAAATGCGCGTTGCTGACGGCCGTACTTGGCAATGGTGGCGGAGGGGATTCTGCAAAGGGTACTTGAATCAGCGACGATGCTGACCATTGAGTGACCACTAATTTACCGCAAATCCTATTCAGGCCCTCGGAGCTGATTTGGCACTGCAGAAAACTGAATCGCTGCGATTCGCAGGCCGGGTGACACGCTTGTCTCAGAAGATAAGCCTGAGCGCTCCTGATCTGTGGGAAAGCGTCAAGCCTCGTTCATGATTACAGCCAGAGAAAAGCCCATGATTTCATCATTCTAAATCTCTGCGGTAATTGCTATCTATATACCCATCTTATCAGGACATTTCTTCGCTTTTGTCTTGGGAATGGGGAAAACAGCGGCAATGAACCCAGCACGTCGGCATCAATGCCAGGTCTGCTTTGCATCCTTCTCGCGCAGCGGTCACCTGCAGAGACATTATCAAACCCGTACTTACTATGACCGCTTCTCTCGCCCTACGTCAGTCTCGCACTAATTTTGGCCAACAGATTTGCCCCGCAAACCTTTCATATGTTCTTTCTGCTCATCGACTTTCAAGCGAAGGTATAGACCCGGCAAGAGACTCTCAGAGAGATCCCAAAGGCTAATTCAATGTCAGTGATGCCCTGCGAAAGCACTGGAAATCATGCGCTGCGCGACAGATGCTGGGGGAACCTATTCCAGATCAAAAGCCCCCGGGTCGCAAGAAAAGATCTTGTAATGAGTGTTCGTCTGTCAAACAGGGATGCGATCTCCAAAATCCATGCGGTAATTGCCTTGCAAAGTCTCAAACATGTACTTATGACAAAGACAGTCGCCAGAGTGAAGATGACGGTGGCGAAGGGCATAATTTGGATATTGAATCTCTTTTCCTGGACCTTGGACCTCTACCAGTGTTCGAGCCGTGTCTTCCGAACCTTTTCACCGATTCCAACGTCTCTTCTATTTTCCCGCTGTGTGATGAGAAGGCACTCGCTCTTGACGTTACGGGCACTGGAAATGCCTTGACGATTTCAAAGTCAAATGCTGGATTCGACTTTCTTGTTCATTTTGTGACAGCCTCTGGGCTAGATAGCACTTTCAACTTTATCACGATAACCGAAAGAGGAAGGTCACCGACAAATCGTCTGTCCGGCTCATCGCTGCAATGGAAGGTGATGTCTTCATTTGATTCTCAATCTGCCCGGACTGACAGAGTGGACGGGTCGAATACAGTTGAGATCCCCCAAATGATAGAATGGATCTGTCATCCATTCTTTCTTCCCGCCAAAGCACTCTGGGACGCCATTCAAGCCGCCGAACCCAAATTAGCTATCACCTTTGACGCCAAAATACCTTCAAAAGACTCCCAAATCGAAATGTTCAACCCGTTCAATCTCGAGAGATTCACACAGCTGTTCTGGGATCGATGGTACTTCAATTGTCCCATCCTTCACAGACCCAGTTTCGACATCTCGACGGCTCGAATCGAGACCATTTTCGTTCTGGCACTCACGGGGGCCCTGATGTCTTCCAATACAGAAGACCTTAAAAATGCCAGATCATGGCTCGACATAGTGGAGATTGTTTTTCAACATCCGCTCTTGTCGGGACCCAAAACCAATTCTGGCAGCCAGGATTCCGAAGGATCATTACATGAGAGGTTGGATATTATTCAGAGTGGCCTAATGATATGTGTGTTGCAGAACTGGGAAGGCTCTGATGCCGCTCAAACAAGGATTCGGCGACAAAGATTTTCGGCTATTGTGTTCGTGAGTCTCCCCCATGGCCTCGTTTTCTGATTACGTTGACTAATTGACCAAGGCTTCCAGAGATCTAGGATTTGAGCGCGCAAGGCATGGAGATGACCTCGACTTGAATCGAAATCAGATGGACTGGTCAGCTTTCATCTTCAACGAGGAGTTGATCAGGCAGGCACATTTGGCTGTCCTCATTCTAGCGTGTTTAACTAACTTTTCCCATGCCAGAACCCTGACTTTTGTTTTTCTTCTCGACACAGAATTCACCATATTTCATAACGTTCCTCCTCGAATCTCAATCTCAGAACTTGAGATGGGATTTTCTTGCTCAGAGCCCTGTTTTATGGCTCAGAATCCCCAAGAATTCCTCGAAAGAACACGCACGACACATCCCGATTACTTCCGAATCAAAGACTTCCTGGTCTGCGACGTAATTGCAACGCTCTGTTTCGATCATAAGGATAGCGATGATGTCCCAACGAAATTGTTCGGACTGACTGCCTTGAATCTTTTTGCAACTGTCTCAGGTGAGCATAAAATTCCTTCGCATACCTGCCTATATCCTAGTAACATCTCGTCATTACAGCAATTCACAGTATTATATTCAGCCAATGCACGTCTCTTTGCCTGTTCCCGTCGACTCAATCACTGCTCCGAAAAGGTTTAGAGACGTGGCTTAAGGTCTGGGAAATGCGATTGCAAATCTCAAGCAACGACATGCCATTGAATTTTGGCGGACAGGTTGGAGAAGAACCGACGAATGGGGTAGATGGAATTGCTCGTCATGCTCGAGAATTCCAAACACTGGCCTTGGTGAAGCTCAGCAGTTTCCAAGAATCTAGTCAGAGTTTCACTGATGGAAGCACAATTGGCCCGCGAACGACGGTGCCTCGCTTGGGAGATGTTGCAGAACTGGTGCTGAGACCGGCTTTCATTGATTAACGACGATAATAGAAGTTGAGCTAAATATTAGCTCCAGAGCGTTTGAAAGGCTCGTTGACCATCTATCAAAAGGGCAGTGGATCGTCGGAACCAAAATACTCATGCTCCAGGCACAGGAATGTGTAACCCTCCTCCCAAATCTTAGCAACTTACAGGCTTGATATATTGCTATCGACCTTTGAAGAGGTCTCTATGGTCTTGACGAGATTCCTATGCTACACAGCTCCTTGATATCACTGGTGACCTTTAAGGTCTTGAACAATCTGTAATGACCAGGAACAGGCTATAGGACATGAGCATGAATATGATCCTGTGCTAAACAAATCACCCTGTTGCCCATGTGTGCATGAATCCTGTATTGTCTACACCTACGCCAATCTAACCCAACAATGTTCTCGAAATACCAAATCTGAGATTCTGTCACGAGGCTGGCCCCCCTGACGTTGAGACACCAAGCATGCCAAGCCCGCAAGCTAGTACCCCTCGAATCGCCGCGGGGAGTATGTTGCCTTGTGCCTCCCCAAAGTGCGATTAGTCGATGTTATATGGACCGCCTCGTCGTCATTCACAATAGATCATGGCCCAGCTCCCATACCTTCGTGTCATTACGATTCCACCCTGAGGTACTCTAACAGACTAGCAGGTGTACGACAATGTTCGCATTGCCAATTGCTCTGCGTTGAACAGTTCAGTAGTTTTGTGAAAGCGATTCTGGCTTTTGTCGGCGATAATGACATGAGGTTGTCAGCACAGAGGCCCGGAAGATACTTACAATAGGCAGGGTTGTTCTTGAAGTACACGTTTTGAAAATCGCATATGATGAGAAATACTCGCTGGACCCAGCAAAAATGCAAGGAAATCTATTCTAGCAAAGTCTCCATCCTGCTAGATCAGACAAAAGCTGTAATCTTGAAGCACCGAACTCGAAGTTTCTGTATTATTTGGCCTATTTTCAAACCATTTATGCTCCTTTTGGGCTTGGTGCACGAGAAAGTGGTCTGGGAAGAAAGCATAAGCCCCTTGAAGATATGCGAACTTCAGAGCCGCTTGCCAGTGGCGTCCAATGTCTGCAAATGTTATCTTATATGTGACGGTTGTGAATCTTTCTCTCCGTCGCCTCTACGTTGGTGCGATCGATTGATTTCCTTCCATTCATTCAACATCGGTTCCGCCTCATCCAGGTCTTGTGAATACCATATTCCACCAGTGTCGATAGCAAACTTCATAGGCCGTCTCGCCAATCAGGAAGCAGGTGCGTCCGCAGGTCATACATAATCCAGTCCAGCAGCTTCCTCAAAATAACTCTTTAGCTGCCGACTCTCTACTGGAGGAGGATCGTCGTTAGCAGTCCGCTCATCCTCATCCTCCTCATTGTTCCAGGCCCAGACCCGGAGTGGCGGTGCGCAAGACATGAAGCTGAGAGCAAAGACGGTGCTGTCCCACCCGAAGATGGCAGTGATTTGAGGTGATTGGCCGTCCCCCATCAGGCCGGCCAATATATTCCGTGGTGCGAGGTCTAGATGACATAAAGAGATATGATTACCCGAGAACCAGCCATCAGCGCCCGGCTCAGAGGTCATTGTCACCAAAGGGACCATGAATCCCAATTGACAGATTGGATCAAAGCATTGTCTGATAGCCCCGACCTTTCTGTCCCAGAACGTAGGCATAATGGATCTCACGTGGACTGTGGCTAGGAAGCGAATTGCTGTACATGCGGGTTGGTTTGTCGTTTGGTGGCAGAGCTCTCCAGGCCCAGCATCTGGCGGAAAACAAGACCTTGGCCTTGTGGATTCTGTACTTACCCTGGCGGTCAAATTTGGAAAGAGGAAATTAGACTGTGTCACGGGACGAGGTGTTGCACCATCAAAGTGTCCTCTAGTTTGTTGTTGCTTGTCTCGTCGAAGGCCACAACATCTGGGACTGGAATCACCGAATACAGATACAGATGCAGAAGGCACAAGACTGCGACATCGCGATCAACCTTTGCGAATGCAAAACGTGATATCCCGTAGAATATATTGAGTCTCTTCTTGATGCCCGTCAGGCTGCTTAGAGAAACCAACGATACGGTTGAACTCTTTACCTGCTATAAGCTCAACATTGACTTGATTTGGAGATACTCCACGCCATAGTTCCAAGGCGTACTCGAGTACACAGTTCCGGAAGGTTTCAAGTGGCCCGTGACCGTAAGCCACGGAAGGTGAAGCTGATTCAGCGTCTGATGATTCAGGATCTGAATCAGTGGAAGATTTGAATAGTTGACAGGTAGAGACTGCCAAGAAGGAAGGCAATTCAACACTGGATATGCCACCCTCTGCATCAGAGGAAGCTTGTGTTCTTGACATCTTTGCAAGTCACCATGGCCGGGCCCATTTGATATGGGGAGTGCATGATGCTGATCAAGTCGAAATGAGACAGCTGAAGTGAGAAGTCAAAGATGAAATTGTCAAAATGAAGTGCAGATGGAAAGGTGTCATCAGTCAGCAAACAACCGACCAAACAAACACCTGGCAGCTCTTTGGGATTTGGAATAGGCATCCCCAGACTTGTGCTTTACCTAGGGCGTGACCATTTAGTTAATGGATGCAGCTATTATATTTGAGAGATAATGTGACAGAAGGTGTATTGCCGCTTCGATCAGAGGAGTATGTAGATATTCGAACGGTTCTTGGTTGTCGTCTATCAAAGGGCCCGGGGAGAAACTGGAGAATGAGCATGGACTAATAAACAGCTTGATTCATCTCATATGAATATTATGTCCCGAAGTTTAAATCCATCGACGACGCAGTCTTCCTCACATACGGAGCTCGATCGTTTCGTAGACAATTTCGGTGTTCGGTTTCGAGTAGACAGCCTGCAGGGACCGACGGACATATTCTCCGGACGTCATGGCCTGGAATTTTGCTGGTTGTTCAGACGTCACAAATCGATCGAGCGCTTTGAGTTCGGCTTCCTGGTTCGCTGGGAATGGTAAGCAGAGAGGACGAAAGCAAGGCTGGAACGGGATACTCACCACCAAGGAAGAAAGGCACGGAGTATCGATCTTTCCTCGAGCTATTGATCACCCGATGCATCGTCGACACAAAAAGACCATTTGTGAGCATCGACATTGAGTCTCCGATGTTCACCACAAATGTACCCCGGACGGGTTTTGCTTGAATCCATTGGCCAGTGTTCGATAACACTTCAAGGGAGGCGATATCGTCTTGTAACAATACCGTCAGTAGCTCGTAGTCCGTATGAGGTCTGATGGCCGACGGTTCATCTGATCCAGATAGTTTGCCGGGATAATGGCCCATTTTAAGGATAGAATACGGCTGCGTAGCCAAATAATCGAATGTATGTTCATCTAGGTCAAGGCCAAGGGCAAACATTCGAAGCAGACTTCGGCTCAGTCTGAGCATATGAGACATATATTTCTTCACATTCTCCTCGTAGCCTGGAAGACGATCCTTCGAAGGCCACCAGTTATCGCCGTTATTTTGTTGACTGGCTGCATCGGGGTCAATAGATGGCTCATACCCGTAGTTGATACCCTCGTTCAGCTCTGATCCTGTTAGGCAATTCGGGACCTGGTTGAACTACTTACTAGCGCCAGCAGGTATGTTTGGATCAAGATTAATCGGATAATAGCCGTAGTAGTGCTTATGCTTCTCTGTGTTGAACTCCATCTTTTCGTCAAGCGTTAAGTCGTGGAAAAAGCGTTTAGCCTCTCTGAAGATGGATTCAACGTCATCCTCTGGGACACCATGGTTTCTGATATAAAAGAACCCCGAATTAATAGCAGCGTCACATATGCTTTTGGCGACTCTCCTCCGATGCTTTAGATTCGGATGTGAAATGTCCTGGATATCAATGACAGGGAGATCTGTTGTGGCCGCGTTACTATCGGCCGTTAGAACCTTTCGCCATCCTAACCCAGTCTTGACTTCCTGGTGGCCTTCCGGGCTCGTTCTGATAATATCCACCATCGCTTATGTGAGAAGTGGTATCTGCTTCCCTTGAACGGCTATGGTTTGAGAAGTCTTACCGAGAAGTTATCAGGTCAACGCGTAGCTGTTGAATAGAAGTATAGTCTGCTAGGTCGGTAAAATCCGCAGCTCAAGTGCATAAAAGAAATGTATTGGCGAATATGGCTGTCTGAAGTCTATTTTATCTGATGCCCTGTGTGGGCAAGTCCGACAAGGGCTTTGCTCTCATTCGAAGCCAAGGATGCCGGTTTAGATTTAAAGTGATTGTCAAGATACCCCACAAACTCCGCCAAACTGTCCAACAATCTCGAGACCTTTCTCGTGGCGAGCGTAGTCGGCGTTTGTCGGGGTGGGATCACCATTGCTAAGGCCTTATTCCTCAATGGTAGTGCCGTTATTGTCGACATACCCGGTCCACATGTTCTTCAGATTGGCAGAAAGCATCTCAAAATCGTCTACTTCGCCAACGCTTTGAAGGTATTCGCAAACGGCGTTGTCGGCATCGCCCTCCGCGTCATAATAGAACAGCCCCGGCATGGTGTTCTCACTGGAGTAGAACTGCCATGATCGATATGCGGGAGGCAGCTGTGGCGGATCGACGGGGTTTTGATCGCGTGCCCAAATCTCGGGCCTTGTCGCCTTGTCGCGGATCTTCAGTCTTTCTTCCTCGCTCGTCATATTCACGATCCCAGAAACGAAAGAGATTTGTTGTTTGATCCATGCTTTTGGAATTCGACGGTTCTCATAGAGCTCGACTGCTTTGGGAACGTCGATGGCACCCCTCACCACCCCCGAGATCACTCGCCCGAGGAAAGCTCCGTCTTCCACGGCGGTAGCGGCCCCTTGTGCCATATGATTTTGCATACAGTGAGCAGCATCACCAAGAAGAACGACATTCCTCTTCTCATTGGACCATCGTTCCATCTTCGGCATCTGGAGCAGAGGCCAGCGTTGTGTATACGGAACAAGTCTGATGACCTTCTGGATAATAGGGTGGAGATCTTTGTAGTATTCACGGAATTCGTTGATGTCCACCTCTTCCATTTGGGTGACATAGTAATCTTTGCAAAATGCTGTGACGATATTGCACTCCTTTCCGCCCGATATGGGATATGTCAGAACATATCCTTTCATCCCTGACCATACGTCCATCGTGTTGCGAAGGTAAGATCGGGCTTCGGGCACTTCGGCGAAAATCTTGTCGTACGACAGTACTCCTCGATAGGCGGCAACCTTGGATGTTGCTTTGGGCATCACTCCGGGAAAGAGTTGCTGTCGCATAAATGACCGGATACCATCTGCCCCGATCACCAGATGGAAGCGATAAACGTCGCCTCCCGTGGTCTCGACTTCGACATCGTCCTCTACGTATCCTATCTTGCAGACCCTTGCATTCACAACCATTTTGGCACCGTGGCGCTTGGCTGATTCGGACAACCCGGCATGCAAATGGTCTCGACGAACAACCCACCTTAACCAAAGGGTTAGCAGTGCAACGAAGGCCAGGTTGAGGTCCGCTCACCAGGGAAAACCGGTATTCTTCGCCATGACTTTGGGATCGGCCCACGCCACCAGCTCGGATTTGTCCCACGTATTGCACTCATCGTGCAAAACCAGGTTATCTCCGATGATCTTGTCAACTCCCCAGCGGATCAGGAAGCGAGACACATTTGGAACCATCTAACTGGTCCTCAGCTCCCACGTTCAGGTCTGTGTTGGGAAGGCGATCAATACCTGAATACCTGCACCTATCTCCCCCAATTCAGAGGCGGCCTCCAACAGAGTCACCTGGGCTCCTGCTCTTGCCATGGCAATGCCCGCCGCCAGGCCTCCCATCCCGGCACCAATAATTCCAACTTGCACACTTGGTCGACGCATTTTTGCTGAACAGACAGAGACACGGAGAGACTTGTTAGCTGTCCACCTCGTTCTCCATTTGACTTGGCCTTCCTCTATATAGTCGCCTGAAGCCGGTGGAAGCACAACCTACTGGGAAGGAGATCCGATGGGAACGTGCGTAGTTATTCCGTACAGAGAATGATTGGCGCTGTCTTGAGAGAAGTGGTACTGCCAGATTCGCTAAGACGGGGAATCCCCTCCAAATCCCCAAAGTTGGGGGGCCTTATTTGTGGTGTGGATACATGCCGAAAAAACACTGTCTGAGTCATACCTAGCCTCGGTGTTCCGGTAGTCTGTAGATAAGTACTCTAGTCGCTCACTCTCTTTGATTTCAAGGGGTTTTGTTGAGAGAGAAACAGAGAGGGTGGAAGCTCCGAGGGAGTGTGGTGTTAGTTGGATTGCGTTAGGAATGTCGCCCGAAAAGGCAGCGACAGGCGGTGGCGTCGCCCAGAAGAAGCGAGTCTCCTCTTCAAGGTTTGCCCCCCAAAACGTTCGCTCGCTTCAAGTCGCTTCATGTAACGAGGGGCATCATGATCGATTGGCGAGGGTTCTCGATCTTCTCAGCATTGAAACAAATTGCTTTGATTGATTGGACATTTGGACGCGCCTTACCTCTGGTCAACTTAGATGAAGGTGACCGAAGGACGGGAGTGTTTGATGACGCGTTGTGGCATGGGATCTTTTAGGCGTGAATGAATTCTCGAAGGGTCAATCGCTGGCATCTTCCTCCAGGCGCAGCAGGGGGGTTTCGGTTAAGGCTGTAGACTCGACATGCGCCTGCACCCCCCCTGCGGTCATCCCTAGGGTTAGGCTGATGGCGTGGCTGGTGCTGACAAGTGAACTTCATCGTCAGCGGAAGTGACAGGGCTTCATCGGCTCCCTCAGCTGCGGATTACTGCATTGATGGAAAGGACGATGACGACTTCTCGCAGGCAGGGCAACAGGAACATTCCATCGTAGTATCATCAGCATCCACTACCAGATGGACTCTGGGCAATCCGAAACCCAACCTCAAACCGGGCTCAAAGCTGCTACGATTGGTGATTCAGGAACCGGGGACTGGTAGCCAATCCTTGGGCCGACCCCCGCAACCTCTCGTGGGCTCTGGAACAACCTGCGACACTCTAACAAGGCTGGCTCTCCTACAACTTGTCACAGCCTTGTGTGCCACTGTTTGGGAGCCAACTTCCCTCCTCGTTGACTCGTTTGGCTATTGGATTATGGTTGCATCGTGCATCATCCTCTCAAAACTGATCATGGGGGAAAGATGTGTACATCCACTCATTCCAATACCACCTTGGAGGCTGTTTGTTGGTTCTCATTGCTAATGGAAAAAGGAGTTTTCAGGGTAAGTGCTGGCTTCTGTGAGTCAATTATTTTTTCCTTCAAATTCGCGCCGTATCTCCCAAGCTCTCGTTTTTGCCCTCCACGTAACTTCAAAGTCTTTCCTTCATTGACGTTGTTCATATTCCGTCATTCTATTCAAGTCTTGATCAAATACGCTTTGCATTCGCTCGAATCATCAACTGCTAGGACAGTCTACTTCTACATCAACCAACATGGCCAATACCCCCCTTTCAAGATCTTTTGCGTTCCTGTTCTTATTGTTGAATTGTGAGTCTTTCCACTCCCTCTAGCTTCGAGATTGACGAGTTGACAACCACTCTCCACTCAGTGGTGCCACTAGTCTTTGGTCAAGGGACCCAATTCATTACCGGCCCCTGTACAAGTGACGCCGACTGCGCATCGGGCTGCTGTGGTTTCAACTCTGGAAAATGTGCTGGGCCAGTTGTTGCCCAGGAACGTGATGGGGGATGTGGCTTTGGAGATGCTCAGCCCAATGATAATGCCGCCCAAGCCCTCACAGGAGGAGGAACACCTGCAACGTCCACTGCTACTGCAGCGGCGCCGAATATGAATACGGGCGCTGCCGATGCCACCACCACGGCCGCTTCTGGTGGATCGACAGGCAACGGGGGAACAGGTACACAGTTCATCACTGGCCCATGCACAAGTGATGCCGACTGTGCCTCTGGTTGCTGTGGCTTCAATTCCGGCAAATGTGCAGGTCCTGTCGTCGCCCAAGAGCGTGATGGAGGATGTGGATTCGGCGATGCTCAGCCAAACGACAATGCTGCTCAAGCCCTCACCGGGGGAGGAGGACAACCAACATCGCCCGCTGCCACCGCTGCTCAAGCCAACACTACTGCAGCCGCCACTGCCGCTTCTGGAGGCGCCTCGGGCAGTTCATCTGATGGCACCATCAACAGCAGCCTTCCAGGAGCTGAAAATGTAGGAAACGGCGCCGGAAAGCAGTTCATCACTGGCCAATGCTTTAGCGATGCCGACTGTGCATCTGGATGCTGTGGGTTCAACAGCGGCCTATGCGCGGGTGCAATTATTGCACAGACTCGAGATGGCGGTTGCGGTTTCGGAGACGCCCAGCCTAATGATAATGCTGCTCAAGCTCTGAGTGGAGGAGCGAAGAGGAGATGGGTGCGAGAATACATGGCATGATATGAGAATGACTGGCAACTTTTGTAAAACATCACCCACGCAGGTAGTGGGCTTAACGCCTGGTGAATGGCTGCATCTGAACCATATGATATCCAGAGTTACTGCTAGACTAGCATCTAGCTAGGCACCTGGAGGAGATCGAGAAAAGAAAACAAAATAGCAGCCTATGCTGTTTCTGTTGAGCCGAGAGAAGATTGATTGATTGAATCTGTCTGAGCGAGGTGCAAGCTACAAAAAGGGGGGCGCCGAAGGGTGCGGTGCACGTGACTAGGCTAGGCCCAATGTGGACTGCCAACAGTTTCTCATGTGTTTCTCGTTGGTTGCGACTGCAAGCTTGAACGAGTATGCATCAAGATAAGGTATGAAATTCTCGATATATTCCGCACTATTGTGGAAGCTTTCTTCCCTCGGCCTCGTCGAGAGGCAATATTTAGTCTGAACAGAAGATCCTAGCAGCTGCCCAATCGTGCGTCGGACGAAATCCGCCTTCATGGGATTTTGTGCCCAGCTTGCCCTTGCGCCTGAAAATAAACCGCTCTTCCAATGTGACTTCTCTTTCTGTACACTTGACTTTGGCGTACCATCGAAACTATGGAGCGAAAGTCATTCGTCTACCTAGCCTTTGTGTGTTTATCCCATGATCTAAGATCAATCGGTTCTGCTCTATCACAGAGGTCGAGGGCTAGTTGTACGGAAACTTCAACATGTGCATCTCTGCCACCGCCCGACAAAGGAATACACGTCACCCAACGAAAAGAGCTTTCTTCGATTTCCTTTCCCCCATCGCACCGGGGAAGCCTTTCACCCTGGGAATTCAGATGAAAAGCTTCGGTGCGAGGGAGGAACTTCCCCTGGATGGATTCAACGCTACTACCGATCTGTCCCCCATCCCCATCTCTATGGGTTCAGACCTTCAGCTGGACAAATTTTCACTGGCCTAGAGAATTTGTGATCCTTTGCTCGCTGCTTTCGATATCTCTTCCCTTGGGTATCAAGATGGCTTGGCTATTCTGTTTCTTTAACGGCCATTTTCGAGGAAATATTTTCTTTGAGCATATGCAAGAGAACCAGAGAAGCCTAGCTGTTGATAATTTTCGAGGTCGGCTTTCACTGCGACGGTGACATTTGGACGGGATTTTCGTCACCACTGTAAGGGGTATCGGAACGTTGGTCTCTTAAGTTGTCTGTTCTTGGGAGGACGACGCCATCTCTAAACTCTAGGAGAGAAGATGTCGATTCTTAGCAGTGAACACTCAACTTTGTTCGATTGCGTTCAGTGTAAGGTGCACGTTGAGCAGCGTATTGAAGGCAATGACGATTTAGGCCTGGCAAAACACAAGGTCACACCGTTTAATTCCAGTGGTGACGTCGAAGGATGACGAAGGCACGTGTGGTTTTGTCAACACCTTGCTGTATTGATTGGGTAGAGCTGACTGCCAAGCAGCAAAGATCGGGATTTCTTGTGTAACAAGGGAAGAACCCGGCCAGTGAGGATCACATTGTTCTACCCATGGAGCAGTAATTTCGAGAATAGACAAAGTTCGATCTGAGACCAGAGTTCGCGAAACTTTCACAACAGCTCTCACACGAGACCAATCTCAGCAAAAACAACTAACCCAAAGGCCTTGAAATAGATGATATCATCCTCGCTTGCTAGGATCATCGTACCAACCTGAAGTATATATATCACCTCAACTTGCCGTTCGGAGTCTGCACCTGCTCCTAATCATGTCATCCTTTTATATTTTCGGAACAAGCGAGTCCACTCCCTCCGCCGCAAGAGCGTCTTGCACAGCTTTTCGTTTCACCACCTCCACCACCAACTTGGTGTATTTCGGGTATTGCCCTTGGAGATCCCAGTTAAATCTCGCCACCCATCGATAGAAGACGAGCAGAAAGGCATCCACGGCAGTAAAGTCATCCCCGACAGCATGGACACCAGATAGGTTCTGTTCAATGTGGTTGAAGCACTCGGCGATGGTCTTCACCGACTTTTCTTTGATAGAATTGTATGTGCTGGGATCGTCGGAGAACCTGTGCGGCCTCAACAGGCCGCCGAATGCTTGTCCGTGGAGGGTTCCAGAGATATAATTCATCCATTCGTAGACACGGACTTTATCCAGGTCCGTCTTGCCCATGAGATGCTTTTCCGGAGCCAGTTGAGAGATGGCAGTCATAATGGCTGGGTTTTCGGTGATCACGTGTCCATTGAGCGAAAGAACGGGCACTCGCATCTTCGGGTTTAGATGCCGAAATTCCTCAGGGAATCCGGCCTTGACGCTCAAGGTGATAGTTTCAAAGGGCATCCCGGCCTCGTGGAGGAGGATGTGAGGAGCGAGAGAGCATGCGCCAGGGGAGAACCAAAGTTTGATGCTTGCCATGTTTGCGGAAGAGATATTCGAATTAATTGATGGTTTCAAGGAACTTCCACTTCGACAGCCTTAAACTGTATTTCTGGCTTTGAACCTCCTGACAGAAATCAAATCATCCATAATATATAATTGACAGGACTCCCTCTGCATTTGTTCACACATGTGCCTCGGCAAAAGCTTTGCTGAGTAGAGGAAGACGGCTCACCCAACACAAAAATCCGAATACGGGCCCGAATGGGCGGGCTTTCTACCACGTTTGGCTAGAGAACTGTCCCCCTTAAGTAAGCCTCTTGCCATTTTGGCTTTGATTTAAAAGCGACATCTAGCACAACACAGAGGCCAAGGCAGGTGAAGCGACCAAACACTCGCGAAGTGTTTGTCGAACTCGCTTATCTCGATTGCTGTGTTGATCTTGGGTAAGCAATGAGCGTCCCTGATTTCTTGAAAAAGGAAGCGGCCCGAAAGTCCACAAGATGATAGGGGATCTCAAGCGCAGGATTCTTCTATCAACATGCGAGCCACATCTCCCACAGGGATTTGTTGTGTTCATGTTGAAGCCGACTCATTCCGGCCTATAGGCGCGAATGCTTCACGCGTAACCTGATCCAAGCCAGAGTATGACGGGACTGAGAATAGATTGGGCTGGAGATAGAGCAGTCATCGATGGCATATTTTCTGTTGGTCGAAATAAAGCAAAGTCTTTCAAGCAGCAATGCAAGATAGGAAAAGTGCGCTAGAGCTGGCAAATCGAAGGGGACGGAAACGTCTCTCGGAAAAACACCTTCTCCGCTGTCCAGCTAGAGACTGCATCGAGCTTTCTGCATTGTATCGCATCGCTAACATTGCACTCCCTCCTCTGTCTGCGCTCCCCTTTACGACATTATCCCGAGCATGGCGGCCTCAGCCAGATCGTCTCGAGCTCTACTCTTCATGCAGCACTGCCGCCGCTCTATCCCACGCCAACCGATCTCCTCGATCCGACACTCGTCACCCTATGCTCCCTCAAATTTCACCCAACCAGCCTCCAAATCACACATCCGACCTGCCTTCGAGTCGCAAGCTGATAACAACAACACTCCTCCCAGCCGACGTCCACACTACGCGCACCCGCTCGGACAAGGTCTCATAAACCGGAACAAAATCCCGCGCCTGACACCATGGGCACGCCTGAAGATGCTATTTGGCTGGCGGCCGCCGCCACCAGACTACAGACCAGCTCCATTCCGTGCGAACAACAACCCATACCGGGCGCACAAGAAGTGGCCACCGGATTTCAGCACCCTCGACCCTAAGCAGCAGTTCCATTTCGAGAAGACGTACCGTCGACGTGCGGCGTTGAAATGGGCCCGCCCCGCCTGGAACAAGAGTATCAAGATTCTGCAGCAGACTCTCATCACATTCACAATCATTTACTTCGTTTTCATACTCGAGCCGACACATGGGCAGGGAACGCCGTTTGATGGGGTAGGTTTGGTTTCGTTTCTCAGAGAACCCCTTTTTGATTTGCTAACCTCGATTTGTAGTTCCGTATCTGGTTCTTTAATAAACTAGGCGAATTGAGTCAATTGCCTGATGCTACAAGACAAGAGGCGGACAAATTGAGAGATGAGGCAAAGAAGAAAACGGTCAAGTCGGTGGATATGGAGACAGAGAATTCTCCTGTTCCGCCTGGCGCCTCCTGAAAAGTTATGCTCGGCTTCTATATTTTCCGGACCACCACTTACTTGAAAGTCTGCGGCCTCGATGTATATTAGTGCCATGCTGTCGGAATCACACACTGCTCGGACAAGACACAACCTTTAGCCCATCCGACCGATTTATTCCCGCCATTCCATCGGTATCTTCATCGACTACATTCCATGATCTTTTGATCTAGGCCTTACCGAGACCGACGAGAACCAGCAAGGCAACGTTCATCACCACCAATACCAGCCAAATCGTCACGGCGAGGACCGTCACTAACCAACCGTTCCGCATGTTAACCGCTTCCCCACCGGGGATTCCAGGATCGGCTCGAACTGTCATGATGTGGCTTCGGCAAGTAAACCAAACAAGTGGAGCGGTTACAAATGGCAGGATGACACTGAGAACGACCTGGCTGGCGGTGAGAGCCTGATTTAGACCATCTCTGCCCACCGCGGCCGCAATGATGATGCTAGGGACGATGCTGATGGATCGCGTGATAAGTCTGCGCAACCATGGTTTCAATGTCCAATGAAGCATGCCTTCGGACACCATTTGACCGGCCATGGTGCAGACGATACCGGCAGAGGTGCCCGAAAGCAAAAGGGCCAGGGCGAATATGGTGCCAGCTGCCTTTGAAAGGTTCTTACTCAGCAGATCGTGGATTCCAAAAAGGTCCGCCTCGGTGGCTTCTGTTTTAGGGTAAAGAGACGCGCCCGATACGATGAGGATGGCAGAGTTGACGAAGAGAGCAAACGTGAAGAGCGAAGAAGCAAGCTCCACAATGGAGTATTTGAGACAAGCCTGAATCGCGTAGATCGAGGGCACATACTTTTCTTCCTCGTCGTCCGACTCTTCCCCGACCATAATGTGGCCATTCTGTCGATCGAAATGCTTCAACCGTGGCTGGACTACCCCCGAACCAAGAAAAATGGAATGAGGCATGACGGTCGCGCCGATGATGCCGCAAGACAGATAAATTCCGTTGCCTTTGACAATGGCCGAGGAGGGGAGATAGCCCTTGAACACCTCGCCCGCTGAAGTATTTTGGATGTAGGATAGTTGAATGCAGAAGCAGACCATGACGCCGAGAACGAGACTCATGACGAAATACTCGAAAAGTCGCAGGCGAGTCATAGAACCGTCGGGCCGGTAGAAGAGTAAGAGAAGCAGAACATCCACGAGCGTGATGGCACATCCGGCGACCAAGGGAATGTGCAAAAGAAGATTCAATGCAATAGCTGAACCAACAACCTTGAAAAACGTTAGTTGTGGTGCAAAGTGGTGGTGCTGGAAAGAGATCCCCCCAAACTCACTTCGGCAATATCGGTGGCAATAATGGCAGATTCAGCGAACAAATACAATATGATGGTGAGCCACCGAGGCAAATGTTTGCGACAGTTTTCGGCCAAGTTGAGTCCAGTGACGCTTCCGAGTTTGATGCACAGAGATTGCAAGAAGATGGCAAATAGATTCGACATCAAAATAATGAATAGATGACGATAGCGCGTGGCCGCTCCCGCTTCGACGTCCGTCGCATAGTTTCCAGGGTCGATGTAGGCGACTGCGATGAGAAAGCCCGGGCCGACAAATTTGACATACTTTTGAAGAATGACAATGACCTTGTTCCAGAGGGCCGAGAGAGAACGCAGTTTCCCAAATCGTCGTGAAAGGGTTTGTTGAAAGGCCGAGGAAGAAGATGACGAGTGGGACTCCTGCTTGATCGGATCAACCTTGACGTCAGAGGGTGATTTTGCACCAGCTGAAGGCGATTCAGGGTTTTCGGCAGGTATGATTCGAATCTGTTCCTGGTCAGCGTTGTCGAGACTTGACTCATTCTCCCGTTGTTCTCTCAAATTAACGATCCCATTCAGGTCAGCCCTGGTGGTCAGATCCGAGCTCAAGGCTTGTGGATTCTGATTCCAGTCGGGATGCCTTTCAGTTTCGTCTGTTCGAGATGGGCAATTCATGATGGCGGCGGTTGATATAGGTAGGCGATTTGGAAAATAGGGAAGGGGAAGGAGGGAGCAAGGCGGGACGTTATATAATAAACGAATTCAAATGGGGACCCCGGCGGTCAGGGCGTGTGGTGTGGCCAGAAGAAGCATTTGAAGTTTGTAAGTGTAACGGCGGTTTCTTCCGAGCCAAATCCCTGCGTCAGTGCCTTGTCCCTGAGCCAATGCGCAGTGAGGGGATCGAAACAGAGGGAAGATGACAGGCTTGATGTGGCAAAGTCGGTTGTAAGTAAGTTTTTAATGGAATCTCAAAGCTATTCTTGGGGCCCAGCCACGCGGGCTGACAACAGTGTTTCTTTACTTTTTATTTCCTTTTTTCCCTTGAGCCTCAGCCTCAACCATGATTGTCGAGACGTAGAGGAGTGTGAAGGGGAACCGAATGAAATAAAGCGGAGAGAAAAGACGAATGAAAAGTCAAAGTTTTCAAATAGCGAGGCCGGATGGGAAGACTTCCGCGGATGCAATTGACTCTGATGAGACGAAAAGGAGATGGGAAGGAGTTGAAGGAGTCGAGTCGAGATTCTCGGGAGCTGATGGAAAAGATCCGTTTGCTTCGATGCCGGGCAGAAGACGTGGTTGCGGCTGGAAAGATCACGGGCCTGTTCCACCTAGGTCTTAACATCGGGGAGCTTTGAAGTCCCTAACAGATTCTGCTTTGGGGCCTGATTATTTCCTGCGGTAAGGTTATTTATCATTGGGCCATTTTCTCAGGGCAAGCCGGCAACTTCTCGGGAGTGTCCAGCCGTTCCACAGCACGAGGTGAGGCTGTCACGGACGTTCAGTGGCTGAAGAAATGGCGGACGAGGCCTCCAACCACCCTCACCATTGGCTGCGCTGCTGGCGTTCTTGAACGCTGAACACCACCAAACTATGATCTTGACTTGACACTTCCTTCGTCTCAAAACTTCAAATCGTCAACAACACTCTGTGCCCATCTTCGGCTTCTCTTATATCGCTCCCAAAACGCTCAGTCCGCGTCATCAGGTCCTCGCCAACAAATCGGTCTGATCGCTCGGCTTGTGCACGGTCCCGCTGCGACAGAAAAACCCCAAACCAACATCCGAGCCACTATCGTGGTTCTCGCGATCGTCCTCACCATCATTCCCCAGGGTCTCCTATTTCGTGTCATGCCATGCGCTTTCTATAGTATTCTCCTCGCCTTCGTCCTCGCTCCCACATCCGCCATTCCGTCCATGCGGGGGGGATCGGACAATGGTTCCCCGTGAGGGCATTGCTCTCATCTGCGCTTCGACCCCAAGCCTCTACTCACCATGAACATCAATAACAAGACGAATTACCCTCCACTGCAACGACGTCGACGAATATCTGATCATGCCTCCCCGGTCTCTCCTCGGCGATATATCGATCGTGCCAATAGAAATAGCGACCTTGTCAGTCCCGCTGAAGCCACTTCAGGAACGGACGACTCGGACAGCCCGTCTATCAATCTCGCATTAGCTTCGCCTACATACGACCATTTCGCCGCCTTGCCCACGGCCTCTCCTCTCACAAGACCGCCGGTCATAGATCCGGGATTATATGAAAGGGTATCTGAAGAGACTGGTCGACCTAGATTTCGTACATTTGACGAGGCTGCCCGTCCTGCGACCAGCGATGCGGCGGATCCAAACAGTGTTACCCTGAAGTCGAGACCGCCGACCAATGTGCCAGCAAATCCCACTGTGAGACCTCCGGTACCATATTCTCCCGGTTTTACGGACTATCAGGAGCGAAAGACGTTGGACCCACCAATAAAGCTGGGAGAGTATACGGCCTCTCCCAATCTCCGTAATTACAATGTTTCCTCTCCGATCCCGGATCGGTCGACGCACGATGAACCCGTGCCATCCAAAGGACATGCGGGTAAGAAGAGCAGACTGAATCTCCTCAATCCTATGAGTTTGCTGGCTCGTCGAAGATCCTCGCAGAACCAGAAGCTGGACGATATCAATCTCAGTATCAGTACTCTGTCTGTTCCAGCCTTGCCAGACAACTTCGATCCAAGCATCCGGGGCAAAGTCGTGCATGATTTTTCCGCCCCGCGAACTCGCCGACAGTATTCTCACAATGATATTGGCAACGTGGATTCTCCGGCCTGGCACTCAGCTTATGGATCCGATCCGCCTCGAACCAATGATTCGTCTGGTGGGAAGCCCTCCCCCAGCGCGACATCCCATATTACACACAGTCCCATGTTCAAAGAACACTTCCAGGATGACAGGCCATCATTACAGCCCGATCGGACCGGGTACTTGCACAATATCAATGCGTTCAACGCCGCCCATGATGCCCAGGACCCAAGCAGTGTTCCGGCTTTTGCAAAGAGACTTCCATCTGCAGTTCCACAGGCCGATTTCGAGTCCCAGCCCGAGCCCCCGGACAAGGAAAATCTGCCGATACCTCCGCCGGTTGAGCCTTCGCCTCCGCCGCCAACACCGCCACCGAAATGCACTCCATCACCCAAATTCGACATTCCGCCTCCGGCAGCACTTCCCAAGCATATGACAAGCACTTCATCGCGGTTCAGCTTTCAAATCGGCGGCGGCGGTTCCTCGGTGCAGGAAAAGTTGCTCGAGGAAAAACACAAACAACACGAAGCAACCAAGAAGATCAATAATGAGGGCACCGATGAAGAGGGAGATGATTATGCAGACTATGATTTTGATGCCGATGACGATCTTGAAGAGAAGATTCCTGGAATTAACGCTGATTTCGAGGAGGAGGAGGAGGAGGATGGGTTTGGCATCGACATCCCGGAGGGTAAAGCGCTCGTGGCTCGCTATGCAGCTCCCGAGCCTCAGGAAGAACCCTCATCCGAAGTTAAGACAACGGCCCTTCAACGACAATCTCTGCAGGGCTTTCACTTCACCCCTCAGTCCATGACTTTCAGTCCCACAAGCACGAATAATGCGTCCCAACCCACCCCGAGGGATCATGAAGGCTTTGCCATTGGCATCGCAGACTCGAGATCATCTCGAGATGAAACTCTAGATCTTGATAGTAAAGACGGGGTGGTGGAGATCGGGAAGGGTCCCATGCTGGGAGGTCTTGGGATTACGACCGCTGAAGTTCGTGGACGTCGGTCTCGGCAAACATCTCGTCCGCACGGTCAAGTCTTCGATGATGAGGACCTCTATTTTGATGATGGCGAATTTGGTCCCGTCGAGATTGATCCTTCCGGCACATCCTTCGACGAGCAGATTTTCGACGACGAGACGGGCAAGATTCGCGACATTCCCGCAGAGAACGCTCGAAAAGCTGAAGCTGCCCGACAATCAGGGGGCTTGGACGGAGAAGTCAAGGTCATTGGCCCTTGGGGTGATGGTCAGGGTGGAAAGTTGCCCCTGAACGTCCACCAAGATCCCGTCGAACAGCCGTCTCGAACTTCACGAGATCGTCACCAAATTAGCCAAACCAACTCCATGCCAGGACATTCCATTGCCGGTCTCACTGAAACTAATCTGGCCGCCTATCATGATGCTTTGGCGTTTGCAGCGAATCAAGCAGCTGCCAATGGCAAATTTGACCGTAAGGTCAGCTTCAGCCAGAACTCCGACGACACGTCCCAATCACAGTTCGAGAACAGTCAACACGGAGTCATTTCTGATGACAGCCGGTTCAGCTATAATCTCAGCTCGGCAATCGCGGAGGATGATGGCTTTCCGTTTGACGACGATCTTGACGACGATCCTATGATTGCAGAAGCCAATGCCGAGGCTCTAGAGAATGACGATGAAGGTTTCTACGGCCAAGAATTTGGATTCTATGCACGCTCCCACGGCAAGGGAACTTCAGAGCTCGTCAATGGCGGCTACTTCGCCGATCGGGGCTCCAATGGAGTCAAGCGAAGCCACAGCGGCAAGGCCAACTTCCAGGAACCTAGTCTGACTCCCATCACCGAGCGCAGTGAATGGAGTACGAGGAATTCGGTGGCATCTCTACAGATTCCTGGCGGCTTGCCGGCTTCAGCACAATCGATGCCGAGTCCTGGTATTGCTCAGTTGCTTGAGCTCGATTCGCCGGGCTACGACGACGATATGAGCTTCGGTGCATTGCTGAAGCTTCGAGGAAGGACATTTGGCGGCAGTTCTTCGAGTGTGAACAGCCTGGCCGCTGGACATCCAGCCAGTTCGTCTCTGGCCCACGTCTCCAACCATTCGTTTGCTCATTCGGATCTCGGCTTGGGAAGGATGTCGTCGTCAATCCATGGTCGATCATCGCCAGCAGGGATACCTGAATCGGAGGAAGAGGAGGAAGATACAGAAAGACCGACGCTGACGCAGAACACACCACGCAAGCAAATGACCGAGCCTATTGTGGTCACATCGCAGGAGGAACTGCCCCCATCGCCCGCTTCGGCCGCTGGGGACCGGCGAAAAGGCCATCATAGCAGAACGAGCAGTGGTGCCGAAAGTGTGAGCTATGCGCGGGACACAGATGGCCGGTGGGTGATGGAAAGACGGCGAACTGATGAGGGAAGCGGAGAAGAAGTTGTTGATCGTGAATATCTAGCAGGAACTCGGATCTGACGAATTGGCATAGACAATCCGGCGGAGAACGGACGGTTTTTCATTGGACATATACTAGTACCACTAAAAAGTACTTGGTACATTGAGCACGATTGTATGATACCCCCAATAGAATGAATACAGATTTGGTTGCCCAGGCACATTCCTGGCTGGAAAAAGAGGCACCTTGCCTTCAATAATATATGGCCCGGATGTGGCCCCGGTTGAAGCAAGCCAAACAGACCCCCTTGTCGCCGAAAAGTTCCGGTGGACCAAAATCTTGCATCGGGATCGCACCTGGCACCAGAGGTTGGGTCGCTTGTAAATCGGAGGACCAGGAGTCGTCGGCTGCTATGAGCCTCTGAGGGATGAAGCGCCCACGAAAGTAAGAGATTTCAGTGGCCAAACGGCAACGGCCAATGCCTCCGCACGATTCGCGGAGGCAATTTGTAAATGCCTCAATCGAGCCTGGAATTGGCCTTGGCACTCCCCAGCCTGCGTAACGGCCTTCCAGCTGCCACTATTATACAACCTAACGACTACTGTTGACATTTCTCTGTACATTCTGTACATCTGTTTTGGACGCTCTGTGCATCTTTCCACTCCTTCATTAGTGGTCGGTGCTTCTCCCCTCGGGTTCCTTTTCTCTTTCCTATGGATCATTCGCTATATCATTAGCTCAACCCTTTTTCCGTCATGTATCGTTGTGCTACGGGCAAACTCCCCGTGAGGGCTGCTCGAGCTTCGAGGTCCTTATGTACTTCTTCCATCTCACCGGCTGTTGCTGGAAGCCGCCAGAATGCTCTCATTGTCGGGAGAAAACCTCTCACTGTCATGGTCCGCAGCTCACCGCAGCGCAGGAGCTATGCCATGGTGGCCGAGGAAACGGATAAGGGCGTGGTATGAGGAGCTCCCTGACGATCCGACTATCAGAATGAATAGGATACTAAAATACCGGGCAGGATCCCAACGACTCTTTCCTCCAAGGAAATACCGCGAACTACATCGACGAAATGTACATGGCCTGGAAACACGACCCCTCCTCCGTCCATGTTTCATGGCAAGCCTACTTCCACAATATGGAGGAGGGTACCATGCCCGTATCTCGAGCCTTCCAACCTCCGCCTGGCCTGATATCGCAAGCCGATGGGGCCGCCAGCATGGCACCGAGTGCCGTCACCGGGGCGGGTCAAGATGTTACAGACCACTTGAAAGTCCAGTTGCTGGTCAGAGCCTACCAATCGACCGGCCATCACAAAGCCAAGACCGACCCCCTGGGAATTCGTGGCGAAGCCGAAGCATTCGGATACAGGAGACCCAAAGAACTCGAGTTGGAGCATTACGGGTTCACCGAAGCGGATCTTGATCAAGAGTTTACACTGGGACCTGGTATTCTCCCGAGATTCGCCACGGAATCGCGGCAGAAAATGAAGCTCCGCGATATTATCGCGGCCTGCGAAAGAACCTACTGCGGATATTACGGCGTCGAGTACATCCATATCCCCGACCGAGAGCAATGCGACTGGATCAGGAACCGAATCGAAGTCCCTACACCTTTCAGGTATTCCGTCGACGACAAGCGCCGCATCCTCGATCGGTTGATCTGGAGTTCCAGCTTTGAGGCCTTTTTGGCCACAAAATATCCCAACGACAAACGGTTTGGTCTAGAAGGCTGCGAGACTCTCGTTCCGGGCATGAAAGCCATGATCGACCGCAGTGTGGACTACGGTATCAAGGACATCGTCATCGGAATGCCGCACAGAGGAAGACTGAATGTGTTGAGCAATGTCGTTCGCAAACCCAATGAATCCATCTTTAGCGAATTCTCGGGTACGGCTGAGGCCAGCGACGAAGGTTCCGGTGACGTCAAATATCATCTTGGCATGAACTTTGAGCGACCAACACCTTCCGGGAAGCGTGTGCAGCTTTCCCTGGTCGCCAACCCGTCTCACTTGGAAGCCGAGGACCCAGTGGTGCTGGGGAAGACTCGCGCGATTCAACATTACAACAACGATGAGAAGAAACATCAGACGGCCATGGGGGTCCTACTCCACGGTGACGCCGCATTCGCGGCCCAAGGTGTCGTCTACGAAACCTTGGGTTTCCATGCTCTTCCCGCGTATTCCACCGGTGGCACCATTCATATTATCGTCAACAACCAGATAGGCTTCACGACTGACCCGAGATTCGCGCGATCGACGCCATACTGCTCCGATATCGCCAAGGCCATCGATGCTCCCGTGTTCCACGTCAATGGTGATGATGCGGAAGCGGTCACCTTCGTCTGTCAATTGGCCGCGGACTGGAGAGCCGACTTCAAGAAAGATTGCGTTATTGACATTGTCTGCTACCGGAAACAAGGTCACAATGAGACCGACCAACCGTCTTTCACTCAACCCCTCATGTACAAGCGAATCGAATCCCAGAAACCGCAACTGGACCGGTATGTCGAGAAGCTGCTGCACGAAGGCACTTTCACCAAAGAAGATATCGAAGAGCACAAGAAGTGGGTTTGGGGAATGCTCAATGACAGTTTCGACCGAAGCAAAGATTATCAACCAACTGGCAAAGAATGGCTCACGTCCGCCTGGAACGGTTTCAAATCACCCAAGGAGCTTGCGACTGAAGTTCTGCCCCACCCTCCCACGGGAGTACCCGGTGACGTGTTGAGGGAGATTGGAGACAAGATTGCCTCCGTCCCCGACGGTTTCACCGTTCATCGTAACCTGAGGCGTATTCTTGCAGGCCGAAAGAAGGCTGTTGAAGACGGGAAGGGCATTGATTGGGCCACTGCCGAGGCTCTCGCTTTCGGTACTCTCTGTCTCGAAGGTCACCACGTCCGCGTGTCCGGCCAGGATGTGGAGCGTGGTACCTTTTCACAACGACATGCCGTTCTTCATGACCAAGAAAACGAAGCCACTTGGACTCCTCTCCAGAATTTGGCCAAAGAACAGGGAGCCTTCACCATCTCGAATTCGTCGTTGAGTGAGTTTGGGGTCCTCGGATTCGAATATGGCTACTCTTTGTCGTCTCCCAATGCGCTCGTCATGTGGGAAGCCCAATTCGGTGACTTTGCCAACAATGCCCAATGTATCATCGATCAATTCATTGCATCTGGTGAAGTGAAATGGCTCCAAAGATCGGGCCTTGTCTGCTCTCTGCCTCACGGCTATGATGGCCAAGGACCAGAGCACTCATCCGGTCGCATGGAGAGGTATCTACAACTGTGTAACGAGGAGCCGCGTGTATTTCCGTCACCAGACAAGCTCGACAGACAACACCAAGACTGCAACATGCAAGTCGCCTACATGACCACCCCGTCCAACTACTTCCACATTCTCCGACGTCAAATGAACAGGCAGTTCAGGAAACGTGAGTGATGTCTTGGTGTACGTAACGTTAGCTGACAATATCTAGCGTTAATTGTCTTCTTCTCCAAGTCTCTCCTCCGCCACCCGCTGGCGCGATCCAATATTGAGGACTTCACGGGCGAGTCACATTTCCAGTGGATTATCCCAGATCCGGAGCATGGCAACGCGATCGCGGCGCCTGATGATATTGAGCGCGTCATCTTGTGTTCCGGTCAAGTGTACGCCGCCTTGCACAAGCACCGTGAAGAGAAAGGCATCCAAAACACCGCCATCACCCGTATTGAACAGCTCAACCCCTTCCCATGGGCCCAACTCAAGGAGAACTTGGATACATACAAGAATGCCCAGACGATCGTCTGGTGTCAAGAAGAACCACTCAACGCAGGTGCATGGAGTTTCGTTCAGCCCCGTATTGAGACATTGTTGAACGAAACCGAGCATCACAACAGACGACACGTCATGTATGCCGGACGTGATCCTAGTGCGTCGGTCGCAACGGGGTTGAAGGCCAGCCACGCCAAGGAGGAACAAGCCCTGCTCGAGGAAGCGTTCCAGGTCAAACAAGATAAACTGAAAGGCGAGTGACTAGCCGATGGTGTCACTGGGGCAAAGGTTACCGAGGGATGACGGTCAACGCGGAGCAAAAACTCAGACGGTTCTATCAATGTGCTGAGAAATGGACCTGCGTCAGTGTAGATTTGAATGACACGATGCCTGACCAAAAAGGAGGCACTAGCCTGTGGAGGTGGAGAATTATTACTGATTTAAGCTATTTTGATCGGTCACCTGTTTGGCCGAGTACAAATTAGTATCGATTTAGCGAGTGTTTGATGGCGAATGTACCAATCCATGTTCAGGACTTCTCCTTCAGTTACAATCTGCAAAAATTCGATCTCTTAGCTGCGTTCTGGAGATGCAAGGTGCTGGGAATATTTTGACAACTCCAGGCAACTAGAGAAGCATCGACTCCGTCCCAGTAAAGCATCGTCAGAGTTGTAAAGCCGTCGCTGGGACGAATCCGCCTCCGGTATGACGTCCACTATTTTCGACAACGAGTTAATGGACACTTCTTCTCGACTCGCCCCGTCACTCGATGGCTTTCACTCTCCGTTCTGGATCTCTTATTCATTTCCGCCAAGTCGTCTTTTCCGGTACGGGCGTCTGCTGCCTCGCGTGATACCCCATTTTGGGCGGCAGACATTGACGCCGACTCCTTCTCTATATGTGGCACCCTCTTTATTGTTGGGCCGAGACCTGGTCAAAGTACGCCCCTTCAGCCTAGCTTCGGACGGTCCACGTGCAACAAGTCAAAAAGCGCCCTGTGCGACTAATGGTCCTTGACATGCTGTGGCACGCAGAGACGTGCAAAGACTTCACAGTGCTGTTCAGTGCGGTCTGCATCCAGGGGGAGTGTAAGTATCTCTTTCTCTAGTGGATGGTCTTTGCACGGCGTCTCCTTGCGGCCGACCGCACACAATTGCGCTAAAAAGTTCTTTTCACTGCCTCTGGAAAAGAAGCTCTCGTCGTCCAAGGACCCAGTTTCAGGGAGAGGTTATGAATTGATCGGATCGCAGGCACTGCAAGCGGGAGGGACCCCAGATCCGGAGGAGGTGACAAAATGACTGCAAGGACAACCGATTTCTCAGGTTACTGACGGCGGAAAGTAGGCTATGCGCATCGGACGAGATGTCCCTCCAGACGATCCAAGCTATGGTACCTATCTGTACGGACCAAATCTCTGGCCAAACTTGCCAGAGGACGAGTTCAAGAAGCCGATTATGAAATATCGGCAGTATATGCTTCAGCTAGCTGAAGAGATCATGAAGATTCTAGCAAGAGGCTTGCCGGACGGCCGCGATGTATTTATCGACTTCATGCGAGACCCGGTTGCGTCCGCAAAACTACTTCATTATCCGCCGCAAGCTCAAGCTGGCGAGGAAGCCGTAGGAGGTGAGTTTTGACTTGATCCTTCGATTGAATGCGAGGATGAAAGGGCTTTGTCGGTCATAGGATGGGGTGCTCTCAACACTTGTGAGTGCAAGCTGCCGTCGGAGGCCATAAAAACTGCTGAAGATGTCTCTGCGCAGATACTGCTTCGATACTCGGCGATTTCAGAACCAAGCACAAGCAATGTCACACTGTCATTGACACGGCCAGCGTAGTGGGTGGAGTCTGGCTTAAAGAGCTGGTGGGCTTTTTGTATCTTATCGGGTAAGCTCAAGAACGCGGAATGTTCAATCTCGAAGCGAGATGCTCACCTTTTCTCTGGCAGCTTCGTTCTCGTCAGCGGTTCTGGTATCCTTGGTGTCTCAATCGCCGTTAATGCTCTGTCAAACCATGGCGCTTGCACCCCCTGGTGGTCATTCCTGGCCACGGTCGTAGTAACCCTTCTGGCAAGCATTAGGACATTCCAGAGGATCGGTTGGATCACTTGGGCCGGCTTCGCCTCTATCTTCATCGCCGTCTTGATTGTTGTGTATGGTATCCTCTACTCGCCACGTCTTAATTAATTTGATTATAACTGACCGTGGTTTCAAGGGTCGGCATGACGACAAGAGATCGGCCTGCTAGTGCACCCCAAACCGACGACTACGACTCAGGTTACCATGTCATCGGACACCCCAATTTCATAGCTGGCATGACCGCTTCCGCCACCATCTTCGTGTCCTCATCAGGAACTTCATCCTTCATGCCTGTGATTGCCGAGATGAAGAATCCCCGAGATTACAAGAAGGCCCTTTTCACTTGCATGGCTATTCTCAATGCCGCTTACCTCTCGTTTAGCCTCGTCGTCTATCGTTGGTGCGGCAAATGGGTTGCAAATCCCTCTCTGGGGGGAAGTCCCCCAATTCGCGGCCATCATTTCGTGCCAGCTGAACTGTGACATAGAGTGCAGGCCCTGTTGTGAAGAAGGTGGCTTATGGTATCGGTCTGATCGGTCTGGCAGTCAGTGGCTGCTTGTATCTTCATGTAAGATCAACTCACTGGTTCGAAAGACGCCCCAAAGTCCACTAACGAGCACAAACAGGTGGCAGCCAAGTACTTGTTCGTCCGCATCCTCCGCAACACCTGACACCTTCAGGCCAACACAGTGGTTCATTGGGGCACTTGGCTGTAAGCCTCCCTCGAGGATTTTGGACGGATGAAAATCACTGACAGGAGAATTTTCAGTGGCTGTACTGTTGTCCTCGGCGTCGTTGCCTTCATTCTCGCCTCGGCCATACCCATTTTCAACTTCCTTCTCGCCTTGACGGGCTCGATCTGTTTTTCGCCATTAGCCGTCATTCTACCCAATATTTTCTGGATCTATGATCACGCCGACTATCTTCGCCGCTCCATAGGACGGAAGGCCGTCTTTGTATTTCACGTCCTGTTGATCCTAATTGGACGCACCTTGTCAGTCGGTGGCACGTACAGTACCGTGAAGTTGATCATCGGCGCATACAAAGTTGGTAATATAGGTGAGTGCTAGTCATCGTCGTGGTTATGAGACACGTGTCCCGACCCTATACCGGTTTGCTAGGAATTGTTCTTGCCCTAACGCTCGTCGACCTCTCTGCTCTCAGGATCTGCATTCTCATGTGCCGACAACTCGAATTCCTCTTAGATGGAAGTCTCGTAACTGACCTCGAGCGAGTGGGAATTGATCTGGCTCGGTTATCCACCTTAGATTCTACCCAGCCGTAGATTCGCGGAATCCAGAGAGATGCGGCAATAGGCTCGCGACGGAACAAGATCGACTGCCGAAGCTGTAAAAAGGGATCAGGAGTGTATAGCATAACAAGATACAGGAATCCAATCCAACACAGGCTTTTGCAAAACTGGTTTCCTCTGAAAGCACATTTTGATACTATTTCTGGCAGCAAAAAGGGGGGTCGGGTCGGGTCGGCAGGTTTTTGTTGGTCAGGTTCGCTTAAGCTTCATTTTCCAGAAGTGAGCATTGTTAGTTTCGGTTACTCGTTTAAGAGAAGGATTGTTCCAAAATCGAGAGAAAAGCGTATGAGCTTTGATAACTTTCTCCATGGCTGGATATAATTGGATCAGGACGTGCAAAGCTCGACCACCTGAGAGTTGACCTCATATCCATGAAGGAGAAGCAGGACAATGTACGAGACCCACGTACATATGTCAGACACCACTCTGTAAGCCGAGTTCTCATGATCAAACCAGTCGCTGGAAAGACCGTTTCTCTGTAACCCCCTATGGAAAGAGGAATTGACTCGACGCGCATGGGTTCTCACTGTAGGAAGTCTCGCCTCTAGATTGGAAACCAAGTCCGGACTCCGCAGGCATGTGCTGGCGTACGGTGCGTTATCTTCGTGCGTCCAGAATTCATCGGAAGATGTTTTTGCAGTGCAAAGAATCCAGCGAAAGAAAAGATCATTTGATCTGGCCGGAGATGAAGTAGCGATCCTTGAACAACTCCGGGAACATGTAAGTGAAGGTCTGCTTATTCTTCCTTTGGCTGACTTGACGGCAGCTATATATCTGCAGCTTGGTTCCAGTCACATATGATGATGTCTCTTCTGTGGGAAACAGAACTATCAGCGATGTTTATGTGATCCTCGGTCCCTAGAGTACTACGGCAGTTTATCGGAAGGTCAAACAACAGGTTGTAGGGAAAAACCCATGACAGTATTACTTAACAGGGGTGTAGATTATTTGAGCTATGTACAGACCAGAAAGTTTTAGATGCGTCCTAAGACTGTCTCATCCCTTTACAACAAAAGAGACAGGGTGAGAGGACCAAGCAAAGATCATCCTCGGGCGGTGATTTGTGTTGAGAGACATGAAGTCCTTCCAGGCCAGATTCGAGTTTTGGGTGGGTAATTTCGAGCTATTGGGTGCGAGGTATGCTCTTGTATCGCAGGAGATGGGGACGAAGAGCTCGTTTCGTGGGTGGCGCCCATAGGCAGAGTAATGGTCCAAAGGACTGCTCTTAGCCGGTGTTCAGAGAACATGAGCATGCCGTTTCTCGGTGGACGCATTGGCCTTCAGATCCTTATCGTAGGCATGTCTGGACACAGAGCCGGGGGAATATCGTTCCCCGAAGCGTTGTTTTCCCCAAGAATAGTCCCTCCACGACGTCGAACATCCTTGCCTGATCTATGAGTCCATGGGATTCATGACCAGCAAGACAGGGGACGGGCGCGATAAAGCTTCGGTTCTATCTAGATACCCGGGAAGCATGGAATTGCGGAGGAGTTTTTCTTGCGCCACCCCAGAATGTGTGTCTGTACGATCCTGGCGCGGCATGTGAATAGAAAACCTCTTCAGGGGACAGGTATGGGAGACCAAGATTCTTGTTTGGCCATTTTGGACCCCGCCCTTTTTATACCATCTTCGGCACTCTCTCGCGTTGATTGGCACACGGTGACCATATTTCTTCCTACCCAGTCTAGTTCGTAGAAAATCGCCTCCTCTTTAGCCTTGGACCGGCGCACCATGTGGTGTTTCTTGGTTTTTGATATCCTGCGACTCCTCTTGTCCTGGCAACGCTGTCTTTTCTTTTCAATTCCGCCTTCTTGAAATGTCCTTGGCCTCGGGTATGCGGCCGCCACGGGATTTACTTCGTAATGTTGTATATCGGAAACTTGTTCGGGGGTGTAATCAGGACTTATCCAGTCGTCGCTGGACGGAGGCGTGGGGCTGAGAGTGGTTCGTTCGAGATCGCGCGGATCCAGCAATGCGAAGTGGCCTTCCAAATAGAGTTGGTAGGAGTTGCGCCTGAGGAATTTGGGTGTTTCTCTGGTTTGCTCGAGGGCTCTTAATCTGCTCTGCAACTGGGTGGCAAAGAGATGGACTGTCTTCTGTTCGAGGAACTCCCGGACGCCATGATCGGGAATGACGGATGGCGGCCGGGTTCTTCCTTCATGCCAGTCGAAGTCACCATCCATCAGAACAATATAAGCATTGTTGAACGTGTGTGTACAAAGCGTTTTGGTGCTGGTTGTTAGCTTGTTGTGTTGAAGTGTCGTGACAAATGTCGTTGTCGTCCCGGAGGGGTTAGCCTGTACACCGGAAAACCTGCCTATTCTGTACACTGTGCCTCGACTCTCCATATTCTGTACACCTACCTCTCTCTCTCGCCGTATTCCGTATACTCACCGCTCTCATCCTGTTATTCTGTACGTCGCACCAATAGAGCTTGTCCCCGTTGACCTGACGCGGCGAGAAAACACCAGCAAGTAGTGTTGCTGTGGAGCGCTGATGCGTTGAACCCTCCCCGCGGCAGGGGGTAGCGAAGCAAGAAACACATTTGATTCCCTTTTTCCTGGCAGCTAGGTACCGTGCAGATTCGTGGCCTCCACAGCCAAATTTGTGTAGAGCCTACCATCGTCAACCATCATTTCCGCATTCTGCGTTCTGTATAGACAGATTTGGGTGTTGTGAAGTTTGCATGGCATCACGTGCCTTCGAATTACGCAGATGACCGGAAAAACCAAAGTCCGGATCAATCAGAGACGGCATAAGAATTTTCATCACGTGACCGGAGCACGGTCGGCTCTTTGGATTACTAATTGCAGAACAGCACACCAGGGTTAGTTGATCATACAGGTGTAACGAAGTCATCTTGCCGCTTTTAACTGAGGCTTAGCGTGCCGCCGCTTTAGACAACGCTACCGACTCGAACATCCTTTGTGTCATGGATTGTCTATCGCCGTAGTAGCTGCGTGCTAAGTCCCAATGTTGCACAGCTCTCAATTGGTCCACTGCCGGGCTCAACCCCCCCTTTCTTGCAGGAGGAAGTAGATGGCAATGATCTGGACTCTGCCTGAGGTGGAGACATGTACTAATTTTGAGTCGCCCTCGCACCATCACCTCCATCACATCGCGACTATCGTTGAGGTCTTCTAGCGCCGGCGAAACGCAGTCACTTTCGTCGTCGATCACAATTATCGGTACAAAATGGGAAGAAAGATATCATGCCTTCCAAGGCGGAGAGTATTGGTGAGTTCTTTGACCTGATGTGAAAGCCATAGCTAACTGATTTGGTCAGGGTCCCTAACGATGAAACGGCAAATGATCAACTTGACATAGGGTATGCCAAGAGGATTTCTCAAGACCTCTTGTTACCTGCTGTTGCTGGACAATAAACTATTCCTTGCACCCATTGGAAATGGGCCGCAGAAGGTAACACTTCTGATTTCACCAACCCTATACAGGTCCTAAATGTCGGTACGACTACAGGGATTTGGGCCCTGTCAGTCAATCCCGCACCTTCATTTTTGATAGTTCTTAAACGGCTGACAAGCGACTTCGCGGATCAATCCGTCCGCGATCGTGAGAGGAACCGAGATCTCTCTAATCCAATCAAAGTTTGCGCCTCCGAATCTTCAATTTGAAATTGATGACGGATGAACTGGGTTTCCCTAAAGAAAGCTTCTATTTCGTCCACATACGCGGACTCATTGGGAGAGCCAGAGCACCCCTTCAATTCAAGTTGCACAACAACTTTGACAACAACTTTTGTCTGACAATGCCTCTCCTTGAATAGCTCCTCACACCGCTGGTACAGTGCGCCTCCCACAAGATTCTCTTTCGCCGCCAGCGACGACTACCACCTGATCACGCATTGGATCAGCCTATCCTCCTCCAAATAAATATCTACTGCTCTGCTACTCTTCACATCCCGGTAGGAGGCAGAATGACACCCACAGCAGGAGCCAGACCGTCGATCAAGCATCTCTTAGACCGCATGCAGCAAGGCTATCAAACATTTCGCAGAAAGATGGCATGCGAAGATGCTGATTGGGCAGGCAAATACGAAGTACGAGCTTATGTCTTCCCCGGGCTCTTCGAACTTGGGCTTACTTCAGATGCTCTAGGGATTTACTTCATAGGAATCTTCTTGCTCGGTCTTCTTTCATACTCAAGCAGGCGTAGGTCCACAGGCAAACGTATCAAGATCATCAGGAGATCCCCGATCAAATGCATTTCAAATCCGGAGTGATTGCCGCAAGAAAGACTCCCCGTTCTCTTTTCTGCCATGTCCCCCTCACCTGAAGAAGTCCAAGATTTTCGAGAAATATTTCAATATAGTACGCGGTGTCTAAAAGAAACTGCCTTGCCACCAGACAAAGCCATAGACTGCCACGTTCAGCGCGAAATTTGTCTGTGTCCTTGCGACCTGCAGTCAAATGGGATGTGGAGCAGGGTGCGAGGCAGTGAGGCTGACATCCCAGTTCCTCTCGTACCGTCCTGGCCAATACGAACTCGCCTCTGCAAAATGGTCGAACCATGTCCAAATTCCCCTCGGCTGACCCCTTGGCACCAGCCCGTCGTTTAGCTCTTCTGCCTATAATAGACCACAATGTCAGCCACCGCCTAAACCTGTCTGTTCTAGAACCGGGCGTGCTCGCGAGGTCAGAGTGGGGCTGAATCAATACAAAATCCATGGCAAGAAGAATCCCTCCCCGGATGGAAAGAGCTTCATCTCTATCCAGATTTGCTGGCGAAGTCTTAGGGATAAGATAAATATTCTCGCTTCTTCATTTGTCGACATGTCTGGATCGCGGAAGCCGATCGTTCGTCCCAAGCCCGGCCACCTCCGGACTGTGATCCGTGAGTCCTGGATCAAGGCCTGCCAGCAAGTGTCGGATGATGAGGACTTTATCCGTCGCATTCTACAACAGAATGGCATACAGGTCGACCCACCGATCGAGAGGGCGTTATTCAAACCCTGTGCGGATCTTCAGGTGGGCAGTATTTTGCCGAAAGATTTTTGCGAACTAGCAAAGGCATGGCTCGAACTTGGCGGCCTGAAGAAGTTGTATCCATTCCTTGACTTTCTCGGTGCTATTTGAAGACGCTGCCGAAAAGATCAAAGCAAAAGAAGAGGGAAAGGAGCTGTCCTCGAGATACTTGTCAGCGCTCGAGACAGCGCGAGGTCTTACACCAGAATCAGTCAAGGTGGTCACTGCTGTTAAGGAAGTGGTTGAGACTGGATTCGATGATCATGAGGTGACTTATCTTTCAGCCGATTCCTTGGTCGTTCGAAACTTCATCCAGGATGAGATGGCTCCATTTTTTACCAAACTGCAGACGTTTCCAGCCTCAGAGGTGCCACTGGGGCTCATCAGGAGAAAGTGAAAGGAAGTGAAGGGAAAGCTTGAAACCTGACTCAAGAACGTCAACGTGCATGCACTTCCAGCGTGCTGAAAGTGGGTTGAACATGATGCACCAGGGAACCTACTACATCAAAACAAATCATCTTCCTCGATATGCTGCCGCCTCGGCGCTGGATGTGGTTTTACGGGCATTTTACATTCTTTCTTGGCTCTTTCGATCCCGAAGATATAATGATCGAAAAAGACTGGGAAAATTTGCAGACGGCGGCCAGAGAAAGATGTCAGAATGTTTACGACATGTATCTTCGGTACAGTGAACAGAGGATGTCACTTCTCACGAAGAAGTATGAGTAAGTCTTCCTGTCCAACCTCAGCATTTGGAACTTGGAGTCTAGGCTGGCTGCTCACATCCCTTTCAACCCATGAAGCAAACATACAAAGCACAACCACTCGCTACAAATTTCCGATGAAGGCTCTAACCACGACCGCATTTTCCCCAAGTTCGACATTCATGCTCATGCCAGTCAATATCCTCGCTGCAGTGCAGATGAGCAGGGAAATACTTCTAAACATGAGGACGGCAAGTTTGAATACTACAACGATGGTTACAACCGAGATTTGTCTACTAGTCCAGGGCTTGCGATGTATGAAGATGTCCGATATGCCATACATGGAGAGCTGTGTGAAGATGGACCCATCTGGCAGACAAAATATTTCAACCACATATTGACCTGATTGAGACAATTCTCCAACGATTCGAGCTGGAATCTGGTCCAAGTATCGTTGCGAAAGCCTCCTCTCGCCCTCTCTCGACACTAAGGCCCGTTATCATGTCAGAGTCTCCGCTGGCAAAACCAGAAAAGATGCCGTTGAGGGATTGGATGTGCGGCGACAGAAAGACAGATATCACTTCAGGTTGGTTCTTCTACGAATCTGAGGAAGACCAGAAAGACAAGAAAGATCTTCTCCCGGCGGTGATATGTAAAGGGTGGGGAATCATCACCCCTGGGCGTGTAAGTCATAGTCCTTTTCTTGCCTCAGCGACTTTTTTGTCTGTGGGAATGGCTTGCCTGATTTAGTGAGTTGACTAACACATATAGTACTACCTTGATAATCAGATCGGATTCTCTATCACCAACGGAAAGGATGAGACGCCGTCGAAACACATGCTGGAAGTTCTCATCAAGGATGAAAACAAATTGATCTGGGTACGTTATATTGACCTCATTCCTGCCACTGTCTTCTACTTCATGAGTAGTCGTCTCTGACTTGATCGGCACATTCAGCGACAATGTCTGAAAGTGGAAGATGCGAAGTGGATCAAAGCCATCCCACTCGGACAAACCACGGATGGGCAACCTCTGTACTTGTGCCAGACCAAATTTCGATTCAATGGCCAAACGGGTCTCCTGCCAGGCGTAGTAGGTCTTCCGGGTACGAAAGGTTGCTGTGGCTTTGTCAGGGGAAAACTGTACCAGGGTGAAGCTTATGAGCTTCTATGTTCAAAATAGCTTCGAACCAGTCGGTGGCCGTATTCTCGTCGTCCGTGGCATGTCTTGGATAGCAGGGTGCTGTCAAACTGGGGTGCAAATGGAGAATGCTCTCTCTCTAGCAACTGGTCCTGCCAGATTGCCAGTATGTATACATGTGTCGAACGGAGCGAGATGCGGATAGAAGAGGTGAAAACTCGTGTGTAGATTGCAACTATGGATTTGGGGGGACACCCCCTATATAGACCAGAATAGGGGTTCTTGGCACTAGGCACCAGCCGTCTGACAACAGACCTCTTTTCAACTCCTATTCTTCCCCTATATCCTGCATAGGGGTGATAACCCTTTTCCAAGTAAAGAGGTACTGCTCATTGTTCGATAGGTGCATGCTGAAGACCTACCCTGGTCTCTAGGTGGATACACATCGAGATCACGTACAGGGGCGGTCGGAGACAAGGCTACGAGGCCCTGAAAGGGGGCATAATGGAAAATAATCACGTGATATTTCAATCACGTGACGCCAAGAAATGAACCTGAAATTCCGATTTTGGCCGAAAATCAAATGGGCAACAGAACTGTCTCCGTCTCCTGTACGAACAAACATATTCGCAATTTCATAATCACTGTCCTCGATGCTCCCCTCTCATTCATTCATTCATTCCCTGGACATATACTGCGCAGCAAAGTGCCAACCGATGTGGACCCGGTATTTTTGAGATGATCCGGCTGACGCCTCGTGCAGCTTCTGCCTATTTGCAACTTGACGCCTTTTTTTGGGAGGGGGGGCCAAAGCATTTTATATATAAGCCGCGAAAAAACCCAGGAGAATCTCCGTGACACCGACCCTTTTCAATGACTTCCCCATGGCCAATGAGGAAGAAGATCATTCTGGAACATTGCCAAGCACTCCAGATACGGTGATCCTCGAGAACCACTTTAGCCCGAGAACAAACGCAAGGCTGCAAGGCGACTTTGCCCGCCTGATCCCCGTAAATCGCCCTGCAATCCTCGCGTTCCACTCAATTGCCGAGCGCATGAGGCTTGACCCTGCATGGAACCCTCATGCGCGAAAGTACATCTTCGTGGAAGATTCCAAACGTCAACTTTCTCCCGAATGGGATGGTAGTGACACCTCGAATGGCACAAAAAATGAACCTAGTCAGGTCCTGATTGGATATTATAGGCTCAGCCTCGATCTGATTGCCAATCACCCTGAGCTCGGATGGGTTGTTGGAAGTGGCAGAAAGGACCTCCCAAATGGCGGCGTGGACTTTCTGTTGACTCTGCAGAAGAACAAGCATCGTGTCCATGGCCGGCATGCTCGTCTAGTACATCATGCCAAAAATGGAGCGTTGATGCTGGTCGTTAGCAAGGGAAAAGTCGTCACGGTCAACGGCCTCGAGAGACTAGAGGGTTCGCAACGCGTGCTGGGCTCGATTCGCACCGCTCTCTCTTTCGGCAATTTATCTTACAATTTAGAATTTACAGGATTGAATGAAACCAGTTACCGGGAGAAGCTTGGAGATCTCCTGACAAAACGGCATCCCAACAACGACATCCCCCCCATGTCGCTTGAGCTTACGCCCCAGGAACACCATTTTGAACTTCATGGATTTACGATTCACTCCCCATTTGCTTCCGGCACCAGTGGGATCGTTTCCGCTGGTTTTGAGCAATCCACCGGTCGGGCCGTAGCCATCAAACGCGTCAGACGTACGCCGGCGACTGTTGCGAGAATCCAGCTGGAGATTCGAATCTACAAGAAGATAGGGGACCATGTAAGTTCAATTATGAGTCTGAAGTCTTTCGATTGGCTAAGCAAGGACAGCCAAATCTGTGCCATTTGATGGCCGACTTGTACTCGGGAGGAGATGAATATGGAACAGGGAAATCGAAAATCAACGATGTGTATCTGGTCCACTCTCCCCTCGCCAGACAAACCTTTGTCGACTTGACCCTGTCGAACCAACTCTATGATGTCCGTCTTTCTGCTTTTCAGCAGGTTCTGGAGGGACTAGCGCATCTTCATCACCATGGAATCATGCACCGAGATATCAAGCCTACAAATATGATGATGGTCTCCTACCATCCTGTCCACGCCATCATCATTGACTATGGGAGCGCCACCTTCGACACCACATCGCTTGATCACTACTGCGGCACCATCTCATACCTTGCCCCAGAAATTCTCAAGCTCAAGTACCCAAAAGATGATTCAGAGCAGGAACCTTATGATTGTCGAGTCGATATTTGGGCCATGGGCCTTTCTGGGTATCAGCTTTTCTTCCAAGAACCGTGTAAATGGGAGAAAGGCGTGAACGACACGACACATAAAGAGATTGTCCGCAATCTGAGATCTCGCCCGGCTTCTGTAGCCGATGTGCTGAGAAAGATGGTTGCGTGGGAAAGTGCGGGTCGTCCCGCTGCAAAAGAACTTCTCCAGTCAAATGTTTGGCACCAGGTGAATGGAACTCATTCAGATCCAGACTTATCAGATTCAGAGTCGGGACGCGTTGCCAAGCGATTTAAGAAATAAGCTGTCGCAAGGTATTTGGTATTACCCCCGAATTCCGTTTAAGAAGAGTTGTCTTAACTCTCTTCTGTCTTCCAAACTCCTCTCCATCCAAGTCGCCTGTTGGCAATAGACGGACTTGAAATTGAAACCTTCCAACAAAGTTCCACAATGGAGAGAAATATATGATATATATGCCGCATACTATTCGGCACTCGGCTCGCGTTGTCGGTGCTTAAACCTCCTGGAGAAACGCGACAAAGATGTTTGGCAAGGAGAGGAAAGTATACGTCCAGAATAACGACAAAACTGGTTCAGCTCGATCAAAATGTTCAATGCGTGTCTCCGTGGATCCCATAAACGGTAACGCTGCACTGGCCATCAAGCAGAACGGTTGTGAATACTTGAGGCCTTACCAATCGAGATTCCGGCGTCTACAGCACCTCTAGCACTGGCAGGGGCAAGAAAATGCACTGACTGCGATATACAGCCAAGAAAAAGAGCCAGGATTCATTCAGGGCTCGTAGGGGACTCACAGAGTGTCAGGAAGGTGCTGAAGGGGTCCGCAGCGAGGCCATGAGGCGGCAGGAGGACTACAGAGGCCGGAGAGGGTCTGACACGCCACAACACCAAGACTGAGTGCAAAAAGGCGTTGAAAAGCGAGCTCTCTAGAAAAGCATCAACACACCTCAAGGGCCCAACTATGCAAGGGAGGCAAAGTGGATGGAAAGGTACATGAAAAGCCTTCATCTTACTAGGGATTTGAGGTACCCTTACATCCTGTGGACGACCCTCTCACAACTAGGCTCACTGTTCGCGGCTCACCCCGGTCCGGAAAAAGGTGATGCCGCCTTGTCCTCTCGCCATGACTCGCCCTCAGTGGGGGCCTAATGACCAGACTAAGTGTGAAGGTTTCTCAAATGCAGTATCGTTGGGGCGTACAAACTTCTGGGCTGGCCTTTTGTCGTCTACCGCTTCCACCCAAATTGGTCAACAGTGCCGAACCGAAAGTCCAACATCGAAGATATATGGGACAGATTTACCTCCTCGTTGCTTTCATCAACATCAATATCCTCATGATCTCCCAACGCTGTCGTCCTCTGGCCCCTAGCTTCTGTTGACTATTCAACAAAGCTGATCCCTACGCAACCATTTCCTACTGCTGTCCTTCCATTTCCCCATCTCGCCCTCCCTCGTCTCCAATCTGCCCACACTAGCCTTCTTTGATGTTTTCGCGGCTATGCCCGTGACTGTCGGCCCTAGGCCTCGACCCCAATTCCAGGTTGCGGTGTCAATTGCAACCCTCACCTCCCAGCACCGTCACGAAACATCAAAGCTCCGCAATGTTACCCACATCAACTTTCACAGGGAGCCTACTGTGGTTAGGACATGGATCTTGTGGGAAAGGCCCTAATGCTCGTGGAGGATAGGTCGTTTCCTCCTGATCTGCACCGGCGGCGAAGTCGATGTCGACAGATTGCATAGCTGCGTGTCCACTGCGTCTTGTCGTGGGTCAAATAAACCATATGATGTTCTATGTAATCTAATGACAGAAATGTCTCATAATCTTCGCTCTGATGATGATGGTGATGATGATGAGACAGTAAAAACCTTACTCCAACAAACTATTGACCACTACCGCGTGTGCCCTGCACAACCTCCAGCAGCAACCTAACACCCTAGTAATTTTGACTGCCATGCCCTCGCCAAGGTTGAAGTACGCCTTGTTGGAAGCAACCACATCGATTTGAGTTTGATCTACACGTCAGTTGAGACTAGTTGCAGTGGTTAATGGAGGACAGCAAGTGGGTAGATGGTCGGGACTTTTGGTAAAAGCTCGCAGGCAGAAAGAGGTAGGATACGAGCCCAATGGGCATCGTGGGACAACAATAGCTATCTCCTAGCTCAGCGAGAATGCTAGACTTGTGGACACATTCCTCTGGCAGAAAGGTGAAAGATCGCCCAAACGAGATGGGCAAAGCAGGAGAGAAGGCAAATACAGGTATCTGCACACATCGGATTGTAAAAGGAGACGTTATATTTACTGCGGGTTATGTGTCGAGCGATGTGTATGTGTGTGTGAGGGAGGAAGGGTGAGGGCGCGTGCGTATGCCACATCTGCGGTTCGATTCAGGAACCTGACGACCTGCAGCCACCCGGTTGCGTATCCACTCCACCAGTTCGAGAGGTGTTGAACCTTGAGAACCACACATTTGGGTGAATGACGGCGGCAAGACGACACCATACTAAAAGACCCCCTCGAGGGTGCCAGTCAAAATAGCTGCCCCTTCATCAAACCTGCAAAAGTCAGACCAATTCACAGCAAACTTCTCTGTGAGTCTGGCTGGACACTGTTTGGTGATGTGATACCATATTTCTACTAATTGAACACGTCCATCATCGGAAGACAGGAGAAGCTGAATTTCGTTCGGTTTGTACTAAGCAGCTATGTATTCGAATCTCTTCGATAAGCCCGCAGGATCATCCCTAGGGGGTTACTTATACTCAGTACCAGACCAGAAACCCACCCACATCATCTCCAGATTCTGCTGCGTCAGGAATGGATGAGCCACGTTGGCTGCATAAGGCCCAGGTGATGGCCATACAGTACGGAGGAAACTCAACACGAGTCTCCAGCGTCCCCTTCTCCAGCTCCCCAGTTTTGTGAGCTGCTCTGTTGTTCACCTCTACGCCCAAGAGTGCTATCCCCACACGGATGCAACATCACTAGCTTTCAAATCCCATTTCCAAACACCTGTCAATGGCACGCAGCTGAACACTGCCCATTATTGGTACTTCAATCACGGGGAATGTCAATGAGGTGGCAATGTGCTCTGTTGAAGGCAAAAGGTCGGCCGATCATCCACCCAAATTTCTCAACCATCTCCACTCGCATTGACAGTATCTTTGTATTGTCAAAGTAACATATAGGTATGAGACGAAGAGTTGATAGCATGATGCTTGAAGCTCAAACGAGACTTAGCCGCCCATTGCACGACAAGGAAATAATAACGTGTCTATCTGAGCTTGCAGGCAAGGAAAAGACGTTGAAAACATGCAATATCGGAAGGGTGGATGCAAACTAGCTTCCCTGATCACTCGGCCCCTGTATCTTCTTAGTCTAAAACTAGAGAGAGTCAGATCACACTAACAGAAGGGTTAAGATAGCACAGCAAAGGACCAGACAGGGAACAAGTTTGAAGGATAATGCTATATAAGGATGGTAAATGAGGTCTGTCAGCTTACAACCGCCTGCCCACCTACAATTCAGTATGCAAATCTTCAATTGGACAATCACCATGGCTTTCGGTCTTGGACTTTTAGCTACATCAGTTCTTGCACAGACACCTTGCGCAAGACAAGTACGCGAGTATCACGAAACCTGTGGCCCATGTGTCAGTGGTCAATGCATCCCAGTTTGTCAGGAAATGCTAAATCGCCTCGTAAGTACACATCCCTTATTTTATCTGTAGAATTGGGTATTGTGGGTGCTAACCTGCCTGATGTAGCTTAACAACGGTTGCGCCTAATTGGCGACCTTTTGTTGGGAGGATACTGTTGCAAGGCACGAAGCAGAGTTACAGAACGGGAGGAGGTCGAGGTTCAAGTAGTCATAGACATCTGGACGTGTTATTCTTTCTGTCTTCCAATACTACTATCACGAAGCTTTGGATGTACGATAGTTCCGGCCACACGACCGAACCTCGAGTGAGGCCGCAACGACGAGCACGACCATGCCGTCATCTCTCTTGGTCCAACCTCCCATCTGCAATCACCACATCTCTCCTGATAAAATCCACGATTCCCTTTCAGCTCAGCTTTCTCCATCCTTTCTTCCTACTATCTATACCCACATCGCACGCAAGGGAAACAAATGAACAGAAACAATGTCCGGAGTTCTCCAACATCTCTGGGGTTCCCCATTCGATAACTGCGGTGCGCAGCGCATGAGAAGCCTGTGACATTCTGGGAGCTACGGTCTAGGTGGATTAGGACATGTGATAATCATCTGCGGTGAGCGCTAGTGACAATTGAAGGTTCACAACCTCTATACAAATTAAACTAAACTTGCGTAAGGGTTTGACTGATTTTCGCTGCTTGTCTCACGTGGTTTTAAAGAAAATGGATCAAATTGAGTCGTGAAGTGATCTCAATATCTGACAGGTCTGATATACTAGTACAGATTACTCTCCAGCGTTTGCTACTATCTACCTTCGCCTTCGCAGTCGTGGCAGTCGGACGCGGCAACGAGGATGGCCATAAGCGCTGATGCTACTATTGCGAACGGAAATGTTAACTTGTCCTCTCATAGGGTGTGCGAGAAATCTTATGGACTTTACCGAAAACCGTACCGTACGAATCACTTCGTCACGCTGTGGCCCCGTAACATACCTCTTCAGACTTGCAATCAAGCCGTTTTTGGAAGGCAAACCTAGAAAGAGACGCGTCCAGGACGACCCCTAAATTCCTCCGCAAGCCGATGGTGGTCGTCATCACGGCTTGGTGTGCCTGATCCGAAACTGCCAGAGCCGTCATCATGGTATTGGGGAAACCAAGGCCTTATCCTAGCGGTACTTCAGCGATGAGGATCAAGCTCATGATCTTGGAAGTGTTCGTGGTGATGGAGGAAATAGCAATGGACCCAACAAGATATATGAAGGCCCCAGCCACCAGCGTCGGCTTCAACCGTCTGGTATATGTCATGTTGTATCTCGACGGCATGCCAGCAAATGATCCAATCAGACTAGGCAATGCCAATCGAAAGCCTGAGCCGGGCGCAGATGTCAGCAGAACGGTCTGGAAGAAGTGTGGCAAATTGAATAAGATGGCGTTAGAAGCGATACCTCCCGGTAAATTCGCAAAGACCATGCTGGTAATCGGTGGTTTGCTGAGCAAATGCAATGGCACCAGTGGTTGTTCTTCCTTCGTCTCGATGTAGACGAACCCACATCCCACTACGTCGAAAATGACAAAGCATGCAGTGACCACCGATGATGTCCAGGGGAATATGTTGCCTTCGAAGCTGAGTGCAAGGGTCAGCGAGGTGACAGTGATGACTAGAGACAACGAACCCAAATTGTCAGAGTTCTTGAGGGCAATCCAGGCACCACCGTCGCCGGTGTTGATGAGCATCGATCCAAGGTTTGATGGTGTAAACAGGGCGGCCATGACAAAGCAAACACCGATAAGGAGAACCTGAATCCCGAAAGCCCATCTCCAACTCAAACTGTCGCATAGCCAGTTACTAGGAGTAGCCCCCGAGGCCGGTCCTAGGCCAAACGCGAGATGATATGAGACCGGAACACCCAACGATGCTCGATGCGAACGAGATCGCTCACGATGATCAAGTTCATGGACATAGTCTTTCCAGCTCCTAAACCACAGAGTGTTCTTGCTGCAATGAAGCTCTCGATACTCCCGGCAAGGGCATACGACCACGTGGCTGATCGAAAATGGCAGCCGACACTAAGAATACCGACTTCCTTCCAATGCCGACCAAAAAGCGGCTGGAAATAATCATCGGGTGCCTCGACGCCATCAGAGTCGAATCAAAGCAAGCGACGAAATAATAGCCCAATGCAATGATCACCAAAACATGCCAGAAACGTTTCAGATTTATTCATATGAATTTGTTATCCTCTGACTCTCTGGCATCCTCAAGCTCACCGATCTCAATGGCGTCTTCGGTGAAAGTGCCGTATACTGGCGTCTCGGCTGCGGAGCTGTGGGGCTGGTTTCTGAACAGCCCTCGGTAGCTGACCGGTTGCTGCGTAGCATGGGGTTTCTATATCTAGGAGTGTCCCTAAAGTAAAGGATCCCACATGTGCAAGACCGATGTGCAAATCCCGGATACCCACGTCATCGGAATTTGAGAAGGATGAAGATCTACTACGAAGGAGCCCAGAAGCATGGGAGGGAGGGGGTAAAAAGAAAGGCGCTGTGTTTCTTGGAATTGGATTTGAATCCCACGGTTGTCCACCGAACGTGCCATCTGAGGTGCATCCTGATTTATCGGTCTGTCGTTGTCGTGTATGGGTCGAAATGGGGTACCATGTTCGCAGCTGCGCGGATCAACACACACATGAACTTATAGAACAAATGGACCCGAAATCGCCCAAGGATAGCGCTGAATTATAAAGTCCTGGATGTAAGTACGACCTCAATGCAGCAAGGCGGAAGGCTGCTAAATATCTTCAATGCCAGAGAAAGAATTAGACCTACTACGGCCTGTGAAATTACTACGTCTCATGCCGCTGCCATGTTGTCCATTTCAATATTTTTCTGATCATGCTCCATGAGGGATACAACAATGTTCCGACAGAGAGAACAGGAAACGAATTGGCCATTGCTGGGACTTGCGCGTAGGGGAAATCTGGGAGTTTATATCGGCGTTGACAGGTCTGGGGAGTAGAAGCGGGAACAGAAACCTGCTGCGGCCAACAGACCTGACAGCAATGGCCGAGAGAAGATGAAAGTAATCTCTGCTGGCCGCCCGCAGCCTCTGGTATATTATCTTGGCCAAGGGTGTACTCTAGCTGCTGGGCATTGGCGTTTCGGGCAACCAGAGCCCCACTTTTCTTCCTCAGCCTCGCCGATAGAACTGAGCACCGAACCACCAACCACGTACCCTTCCGCCATCTGGCATTATTAAAAAGGGCTCCGGTCCACAACGAGGATCTCACTCTATCCAGCAACACAATTCAATAACATATTGCACCGCCCTTAAAGCCTGGCTATATCGAGCTGCTTATCCACCCAGAGGATCTCTTCAGATTTTACGTGATCAAAAATGTCGATCGAAAGCAGCAAAAACATCAATATTGTCCCAATTGGTAATGGAAAGGACATCAAAGTCCTGGAAGATGGAGTCATGACTGTTTCTGCAGCTGGAGAGACTCGACGAATCTCTGCCAGCGTAGCCATCGACCCCGCCGCCAAAAGGCGTCTTGTGAGGAAATTCGATCTTCGCATCCTCCCCACCCTGGCGGTCATGTACCTCTTTAATTCTTTGGACAAGTCAAATCTCGGAAATGCAAAAACTGCGGACCTTGAGAAAACTTGGGGTCTCACTGGGGATGACTACAACATCATCCTTTCCGTCTTCTTAGTCCCATATATGCTCACAGCCCCCTTCCTCGGTATCGCGGGCAAGAAGTTTGGTCCAAGCAGGGTTCTGCCTATCATGATGCTCAGCTTTGGCTTCTTCACACTGATGGTGGTTGCCGCCTACAATTTTGCTGGTCTTCTTGCTTTGCGATGGTTTCTCGGAATGGCAGAATTGGCCTCCTTCCCTCTGGTCATCTACTACCAAACGACATTCTATCGGCGAGGAGAGCTCGCCCGTCGGCTAGCGATCTTTTATGCGGCTTCCTCGATCGCCTCGGCATTTGGCGGTTTCCTCTCTTACGGAGTTTTCCAAATTAAATCCGGCAGTCTCGCTAATTGGAGGCATCTCTTTGTCATCGAGAGAGGTTGTTCAATGCTTTTCGCCATCTTCGCATTTTGGTACCTGCCATATGATGCACAAAGCGCGAAATTCCTAACGCCTGAGGAGAAGCAGCTAGCTTTCTACCGAATCCAAGTGGATTATCCTGGGCATTGAAGTCTGCCTCGGAGTCCCGTTACAATCGATATCACTATTCTTGCCTGTTATTGTAAAGCGCCTTGGCTATTCGACAGTCAAGACGAACCTTTACACGGTCGCGCCAAACATTTCCGGCGCCGCGATGTTGCTCATCTTAGCCTTCTGTTCCGACTTTACTCGACTCCGCTTCCCGTTCGTTGCGCTGGGGTTTGCCTTTACTTGCATTGGATTCGTCATTTTCTCGGCTGTCGATGTTACTACGCAAGTGAATGTCGCTTACTTTGCCTGCTTTATGATGGCCTGTGGAACCAGCGCTCCGAGCGTCATCCTTGATATCTGGTACAACAACAACATTGCCGATAAGAATAGGCGTATGATGCTCACGACTATCGGAGTACCAGTCGCCAACTTTATGGGCGTAGTGTCCAGTAACATCTTCCAAGCCAAAGATGCGCCGAAATATCTCCCAGCCTTGATCACCAAAGCGCAAGCACGCGAGAAAAATACTGGGTTGATGTGGGATTTATGGGGAACCAGATTCCCGGCAATAAGGAAGACCTCAAGTCTATAGTAAAGAGTCCGAGGATTCAAAGGGCTTCTCATAGACAGTGGTGTAAGCACACATGTTCAATCTATATTGTAGGATCAGTCACCGACGTGTCATTCCTACCAAGATGCCAGAATTTCCGCAAGTCTCTCCTGAGGATATCAAGGAAACGATTCGAGCTGGTATCACAGCCTACAATGCTGATATTCCACGCAAGGATGCTTCCAACCACCTCCAACGGGACCAGCACCGGTGTCCTGGACGAGAAGAACCCTCCTTTCTTGTATCCGATCCCTGCACTTGATCTGACCTACCTGTACTGGGAATTTCTCGCCAGCCGGCCTCCGAGCTTTGAAACGAGAGCGGTCGGCCAAGCTCATCTCTCCCGCGAAACGGAATCCATCGCCCCCCATCCTTGTCGCACACGTATGAGCAGCTGAAGTGCTCCCCATTATCAGAAATGTTCAGCGTGAAGGAGTCAACATCTCCGCCAAAACGTGCTTTCAGTATCTTAGCCCGAGGGCAGAAGAGGTTCCGCCCCGCGATACCCGCTTCAAAGCAGAGCCCCCAATTTGAGAGGAAGGAAACAAAGCGGAACTCTAGTCAAGTCTGCAACTCGAAGAGACAGACACCAGGACCTGGCCAGCATCTTTTCCCAACTTTTGCTATGGGCCAGACTTTGCTCGTCCGTCGGCTCGACCATCTCTTCGAGCATGCATACCAACACGTACATGAACAATCTGCTAGATCAAGGGCTGTCGCGGCAAGACGCTCTCGTATTCTACGGCAGCGGCACCAAGGCGCGCACGCGGTTTGCCTGGGGCACGGAAACGCGCGAGGCCGGTATCCGTGCTTTCACCGACACCGTTCGACCCATGTTCCTGACTGCACTCTGTCTTTCAGTGATCCCTTTGCTGGCCGGCCTGATCATGCCCAACTACTATCTGGGCCGCACGCAGAATGTGGTTGATGGTACCACCAACGGAGGCACTGTCATCGACGAGGACCTGAATGTTCGACACCGCGACGGCGGACGAGAACACGGCCCGTGACCAGCCCAAGTCGTAGTTGGCGAAATTGTGGCTGGGCGTACGCAACCAGGATTCAGATCTATCTACTTTCCTTGGGGCAGAGAGCCAATGTCGATGGCGAGAAGTGTAATCAATGATCTTGAGTGGGAGAGAGTTGACAGAAACGATCGCAGCGTGGGGACCTATTGCTCACACTCACAGAACGTGGACCCCCGGAAAAAATAACCTCCTGCGACGCTTCGGGGGTTCTAGTCCTGGTCTGTCCACAGTGGGTGGGATTGAGGACATGTTTGTCAGTAAGCCAACGGCTGAGGAAATTCAGCGCATTATGGATCGTCGGTAACGATGCAGGATATAAGAAGAGGAAAGTCTTGAGGAGAGGGAAGAGATCGCGTAGAATGGACGTCCAATGAGCGTCTGCGAGGCGAGCTCTAGGTCGTCACCGCTAAAGGAAGACTAATATTAAGAATACCTCTGTGATACTTGCATTACTCACTGTACCTCGGTCAAAACGGACTCCTGATTGAGGTTTTATTGAGCTGTTTCCACGGGGCTTTATATGCAGCGGAGTGTTTTGGTGGCAGCACATCCAGATCAGGGATGAGTAACGCTGATGCTCTTTTGGTTCACGCTCATGATTCTGCTCAGGTTTGTATCTTATCCACAGAGTCCCTTCTCGAAAATGGCGACAGCAAAGCTAACAAGATGTAGATGAGGCGGAGAAGTTAAAGTGGCCCGCTGCTAAGGGGATTAACTCAAACTTGGATTTAAGGTGGAGAGCAGTACAGACTCTAAGGGGCGGGAATTCCTTTTTTGGTTGAATGCAATCGATGTTAACTTCTTGAATACGAAAGAGAAGAAGCATCGAGTCCTCAGCTTCCTGAATATACCGGCGTATTGCACCGGGGGTTGGCCAGTGTACCGAAAATGATTTTTGCTCCCCCATTCCCGGTTGGGCGCACATAAATCGGCACGGAAAAGCATCCTCCCTCGCTCCGCTGATCTCGTCATGATTCTCTGTATGACATCTCCCCGCATATATGCCTCGAAAGTCTCGATTCTCGTGTCTCACTTGTCCCGGCACGGTGGACATCAGTTGCCGGTTCTGAAGGCGTGCTTCGGGTGACAGCGTTTATGTGGACACTAAGACGGAGAGGGCGAGGATGAAGGGTTTGACGTTGAAACGGCATGCATCCCTTTATTGAGGCCCTGTGGGCGTCGAATATGATGTCCCGTTTTATGCTCCAATTCCTGGGACAACCAGCTGCACCTTCATTGCCCATTTAGATACTTTCTGTTGAGGACCGGAGTACAGGAGATGAAGACATGTCCGAAGGTTAAGAAAATGTAGGCTGTATAGTGACATCTTTGCCTGGTAGATTTGTGGTATTCAACCATCAGATCACATCCTCTACCTGCATGAATCGAGAGGTAAGCAACGCTGAGCCCGACATTGGAAAAAGGTAAACCGACATTCCCATTTCGTTATCCGTGGTTGGTGACCAGTTCCAGAAAGATCATTTAAGGCGATATCGAGTGATATGGATAATCCATTTTCTTGGTCGATTTTCTCCCAGATGAATAATCCCAGATTCGGGGACATGTTCGATTGTCGTCACCCATACGCCCGCATCCGGCCACAAAGGCAGCTGGCACAACTCAAAGAGAAACTACCGCATGTCGATGATATTGTGCCTTCGCTCGCTTTGGAAAAGGTATCTGACAGTATTTTTGCGTGCACCACTTCAAACCTTCGGGGCCATGGACTACTTTCTTCGGAGGGCGATCGAGACCGTGAAACTGGAAGGTTGGGGAAGGTTGTCATGGATCTTTTGGGCATAAGCCTCGAATGGTATGCGTGCGAAGAGGGAACAACGATTGACGGAGATTTATGAGCAAAGACATAGAAATTGGTGCCTATTGATACGGATAAGAGATCAGCAGCTTACACCGTTGACGAGTTTAACATACATCGTCACATTGAGTCGCTCACTTGCCCAACCGACGACCTTCTGGGTATCTTCAAACATGCATCTTGTTTCCTCCTATAAGCATTCTTCATTCCTCCGCAGCAAGAACAATCCTAGGTCTGCTAATATCGTCGCGTCCATCTCTCCCATTACCCAAAGCACTGGCAATATCAGCCTTCTTGCCTGTCCAGTCCTCGTTCGCCTCTTCTTCGATCTCCTTCCCTGTTCTTTTCCCTCGTCTATGCAACTCACGTTCATGTCCTGCCTCTTTTCTCCCAAAATTCTGTGTCAGACTCTCTTGCTCTTCATAACCTCCTCCACCTCCAGTCCGCACAGCGTTGGCCACCTCACCTTCCCCTGGCGCCCGCATCTGCTCGCCCTCCACATTGCTATTGCTTTTTGAATAGTTCTGAGCGTCAGATTCGGGAATCAATTTCTCGGTTAAAGGACCACGATCTCCAGATCCTAGGGCTGAGGGTCTGGCTGCCTCTCTATGCTGAGAGGGAACGTCGTGCGGGGAGCGGTAGTCGGTGATTTTAGGCGAGGTCGAGGAGGCATCATGGGAGGTGGATTTCTCAGCAGAGGCCTTTGAGGCAGGGTTGAAAGCCTGGTTCAAGTCTGTTTGCTGAGATGGTCGTGGGAACGCAGTTGGATCAAGGGAGGACATTTTGAGACTGTTGGAGAATGGACACCAGATTCCGCTTCGGGGATTGTTTGCAAGAGAAAGCAAAAGGAAAAGATCAGTTCAGTTTAGATCGAGTAAGGGGTAGTAGGACAGCTCTTGATTCAGTTGTGATAAAGGAATCGGAGGACAAAGCCAGTGACGGTGAATAGGCCTTTGATTAAACTGTTGGACCAGCACAGGCACTGAGAATCGATAGTAGCCGAGAGGAGCCTGAAAGTCGGACTTTTGTGATACGCAGGCCGGTATGAAATGAGATAATGACCATAGACTGACTGTTCGAACGACATCCAGTGGTGGATTTCTCTTCTCTTTTCGTTCTTTTTTTCTTTACTCTTCCCCTAGTATGACTTGATTGATGCGGTCATACAATCCGAGCAAAGATACCTTTTTGGCCTGTTCACGCCTGGGGAAAATGGCCATGACATCATTTTTCCCAGCGATCGACAATGTGGAGGAACGTGACCACGGCCTCGGCCTTCCACGTGATCTGACACGATGGAGCGCATCTAGACACCCAGGGGGCCTCGAAGGGCAATGTCCAATATTCCCCACGGCATTGAATGCGAAATGCTTGAAAATAAGCCCAAATGCAATTTCAATGGCCGGTGGGATTGACCGCTTCCATTCCATGCCCTACCGGAAGACGTCGAATGAGCATAGATCGCGCTCAACCAGTTGATCGATGTGATTCTGATGCACTTCATCGTCTTGAAAGAGGTGAAACCCACATATAGTGATCCAAAGCCCTCTTCCTAAGACTAGGCACTTGATTTTGATCAGACATACTCTCATTCTCTTCTCCGTTACCGTCTTTGGTCAGTTGAGCTCTTCTTCCTATTGGCAAACCTGACCCCTTCTTTCATCTTGAGGGTCAGTCTCACCTCTCAAAGCCTTTGATTGTCATCATCCATCTGATGATCATTACAGGTCTTTCACCTCCAGCTTGCAACAATGGCGAATCTACCCCCCCGTCCAGCCGAGTGAGCAAGCCAGCTTGGATTTGATTCAACTCGGCTGTGACTGACTTCAAACAGGATTGCTCAGGCCGAAAATGTGCTGGAAAGGTACAATAGAGCCCTTGAGAAGGCGATCTCGACGGTGATGAAGAACAACAAGATCGCAAGCCGGATGAAGAAAGCGACGCCTGTGAACAGACTGGTCCAATTTGATGACGTGGTCAGTATGTTCGTCTCTCTCTCTGTGGCACATAAACTCACCTAACCCCCCAGATTCTCAAAAATGAGATCATTCAACCCAGAGATCCACTGTCCAAAATGCCTGCTGAAGTCCAGGGCAAGATCCAGCAAGCTCTTCCACTGGATGACCGATTTGTTTTAGCACTCACCTGCAAGACTCACGCCAAAACCTACAAGAAACTGAGAGACAAGAAGTTAAAGAACGGCAAGTACTTGTTCCCCAAGCCAAAACGATCCACCGAAATTCATCGCCTGCAACTGCTTGTCCGTACCCCAAATTGGATGCCAGCAAATTAACGGCTCTGCTATACATGCACCCGATACATCAACACCTCGATTCCGGATCATGGAGGACAATGGGGAGGACGAAGTTCAGTGATTGAGACAAACTTGGCAACGAAGAAAGCGATGATCATCGGCCCACGCTGTCCTCTTTGCATCACCGCCAACCAGCTCAAAGTCGCTCAACACAAGCAAGCATACAAGAAATACCTCAGCAACAACAACATCGTTAAAATCAAGAAGTAAGAGATCCATCGGAGACAAGAGGCGATTACGTTGAAGAACACGGGAGCCGGCCTTGATTGGGGAGTTGGAATGGTAATGGACTTTGACTCGAGACCATGCCGGGGAGGAAAGCAGATTTATCCGTTGAATTAGCTCAGCATAGTTTGGTCCATGGCTGGTCATGGTTGTCACGGCTTCATGACCTCAATCAATGATATCAAATTTTAGACCGGTTTAGTTTCCACATTCCGACTTTTCGGTGTTGCTCGTGCTCCTTCCAACTTGTCCACAAACGGACTGAAGGGAGCCGCGATTGCATGAGGCCGAGGGCGGTGAGACCCATTGCTCATTTCTTCCGTTAAACCCGGATACTGCTGTTGTTGTTCGTGAATACGATCTAGTGGCTCGCCAACGATGTGATACTTAGCCCATTCCACTGGTGGACATCGAACAACATTTTGTGCGCTTGGAAATTGGCCGAATTTGGACGCATCTTTGGCATTATTGTCATCAGCTCCCGGCGCCACATCATCGACTTCTACACCTTTTCGAGGAGATTGGTTCAATTTGCCCTCTTGGAGATCCCTAACAAATCGCTCGGGGTCTTCGAGAGCGGCCTGTTTCATCTTGTTAAGTTCTCGCATATCCTGCAAAGCCTGGTTTCGCTGAAGTTGGAGGATGGATAGTGTTGCTCTCAACGCCATGGCATCGGGGTTGTCATCGAGGCTGACAGGGAGTGGTTCAGGCTCATCCATCCATTGCGAGGGTGGAGATTCCGCTCGAGCATCATCCTGGGCGGCCAAACTAGTTTGAGATAATGTTGGAGTGACGGGTGAATAGGAAGGCCGTTGTGGGCTCCCACTAGACTCGTGTTCATTTTGAGGACGAGAACGAGTTGGAGTGGAAGGAGTGGAAGGAGTGGAAAGAGATTTTTGCTGTTGCTGCTTGTTGTGGTCGTGACTGGCCATGATTAACGTGAGGTGTTCAAAGGCCAGCTTGACAGAAGCATAGGAATGAGCGAGGATCTCGACAGGGCGTTGGCATCAAAGAAGACTCGGTGGCTAGAGTTTGCTGTTGAAATTGATCTTGAAGATTTCATTCAGCTGGTCAGATCTGAGGTGTGTTCCTTTGACTAGGGGATGGCTTGGACCAGGGCTCAGGCTTTGGATAAAGATTAGATCTGGGAGTCGAAATGGCGTTGGAATAGGGAGAGAAGGACGATGAAGTGTGTTTTTTTGAAGCGACCATGAAAAGCTAGGTGGTCAAGAGACAGAAAGGATGCAACAATGGAGAATTGCAAATGATCGAATCTTAAGCAAATGGCGAAGAGATGGAAAATGACAATGATGTTGTTGTTGGCTGTTGCGCGGTTAGATGGCAAAGTTCGAAGTGAGGAAGAACAACGGCCAGCCAACCAAGGTTAGTCACGGGGTTGCCGCCCGCGCGGGTGCGGCAGGCTGGGCTGCAGGCAAATCTCGTTTCTATATCGCACTGGATATCTCTTACGGATCATCGTTAAACATTGCTACGTGAAGATAGACAATATCACATCCATAATCCAAGAACTTTGGAAACAAATTTCCCTTGGTCGCCATGTTTGCTTCTTCGCGGCCTAAGGTACTGCACTTGGAAGTCCAAGAGTCTTACAACCACTTACTCTCCAAGACAAACAGTGCTCCGTATTCACGCAGATCCTCTGTCGAGTCGTCCGCCAACATTCTCTTCTCTCCCTGCTTCGCACCACCCGGTTACCTTTGAATACCTAAACTCATCATCCAGTCCTCATTTTACCCTTGCTCGACGAACCCACGACCTGCAAAACGCGGACAAGTGAATTGCACGTCCTCGGCGCAGATATGGATTCGGCCTATGGAAGCCCGAGAGCCTCTGGAGCAACAAAAATTCTGAGAGAAAGTCCACATGCTCCAGGTGGGTCTGGATGTGCAAAGACTATAAAATCGCGAGCAGATCACTCCAGCACATCTCGGGACCTAGATCCCACCCATCAGGCCTAGTCAACAGGAGAAAGACTAGCTACGCTAGGACACACGGGAGGAGGGAGATGAAGTCCATGGGAAGACCTATGGAGGGAGGGCAGCACTATCCTGGGATAAGGAAAATTACATCGCCTGCGCCACTGGTCCACGTCCCAGCTGATCGACGGAGTTTAGGACCACCCAATGGGAAAACGCCTGACGAGAAACCGTAAAAACAGGCAAGAGGCGCAACAAACTTCGGACTCCGTGTTTTCCAGAAAAAGGAGGACTAACATGCTCAAAAGACGTTTAGATATAGGGGCAGAACATCGTGAGTCAGGCTACTTTTCAATCACAGCCACGGCGGGTGCACAGTGGTTAACGTGGCTAAAGGGGATGCTTCGTGAACGCCCTGATTGTTGCCAGTTAGAGAAACTCAACCGAAAAGGGCAGCATCCGGAAAGGAAGCGTAAAATTGGTCTGTGCATTTCTTACGCCGCCCGCGGAGCCCATGGCTACTAGAAGAAGCGCTGGTGGGCCGCGGCGCATCTTACGATCTGGTGTTTTTTTTACGTGTTTTTCTGGGTCCATATCGAAGCCATTCGGGCCTTTTACAGTCATTGACCTCCAAAAAGGATGTGGGCTGTCTTCGACAATCCCGTCCTTCCTGCTGATCGACGTCAAGTACGTTCCTTTTCTAGCTTAGTGCGTCTCGCCCTGAATCCACGCGCGCGCTACCCTTACTCCAATACTCAACCTCAAGGCAGCCTGAAGCTAAGATCTGAGATGAACCTGCTCGCCCGCCACTCGTCTGCCTCATGAACTTTATTTTCTAATAAGATGGGATATCAACCCCAGTCTTTGGCTTAATAGTAGCTCTCGTTTTTTACTCTCAATAATCGTCCAACCCCTCCTGTCTTCCTTAGGATGCCGACTCTCTTCGACTGAGATTCTCTCCCTTCCACATCACCACACGACACTTCTACCTTCCGCGTCCCGCTCCTCAATATCGTCATCGACCACTCTCTATATTCGCCGCGACATAATTGGCAGGTTCCTTGTGCGACAACACATATTTCCAACCACTACGTCACCCGCCCATAAGAAACATATTCACTATATGTGACAAATCTACACCCGCCTCCTTATCGCAATGATAGTATAGGCAGTTTTCCCCCTCTACTCCCCGATCACCGTTCGGGTTGTGTTGATTTGGCAATGCAAACAGCTGCATTGAGGCCTCCACACATCAATGCTCAGCCATGTGCTACCCCAGAATCATCGCTTCGGATTGGCGCCCCACTCGACGAACATGCACCTCTATGCCAGCTCAATAACCTGAATAATGTTTTGCTGGACACATCAAAGGTCAAGGAAGAGATCATAGGGGAGGCGCCTCCTGCAAATACACCCGCTCCACAAAAGAAGAAGTCGTCGATATTTGGAGGACTTTTCCAAGTGAGGGAACCCACCCCGGTTGTGTCGAGTCAGGTCGCTGGTCAGATGATTGCACATCACGGTTCGATAAGCCCCATTAAAGTGTCCAATATAAGGCTCGAGAAAATGCCGGATCATATGCCCAAAGTCAACTCGAAATGGGATGGCATCCCTCAAAGTGTCAAAGACAGGGGAAAGAAGGCCAAGGGCAAGGAAGCAACCAAATCCTCCAAACATGAATCGTTTCTGTTCTCCGGCTCTCGATCTCGGAGCCCAGACAGGAAAGAAAGAGATTGTGGGAACTCGGCCAGTCGAAATTCGAGCTCGACTACAGGTTCCTTTGGAAGTCGAGGCAGATCTAGTGGATCACACACCACATCGGCCCGAACTCGTTTTTATGCTCAATCGGTGAATTCCTCCGGAGATTTGGCGTCACAACAAAGAACGGATCGATCTCGACCTCGAACCGCTTCCATTCAGTCTCAATCACTTACTTCCCCATCAGCGATTAGTCTCCCAGAAAGTCTTCCAGAAATGCCACGGAGTCCACCAAGCATCGTTACGTCTTCGTCTGGTCCAAGCGAGCCCTCGAGAGCGCGCAGCAATTGCGAAAGCTATCTACCTAAATCTATAGCCACCAGCCGGACAACTGTGGATCGGTCTGGATCACTCAAGGTCCCTGCGACACCTAGCATCGAATCGGTTCCACCACACTCTGCCTCTCCCGTTGCCACTCCTCAAGAAGCCTCTCCGGTCACTCCTTGTACATTTGACAGAAATTTCGAAAGCGACATGGGGAGAAGCCTTCCTCCTTGCGAGAATATTACCCTGGTGTCGTCGGCTCCCAGGGTGTTGGATCCTCCGACCACTGCAAAGAAGAAATTGCGATGTTCCATCAATTCAGCATTTCTCGCAGGGGAAGCGCAGGAATTGGTGTTACCAGACGATGATACGGACCTTCCTAAGTCGGACTTGCCCCTCAGAAACTGGGACTCTGTTCGAAGGGCTCCTGAGGCTTCGTCGTTCTGCGCTTCTCGCGTCCAACAAGATCTTGAGAAGCGGCCAGATAGTTCTCGGGCTAGACTTGGTCTCCGTGCAAGCATGCTTTTTAGGGACGAGAACACTCCTTGGACCAATCAGGGGAAAGGACCTTCATCTCTTCCAAGTCCTAACGTTGTTGTCGCAACCAGCCCCCGGACAATATCAAGTCCACGGACAAAATTTCACAAACCTTTTGGTTTATTTGGCAAGGAGAAGGATAAAAATTAGGGATATCCTTTCTGCTCAACGTAGCGAAAAGAGAAAAGAGAGCCATTCAGACTACTGATACTGATACTAGCGTGGCGCTGAGAGTTGTCATAATATACCTTGGAGCCATGGGTGATGGTGATTTCGAGGCAAATCAATGGAAATATCCTTGCAGGGTTGAATAGTACATATAATACAGTTAATCTCTCTCTCTTCTTCCCCCTTCGGCTGGTTATGACAATCCTCCTAGTTGTCACACCGTCAGCGCGGCGATGAACCTCGACGCCAGGACCATAAGCAATCGTAAACAATCCCCATGATCTAGGATGAGAAGTCAGTCGGAACAAGTGAAGAAACACACAGCTAGGTATGGATGGGATGTCTTACACCTCGGCTCCGAACACGCACGTATAAGCTGTTGTATGTCCCATCCTGATGTTTGAAGCACTAATCATTGTACCCGCATGCCCAGCCACTGGCTTGGTCCATCTCGCAGGCTTTCTCTGTCCAATGGCATGCCGTGTAGTATAGTTCAATCAAGCTAGGAAGGAGCCTGGATAGGTCGCTCCCAATGAAATGGAATGGGTTGACGTGAATTCTTGCCATGGTCACAATTAATGGATCAGGGAGGACACTGATGTCTGCACGTGGAGATAGGACCACGATACTTTTTCTCGCTCAGCGCCTTCGCATTCGTTATCTGCACCATCGGTCTAGGCTTTATTCAAACGTCTGCGCAGCTCTACACCATCAGATGTCTCCTCAGAAAAGCAGTCAAGTTTTCTTGCTGTCCACATTAGCCGAACGACAATCCAGCAACACATTGAATAGACGACCCGGTTCTTCCCCCAATCCCCGGTTTCTATTTCTGGCCAGAAAGAACGTTGTTTATGCCCCACCCATCATCTTCACGCCAGCTGTGATCCAAGTTCCTGCCCAAACACCGATAAAAGCCGTCCTATGCACAGATGTGTCATCAATGACAATAGCAACAAGGCATTTTAACAGGCCAGACTTACCATCGAGCACCCCATATTTTATAATATCCAACCAAGTCGACAATAACCAAAATCGTCGTCGCTGCAAGAACGGTTCCCATCTCCCTCGTTTTCCCTGCATAGCCCAGATATACCATCGCAGAGCCGATGGTCAAGTCCCGCGCTCCAATTATGGGGATTAGATAGCGCGCCGTCTCGTCAACTTCTTCTTGTCCGGTGGCCGTTACTCTCTTGGGAGGTACGCCGAAAAGTTCCAGTCCGGCCGGACCAGGAGATAGAATCTGCCATATGCCCCAGCCTGAGTAGGTCACAGCAGCCGAAGCGCCTAGGATGCGCCAGATCGACGTGTTCAGTCCGAATGGGTTGGTGAAGGGCATAGCTCAGTGACTTATGAGTCTGTTCGTTTGAATCGAGCCCCAATTGGTTTTATCGAGGTTGGTCGTCCTTGTACTTATTGTGTGAGATCTCGAAATTTGTCGGTAACCCTCGGTGTCAAATATTAGGCCCCCGAAGCCAACCCATAGGCAAACGTAATGGCCAACATGCCAAGCCGCAACGGATGGTGATCATGTGCCGGGGCTTAATTTGGGTCAGGTAAAGCAGCACTGGCGTCGACCAATGGAATCCATACAAACACGGCAACCAACTTGGGGTTCCTATTGATTATGAACGCAATGTCAGATATCTCAAAATGAAATCCAGGGTCAGAGTATCACTCATTTAACGGAACTGGTCGATCTTCGACAAACGTTTCGACCTACTGACAAATCCTGATTGGACATCAGGACTGAAACGGAATCTTCCCTTCCTCCATTTTATTAACCCCTACCATCCCAAAGACTCCATCGGGCTACTCCGTTTGCCTGGTATCACTCTCCTGAAGGACCCAGACTCTGGCAACGAGGTAGACACACCAGTTTACATACTCGAAGTCGGAAGACCGCATCTATGAGGGCGGAATGTTTGTCGCGACTGGATGGCGCTATCCGAGCCAGCCTCTATGATGCGCCGACACGGTTTGCTTCCCAAGCGAAGCAGAAAGAAAAATTTTCGCCGTCGCTGCTGTGGGAAGATACTCTGTATATTCACCAAGAAGATCCTGATGAGAAAAGCCGACAAGTTGCTTTGATGGGTCATGGTTTGGTGGAACACGACAGCAGAGCAGTTAGGAGCTCTTCCATTGGTTTTGTCAGCCGAGGTGACCACACTCCCGACCTCGCAGCAACACAATTTGACGGTCTCTCACGCTGTTGTTGGTTTAACCGTACCTAAACTTTCAAGAGATAGTTCTAGCGCGATCTAGCGTGGCGCGCCATTCTCTAGCATGGCTCCGAATGCATCGATCAGAAACGTCACTGGACCTAACTGAGGAACATGTTAGAGTGCCTCATGGTGGAATCGTAGTGATATGAAGACGTGGGAGCTGGGCAATGATCTAAATGACAGCGAGGCAGTCCATATAACATCGACTAATCGCTTTTTTGAGGAGGCCTGAGGGCACACTTCGAAGGGTGCCAGCTAGGCTGGCTTGGCTTGTTTGTTTTAATGCCAGAGGGCCGTCTCATAACCGAAAAAAAAAGGCCCAAAACACCCTGGCCATCTCGACGATGCGAGAAACACCGCTCCAGAAATTCGATCCATCCAGCAGAACAAAGAACAGTCTTCCAGCTCATTGCTCTCGCCCTCGCACCCAGTCTGGAGCAGAGATGTGACGGACGGGTGAGACAAAGTATTCGACGTGTTCGGCCAATAAGCGTGTTCGCAGACTTTGAGATCAGATAAATGAGGGAATGCGAACAAGCCCAATCATTGCCCGACGAAGTCTACGAAGAAAGAGTTGTCATGCTTATCCTTTGACAAATTCTTCGCCACAAAGAGCACTAGAAAAATGGCAGTGTTGAGGATTGGCCGGCCTCCTACTCTCAGCCTGATCACGTGCAGTGAAACGCTAAAAGCGGCACCCACTCACGTCTATTTTTGGTAATCGTTAGTTTTCTCCGCAGCCATGCCCAACTTTTTGTATTTTTCCAATTCATTCAGATGCTCCAACATTGCTCCTCTGTGGTGCAACAACATGAAACGAAGGTCTGCTGAGGACGAAGAGTCCCCAGCTAAGAAACGAGTTCTCTCTAACGATACTCCCTCTTTGAAATCTACCTTCCGATCCGACCTTTTCACCGGTGAGACCCGTGAGCACTTTCGCAAAAGCTACCAAGCCTCAACTCCATATCCCCACGCAGTTGTACCGTCACTGATTCAAGAATCTCTTTTACGCTCTGTCCGTTCCGAGATCACCACCCACATCCACTTCACGCTCAAAGAAACCGACATTTACCGGATCCATCAATCCGGTGACCTCGCAAATCTCTCCAACCTTGATGCCGAGTCTCTCAGGCGCCTTCCGAGCCTAGTTCGTCTTCGAGATGCATTGTACAGTTCGGAATTCCGAGAATGGGTGTCTATTGTCACAGGCGCCGGCAAAGTGTCTGGAAAGAAAACAGATATGGCGGTCAATGTTTATACACCAGGCTGTTACCTATTATGCCACGACGATGTGATTGGGAGCAGAAGGGTCAGTTACATTCTATACTTGACAGATCCTGATCATCCATGGCAACCAGAATGGGGTGGTGGATTGAGACTTTTCCCGACTGAGACGAAGAAGAATAAAGCTGGCGAAGAAATCAAAGTACCTCTAGCGGAGCATAGTCTCAATATTCCTCCGTCATTTGGTCAATTGAGCTTCTTTGCCGTTCGGCCAGGCGAGAGCTATCATGATGTGGAGGAAGTATACCATGGGCCGAATCCGGAACAAGATGGAGGACGAATTCGCATGGCAATCAGTGGATGGTATCACATCCCGCAGGAAGGCGAGGAGGGGTTCGAAGAGGGCATTGAACAAGCGCAAGCTCAAAAATCCAGCCTCGCACAACTCAAAGGAGCAGCAAACGAATTTGACGAACCGCAATTGATATTCCGCCATTTCGACGAGCCGAGGTGTGTAATGGACAGCCACGCATCCCAAAAGGAGCTCGACCCAGGCGATGATCAGGATACGGAACAAGACATTCTCACGGAACAAGACTTGACCTTTCTGCTCCACTATATTTCCCCGAGCTATTTAACGCCTGGTATGATTGAAGATTTTTCGTCCTCGTTTGCAGAAATGTCGGCCTTACAACTGGAGCAATTCTTCAACCCAAAATTTGCCAACGAACTGAAAGAATACATATCCGCCATTGAAAACGAAACAAGTAGTTCCAAGCAATCGCGATGTCACCCTTCGAACTGGTCAGTCGCTCGTCCACCCCACAAGCACCGCTACGCATACCTTCAAGGAGCGGAAGCACTACACCGAGATAAAACGCCGATATCTCGCATTCTGACCGACTTGATTCACTCGCACGCGTTCAAGAAATGGTTGGCGCTAGTCACAAGACTGAAGGCAACGAGTCTGATCCGACAAAATGCGATTGCACGGCGGTTCCGGCGTGGGAAGGATTACGCGTTGGCGAACCCATATCTAGGACAGCAACCGCAATTGGAGTTCACGATCTCCATCACACCTAGTGGAGGATGGGAGAGAGACGAGACCGAGGAAGAAAACGAAGCGGCCAACGGGTATGCTGTCACAAATGGGGACGAAGATCTAGGCACAGGCAAAGACAAAGCTAAAGCAGAATCGGCTGAGTCTGAACAAGACCAACGCCAAGTCCAAGTCTCAACGGCCGAACACATCGAATTTGGCGGTGAAGAAGTCTATATGGCAGGCGACGACGAAGACGATCTCGACGCCGCGTCTGTGAGTTCCCAAACCCTCCCGAGTGTTGGCAAGAAAGCCGATCCTGCCATTTATAAATCATCCGCTGGTGACGAGGATGGTGAAGAGGACGGGGGAATTTTGTTCGCGAATCCAGCGGCGTGGAATCGATTTAGTATTGTGTTGAGGGATAAAGGGGTGTTGAGGTTTGTGAAGTACGTGAGTAGGAGTGCGAATGGAGATCGGTGGGATGTTAAGGGTGAAGTGATTGTGGAGGATGGGACGTGGGATGGCGATGAAAATGTCGATGAAGATGGCGGCGAAGAAGAAGAGGAGGAGGATGGTCGCTGACCACATATTAATTGACGGCTTTGGCATAGAGAACAAAAGTTAAAACCTCGACTCATTTCAGCATTGCCTCAGGACTAAGACGCGAAACTCTGTTCCCACACCGCTCCACATCACATCTGCAATGGTGTTTGCTTTTACTCTTTTCCAATCCTTTTATCTGCTTCGTATATTTGGTTCTGCTTCTGCACCTTCTTTCCCCCAGTTTTCAAACTCAGCCTTACTTCCCTGCCTCTCTTCAATGTGGTCAACCTCCCAGCATTCCTCTCCGACCTCGCTAAATAAGGACCTTGTACAACGATACCCACCCTTTTTCCGACCTTCCACTAGAATTCTCGTGTCTTCATTCCTTTTATCGTCACCAATCTCTACCCCTAAATGTTTTATTTTCTTCGTTCACTTTCTCCTTTTCTTTTCCTCTTGCCAAAGCCGTCCTATCTTTCCCCATTCCCTTTTCAGCCCTCAACGTCACTCCCATCCCACCCCGTCAAATTCACCACGACCGGCACACCCCCCGGTGCTCTGACAATCACCCACACCACCTCCTCATCCCCATCATTCACCTCCTGATGTTCTCTGTACGCTGGGATCAAAGCCCAATCGCCTGGATTCAGATCTTGTCGAACATCCCCAACTGTACCATTTCCTGACGACGAGACAACGCTGCCGTACCCAGAGACAGCGTATACGATAGTATCCTGGGCACCGTGGTGGTGTACTGCACTGGCCGAGTGAGGGAGTGCGCGCATGAGGGTCCCGCAGATCGAAGGAGAGAGTGAGACGATGGCGGACTAGAACATGTAAAGAAGAGAATAAGGTCAGATTGTCTTGGATCGGATTAAACAAATGGGAGAATTTTTTTTTTTTTGGGGGGGGGGAAATGCTTGAAGATTTAAGGGGTAAGGAAACGAGAAACGGGCACAGCAGATGGGAGAGGGAAGAAAGGGACAGGAAAGGGGAATGGATTGAAAAGAGAGAGATGGAGGAAAGGGTGTGGACTAGGTAATACGAGGCCGAATAGGGTAGAATCAGTTCGGCTGTCCGGGAATGGAGAGGAGGCAGGATTGATGATTTTGTCGTTCTCGCACTCGGCCGTGAAATGAGATGGTTAGAGCTGGACTGTGGTGATGGATGTCGAAGAAGAGTAAGTGGCATTCCTTCCTGCCATGCGATCTGGCCCACGAGGAGGAGAACGATCAGTCGACACGAAGCCCTGTTCGAAGAAACAGTATCGGCGAAGACAGAGCCATATCCCGCCTCCTCTCTTCGATGCCTCGCCGTACCTTGCCATAACCCGATCTCATCGTCCCAATGTGCTCAAAGAGAAGCAAGAAGTAGGAGGTATAAAGTGAAAGAACAACTCCTAGAAAGTAGAGAGGAGAAGACAAAACATACCTGCCTAATCATCCCTTTGGTCTGGCCATGCCCGGTCTTCACATCCGTGGCTCGAGTAACATGGACAGGGCGCAGGCTTTGTTTCCCGTTCTCGTTGGCTTCCATTTTAGTCTCCTCGATTCTCAATCTGAACTGAACAAGCTGCTTGGATGTGGATGTATCCGACAAGGAGGCCGGATATCCTGCTGAACGCACCAAAGTCTTTGGGCTGCGGAGGAGAGGAAATACTACGACTTATTCGGGATGCGTTGCTCAAGCAGGATCGGAACCAAATTCAGAGTCGGACAGCTGGTTCGATGAAAGAATGTCACAGTCACAGTATTTGGGACCAGATGGCTTTCGACACAGTCATAAACTAAGCAATAGCAACTTCGATGGAGAGAGGGGAGAGAAATATACGTCAAGAGAAATGCGGAGTCGAACTTCGCAGCCAGGACATACATAGGTAGGGACTTTGTATAACATCTCCACATTCAGGATCGACTAGTGGCGCTGTCTTGAACGCGTCCCTTTGAACTAAAATGCGTCTTCAAGTGGAAGAGCAGGGAGATGATTGAAACAAGGCCAAAGAAGTATGCAATGCAAAAGAAAAAGCGAGAGCGATACGCAGGGGTCGAGGTGCGTCTCGTAATCTTCCTCCAATTCGTCTATTTACTGGATATTCGAGGTAGGGTTCATCCGGTCCAACCCGAGTTATGTTGACGTCGGCATGGACCTCAACCAACCCCTTATCTCCCCCGGAGAAGCAAACCCACCGTCTCTCTTCTCCCTATCATCTGATGTTCTCTCCATCGCTTGAGCCAAACTGTTGCGGTCCGGATTGAATGAGAGCATCAGAAGCCCCAGCATTCCATTTCTCTTGTCAATCAAGCCATCCAGCCATCTATTCCGAACGCCTGTAGTGTCGCATGGTGTTTATCATTTTTGGAAAAAGGTGAAGATAGTGCCGCAGTCATCAATTTCATTCATCCACTTGTAGTTTATTCCAGCCCAGGTTTATGGCCGGTAGGGAAATAGAAGCCTCGCCATGCAATGCATCGCCGAGTCAAAGAACCATAAGAGACGATGCCGAAAACACAATGACATCCCCATGGGATGGAAAATCTAAACCTGACCCATGGATACCATCTTTTTCCGGAGGTAGTTCTTGTATTCGCCGATACTGCCGTCCCATCGTCGGACTGTCTTGTGTTCGCACACCATGATATCCTTTGCAATTTTGTCGAGCAATCTAGCCGGATCGTTAGTCTGGATTCTGTAATTCTTAGTTTCCTAGGAGGTTCAACGTACCTGAAATCGTGAGAAACAACCACCACACCACCCGAGAAGGCATTGATGGCGTCAGCCAGAGAATCAATGGTAGGAATATCAAGACCGTTGGTAGGTTCATCCAGAAGTAACATATTAGGGCCTTCGATGGCCAAAAGGGCAAACACAACTCGAGATCTTTGGCCTTCTGACAAGGTCCCCATTAATGCGGTCTGGGCGTCTCCGGAGAGACCATACCGACCAAGCTGCTGGCGCCAATATTGATAGTCCTGTGATGTGGATGCGTACTTGTCACGAACGAAATCCAGGGCTGATTTGGTCAAGTCCAGTTGATCGGCGGAGTGTTGAGAATAGAGACCGAGTTTCAGGTGGGTGTGTCTGCTGACGGAGCCACTGGTGGGGGAGAGTTTTCCTGTCATGATCCGAAGCAAAGTCGATTTGCCCACACCATTGGGTCCCACAAGAGCCATTCGGCTATCCATGTCGACACCCAAATCCAGATTTTCGAAAAGGTTGTCTTCCGGCTTTCCGGAATAGCTGAAAGTAACATCATCAAAGGACAAAACCGGAGGTGGTAACTTCTCAACATCGGCAAATCTGAAGGTGAAGACTCGATCTTGTACAACGGGTTGGATGAATCCATCGGCTTCCATCTTGTCCAAAATCTTTTGTCTGGATTTTGCTTGTCGAACCAAGTTGGCATAGGTGCCGGCGGAAGCAATGAATTTTTTGATGTGAGCAATTTCTTCCTGTTGCTTGACATACGCCTTTTGCTGATTGGTTTCTTGTTCGGTTCGAGTCTTCAAGTACGAGTCGTAGTTACCACCATAGTACAATAGTTGCTTTTGTCTCATGTCGATCATGTTGGTGCAAACGCCATTCAAAAAGTCCATGGAGTGCGAAACCAAGATCAAGGTCTTATCCCACTTCTTCAAATATTCTTCCAGCCACACACAGGCTTCGAGATCAAGATGGGCGGTGGGGTCGTCAAGGAGGAGTAGAGAAGGCTTGACGAAAAGTGCCCGACCCAGTGCCACACGCATTCTCCAACCACCGGACATGTCTTTGGTCTTTTTGTGCATGGTTTTCTTGTTGAAACCGAGGCCGGTAAGAATCAGGGAGGCTCGAACTTCGAACGTATTTGGATCCATGGCTTCGGAACGCTAAGGCCGTCAGTATGGCTTCTATCAAGGATCGAATCGCGAAACCTTACCTCGTAGATGTCCATCAAGGTGGGACTCTCGGGACCGTCCTTTTCCAAAATTTCTTCGGCCAAATCATCCAATCTCTTGACTTCTTTCTCTGCCTCCTTAATGACCCATTCAAGGGCACCCATATCCGTAGGCGGAGCGCCCTCATTCAGCAAGTAAATGTCCACGTGTTCTGGGAATGGGTATTCTCTCTTCTCAATCGCCTTCAACAATGTAGATTTGCCACAACCGTTTTCACCAAGCAGGCCGTATCTTCGACCAAAATTGACTTCGATGGTGGAATCTTGAATAAGAACCTTGCCGTGGAAGACCAAAGAAGCAGAAGTGATCTTGACATCTCGACTGGCCTCTAATGAGGCAAGCACACCAGTGGTGACTCGATCGGAAAGTCCATGTTTATCCATCTGGGCGGTCAATTGTTTGACCTTGTCCATCTTTTCGGCACTTGTTGCGGGAGCGTCTTGTTCATCTTCGTCGAGCATAGGAGGGTCGTCATCACCGGTGACAGAGGAGGCTTTGGAGCCATTTGTCGACGCATTCTTAGAGTTTGCCTTTGAGGACAATCTGGAGGCGGCAGTCTTTTTTTCGCCTTTCTCGGCCTTTTTGGCCAGACGAGCAGCCTTGGAAGCGGAGACAGGCATGATGAGAAAGCGTGAAGACGGTTTGATCGAGGAAAAAGTTGGATTTGTGCCCAACTGCTGGGGAAAAGAGGTTGTCGGTGGGGGTTTTGGCGGCTTATCGATTTGTTAATGGGTCCAAGGAAAAAAGGTGCCTTGCCAGACTGGAAGAACGCAGGCAGAGATACCGCCAACCACGGATAAAAAAGATGTTCAAAGAGCTGGAGAAAAGGGGAATAAAATGAAGCCGAAAAGCAGGCAACAAGAGAACAAGGCTTGAATTCAGGTGGGGGAATTCAAGGTACAATTTGGGCCACCTCTTCGCCCGCCGTGGCAAAAAAAAACACATCACATTTGCCAAGAGCAGAGATGGCTGAAACCTGATTGGCTCACCTCTCCAGAGCCTTGCTCAGTACCGCCGCCACCTAAAAGCAGTGGAGAGGTACAATCCCATTCTCCTTTTCAATCTCATATCATTTGCACCAGAGACTTATATGAATGCTCTAATCTTTTGTTCACCGTGCCTTGACATGAAGGAGTGACAGCAGTGGGACCATGTCGATGTTCTCAAAAGGTATCGTTCTCAACAAGTATCTCATCAGCCAATTCATCTCGACATTCTTCATTGATTCGTTCGTGCTGTCCGTCAATCAATTAATTATCCCCGTCTTCTCCAGTAATGATTCTTCCACGTCGTAGTTGTAGCAGGCGTATCTGTCAAGTAGCCACCACTTCCATATCCACCTCCAACAGTTGCCCACGAGGTCACGGTGCATGTGGACGTGAATGTTGGCCCAACTCGGGTGCAAGATCCTGTCTCAATGACTATAGTCGTGGCTGTGGTATCCCCAATTGTAGTGGTGGTGACAACCGCTGAGGTAGCTCCGGAGATTGTTATTATGGAAACCCCATCAGGAACGGTTATAATTCGACCAGGACCGACTTCCGTCGTGGTGGCCGTGGTTGTAGTGGTGCCGCCGGGCACCGTGACTGTCCGCTCAGGCCCAGCTTCGGTAGTTGTTACAGTCGTGGTGACCGTGCCTCCAGGAACAGCTTCGGTGCTGGTCACCGTCATCGTTCCGCCAGGAATTGTAACAGTTTGGCCAGGGCCAGCCTCAGTACTTGTCACCGTGACCGTGTCACCAGGAACCGTAACTGTCTGACATGACCCTGTCTCCGTTATGGTCACAGTAAATGGAGCTCCAGGAACAGTAAGAGTTTGTGCGGGACCCACTTCTGTTGAGGTCACAGTGCTGGTGGCGGTCGGGGCCGGGCCTCCTTGAGTCATGGTTCTCGTAATCGTCTCAGGAGGCACAAAGATTGTTCGAGTCGAGACTACGGATGATCCAGGGATTGTAACGGTCGAGCCAGGCTGGGTAACCGCGGAAGCTAGAACAGTGAAAATAGGTGTCAAGCCTCTCGAAGATCCTGGGACGGTGACGGTGGTTGTAGAAACTCCAACAGATCCTGGGATTGTCACAGTCGGACCAGGAGCGGTAACGGTGGTTGTTGTGCCGCCAGTACAAGGCTGAACTGGCGTGGTTGGTAGGCAAGTATTTCCTCCAGCAGTCATCGTAACGGTTGTCGTCGTCCCACCAGAACAGGGTTGGGCTGGAGTATCTGGTAGGCAGGTATTTCCTCCTCCCGTAGTGACTGTGACCGTAGCTGTAGTTCCGCCAGAGCAAGGACTGACTTGAGTGTTGGATGGACAAGTATTCCCGCCTCCAGTGGTCACAGTGACTGTGAAAGGGGGAACTGTGGGGCAGTTACTACCAGGGCCAACAGGCGTGGTTGGGGGGCAGGTCTCTCCTGGCAATATTGACGCGATCGTCCAAGTCGTAGTAGAGGCTGTACAGCCTGGCCCAACGGGCGTAGTGCCACTACCTGTCTCGTATGCCCGGCCAGCTGTGGTTCCGTCTCCGCGAGGAAGTAAAGGATTAGCACCAGCGATAATGCTAAGAAGCCTATTAGCAAGGTCGGAATAGATTGATTCACCGAAGACATACCTCCATGCCGAGCTGGCAAGCAATGCTGACTGCACAAGGTTGATATACATGATAGATGACAAACCGACACGCCGTTTCCAGCGCAATATGAAACGAGTGGAAGACGGATGTCTCCTGTCGGGATGATCGAAGTTTCTCGGTCGAACGCTGGCTTCATTTTTATAAATTCGAGGACCGAGCTGTTTCCTTACACAACATGAAAGCAGGAACAGATTGCGGTTCCTGAATTTCTGTCGCTCTCCTTCAATGTTCGGGAGACCGTCCAAATCGGAGATGCATTCCAATGAGTCGTGGCTAGCCGTATCGAATGGCATATGCATTTAAAAACTCGACCAATATCCATTTTCTAGGTCGGTCCCAACAATCCAGCTATATCGACCGGGATCGTGGTAAATGCTCTATCGGTGCGGGCGGGATCAACGGGGAGTTGTACTGGAAGATACCATCAGCATAGTTGATGGTCAAATGAGTCGATATACCTTATGGTCACACAGCATTTTGGATCTGCCTGGGAGAGTTGCTTTGGCCCCAGTCTTGTGAATTTTGGAGACTGACAGGCAACAAAATCCGGATTCCGTATGCCCGTCAATGTTTCTCCCTTGTTCGAACGACGATTCTCCACAGGGGTCCAGGTTCGATGCAAGGGCTGAGCATGTTGCTAACTCTTCATCCACAGCTCTTAGGCAATCGGGAATTGCTGCAGTTCAGAAGGGACCGAAGAAAGTTGCGGCTACCAGAGAGAGCCGGTATACTCCTCCTATGCGGGTTGCTGCTTTAGGTGTACCTCTTGACAAATGATTGTTCTTCGTTCATCAACAAGACTGGGACTCTTTAAGATCGCGGAATTACTGAAAGTGGTGCCGGAAGACCATGTTCTGGTCTCTTACAAGGCTTTGGACCACACAGTTTGAGATCCTTGTATTGACATAGCCTCGTCCTTGTCTTTTATGGACTTCTCTCGATGTTGTGATGCATGTCAAGGCGTTGTCAGCGTGATAAAACGAAGAGGTCGGGGAATATCCGTATGAGAGAGTCAATGGATAGACAAGCAACCTGTACCAGTGGCAAGCGACTGTTAGTTGGCTAAGTGCGTGACCCCGAGACTTCGTATCGCGACCATCATCCAGCATTCAGCCGACCTACAGTAAAGCTATGCCGTCAATCTCGAAATTCCTTGCAGCTTATTGGCTTCGTGTCAGAAAAGGCCTGTGCGAAAAGCGAATTTTTCCTCAGGTCCCCTACAAAAGCGTATCGGATGCTAGAGCAAGGTTTGAGAACACTGATGTTGGTCGGCAAGTAATCTCCGACGCAGTCTCCCAATCCGAAGAATAGTTTTCTTCCTCTCCGAAACAAACAACGTCCATTTGGCAGTATGATAAGCCGACCAGGCTGGAATTCAACGATGTAACCGAAGCAAGAATTCGGGTGGCCCAGCCGAAGTCTGCAGAGTGAAGGCCTGAGTCACTCCACTCCTGTCTGGCGTGTTCAACGGTTGGGGACCATGTATTGTGCTGATCGACAGCCAGTCCATGATCTTTTCAAGTCTTAGCAAGTCCGAACAATTGAGGTGATGGGTCGTGAAACAGGTATTAGGTCAGCAAAGAGACTCGACACAGTCCAGAAGGTACGACTGTACCTCATTTCTAGCTATTTGGTGGTGAGTGACATGACACTAACCCACAGTCGCCAGGAGATACCGCTATCATAATCGACCCACGTAGCTTCACCCTATCGGAACGGGGTGCCATGAATAGAACGAGGGAGGTCGTAGCGGTGTTAGGTCGGACAGTGCTGGCTGGATTGTCGTGCTGGTGTTGCATGATTGCTGGGATTGTGTTGGAGAAGAATGAAGAAGAGCTCTATACCATGTCAGTCCGATGGGAAAGGGGGCAAATGAGTAAGCCAATGAGTCTGATTTCAAGGTCGAATTGATGAATACCATTCTCAAGTTAACATTTTACTCAGTCAACGACTCGCACTGGGATAGAGGACAATACAAGCTCAGATGGACGATGATGTATTTTTAATTCTGAGAGCTGGCGTTTCCAAATAGAGGCAGGAATCATTTTGCTCCGGTACGGATGGAATCAAAGGAGGACTGGAAGCTAATCAGAGCGACACTGTTCCTGAAGCTCATGTTGATGGAGAGGATGCCCGCAGAAGTTGAATATTGGGTATCTTCGAAGTGATGAGGTAGTAAATGGATGGTACCCGACCGATGAAATCCGTGTCGGGCTGGGCCCCCGGCGAAGACTGTCAGCCCTTCAAACAGGAAGATGAAAGGATTGAGGATCTTCTCCAAAGAATGAAGACAGGCCAGTTTTGACTTTTGTGGAATGGGGGATCCTCAAGCAAAAAGAGCTTCTCCTGGGACGATGATTATTTGCTTTAACAGCCAGCACCCAATTTCCCTTCAAGAACGGTTTCATCGCCATAACCCATCGTCAGCGTCGGTTTTCACAAAGACGTGATCATCCGAAAACATCCTAAACAGCCAGGCTACTAACTCCTAATTCGCCAGTCATCCAAGCAGGGAGCTTATCCAGATCAACATAACCTGGCTCCAACTGTGCAAGATTTTTCAATCCCGAGAACACATCGCCGCCTGAAAACGTGAGACCAATATCTCCTGTTTGTTCTTCTCCCCACTCTGAATAACCCTCCAGATCTTTTGGGATCACATTATTGATTTTTACGTGCACCCGGTCCAGCGGAGCGTGGCGCTTCCCCGTCATCTGACCAAACCGCTTTTCAACAAGTATTTGCCTCTCATCGCGCGTTTCGACTTCCTTACGAATTTGAACGTCGACCGGGCTCTGATTTGGAGTTTGACTGTCCCCTGCAAAGGCGCTGTATGCCCCTCCTCCTGTTCCAGGCCTTTGGTTGCCTCTCAGTTCACAAATGCTGCGGAGGGACCTTGCGGTGAGTTTTGTTGATTCGAGTGCCCATCTTTCTTGTGGCCGAGACAGCGCCTTTGGTATTGCTTCTAGGACGATCTTCTTCATGGCCGCGATATCCACTTTCGCCATGGCTCTACCCTTCGAGTCTCTGGCACCTTTGGCCCTCCCGCTCGAACCCGAGGAACCGGACAAGGAGATGTAAACGTTGGGGCAGCTGTCAGGAAGTGCGATGTACATAACTCTCCCCGCATCTGTGGCATATTTGGCACGTCGGGGAATAGTTGACCGCGTAGGCCCGAATGCCGCATGTGGTGTGATGTAAAGTCGAATTATGTCGAGCTTATACGGTGGAGGCATTCGGTGAAGGTGGTAGTCTGCTTTGACCAGAGGAGAGATTTCCTCCTTGAGCGCGGACACGAAGGCCTGAGCAGAGACTTGCGGATATTTGAGGTTGTTTTCATGGTTGCTTAGTTTGCGCCTCTTTGTCGGAGGTTGAGATTCGTCGTCCCCAGGGAGTTTCTGCTCTTCTGCTTCAAGGGGCACAAGTCGAAGGGCGCTCCATCTCAGGGCAGTGTCATTTTGTTCCAGGTATGCAAAGTCAGTCATCGCATGTTGTTGTAATGACAGTCCTCTGCGCCAATCGCCATCAACGATCCGGTCAATGACATCCCGCTTGGAAATATGTGTGCTCTCTTCCTTGAGTTGATGATATATCGTGCGCAGGGCTTCGATGCTCTTGGCTGGAGTGTGCAGATAGTCTTCCTCATCGGCCTCGAATAGTCTGCGATTGCTCAAGAGGTAGGGCGTGGACGTGCGATTTGGTTGTAGCCATTTCAGCGCAAGATCGATCACTGCTTCTCGTGACAGTCTATTGAGAGATTTGACGAGGACAGGCGCCATTGGGATACAATATGTGGGATTGTTTACATGTGGAGGAGGGAACAAAACCATTTACCAATTCGGCCCAAGTAAATAAACCCGAGTCGGGGGTATGTCACGTGAACGTAAAGGGGGGGTTGTCAAAGACAACAATATCACATGACTTGTTTCCTATTGATTATCCACCGCTTCGCAGGATGACCTCAAGTAGTACTTGGCAGCAGGAGAAGACGACCAATACATACTAGAGCAGTATGTACGAAATATTTGCCTATCAGAATGGGATGACCATTCGAATGATAATGATGATATGGAGCTAGACCAACCCCACACCAGACGCCGCCACGGTGTCAGAGGGAGGGCGCCTAGTGGAGGAGGGTTGAGGAGCAGACTGGGTCTCTATGCCCTGCATGTCATAGCACGAACGTTTAGATATCACGAACACGAAGACAACCGCTCAGGGAGCGTGGGCATTTTCACGGGACAGTCACCTGTGCAAGGAGACGGACAAGTTCTTAAGTTCTTGGGCCCTTCTGATTTGTGATCTGGACCGGAAAGAGGTATGGTAACTTGCCTAGGTGAGTATGAAAAATGTAAGAGGGCGGCGATGAGCGCCGGTGTGCGGCCCACCAAAACTCAGCCGGAAAAATCAACTTCTGCTGAGTTCGGACCTGATGGTCGGCATTTTGGCATGAGATCATGATGAGCATTACCCACGATGGATGGCAAAATAGGCGAAATGAATGGTGTGGCCACGGAGGTATGAAATTTATAATAAATCACTCTGAGTAACTGAATACTTGGAAAGCCCTCGTCGAGGGGTTTAGTAAAAGGATTTGTCAAGGCGATTGGTGCCAATTCTGGGTGCAATTCCCGAAGCGAGCCCAGTCCCCACGACGGGCATCTCGAGCCTCTGCCACTGCAAAACCTTGCGTTTTGTCGGCCCCCGCCTTTCACACCTGATTCTTTTCGTACCGCAGTCTGCAGCAGTTCGCAGATTTTGCGTCCTTCATTCTCCCCCATCGTCGTTCACAATTATCATCACCCCATTCTTCCTCACATACCCAGTTGTACGACAAATCCTTCTCCTTTCTCACCCAAGTTGGGGAATTGAGTGCCCTCTGCTAGGCGGACCCCCTGACAAGAGCGACCTCGGGCTGCAGAAATTCACCACCACCGCATCCGTTTGCTTGGTCATAATACGCCCTTTATCGACCAACAGCGATTCCATACCCTGTATCTTCCCTTTGACACCAATTGACCATTCTTCATGACAACGCCACCATCCTGTATCCACTGCTAGAAGTGCGAGGTTGTAGGAGCGCATGAGGTGTTGATCGCTGGGACGACGATGTCAGGATATCGAGGCCGGACTGGGCCGAATTTTTCAGAGTACCTGAACAATCTCAATACTCTGAACACATCGCCCTACGACCAGGAGCAATTCGCAACGGACGATCTCGACCTAAATCAGGATTTGGCCATGTTTACAAATACTGACTTTACTCATTTCGATATTCCTCTACCCGAAGATGGCTCGTTCCAGTTTGACCTCAATGACCCCAAGAACAACCAGAACGTGAAATATGAAGAACTTCTTTCCGGACCTGAACCCGTTCGAAATTATCAGCCTTCCACTATGACTACATCGGCGGCAGAATCATCTCCCTACTATGCCACATACAACACCCCTATTCAACCTGCACCAGCCCCAGGGTTTGGCAACGTTGAAAACCCAAACTCCTCCAGTGCTCCCGCAGCAGGTGGCCCGCATAACTCTCGGAGAAAAGGCGAACCAGTCGATCTCGACGCGTTAAGCCCTGAGGAGAAGTCGCGATTGGCAGCTGAGGAGGATAAAAGAAGGCGCAACACGGCCGCCAGTGCACGGTTTCGAGTCAAGAAGAAGCAGAGAGAACAGGCCTTAGAACGAACCGTGAAAGACGTTCAAGATAAGAATTCCAAATTGGAGGCCAAGATTGCCCAATTGGAAATGGAGAACAAATGGCTCAAAGATTTGATCACAGAGAAGAACGGTCTTCAATCTAAGGAGGAGATGGCTGCCGCCTACCATCAATACCGCAAAGAGAGTGAGGAACGAGAAGTCAAAAAGTCTATCGAGCACACGACTGGGGTGGGCACGGAGTGAATATCAACCAAACGAAAGGAAATTGTACGAGTTTTGTTCTATTGACTGGACATGTGGCTTTAATGATACCAGATAAACCAGACAATATGAGATAAATGTTGCTCGTCTTAGCATCTCCTGCTTCTATGCAGTCCTTCGGTAGCCACCATTTCGAAATTGCCTGGATGAGACGAATCGTCACGAGATGTGCACCGGGTGAATGCGGTGGTCGGTAGCTCCTATTGGCCGCGAGCGGTCTGTTTTAGTAATGCACCAGGCTCCAGAATCGTAGATTCGCTGTCGCACCGCAAGTCTTCCTATGTACGGAGTGACTTTGCAGTACCGCGCCCGCTTTTTGCCTCACACGCGCCTACCACACAATTGTCACCACTTGTCGGTTCGCTCGTTTGCGAGTCTCAAACAAACCTCGTGGCGCTGGCATCATCATCATCATCTGTCTGCGACTCAGCATTTCATCTCTTGCCCTATCTATCCCAAGAGATTCATCCTGCTCTAACTTACCGGAAGCAGTGCCACATCATTCATCCATCCCACTTCAGTGCATTATCAAACCAACAAAAACCCCGTATCGACAGAGCCTCAAAACCTGCCCACTGGCACACTCCCAGTGCAACCCACGCTCACTGAGCGCTCACCCCTTTACCTTCTTCAACCATGTCGGTAACCGTCGCTGAGCTTGACGCAACCGTCAAGGCCTTCCAAGAAGGCAAGGGCGATATCCAGAAGCAGGCTCAGCAAAAGCTCAACGAGTTCAAATCAAATCCAGATTCCTGGTTGATGGTGGACAAGATTTTGCAAGAGGCTACGTACATGCCAACAAAATACCTGGGGCTTCAAGTGCTGGATGATGTTGTTAACACTCGTTGGAAGGTTCTACCACGAAATCAATGTTTGGGAATCCGCAATTTCGTTGTCAACCAGATCTTGCAGGCTTCAGAGACCGAAGAATCTCTCAAGGCCAACAAGCTCTTCGTCAACAAGCTCGATCTGACTCTGGTCACCATTCTGAAGCAAGAATGGCCTCATCATTGGCCGACGTTCATCAACGAGATCATCTCCGCTTGCCACACGGGGTTGTCAGTCTGTGAAAACAATATGACCATTCTCCGCCTACTCTCCGAGGAGGTCTTTGACTTTTCTCAGGACCAGATGACCTCGACCAAGGCCAAAAACCTGAAAACCACCATGTGCGCCGAGTTCTCCTCGATTTTTCAGTTGTGCAATGAAGTCCTCACCACAGCCGACTCGATAAGCCTGGTGAAAGCGACCCTCGAGACCTTGCTCCGATTCCTGAACTGGATCCCGCTCGGATTCATCTTCGAGACCAAACTCATCGACACCTTGGTGACCCGTTTCCTCGAAGTCGACCAATTTCGTAACATCACCCTCAAGTGCTTGACCGAAATCGGTGGACTTCAGCTCGGCCAGCAGTATGAATATGACGATAAACTCGTCCAAATGTTCACCGAGACATTGACGGTCGTCGCCAGAACCCTGTCTCTCGACACCGACTTCCGCGAGGCATATGCAAAGGCGAAGCCTTCCGAACAAGAATACATTCTCAATCTAGCCATCTTCCTCTGCAACTATTTCTCAGTACACCTCCAGACAATCGAAAGACTGCCCAATACCGACTATCTGCTTCACGGTCATTTCTACCTCATCAAGATCAGTCTGATTGACGACCGCGAGATTTTCAAGATCTGTCTGGAATATTGGAATAAATTGGTCCAAGAACTGTATGAAGAGATGCAGCAACTCCCAATCACCGAGCTGAACCCACTGGTCAATATGGGTGTCAGTGGATTGGCAAATGGTGGCGCACCTCATCCCAGCACCCTTGCAAACTATCCTCTACGCAAACACAAGTATTCCCAAGTCCTGTCAAGTTTGCGTCAAGTCATGGTCGAAAAGATGGTCCGCCCCGAAGAAGTACTGATCGTCGAAAATGACGAGGGAGAAATTGTGCGGGAATTCGTCAAGGAGAGTGACACCATTCAGCTCTACAAAACGACCCGCGAATGCTTGGTGTATCTCACTCACTTGGATGTAGTCGATACTGAAAATATCATGTCAGAGAAGCTTCAAAGACAAGTCGATGGATCTGAGTGGTCTTGGAACAACTGCAACACTCTCTGCTGGGCGATCGGCTCGATATCCGGTGCCATGAATGAAGAGACCGAGAAACGATTCTTGGTCACTGTGATCAAAGACCTTCTTGGATTGACGGAGATGAAGCGCGGCAAGGACAACAAAGCGGTGGTGGCCAGTAACATTATGTACATTGTCGGGCAATACCCACGATTCCTCAAGGCGCATTGGAAATTTTTGAAGACTGTCGTCAACAAGCTGTTTGAATTTATGCACGAGACTCACGAGGGTGTTCAAGATATGGCGTGCGATACGTTCATCAAGATTGCCAACAAGTGCAAGCGACATTTTGTCGCTCTGCAACCTGGCGAGACCGAGCCCTTCATCGACGAGATTGTGCGCAACATGCGGAAGATTACATGCGATCTCACACCGCAACAAGTGCACACCTTTTACGAAGCTTGTGGTTATATGATTTCCGCGCAGGGTCAGAAGAGTGTGCAGGATCGACTCATCGACAATCTCATGTCCCTTCCGAACGCCGCCTGGGACAATGTCATCCAGCAAGCAAATTCCAATCCCGCCATCCTTCAAGACGCAGACACGATCAAGGTGATCGGAAACATTATGAAGACTAACGTGGCAGCATGTTCGTCAATCGGGAGCTATTTCTACTCGCAGATTGGCCGCATCTATCACGATATGCTCAATATGTACCGGGCTTCAAGTCAACTGATCTCGGATTCTGTTGCTTCGGGAGGTAAGTACAGGGGGGGACCTGAAAATCGCGGGCGCGCCTCATGCTCACCAAATTGCAGGCAACGTTGCGACCAAGACACCAAAAGTTCGAGGTCTACGGACCATCAAGAAAGAGATTCTCAAGCTCGTGGACATCTACGTTCAGAAAGCTGATGACCTGCAAATGGTTAATGACAGCATGGTACCGCCGTTGCTGGATGCCATTTTGCTTGACTACCAGCGCAATGTACCCGATGCTCGAGATGCCGAAGTCCTGAGTGTGACCACCACTATCATCCACAAGCTACATGTACGTTGGACCCCAAAGAGATCTCGGCATCTGGTCAGAGACGTGAAAGACATTCGAGAACTTTATTGCTGACGTTCCGCAGAATCTGATGGACGACAAGATCTCGCCAATTATGGACAGTATCTTCGAATGTACTCTGGAGATGATCAACAAAGATTTCCACGAATACCCCGAATTCCGCGTTGAGTTTTTCAAACTCCTCCAGGCAATCAACCTGTTCTGCTTCCCCGCCCTCCTGAAACTTGACGGCCGACAATTCAAGTTTGTCATGGACTCTTGCATGTGGGCCAGTAAGCACGATAACCGAGAAGTCGAGAACACCGGGTTGTCCATGTGCTTGGAGCTGATCAATAACATGGCCGAGACAGATCCCCAGACTGCGGGGATCTTCTTCCAACAATTCTACATCTCCATCCTCCAAGATGTCTTCTTTGTCCTTACTGATTCAGACCACAAGGCGGGATTCAAATCACAGTGCCTGCTGTTGGCTCGCATGTTCCAACTGGTGGAGGCCAACAAGATTTCACAGCCCTTGTATCAACCCGACCAAGCCCCCCCGGGCACCTCGAACAAGCAGTTCGTCAGCGAATTTACCGCCAACCTCCTCCAGCGCGCCTTCCCCAACCTAAAGGAGGTACAGATCCAGCATTTTGTCACTGGACTCTTCACTCTGAATGAGGACACTACCAAGTTCAGGACTCATCTACGTGACTTCTTGATCTCCCTCAAGGAATTTGCGGGTGACAATGCCGAGCTCTATGCTGAAGAGCGAGAACAAGAAAAGAAGGATCTTGCAGATGCTGAACGCGAACGGGCCATGAAAGTGGGCGGCCTCATCAAGCCTGCAGACCTCGACCAGGATGATGAGCTGTGACTAGAAGAAGAGTTACGAACTGAATTTGCGATACGCTCCGCACAAGGGCGAGAAGTTACCGAACCTTCAGTGGAACACTCCGCAATGGAGCAGCCCAGTCCAAGAGACGGTCTGGAGGACGGCTGGCTCTTCTACAAATGCTGACCACACAATATGGTGGGATGGATAAGGGGGATGTGTTGATGATCCGACGCCACCGAGAAATGCATACCTATGTTTTCCTTGTGTTATGTTGTGATACCAAAAAGCATAGCCTTTCGGCATACTAGTTAGATCACTGCTTCAAAGACTTTCTTGGGCACTTTTTCTGGCCTGGACACCGACACTCGGCGGAATAGGCCCGCTGTCGCCAGATGAGCTGAGGGGCAATGATAACCTGAAAACCCATAGGGAACCATAAGGAGATGTGATACGACACAGACGGCGTCAACAGCAAACGACGATTCTTTGGACCCTTTAGAATTGATTAAGTACAGCCAGGAAGTCAAATTCAAGCATTCAGCTGAAGTCTCTGAAGGTGTGTGTCGATGGCATCCTCTGTCTCGTTGCCTCGTATAAAGTGAAATGCTTTTTTCGCTTTGGGAGCAGTCCATCTGATCGAGCTCAGACGCAGTCCGGAACCGTGGCGGCAGTCATGAGATCAGGACAGGTCGGCCTGGATGATAGGAAGAATTAGCAGTAATACGGATCTGGGCCATATGACATGCAAATCCTCGTGGCCAGAATCATTATGCAAGTAAGAACGAAAAAGGGTGATGCTGGGCTGAAATTCGACGCAGTCTGACGGGGACTCATGCTAGAACCGACCACGCAACCTGAGCAGTCTGACAAGGCAAGTTGTCTAAACCTCGAAGGAGAGACAAGACCACTGACGTAGGTCACTTGATCGGATTTTCTGCGTCTTTGCTGCATTTGCGTCCGTGTCAGTATTTCGCCGCAATTTCATTCCTCTGTCTGTGCTGGAACAACAAAAACAATTAGTATCCCCTCTGGATTTGCTCTGACCACCAAGTCAAAATCGTCCTTTGTACTAATTAGTATTTGCTCCAATTCCCAAATCCAGAGTGTCTTTCGTTTTTTCTCTCGTTAGCCTCTGTCATTCAAGCGGCTTTGGCTTTTCATCTTCGCGCAGCCGCCGCCCTTTTCACCTGTTCAATTCAGATCCGTCAGCACAAAAATAACCAAATCAAGAGTTGTAAGCAGATTCTCGGTGCCTTGAGAGCTCTCTAGATCCAGCTATCAGCAATGCCACCATCTACTGCTGCGACTACGGCAGCCTCACCACTTGAGCAACCAAGGCTGAATAATGCACACAACCCTCCACGACCGGGTGGTTCAAGGCATCTCGCAGTCAACCAAACCGACTCTCCCTCCCGCCACTCTTCCACCGGCTCCGCAACTCAAACCGTCACTCCGATCGACTCGGCCTCGTCCCGCTCCGCCTCTCCAGAGCCACTTGTCCTACACCTTCGCGGAGCACACAACGCCTCTGGAACCAATACTGCACGCGGACATCGGCGACAAATCACCTGGGCAGAAGATGTAATAGACAACGAGGGACTGGGCCGCAAATCAAGCAAGGTGTGCTGCATATACCACAAGACGAGGGAATTTGGGGAGAGTTCAAGCGAGGAGGACAGTTCGAGTGACAGTGATTCCGGCGACAGTGACGCCGACGGAAGCGATAGTCCAGATGACGGTGGAGCCAGAATGAGCGGGAATAGGAGAGGACACAAGCACGGAGATGATTGCGGTCATGGAAAAGGCAAAGGCAGGAGAATGCCCAGCCCAAATGCGTATGAAAAAATGCCAAAGTACGGCCCGAGACAAGGTAGAGCAAGAAGTTAAAATGCTCAGGAGCAATGGAAGGATGCTTAACAATGAAGACTGCAGGAGAGGTGACGCTTAGATTTCCACATCTGATTACGGAGGATCCAGCCATGACGAGTCAAATCTTAATCGTGCAACACGGACTAGGATGCGGCAAAACACCTGGATGGCACGAATTGAGCGAGGGCGTTCACAGGAGTGCTGGACCGATGGTATTGATGGAGGGATGCAAGCGTGTTCTAAAATTCCAATGGCAGATCCCAGACGACCCTGATCCTACGCTTTTCCCATCTCATTGCTTCCTGCGACAATCATTGCATCTGGTTCTGAATATCAATGGTCTTCATGGTCATTTCTCTTACTGTGCATCCCTGGAATTATACCACAGAAACGTGGTTACCCACTAAGGATTTCACCGGCAGTTGCCAAACATTGACTGCGCTGGCTTTCCGGATTCCAGTTTGGCATTTTGGGTGGCATAAGCGGAGTATCAAAGATACGATTTTCATACCAAATCTGCAAGAAGGGCGTCTGAGAGGAATGGTGATCATTCCTTATTGATATGGCAGGAAGGACGATTTCGGTGTCCAGGAGGCAGAGTGGGATGACATCCCTAACAAGTGGTATCGAAAATGATCGTCAGGCGACCGAAATTCGAGACACCATGGCTACTAGAGACACCTCGGCGCGAGTGACAATTGCGATCCGTTGACCAGTCTTCGACCTGAAGTTCTGTCCCCTCTCTGGACTGTTGATGGATGTAGAATCTGACGATGGTTTGCCGCGACAGGTTTAGGTTTGCAGCCCAATATTGCGGAATGCGGACAGCGCCAGGACTTTTGGTGTTCAACTCACACCTTAGAGGCGAAAATTTCCCATCGGTTATGATATTCGTCAATTGTCCGGATAGGATTAAGGTGACTGAAGCTCTGTTAGTGCGCGGCTCAACGGCTGCGCCGCAAGGGGTCAGGGGCTTTGCAAGTTTGTTAGTGTTGGGTTAGGACGTGGGTTCAAAGCAATGTACACCTTTACGCCATCGAGGAGAATAGCTACATAGAGAAAACTCGGTCATATTCAGGAACCAATAACGGTTTCCTTGCGACCGAGTGAGATTTTGAGACGAATGGAGGCTCTGTCTAGGATCCCTGGAAAAACGATGACTGGTGGGAGTAACGAATCCCATGGCTGCCAAGGGTCTACATAGTACATGGTATTTAGGTATCTGACGTTTTGCGTATAGCGCCCCCCTTAAGGGTTTTGAGGGGAGGACAAGAACTACAATAAACTGGCACTCGTCTGGTGCGGCCAAATCACAGGTGGCAGTAACACAAAATGAGAGTTACATCCTTTGGCTATCTGGTGAGCGATGGCTCGTTCAGCCAGCCTTGGAGTATGCCTGTCGTCGACCTCGACTTCATGTTTCATACACTTGGGACATGGTGCATGGTGCGTGGCTGCGCCGTGTTCTTTGATTTTCCACACTAAACAAAACTAGTTGACCGTCGCTCTCCAGTCCCTCCACAATTTTTCAGGCTAATGTCGACGTCGGCCGAATCCTTCGGGCACATACTGGGACGCCGTACGTATTGTGGAAGGCCCATCACAGATCATTTCCAAGTGTGAACCTTGATGTCTCCATGTCCAACGTCCCTTGCTGCCTAGCGAAAGATTTTCACACAAACAGGTACGAATGGGTACAGAAGAGGGGGGGAAATTCAGACATCCAGACCAGCAATCTCTTCCCTATCCCGCCTTTCCGACTCGAGGGCGGCTTCGATACGCTTCCCCATCTCCATGATAAGTGAACCTTCACTTTGAGGCGAAAGGACAAGATCACGATTCCAGCCAGGGTTCTGTAGCCTCTTGGTCCTAGTCTCCCGATTCTTCCCATCGACATGCTTATTCGAGGTTTGAGATATCTGTAACGGAGGCTAGCACCGTGACCACCTCACCTCTAAAGCAACGAAGCACTGCAGAGTCCAACAAGTAGCTAACTCTGCATAAAACCACAAGCGTCAGCTTCGGCGTCTCCACGACGTTTCCGCAACATCCGAGAATCAGCGATAGACTCCTCCAGGAGCAACAGGTTTGGTCGGAAGTAGAGAACCAGTTGAACTGGGAACTTGGGTTGTGGATAACCAAAAGGCCGATCACCACTGTGCTTTTGTCCAGGTCATCCCCCCAAACTGGCGGAAGGCGGAAATGGTCGTCGAATTCGAACTGGATCCTTTCAGCAAGGCCTCGTTCACCAGTCAATCCCGGCGATCAGAGACAGCCATGGACAATGTACGGCAAAACCATTCACAAGGACGCACAATACGAGCCGGAGAAACTTTTGATACAATTGAGCATTTCGTATCAACTCAGGATCATGGCATTTCTCGGTCGCCAGAGCAAGGGTCGTCCTGCCGTACCAAATTCTATACCTGGCTTCAAACACAAGAAAAAAAAGTTTACCTTAGAAGTCAAATTTCTCAACACTCACGCGAATCGATTGTTTGTTTGGCTGTGTGCTGCTACTGGCCGTGTCCCTACAGTAGCTTTCGCGCTTGCTGATCAATTCCCCCTCAATCCGGGGAAAGATCATGCAAGGAACCAAACGTCATCTCGCCCATAATCTCCCGAGCCTCACCGTGACTCCACCACTGGCAAGTACTCTGCTACTATGTAGTAAATTGCAATCCCGACGCCTTGTCCCCGGCGACGCTGACCGACTTGACATTTTCAATGTTTCGACAACGGCGACAAGAAGGGATACCCTCGTATCCTCTTCCACCCGGTCACGTTGGCAGTCTTGGTTAGCGCATTGAGATGTTGTCCAGAGGTCTAGGCCACAAAGCTCAAATGTCACAGTACAAATGAACACAACAAGTAAGATCAACATAGTCTCCAACAGGAGGCCCTCCATGTAGAGAACCGTTAACCTTCGGTACCAGAGCTATATTTCCACCTCTTTCCACCTTTGCTAAATGTTGGTGTTGAGCCTGATGCGCCTTTGATTCCAGGTTTGTCCCCCCAATAAACGCTAAAAACATCATTGCTCCCGCTAGCGTTCCCACTTACCAGTTACAACTTGCTCGATCATCAAACGCAATTGATAGATAATGACCTAGCCATGTTTGCCGCTATCGAACTAATCCCAAAACAGTACCATTGGCGGTTGAGATCCACTCAGGCACATCCGGATCAGCCTTCCCCGGCGAGTTCTAGCTGTTTCAACACCGACTATTCCTTGCCCCAGGTTTCCATCGAACCGTTCACTCTTTCTACGCCCAAACTTGGGCCGTTCTTGAAAAGATTGACCCGGAAGCTAACGAGCGAATGCGCCCGGTACGTGCAGGGATGAGTGAAGTTTTTTTCCCCTTAGCTCTCATGGTCATGGATTCACCCGGTTGACACGCCACACTCTGGCAATCCTCACTTGCATATCAAAGCCTGATGAAAGACAAAAGCATGATCCCTCCCGGCCACGTCTGTCAATTCTCATCTTCATCACTTGGTTCTCGGAATGTTCGAACGGTGGGACTCACCGACCTACTATCGCTATGTCGACGACATCGTCAGAGATTCAGGCGTTGGAGATTGCTGAGAAGGTCACCTCTATCTTCTCTGTTGTTGGCGCAGCCTTCATCATCTCGACATTCCTGTCGGGCAGCAAATTTCGCAAACCAATCAACAGACTGGTCTTTTATGCGGCATGGGGAAACCTCTTTGCCAATATCGCGACTCTCATATCTAGGTCCGGCATCAACTCGGGTGTCACGTCCCCATTATGCCAGTTCCAAGGCTTTCTGATTCAATGGTGAGCCTCCAACTGAAGAACCTACCCCACCTCTCGTCATTGAACTAGGTGACAGGTTTATGCCCGCTGATGCGTTATGGACTTTTTCTATGGCTTGCAACGTCTACCTTTCCTTTTTTCGTCAATATGACGCATCCCAGCTACGTGGCCTGGAATGGAAATATCTGGGAGCGTGTTATGGCATTCCTTTCGTTCCTGCGCTGGTCTATCTGTTCATCAGTTCTGGCCCCAAGGGCAAGATCTATGGAGACGCAGTTGTACGTGCCTGTGTTTTTCCTCCTTGTTGCTCTCCTCGCTCACATTTTTCCCCAGTTGTGGTGCTGGGTATCCCAAGAATGGAATGCCCTCCGGATCGCAGTATTCTACGGTCCGGTTTGGGTCGTCATCCTGGTCACCATGTTCATATACATCAAGGTCGGCATGGTGGTATTCCGATGGCGCAAACAGCTGCTTTCCACGGGCCACAGTGGGCCCAAGGTTGAAACTCCACCTCATGATTATGCCATGAGAGACCTATCGACATCACCAGCTTCTCAGAGAAGATATGAGGTTACCATTACCAGCCAGGTTCCGCACTCGCCAGATCGCAAACGAAGCCTAAGCTCTCCTAGAAATACCTACCTGGAGGATACTCGACCCACAAATCCAGGCCATGCCCGGTACCCATCCATTCAGGAGGCCCAGACCAATGTGGTTATCGAAAGGCCACCGATCAGAACGCTAGATGCAAACAAGGCCACATTGAGTTACTGCAAAACAGCTATGTTATTCTTCTTTGCCTTGCTCTGCACGTGGTACGTTCGCCTCAGACTCTCGGACGATCCTACGCACTAACATCGTTTGCTGTAGGGTGCCTTCCACCATCAACCGAGTCTATACTTTAGTCAGACCAGGGCATTCCGTCTTTGGGTTAGATTTTGCATCAGGACTGGTCCTTCCACTTCAGGGCTTCTGGAACACACTGATATATATTGTGATGAGCCTGCCGGCTTGCAGAGCATTATGTGCAGAGATCAGGGACCGCTTGTTCGGACCTGGAGCTCCTCATCCCAATCAAAGGAGTCCTTTCCTGACCTTACCGAAGCACAATCGCCGCATTCTAGGTTCCGCAGATACGAGAGCAGACATCTTAGTGAGCTTGGAGGGAAAGAATCGCGTCGTCCACCACCACTATACCAATCCACATCACCATATTATGGCAGAAGAGATGATAGGATCCGACCAGAAGTATACCCATGCCGGATGAGAATAAGGGCATAAGGATGTAGAATAAAATATATGTACAATACGGGAGGCTCATGTCCACTAGGAGTTCACGATTTCAGAGGCACAGATTCTACGTGGAGCGAACTCAACGGTCAGAGAGCCTAGCACTGCGCAGGTTACCTGTATGGCGCATGCTGGGCGCAAGCAACCCATTTGATTGTCAACAGATAGAGGCTGTTCTGTGGAAGGAGACGTCCCAGTCAATCAGAACGTTCCGCCGCCTCCTTAATCATGGGGTCCAATGCTGCGACCGCAACATGGGACCATCCGGCCGATGTCTACCTTGGTCAGCTCGTCTGTAAGATCATAAGCACCCACAAGGTCTTTCGAGGTCCTCAGCTCTCAATCTCTCCTCCGCTTCGTGTAGATTTCCCTTGTGCTAGAGCGCATAAAGTTATCTTCGTCACGGTTCCCCTGACATCCATTTAAGTCCTTTTGCTTCTGCCTCCTCGCTTGGAAGTCTTGTGTCGAACTTCTCTATCGGGCAGCCTCCAGAGTCAAAGATCGGGGAGATGTCATATCAACCGCTCTATGCTCGACCATCTAGGTTTGCCGACTCTGGTCGAGAGAGGCCCGTGTTGCCTCGTCCCACTCCCGGCCTTGCCCAAAGGTCCACGGCAATTGTACCACGGACTCCTCAAGAATGGAATCGTCACCGCAATCCGATCACTCAACTGTATCGCGATATGGAGCTGCCACTTAGAGAGGTCCAGAGAATCATGGAAACGGAGCATAGTTTCAAAGCTACGTGCGTGGCCACGGATGAGCATAAATAGCCTTCCCATTCCACAAAATTCACCACTTCTGTCCACGGCTAACAGATATTTCAGTAAGCGGATGTACAATACGAGATTCAACCAATGGAAAATTTGCAAGAACTACCGGGCTGAAGAGAAGGAACAGCTCGCAGCTCGCATTGCTTAAGCACATCTTTAGAACCGGTCAATCGATAACCTTACCTTCAAGGATCGCCCAGTGAAACTGGACCGTGTGCTCCGACATTGCAAGACTCTGATGCGGGATCGCGCAAAGACGAAAGCCCGCAAGAAAGCAAACTCGCCTATTGTCACAGACGACGACGATTCCTCCGATTCTCAGAACTCCCTGCCAGTCCAAGATAACATGGTTCAGGCGTATTCGAACACAGCCAAACGGCAATCCAACATAACTCCACAGTCAGGAATGACAACAACTAGCGCTTTGACTCCTTCGTCTTCTGAACCAACCGAAAATGATGACACCTCATACGAAATAATAGATCATGCAGACCTGAACATCCAGACATTGACGTCCAGCCCACCTATTTTTCCGCCGAAAGACACATTGAATGTGGAAGTGATTCTCCATCAAACGCAGTCATATTACCTGAATCACATGGGACAGATCCGCACACAAACAAAGGAAATGTACAGCGTTACAGATAGGACGAATATTTTCTGGTCACACGTCAAGTTTGCCATTTATTTTCTCAAGAGACAGTCGCCAACTCTCGCCTGGCCGCTCTTGAATGATGCATGTATGCTTAGCGGGAGATATGCTCTCTGATGCACCTGTCTTGTTTCTGAACTGTGTTTTAACTGTGCTTTCACCCGTCAACACCAGGGTGTGTCCGAAGGTTCGGAACATTGTCCTTCAATACCTCTCTGATATGGCTGGAATCAAGCTGCAGCCAACCCATCCACTGGCAATGATATGTCGACAACTAGCACAAGACAATGGATGGGGAGCGGTTTCAGAAACAGCACTGAACCTTTCACGGGATTTGTTCGTCAAGAATCTTGGTCGAGGGCACAGTGGGACGTTTGCCGTCCATCGATCATTGATCTGTCTCCTCCCTCGCGACAAACAACTTGAGGCGGCGAAGCGACTGTGTGAGGACTTGGTCAATAGTGCGGAGCAAGAACTGGTCGCACAATCTAGAGTTTCTCTTCACCAAAGAAAGCCAACGTCTATCAGCATGACTGAGCTGTGCATTGCCATGACCGAATTGGTCCACATCTATATCGACATGGAAGACTACGGTGTGGCGCAAGAACTGTGCTTATCGGTGGTCCAAAACTACAAAACTATCCCGGGAGTCAATTTTCCGGACAGCCGGGCCGCATATGCGATGGAAGACATGGAGATGTTGAAGGGGCAATCTGCTGGCTGAGGGAGGCTCTGAATGCGTCCTGTAAGCTTCGAGGTAAGGATGCTGCAGCGACAAAACATATCTGGGTGAAACTGGAGGAAATACTGCTTCAATCAGATCAGACGGGCGGGTTTGAGGTTCAGGGAGTTGGAAAACCGACGGATACGTTTGGGAACCACATCCCTCTATGATCCTTGGCTTTGAAGAGACTCGATAAGGACGTGACAACGTAGCTGGACGCAATTTGACCGAGCCTTTGGAGAAGTACATATAAATCTACGTCTGACAGCAGAGGTCGCATGTCATGACATAGCTTTTGCCGAAGGGTGCTTTTGTCAGACCAGGGTATATATTATGTCTTCATCTTTGGGGTAGTCAAGCACATTCGTCTTCTCTCCAACTTGAAATCCCAGTGGGACAAGAGGCTGCAATAATCAATATCGACTCTTGAATTAAGACTGCAGGACTATGGCACTTCTTTCGGGCCGCATCTTGGATTTCACAGTTTAGATATGTCCCTTGCAGGAGTCCAGGCCAGGTACGCCACGGTCGAGATGGCGGCAACTGCACATCAGCGAGAACCGAATGCTCCACCGCTCCGAGAAGACTGCTCAACGGACGATCGGAAATAATGGAATCGACGTCTAAAGCTCTCATCGACTCATGCCCAGGCTCGCACTCGTTATTTGATGCCGTGAGACATGTGAAATCTACCTCAATTGACCATCGCGAATCCTCTCTCCTTGATATTATGGCGTTGATATCCTCCGAGATTCCTATTTCTCAACTCAGGTTCTACATCTCAACTGCGTTACGACACGGGGCCACGGCATCAGAGATTCAATATCTTATCAACCAATCGAGCGCGTTCTATGGGGTCCCTCGAGCACTTACGGCGCAACATCGTGTGGCAGAGGTATTGGCACATTTCCTGAAACGAAGCCCCTATACCGAAGAGCGAGTCCAGGTCAATGATCACTCCACCATCGTCCAAGACTCCAATCCAGAGAGCAATGCGGTGCCCATCATCCTCATCCACGCCATCGGTCTCGATCGAAGAATGTGGAATGCTGTATTCACGCAGCTCACAAGCCAGGATCAAAGTATTCGCATAGTCTCCTACGATCTCCGTGGCCACGGTGCTGCCTCGTCCGCCCCGCCAACTCAATCCCTCGCACATCTGGCCTCGGATCTACGGGACTTGCTTAACAAACTCGACATCCTCAGAGCAGACATATACGGACAATCCTACGGAGGAGCCGTTGCACAATACTTCGGTCTCAACTATCCACATTACACACGATCTTTGGGTCTGGTAACTACGGCTGGCGAATTGGGCAGCCGCATGGCGGGCTATGAGTGGTCTTGACACCCTTGCAAGATTGAAGGAATTGAAGTGTCCTCTGCTTGTCGTCTGCGGAGTTCAGGATGCGAGTACAGGTCCCAGGTTCATGAAGAGGCTGAAGGACGCCTGTGACACCGAGATGATCTATGCACAATTGGATCCTGGCGTACATATGATGGCCCTGGAACAAAGTCAAGAACTCACGACAGAGATTATGGCCTTCAGAAAGATGATGGATAGGCGAAGAATATGAAGGTAAAGATGAGGATTATTTGCAGACATGTGTCTGCATATTGGGAGATGCCCGAGGCCGTCCGTTGGCTGGTGTTCTTGATGCATGGTACTCCCTGGTCCGACGCGAGCATCTGGGCAACGAAGAATGAATTCGTATGCAGAACCTCCACTCCCTCATGAAATCATAGAAACTTCGCCGTACGAGACAAGAGCCTGGACGTTTGGTGAGCGGATTCTTTCTCCTTCACACCCGTGGCAGGTGTATTTTCAATGCCAGACCAGCCGGCAATCTGAAAACGCTCTTTCCTGAATAGGCCTTCGTTTACGCCCGGCTTTAGGCACCACTAGAGCCTTGGGTTCGACACTCTTTAGATTCAGACGTTATCAAGAGCTTGTATCCGAGTGGGTCTTGGACAGGCTGGGTTGGATCCGTCCAGTGTCGCATAGCGATTCCCAGACCTCCCTCTCCGTGCGAAATCCAAAAAATTCGAGCTCCAATGGGAGCAACACACTCAGCCAATCAACTTGCCTGATAGAGAGTTGTTCGGTCGCCTCCACCTAGAGATTCTTATCCTGTCGCCCTACATCGAGACACTGGTCAAGATTCCTCAACAGGATGTTTTCGTGTCACTCTATTCTTGAGCATACTCCGTCAACAGGGCACAATTCGACGTTTCGTTCAGCCGTGAAACGTCTCCGGCTCTGCCATGTAGTTGATGGGAAGGGCAAGAACTGTAGAACTCTGTCTGCATGCCCATCTGGCGTCAAATGGTTGTAATGATACGGACCGGTGGTGTGAATTCATGTACTACCTCGATCTGATCTTCGTCTGACTCCCCCAATGAGAGCCTGTCGGGGAAAGGCTTGTTCCTTTTCATATCAGCCGCCGGAAAACTTATTTCGACGCCGATTACTTCGACGACTGCCATCACCAAACGGACCCCCTGGGAGAGATGCATTGTCTATGTCACGTTGATGGAAATGAAAGGGCCACTGTGCGGGAGCGACTCGCGGTGGGTACGATCCATCGAGCTGAGGTGATGGTACACAACGGTGACATGCGTAAAGGATATTGTTCCTCGGCAACGATGTCCAGACAATAGTTAGTATAAGACGTCAGGAAAGGAGTTTTCCCTCAACATCAAGTTGCCGATGACCGTAATATCGAAATGACGAGCACTATGTCCCAGCCCTGCCTTAAGTCGGTAAAAGCTGATGTTGAATAGGCTTAACGTCATAGCCCTTGCCTTGATGCCCGGAATTCAACCCCGGCCCTTTGGTTCCTTGTGCTGACCCCGAGCGACTACTTTCATCTCGATTCTCAGTGTGAAAAATCTACCATCCTCATCTCTTTTGCTCCTTCAATGCCTCTCTCTCGCATCCTCCTCCATGTCCCTCATCCAACACGTCTCCTCAGCCGAAGGAGTCGATCAAGAGCCCGATACCGCCAGCCTTCGCCTCTCCCGTCAACCGAGCCTCTCCATCACCTATGACCCCACCCCCGGCGGCGCTCCACCACCGGAGAGACTCGAGCCGCTCGCTGCCTATGAAGTATCGCAAAGCAGGCGTATAGGTGAGCATATAACGCCCTTCGAGATACCAATCGACCCCCGACTGATTCGTATTGTCCAGCGCAGGTGGTGGTCGGCGTCCTCTCCTGTGTCTTGGCATCAGGCATTGTCTTTGGGTTCGATGCTCTCAAGTCCATCCTCGTGGATGAAGAAGTCTATCGCGATCTATGCACCGAGAAGGAACTCCGAGATGATGTGTGGCTTTGCTACATGCAGGATCAGAGACTCAACCTTACATTCGTCATCGCCTCCGTCACCACCAACATCTCCGCGCTCCTCGTCGGCAGCATCCTTGACCGTTACGGTCCGCGAGTCTGTGGCTTCGTCAGCTCTGTACTCCTCGGCCTAGGAAGTATCTTCATGGCCTTTGCTCGGTCTTTATCTTTCGACGCCCTCTCTGTCGGAAGTTTCCTTCTCGCTCTCGGCGGCACATTCACCTTCGTGCCCTCCTTCCACCTATCCAATGCCTTCCCTCGCTTCCAAGGCCTCATTCTCGCCCTCGTCACCGGCGCCTTCGACGCCTCCGCCTCTGTCTTCCTCCTCTTCCGCCTTTTGTATCAGGCCACCAATGGCACTTTCACCCTCCAAAGGATCTTCCTCTTCTACCTCTTCGTGCCCCTTTTTATCCTTCTCACCCAACTGTTCGTCATGCCGGCCAAGAGCTACTCGACGCGCGGCGAACTCACGACTCAAAGGGGCCTGGCACAGGACGCCACGACTGACGTCCACGATAGTGACGACGAACTTGACACCGCCATGGAGATTATGCGTGTGCGCTCCGTCCGTGCCGACCAGCGTGGCCGCTCCATTGCCTCTATTGACGATCTGCTGGGGACGCCTGCCCAACAGTCAGCCTATGATCAAAAGGAAGACGACAAGCGCATTAACAGCGGGGTCTGGGGCGCGTTGCATGGCCTGCCTGCCTCGAAACAGCTACGGACCCCCTGGTTCGTGCTCATTACCTTGTTCACGATCCTGCAGATGTGTCGGTTCAATTTCTTCATGGCGACAATCTTCAGCCAGTACGAATACATGCTGAACAGTGAGAAGGAGGCGTTGAAAGTGATCGAATATTTCGATCTGGCGTTGCCGATTGGTGGCATCGCAACCGTGCCGTTTATTGGAGTCTTGTTGGATTATATGTCGACGGTGGCCGTGTTGAATCTGCTGGTTTTGCTCAGTACCATTATCGGTGTGCTTGGGGCAGTGCCGATGATTTGGGCTGCGTATGCGAATGTGACGCTGTTTGTGCTGTTTCGACCGCTTTATTACTCTGCTATGTCGTAAGTCGACCCTCCCCTCGCTTCCTTTCTCCGCTGTGTCCTTTCAAATTCATCATGCTGCCTTCCATCCTTTTTGACCCTCCCCTACTTATTCCCCTCCACACTAACCACAGTCAACACATGATCTATGCTCACCCTACCATGCTCTACCGAGACTTCACCCATCCCATTTTGTCTCTTGGCCATCGCCCTGCCCTTTTTTGGCCCTTTCTTCTTTGCTCTTCATTTTGTCCTCTTTGCTCGAGCGTCGACAATCTAATAATCACGTGTTGGTGCTCCTTAGAGACTACACAGCCAAAGTCTTCGGACACGCAACATTTGGCACTGTCTATGGAGCTATCATCTGTCTTTCCGGCCTATTCACATTCTCCCAGTCCGGGCTACAAGCTATCCTCCACGACATGTTCGACGACGACCCGGAGCCGATGAACTTGGGCCTTGCGACAGCTGGCCTGATTCTGGGTATGGCGCTGGTCATGTATGTTGACATCAAGGGAAGAGCAATGCAGCGTGACCGTGACCGTGCTGGACCTGGCGCGGGTTTCAGTACTGATGTCGGAGTTGAAGAGAGACGAGGCTTACTTTCTTCTCGCGATAGGGAAAGGGACTGGTCAAGACAGGGATATGGTCAGGGTCTGAATCAGAGTCTCAACGGCAGTGCAGGAGGCGGTACCAGTCATGAAGACCCGGAAAGACGTGCTCTCCTGCCCAGATCGAGTAGGCAGACGTTGGGCTTGTCGACGGTGCAGGAAACGAGGGAGTATACTTAAATACGGCCGAACATCTCCTGAAAGCATGGATCTGAACGTGAAAAGCATGTCCTATATAAAGTCCTATCGAGCATAGGGTAACAAAGAGAGGTCGTTATATATGAAACTAGACTAGACCAGACGTCGTACACTCTCTGGATACAATATTCCGCTTCTATGGTACGGCTGTATGATAGCCCCCGTACTTTGACCGAGGAAAGGAAAGGGAAAGGGGGAAGAAGGAAGAAGGCTGAGGGAGAATGTTCATCCGAAGACTATCGACTCCTTTTTTGAGCATCTCTTCCATCCCAAATTCAGAAGGACATTCCTGAGTTACCCAGCCTTGCTGATAAGGGACAAGTTCCCGGTCAAGAAGATGGATGAATGGTTGGATGTTTGGTGCAAGCATGAGAATAAAGGAGGTAGTGTATCACATGTGTCGATTGGAAACTAACCTTACATTTCTATATGCCGCAACCCCATTTTACAAGGAATTGCTCGCTTTGCACTGAACGCCACTCCTGCAAGGTGAATGACTTCGCCGACACTTGGAGTCGCCTCAACAAAATCTGAAGGAAGCACCGGACATTCGTACTCCCACCGACCCGGCACCATGATCACAGGGTCTTACTCGCTTGACCAAACTGACCGGCGAGTCAATTCTCGATCATCTCTAATCATCCAACAAATTTGGTTCCCCGTTCATCTGCTTCCCTCCATCCTGGTTATCTCTGGTGTCTTTGTGGCCCCTCTCCTTTTTGCTGTGGCTCTTTCTTGAGTAGAATTCATCAAGAATTTTAGGGTTGATCCGGTTGAGTAATTCCTTGGGGAAAATTCGAAGCAAGTTCCAGCCAATGTCCAAACTATCGAAGATGGTTCGTTTGTCATATGGACTTTGTGAGATGAATTGTTTCTCGAATTTCTCCAAGAATTCGAGAGAAAGCTTGTCTTCGGAACTCAAAGCTTCGTCACCGACGACAGCTTTCATGGCTGCGGCATCACGGCCAATGGCATATTTGGCGTAGAGTTGATTCGATACATCACCATGGTCTTTTCTGGTCAAACCTTCACCAATGGCAGATTTCATCAGTCGAGAAAGTGACGGCAGGACATTGATAGGTGGGTAGACACCCTTGTTGTACAATTGTCGATCCACGAAGATTTGTCCTTCGGTAATGTATCCGGTCAAGTCGGGAATGGGATGAGTGATATCATCGTTCGGCATGGTCAAGATGGGAATTTGAGTAATGGATCCGTTTCGGCCCTCAACACGACCGGCTCGTTCGTAAATGGTGGACAAGTCGGTGTACATGTAACCCGGATAACCACGTCGACCAGGAACTTCTTCTCGAGCAGCAGAGACTTCTCGAAGGGCGTCGCAATATGCGGACAAATCGGTCAAGATGACCAGAACGTGCTTTTCGAGTTGATAGGCGTAGTATTCTGCTGTGGTCAACGCAAGTCGAGGTGTGATGATACGTTCAATGGTGGGATCGTTGGCCAAGTTCAAAAACAATGTGACTCTTTCCATGGAACCATTTTCCTCGAAATCGCGGGTGAAGAATCGAGCGGTTTCCATGTTAACACCCATGGCGGCAAAGACGATGCTGAAGTTTTCCTCATGATCATCATGGACACCTTTGTGGGGTTGCTTGACCAAACCTGCTTGCCGACAAATCTGGGCGGCGATTTCGTTGTGAGGTAAACCGGCAGCAGAGAAGATGGGAATCTTTTGACCTCGAGCGACAGAGTTCATACAATCAATGGCGGAAATACCTGTCGAGATCATTTCTTCAGGGTAAACCTTTAGCCAGGTCAGTATGTCTGTGTAGAATTGACCCAGGTTAAACATACCCGCGAATATGGGTTGATGGGACTTCCATTGATGTCCAGGTAATCCTCGGCCAATACCTTGGGGCCTTTATCTATAGCTCTTCCTGAACCATCGAAAATTCGGCCCAGCATGTCTTCCGAAACACCAATCTTGAGGCTATGACCCGTGAATTCGACTTTGGTCTAGGATGTATGAGCGGGATGACGTGGCACAGACGAAGGGAGGATCTATACCTTCTTGACATCGATGCCAGGGGTTCCTTCAAACACTTGGACAACAGCCCTGTTTCCTGCAAGACAAACATCAATCTTCCGAACCCATCATAGTCTCTGCGCCGTTGTAGGACACACCTCTTGCTTCAAGGACCTGACCAGATCTTGTGGAGCCATCAGGTAACGTCAAACTGACAATTTCGTTGTATCTGGGGAATTTGACCTGGTCCAAAGATTGTTAGCGAGATCGATTTCACTCGGCGGAGCTTGAGGTTCAACGCACATTATCTAGGATGACCAGAGGGCCGTTGATACCTGCAATTGTATTGTATTTCAATCTGGGCTTGATGGAAGCCATCCGGGGATCAAGGTCGGCCATGTTGGCGGCCTGGGAGAAAGATAGTGGGAAATTGAGAAGAACGATGAGGAATGGTGAGGAAGGCAGAAGGAAATTGTTTGCTGGGTTGGAGAGCTATTCAGCAAAAAAAGAACGAATGGTTAGGAGCGATGATGCAGGCGGGCACAGCTGGCGAGCTCGCAAGCCGGGAAGCTGGGGAGGATCTCGGGCTAGTTGGTTAGTGGTTAGGATTTGGTGCCAGAGATAGTCCAGATTGATAGAGCCACTCTTAATCGATACAAGTGGCCAATTGGTGAGGGCTCGAAGGGCTTCGAAGATGAAGAGCAGAGGGAGCTGCCACTGAGAGCAATCAGAAGCGAGTGGTGGGCCATCTGCCGATGAAATGGCGATGCCTTGACGCAATACACGTGATATCACCTGATCTGACCGGCAAATATCATGTGATAGCACGTGATCGGAATCACCTGCCCCAAATCAACATGACCTGAGTTCTCTAAAAATATGTCTTCTTCAGCCTTGTCGTCTTATTCTTTATGTTCTTACTTATCCTACTCACTTTCCAATAAAAAATCTTCGCCCCCACGTTGCCTCCTGGCCCGCAGACTGATGCCCTGGCCTCTCGCCTCTAGGCCCCCCCCCGGGGGAGCTCCTCCTCCACCGCATCAGGTCAACCGTCAGGCTGAATCTCAAAAAATGAATCGACGTTATTCCTTCTTTCCTTTATCTTCTCCTTCTGTTCTTGTCTGTTCTCGATCCTTGTTGTCGAAGTTTCTTTTGTTTGCAGTTCGTCGATGTCCACCCGCCGAAAATATGGCTGTTCCCACATCGGACCAATATCAATACTTGCTTCCCCTCTATGATTTTGATAAACAAACAGCCCTGCAACATTATTCACTTGACTTCACAGGTTTCACACTGAATCCCAGTCCAAATTTCAACGCATTCTCCAAGACTTTCAGCGACTTACAGGACATCCAAGGCTTTCATATCTTGCTGGGTCAGGGCGATGGGTTCCATGACAGTCCTCTGCCCATCACGAGAGAAAATTTCCAGGATCTCTGTGCTGGATGGAAAATCTCGCCCAAGGCCCTGAGAAGGCGTCAAGGTCCAGAGAACTGTTTCAATTATCACTTTGAAGAAGCCCCACGCAATACTCTCTCTACCGCGGCAGCTTCAACTTCCACTCCGGCCGCGCCGACCTACAAATTCCTCAATATCGTCTTACAACACGACATAATACGCTTATTCTGCCTCATTCGCTACGACATCACCGCTCCAGGGTCCGCGCGATGCTTTATCACGCTCCCTGAAAATGAACATGCTCGGGTCACGGCGCTCCTTCGAGACTACGCCGACGAAATCTTCGCCAGCCCACCGGCCCTAGCCAGCCTGCTCCTCGTCCACGTCAGTACCTTCATGAACAACATTCTAGGAGGCCTGCGCACCGAGCGCTACAGGATCCAAACCCGCCTCGGCATCACAAATACCGAAACTCGCTCCTGGCTAGCGAGGCAAGGTCACCATGGAGAACCTGATCATCGATTTGACATGCTCAATGTCGAAATTCACCATTTCCGCACCTCTCTTTACAACGCCAAAGAGTCGCTCTCCATCCTGACATACTTGCTCAATGCTCACAAATCTGTACTGGAGCTGTACACCGACCACACCGACGCATCGACAGCCTTTCAATGCATCAAAGACGTCCTCCTAACATGTGAACAGCACCAGGCCCAAACCGAGTACTCGGACAGCATAGCCGAAAGCCAGAGCTCCATGCTTTTCAACATGATCAATCAACGCGACAGCCGACTGAATTACTCCGTTGCACAATCTAGTCGACAGATTGCCGCCGCGTCCCGCCGTGACAGCTCCGCCATGAAAACCATCTCGATATTGACCCTGATTTTCCTCCCCGGTACTTTCGTCTCAGCGATCTTCTCCACTACCATCTTCAACTTCAACACCGACGATGAAGATGCCGGCCGGTACGGCAAAGTCGGCAGCGCATGGTGGATTTACTTTCTTTGCTGTGTCTTGTTGACGCTGATGACAGTCGGCATTTGGGCGGGCTGGATGGTCTGGCGTCTGAGGAAGGCGGCGCAAGAGGATCGGAGGGACGAGGAGCAGCTGAACCGAGACCATGATCTCCGTCAGAGCTGACCTTGACAAGACAGGACGTTAAGCGGCTGTAGCTTCTCCTTCTCGATCTCAAGAGGCGAGTTTGACATCTTATTTTGATCCCGAGCAAGGGCGAATTGCAGTAGCATTTCCTTTAGGGCGGAGGAAACTACACAATTTGACGACAATTTGGACGATAAGAGGGACCACCCGACACGCTCCCATTTACGTCAGCGCCATTTGATGCTCGGGACGATACGTACATATCCTAATCTATATTCGTTCACAGAAATTCTCAGCGCGAAACCTGTCTCCCTCATTAATGCTCAGGCTCGCCGCACCAACTTCATTCAATAATTGCGCTCGCTTTCGCAGTCTTCCCTCCAGCCACAACTTTTCCACAACCTTTTCAACACTCACGCAACCTTGATATCTGCCCTCAATCCATCCGAAGCAGTGGCACTAACCAATCTCGACGCCTGCATCTCATCCTCGGCCCAGAACCCAATGCCCCAACAACGCTTCGTGGCCGGGTACACCCTGGTCGCAAACGCACATCTGCTATTGGCAAAGACCTCGAAGACCGACTCGTCGAAGAACACATGGAGCTCCAAACGTTCCCTGCACTGAGATCCGTCATCGCTGTTCTTGAACGAGAACAATGTGAACGGCGCAGTCTCGGGGAACGTGTGAATGTCCGGGTCCACATGGCTCGAGTCTGGGCGGTCGATCTTCAGAGTCTCGGTCTCGGGAATGAAGGAGATCATGGTTGAAGATGCGATCTCATGCTCTTCATTGTGGAAGATGCTCAGTCCGATGCGCGAGCAGGAGTCCGAGACATCTAGCACCGCGAGGAGTTCGAAGCGACATGTTTGCACGTCCATGAAACAATCGTCTGCGGAAGTGAGGACCTGTGATCCTCGGACTAGTACTTGACGACCGCCATTCCGGAGTCCTTGCATGGACGTAGCCGGAGATATCCTCAGGGTACGGACGGTGAATGTGTCTTCAGACTCGGGCACGGCTTCGATGGATGTGATCTCTTCAAGTTTTAATTTCAGAGCGCCAGTCACCCCTCGAAGGCAGATCAGACTGAGTTCATGGGGCAAAGAGAGCATTCCACTCCAATTTTGTCGGTCCACCAGTTTCTGCGGGAGGTCTTCCTCTGTGACCCGCCCCAAGCCATCTGCTGGGAAGTCACCGGGTCGAAAAAAGTGTTGACGGCATATAAACACCCGTGGTCGAAACAGCCACCGCAAGCGTAGTCCATTCGTGGGATCCATGACCCATTTTCATCTTTGGTCGCATGCAGAATTCCACACATCCACTGCAGAGACTGTTCTGTGCGCAAGAACTTGGTGTTATCATGTGGATACTCTGTGAACGTTGATTCCGGGTGCATGGCATGAGACCCTTCACTGCCAACAACTATGAATTCCCGACTCGATCCATCGCCTTTATTGACCAGTGTCATAAAATTTCCGCATTCCCAATTGATGCCCAAATCGCCAGACCAGCGGGAAATTTGGTGATTCAATCCAATGTCGACTAAAACACCGAGGAAAGCTCATTGTGCAAGATTTGAAAGGTTCACGGTGTAGAGAAATGCAGTGGGTGTTCGGTCCTTGATACCCCCCGAGATCATATCGTACAGTATTGGTGAGGCTTCATCGTGGCCAAGTATTTTGTCCATTGACGGCCAGGATGCGACAAAAGGGTCTCGCCAGCCTGTGACAGAGAGACCTTGTGGTGGCTCTGGCAGAAGAGGATTCCCTCTAGGTTTGATCCAAGTCTTTCCACCGTCAAGTGAATGGACAGCGGCTAAAGTCTCGGTTTGCGGAGAACATGGCAAAGTATAGTGCAAGGGTAATCGACTCACGCCAGTGTGCAGAACAGTCAATTGACCAGGTTGGCCTTCCAACCCAGTGGGAATCAAGCAGCCCGTAAGGCATCCTTCTCTGTCATACCATGCGCCAGGCTTAATGGCAGGGGTCCCTGATACAGTCTAATTGATCATGTCGTTTGAAGTAGCGTGGCCCCAACAGATCGATCCCCAAGCGACTGCGCCGTACACATTCCTTCGTGCATTCCATTGAAAGAATAAATGATACAGACCTGTCGTGGGGTCATATCCAGGCGCACATGGATCATTCATCCATCCGCGAGGCGCTTGCACATGATACAGCGGTCGCCATCGAAGGAAGTGCAATGACGGAAGTGAAAACTGGTCGCTTGAAACGGCAGACTCCGGGCTGACATTTCACTTGTTCGCCCCAGACAGAATCATGAAGTATAGTTTATTCATCGAGAGTCATGCCTGGCCACATGGAATCGAGTGAAAGTTTCGACTTATGGCCGCCAACAGTTAGGGTGCTAGGAGCAAATGATGGGTATACTCGTATACAAAGCACTTATTCGGTTGCATCGCGATCGATGAAACCGGATCTGCAAACGGTACAAAAAGGGTCGTAGCAGCGACAGCCTATCGAAAGCGGATAATCATCAGGAAGGGTTGCCCCCCGCAATCGGATTCGGTAGTCGTTAGAGTTTGGAGTATACCCATCCGTCGATTCATTTGGTCATGGCTCCCAAGAGGAAAGTCATGACTAGTTTAAATAGCCAATGCCAGCAAACCATGGGCTCTGGGAGATTCTGTCTCGGTCTTTCACACCCTGACCTGAAGATCAACCCGAAGTGGAAATACTTTGGGCGTCCGTCTTCGAGAGGCATGCTATGCGGTTTGGCTGATTCGTTTGGAGGGATGCGGAGTTCGGGTAGCCCACACGATCGCAAACGAAAGAGTTACAATGGCGCCAAAGTGTTCTGTAGGTTGGTATCAAAAGTCTGAATTATCCCGAGGGCCGAGAGAAGACCTCGTGGTTTTGTCGTGTTGAGGTTATCCAAGTTGCTGGATTGAACCGCTATCGTGCAGATGCCGTTGAATCGCGAGTCGATGAGCATGGAATAAAATGCTTCTGGCCAAAACTCTGGTTGAGATGTTCTGTGTTTGATCTCATTCGCCCACAGGCTCAGGTCTCCCGCTAAAGAGTAGCTTGAACTTCACAATGTCCACAACTTCCAAGTCTTCGCCTTGCTTTAGATTGTCAAGCTTCGAGTCATTCTCATTTGCCTTCCGAAGGACCGCTAGCGGTTTGGCCAACTTTTTGATTTCACCGGTCAATCGTTGATGCTTGCCGACGTACAGATACACCTTCTTCATCCACTTCCCTTCATCTTGGTCTCGAGGGCTATACAAGGGGAAATCCAGTCGGCCGATTAAAGCGAGCTCAGGGGACCGGTGAGGGTTGTCTCCAGAAGATTGAAATGGGCCACGTATTGTCCCTTGAATCTCGACAATGGCGAGTCCCGTTGGTGTTTGGAGAAGCGAAGGAAGTGGGCTAGGTGCTGTGCCGTTTGCGTTACCGGAGCTGAGTGCTGTCCGTAATAAGACTAAAGGCATTGTTGCAACCTAGAAGGATCCTTGGTCTGGACTTTTTCATGAAATTGTCAAGAAATTAGTGTTGTTAAAGTCGTTGCCGGGAAATCCGCCTCTGCTTGGAATAGCACAGGTCTTGGCGACTAGCCGCGCAGCTCCCCTCGGGACTTTTCAGCTAGCGTAATCACGCGTCTCCATCATTAAACGCGTCTCCTTCAACATCTTTCCCACTTTCTTCATTGGCCTCTTAGGTCCTAGAATATGGCGGGATCGAAGCGATCGCTTGCCCCTGATGATTCAGATGGCGGAAAATCTAGCGTGCCGCTCCTGTGCCACCAAAAAGCCTGCTCGCCTCTCTTCGAAATTTGGTTCGACGACGGCATCACCGAAGACTGTGTCAACACCCGAGAGCGACAAGGATCATGGCTTGGATACGGGCAGCAGCGGCAGAAGCAGTGAAAAGACCCTTAGTAGCCGAGCCTTGCTTCAAGAGGTCTTGAAAATGGCAGAGAATGAGGATGAAGCGGAACTTATGATCCTTGAGTTGATGCTGTTGAGACGTTAGTTGACCACCTTCAAGGTAAGTTGCATCCAACTAACTGTCGATGTAGGAAATAATCTCGAGGCATTGCGCCGTAGGGAATGGATCGGGGCACCAAACTCGGCACCAAATTCGGCTATTATGTAATGGTACCTATGATTCTTTGGCTCCACCGCACAAACGTAGGTAGTCTTGCAGTCGCAAAACCTCGTCGTCGACCCTGTTTGTAAAGAAACTCTTAGTGTTTATAGGCCGTATGGTCCACGGATTGGATCCGATGGCGGTGGTGTTTCATCGGATCTAACTCATGAACTATGTCGAGTGTGATCAATAGAGCTTCTCTGGGTGGTCCACAGACTGGATCCGATGCGTGGATCACGTTGATATCGAGAATATCGACATCATAACTTGTGGGTAATATCCTCACGTGATACTGCCAAGCCTAATCACATGATACTTTCAACGTTTTTGACCAATCAAAGGGCCGGATTTGGCTTCAGCCAATCAACATCACGCTCTGCTAGGATAATCCGACAAATACCAAATTCTTTGCTCTGATTGGCTGTCCCCATCGGATCCAGTCCATGGACCACCAGAGAGAAGAGACAACCCCTCTTAGAACACCCTCGAATTCTTGCCAACGCCTCCAAAAACGTAACCCTGAGCAGTTGCACCTATTGCCCCAGCAACGGTATTGTTTGTCCTTGCCTTCGCTCTTGAGAAAGCGGTTGAATCGTTGTAACTGTGCTAAATTGACCTCCTTGCCCTTGCCCCTTATCCTGAGCCTTAAATGCATTCGCGAATTGTGTCTCATTTTGAGCATGCTTCTTACACTACGTCTTATCGCCGTTGATCTTACTGGCGCTCCAGTCACCCTCCGGGACCTCATTGTTCTCTGAAAGCCAATCCTTAATCTTCTCGATTTGGTCTTCAGTCTGCAAATTTGTCTGGATTCACTGGCGGCTCAATGCCCAACGGAGATCTGCACGTGATACTAGAAAGGTCGCCGGGCTCTCGCTTCCCTGCGGTGTAGCCCCGCCTTCTGCCACGTTACACAGACTAACAAGCCCTACATACTTCCAAAGCGCCTGTAACCATTTATCCCGGCCGTTGCCAAAGCACACAAGATAAGGCTGTTGCTTCAACCCTCATATACCAAAGACCAGGATTGTGTCCACATTCCCGACTTGAACACCATGTCGCTGTCGCGGGGCCTTCTTGTCCTTGCCTTTTACTTCATCAAGCAGTTCATCTTTGCTCACCTATCTCTCAGTTGCCTAACCTACTAATAGAGCCCCGTCGACGTCTCGCGTTCGATCATCCCTCTCAGCCTGATCGCCATATCTTGGGCCTCAGCATCGATCCTCTTCGCATCTCCATTTCTCTCTCCCCTTCCTTCGACCTTAGATGAGCAATTGCACTTCTCAGTATTCATCCATAGCCACGTCAACCTCTCTGAATACCGAAATCCAGCCTGATTCTTCCTGCAATTGCTTTACCTGCGCCTTTACAACTCCTTTCACAATGACCAGCCTTACTGCTCAAAACTACCATATTGGTTGGATATGCGCGCTGAACATCGAAATGACTGCCGCTATGGCCATGTTGGATGAAGAACATGAGATGTTACCAGGACAAGATCCACAAGATCATAATAGTTACGTGTTGGGTCGCATCCACCAGCATAACGTGGTGATTGCATGTATGCCAGAAGGGGTGGATGGGTTAGTTCCTGCGGCCAATGTGGCGAAGGACATGGCGAGGACTTTCCCTGCGCTCCGAATCGGACTGATGGTTGGCATTGGTGGCGGCATCCCTGATCTCGCCAAGGGAGTTGACATTCGCTTGGGCGATATTGTGGTGAGCAAGCCGGAGAAAACTTTGGGAGGCGTCGTGCAATATGACAAGGGCAAAGCTGAGAACGGAGGGAAATTTGTGGTCAAAGGTCAGCTCAATGCACCACCAGCTCTCCTATTGCAGACTCTCGCTCAACTCCGTGCACGTCATGCAATGCGCCCGAGCAAGGTATCCAATTATATCAGTGAAGCGATTACACGGAACCCGATGATGGAGGAAAGCGGCTTCACTTTTCCATCCTTGCCCGATTGCTTTTACTGCAGTGTCTGTGACAAAGACATTGAAAGTTCTATACCCAACTGCGAAGGGCTCCATACCAAGCGGAATCAAAGGAAGAATCACAACCCGGTGGTCCATTATGGAGTGATTGCGTCTGGAAACCAGGTGGTGAAGGATGCAGCTGTGCGAGACCGATTGCGAGATGAGTTTAACGCCTTCTGTGTGGAAATGGAGGCGGCAGGACTGATGAACGAGTTCCCCTGTCTCGTGATCCGGGGCATTTGCGATTACGCCGATTTGCATAAAAACGATGGTTGGCACCCATATGCTGCGATGGCTGCTGCGGCATACGCCAAAGAATTTCTTCAATACATCACTCCGGCGCGGGCCTGCCAGGAACAGCCTATCCAAAACGTATTAGGTAGGTGAGAATGACAGAAATCCTTTGCTAGTGCAGATACCCGGGAGGAAGCAAACTTGTGGCAAGATGATAATTTTCCAACGCCTGCTCAAATTATGGTCCTCGAGTGGTCACTTTCTCTGGGGATCCCGATGCCAGCTGTTTCTGTCTCATTTCCGTCCTACCACCGAATCGAAGAGACCCTGACAATAATATCTTAAGGTTTACTTGATGAGATACGTCATAGTGCGCAAGCGCAACTGGAAGCCACCCAAGCACAGACCGAGCAAAGTAAAACCCAATATGAGAGTGACAAACATAGCCAATGCCACCGAACCTTCAAAATCGGTGCGTATGAAAATCAGAAGGACATCAACCATGAGCGAGTGGCTGGCACTTGCCAATGGGTACTATCTAACCCTCTATATCGTCAATGGACCGCCAGATTACACGATGATCTGCTCTGGATCTCAGCCGATCCCGGCTGTGGCAAGTCGGTCCTCGCCAGATTCCTCGTCGACGAGGAGCTTCGAAATACTGATAAGCATACTGTATGCTATTTCTTCTTCAAAGACAGCGAGGAGCAGGATAACCTAATGACTGCTCTTTGCGCCCTCCTCCATCAATTGTTCTCCAACCAGCCTCGCCTGATCCGATATGCGATTCCAGCATGGGAGAAGACCGGCGACAAACTGCAACAGGACGTGCTTGAGCTATGGCGTATCTTGCTCGCAGGGGCCAGAGATGAGCAGGCCCGCGATGTGACTTGCGTTCTAGATGCGCTGGACGAATGTCGACTCCCCGACCGACAGTGGCTGATTAATATGCTAACGAAGTTTTATACCGGGATATCGGCCACTTCATCTGTGACGCAACGGGGCCGACTAAAATTTCTGGTTACCAGTCGGCCATATGATGACATCCAAGCCGAGTTCCAGAAGACACTGGGCAATCTACCTACGATCCGACTACGAGGCGAAGAGAAGAATGACCAAATCCACCAAGAAATTGACCTTGTTATCCGCATGCGAGTGACACAACTCGCGGAAGACTTAGGATTACAACGTCAAATTAAGGAACAACTAGAAAGTCAGCTACTGGAGATGGACCACCGCACGTATTTGTGGCTTCATCTTGCTATTGAAGATATACGCGAGACTTACAAAAATAGTCTCCGACCTGAGGAAGCAGCGATTAAGTCACTCCCCTCGACTGTAGAAGAAGCATACGAGAAAATCTTGAGCCGAATCAATGAAGAGCAGAGAAGCAACGTGAAAAAGATCCTACAGATCGTGGTAGGGGCACGCCGACCACTATCTGTCCAGGAGATGGCCATTGCTCTCGGATTAGCCACATCACCACACCATAAATCCCTCCACGAGGCTCGAATCGACCCTGTAAGGCTTGAGACTAATATTCGACATTGGTGCGGTCTCTTCGTCTTCATCAACCACGCGAGAATATACCTAATCCACCAAACAGCCAAGGAATTTCTGATATGTGAAAGGGGTTGTCCTCCTTCTCTTTCTGGGTGGAAGCATTGTCTTGATCCTCGGGGAGTTGAGAAAGATATGACCCGAATATGTGTTGAGTTTCTCTCTTTGAAAGATGGTTGGCCAACCGCACAGTCTCTGGTCCAAAAATTCGACATGCTCTCGCGAATCGACGATTTCTTAGAGAAAGATGACCATGTCCAAAGTTTCCTAGTCTATTCGTCAGAATACTGGCCCTCTCACCTTCGAGATGCCGAGATGCCAACGGATGACTCTGCTATGACGAGGTTGTCCCAACTTTATGCCACCGACGGTCCTCCATATAGTCTATGGTTCGCAATCTTTTGGAAGACGACCCATCCGTATGAGATTCAGCCACGAATAAATTCTATTCGTTTAGCCGCACTCCTAGGGCATGAGAAGTTATTACAGTTGATCCTACAGTCGGCAGAACACCACAAGATAAACGAACCTGACGACCGTGGTCGCACAGCGTTAATGTGGGCAAGCCAGCTTGGCTACGACAAAGCGGTGCAGATACTTCTTAACAAAGGGGCGGATGTCAGTGCTCAAGGAGGAGAGTATGGCAATGCACTGCAGGCGGCATCAGCAGGTGGCCATGAGAGGGTGGTGCAGATGCTCCTGGATGCCAGAGCGGATGTCAATGCTCAAGGAGGAGA